TCAAGTCCATCACCAGCGACCCACAGACATGGCGCGAGGCAATGTCGAGTGACAAGCGCGAAGTGTGGCCAAGGCCGCTACGACGATTCAATTCCATGCGCGACGACTTCAAGGTCTTCACCATCGAGGACCGATCCACGGTACCAGCGGTGCGACATCGTCACATCCAAGTTCGTCTGGAAAACGAAACGGAATGCACTCGGCGAAGTCACCGGCCACAAGGCACGGCTCGTGGCGCAGGAAATCGGCAACGCGACGGCATCGACTTCAACGAAACCTTCGCACCAGTCGCACGCTTCTCCTCGATACGCTCACTCCTCGCGCTGGCGGCCGCCAACGGCTTGCACGTGCACCAGGCGGACATCGACAAAGCCTATCTGCATGGCGACCTTGACCATGACATCTGGATGACGACACCGCGCGGCTTCGACCTTCCCACCGACAAGGTGCTTCGTCTGCGACGCTCCATCTACGGACTCAAACAGGCTGGCCGAATCTGGAATCGACACATCGACGCATCGCTTCGAGATCTCGGCTATACGGCGACGGGCACCGACCACTGCGTGTACTCTCGGATCGACGATCGGCGACGCCCACACTACATCGCGCTGACAGGCAACGTCGGAGGGGATGACGATGACTACACGCGAGAGACGAGGGAGAGAGCGAGAGAGCGCGCGAAAGCGCGAAGGAGCGAAAGGGTGTCGACCGAGGCGGCGGCAGTCGACCGAGAGGCAACCGCGGAGGATACGCGGCTGCAAGGCTCGCAGCAAGTCCAGTGTACCGAACTATGGTAGCCAACGAGGTCGGACAGAAGAGGAGGGCAAACGATCCAAGAAATAGCTGACCAGGCCGGTGGGAAGGTCGAGTCGGCTGGGCGCGGAAGTCGACCGAGAGGCAACCGCGGAGGATACGCGGCTGCAAGGCTCGCAGCAAGTCCAGTGTACCGGACTATGGTGGCCAACGAGGTCGGACAAAAGAGGAAGGGCAAACGATCCAAGAAATAGCTGACCAGGCCGATGGGAAGGTCGAGTCGGCTGGGCGGCGGCAGTCGACCGAGAGCAACCGAGGAGTGGATTCGGTCGGAAGGCTTCGCAGCAAATCAAGTGTAACGGACTTAATTGCCAGCGAAATGGGTAAAAAGAGGGAGGGTACGAGTCATGATAATGAGTGGACCAAGCTCTAGGGGAAGGGTGGCAAAAGCAAAGGGAGGGAAGTGCTCCCAGCGAAGGAAAGACTGAATCAAATAACTACACCACGAGGTCGCTTCAGGGTAAAAAGGATTGCCTGCAAGGCACCGGTAAAAACCCCGAAGCCGGGCCTCGGATAACAAAAAGGAAAAGAAACCAAAAGGCAGATCACGCTCCGGGCGGATCGAACCCTCGACCACTGAGTGCGCGCCCGCGCGCCCTCACGACTACACCATCGCGTCATGCAACTAGCTGATGTCGACTCCGGCCGCAAACTTGGGAGACTTCCTTCGAGTATTGATGGCAGTGCAGGCTGTGCTCCTGACACGCGCTGTACGTCGACGACCTCCTGATGATCAGCCCCGACTTGGCCGAAATTGAACGTGTCATCTCGGGCCTCGAACAACGCTACGGCGTCAAGCGCCTCGGCCCGGCAGAGTACATCCTCGGCATGCAGATCAGGCGACTCGAAGACGGTTCTATTGCCCTGTCCCAGGAACGGTACATCATGGACGTGCTTGCTCGGTTCCACTTCGACACCACGACTCGCGGCACTACAGTCCCGATGACCCCGGCCTTTCGCTCACCGCCATCCCGGGTCAAGGCACCGAACGGATCAGGTCATGGTATCTGCAGGCTATCGGCTCGCTCCTCTACATTTCGCTCGGCACCCGCCCCGACATCGCCTTCGCCGTGTCCTACCTGGCCCGCTTCGCCAACAACCCTGGACGTCGTCACTGGATCGCGGTCAAGCACATCCTCCGCTATCTCCGGGCCACATATCGCGACGAACTGGTTTATGCTTGCGGCGAGACACGCATCACGGGCGTGGTTGGCTACTCCGACGCGAACTGGGGGGCCTGCGTCGATACGTCGGTGTCCACTATGGGCTACGTCTTCTACATTGCCGGATCCGCCGTGTCTTGGTCGTCCAAGCGTCAATCTCGAGTTGCCGATTCTACCACCGACGCTGAATACCTCGCCCTCTCGCATGCTGGCAAGGAAGGGATCTACCTCAGTCAGCTGCTCGAGGAGCTCCATGTCCAACCTGTTGCACCGGCTCACATTTTTACTGACAATGAAGCCGCTGCCGCAGTTGCCCACGACCCTGTCCGCGTCTCCGGCACTCGACACATACGCTTGCGCGAGCACTTTGTTCGGGACATGGTGAATCGGGGCGATATCTCACTCTCGCATGTGGGAACCAGCAACATGGTGGCCGACATCTTCACAAAGCTCTTGGCCCAAAGATTTTCTCGACACACTGCTACGCACTAGGCCTTCGCACTCGACACCCACGGCTTGGATCTGCCTCGCATTCGCGTGGGGGGGGGTGTGAAGAGTCCACTCTCAGCTCGACAGGGCGCCTCGGTCGTTGCGCGCGCCTGCTAGCCTGGCCCTGTGGTGGGGACTTAGGCGCGCGCGAGTGCTCAGCGCGCCGGCGCCGGCGGTTTCGGGCGGCCGCCGCTAGCCGCCCTTGCAGTGGGACTTAGCCGCGGCGCGACTGCCTCAGCGCTCCAGCGATTTCGCCCGCGCCTGGGCATATCCCAGCGCGGGCCACCTTTCCATTTCTTAGCTTCCTTCTCATCACTTCTGTTCGACTCTCGACTTCTCCTGACATAGTGGTGATCATCTCATAGGTACGCTGAATAGATCACTTCTGTTCGACTCTCGACTTCTCCTGACAGTAGTGGTGATCATCTCATACCTTGTCCAGGGCCGAGTGTTCGCACAGGTTCTTGCAGTAGACGAAATAAGCTGCTGCCTCCTCCCAGAATGATTTGGGTAAGTGGGCGTCTGCAAGGAGGGCAAGGACACCTTCGACGATAGAACGATTGACTCGTTCGGCACGACCGTTCTGTTGAGGCGTTCGAGGGATAGAGTATTGTCGACGTGTGCCGCGTGCCTTACAGAATTCCGTGAACGCTCTCGAACAGTATTCGCCACCATTGTCGGTTCGGAGGACCTTCAGTTTTGCACCCGTCTCGAGTTCGACCTCGGCAAGCCATGTCTTGAACACGCCAAAGACTTCGCTTTGTGTCCGATCGCGTATGCCCACAGTTTGCGCGAGAAGTCGTCAAGAAACGTGACCAGGTAACGCTTGCCAGTCAAGGACGACTCGGGAAAGGAAAGCACATCGCTGTGTACGAGGCCGAGTCTCTCTGAGGAGTGCGAGTCCGAATCGGGAAAAGGAAACGATGGCCCTTTCACTGAGGCAAGCATTGCAGACAAACTTCTCTACCTCTTCGTCACTATATCGGCCCCGAGACCTTCCAGCAAACCAGCGGCAACCATCTTCTGTATGGACGACGGTGCGAGATGGCCGAGGCAGCGGTGAAGGGTCAGCAGGGGCACGGAAGACTGTGAGCGAGAGAGGAGAGCGAGATGCTGACATTTGGAATGATCAGCGTCCAGCAAGTAGAGCCCTTCCTCGAGTCTGCGCCTTCAGCGATAGCATTGCCGTTCTTGTCGATATGGATGCCGTGCTTCGTGAAGGCGACACGGACATCGTCGGTGTCGCAAAGTCGAGAGACCGAGAGGAGGTTGACAGACAGGCCCGGTGTGCAGCACGCCGGTAAGCGTGATCGGGTGACCGGAGGCGGCAACAAAGGCGATGTTTCCCGTTCCGACGGCGTTGATGCCCCCTGCAATACCACCAATCTTCGTAGGAGCGATGTGGCGATAGGCCGTGAACAGCGACTTGTCCGAGACCATGTGCGAAGTGCACCCGAGTCGACGACGAAGGAGTTTTGCGAAGCTGACGACGATGTGCGAGAAGACCGGTGGCGAGACATCCGACATGGTGTTGCGCATCAGAGGTGTCGGGCGTTTTCCCCGTCCTCAAGAGCCTTTTTGCAGTCGAAAGACCAGTGGTCCTTCTTCTTGCAGGAGCGACACGGGCCTGGCGGTGGATGCTGGGCCCTTGTAGGCATTGTGCGACGCGGTGAGAAGAGCTGCGACAGGCGAGGCACTTGGTACGGGTAGAACGTGGCGACGACGAGGCAAGGAGGGCCGATTGATCGTTGGAGAGGTTCGTTGACCGGAGTTGAACTCGCATACGGTCGGCCACTGAATCGATGTCAGGGAGAGTTCGTTGCGTGCGTTGTTCGTCGGTGAACGTTGCCTTGAAGCTCTCGAGGACGGTGGGCGATCGCGAGAGGAGTGTGGCAAGGACGTCGTTGATCGTCGTTTTCGTATCGATGATCTCTTGCGCGACCGACTTGAAGTCCATGATCCAACTGTCAAATTCGCCAACCGTTCCGGGCATGGGTCGGAAGCCCCAGAGTCGCGAGAAGAGCTCGGAGCGTGCGAGTGGCGTCATCAGGGGCGTATCGCGATTTCAGCGTCGAGTAAATCTTGGGCGCTGTGAGGTCGGCCGTAGGGATCTTGTCGAGGACTGCCGAGACTTCGGCCGAGTCGATTGAGTTTGCAAGGATCTCGCGTGCCACGACGTCCGGGCGGAGCGTTGCGAAGGCGTCCAATCGTCGGGGGTGATTCCGTCGAGGACGTAGGAGCGGATGTCGTCCGCTAGGCACAGGCGAAGCTGGCGTGTCCAGTTCGCGAACGTCTTCGGCCCGTCCAACCGCGCATGCTTCGGGAAGGCATTGCGATTGGAGCCGGATGTCGTGGCGGGTGCGGTAGTGCCGGAAGCGGCAGCGGTGAGTCCCGACAGCAGCGATGTAAGGCGGCAAGCTGTTCGGCGGGGAATTGTCGGGGTGGCGCTCGTCGCGAGGGTTGACGACGTGTCCATGCCAGCGGTAGCTCGATGGCTTATAACCTATGAGATGATCACCACTACTGTCAGGAGAAGTCGAGAGTCGAACAGAAGTGATCTATTTCAGCGTACCTATGAGATGATCACCACTACTGTCAGGAGAAGTCGAGAGTCGAACAGAATGATGAGAAGAAGCTAAGAAATGGAAAGGGGGCCCGCTGGGATATGCCCAGGCGCGGGGCGAAATCGCTGGAGCGCTGAGGCAGTCGGCGCGGCTAAGTCCCCACTGCAAGGGCGGGCTAGCGGCGCGCGCCCGAAAACCGCCCGGCCGCGGCGCGCTGAGGCACTCGCGCGCGCCTAAGTCCCACCACAGGGCCAGCTAGCAGGCGCGCGCAACGACCGAGGCGCCCCTGTCGAGCTGAGAGTGGACTCTTCACATCAACCTCTCCATCGTCGAGGGCGTCCTCGCTCTCCTTGCGGACGCCCGTCTGCCGGCCACCTTTTGGGATGAAGCGGCTGGCGTATTTCGTTTATTGCAAAAACAGTGCTCACACTCAGCTTTGGCCAAACAGACTCCAGAATCCGTTTGGAACGGCCAACGCACCACCGCCACCGCCCTCCACCCGTTCGGCTGCACAGCCTGGCTCACGGTCGCCCCGGACCTTCGCAGCAAGCTCGACCCCAAGGCCGCGCGCGTGATCTTCACAGGTTACGACCTCGCTCCAAAGCTTTCCGTTTCTTTGACCATTCCATCAACAAGATTGTACTTGGTCGCAATGCCACCTTCCTCGACGACGACTTCCCCGGCTGCCAGTCACCACGCCCGTCGATGCAGACGACACCGACCGTCAGTTCGTCGTTCCCGCCGACACGCCCGCCCCTGCCGTCAAGACGAGGACCCCACTAGTAAGGTCGGCGCACATGGACGTCTCATCCTCCCTTGATGATTCTGCCATGAGCGCCGTTGACGTGGCCCCAGGGTACACTGGCGGAACCTTACTTAATTCCACAGATACCGAATCGTCCTCGTCACCGTCTCCTGAGCCGTCCTCGTCACCGTCGCCCACAAACCCTTTGTCACCGTCGCCTGCGCTGTCACCGTCGTTGGCAGCGTCATCGTCACCCTCGGTCTCACCGACCGACTCTGTGTGAAGAGTCCACTCTCAGCTCGACAGGGGCGCCTCGGTCGTTGCGCGCACTTGCTAGCCCGCCCCCGGCGGTGGGGACTTAGACGCGCGCGACTGCCTCAGCGCGCCAGCGCCGGCGGATTCATGCGCGCGCCCGCTAGCCCGCCCCCTTGCGGTGGGGACTTAGGCGCGCCGGCGATTTCACCCGCGGCTGACTTAGGGATGTACATTGTCACGCGCCTGGGACTATCCCAGCGTGGCCCCCCCTTTCTGTTTCTTAGCTTCCTTCTCATCACTTCTGTTCGACTCTCAACCTCTCCTGACAGTAGTGGTGAACGTCTCATAGGTTATAAGCCCACGAGCCACCAGCTGGCATGACCACGACACCACCCCTCGCGACGGGTGCCAACCCTCCGATTCCCGCCGAACAGCTCGCCGCACTTACATCGCTGCTGTCGGGTCTCACCGCTGCCGCTTCCGGCACTGCCACACCCGCCACGACGTCCGGCACCACTCGCACTGCCTTTCCAAAGCACGCACGCTTGGATGGTGCGAAGACCTTCGCGAACTGGACACGCCAACTTCGCCTGTGCCTAGCGGACGACATCCGCTCGTACGTCCTCGACGGTATCGCACCCGACGACTGGACACCTTCGCAACGCTCCGCTCGCGACGCCGTCGCTCGTGAGGTCCTTGCGAATTCGATTGACTCGGCCGAAGTCTCGGCAGTCCTCGACAAAATCCCTACCGCCGACCTGACAGCGCCGACAATCTACTCGACGCTGAAATCGCGGTACACCCCTGACGACGCCACCCGCACGCTCGAGCTCTTCTCACGACTCTGGGGTTTCCGTCCCATGCCCGGCACGGTTGCCGAATTCGACGGGTGGATCATGGACTTCAAAGCCGTTGCGCAAGAGATCATCGACACAAAGACAACTATCAATGATGTTCTCGCCACACTCCTCCTTGCAATCGCCCACCCGTCCCTCGAGAGCTTCAAGGCGTCGTTCACCGATGAACAGCGCACGCAACGAACTCTCCCCGACATTGATTCGCTTGCCGACCGTATGCGAGTCCAACTTCGGTCAACGAACATCCCCAGCACTCAATCGGCCCTTCTTGCCTCGTCGTCGTCACGTTCTACTCGTCTCAAGTGTCTCGCCTGTCGCAGCCCTTCGCACCGAGTCGCGGAGTGCCCTACGAGGGCGCAACACCCGCCGCCAGGACCCTGTCGCTCCTGCAAGAAGAAGGATCACTGGTCTCTCGACTGCAAGAAGGCGCTCGAGGACGGCAAAAAGCCCGACACCGCTGACTCGACCGTCGACTCGCAACACCATGTATGAGATGATCACCACTACTGTCAGGAGAAGTCGAGAGTCGAACAGAAGTGATCAGAAGGAAGCTAAGAAATGGAAAGGTGGCCCGCGCTGGGATATGCCCAGGCGCGGGCGAAATCGCTGGAGCGCTGAGGCAGTCGCGCGCGGCTAAGTCCCCACTGCAAGGGCGGCTAGCGGCGCGCGCCCGAAAACCGCCGGCGCCGGCGCGCTGAGGCACTCGCGCGCGCCTAAGTCCCCACCACAGGGGCCAGGCTAGCAGGCGCGCGCAACGACCGAGGCGCCCCTGTCGAGCTGAGAGTGGACTCTTCACACCCCCCCCACGCGAATGCGAGGCAGATCCAAGCCGTGGGTGTCGAGTGCGAAGGCCTAGTGCGTAGCAGTGTGTCGAGAAAATCTTTGGGCCAAGAGCCTTTGTGAAGATGTCGGCCACCATGTTGCTGGTTCCCACATGCGAGAGTGAGATATCGCCCCGATTCACCATGTCCCGAACAAAGTGCTCGCGCAAGCGTATGTGTCGAGTGCCGGAGACGCGGACAGGGTCGTGGGCAACTGCGGCAGCGGCTTCATTGTCAGTAAAAATGTGAGCCGGTGCAACAGGTTGGACATGGAGCTCCTCGAGCAGCTGACTGAGGTAGATCCCTTCCTTGCCAGCATGCGAGAGGGCGAGGTATTCAGCGTCGGTGGTAGAATCGGCAACTCGAGATTGACGCTTGGACGACCAAGACACGGCGGATCCGGCAATGTAGAAGACGTAGCCCATAGTGGACACCGACGTATCGACGCAGGCCCCCCAGTTCGCGTCGGAGTAGCCAACCACGCCCGTGATGCGTGTCTCGCCGCAAGCATAAACCAGTTCGTCGCGATATGTGGCCCGGAGATAGCGGAGGATGTGCTTGACCGCGATCCAGTGACGACGTCCAGGGTTGTTGGCGAAGCGGGCCAGGTAGGACACGGCGAAGGCGATGTCGGGGCGGGTGCCGAGCGAAATGTAGAGGAGCGAGCCGATAGCCTGCAGATACCATGACCTGATCCGTTCGGTGCCTTGACCCGGGATGGCGGTGAGCGAAAGGCCGGGGGTCATCGGGACTGTAGTGCCGCGAGTCGTGGTGTCGAAGTGGAACCGAGCAAGCACGTCCATGATGTACCGTTCCTGGGACAGGGCAATAGAACCGTCTTCGAGTCGCCTGATCTGGATGCCGAGGATGTACTCTGCCGGGCCGAGGCGCTTGACGCCGTAGCGTTGTTCGAGGCCCGAGATGACACGTTCAATTTCGGCCAAGTCGGGGCTGATCATCAGGAGGTCGTCGACGTACAGCGCGATGTAGTGTGGGCGTCGCCGATCGTCGATCCGAGAGTACACGCAGTGGTCGGTGCCCGTCGCCGTATAGCCGAGATCTCGAAGCGATGCGTCGATGTGTCGATTCCAGATTCGGCCAGCCTGTTTGAGTCCGTAGATGGAGCGTCGCAGACGAAGCACCTTGTCGGTGGGAAGGTCGAAGCCGCGCGGTGTCGTCATCCAGATGTCATGGTCAAGGTCGCCATGCAGATAGGCTTTGTCGATGTCCGCCTGGTGCACGTGCAAGCCGTTGGCGGCCGCCAGCGCGAGGAGTGAGCGTATCGAGGAGAAGCGTGCGACTGGTGCGAAGGTTTCGTTGAAGTCGATGCCGTCGCGTTGCCGATTTCCCTGCGCCACGAGCCGTGCCTTGTGGCCGGTGACTTCGCCGAGTGCATTCCGTTTCGTTTTCCAGACGAACTTGGATGTGACGATGGTCGCACCCGCTGGTACCGTGGATCGGTCCTCGATGGTGAAGACCTTGAAGTCGTCGCGCATGGAATTGAACTCGTCGGTAGCGGCCTTGGCCCACACTTCGCGCTTGTCACTCGACATTGCCTCGCGCCATGTCTGTGGGTCGCTGGTGATGGACTTGACTGGTTGAATGGCTTCTGTGTCAGAGTTGTCGTCGTCGGTGGCGATGAAGGCGCGGTGGTGTTGGGTGAGGAAATCGATTTCGTCCGGCGATTCATCGCGCGAGTGGCGCCCAATGATGTCGAGTTCGTCGGGCGACTCCTCAGCCGATGCGGGCTCACGGTACGTGCTGAAGTCTGGGCGGTGCACGTCCGGTGGGCCGAGGCGAGTCGGGGTCTGTGAGCCGATGAGGTCCAGAGGGTCGGCGGAGTAGTCAGAGTCGGTCGGTAAGGCCGAGGGTGACGATGACGCAGCCAACGACGGTGACAGCGCAGGCGACGGTGACAAGGGAGTTGCGGGCGACGGTGACGAGGACGGCTCAGGAGACGGTGACGAGGACGATTCGGCATCTGTGGAATTAAGTAAGGTTCCGCCAGTGTACCCTGGGGCCACGTCAACGGCGCTCATGGCAGAGTCATCAAGAGAGGATGAGACGTCCATGTGCGCCGACCTTACTAGTGGGGTCCATGTCTTGACAACGGCTTGGGATTCGGTGGTCGGGCAAGCGCTGGCGAAGTGCGTGTCGGCGTCTTGCTCGGTGGAGTCGCTACGTAACCGGGAAATTCGTTGTCGAGGAACCTGGCATTTCTGCCCAAACTGATCTTCTTGGTCGTCGTGTCGTAGAAACGGAAGGCTTTAGAAGCCAGGTCATAGCCGGTGAAGAGAACGCGAACCGCTTTCGGGTCGAGTTTCGAGCGAAGTTCAGGCGCGACTGTGAGCCAAGCCGTGCAGCCGAACGGGTGAAGCGCCGAGGCGTTGGTGCGGTCGCCCTGCCAGGCGAAGTTCGGTGTTGCCTTGTCCAGGGCCGAGTGTTCGCACAGGTTCTTGCAGTAGACGAAATAAGCTGCTGCCTCCTCCCAGAATGATTTGGGTAAGTGGGCGTCTGCAAGGAGGGCAAGGACACCTTCGACGATAGAACGATTGACTCGTTCGGCACGACCGTTCTGTTGAGGCGTTCGAGGGATAGAGTATTGTCGACGTGTGCCGCGTGCCTTACAGAATTCCGTGAACGCTCTCGAACAGTATTCGCCACCATTGTCGGTTCGGAGGACCTTCAGTTTTGCATCCGTCTCGAGTTCGACCTCGGCAAGCCATGTCTTGAACACGCCAAAGACTTCGCTTTTGTGTCCGATCGCGTATGCCCACAGTTTGCGCGAGAAGTCGTCAAGAAACGTGACCAGGTAACGCTTGCCAGTCAAGGACGACTCGGGAAAGGAAAGCACATCGCTGTGTACGAGGCCGAGTCTCTCTGAGGAGTGCGAGTCCGAATCGGGAAAAGGAAGACGATGGCCCTTTGCACTGAGGCAAGCATTGCAGACAAACTTCTCTACCTCTTCGTCACTATATCCGGCCCCGAGACCTTCCAGCAAACCAGCGGCAACCATCTTCTGTATGGACGACGGTGCGAGATGGCCGAGGCAGCGGTGAAGGGTCAGCAGGGGCACGGAAGACTGTGAGCGAGAGAGGAGAGCGAGATGCTGACATTTGGAATGATCAGCGTCCAGCAAGTAGAGCCCTTCCTCGAGTCTTGCGCCTTCAGCGATAGCATTGCCGTTCTTGTCGATATGGATGCCGTGCTTCGTGAAGGCGACACGGACATCGTCGGTGTCGCAAAGTCGAGAGACCGAGAGGAGGTTGACAGACAGGCCCGGGGTGTGCAGCACGCCGGTAAGCGTGATCGGTGACCGGAGGCGGCAACAAAGGCGATGTTTCCCGTTCCGACGGCGTTGATGCCCCTGCAATACCACCAATCTTCGTAGGAGCGATGTGGCGATAGGCCGTGAACAGCGACTTGTCCGAGACCATGTGCGAAGTGGCACCCGAGTCGACGACGAAGGAGTTGTTGCGAAGCTGACGACGATGTGCGAGAAGACCGGTGGCGAGACATCCGACATGGTGTTGCGCATCAGAGGTGTCGGGCGTTTTCCCGTCCTCAAGAGCCTTTTTGCAGTCGAAAGACCAGTGGTCCTTCTTCTTGCAGGAGCGACACGGGCCTGGCGGTGGATGCTGGGCCCTTGTAGGGCATTGTGCGACGCGGTGAGAAGGGCTGCGACAGGCGAGGCACTTGGTACGGGTAGAACGTGGCGACGACGAGGCAAGGAGGGCCGATTGATCGTTGGAGAGGTTCGTTGACCGGAGTTGAACTCGCATACGGTCGGCCACTGAATCGATGTCAGGGAGAGTTCGTTGCGTGCGTTGTTCGTCGGTGAACGTTGCCTTGAAGCTCTCGAGTGACGGGTGGGCGATCGCGAGGAGGAGTGTGGCAAGGACGTCGTTGATCGTCGTTTTCGTATCGATGATCTCTTGCGCGACCGACTTGAAGTCCATGATCCAACTGTCAAATTCGCCAACCGTTCCGGGCATGGGTCGGAAGCCCCAGAGTCGCGAGAAGAGCTCGAGCGTGCGAGTGGCGTCATCAGGGGCGTATCGCGATTTCAGCGTCGAGTAAATCTTGGGCGCTGTGAGGTCGGCCGTAGGGATCTTGTCGAGGACTGCCGAGACTTCGGCCGAGTCGATTGAGTTTGCAAGGATCTCGCGTGCCACGACGTCGCGGGCGGAGCGTTGCGAAGGCGTCCAATCGTCGGGGGTGATTCCGTCGAGGACGTAGGAGCGGATGTCGTCCGCTAGGCACAGGCGAAGCTGGCGTGTCCAGTTCGCGAACGTCTTCGGCCCGTCCAACCGCGCATGCTTCGGGAAGGCATTGCGATTGGAGCCGGATGTCGTGGCGGGTGCGGTAGTGCCGGAAGCGGCAGCGGTGAGTCCCGACAGCAGCGATGTAAGTGCGGCAAGCTGTTCGGCGGGAATTGTCGGGGTGGCGCTCGTCGCGAGGGTTGACGACGTGTCCATGCCAGCGGTAGCTCGATGGGCTTATAACCTATGAGATGATCACCACTACTGTCAGGAGAAGTCGAGAGTCGAACAGAAGTGATCAGAAGGAAGCTAAGAAATGGAAAGGTGGCCCGCGCTGGGATATGCCCAGGCGCGGGCGAAATCGCTGGAGCGCTGAGGCAGTCGCGCGCGGCTAAGTCCCCACTGCAAGGGCGGGCTAGCGGCGCGCGCCCGAAAACCGCCGGCGCCGGCGCGCTGAGGCACTCGCGCGCGCCTAAGTCCCCACCACAGGGGCCAGGCTAGCAGGCGCGCGCAACGACCGAGGCGCCCCTGTCGAGCTGAGAGTGGACTCTTCACACCATGTCGGATGTCTCGCCACCGGTCTTCTCGCTCGTCGTCGCCAGCTTCGCAACCACTCTTTTGTCGTCGACTCGGGCGCCACTTCGCACATGGTCTCGGACAAGTCGCTGTTCACGACCTATCGCCATATCGCTCCTACGAAGATTGGTGGTATTGCAGGGGGCATCAACGCCATCGGAACGGGAAACATCGCCTTCATTGCCGCCTCGGGTCATCCGATCACGCTTACCGGCGTGCTGCACACTCCGGGCCTGTTTGTCAATCTTCTCTCGGTCTCTCGACTTTGCGACACCGACGATGTCCATGTCGCCTTCACAAAACACGGCATCCACATTGACAAGGACGGCAACGACATCGCTGAAGGCGCACGACTCGACGAAGGGCTCTACTTGCTGGACGCTGATCATTCCAAATGTCAGCACCTTGCTCTCCTTTCTCGCTCACAGTCGTCCGTGCCCCTGCTGACTCTCCATCGCTGCCTCGGCCATCTCGCACCGTCCTCCATACAGAAGATGGTTGCCGCTGGTTTGCTGGAGGGTCTCAGGGCCGGATATAGTGACGAAGAGGTAGAGAAGTTTGTCTGCAATGCTTGCCTCAGCGCAAAGGGCCATCGTCTTCCCTCTCCCGATTCGGATTCGCACTCCTCAGAGAGACTCGGCCTTGTACACAGCGATGTGCTTTCCTTCCCCGAGCGGTCCTTGACTGGCAAACGTTACCTGGTCACATTCCTTGACGATTACTCGCGCAAACTCTGGGCCTACGCAATCGGACACAAAAGCGAAGTCTTCGGCATATTCAAAACTTGGCTAGCCGAGGTTGAACTCGAGACGGGTGCGACGCTGAAGGTCCTCCGAACCGACAACGGTGGCGAATACTGTTCGAGAGCGTTCACAGAGTTCTGCAAGACACGAGGCACCCGTCGACAATACTCTATCCCACGCACGCCTCAACAGAACGGTCGTGCAGAGCGGGTCAATCGTTCCATTGTCGAAGGCGTCCTTGCCCTCCTTGTCGACGCCCACCTACCCAAGACATTCTGGGAGGAGGCTGCAGCTTATTTCGTTTACTGCAAGAACCTGTGTCAACACGCGGCCCTGGACAAGGCAACACCAAACTCCGTCTGGCAGGGTGACCACACCACTGCCTCGGCGCTTCACCCGTTCGGCTGTACAGCTTGGCTTACGGTCGCGCCCGAACTTCGCTCCAAACTCGACCCGAAGGCGGTTCGCGTTTTTTTCACCGGCTACGACCTGGCTTCAAAAGCCTTTCGCTTCTACGACACTACAACACAGAAGATTATACTTGGCAGAAATGCCACGTTCCTCGACACTGAATTCCCCGGATTACATGGCGACCCCACTGAGCAAGACGGCGACACGCACTTCGCCAGCGCTCCCACCACCGAATCTCAAACCGTTGTCAAGACATGGACCCCACTAGTAAGGTCGGCGCACATGGACGTCTCATCCCCCCTTGATGATTCTGCCATGAGCGCCGTTGACGTGGCCCCAGGGTACACTGGCGGAACCTTACTTAACTTCACAGATGCCGAATCGTCCTCGTCACCGTCGCCTGCGTCGCCCTCATCACCGTCGTCTGCGCCATCGCCTGCACTTTCACCATCGTCGGCTGCGTCATCGTCACCCTCGGCCTTACCGACCGACTCTGAAGACTCCGCCGATCCCCTCGACCTCCTCGGCTCACAGCCCCAGGTTCGCCTCGATCTACAGGACGTGCACCACCCAGACTTCAGCACGTACCGCGAGCCCGCATCGGCTGAGGAGTCGCCCGACGAACTCGACCTCATTGGGCGCCACTCTCGCGACGAATCTCCGGACGAAATCGATTTCCTCACCCGACACCACCGCGCCTTCATCGCCATCGACGACGACACCTCTGACACAGAGGCAATTCAGCCAGTCAAGTCCATCACGAGCGACCCACAGACCTGGCGCGAGGCGATGTCTAGCGACAAGCGTGAAGTATGGGCCAAAGCCGCCACCGACGAGTTCACCTCCATGCGCGACGACTTCAAGGTCTTCACCATCGAGGACCGAGCCACGGTGCCCGCGGGTGCGACTATCGTTACATCCAAGTTCGTCTGGAAAACGAAACGGAACGCACTCGGCGAAGTCACTGGACACAAGGCAAGGCTGGTCGCGCAAGGCAATCGGCAACGCGACGGCATCGACTTCAACGAAACGTTCGCACCGGTCGCACGCTTCTCCTCGATACGCTCACTCCTCGCGCTGGCGGCCGCCAACGGCTTGCACGTGCACCAGGCGGACATCGACAAAGCATATCTGCATGGCGACCTTGACCACGACATCTGGATGACGGCACCGCGCGGCTTCGACCTTCCCAGCGACAAGGTGCTTCGCCTGCGACGCTCCATCTACGGGCTCAAACAGGCTGGCCGAATCTGGAATCGACACATCGACGCTTCGCTTCGGGCCCTCGGTTACACGGCGACGGGCACCGACCACTGCGTATACTCTTGGCTCGATGATCGTCAATGTCCACACTACATCGCACTGTACGTCGACGACCTCCTGATGATCAGCCCGGAACTGGCCGAAATCGAACGTGTCATCTCAGGCCTGGACCAACGCTACGGAGTCAAGCGCCTCGGCCCGGCCGAGTATATCCTCGGCATCCAGATCAGGCGGTTCGACGACGGCTCTATCGCCCTATCCCAGGAACGGTACATCATGGACGTGCTCGCTCGGTTCCACTTCGACACCACGACTCGCGGCACTACAGTTCCGATGACTCCCGGCCTTTCGCTCACTGCTATCCCGGGTCAAGGCACCGAACGGATCAGGTCATGGTATCTGCAGGCTATCGGCTCGCTCCTCTACATTTCGCTCGGTACCCGCCCTGACATCGCCTTCGCCGTGTCCTACCTGGCCCGCTTCGCCAACAACCCCGGTCGTCGTCATTGGATTGCGGTCAAGCACATCCTACGCTATCTCCGGGCCACGTATCGCAACGAACTCGTGTATGCTCGCGGCCAGGCTCGCATCACGGGTGTGGTAGGCTACTCCGACGCGAACTGGGGGGCCTGCATCGACACATCGGTGTCCACCATGGGCTACGTCTTCTACATCGCTGGCTCGGCCGTGTCCTGGTCGTCCAAACGCCAGTCTCGAGTTGCCGATTCGACCACCGACGCTGAATACCTCGCCCTCTCGCATGCTGGCAAGGAAGGGATTTACCTCAGTCAGCTGCTCGAAGAGCTCCATGTACAACCTGTTGCACCGGCTCACATCTTTACTGACAACGAAGCCGCTGCTGCAGTTGCTCACGATCCTGTCCGCGTCTCTGGCACTCGGCACATACGCTTGCGTGAGCACTTCGTTCGGGACATGGTGAATCGGGGCGACATCTCTCTCTCGCATGTGGGTACCAGCGACATGGTGGCCGACATCTTCACCAAGGCTCTCGGCCCAAAGGTCTTCTCAACGCACTGCTACGCCCTCGGCCTTCGCACTCGACACCCGCGGCTTGGGTCTGCCTCGCATTCGCGTGGGGGGGGTGTGAAGAGTCCACTCTCAGCTCGACAGGGGCGCCTCGGTCGTTGCGCGCACTTGCTAGCCCGCCCCCGGCGGTGGGGACTTAGACGCGCGCGACTGCCTCAGCGCGCCAGCGCCGGCGGATTCATGCGCGCGCCCGCTAGCCCGCCCCCTTGCGGTGGGGACTTAGGCGCGCCGGCGATTTCACCCGCGGCTGACTTAGGGATGTACATTGTCACGCGCCTGGGACTATCCCAGCGTGGCCCCCCCTTTCTGTTTCTTAGCTTCCTTCTCATCACTTCTGTTCGACTCTCAACCTCTCCTGACAGTAGTGGTGAACGTCTCATACTCTGACTACTCCGCCGACCCTCTGGACCTCATCGGCTCACAGACCCCGACTCGCCTCGGCCCACCGGACGTGCACCGCCCAGACTTCAGCACGTACCGTGAGCCCGCATCGGCTGAGGAGTCGCCCGACGAACTCGACATCATTGGGCGTCACTCGCGCGATGAATCGCCGGATGAAATCGATTTCCTCACCCAACACCACCGCGCCTTCATCGCCACAGACGACGACGACCCCACCCTCGACGCCATCGAGCCCGTCAAATCGATCACTAGCGACCCCCAGACCTGGCGCGAAGCAATGTCCAGCGACGAGCACAACATCTGGGCTGAGGCCGCCGCCGCCGAGTTCACCGCCATGCGCGACGACTTCAAGGTGTTCACCATCGAGCCTCGCTCATCTGTACCGCCGGGCGCCACCATCGTCACCTCCAAATTCGTCTGGAAGACCAAGCGCAACGCAAGCGGTGAAGTCACGGGGCGGAAGGCACGTCTTGTAGCGCAGGGTAACCGACAGCGCGACGGCATCGACTTCTCAGAAACCTTCGCACCCGTCGCCCGTTTCTCCTCCATTCGCTGCCTCCTGGCTCTTGCCGCTGCCAATGGCTATCACGTTCATCAGGCCGACATCGACAAGGCTTACCTCCACGGCGAGCTCGATCATGATATCTGGATGACGACACCACGCGGTTTCGACTTCCCGAGCGATAAGGTTCTCCGGCTGCGACGCTCAATCTACGGTCTCAAGCAGGCCGGTCGCATCTGGAATCGTCACATTGACACATCACTCAGGAATCTGGGGTACAAGGCAACAGGCACTGATCACTGCATTTACTCTCGCATTGACGATCAGCAGCGGCCTCACTATATCGCCTTGTATGTCGACGACCTCCTCATTGTCAGTCCAGCCCTCGACGAGATCGAACGTGTCATCTCCGGCCTTGAACAGCGGTACGGCGTCAAACGACTCGGCCCCGCGGAGTACATCCTCGGAATCCAAATACGCCGCCTGGACGACGGTTCCATTGCTCTATCCCAGGAGCGCTACATCATGGACGTGCTGGCCCGTTTCCACTTCGACACCACGACACGCGGCACTACGGTGCCGATGACGCCCGGCCTCTCGCTCACGGCAATTCCGGGTCAGGGAACGGAGCGCATTCGTTCGTGGTACCTACAGGCCATCGGCTCCCTCCTCTACATCTCCCTTGGCACTCGACCCGACATTGCCTTCGCCGTCTCGTACCTGTCCCGGTTCGCCAACAACCCCGGCCGCCGCCATTGGATTGCCGTCAAACACGTCCTTCGCTACCTTCGCGCCACGTACCGCGATGAGCTTCTCTATGCCCGCGGCCCAGCAAAAGTCACGGGTGTGGTTGGTTATTCTGATGCGAACTGGGGCGCCTGCGTCGACACATCCATTTCAACGATGGGCTACGTATTTTACTTGGCAGGCGCCGCTGTCTCTTGGTCGTCGAAGCGTCAGACTCGGGTAGCGGATTCCACCACTGATGCCGAGTACCTGGCCTTGTCGCACGCGGGTAAGGAAGCGATCTACCTTAACCAACTCCTCTCCGAGCTCCACGTTTGCCCAATCGCTGCAGCTCACATCTTCACCGACAACGAGGCCGCGGCCGCCGTCGCTCACGACCCCGTTCGCACCTCCGGCACCCGGCACATTCGCCTCCGCGAGCATTTTGTCCGTGACATGGTCAATCGAGGTGATATCTCTCTCTCACACGTTGGCACAGCAGACATGGTTGCGGACGTATTCACCAAAGCGCTAGGCCCCAAGATTTTTGGTACACATTGCTATGCTCTAGGCCTCCGGACGCGACATCCACGGCTCAAGTCTACCTCGCGTTCGCGTGGGGGGGGGTGTGAGGAATCCACTCTCCGCTCGGCTCAGGACTTAGGCGCGCGGAGCGAACCGGGCGCGGACTTAGGCGCGCGGAGTGAGCCGGGTGCCCCGGCCCAGGACTTAGGCGCGCGAAGCGAGCCTGGGACTTAGGCGCGCGGAGCGAGCCTGGGCCATTGGCTCAGCCCCAGGCTCGCTGGCTGTGGACTTGGGGCGCGCGGGTCTCTTATTGTTAGCTTCCTATTCATCACTCTTGGCTATAACTACATCGCTGACGTAGTAGAGTTGATCGAATAGTTGGCAGGGGCCGTAGCAATAGCGTGAACTCGATTGACAGCGATGGGAGGAGAGAGGCGGCCGATAGACCAATCGACGGCGTCCATAATGTTCTCGGCCAGATGAGGGGAACCGGGAGAGCCTGCGTCGTAACCATGACCCCAGGGCCCGAAGGCGCAATCAACAGGTGACAGGCAACGTCGGAGGGGATGACGATGACTACACGCGAGAGACGAGGGAGAGAGCGAGAGAGCGCGCGAAAGCGCGAAGGAGCGAAGGGGGTGTCGACCGAGGCGGCGGCAGTCGACCGAGAGGCAACCGCGGAGGATACGCGGCTGCAAGGCTCGCAGCAAGTCCAGTGTACCGAACTATGGTAGCCAACGAGGTCGGACAGAAGAGGGAGGGCAAACGATCCAAGAAATAGCTGACCAGGCCGGTGGGAAGGTCGAGTCGGCTGGGCGGCGGAAGTCGACCGAGAGGCAACCGCGGAGGATACGCGGCTGCAAGGCTCGCAGCAAGTCCAGTGTACCGGACTATGGTGGCCAACGAGGTCGGACAAAAGAGGAAGGGCAAACGATCCAAGAAATAGCTGACCAGGCCGATGGGAAGGTCGAGTCGGCTGGGCGGCGGCAGTCGACCGAGAGCAACCGAGGAGTGGATTCGGTCGGAAGGCTTCGCAGCAAATCAAGTGTAACGGACTTAATTGCCAGCGAAATGGGTAAAAAGAGGGAGGGTACGAGTCATGATAATGAGTGGACCAAGCTCTAGGGGAAGGGTGGCAAAAGCAAAAGGAGGGAAGTGCTCCGAGCGAAGGAAAGACTGAATCAAATAACTACACCACGAGGTCGCTTCAGGGGTAAAAAGGATTGCCTGCAAGGCACCGGTAAAAACCCCGAAGCCGGGCCTCGGATAACAAAAAGGAAAAGAAACCAAAAGGCAGATCACGCTCCGGGCGGATCGAACCCTCGACCACTGAGTGCGCGCCCGCGCGCCCTCACGACTACACCATCGCGCCGACAATGCTTGCAACGAACAAACCGGTAGCTGATGTCGACTCCGGCCGCAAACTTGGGAGACTTCCTTCGAGTATTGATGGTGTGAAGAGTCCACTCTCAGCTCGACAGGGGCGCCTCGGTCGTTGCGCGCGCCTGCTAGCCTGGCCCCTGTGGTGGGGACTTAGGCGCGCGCGAGTGCCTCAGCGCGCCGGCGCCGGCGGTTTTCGGGCGCGCGCCGCTAGCCCGCCCTTGCAGTGGGGACTTAGCCGCGCGCGACTGCCTCAGCGCTCCAGCGATTTCGCCCGCGCCTGGGCATATCCCAGCGCGGGCCCCCTTTCCATTTCTTAGCTTCCTTCTCATCACTTCTGTTCGACTCTCGACTTCTCCTGACAGTAGTGGTGATCATCTCATAGGTTATAAGCCCATCGAGCTACCGCTGGCATGGACACGTCGTCAACCCTCGCGACGAGCGCCACCCCGACAATTCCCGCCGAACAGCTTGCCGCACTTACATCGCTGCTGTCGGGACTCACCGCTGCCGCTTCCGGCACTACCGCACCCGCCACGACATCCGGCTCCAATCGCAATGCCTTCCCGAAGCATGCGCGGTTGGACGGGCCGAAGACGTTCGCGAACTGGACACGCCAGCTTCGCCTGTGCCTAGCGGACGACATCCGCTCCTACGTCCTCGACGGAATCACCCCCGACGATTGGACGCCTTCGCAACGCTCCGCCCGCGACGTCGTGGCACGCGAGATCCTTGCAAACTCAATCGACTCGGCCGAAGTCTCGGCAGTCCTCGACAAGATCCCTACGGCCGACCTCACAGCGCCCAAGATTTACTCGACGCTGAAATCGCGATACGCCCCTGATGACGCCACTCGCACGCTCGAGCTCTTCTCGCGACTCTGGGGCTTCCGACCCATGCCCGGAACGGTTGGCGAATTTGACAGTTGGATCATGGACTTCAAGTCGGTCGCGCAAGAGATCATCGATACGAAAACGACGATCAACGACGTCCTTGCCACACTCCTCCTCGCGATCGCCCACCCGTCACTCGAGAGCTTCAAGGCAACGTTCACCGACGAACAACGCACGCAACGAACTCTCCCTGACATCGATTCAGTGGCCGACCGTATGCGAGTTCAACTCCGGTCAACGAACCTCTCCAACGATCAATCGGCCCTCCTTGCCTCGTCGTCGCCACGTTCTACCCGTACCAAGTGCCTCGCCTGTCGCAGCTCTTCTCACCGCGTCGCACAATGCCCTACAAGGGCCCAGCATCCACCGCCAGGCCCGTGTCGCTCCTGCAAGAAGAAGGACCACTGGTCTTTCGACTGCAAAAAGGCTCTTGAGGACGGGAAAACGCCCGACACCTCTGATGCGCAACACCATGTCGGATGTCTCGCCACCGGTCTTCTCGCACATCGTCGTCAGCTTCGCAACAACTCCTTCGTCGTCGACTCGGGTGCCACTTCGCACATGGTCTCGGACAAGTCGCTGTTCACGGCCTATCGCCACATCGCTCCTACGAAGATTGGTGGTATTGCAGGGGGCATCAACGCCGTCGGAACGGGAAACATCGCCTTTGTTGCCGCCTCCGGTCACCCGATCACGCTTACCGGCGTGCTGCACACCCCGGGCCTGTCTGTCAACCTCCTCTCGGTCTCTCGACTTTGCGACACCGACGATGTCCGTGTCGCCTTCACGAAGCACGGCATCCATATCGACAAGAACGGCAATGCTATCGCTGAAGGCGCAAGACTCGAGGAAGGGCTCTACTTGCTGGACGCTGATCATTCCAAATGTCAGCATCTCGCTCTCCTCTCTCGCTCACAGTCTTCCGTGCCCCTGCTGACCCTTCACCGCTGCCTCGGCCATCTCGCACCGTCGTCCATACAGAAGATGGTTGCCGCTGGTTTGCTGGAAGGTCTCGGGGCCGGATATAGTGACGAAGAGGTAGAGAAGTTTGTCTGCAATGCTTGCCTCAGTGCAAAGGGCCATCGTCTTCCTTTTCCCGATTCGGACTCGCACTCCTCAGAGAGACTCGGCCTCGTACACAGCGATGTGCTTTCCTTTCCCGAGTCGTCCTTGACTGGCAAGCGTTACCTGGTCACGTTTCTTGACGACTTCTCGCGCAAACTGTGGGCATACGCGATCGGACACAAAAGCGAAGTCTTTGGCGTGTTCAAGACATGGCTTGCCGAGGTCGAACTCGAGACGGGTGCAAAACTGAAGGTCCTCCGAACCGACAATGGTGGCGAATACTGTTCGAGAGCGTTCACGGAATTCTGTAAGGCACGCGGCACACGTCGACAATACTCTATCCCTCGAACGCCTCAACAGAACGGTCGTGCCGAACGAGTCAATCGTTCTATCGTCGAAGGTGTCCTTGCCCTCCTTGCAGACGCCCACTTACCCAAATCATTCTGGGAGGAGGCAGCAGCTTATTTCGTCTACTGCAAGAACCTGTGCGAACACTCGGCCCTGGACAAGGCAACACCGAACTTCGCCTGGCAGGGCGACCGCACCAACGCCTCGGCGCTTCACCCGTTCGGCTGCACGGCTTGGCTCACAGTCGCGCCTGAACTTCGCTCGAAACTCGACCCGAAAGCGGTTCGCGTTCTCTTCACCGGCTATGACCTGGCTTCTAAAGCCTTCCGTTTCTACGACACGACGACCAAGAAGATCAGTTTGGGCAGAAATGCCAGGTTCCTCGACAACGAATTTCCCGGGTTACGTAGCGACTCCACCGAGCAAGACGCCGACACGCACTTCGCCAGCGCTTGCCCGACCACCGAATCCCAAGCCGTTGTCAAGACATGGACCCCACTAGTAAGGTCGGCGCACATGGACGTCTCATCCTCTCTTGATGACTCTGCCATGAGCGCCGTTGACGTGGCCCCAGGGTACACTGGCGGAACCTTACTTAATTCCACAGATGCCGAATCGTCCTCGTCACCGTCTCCTGAGCCGTCCTCGTCACCGTCGCCCGCAACCCCCTTGTCACCGTCGCCTGCGCTGTCACCGTCGTTGGCTGCGTCATCGTCACCCTCGGCCTTACCGACCGACTCTGACTACTCCGCCGACCCTCTGGACCTCATCGGCTCACAGACCCCGACTCGCCTCGGCCCACCGGACGTGCACCGCCCAGACTTCAGCACGTACCGTGAGCCCGCATCGGCTGAGGAGTCGCCCGACGAACTCGACATCATTGGGCGCCACTCGCGCGATGAATCGCCGGACGAAATCGATTTCCTCACCCAACACCACCGCGCCTTCATCGCCACCGACGACGACAACTCTGACACAGAAGCCATTCAACCAGTCAAGTCCTATGAAGGAACAATATACCACTGCACCAAAAGGCGAGGCACCTCTACTTCAGTGAGCGCATATTGTCCTAGAAGTGAGATGGAGCGAAGTTCAACACCCCCCTGTGCGCGAAGCTGAAGAGCTTGTGGCAGTGGGTGCGGCTTGTGAGGCAACTGGGCATGTTGATCAGGTCGCTTGGGCAAGTGCAGCTTGGGCACTGTGAGCACTGTCGATGCGCCAGGGTGCTTGGCACGCCGCTGGGCAAGTGCGGGGGCCGGGACGCTGAGTGTATGCGCGCAAAATTGCCTGACCCCAGGGGGGATTGAACTCATGACCTGCTGGTTGCTCTGGGCTCATAACCTATGAAGGAACAATATACCACTGCACCAAAAGGCGAGGCACCTCTACTTCAGTGAGCGCATATTGTCCTAGAAGTGAGATGGAGCGAAGTTCAACAAGTCCATCACCAGCGACCCACAGACATGGCGCGAGGCAATGTCGAGTGACAAGCGCGAAGTGTGGGCCAAGGCCGCTACCGACGAGTTCAATTCCATGCGCGACGACTTCAAGGTCTTCACCATCGAGGACCGATCCACGGTACCAGCGGGTGCGACCATCGTCACATCCAAGTTCGTCTGGAAAACGAAACGGAATGCACTCGGCGAAGTCACCGGCCACAAGGCACGGCTCGTGGCGCAGGGAAATCGGCAACGCGACGGCATCGACTTCAACGAAACCTTCGCACCAGTCGCACGCTTCTCCTCGATACGCTCACTCCTCGCGCTGGCGGCCGCCAACGGCTTGCACGTGCACCAGGCGGACATCGACAAAGCCTATCTGCATGGCGACCTTGACCATGACATCTGGATGACGACACCGCGCGGCTTCGACCTTCCCACCGACAAGGTGCTTCGTCTGCGACGCTCCATCTACGGACTCAAACAGGCTGGCCGAATCTGGAATCGACACATCGACGCATCGCTTCGAGATCTCGGCTATACGGCGACGGGCACCGACCACTGCGTGTACTCTCGGATCGACGATCGGCGACGCCCACACTACATCGCGCTGTACGTCGACGACCTCCTGATGATCAGCCCCGACTTGGCCGAAATTGAACGTGTCATCTCGGGCCTCGAACAACGCTACGGCGTCAAGCGCCTCGGCCCGGCAGAGTACATCCTCGGCATCCAGATCAGGCGACTCGAAGACGGTTCTATTGCCCTGTCCCAGGAACGGTACATCATGGACGTGCTTGCTCGGTTCCACTTCGACACCACGACTCGCGGCACTACAGTCCCGATGACCCCCGGCCTTTCGCTCACCGCCATCCCGGGTCAAGGCACCGAACGGATCAGGTCATGGTATCTGCAGGCTATCGGCTCGCTCCTCTACATTTCGCTCGGCACCCGCCCCGACATCGCCTTCGCCGTGTCCTACCTGGCCCGCTTCGCCAACAACCCTGGACGTCGTCACTGGATCGCGGTCAAGCACATCCTCCGCTATCTCCGGGCCACATATCGCGACGAACTGGTTTATGCTTGCGGCGAGACACGCATCACGGGCGTGGTTGGCTACTCCGACGCGAACTGGGGGGCCTGCGTCGATACGTCGGTGTCCACTATGGGCTACGTCTTCTACATTGCCGGATCCGCCGTGTCTTGGTCGTCCAAGCTATGAGATGATCACCACTACTGTCAGGAGAAGTCGAGAGTCGAACAGAAGTGATATATTTCAGCGTACCTATGAGATGATCACCACTACTGTCAGGAGAAGTCGAGAGTCGAACAGAAGTGATGAGAAGGAAGCTAAGAAATGGAAAGGTGGCCCGCGCTGGGATATGCCCAGGCGCGGGCGAAATCGCTGGAGCGCTGAGGCAGTCGCGCGCGGCTAAGTCCCCACTGCAAGGGCGGGCTAGCGGCGCGCGCCCGAAAACCGCCGGCGCCGGCGCGCTGAGGCACTCGCGCGCGCCTAAGTCCCCACCACAGGGGCCAGGCTAGCAGGCGCGCGCAACGACCGAGGCGCCCCTGTCGAGCTGAGAGTGGACTCTTCACACCCCCCCCCACGCGAATGCGAGGCAGATCCAAGCCGTGGGTGTCGAGTGCGAAGGCCTAGTGCGTAGCAGTGTGTCGAGAAAATCTTTGGGCCAAGAGCCTTTGTGAAGATGTCGGCCACCATGTTGCTGGTTCCCACATGCGAGAGTGAGATATCGCCCCGATTCACCATGTCCCGAACAAAGTGCTCGCGCAAGCGTATGTGTCGAGTGCCGGAGACGCGGACAGGGTCGTGGGCAACTGCGGCAGCGGCTTCATTGTCAGTAAAAATGTGAGCCGGTGCAACAGGTTGGACATGGAGCTCCTCGAGCAGCTGACTGAGGTAGATCCCTTCCTTGCCAGCATGCGAGAGGGCGAGGTATTCAGCGTCGGTGGTAGAATCGGCAACTCGAGATTGACGCTTGTGTGAAGAGTCCACTCTCAGCTCGACAGGGGCGCCTCGGTCGTTGCGCGCGCCTGCTAGCCTGGCCCCTGTGGTGGGGACTTAGGCGCGCGCGAGTGCCTCAGCGCGCCGGCGCCGGCGGTTTTCGGGCGCGCGCCGCTAGCCCGCCCTTGCAGTGGGGACTTAGCCGCGCGCGACTGCCTCAGCGCTCCAGCGATTTCGCCCGCGCCTGGGCATATCCCAGCGCGGGCCCCCTTTCCATTTCTTAGCTTCCTTCTCATCACTTCTGTTCGACTCTCGACTTCTCCTGACAGTAGTGGTGATCATCTCATAGGTACGCTGAAATAGATCACTTCTGTTCGACTCTCGACTTCTCCTGACAGTAGTGGTGATCATCTCATACGCCTTTGTTGCCGCCTCCGGTCACCCGATCACGCTTACCGGCGTGCTGCACACCCCGGGCCTGTCTGTCAACCTCCTCTCGGTCTCTCGACTTTGCGACACCGACGATGTCCGTGTCGCCTTCACGAAGCACGGCATCCATATCGACAAGAACGGCAATGCTATCGCTGAAGGCGCAAGACTCGAGGAAGGGCTCTACTTGCTGGACGCTGATCATTCCAAATGTCAGCATCTCGCTCTCCTCTCTCGCTCACAGTCTTCCGTGCCCCTGCTGACCCTTCACCGCTGCCTCGGCCATCTCGCACCGTCGTCCATACAGAAGATGGTTGCCGCTGGTTTGCTGGAAGGTCTCGGGGCCGGATATAGTGACGAAGAGGTAGAGAAGTTTGTCTGCAATGCTTGCCTCAGTGCAAAGGGCCATCGTCTTCCTTTTCCCGATTCGGACTCGCACTCCTCAGAGAGACTCGGCCTCGTACACAGCGATGTGCTTTCCTTTCCCGAGTCGTCCTTGACTGGCAAGCGTTACCTGGTCACGTTTCTTGACGACTTCTCGCGCAAACTGTGGGCATACGCGATCGGACACAAAAGCGAAGTCTTTGGCGTGTTCAAGACATGGCTTGCCGAGGTCGAACTCGAGACGGGTGCAAAACTGAAGGTCCTCCGAACCGACAATGGTGGCGAATACTGTTCGAGAGCGTTCACGGAATTCTGTAAGGCACGCGGCACACGTCGACAATACTCTATCCCTCGAACGCCTCAACAGAACGGTCGTGCCGAACGAGTCAATCGTTCTATCGTCGAAGGTGTCCTTGCCCTCCTTGCAGACGCCCACTTACCCAAATCATTCTGGGAGGAGGCAGCAGCTTATTTCGTCTACTGCAAGAACCTGTGCGAACACTCGGCCCTGGACAAGGCAACACCGAACTTCGCCTGGCAGGGCGACCGCACCAACGCCTCGGCGCTTCACCCGTTCGGCTGCACGGCTTGGCTCACAGTCGCGCCTGAACTTCGCTCGAAACTCGACCCGAAAGCGGTTCGCGTTCTCTTCACCGGCTATGACCTGGCTTCTAAAGCCTTCCGTTTCTACGACACGACGACCAAGAAGATCAGTTTGGGCAGAAATGCCAGGTTCCTCGACAACGAATTTCCCGGGTTACGTAGCGACTCCACCGAGCAAGACGCCGACACGCACTTCGCCAGCGCTTGCCCGACCACCGAATCCCAAGCCGTTGTCAAGACATGGACCCCACTAGTAAGGTCGGCGCACATGGACGTCTCATCCTCTCTTGATGACTCTGCCATGAGCGCCGTTGACGTGGCCCCAGGGTACACTGGCGGAACCTTACTTAATTCCACAGATGCCGAATCGTCCTCGTCACCGTCTCCTGAGCCGTCCTCGTCACCGTCGCCCGCAACCCCCTTGTCACCGTCGCCTGCGCTGTCACCGTCGTTGGCTGCGTCATCGTCACCCTCGGCCTTACCGACCGACTCTGACTACTCCGCCGACCCTCTGGACCTCATCGGCTCACAGACCCCGACTCGCCTCGGCCCACCGGACGTGCACCGCCCAGACTTCAGCACGTACCGTGAGCCCGCATCGGCTGAGGAGTCGCCCGACGAACTCGACATCATTGGGCGCCACTCGCGCGATGAATCGCCGGACGAAATCGATTTCCTCACCCAACACCACCGCGCCTTCATCGCCACCTATTCGATCAACTCTACTACGTCAGCGATGTAGTTATAGCCAAGAGTGATAAATGCATTTCAACATACCTATTCGATCAACTCTACTACGTCAGCGATGTAGTTATAGCCAAGAGTGATGAATAGGAAGCTAACAATAAGAGACCCGCGCGCCCCAAGTCCACAGCCAGCGAGCCTGGGGCTGAGCCAATGGCCCAGGCTCGCTCCGCGCGCCTAAGTCCCAGGCTCGCTTCGCGCGCCTAAGTCCTGGGCCGGGGCGCCCGGCTCACTCCGCGCGCCTAAGTCCGCGCCCGGTTCGCTCCGCGCGCCTAAGTCCTGAGCCGAGCGGAGAGTGGATTCCTCACACCCCCCCCCACGCGAACGCGAGGTAGACTTGAGCCGTGGATGTCGCGTCCGGAGGCCTAGAGCATAGCAATGTGTACCAAAAATCTTGGGGCCTAGCGCTTTGGTGAATACGTCCGCAACCATGTCTGCTGTGCCAACGTGTGAGAGAGAGATATCACCTCGATTGACCATGTCACGGACAAAATGCTCGCGGAGGCGAATGTGCCGGGTGCCGGAGGTGCGAACGGGGTCGTGAGCGACGGCGGCCGCGGCCTCGTTGTCGGTGAAGATGTGAGCTGCAGCGATTGGGCAAACGTGGAGCTCGGAGAGGAGTTGGTTAAGGTAGATCGCTTCCTTACCCGCGTGCGACAAGGCCAGGTACTCGGCATCAGTGGTGGAATCCGCTACCCGAGTCTGACGCTTCGACGACCAAGAGACAGCGGCGCCTGCCAAGTAAAATACGTAGCCCATCGTTGAAATGGATGTGTCGACGCAGGCGCCCCAGTTCGCATCAGAATAACCAACCACACCCGTGACTTTTGCTGGGCCGCGGGCATAGAGAAGCTCATCGCGGTACGTGGCGCGAAGGTAGCGAAGGACGTGTTTGACGGCAATCCAATGGCGGCGGCCGGGGTTGTTGGCGAACCGGGACAGGTACGAGACGGCGAAGGCAATGTCGGGTCGAGTGCCAAGGGAGATGTAGAGGAGGGAGCCGATGGCCTGTAGGTACCACGAACGAATGCGCTCCGTTCCCTGACCCGGAATTGCCGTGAGCGAGAGGCCGGGCGTCATCGGCACCGTAGTGCCGCGTGTCGTGGTGTCGAAGTGGAAACGGGCCAGCACGTCCATGATGTAGCGCTCCTGGGATAGAGCAATGGAACCGTCGTCCAGGCGGCGTATTTGGATTCCGAGGATGTACTCCGCGGGGCCGAGTCGTTTGACGCCGTACCGCTGTTCAAGGCCGGAGATGACACGTTCGATCTCGTCGAGGGCTGGACTGACAATGAGGAGGTCGTCGACATACAAGGCGATATAGTGAGGCCGCTGCTGATCGTCAATGCGAGAGTAAATGCAGTGATCAGTGCCTGTTGCCTTGTACCCCAGATTCCTGAGTGATGTGTCAATGTGACGATTCCAGATGCGACCGGCCTGCTTGAGGCCGTAGATTGAGCGTCGCAGCCGGAGAACCTTATCGCTCGGGAAGTCGAAACCGCGTGGTGTCGTCATCCAGATATCATGATCGAGCTCGCCGTGGAGGTAAGCCTTGTCGATGTCGGCCTGATGAACGTGGTAGCCATTGGCAGCGGCAAGAGCCAGGAGGCAGCGAATGGAGGAGAAACGGGCGACGGGTGCGAAGGTTTCTGAGAAGTCGATGCCGTCGCGCTGTCGGTTACCCTGCGCTACAAGACGTGCCTTCCGCCCCGTGACTTCACCGCTTGCGTTGCGCTTGGTCTTCCAGACGAATTTGGAGGTGACGATGGTGGCGCCCGGCGGTACAGATGAGCGAGGCTCGATGGTGAACACCTTGAAGTCGTCGCGCATGGCGGTGAACTCGGCGGCGGCGGCCTCAGCCCAGATGTTGTGCTCGTCGCTGGACATTGCTTCGCGCCAGGTCTGGGGGTCGCTAGTGATCGATTTGACGGGCTCGATGGCGTCGAGGGTGGGGTCGTCGTCGTCTGTGGCGATGAAGGCGCGGTGGTGTTGGGTGAGGAAATCGATTTCATCCGGCGATTCATCGCGCGAGTGACGCCCAATGATGTCGAGTTCGTCGGGCGACTCCTCAGCCGATGCGGGCTCACGGTACGTGCTGAAGTCTGGGCGGTGCACGTCCGGTGGGCCAAGGCGAGTCGGGGTCTGTGAGCCGATGAGGTCCAGAGGGTCGGCGGAGTAGTCAGAGTCGGTCGGTGAGACCGAGGGTGACGATGACGCTGCCAACGACGGTGACAGCGCAGGCGACGGTGACAAAGGGTTTGTGGGCGACGGTGACGAGGACGGCTCAGGAGACGGTGACGAGGACGATTCGGTATCTGTGGAATTAAGTAAGGTTCCGCCAGTGTACCCTGGGGCCACGTCAACGGCGCTCATGGCAGAATCATCAAGGGAGGATGAGACGTCCATGTGCGCCGACCTTACTAGTGGGGTCCTCGTCTTGACGGCAGGGGCGGGCGTGTCGGCGGGAACGACGAACTGACGGTCGGTGTCGTCTGCATCGACGGGCGTGGTGACTGGCAGGCCGGGGAAGTCGTCGTCGAGGAAGGTGGCATTGCGACCAAGTACAATCTTGTTGATGGAATGGTCAAAGAAACGGAAAGCTTTGGAGGCGAGGTCGTAACCTGTGAAGATCACGCGCGCGGCCTTGGGGTCGAGCTTGCTGCGAAGGTCCGGGGCGACCGTGAGCCAGGCTGTGCAGCCGAACGGGTGGAGGGCGGTGGCGGTGGTGCGTTGGCCGTTCCAAACGGATTCTGGAGTCTGTTTGGCCAAAGCTGAGTGTGAGCACCTGTTTTTGCAATAAACGAAATACGCAGCCGCTTCATCCCAAAAGGTGGCCGGCAGACGGGCGTCCGCAAGGAGAGCGAGGACGCCCTCGACGATGGAGAGGTTGACACGTTCGGCGCGACCGTTTTGTTGAGGCGTGTAAGGGATAGAGTATTGACGACGAATGCCCTTGGATTTGCAGAACTCCGTGAATGCGTTTGATCGGTACTCCCCGCCATTGTCGGTTCGAAGGATCCTCAACCGCGCGTTCGTCTCTAACTCCACTTCGGCGAGCCAAGTCTGGAAGGTCGGGAAAACATCGCTTTTGTGATCGATCGCATATGCCCAGAGTTTGCGAGAGTGGTCGTCTAGAAACGTGACAAGGTAGCGCTTCCCGGTCAAGGACGGAGTGGGGAACGACAGGACGTCGCTGTGCACGAGGCCAAGTCTCTCGGCGGAATGCGACTCAGAGTCGGGAAAGGGAAGGCGGTGACCTTTGGAACCAAGGCAAGCATTGCAAACAAACTCCTCTACGTCTTTGTCACTGTACCCGGCCCCAAACCCGTCCAGCAAACCTGCAGCAATCATCTTCTGTATAGAGGATGGGGCAAGATGGCCGAGGCAGCGGTGTAGGGTAAGCAGGGGCACGGGAGACTCAGAGCGTGAGAGGAAGGCAAGATGCTGACACTTGGTGTGATCCGCGTCCAAAAGGTAAAGACCGTCGTTGACCCTGGTACCGTGAGCAATGGCCCGGCCGTCCTTGGCGATGTCGATGCCGTCGCTGGTGAAGGCGAGACGAACGCGGTCGGTGTCGCAGAGGCGAGAGACAGAGAGGAGGTTGACGTGTAGGCCAGGCGTGTGAAGAACACCACGGAGCGTGATCGGGTGTCCAGTCTTGGCGACGAATGCCACGTCCCCCATGCCGATAGCCGTGATGCCGCCCGCGATGCCGCCGATCTTGGTGTGTGCCGTCTGACGATAAGTCGTGAATAGAGATCGGTCGGCGACCATGTGTGTCGTGGCACCCGAATCGACTACAAAGGCGTCAGTTGGGAGTTGGCGACGAGCGAAGAGGCAGGAGGCGAAATAGCCGACGTTCGGTTGCGAGGCCGCGGAGGAAGACGTGTCGTCCTGGGTGTCGTCGCTGCTACGTGCCTGTTCACCCCGGTTCTTGCAGTCGAGTGCCCAGTGACCTTTCTTGTGGCATCGGCGGCAGGGGCCGGTGGGCGGGTGCTTCGCACGTGAAGTGCAGTCGCGCAGGCGGTGACCGGGAGCGCGGCAGGCGGGGCAGGGGGAGCTGGTGGCAAGCATGGCCGAATGCGAGGTCGAGAGTCCTGCCGAACGAAGCTGGATGCGAATGCGGTCCGTAAGCGTCGTGAGTTCGGGAAGGTCGCGTCGGTTTCGCTGCTCGTCCGTGAACGTGAGTCGGAAGCTGTCGAGGCAAGACGGGACCATGGCGAGCACGTGGGTGGCGAGCACGTCGTTGAGCGATGTTTTGGCGTCGCGTATTTCCTGAGCAATCGACATGTACTCGCGTAGCCAAGTGTCGTAGGCCTCGACGGAGGCAGGCATCTTCCTGAAGTCCCAAAGGCGAGCGAACAACTCGAGAGTGCGTGTAGCGTCGTCCGGTGCAAAACGAGCCTTGAGAGCGGCAAAGATGCGCGGTGCCGACAGGTCGTCGCTGGGGATGGCGTCGAGGGTGGCCGATACGTCGGCGGAGTCGATAGAGCCAACGATGATTTCCCGGGCGGCGTCGTCACGTGCGGCAAGCTGGTCGGCGGTCCAGGTCGGGGGAACGACACCGTCGAGAACGTAACCACGAACCTGGTTCGGGAGTGCAAGACGGAGTTGACGCAACCAGTTGGTGAACGACTTGGGGCCGTCCAGACGAGCGTGCTTGGGAAACACGACCTTGGATGCGGTGGCGGCGTTCCCCGGCACGACGGTGACGGCCGGGGGTGCGGCGGCTGCGGCGGCGGCGGGTTGCGAGGCCTGCAGAGCGGCAAGCTGGGCCTGTAGAGTGGCGATTTGTTCGCCGATCGAAGATTCAGGGGAGCTGGGATCCCTGGGGGCCAAAGGCGAGGCGGGAGAGCTGTCCATGATGTGATGGTGCGATGGACGTGTGCGGCTCGAGTGGCTGGGCTCGAGCGAAAAAGCCTCAAGCGGCGGGGCTGGTAGCTCGTGGGCTTATAACCTATTCGATCAACTCTACTACGTCAGCGATGTAGTTATAGCCAAGAGTGATAAATGCATTTCAACATACCTATTCGATCAACTCTACTACGTCAGCGATGTAGTTATAGCCAAGAGTGATGAATAGGAAGCTAACAATAAGAGACCCGCGCGCCCCAAGTCCACAGCCAGCGAGCCTGGGGCTGAGCCAATGGCCCAGGCTCGCTCCGCGCGCCTAAGTCCCAGGCTCGCTTCGCGCGCCTAAGTCCTGGGCCGGGGCGCCCGGCTCACTCCGCGCGCCTAAGTCCGCGCCCGGTTCGCTCCGCGCGCCTAAGTCCTGAGCCGAGCGGAGAGTGGATTCCTCACACCACCGACGACGACAACTCTGACACAGAAGCCATTCAACCAGTCAAGTCCATCACCAGCGACCCACAGACATGGCGCGAGGCAATGTCGAGTGACAAGCGCGAAGTGTGGGCCAAGGCCGCTACCGACGAGTTCAATTCCATGCGCGACGACTTCAAGGTCTTCACCATCGAGGACCGATCCACGGTACCAGCGGGTGCGACCATCGTCACATCCAAGTTCGTCTGGAAAACGAAACGGAATGCACTCGGCGAAGTCACCGGCCACAAGGCACGGCTCGTGGCGCAGGGAAATCGGCAACGCGACGGCATCGACTTCAACGAAACCTTCGCACCAGTCGCACGCTTCTCCTCGATACGCTCACTCCTCGCGCTGGCGGCCGCCAACGGCTTGCACGTGCACCAGGCGGACATCGACAAAGCCTATCTGCATGGCGACCTTGACCATGACATCTGGATGACGACACCGCGCGGCTTCGACCTTCCCACCGACAAGGTGCTTCGTCTGCGACGCTCCATCTACGGACTCAAACAGGCTGGCCGAATCTGGAATCGACACATCGACGCATCGCTTCGAGATCTCGGCTATACGGCGACGGGCACCGACCACTGCGTGTACTCTCGGATCGACGATCGGCGACGCCCACACTACATCGCGCTGTACGTCGACGACCTCCTGATGATCAGCCCCGACTTGGCCGAAATTGAACGTGTCATCTCGGGCCTCGAACAACGCTACGGCGTCAAGCGCCTCGGCCCGGCAGAGTACATCCTCGGCATCCAGATCAGGCGACTCGAAGACGGTTCTATTGCCCTGTCCCAGGAACGGTACATCATGGACGTGCTTGCTCGGTTCCACTTCGACACCACGACTCGCGGCACTACAGTCCCGATGACCCCCGGCCTTTCGCTCACCGCCATCCCGGGTCAAGGCACCGAACGGATCAGGTCATGGTATCTGCAGGCTATCGGCTCGCTCCTCTACATTTCGCTCGGCACCCGCCCCGACATCGCCTTCGCCGTGTCCTACCTGGCCCGCTTCGCCAACAACCCTGGACGTCGTCACTGGATCGCGGTCAAGCACATCCTCCGCTATCTCCGGGCCACATATCGCGACGAACTGGTTTATGCTTGCGGCGAGACACGCATCACGGGCGTGGTTGGCTACTCCGACGCGAACTGGGGGGCCTGCGTCGATACGTCGGTGTCCACTATGGGCTACGTCTTCTACATTGCCGGATCCGCCGTGTCTTGGTCGTCCAAGCTATGAGATGATCACCACTACTGTCAGGAGAAGTCGAGAGTCGAACAGAAGTGATCTATTTCAGCGTACCTATGAGATGATCACCACTACTGTCAGGAGAAGTCGAGAGTCGAACAGAAGTGATGAGAAGGAAGCTAAGAAATGGAAAGGGGGGCCCGCGCTGGGATATGCCCAGGCGCGGGCGAAATCGCTGGAGCGCTGAGGCAGTCGCGCGCGGCTAAGTCCCCACTGCAAGGGCGGGCTAGCGGCGCGCGCCCGAAAACCGCCGGCGCCGGCGCGCTGAGGCACTCGCGCGCGCCTAAGTCCCCACCACAGGGGCCAGGCTAGCAGGCGCGCGCAACGACCGAGGCGCCCCTGTCGAGCTGAGAGTGGACTCTTCACACCCCCCCCACGCGAATGCGAGGCAGATCCAAGCCGTGGGTGTCGAGTGCGAAGGCCTAGTGCGTAGCAGTGTGTCGAGAAAATCTTTGGGCCAAGAGCCTTTGTGAAGATGTCGGCCACCATGTTGCTGGTTCCCACATGCGAGAGTGAGATATCGCCCCGATTCACCATGTCCCGAACAAAGTGCTCGCGCAAGCGTATGTGTCGAGTGCCGGAGACGCGGACAGGGTCGTGGGCAACTGCGGCAGCGGCTTCATTGTCAGTAAAAATGTGAGCCGGTGCAACAGGTTGGACATGGAGCTCCTCGAGCAGCTGACTGAGGTAGATCCCTTCCTTGCCAGCATGCGAGAGGGCGAGGTATTCAGCGTCGGTGGTAGAATCGGCAACTCGAGATTGACGCTTGGACGACCAAGACACGGCGGATCCGGCAATGTAGAAGACGTAGCCCATAGTGGACACCGACGTATCGACGCAGGCCCCCCAGTTCGCGTCGGAGTAGCCAACCACGCCCGTGATGCGTGTCTCGCCGCAAGCATAAACCAGTTCGTCGCGATATGTGGCCCGGAGATAGCGGAGGATGTGCTTGACCGCGATCCAGTGACGACGTCCAGGGTTGTTGGCGAAGCGGGCCAGGTAGGACACGGCGAAGGCGATGTCGGGGCGGGTGCCGAGCGAAATGTAGAGGAGCGAGCCGATAGCCTGCAGATACCATGACCTGATCCGTTCGGTGCCTTGACCCGGGATGGCGGTGAGCGAAAGTCCGGGGGTCATCGGGACTGTAGTGCCGCGAGTCGTGGTGTCGAAGTGGAACCGAGCAAGCACGTCCATGATGTACCGTTCCTGGGACAGGGCAATAGAACCGTCTTCGAGTCGCCTGATCTGGATGCCGAGGATGTACTCTGCCGGGCCGAGGCGCTTGACGCCGTAGCGTTGTTCGAGGCCCGAGATGACACGTTCAATTTCGGCCAAGTCGGGGCTGATCATCAGGAGGTCGTCGACGTACAGCGCGATGTAGTGTGGGCGTCGCCGATCGTCGATCCGAGAGTACACGCAGTGGTCGGTGCCCGTCGCCGTATAGCCGAGATCTCGAAGCGATGCGTCGATGTGTCGATTCCAGATTCGGCCAGCCTGTTTGAGTCCGTAGATGGAGCGTCGCAGACGAAGCACCTTGTCGGTGGGAAGGTCGAAGCCGCGCGGTGTCGTCATCCAGATGTCATGGTCAAGGTCGCCATGCAGATAGGCTTTGTCGATGTCCGCCTGGTGCACGTGCAAGCCGTTGGCGGCCGCCAGCGCGAGGAGTGAGCGTATCGAGGAGAAGCGTGCGACTGGTGCGAAGGTTTCGTTGAAGTCGATGCCGTCGCGTTGCCGATTTCCCTGCGCCACGAGCCGTGCCTTGTGGCCGGTGACTTCGCCGAGTGCATTCCGTTTCGTTTTCCAGACGAACTTGGATGTGACGATGGTCGCACCCGCTGGTACCGTGGATCGGTCCTCGATGGTGAAGACCTTGAAGTCGTCGCGCATGGAATTGAACTCGTCGGTAGCGGCCTTGGCCCACACTTCGCGCTTGTCACTCGACATTGCCTCGCGCCATGTCTGTGGGTCGCTGGTGATGGACTTGACTGGTTGAATGGCTTCTGTGTCAGAGTTGTCGTCGTCGGTGGTGTGAGGAATCCACTCTCCGCTCGGCTCAGGACTTAGGCGCGCGGAGCGAACCGGGCGCGGACTTAGGCGCGCGGAGTGAGCCGGGCGCCCCGGCCCAGGACTTAGGCGCGCGAAGCGAGCCTGGGACTTAGGCGCGCGGAGCGAGCCTGGGCCATTGGCTCAGCCCCAGGCTCGCTGGCTGTGGACTTGGGGCGCGCGGGTCTCTTATTGTTAGCTTCCTATTCATCACTCTTGGCTATAACTACATCGCTGACGTAGTAGAGTTGATCGAATAGGTATGTTGAAATGCATTTATCACTCTTGGCTATAACTACATCGCTGACGTAGTAGAGTTGATCGAATAGGTTATAAGCCCACGAGCTACCAGCCCCGCCGCTTGAGGCTTTTTCGCTCGAGCCCAGCCACTCGAGCCGCACACGTCCATCGCACCATCACATCATGGACAGCTCTCCCGCCTCGCCTTTGGCCCCCAGGGATCCCAGCTCCCCTGAATCTTCGATCGGCGAACAAATCGCCACTCTACAGGCCCAGCTTGCCGCTCTGCAGGCCTCGCAACCCGCCGCCGCCGCAGCCGCCGCACCCCCGGCCGTCACCGTCGTGCCGGGGAACGCCGCCACCGCATCCAAGGTCGTGTTTCCCAAGCACGCTCGTCTGGACGGCCCCAAGTCGTTCACCAACTGGTTGCGTCAACTCCGTCTTGCACTCCCGAACCAGGTTCGTGGTTACGTTCTCGACGGTGTCGTTCCCCCGACCTGGACCGCCGACCAGCTTGCCGCACGTGACGACGCCGCCCGGGAAATCATCGTTGGCTCTATCGACTCCGCCGACGTATCGGCCACCCTCGACGCCATCCCCAGCGACGACCTGTCGGCACCGCGCATCTTTGCCGCTCTCAAGGCTCGTTTTGCACCGGACGACGCTACACGCACTCTCGAGTTGTTCGCTCGCCTTTGGGACTTCAGGAAGATGCCTGCCTCCGTCGAGGCCTACGACACTTGGCTACGCGAGTACATGTCGATTGCTCAGGAAATACGCGACGCCAAAACATCGCTCAACGACGTGCTCGCCACCCACGTGCTCGCCATGGTCCCGTCTTGCCTCGACAGCTTCCGACTCACGTTCACGGACGAGCAGCGAAACCGACGCGACCTTCCCGAACTCACGACGCTTACGGACCGCATTCGCATCCAGCTTCGTTCGGCAGGACTCTCGACCTCGCATTCGGCCATGCTTGCCACCAGCTCCCCCTGCCCCGCCTGCCGCGCTCCCGGTCACCGCCTGCGCGACTGCACTTCACGTGCGAAGCACCCGCCCACCGGCCCCTGCCGCCGATGCCACAAGAAAGGTCACTGGGCACTCGACTGCAAGAACCGGGGTGAACAGGCACGTAGCAGCGACGACACCCAGGACGACACGTCTTCCTCCGCGGCCTCGCAACCGAACGTCGGCTATTTCGCCTCCTGCCTCTTCGCTCGTCGCCAACTCCCAACTGACGCCTTTGTAGTCGATTCGGGTGCCACGACACACATGGTCGCCGACCGATCTCTATTCACGACTTATCGTCAGACGGCACACACCAAGATCGGCGGCATCGCGGGCGGCATCACGGCTATCGGCATGGGGGACGTGGCATTCGTCGCCAAGACTGGACACCCGATCACGCTCCGTGGTGTTCTTCACACGCCTGGCCTACACGTCAACCTCCTCTCTGTCTCTCGCCTCTGCGACACCGACCGCGTTCGTCTCGCCTTCACCAGCGACGGCATCGACATCGCCAAGGACGGCCGGGCCATTGCTCACGGTACCAGGGTCAACGACGGTCTTTACCTTTTGGACGCGGATCACACCAAGTGTCAGCATCTTGCCTTCCTCTCACGCTCTGAGTCTCCCGTGCCCCTGCTTACCCTACACCGCTGCCTCGGCCATCTTGCCCCATCCTCTATACAGAAGATGATTGCTGCAGGTTTGCTGGACGGGTTTGGGGCCGGGTACAGTGACAAAGACGTAGAGGAGTTTGTTTGCAATGCTTGCCTTGGTTCCAAAGGTCACCGCCTTCCCTTTCCCGACTCTGAGTCGCATTCCGCCGAGAGACTTGGCCTCGTGCACAGCGACGTCCTGTCGTTCCCCACTCCGTCCTTGACCGGGAAGCGCTACCTTGTCACGTTTCTAGACGACCACTCTCGCAAACTCTGGGCATATGCGATCGATCACAAAAGCGATGTTTTCCCGACCTTCCAGACTTGGCTCGCCGAAGTGGAGTTAGAGACGAACGCGCGGTTGAGGATCCTTCGAACCGACAATGGCGGGGAGTACCGATCAAACGCATTCACGGAGTTCTGCAAATCCAAGGGCATTCGTCGTCAATACTCTATCCCTTACACGCCTCAACAAAACGGTCGCGCCGAACGTGTCAACCTCTCCATCGTCGAGGGCGTCCTCGCTCTCCTTGCGGACGCCCGTCTGCCGGCCACCTTTTGGGATGAAGCGGCTGCGTATTTCGTTTATTGCAAAAACAGGTGCTCACACTCAGCTTTGGCCAAACAGACTCCAGAATCCGTTTGGAACGGCCAACGCACCACCGCCACCGCCCTCCACCCGTTCGGCTGCACAGCCTGGCTCACGGTCGCCCCGGACCTTCGCAGCAAGCTCGACCCCAAGGCCGCGCGCGTGATCTTCACAGGTTACGACCTCGCCTCCAAAGCTTTCCGTTTCTTTGACCATTCCATCAACAAGATTGTACTTGGTCGCAATGCCACCTTCCTCGACGACGACTTCCCCGGCCTGCCAGTCACCACGCCCGTCGATGCAGACGACACCGACCGTCAGTTCGTCGTTCCCGCCGACACGCCCGCCCCTGCCGTCAAGACGAGGACCCCACTAGTAAGGTCGGCGCACATGGACGTCTCATCCTCCCTTGATGATTCTGCCATGAGCGCCGTTGACGTGGCCCCAGGGTACACTGGCGGAACCTTACTTAATTCCACAGATACCGAATCGTCCTCGTCACCGTCTCCTGAGCCGTCCTCGTCACCGTCGCCCACAAACCCTTTGTCACCGTCGCCTGCGCTGTCACCGTCGTTGGCAGCGTCATCGTCACCCTCGGTCTCACCGACCGACTCTGACTACTCCGCCGACCCTCTGGACCTCATCGGCTCACAGACCCCGACTCGCCTTGGCCCACCGGACGTGCACCGCCCAGACTTCAGCACGTACCGTGAGCCCGCATCGGCTGAGGAGTCGCCCGACGAACTCGACATCATTGGGCGTCACTCGCGCGATGAATCGCCGGATGAAATCGATTTCCTCACCCAACACCACCGCGCCTTCATCGCCACAGACGACGACGACCCCACCCTCGACGCCATCGAGCCCGTCAAATCGATCACTAGCGACCCCCAGACCTGGCGCGAAGCAATGTCCAGCGACGAGCACAACATCTGGGCTGAGGCCGCCGCCGCCGAGTTCACCGCCATGCGCGACGACTTCAAGGTGTTCACCATCGAGCCTCGCTCATCTGTACCGCCGGGCGCCACCATCGTCACCTCCAAATTCGTCTGGAAGACCAAGCGCAACGCAAGCGGTGAAGTCACGGGGCGGAAGGCACGTCTTGTAGCGCAGGGTAACCGACAGCGCGACGGCATCGACTTCTCAGAAACCTTCGCACCCGTCGCCCGTTTCTCCTCCATTCGCTGCCTCCTGGCTCTTGCCGCTGCCAATGGCTACCACGTTCATCAGGCCGACATCGACAAGGCTTACCTCCACGGCGAGCTCGATCATGATATCTGGATGACGACACCACGCGGTTTCGACTTCCCGAGCGATAAGGTTCTCCGGCTGCGACGCTCAATCTACGGTCTCAAGCAGGCCGGTCGCATCTGGAATCGTCACATTGACACATCACTCAGGAATCTGGGGTACAAGGCAACAGGCACTGATCACTGCATTTACTCTCGCATTGACGATCAGCAGCGGCCTCACTATATCGCCTTGTATGTCGACGACCTCCTCATTGTCAGTCCAGCCCTCGACGAGATCGAACGTGTCATCTCCGGCCTTGAACAGCGGTACGGCGTCAAACGACTCGGCCCCGCGGAGTACATCCTCGGAATCCAAATACGCCGCCTGGACGACGGTTCCATTGCTCTATCCCAGGAGCGCTACATCATGGACGTGCTGGCCCGTTTCCACTTCGACACCACGACACGCGGCACTACGGTGCCGATGACGCCCGGCCTCTCGCTCACGGCAATTCCGGGTCAGGGAACGGAGTGCATTCGTTCGTGGTACCTACAGGCCATCGGCTCCCTCCTCTACATCTCCCTTGGCACTCGACCCGACATTGCCTTCGCCGTCTCGTACCTGTCCCGGTTCGCCAACAACCCCGGCCGCCGCCATTGGATTGCCGTCAAACACGTCCTTCGCTACCTTCGCGCCACGTACCGCGATGAGCTTCTCTATGCCCGCGGCCCAGCAAAAGTCACGGGTGTGGTTGGTTATTCTGATGCGAACTGGGGCGCCTGCGTCGACACATCCATTTCAACGATGGGCTACGTATTTTACTTGGCAGGCGCCGCTGTCTCTTGGTCGTCGAAGCGTCAGACTCGGGTAGCGGATTCCACCACTGATGCCGAGTACCTGGCCTTGTCGCACGCGGGTAAGGAAGCGATCTACCTTAACCAACTCCTCTCCGAGCTCCACGTTTGCCCAATCGCTGCAGCTCACATCTTCACCGACAACGAGGCCGCGGCCGCCGTCGCTCACGACCCCGTTCGCACCTCCGGCACCCGGCACATTCGCCTCCGCGAGCATTTTGTCCGTGACATGGTCAATCGAGGTGATATCTCTCTCTCACACGTTGGCACAGCAGACATGGTTGCGGACGTATTCACCAAAGCGCTAGGCCCCAAGATTTTTGGTACACATTGCTATGCTCTAGGCCTCCGGACGCGACATCCACGGCTCAAGTCTACCTCGCGTTCGCGTGGGGGGGGGTGTGAGGAATCCACTCTCCGCTCGGCTCAGGACTTAGGCGCGCGGAGCGAACCGGGCGCGGACTTAGGCGCGCGGAGTGAGCCGGGCGCCCCGGCCCAGGACTTAGGCGCGCGAAGCGAGCCTGGGACTTAGGCGCGCGGAGCGAGCCTGGGCCATTGGCTCAGCCCCAGGCTCGCTGGCTGTGGACTTGGGGCGCGCGGGTCTCTTATTGTTAGCTTCCTATTCATCACTCTTGGCTATAACTACATCGCTGACGTAGTAGAGTTGATCGAATAGGTATGTTGAAATGCATTCATCACTCTTGGCTATAACTACATCGCTGACGTAGTAGAGTTGATCGAATACTCGGGTATGACCCGCACCTGCTCAAACGCTGCGGCCACGTCGAATTTGGACCGATAGCGCGAGCGAGCCACCTCGTACCGAACACTGGTCATGTCGGGGATGGGCGAAAAATGCTTGGCGGTGTTGCTGTTGCGAGCACGGAGGTCGATGACAAAGCGGGCGGTCTGCAAATTCTTTTTCGGGATGGCAAAGACCGGAGCTGCCGAATCGATCGGACCCAAAACCCAGAAGCGACCACGAGTGTACTTAGTTGAATGTTCCGCCCACTGGCTACGATATTTGTCGGCAAGGGGATAGACCTTGGGCTTGACCTTCTTGTTCGGGTCGATCAAAGGGATTTCATGATTGACGGGTCGGTACGGCGGAAGTCGGTCCATTGGGAGCGAATCTACGAACACATCAGAGTAATTCTCGAGTAAGGCAGCCAATCATGTTCATGCTTCGGACTCAGACAAATCCTCGAGCGCCGGGTCGTCGACGACGTCCAGCAGCGGGTTGTGCGGCTTGAGGCCGGTGGGAAGGTCGAGTCGGCTGGGCGGCGGAAGTCGACCGAGAGGCAACCGCGGAGGATACGCGGCTGCAAGGCTCGCAGCAAGTCCAGTGTACCGGACTATGGTGGCCAACGAGGTCGGACAAAAGAGGAAGGGCAAACGATCCAAGAAATAGCTGACCAGGCTGATGGGAAGGTCGAGTCGGCTGGGCGGCGGCAGTCGACCGAGAGCAACCGAGGAGTGGATTCGGTCGGAAGGCTTCGCAGCAAATCAAGTGTAACGGACTTAATTGCCAGCGAAATGGGTAAAAAGAGGGAGGGTACGAGTCATGATAATGAGTGGACCAAGCTCTAGGGGAAGGGTGGCAAAAGCAAAGGGAGGGAAGTGCTCCGAGCGAAGGAAAGACTGAATCAAATAACTACACCACGAGGTCGCTTCAGGGGTAAAAAGGATTGCCTGCAAGGCACCGGTAAAAACCCCGAAGCCGGGCCTCGGATAACAAAAAGGAAAAGAAACCAAAAGGCAGATCACGCTCCGGGCGGATCGAACCCTCGACCACTGAGTGCGCGCCCGCGCGCCCTCACGACTACGCCATCGCGCCGACAATGCTTGCAACGAACAAACCGGTAGCTGATGTCGACTCCGGCCGCAAACTTGGGAGACTTCCTTCGAGTATTGATGGCAGTGCAGGCTGTGCTCCTGACATCGTACCCAGTCACCCGGAAGATGAAGAACGCTCGTGAACCGAGGTCGAGGGCGCCAGACGAAAAAGGAGCGGTGGCAAAGATAGCACAACGGTCGGACTTATTCTGAGTGCCAAGACGCAAGTGCAGCGGCGCGGTCAAACGAGCCGTTGCGAAGCTCGGGTCGGCTCAAACCACCTCCTGATCCACCAAGTCGACCTCCGACCCAGAGTCAATCAAACAGCGCAAGACCCCTCCCGAAGGCAGCGTCCACGCAATGACGTTGCGGGCGCGCACAATGGCTGGCTCGACAAGTCGGTCGGGTTCGTCGATGTCGATCAGGGGTGCGGCGGACGCCAAGAGAGACACACCCGACGGCAAAGAAATCTGGAAAGAGCTCACCGAAGCAGTCCTTTCCTGTCAGGATGACAGCGTGTACTCGAAGGAAGCCCCCCAAGGCTATGTGCGGGTAGAGTTGACTTGACCAGAGGCTTGCCTCGTTTCACAGCATCGTCGGTGCGATGGCGTAGTCGTGAGGCGTGCGGGCGCGCACTCGGTGGTCGCGGGTTCGAGGCGCCCAGACCGCAGTCTTCTTTCGGTTTGTTTTATCTTTTTGTTAACCGAGGCGCGGCTTCAGGGTTTTTACCGGTGCTCCCGCGAGCAATCCTTTTTACCCCTGAGGCGACCTCTTGGAGTGGTTGATTTGGCTAAGTCCCCTCTGGGCCTGGCACAGTCCCTTCCCTTTAGTTTTACCACCTTTCCCCGGGAGCTTGGTCCGCTCTTCTCTTTTGTTGCCCCTCCTCTTCTTGTCGATCGTTTGGGAATTAAGTCCGTTACACTTGATTTCCTGCGAGCCTTTCGACCGACTCCCCTCCTCGGTTGCTCCCTTGTCGACTGCCGCCGCAACAGCCGACACTTCCAGAAATCCCCCCCCCCGTACCAACGCGTGTAGACGACGTCATCCCCTCCGACGTCGCTTGTCACTTTTTTCAAGTTCGGCATTACCGACAACGATCCGCACCTCTACAACCGCTTCGTCCACCGTCCTGGACGAGCATTCACCCCCACTCTCTGAGCCTGAGTCTTCAGCCTCCTCTCCGTTGCCGAATTCATCACCAACGAACGCGTCGCTGTCCTTCCCGACTTCCTCCACAGAGTCCGACGACGAACACGTTGATCCTTCCTACCCTTTCCGTCAACCGTCTCGTGCCCGCGTTCGTTCGCCCCGCAATCGCCGATGTTTGAGTCACGAGATTGCCATGGCCGACGAGCGCGACGTGTACCGCGCCGCCGCCGATGATCGAGACGCTCCTCTCCGCGACGAAGACCCCGGCCGCGCGAAACCGCCCAAGTCCCCGCCGCCCCAACCCTACCACACCGCCACCGCTCTATCGTCCCTCGAAAGCCGCCTCGAGGAATCCGAAGCCCGTCGTATCGACTCCGAGGCACGTGTTCAGCAATTGGAGAAGTTGGTGGAGGGTTTATTGAAAAGCTCACCTGAACCAGCTGCGGCGCGGGCCGGAGTCTCTGAACCAGCTGTGGCGAGGGCTGGATTCTCTGAACCAGCCGCAGCGCGGGCTGGGGAGTTTACGTTTCCGCCGGTGAGATCGGTCCCCTTGGACGTTCCCCCACACACCATTCTGGAACATTCAGGCAATACCGCTGACCCCCTTGTTCGTTCCCCTGGGGGGGAATCTCACAGCGCACGAAGGGACGGCCCTTCTTCGGCAGTAATCAGCTCTCGTTGGAGAGGGACGTTACCTGACCGGGAAGGGCTATGGACAGGGGATAACCCGGATCGGTTGGTCACTTTCACTACATTTGGGAAGTCGTACTTGTCTCTACTTTGCGACATTTCCACCAGCGACCTTTTTACCACCGACCGCGTCATCCAGCTTGTGGCGACCTTGTTCGTTCGTTCCACTTCTCCCAAGCGCCGTCAGTCTCCGCACGACTGGGCCGTTGATACTATGACGGACGCGCTCCGGGACGAACGACCTCACTGCTGGACGACACTGATGACAGAAGTTGGACGTCGTTGGCCGGATCCTGGCTTTGCCGACCGAGTGTCCCACGATTTCTACGGGTGCCGACAGTCTTCGTCTCGAGCCTACGACCATGTGGGCGAATGGCGTGCCCGCTACCGAGCGTTTATGCACAACGACCCCAGCTTCAGCCTCTCGTCCCTTCAACTCGCCACAACCTTTTATCAATCGTTGAGTGATGTGGCTAAGCGGGAAGTGCGGGCTGGTATGCTGCGGGAATATCGGGATAACTCACTCGTGACTATAGGGAGGTTCGGACGAACTGTCCCGTCCCTCGAGGAGGTTACCGACTGGGCCGCCATCGCCGACGACACCGGCACGGCATCAGTTTCGACCCCGCCGATTCGTACTGCGACGTATGGAGCAATTGCGAAAACGCCACGCACCGCCCCATCCACGCCAAACGACGACGCACGTACCCAGATCCGTCGAGCTCGATGGATGAACCGCGCCGGTAAATGGCAACAGGCCCACCTGTGGAAGGATCGGAACACGTGGTTTTCGCCAGCATCGGGTGGGGTACCCGCCAGCATGGCGTGTTTTAATTGCGGTCAAGGTGGCCATTTCTCACAGCATTGTACAGCGGAGCGACAATCCCCCTCGACCGTCCAAATATCAGCAATTGCCTTCGCCGACATGGACGAGGACGAATGGTCGTCGGCCTCAGGTGACGTTGAGGACCCCCAGGTGCGATTCCCCCTTCCCCTCGAGACTGATTTGACTCGACCGTCGAGTTCCGCATCCGCCTTAGTGACGCACCACTCTTGCCCTCCTGCAGACCTTGTTGGCCGAGTGAAAGACGTTGCCTCTTCTTCTTTTGAAGTTCAGACCTCATCAAGTAGTTCGCATCCAACCGTGCCGGCAAATGATGCAGATCAACATCGTTTCGACGATAGCCTGGCTGACATCGCGATTGACGCGGTGGAAGATGTCTTGTACTACGCTGATGCCGCGTCGCGCTTGTGTCATTATCCGGGGCCGGAAGTGGTGTCGTCTCGCAAGGCGGAAAGGACTGCTTCGGTGAGCTCTTTCCAGATTCTTGTGCCGTCGGGTGTGTCTCTCTTGGCGTCCGCTGCGCCCCTGATCGACATCGACGAACCCGACCGACCTGTCGAGCCCGCCATTGTACGCGCCCGCAACGTCATCGCTTGGACGCTACCTTCTGGAAGGGTTTTGCGATGTTTGATCGACTCTGGATCAGAGGTCGACTTGGTGGATCAGGAGGTGGTGCGAGTCGACCCGAGCTTCGCAACGGCCCGTTTGACTGCACCATTGCACTTGCGCCTCGGCACCCAGGATAAGTCCGACCGATGTGCTGTGTTCGCCACCGCTCCTTTTTCGTCTGGCGCCCTAGATCTCGGTTTGCGACCATTCTTCGTTTGCCGTGTAACGGCGTACGACGCCATCTTGGGGCTGCCATTTCTTAAGGACACAGGCATGCTCGTTGGTTGGGGCGTCTTCACCGTCGCGCGCACCGGCCCTTCGCAACCCGTCGCCCAGGATACGCACGAATGGGACCGAGCCGTCACCGTAGCACCTATCTTATCCAGTTCTGCCATTGGCTGCAATCACCCTGGGTTGCTTCCCGACGACGAGATCATCGGCCTCGAGCCACACAACCCGCTGCTCGATGTCGTCGACGATCCGGCGCTCGACGATTTCTCTGAGTCCGAAGCACGAACACGATTGGCTGCCTTACTCGAGAAATTTTCTGATGTGTTCGTAGATTCGCTACCGATGGACCAACTCCCACCGTACCGGCCAGTCAACCACGAGATCCCGTTGATCGATCCCACCGAAAAGGTCAAACCCCGGGTATACCCCCTTGCCGACAAATATCGCAGCCAGTGGGCGGAACACTCAGCTAAGTACACTCGTGGTCGATTCTGGGTTTCGGGTCCGATCGATTCTGCGGCTCCGGTCTTTGCCATTCCGAAGAAGAACTCCCAGACGGCTCGTTTCGTGATCGACCTCCGCGCGCGCAACAGCAACACCGTCAAGCGTTTTTCGCCCATCCCGGACATGACCAATGTTCCATACGAGGTGGCTCGATCGCGTTATCGCTCTAAATTCGACGTGGCCGCGGCATTTGAGCAGGTTCGGGTCATACCGGAGCACGTCGATCGCACCGGCTTCGCAACGGTGACGGGCACGTACACGTCGCGGGTCATGCAGTTTGGTGACACCAATGCGCCCAATACCCTCAACCTCTTGACCTCGGCGATGTTCCAGCCGTGTCTCCCGTTCGCCAAGATCTTTTTCGACGATGTCCACGTCCATTCCGATACCCGTCGTGCGCACTTGAGACACATCAAGATCCTGCTGATGACATTGAGACATTACCGGTTCTACTTAGGATCCAAGAAGTCCGAGTGGTTCTCAAAGTCGTTGGACTCCTTGGGCACCATCATTTCTGACGTCGGCATCGAAGTCGACCCCGCCAAGTGGGTGCGTATCCGTCAGTGGCCGATCCCTTGCAACAAGACCGATGTCCAGCGCTTCCTCGGCACCGTCAACTGGATGCGAGATCACCTACCGCACCTCTCAAAGATTTTGGAGCCGATCACCGCGTTAATGGCGCAAGCGACGTCATGGCGTTGGAACGAGCGAGAACAGCAGGCTTTCGATACCGTCAAGTCCCTTGTGCCCGCCATCCTACGACCGATCGATGGCGCCAAGGTTACCTCGGGCGAGCACAAGATGTACCTCTTCACGGATGCCAGTCGGGTTGGCATTGGCGCTTGTTTGGCGTCCGGGCCCAACCGTTCGCAGGCCGTTCCAACGCGATTCTTTTCCGCTAAGTTCAACGGTGCTCAGCTCAACTATCATGTCACTGATAAAGAGTTCTTGGCTGTCGTCTCGGCGTGTCGGGCGTTCGAGCAGCACTTGATCGGTTACCCCTTCGTCATCGTCACCGACCATCAGGCCCTTCGCACGATAAAAACCCAAAAACTGCGCCAAACGCCTCGGCACATCCGCATGTGTCTCGAACTCAGCCGTTTCGACTTCGAATTTGAATTCATTGCTGGCAAGAACAACACCCTGGCCGATTCGTTGTCGCGTCTGTGGGAGGTCAAGCAGGGTTCACACGAGGATCAGGTCAAGGAGAATGAGTTGGAGGACATGTTCTTTGATGGAGAACGCCACGAATTCACTACACCCGGTGAGAGCCTCCTCGAGGAACGTCCTTACACCTCACCTTCGCACGATCGGTTGCCCCCTGTTGATTGCGCCTTCGGGCCCTGGGGTCACGGTTACGACGCAGGCTCTCCCGGTTCCCCTCATCTGGCCGAGAACATTATGGACGCCGTCGATTGGTCTATCGGCCGCCTCTCTCCTCCCATCGCTGTCAATCGAGTTCACGCTATTGCTACGGCCCCTGCCAACGACCCGCCCATTCCGGTCCATGCCGACGCCGACGAACTCGATTTGTTGGGAGTTGCCACCGATGATGTCAACGACACCCCTGTAGTCCATCGGCCGCCTGATCCACTGCCCCAACCCTTCCTCGACACCGTCATCCGAGCATACGCCAACGATTCGCAAGCCCAGGTCATCATTACCGACCCGCTATCATGGCCTATGTTTCGGGTGACCGAGGAAGGGAGGATTTTGCGTGTACATCCAGATGAGTCTATTTCCTTGTTTGTGCCTCGTGGTCTCGCTACTGGCGTCGTCAACTCCGACAAGGTCCCATCGCTGCGCGAGCTCGTGCTTTCGGAGATTCATCGGAGTGTCGGGCATGCAGGACATCGCATCACCTTGGCCGCCATCCGTCCTTTGTACTGGTGGTCGTCCATGTCTGCCGATTGCGCCGAGTTCTGCCGTTCATGTGAAGACTGTACCCGAGGCAAGGCGTCCACTCAAGTCCCCTATGGCCGACTGCATCCGATGCCGATCCCTTCTGGTCCTTGGGAACAAGTGGCCATCGACTTCATGACAGGACTGCCTCCGGTCGAGCTCGAAGGGATGATGGTTGCTCAAATCATGGTGGTCACTGACACTTGGGGCAAGATGGTCCACCTGATTCCCCTCCCAGCCGATGCCGACTCGGAGCTCGTTGCCGAGAAGTACTACGCCACCGTCTTCCGACTGCATGGGATGCCTTCCGCCATCGTTTCCGACCGTGATCCCAAGTTCACCTCGCAGTTTTGGCGGGCATTGCAGGCAAAGATTGGCACCGTCTTGCGAATGTCAACCGCGGCACACCCGGAGACGGACGGATCGAGCGAGAATCGGATCAAGATGGTCACCCAAACCCTGCGGATCATGGTCTCGTCAAACCACGAGGCTTGGGCATCTCGTCTTGTTGAAGCTGAGTTCGCTCTTAACTCTTCTGTTGCTGTGTCCACGTCGCTGTCGGCTTTTGAGGCAACCTACGGCTACCTCCCTCGATGCTGGCCCTCGGATTCCTGGTCTGTCTCGGACGTCCCTCGTGCGGAAGCGTTTGCTCGGATCCGACAATTACGGAACCTCGACGTGACGGATGCGATCATTGGAGCACGCCTCAACCAGTCCCATCAGGCCAACAAGCATCGACGCCCAGACGACCCCGCCTTTCGGACCGGCAGTTACGTCTATCTTTCGACAAAGAACCTGGCAGTTCCTGACGGCATGAAGTCGAAGTTGTTGCCGCGCTACATCGGCCCCTTCCGTATCCGAGCGGCCATCCCTGCGACGTCCAGCTACGACCTCGAGCTCCCTCCAGCGATGTCGCGAGTGCACAATCGTTTCCATGCTCGACTGCTTCGGCCTTGCGTTGAGAATGATGCTGAAAGGTTTCCTGGGCGTGACCCCGCAGTTCTTTTTGTCGAAGACGTAGCCGACGCAGCCGACAATTCTGCGATTCCGGAACGGATTGTTCGTGATCGGCGGAACGCTCGGGGCGCTCGTTCGTTCTTGGTTCGATGGGTAGGCCGTAACGACACCGACGATACTTGGATGTCAGAGCAGTCCATTCACCTTGACCATCCGTCCGTCCTCGACGCCTACCTCGCGCGCCTCGATCGCTCGAACCGCCGCCTCGCCGCACGGTAGACTTCCTTCTGGGGGGGACAGTGTCAGGATGACAGCGTGTACTCGAAGGAAGCCCCCCAAGGCTATGTGCGGGTAGAGTTGACTTGACCAGAGGCTTGCCTCGTTTCACAGCATCGTCGGTGCGATGGCGTAGTCGTGAGGCGCGCGGGCGCGCACTCGGTGGTCGCGGGTTCGAGGCGCCCAGACCGCAGTCTTCTTTCGGTTTGTTTTATCTTTTTGTTAACCGAGGCGCGGCTTCAGGGTTTTTACCGGTGCTCCCGCGAGCAATCCTTTTTACCCCTGAGGCGACCTCTTGGAGTGGTTGATTTGGCTAAGTCCCCTCTGGGCCTGGCACAGTCCCTTCCCTTTAGTTTTACCACCTTTCCCCGGGAGCTTGGTCCGCTCTTCTCTTTTGTTGCCCCTCCTCTTCTTGTCCATCGTTTGGGAATTAAGTCCGTTATACTTGATTTCCTGCGAGCCTTTCGACCGACTCCCCTCCTCGGTTGCTCCCTTGTCGACTGCCGCCGCAACAGCCAACACTTCCTGAAATCCCCCCCCCCCCCCGTACCAACGCGTGTAGACGACGTCATCCCCTCCGACGTCGCTTGCCAAGAGGGATGGCGGCTGCTGCGACCGGTGACACCGTGCTGCGGATTGGGGTGGCGTCCAGTGTCGACAATTGATTTGCAATGAGGGATGCCACACCTATGAGTTGACCTTGTGACCGGAGCTCGATGGTCTTGCCAAAATGGGTGTAAATGCGCTCGCGTCGCAGCTGCATGACCGAGATCAGGTTGGCCGGAAGGTCGGGGACGTAGTAGACGTTGCAGAGCTTGATCGTTCGTTGTTTCGACGTTCGTGCGACCGTGTGTGCCAGACGTCGAAGAGAGACGCGTCCTTGACCATGTGGTGGGAGGCGCCCGAGTCAAGTACAAGGGTGTCATTCGGAGGGTGGAGCTCATGGTTCGATGGTAGACGACCTAGGAGTGCAACGACGTTCACGCTGGGCCGGACTGTCACACTCACAGTTGGGTCCAGGTGCGACGTGTCAAGTTGCGTCATGGTGCGGTAACGGCCGGTCGCATGGGCGAGGGCGGTTTCAACGGTGTGGTACAGAGCGATGATGATGACGAACGCGATCATGATGGTGGCAAGTGACGATGGTGGTGAAGGCATCGTTGTAGCAGCTTTAGCTCGGGCTCATAACCTGTTAAATCGTGTGTCTCGAGAGGGGAATGGATCGGCAACCAGTAAGTACACGAGACACAGTACGAGTTGTAGGAAGTATATTGGAGCGTTAGGGGGAAGACTAAAGAGGCTCGCGGTGCGAGTGCGCGAAATATCTCTAAGTCCAAAAGGGGTCCGAGCGGCGCGCGGCTGGCTAGGCTGGGCGCGGGCTGGAGATCGACCTAAGCAAGAGTGTATGGAATTCAACACCCCCCCTCGCTCGAAGCTTACTTAGCCTCGAAGACCCAGGTTGTCACGATGTACCTTGAACACCAAGGGTCCAAGTGCCTTGGTGAAGATGTCGGCGACCATGGTTTTCGTGTCCACATAGTCGACTTGGATGGTGCCCAGCCTGACCTGGTCGCGTACAAAGTGCTCACGAATGCGAATGTGACGGGACCGGTGGTGAAGGGTGGGGTTCTTGGCGAGAGCAATAGCACCTTGGTTGTCGCCGTACAGCTGGACGGGAGCTCGTGTGTCGATGCCCAGTTCCATAAGCAGTTCTTGGAGGTGACCAGCTTCCTTGGAGGCGTGTGAGAGGGCGAGGTACTCGGCGTCTGTGGTGGAGTCGGCCACACGGTTTTGCACTTTGGAGGACCAAGAGATGACAGATCCGGCCAGGTGGAAGCTGTACCCCATGGTCGACCGTGACGATGTGGTGCAGGTTCCCCAGTCTGCATCAGAGTAACCGGTGAAGCCTGAGAACTTGCCTTGTTCAGAGCTGTAGTGCAGGCCAAGACATGCAGTTCCGCGTAAGTACCAAAAGACGGTCTTGTTGGCGGTCCAGTGTTCGGGTGTGGGACTGGCAGAGAAGCGTGCGAGGTATCCGACAGCGTAGGAAATGTCCGGGCAAGTACCGGTGGCGGCGTACAGGAGGCATCCAATAGCCTGCATGTAGCGTGTCCGAGCAGTTTTGGATGTTTCCACGAGCGAATGTTCGAGCTGTCGGTTCGGGGCCATGGGCGTGGAGGCGGGGCTGCTGTCTGACATGCCAAATCTGCGGAGGATGCGCTCAATCTCGTCCTCCGAGGGGCTGACCATCAGCAAGTCGTCGACGTAGAGGGCGATGTAGTGGTAGTGGTCGCCGTCGCGTCGTACGTACACGCAGTGGTCCTTGGCTGTGGCGCGGTAGTTGGGGCTTTTCAGCGTCAAGTGAATGTGCTCGTTCCAGACTCGGCCGGCCTGCTTGAGGCCGTAGATCGATCGATGGAGCTTGAGGACTTTACCGGGCATGTCAACACCTTGTGGGACGCGCATGTAGAGGTCTTCCTTCAGCTCGCCGTGGAGGTACGCCTTGTCAACGTCGGCCTGATGGACGTGGAGTTTCTTGGCGGCGGCCAGGGTGATGAGAGCTCGGATGGAGGTGAACTTGGCAACAGGGGCAAAAGTCTCGTCGTAATCGATACCTGGGCGCTGGGAGAATCCCTGTGCAACGAGCCGGCCCTTGTGCGAAGTGATCTTGCCAAGTTGGTCGCGTTTGGTGCGGAAGATGAACCTGGATCCGAGGACTTTGGCGCCAGGGGGCAGTGAGGAGGAGTCAACAGGGGTGAAGCATTTGTACTCGGTGGCAAGGGAGTGAAACTCGTCGGCTGCTGCTTGCCTCCAGATCTCCTCTTTACCTGACTTGACCGCCTGCGACCAATTCTGGGGGTCCTCGGTTGGCCCTTCGAGTTCGACGACCGGTGAATCTGCAGTGGTGGCGGCAAAGGCAGCGGCGCGAGACGGGCATGACAGGAAGTCGATGGGGTCGGCCGAGTCATCGGTCACGTCCGACACAGGAGGTGACAGCGAGAACTGAGCCATGGACATGTCGGACGGGGTATCAAAACCATCATCGGACATTTCGATTGTTGCGTCGTCGCTCGCATCGGTCTCAAGTGCGGCAAATCGATTTTCGTGCACGACGGGCGGGAGTGACAGACGTGGGGCAGTGCGGGAGCCATGTGCAGCGTCAACGAAGGTCCAGTCGCCAGCAGTGGACGTCGTGCGAGGCTTCGGTTTGTCAGGATGACAGCGTGTACTCGAAGGAAGCCCCCCAAGGCTATGTGCGGGTAGAGTTGACTTGACCAGAGGCTTGCCTCGTTTCACAGCATCGTCGGTGCGATGGCGTAGTCGTGAGGTGCGCGGGCGCGCACTCGGTGGTCGCGGGTTCGAGGCGCCCAGACCGCAGTCTTCTTTCGGTTTGTTTTATCTTTCTGTTAACCGAGGCGCGGCTTCAGGGTTTTTACCGGTGCTCCCGCGAGCAATCCTTTTTACCCCTGAGGCGACCTCTTGGAGTGGTTGATTTGGCTAAGTCCCCTCTGGGCCTGGCACAGTCCCTTCCCTTTAGTTTTACCACCTTTCCCCGGGAGCTTGGTCCGCTCTTCTCTTTTGTTGCCCCTCCTCTTCTTGTCGATCGTTTGGGAATTAAGTCCGTTACACTTGATTTCCTGCGAGCCTTTCGACCGACTCCCCTCCTCGGTTGCTCCCTTGTCGACTGCCGCCGCAACAGCCGACACTTCCAGAAATCCCCCCCCCGTACCAACGCGTGTAGACGACGTCATCCCCTCCGACGTCGCTTGTCATAGCGAGTCTCGGCTACCGTCGCCTCGCCTGTGATGAATGCATTTACAGGCGCACCGACATTTCGGGTGATCATTACATCGCGCTCTATGTAGATGACCTCCTCTTCTTTGGTCCCGACCTTGGGGAGATCGATCAAGTCCTGGATCAACTCGACACCCTTTACGGCGTAAAACGTCTCGGCCCGGCCGAATGGATTCTAGGGGTTCAGGTCGTCCGGCATGATGATGGCGGGATCACCCTCTTACAGCGCCAATACCTCGTTGATGTGTTGGCTCGTTTTGGCATGTCCGATTGCAATCCCTGCAAATCGCCAATGGAGGCCAACCTCCAGCTGTCGCCCGAGATCGACCCCGATGAAGCCGACAACTCGACCTATCGTTCTATGATCGGCTCCCTCATGTACACCGTTGTTGCCACCCGACCCAATCTTGCACACGCTGTGGGGTATCGCTCTTGTTTTGTTGGCAAAGCGGGGGCAGCACATCTCGAGGCTGTCAAACGCGTCCTTTGGTACATCAAAGGCTCGCTCGATCTGGGCATCCACTACGTGGCTAACAACAAACCCTTGCTGGGATACGAGGGGTACTCTGACTCAGACTGGGGATCCGATGTGAACACGTTGAGGTCAACGATGGGCTACTTGTTCAAACTGGCTGGTGGTGCAATATCGTGGTCATCTTGTCTCCAACCTCAAGTGGTGTGTTCGTCTACGGAAGCCGAGTATCTGGGTCTTTTGCATGCTGCCAAGGAGGCAGTCTTCCTTCACTCACTCCTCACCGAGCTCGGCCTTGACACATCATTGCCTCTTCGTCTGCTTGGGGACAATCAAGGCGCTATTGCGCTCACCCAGAACCCGGTCTTCCATGCTCGCACCAAACACCTTCGCATGTTGGAGCACTTCGTTCGGGAGCATGTTCGGAATGGAGAGATCTTGGTCACCTACATCCCTACCCATGACATGGTGGCCGATATCTTCACCAAGCCGCTGCCTCGAGTGATTTTCCAGCGTCATTGTGACACTATTGGCGTTCGGCGAATTTCAGGCCAAGAGCAAGGGGGGGTGTTGAAGTAAATTACTCTTGCCTTACATCCGCACTACGTGCATCTCCACTTTGTATTAGTCGCGCGCGCTATTCGCGTCTTTGCTTCCTCTTCTTCACTTGATTACGAACTCATTGGCTCGTCCCTGCCGCCAACTCGTTCAGCACATTGCTGTTCAGTTTCAATACTTCCATGGGATAGCATCCGTCGGATCAAATGCGGTGTCAGCTGTCAGGTGTTTACAAGGGAGTCCTGCGTCCACCTCCAAGCCCGAGCTCAAAGTTGCTCCAGTGTCATGGTTGGGAGCCCATGACAGCTAAAGGGCTCAGTTTGTGATCAAGTTTCATCTTGATTACTGTTCCCTTTTGGTGGCCTATGTGGCTAGGGCTCCAGTCTAATAAAAATAACTGAGATAAAGTCTGACCCTGACATCAAGCTTGGCAGTAGCTTATGTAAGCTCAGATAATAATTGGTTAATAGCCACTAGTAGTACGACCAAACAACTAGTACTAGAGGTCAAGCATTGGGTGATCATGTTTCTGTGGCTTTCCAAGTTGAATAATGATTCTGCTTCTGCATACCAAGACTCTTGAAAGTATTTTTCCGATTTATTTTTTATTTTTTGAAAAATGCCAAAAAGCGCGTAGATTGAGTAGATTGCGCGCGCATGAGCGCGCTGTAGCGCGTGTAATGCTCCGTCCATGCGCGGATACGGTGGGGCGAGCGAGTCTAAACAGTGAGCGAAACGCGCGTGGACCGCCAATAGGGGCCAGAAATAGATGTTTTTCCTGAAAAGGGCGCAACTCCGATGAATTCAGAGCGCGTTAGAGACCAAAAGTGTGTCCAAGGGATGCAAAGCTGTGAATGACGCGCGTATGAAGGCCCAATGGCGCGCAATTGCACGATTTTTGGCGCACGTACAAACAAGTCATAATGCGCAAGTAGCCCCGGGTGCGCAGATCCATTTGTTGCCCAAACGGCAGCCCATACGGTTCATGCCAGTTGGCGCGCCGCGCGCGGCGACTCGCGCCTTACTCCCAAAATTTGTCTGTCTAAGTCCCAATCCGTTCGTAGGCGCAGGAGGCGCAGGAGGCGCATTTCCTTCTTCCGTCGCCGCACAGCGACTTCAATCTACGACACTCGGTTGAGGATGTTTTGTTTTACGATCAGATCTGAGGCAGGTGCTACTTTGACAAATGGAGATCACGCCGGCATGGAATATCCAGAATGTTGTGGACATCTGGAAAGACCAGTTGACTGTAAATCTGTGAACTTGTATGTAAGTTATCGCTTTGCGAGATTATTTAGCATCAAAATTCTACGTGATCAGAGAACACCTCAGAGTCGCGGGAAGGGGAAAGGGAGGGTGGCGCGAATGGATCTATCAGAATAGCCTGTAAGGGCGGGTGGGGGTTTAGAATAGGTGGTGGAGAGTGTAAGGCCTGTGCGCCTGGGCCTTAGAAGGAGGGGGCGCGCGCCTGGGCACTCTTAGTCTCTCCTCAGCGACTAACGTAGAGTGTCCAGGTGAGCCCAAGTGGATCAGGAGGCATTGTTGTAGTAGTGACTAACGTAGAGTGTCCAGTGTCAATCCTACATACTTTGGTCCTGTGATCCTATCGTCGTCGCTCCGGTGTACACTCCTACGGGGTGTATTACATAGCCCCTGTCATGATTTTGGTCAATTGAACCAACAGTATAGCTTCAGTCCTTCGAGAGTAGATTATAATACTGCAAACAGGTGTTGAGAGCAAATCATGTCTTTATGTATCTATTGCAGGTCAAGTACTTGGTATACTGATACCTAGAGTTTGTAATAGGAAGAATAGCAACCAAGGTCCTGACATTGTTACACCTCACCACAGCACTCCTCCAAATTTTAAGTGTCAACTTCATCAAACTTTGCTAAGTTCATCAAACAGTGCCATTTTTAGCGCCATTTTGTGCACTTTAGCAGTTTAGCGGCTCGAGATTTATTTAGTGGCATTTAGCAAAGTGGCAAAGTTGCTGATGGAAGGACAAAGATAAGAGGGATGAGCTGGACGAAGGGGCTCGAGACAAGGGGCGAGGGACAAGAGCAAGGATGTGACCATTGACAAGATTCGAGTTGCAGAAGAGAAAGAGAGACTAGAGACTATGACCAAGCAGATATCCCAGAACCGAACAAACAAACTGAAAGGCACGCTGTCTTGGACAGCGGAGCCTCACTGGTGACCAAAGATGGCAGGTGCAGGTTATATGGATTACAACTAGCTTCTGGTGTCAGCTCAATTAAGATATAGTAGTGCTGAGATAGGGAACACCAGTACTCACCTAGCTTCTGGTGTCAGCTCAATGAAGAGAGAGCTGAAGAAGCTAGGTGCGCGCAATCTCTATTTCTAATGCCTGTGGCCCGTCGTAAGGCCTTGCCTTACACGGACAGGGGTGTTTGCATCCGTTGTTCATGACAGTTTCTGGACAGGGGCATCCGCATCCGTAGTTCATGACAGGACCACAAAGGTTGAAGTACTAAAATGCTTGTCAGAATATTATTCAACATACAAGTCCCTAGTTCAAGATTTGCTTGCACACAAGCACTGTTCAGCATTGTAAGCTGCATAGCTGCAAAGCTGGTCCAATGAGACACCCCCTTCAACTAGACACCCTTGAAGCCATCCAAAGCGCTGTGTGAATTTGAGCCTGTGATAGAGTCTGTTGTGGGTTGTACTAAGACTCTCACACTGCGGGAGGAAAGCAGTGTAGCCTCCTTCTATGATGTGTCTACTTCCTGACCCCTGGCCCATCCAAGACAAACAGACCTCAGTGGGCGCACACACATGTAGACACTAACACCAAACTCACCAGGAGCATGTCCTGACCCATCTTCTGAGCTTTGTGGGCATTGAGCAGCCACAAAAGCCCCAAGCCTCCCTGGGACATGTGCACATTGGTGTGCTGTAATCCACCAAGCTGGTTGACCAGCAAAGTTGCAACCTCCAATATGACCCAGCCGGTTTGCTGGCACTCCACTGAAGTAAGAAGGGCAAGATTTTGACCTTGGAGCAACACCTGGAGAGCTTGTTCCAACGCGACCACACTCAGGGCTGTTGGTGCAAGGGCAAGAGAAGCAGGTGGTCGAAGAACCGTTGCTAGAAGGTTGATTGTGGATAAAGTCTAGGGTACAAGATACAGTGGGTGGGGATCAATCCAGGCTGTCCATGGAAGCACACCTCCACCATCATTGTCCCTACCTTTGCAATGAGGATTGGCCAAGCTTGAAATTCTTTGACAAGTAACCTCCGTTGTCGCGATGGGTTTTGTGCAGCAATTTGAAGTGTACGGATGAGTTGGAGCCCCAACTGATGCGCCCATCCCAGAATTTTGCGAGCAGGAGCATCCCATGTTTCCTCCACCGTGCGTAGGTCCAGAAGTTGCTGCCAGATCATGGGGTCAAGGCCAGTCATTGCGAATAAAAATGATGAGACCAGTGAGAGTGGTGTCAACGAGCCCATGCATGCCCCATCAGACCAGATAATGCTCTAATGAAAAAAGGCGGAATTTCAATCAGCTGTTGTGAACAGGTGCATACCACATGGATTCCACCCACCTGCCAAACTGAGCGTGCATAGGGCTGCACAAGCATTTGTTGAGCCCGACCCTGGGAGCTCCACTCCACAAGATCATGCCAAGATGCTGTTCTCAAAAACTGCTGCCATGCTTGCACCGAGCCAAGGAGGTTGGCAACAAGAAAGCCCAATTGATCCCATCCTTCGCTGCTGCAGAATTGAGCGGTGCAGTGTGGTGGATGAGGACTAGGAAGTGGGAACTGAGAGGAGAAAATTGCGAGCAGCTGTGGTTGTGGTTGGAAGCAAGTTGCACGGTGGGAGTTCTTGTTCCAGTGTTGCGCTAGTGGGATAAAGTGGGCCACGCACCCCAAGTGATGCTGGACTACGTACGGACCTATTCGGGGTGGGGTGGCTAGTGTGGCATACGCGGACATCAGATGCTATGAATGCAAAACAGAAGCCAGTCAGCACATATCATCCTTTGTAGAACAGCCGGCTAAACCCACAATTCGAAGTTGAAGGCGGGTCGCAATAGCATTGCACAGTGTGGGATCGCAAAAGTCCACTTGCAGCAAGTTGGCCAAGGCGATGTCGAGACGGTGTGCGATATCCTTGGTTGTGACATCGGCTTTGCCATCCTCGGTTGTTGCGAGGACATGATTGCTGCCGGCTTGCAGAAGGGATTCGAAGTCCAGCCCTCCGAGACCAAGATGAACATCCTCGTGCTGCGGTCATGAGCGCATGGGCCATCAGAAGTGACTATGATTTGACAGTCATATCAACAGAAGGATCAAAATGATCGACTGACCTCATAAACTTGCGCCTTACACAGCTCTTGCCAGATCATTCGAATGCAGTGGGTGATGGACAACAGCATCTCGAGCAAGATGGATGTCCACACCGACGGGGAAGCTGCGGCGGTCGAAGCTAGGTCTGCAAGTGCGGTGGGCCGTAGGTATTGACACTCGAAAACCGTCGAAGCCAGTGGAAAGCCGTCAAGAAACTTCATCTGTGAAGAAACAGGGTCAATTTTGAGATCTCCGGTTCAAGCCTTGGCCCGAGCAGTATCGAACGACCCCGAGGCGGCACTTACCTCAAGGCCCAGCAGCTCGTCCAAGACCCAGATCAGTTCTCGAGGCGTCATTTCGTGCGTTGGATCAAAAGGAGGCAGATTCGAGGACACTGAGGACTGCTGGTGGAGCAAGTAGGAGTCGGTTCGCGGATCCATGATCTGAGGAACAAGTGCAAAGCGGATGGGAAGTGGTCAGCAATCGCGGGACGGGCTAGATGCACGACAAGAGATGGAGCCAGAACAGGATGTACCTCGATGGCACCCATCAGGTCGAGCAAGCTACTTTGCTCGGCTTTGATCATCTGTCCTGCCTTCAGGTCGCATCGTGCGGCGTCGAGCACGCGCATGACGCTTGCCCAGTCTGGTGGTGCCGTCATGCTTGCGAAATCGGAGAGGTCGATTCGAGATTACTGCATCTATCGAGAGCCAAAGATAGCGGACAATACGATGTGAACCATCAGTGACCCGGACGGTGCGAGACCTTTGAGACGAAGGTAGGTCTCATGCCCCGCCGCAAGGCTGCCTTGCAATCGCACGGGCCGGTGGAGGCCAGCTGGGGCCTGCTGAGGCCTGCCAGGGCTGCTGAGGCCAGCAGAATCCGGCGCGCGTTTGCGCAAGCTGAGCATCAGACCGTTAATGATCTCAGAATCAGGTGGCGGGTAGTATTGCCAGGCAAAAGACCCGCTGGCCGTTCGGATAATCACATGACGAGATTGGCATCGATGGAGTTTGATTGCACAGATGCAAAATTGCGCAAGGAGCCTGGAGGCAAGAGGTGGCCTCAAGACAGCAAGGAAATGAAGGAAAAGAAAACAATGTACATGCGCACCCGCGTGCTGTTGACAACACACCATGTTCAATCCGTTGCATCAGCAAAATGGGCACGCGCGCTAAAGCTCGAGGACGTCTTGTTAAGCGTCCTTAACCGCGCCTTAAGCGCCTCTAAGCGGTGCGCGCCCTCAACCCGGCGTTATCTACGGATCGCATTAAGCTCGACGCCCCTCCCTTTGGGAGGGGCTTGTGAGTTATCCGCGCTTTTGGCTGAGTTGCCCTGAGAAATTTTGGCCCTGAAAAGTGCCCCCTTGCTGTAGCATGGCGTATATTGGTGCTAACTGAAAACTGGAGGGATACGTCTTTACTTCATCATTATTGATGATGCTTCATCGAAGCTTGAAGTCTAGGAACGCTTGATCATCTCGCTACAACAGCTTGAATCAACTGATTCCGAATGACACAGGTTGGCGCACGGACCAGTCGTAGTCCAGTCCGCGTCGAAGGCTGCATAGAGCCAGGTCACTTAAGCCCGGCTGCGCCTCACGCATCCTCTCTCTCCTCCACTCAACATCGCACCTCACCTCATGATGAGCCATGTCGGTACAAACACCCAGGCCGGTTAGGGGACCGCCCCGTCGACATCCATCAGTTCAGGGCGTCTCCCTTGCGATCAGCTTCAAGGGCCAGTCCTACGACCCCAGCACCGAATCATTCAACCAATCCGACAGCCGTTCTCGGTCACTGGAGGCCACGTTTGACTCACCAGGACCGACGAGATTCCAGCGAATTACGCAAGAACATCAAAGTGATTCTGGGCGAAAGTCTTGACGAGGACTCTACCCCCCGGCCTGTGCAGATCGAGGCCATTGCTGCCCTTTTCGAACTCGATCAATTTGGGAACCGAAATCGATATGACACTGTGTTCGTCACAGCGCCAACGGTTCAGGCAAAAGTGTTATCTTCGAAGCAATGCATCTCATTTACGGACGCCGGGCCGTCACCATTGTTGTCATTCCACTGAATGCACTGAGCAATCATCAGGTGAGTTTTTCTGCCGACTGGGCTTGCTGGACCGACATTCGTGCTGATTTCCGCAGTCACATGCTTCTTTCAGGCTGCCAATCTCAATTGAAAGGGAAAGAACGCGATTGTCGTATCTGAGGAGACCTGGAGAGACGGCGAGCTGTACAGGCAGTTGGACGACCCCAATCACAAGACCTTTCGAGAGCACGTCAAATTGCCCGTCTATGACGAGGACAGGGGGGTGGTGTGCATCAAGAAGACTGAGGCCAAGATGAAGGACCAGTCGAGCAAGCGCTCGATATATCTGAGCTTTTATCCCGGTTGTAGATGACGAGTCGGATTGGGGAGTTGGGAGGAGATGCTGGAGATTGACTCGCGGTAAAGACGCTTGATGTGCAGAGTAGGCTCGAAGGTTGTAAGCGCCGGCAATATCTCCGTTCTGAATGTGGGCGTAACCAAAAGTTCGATGAAGCAACTCGGTTCGTCGATCAAATTGCCGATCATTGACGTGACGTGTGACGTCGATGTTGTCAACGGTCACATGGAAGTACTTGTTCGAGCCAATCTCCTTCAGTTCCGTCGAATTCGCCTTCGTCAAGCTCGCAGCTGCCTGGAGAGTCGCCCAGCGAGATGTCGTCAAGCCGCAATCGTACAGAAACATTGTCAATCGGTCGTTCGCTCCACATGCGCGAGTCATGAGACCGTTGCGATGCTGCATGGCGTTGTTCCTTCGGTTGCAAGCGAATGCGATCTGACCCATGACACTGCGGTAAAGCTGCGGCAGAGGGAGGGCTTAGTTGAGCTTAGGATCGCATAATGGTGTTTAGTGGCCGCTTAAGAACGCGCGCGTTATGCGGTGCTCGCGCACTGTAAGCTGATTCAGCACTACTATGCAATGCCAACTTGCGACTCCTGTCCAAGCAACCAATACGTTCCATTGCAGTGAGATATATAAAAAATCAATCGAAAAGAGACTCTTCAAAATCGAAAGCCTGTTGAGCCGTCATCCTCATTAGGTCGGCAGCCTCGGGGTTGACGGTTCGGGGCGTCGTTCCCCGCCCAGCACCACCGGGAGCTTCACCCAAAATCGCAACTGCCACGCTTCTCTGCACGCGATTAGCAACGCGAACCTGCACAGCATCTGAGTAAGGTGCCCCGCGTCCTTCCCCCCGACGTCTTCGCAAGATAGATTGGTCATGCCCTTGATAGTGCGTGGCCGAGAACTCGTGCCACAGCGAGACGGTCTGCTTCGTCTCCTTTGCACCCCTATCAGACGAGCCCGGGATCGGTGATGGTGGTGGGGTGAGCAATTGCATGGCGTATCGAATCTAACGTTTCGACGATTGTATGAGGAGGACGAAAATGTCAGGTCAATCCAAACCTGATGCAGCGCAAACAAAATAGGGACTTACTCCTGCATACGCATGAGTCACTAGAGCGAATGCAAGCTCGCGATGACCATCGTTGTTGTGATCGAGACCTTGCTCTGGCCATTGAAACGCGGCGAATCTGTCTCGCATGATGGCCGCAACGATCTGTACTAAAATTTCGTTGTACATACTTTTCCTTGTTGTGTTTGTCAGCTTTGCGGCGCGTCCAGCAATTGGTCTTAACCTCGAGCACCTCGTTTAGCTCGGCAGCAACCTCCAGCGCCTGCCGCTTGTGGTTGGCCACCCTGATGTTGGCCGCCTTACGTTTCTGACTGGTCTGCGCCTTATCCGCGATCCCGCATAGTAGCGATGCGAATAGCCGCAATAGCGCTGGCGCGAGAAGGTCGTGGTGACATGGCGAGGTGAGATTGCTGACTAGTACTGAGAGTGCAACGTTGTCGAAGCGAAGAACCGAGGCAACAGCGTCGGTGATGCCTTGGCAAGGGTCCGCATTAGATCAGATCTGATCTGATCTGATCTGATCTGACAGCGGTCAGATCAAGTTCAGATCAATCAAGCCTCCAGGAAAAAAATCCAAAAGTAGGCGGTACCTAGATGGTCCCATTGTGATTTGAAAGCCAGCTGCGGCGCACCTGCTCATGAGAGAGAATGGATCGCGCCATCTGCCATCTGGGCATCGCCGCCGCATTGGGTGTCGGCCCTTCGCCACAGAAATACTACAGGGTGTGATCCTCCTCTGATGGGCCTTCGTTGCAGTGTCAAGAGCTAACTAATCGAAACAATTTCTTATTGGGATCATGCGACCCAATCCAGCCATGGGAGCTCCTCCAAAAAGCGGCGGCCGGGCTTAGCAAGGTGATCGATCACTTTGAAAAACGAGATGAGGATGAGGATGAGGATGAATGGGAATTTCAACATGTGGACATGTAGAAGTCTTTCTGCGCCAAATTAGGCAATTTCATGTCTCAGACCAAATTGATCTGTTCAGATCAGATCAAGATCAGATCAATCAAGGCAGAATCAGAAAAATTCAGATCAGATCAGATCAGATCTGGCGGTGATCTGATCTAATGCGGACCCTTGTGCCTTGGGCTGTGGTGAGGCGCAACCTTGATGAATGTGGTTTAGCCGATCGGCGTCGGCTTGGAAGTTGTAAGGTTCGGCAGCCTCTCGGTAGGTCCAAGCTCAAAACTCGGACCGACGGACCGACTTGCCTGACCTCCCTTTCATTTTCCTGCCTTTGACTGACAACCATTGTGCATCCCCATGTCATCCTTTCCTATTTTTATCTCATCTCTCTCTATTGTCCTAGGTCACCACAAAGAACCACATTGTCTACATCTCTCCCTTTCATTTTGCCAGATCTCCTTAAATAGCGATCCGTAGCTCTCTTCTCTCTTTTCCTCTTTTCTCATCCTTCACTGGACCTCCACTCTTGATTCACACTTGACAATCGACTGGTTTTGGGACTGTCTATTCGCCAAGCAACATCGAGAGTACTACCGAGGAGCCCTCCTTTACCTACGCCGCTGCTGAGTAATCTGGGCTCCTTACAGAAGTCTCCGTCGATCACGCAGTCGGGGAAGAGACACTGGGTGCACTGCGGGAAACGCGAGGCTTGGGTTGATCCACTCGAACCCTTCTCCTTGACCTTTGCGCCGGATGTTCAAACATTCTATGACAGTCTCTGCTTTCGTCTCAATAGATTGGAAAACGTATGAAAGAGCCGAAGACGCTTACGATCACCGCATCATCATTCTCTTCGTCCCCTTCCTCCTCGTCTTCATCCTCTTCGTCGGCGAAGGGTGAACCACCTCGTTGAAACCGCAAAGAAGAATGTCGAGAGGAAGTTATCTTCTCCTGCGGGGAATAGGAGTGATAACGGAGAGGCATCGGTATTCGCGGACGGATCCGGGAGCGAGCTACTAACGACTTGCAGTGGTACTTGGACCGAACGTATGGACGTCGATCGCCGTGCACCTGAGGAGTAAGTTCTTGCGGTCCACGATCTCTCGTGTTGGTGTTGGAATCGCAGAAAAGCATCGCCATTTCCGTGCTCGACGTAGGAAGGTTGTGGGTGCGTCGGTCTCGGTCCCCTGCAGTGGTGGTAGGCAGAGGCGCAGGCTCCACTCATTGGCTGTATCCCAACCTGCACGAGCTTTGACCGATGCCTACCGATGCCAGTGGCCGATGCGACCTCCCTCACAAAGCCGGTACGCAACCTGGACTCGAGCTTGGTCAAAGTAGATCTTTGTATGCGACTGTCTGCGCCGTCCGTCGGGTCCCAGTCTCTTTAAATCACCCAAGGGGGTTTTAGTGGGTACGATTGATACTGATTCAGGGTCGATGAGTCCTACACTACTGGGCTAGCCAATGTGCTTAAATGCATCCCCTCCGACTTGATATAATTATACCGTCATTGAAATTCATTAACATAAATAACAATTTAAAATAAAAATGGAATGAAGAGAGCTCGATCCTGAACTTACAAGCCAGAAGTGCTCTGCCTCCACCTGTGTGTTCATCGACGTCCCGCCAGTTTACTTTGTCACGAGGTGCAGCTCAGCCAAAGACTACAGACGCCGTGTAAAGCGGTGATAAGCATTCGAGCTTTTTCTTTGGAAGCAAACCTGAGATCTGATTCTCACCCGGAGCTGTTTCAAAAACTGGTTCTCGGCAATGGACGTGGGGGTGGGGGAGGGGGCGGGGGCGGCCGCCAGGGCCGGAAGCGACATTCTAGGGCGCCAGAGAAGCGTCCAGTAATAACAAGGCACTGAGTCTTAGCTCCTCGTCCACGAAATTGGCGACAGCAATCGCAAGTCAGATGAGCCACTAGATCGTGCAGAATGGGCTTTACGGTAGGATGCGAGGAGGTCCCATGGCCGTGCTTCAGACTGCGGCTTGTATTATGGGCCAGCATCTTGGCACAGGATGTAGAGACCTCCAGAATATATGTGTGTGGAGGTTGGCATGGGCACACGGAGCAGCAACAGGTCCAAACCTCAAGATCAGGAGAGATTCTGCATTTGCAAAGCTACTGTTACCCCCGCTCAGCCCACCGCACGTCTTCCGCTAGAAACCGATACCACAGGCTCACAACAGGGATAGTGCTCGCATGCCACAGAGCATGCGCATCCAGAAGTCGCAGCCCAAACACTCCTATCGGCGCAAAGTCCAAAAGCTCGAGCGACGTTAAGAGAGGCAGCAATATCAAGGGTAGCACAGGCATACATGCGTGTGGAGCTCGCGTTGTTTGCGATCGCGCTGCTGGTTGATGCCCAGGCGCCAGGAACATCGTAGGCTCTTCTGCTGACGGGGAGTCGATCAGGATACAATGGTAGAATGACCAGGCAGACCAGAGCAGGATTGTGGCAATCGCTGTGGCGATATTGAACCTCATGTTGTAGTCATAGTCGAAGCGCTCTTTGCGTGTCAGGTACCAGCAGTGCGCGATTACGAGGAAGGCGCAAGATACGGTCCAAGCCAATGCCACCCTCCTGGTTGTCGCCGCAAACGTAAATGATAGACCACTTATGCGCATGACTGCTGCCCACAAGCCGCATACCATCAGCGCCGCGGCGCCGAAGTAGTCGGCTTTTTCGGTCCATGACAAGTCGCGGATGTGGAAAACGCAGGACCAAATCCAGGCATTGATACCGAAGAGGGCGTAAATCCGGTAGACGAGGCGGGGGCTTTGAGATCCGTCGTGGTGAAATTTTGTATGCCTTGACAACTTCATCAGGCCCCTGTGATGGGCGACGAGATTCCCGAGTGAGAAAACCACCGACAGAGGCTCTTGAATCTTCACAGGCCCTCCAAGTCGATGGAAGGCCCATTTTCCGTGATATTGCACTTGTTCCCCGAGTGGAAGGCCCTCCATGTCGACAACATATTCCCGAGTCTCGACCGACTTGACGGTTCGGAGCGAGAGGTCGGTCAAGTGTTGCGTGCAGCGATATTGGCAGTCGTCTCTGCACGACCAGAGCAATGGGGTCGGACGCGGGCAATCGTTGGAGCAAGCGTCCACACAGCGCTGATACGAAGGGGACAGATCTCCGATGGAGCCCACGGTCGTCCGAGGCGCCAGTAGCATGGCTAGGCAAGCGAGGGTCTTGGCATTGCCCAGCATAGCTAGAGATCGACGCTACAAGATTGTCCCGATGTATCGCATGAGCATGCGTGCGCACGAACGTCACTTGCGACGAGGCGGCTGACCCATCACTCACGCTCGTCTCGTTGGCCGAATCCAGGTGGCCAGTATGATCGCCTGCTATGTCCTTGAGGACTTATTCGGTGCATGTCACCCGTATGTCAGCTACTGAGATTCACGTCCGCACGACGTGACAAAAAGTACGCACCACGCGATAGAGGCGTTCTTCGGTTTCTGGGACGCTGGTGGTGAGATCGAACCGCGTTCGACAATGTGGTCTGACAAGCCGTCAACTGGAAAGCAGGCTGATCCACCAGAAGAAGTTCCGTTGAGGACTTTGTGCGCTGGAAGGCTCTCACAGGTTGACACTCAGTGTTCTGCCAGCGTCACGCCAGGTCACGCCACGCTGCGAGAGGCGTCACTAAAGTAAGAGTGGTTCAGGACTAGCGAGCTTTGCAGGCGATGCGCTCGGATCGGCTCCGATGCTCTCGGATGCGCTAGTATTGCGCTAGTGATCTCTAGTAGTGAATCAGAGTGATGCGCTTCCGATTTAAACGCTGAGATCTGCAGTGACGCTTGGACGGTTCGGACCTACGACTTAAAAAACACAACTGGTAGACCTGCGACCAATCAATATAGCCCATAAATCTCATGGGCTGTCGGTCATTTGCAAGCATTTGCACCGCAGTAGTACGAGCTATCGCCGCGAGCGTTTACGAGTGAGTCTACGACGGACGCCGTATATTTGCACGCCGCAAGAAGACGCTCTGAGCTTCCTACGCACCCCCCACCGGGCTACTGTCCTCCACTCTCTTAGACTCGCTCGCGAAACACGTCATTGGTGTTGGCATCGTCTCTTCAACACCATGTCTCGGATCCTTTGGTCCCGGGGAGGGGTGGCTGCAGGTGATCCGACTCAGAACCGTCAGTACTCTGCCCGCCTCTTATGCGAGCACGTCGTCACGTCTCCCGGGAGCTCACGCACGCCCACGAGTCGGGTGCCTACGCACAGCCACCGCAACGACATACGAAACAGCTCCTCCATCCTCAACGTACACCGGTAAGCTATGCTTCGCGGAGCTTGCGCGAAGCTTCTGTAGACTCCAGCTTGGCTGAGCACAAGAATATTACTCGACCGCTAATGCCATTCGGTCACTGAGCCAGGTCCGACGGTAGCGGGATCGTACTCTGGATTCGTTGGCGTACTTGTCGGTGCAGGTGTTTTGATTCTGTTCGTCACAGTAGCCCTGGCATTGTTGCGCTATCGGACGCTGAGACGCAAGGAGCGGCCAGTAAAGCAATTTGAGGGCGATACCGTGGACTCCTGGGTCGACGACGAAGCGTTCGAGATGCCACGTACGGGCGCCAGAGGATTCGGATCAGCGGCACGTCAAGTCTGGCCGGCTGGCAGCCTGGAACATGCATACGCTGGGAGTGAGATATCTGTCACAGAGCCGTCCCAAGCGATGGCCTCGCACAATTTCTACAGCGTACCGACCGACTCGGAAGTGTTTCTGGACGAACGGGGGAGGCACGCACCTGATAATTTCACTATGAAGGACACGCTTTGAGTTGGCCGAATCTGACAGTTGCAATGCACAAGGACTCCCATCTAGCTTCATCCACACACGTACTCCAGCTGCCAGCATTCTGGTCATATCAAGACAGCCTTCCCAGGCTCTTGCGCTCCATCATCTCCTCCTCGATAGCGTCTGTTCGATCAATCTTGCCAGTCCATTCCCATGCGCGCAGCTCTTCGCCCGCGAATTCGACGTCCTTGGCTCGAATGTTCGCGTTTCCCTCCACGACGCGCGCTACTTGTGTCCACAGACGATCCCTCTTAGCCGGTGAATGCTCTTCCTGCAGAATGAGATCACGAAGGTGTGATTGCGCAATCGCAGGTTCAGGAGTAATGGCTGCATCGGATCGGCTTTGCTCGGCCTGAAATCAACATCACATCAGTGCTTAGCGCCACTGCGATAGAACAGTGCCGCACGAACATGTTTCGAGGCTTACCTGCTTCCTCAAGAGAACCAAAGCAGATTGCACCAGTCGACGAACACGAGAAGCTTCCTGGACATGGCGTGTCCAGGCCAGCCGACCGTATAACCACGTCGCAACCATAGTGAGCAGTGCTAGGAAAGACACGTGCGTACTCGCGTAAGCCTCCCAAAATAGCATTGCGCCTGTGAATGCAAGTTGTGGTGCAGACACTGACCTATGAGCAGGATTGTATGCTCGCGAGCTTGACGCCACGCCGCCAGACGTAATTTGCAGCCGATAGGCATGTCTGCGGAAGTTGCAGCGTACCACATCTCATCCCTGGTGCACCTCACGCGTCAGCCTAGATTGCCAGTGAATTGTTCCAGCAGCGGCGGCTCACGCACCTGTCCATCAGTCCGAGCACTTCTCCATGGTCTTGAAGATCCCGCAAGGCCAACTCGTTCAACTCTTCAAGATGCTTCTCATCGAGCGGCGATGCAGACAAATTGTTGTCCTCCTTCGCCCAGCGGGCAATTTGCTCGGCAGAAACGCCATACACATGTACCTCTGGAGCCTTGTCCACTACGTGCCTTGAGGAACCAGTGCAGATCACATCGCCACGGTGAGCGCGGAGGCGGGCGGCTAGACGACTCGCTCGTAACGCAATGAGCATGAGTTTGTCGGAGTCGGGGGCACATGTCGGAGCCAATGGAACAAGCCCTCTGAGGCGGAAGGGATGCGGCCGGATGATGTGATCCGGCTCGCAGCCCAAAAACTGTCCGCCGTCACAAACGCCATGGCTCGGACACGCGCTGCAAGAGGGCCGGAGATGGGTCCGGTCCATCTGCCGCCAAACGTCTGAAGGAATCTTGGTAAGCCAAGCCGATGACCACCGCGGCGCGAAAGAACGCAGAAAAAGCGAGTCGGAGCGCGAGGAGCTGAGCGCATTTTGAGCAGTTTGGGTGTCACAAAAACCAACCATAAGCTTTTCCTCGCGCCACCACAGGGCGAACACGAGCAAGACCAGTGAACAAAGCACGGTGAAAGCTCCCGGGCTCGTTGAACGATCCTCTGCCTTGTTTCGAGCTGGAAGCGGGCCAACGGTGGCGAGGGCCGAATTTGGCATCGGGGGAGCTGTGAATCGGCGGCGAACAGAGTCGGTGGGCGCGCCCGGAGAGGAGGACCAGGCATCGACGACTTCTCCTTCGGGCTCAAGAACCGAGCCAAGCGAGCCAACGTATGCTTGCGTAGGAGTGTCGTCTTCGAGTTCTTGGCTTGAGCTACCAGTCTCGCCACAGTCAGAAACTTGGTCCCGGCGGTCGAGAGCTTCGAGCTCGTTCCCGAGTACGAAAATCTCGTCAGGTATATACTTGATCGACTTCCGAGGAACTACATAGCGGCGTCCAGGTAAGGTAACATGACCACTCGAGCGTTCGGTTGTACCGCTTGGCAGCTGGTGCCGACTTTCGACGCTTCCAGCAGTTACCCGAGGTCTGTGGAGTGCAGGAGGCGATGAATTACTCGCAAGATGATTGTCGCCGCATGGGAGACTTTCGGCGTATGCTATATTGTTCATCTCCGCCACGCGTGATTGACCGGGACCCAGAGACGACTGAGCAAGCCAGATACGTGCGTAAGGTGTCAGGAAAAAGTGCGTTCCGAAGCGGAAAAGCAACAGAAGTGCTAACCTTGCGTCTTGGTTTTCGCTCTGGTGTGTCCTCTGGCCCGGATTGGAAAGGGTTGTAGTCCGAGAATCCCGCTTCGCCACTTGAGTCGTAGTTGAGAGATTGGCGGGGTGTACTTGTTGGCGCCAGTGGGCTCGAGCTCGGGTTGATCAAGTGGGTCGTCCGCCGCCTGGCGCCTGCGGCGGAGGCATGCCGCGATGCGCTCCGCGACTTCAGTTCAGTAGTATCATCCCCAGCTGAGGAGGGTGGGGGCTGTCCAAGCCCGGATTTGCGAGTCGAGGACTGTGTGAGCGGAAGGTCGTTAACGACGTATCAGTGACCTCGTTCACTAGGTCAGCCCCGCTATGGGCTGGGGCGGGTACGCGTGCATTACCTTGGTGGGGTGATTTCGCTCTCGCTCATCCGTATCAGCTGCGCTGTCTTTCTTGCGTTTTCGCGTGGATACCCGCCCGGAAGCATTTGTCGCGGGCAAAGCGCGTTTTTTGGAACGGGCATCTTGCTTGAGACCTGACGCAGCCGACATCGGTCTTGCATCGTGGTGGTCGAGGTCTGAGCGGTCTGAGCCGGTGCAAAGCTCGCCGAGCGAAGCCCCGTCTTGAGATTCACCGTCCAGGATACCGTGGTCTGAGGCCTTGACACCGAGGGATTCGCGTAATAGCACCTGGAAGAAAGCGATGGAGCAAAAAGAGGCCTGCGGTGAGTGGAGGTCCCCCAGTCGCAACTCGGCGAGCGACCGCTGTCCCTTGTTGTAGAGTACGGGGAAGGTGATTTTCGGTGTCATTTCGACTTACGGGTGCTTTGGGGCGTACGTGTGACTCGTACAACGCGACCAACTGAGGCTTCTTGGCATTGGCGGGCCAGGGAACCTGAAGGCGCGTCATGGCGGGGAAACCAACAGACGTTCAGTCAACCGACTCACTGGATACAAAGGGGGGCATCACGGGCGGTGAGAGTCCTCAATACTGACGTCATGCCGGAGGAGAATGTTGCGCAAGTGAGCAACCACACTCTTGTTGGGATTAAATTCGGGTTGAAGATGATCCATCGTTGGCGAAATAGTCAGAATGAGAGCGAACTTGTGTGCGCCTCGGTCCGCCGGAGAGCAGCGTGGCGAGGCGGGGCCCTGCGGGGCCTAGGAACTGATTAGGGTGTGCCAGTACGTGATGTACCCTGCTGCAGGTTGGTGTGAAGTGATTGCCCTCGTAGTCTTTGGTGCGGGTGTGATGTGGCAACCTGGCCTGGTGCGGGTTGCGTAAATAGCCTCCCAGCGCGATTTGTCGTAAAGTCTAGCAGGCTCTAGCGCTAGGCGCTGCTAGGCGCAGGCTCGCGATGGCTCGCGAGGGGAGGCGAGAGGAAGCGAGTGAGTAGCGTGTGCTGGCGAGTGGCAGCGAGTTGACTCGCGCAAGAGAGCGCAAAAGAGCGCAGGAGAGAGCGGGATGCAGCGCAGTGAGGCGCAGAGAGGCGCAGAGAGGCTCAGAGAGGCGCAGTCTGGCCTAGTCTGGCACAGGACCCCCGAAAGCCCAGCCAGAGGCGCATGTGGAAAAGCGCACTTTTTTGGCCATTTTGTCAAAGTTTTTTACCCTATTTTGGCCCCAAAATGTCAACATTTCACATGCGCCTCGGAAACATTACCAAAATGTGTTCTACATGCTCCAAAAATCGCTCAAAAGTCCTCGAAAACGCGTTCCGAGCGTTTGCGGGCGCGCGGCGGCCGATCGAAAGTGGCTTGCGGCGCGCGTCGCTTCGGCTGTTGTCGCGCATGGCTCCAGGCATCAAACAACTTCGAGTACGTGGTTCGACATGATCTGACCATAGACCTCTTGTCGTCCTTTGATTTTGTCCTGTGGCGTCGGAGTTAAACGTCAGCGCAGGAAAAGGCGCACCTCAGTTTGGGTCATGATACATCACGAATCAGCGACTAACGTGAGATCGTCCCTGGGTGATGATCGCACTTGTCGCTTGCTCGTGCAACGTCTTCTCCCGGATATTTGCCCCTGAATTGCTGAAGCGAAGGTTCCTCTCGTTCCCCACAAACTGTCGATACCTGTCCATTCCCATTGTCTCGACTATCCGTCGAAGTGCGGCAGAATGCACGTTGCCGCGGTGCTCGGTGCGGTCTTGGGCAAAGGGTTGATCTGACGCTACGTTCTGCGCGCCACCCTTAAACTTGATTTTCTCGAGGTGTCGGCATTGGTGTGCATGTCGTCGAGCGAGCAAGCTGAGCTGTCCAAGTCGAGTGGGGGGACAGAGTAGAGGGCCCCCTTCTCTAGAAGATGACGCGGGTACGGGGGCGCTTCCCACTGGTTGGGAACATGGGTCTGTATCAGTAGATGCATCGATCAGCCGAGAATTGTGTTCACTCACGGATTGCTCATGCTCATGAGATGCTTCGGCCAGGATCGTTTGAAGCTGTCGATCTTCTTCTTCTGCACCGGCTTGATCGAGGCCAGCATCAACAGCATCGCTGAGGGTTCAATATACGGTTGTTAGTGATCGTTTGTTGCTCTCAAACACCAAGCTACGTACATAAGAGCTTCCTGGTCAGTGTCAAGCGCAGTCACCGAAAGAAGCGCGCTCAGAATCGCGTCGCGTTCCTCGCGTCGCAGAATACACGGTAATGGCTCCGATCCGACAAGACGGAGACGATCGAGGACTTGGTTCAGACCAGCCTCGTCTACGTTCGGAGGGACACCTTGGCGAACGGTCGATGTTGCCATCTATCGAGAGCATGTTAAACGACCCGTAAGTGTGATGTCACTCGCACAAGATGAGATAGGTGAAATGACTGAGACTTAACCATCGACCAGGATGTCAGGGAGAGGAGCTTGCTTGCGTTTCTCGATGTCCCATTCCTCGATGATGTCCCACATGCGAAGTCCTTTGAGAATGTCGCTTGCCGCATGCGCAGCTTCATGGGCGATGGCCTCGATGTCGCCATCGCCCTGATAGGTACCGAGCGCAGTCAAATTGAGGTTGTGCAGGTTTTGGTATGTGTGATGGTAACCTTGCGCGGAGCCAGCCGCATCTGTGCCAAGTTGATGCATCGCACGCTGTAGTACCTCGACTTTGGCATATGACTGAGGAAAGGAAAACCCTAGATAGGTTCAGTCTTGCAAGGAATTTGTCAAGGAGGAAGACGTACTTGGAGGAAGTCAAGAGCATCAAACTCGTTCACAATCTTGCGCAATGTTCCAAAGAAGTGTACGACCATCTCGGTCCCGTGTCTCCAGGGAATGAACGCCTTTTGCGGCCAATAGTTCCGATAATTCCGAACAAGTGCAATGTAGCCATCGACCACTCGATAGATGCCATCCAGAGTCTGAGGACTGAGGAAGTTGTTGGGAGAACTGCGCGGTTGGGACTCCGCGAATTTCGTCCATCCCTCCAGGGCATATCGAACGGGCAAGAGCATAAGAACCCGTTCAGCATGTGGTAGCTCGCGATTTGAATTGCGTCGTGCATCTCGCCAAAAAGGAAGAGTATGATGACCCCTTCTTGATCTATCTTGCCAACACGCGCGAGCCGTATGACAGTGTCAAGTGTCTCAAAACCAAAGGCTCGATGTGTCGCATTGTCGTCTTGTCGATCGCGGCGAAGCACATCTTGTCGATACAAAGTACGAAGTTCCGTAGGCAGTGTTGTATCAACTAACTTCAGGAGATCCCGAAAAGTGAAGCATCCCATGCCGCCAATGAAGCAACGCGCACCTGTGTCGAGGGTGTTTCGACAATTCTTGGCGACTTGTTGCTCGTCGCGGCAGAAGACGACGGGTGTGCCCCCCATTAGCGCCGATCTGATGACGATTGCGGAGAAGATCTCGTTGCTCTGGGCACGAGGAAGAATGTATGTGCACGATGCCGGTGATGGTTCAATCTCGTTCAAGCGCTCCATTGTCTTGCGTTGCGACCGCCAACGAGCCTTCTCAAACTGAAATGGACTCGAATACGATCTCATGATTGATCGTAAATGCAGACACTTACAACACGCTCAAATCGCAAACAGCGCGACTGTTACCCGCGCGCAGCTGGGCCGGCTCTAAAAAAAAACCCTGCGCCTCCAGCCTCCCGCTACCCTGGTCTGTGTCTGCGCTTCAAAGTTCGACCGGAGGGAGGAAAATGTCCAAAAATGAGGTGAGTCTCGACCCATTTTGAGCCAAAAATGTCCAAATTTGCTGGCCGCCTCTGGCAGCCTCTGGCTGGGCTTTCCGGGGTCCTGCCAGATAGATGCAGCTGCCCTCTGCTGCCCTCAGGCCCATCTCCGTCCGCCCCTCGCTTCGCTTTGGATCGACCCATTGGACGCTTAACACGTAGCGTGCGTATCAATAAGTGTCGGAACTGCCATCCTCGGCTAGCAGGAGACTGCTTGCAAATGCTGGGCCGTCCCACCGAGCTCGTCCATCAGTTGGTAATGGCCCCCAAGGCTACCACCGCCGTGCGACGACGTTGCCGACCTCCTGCACCATGGACCCCCACGACGTCCGCGATCAGCGCAGCCAAACCACCGGTCCACGACCTCGTCGGTGCACCTTGTCCACTCTCGAACTTACGCCCCGTCTACTATGCGCCTTTGTTCCCGGAATTGCACGAGTCTCCGTCAACTACAAGGTCCCCACACCCTTACTCCCTCGCCGAGTTCCCCTCGACATCGCCATCGCCATCGCCCTCGTCGCTGTCGCCTTCATTCGCAGCCCATCAACATCGCCTCCAATCGCTCAAAGCCAAGTTCCATGCTCAGGATCTCGAGTACCGTCTAAATCTCTACCGTCTCGACGCGCTCAACCAAAACTTTTGGGCACGTACAAACGCCGACTTCCTCGCCGCAAGAGAACGCTGGCTGTGTCAACATTATCCCCTGGCCGGCCGTAACGAGCGAGATGTCGACCTGTCCTCTTTTTATGTGCAACACCTAGCCGCAACCAAGCATGCGTACCAAATGTACAACGCAGAATTGTGGAGGGCTACCGCCCGAATGATGTGGCCTGCGCTCAAGGCCGCCAGGAGAAAGTGGCGCTGGAAGTGGGAGGTATGGAAGCATGCTCGGTGGGGTGGTTGACTGTGCTCTTCAAATTGACAAGGTACGGCTCTGTTGAATGATGATGGCCCGCGTCGCGTGAGCCTCTACGAACTGGCGCATTTCTTGAAGGCGTTGACGCCCGGAATCGTTGGTCAGACATCTGACTGATCTCACATTAGACGGATCAAGGTTGCAGAGATAATCTTCGAGCCCTACTGCAATACAGGTACACTAAGGAGCACAAACACACTCCCCTCGGCTCGCGGGATAGAACAAATGGCGAAGCACTTTGTGCAACGTGTTTTGGCGACCATGGCTCGGCATGTCTTCGAACAATGCACGAGTGGTACAAGTCAATCTTTCGAAGGTGGCGTTGTCGAGAAGGCCATGCAGGCTACGCATATGTAGATTCGAGTGCACGTAATGGTAACCGACCACTCTAGATACGCTACTTGACCAGATGTCGGTCTTCACAGAACTCGGCCACGATAGTCGGCAGTCGACAGGCATTGCTGAACGACCGAGACCAAGTGCGAGTTCTCAAGCGCGGCTGACTCAGACCAGAGTACAACGTCGCGCAAAGGGTTGCAAGGATCGCTTCAGATGGGAGTACAAGGAGAAAGTGGCCGCTGTTGCACTCACCGGCAACTCGTTCCTTGTCGTTCAATTGCTTGTTGACTGCGCGGGATTGTGCACATGGCCGGCGGCAGGACGAGGGCAAGTCAGATTCACGCGGTACCCCGTGAGATAAATAAAAGAGAGACTCCACGTACCTGCATTTTCGCTCTGGTGAGAGCCCTCTTTGACTTTGATATCGACCTTGAAACGTTCGGGCAAGCTTCGCAACAGTCGTACGCGTAACGACAGGCCTGCGCACCCGACCACAGCGAGGTGAGCCATGACCATATGTCGCATAGAACAGCCATGAAGTGGAGAAGCATGGATGACTGCGAGACTATCTTGCGGCGGAGCTCACCAATGAGGGTGGCCATCGAACAGTGCGGGATTGTTGGGGTGAACTCGACGTGGACACTCGGCCGAGCGCCGTCAGTCACATGGATCTGCGGTGCTGAAACGACGGCGAGTTGTTCCAGCGTCAAAGGATGTTCGGGATCCGTGATGGAACGGATCAGATCTGTGGTCCCAAGTAATGCCCCGCGGATTGGTGTCAGCTAGTTGCTCCGTGCTCCGCGTCATCACGTGCTCAACCGGTATCCCGCTTGAGGACAAGGGCTGACCGAAGATCTCGTCGGAGTCGATGGCCTCTGTGGGGCCTGGCATGTGTTCTACGCGGGCGACAATAGTGTCAAGTATCGATGGCGGGGACGTGGCACCAGAGGCACCGTTGGGCGTCAACCAGTCGTTGTCGTCTTCCAGTTCGAGGTGACGGACCCGGGCCGAAGACCGACACCGACGTGACGAAGGCGTCGCGTGTACGACCGGATTTGCATTATCGGGACCCGATGAAAATGGCATACTTGGATTAGGGTTAGATCAGGTTTGGATTGGGCGGCGTTCCCTGCGGAGAGATGACTGGCCGTTGCCGATCGTCGAAACAAGCGTATGAGCGAGGCTAGAGAGTGAAGGATAGGAAGGACCTTAGGAAGGGACAGTAGTACGGAGTGGCGCGTTTTAAGGGCTGATACTAGGTTCGGCGGCGCGCTCCGCGCGCCACCTCACACCGTAACCGTTGACCTGCAATGCGATGTACTTCGCTGCAACAGCTGCGGTACTGTTCAGTAACGGAAACCTAGAGACCCGTGTCGAGTGTGGACCTTTTCACGGGTGTTGCGAGCTGCCAATCGAACCGAGTCGTACAGCTTGACTTGCGAGTTGCCAATCGAACATCCTTTCGACCAGCTGGAAACATCGACGGCGCTGCATAGGCGCCTCTCATTTCATCACTGAACTACTTTTTTGTTCTCTGGGAGCCCGATGATGGGCTCAGACCGTCGTCAAGACCCGCGTCGAGTGTGGAGCAACGCCATCCCGAAGATGTTGAGACTCTGAAGATACTCGATCGAGAACAGTGATTCGTCTTCGTTTTCGTCGACCGAATCCGGGCTGTAGAACGTTTGAGCGTCACCCGGCAGCAGGTCGAGCACCATGTCGTTGATCTGATCCACCTGCGAATCTTTGGGCGCCAGAATTGCTCGATGTCGGAAGTATTCGACTTTTTCGCCTATCGACATATTGTCCAGTTCGAGCGCGGGGCCGGGATAAACTCTGATCAACCTGGATCTGTTCGTCGTGGTCGCCGGCAGGAGAAGCTCACGTGGGAGCGCGATAGTCTTCTGTTTCGTTCGCCGAGCCGTCTGCAACTCCTAAGAGCCAATCTGCAAAGCCCTGTGCCTTTGCCCGTTCCGTTCCGGTCATGCGGTCTGCAGTGGCCAGAAGACGCATGTTTGTCTGCGCTCGCACCGTGCCGTTGTTAGTATAGGGTCCAAAAGTCAGGCAAGGACTACTACTTACAGAGAGATCTCCCCAGAAGTCAGCATTCATGATGCAAGCGTCGACGATTTGTGCAGGCGATGACTTGGGAATAACGGGAAGGCATTGCTTCGGATCCCCTGTGCTGTTGCAGTCCAATCGATCAGTTAGTCATGCCGCCCTGCGCTTTGCTTTTGAAAGATTGGCACACACCTGCCAATACGACGGTCACTCCACCGAACCGAGCCGTTGAGGATCTGCCACGGGATGGTGAGCCGCAATCCACGGAACCAAAGCATGTTTTTCTGTGTGATTCGTTTATTACAACTGTCAGTATTCTTGCTGTTGTCCATCTGTAGCAATGACAGTGAAGACTCACATTTAGTGTCCCATGGACCTGGATTCTCAACCGTACGAAGCCAATCCTTCCGCTGTATTTTCCCGTGGCCTGCTTCCTTCGCGAGCGTTGTTGTAGAATATGGGGTGTTTGTGGGCATCGATGTCATTTTCCCAGACAGGCCACGATGGGTGCCCCCGCTTTTCGGGGATAGGGTCACCTCCTGTCACTGACGATACAATGTCTGTTTTTCGTATCAGTTTTTCCGTCATACCTGCCTGCACAGCCAATGTCACGTGAAACTCACGAATGCAGTCACCAATTGATGGTGGAGGAAAGCAACTCGAGGGTTGACATTCAACGAAGACGTGTTGAAGGGAATTGCTGCTTGGTAGTTTTCCATTAGCTCCTGAACAATCCCACACCTAGAGCACAGTTCATGAAGTCACTTACTCGAATCCGTAGCTATGCTGCATGCTGCAACTTGTCCCGTATTCGTTGCAGAGCTTCCACGACGACCGCTTCGGACGTCGCGAGCTCGAGGCCGGTTTGTCTCAAGAACAGTTCGGATCGGCCCACCCGTTCGATATCTGCGTCTGAGGCTGGATGGATGATTGGTTGACATCATGTCAAGGGGCTGCTCCCCTAGACGTTTTGCTGTTCGCGTGAATTACTACACGGAGGCATCCCTGTTGAGGGATCGATCAATCGACACTTCCCAAGCAATGTGACAACTACCTGAGCCGTGTCCTGGGCCAGGACCGTATTGCGGCAAGTCGATCGACGTCATCGACTGACAGAGCTGTTCGTTCGCCATCCGCGAGTGGTGTTGGGGCTTCTTTCATGATGGGCGATGGGATGAGGTGCAATGGGAAGAGGTGCGACGGGTAAGGTGTGAAGAGCAGGAGGGAGAAAGATGGAGAAGCCTGCGCCTCAGTTTAAATCGGGTTCATAGAATGTCGCGGAAGGCCGCGGAACGACGTGGAGTGAAGCCCAGTGTCGGCAAGCTGTGACACGCTGGCGGGGCCCCTAACGGCGGAATTAACGCACTGGTCGACACTACCGGACGTGCTGCCGGTGCAGATTGACTTGACGAACCAGTTTGCGCGACGTCGTGTTGATCGATTGGCGGCGGCGACTGTGCGATTAGAGCAAGAGTCGGGTTGCACGGAGGAGGCTCAGCTCGCTCACGTTGCCGACGTCTCTGCTGCCACTCTGCTCTCCGTGCGGCGTGAAGATTGTCGTACAGGAGACGGGACGTAAAAGATTGCAGATGTCATTTCGGCAGTAGCAGGAACTGGATGATTGAAAGGAACTACGCTACGATGTGGTAGACACGCAAAACAGGTCGTCGCAGTCTGCTTCGGGAAGCAGAGAGTCACGTGCTCTTCAATGGAACCTCGGCGAACGTAGACGAAACGGTCTGTCGCTGGCCGACCCATGCTGAAACAGCGCTACAGTAGCTAGCTGGAAGCGCTGGACCGAGAGCTGCCTATGACGTCACGCCACGTGGTTTGTCTCCCGTTCTCTGACGTTCTTTGTCTCGACTCACGGTTTTATAGAATAGGTAGATATAGTTTTAAGGATAAGGATAGTATATAGTATAGAACGTGTTTAGTAGATAGTATAGATAGATAGATAGATAGATGGATAGATATGTGAGATTCTCAAAGTACTTTAATTCTCTCTTATTTCCTTCTAGCATCATGGCCCCTGTGTCTCTTCCCTTATTCTCCTTCTTGACCCGGCTTTGCCGTCTATCTTCCGCATTCTGGCCAGACTCGCGCACTTGCTCTCAGCTAGCTGGCCCCGCGCGACTCTCTCTCTCCTGCTCAAGCAACTTCTTGGTCTGGTCTCCCTTGGTCCGTCGATCAGAGACTTACCACTGCTTGAGCAGGTGTGTCAATATCACGAAGGACGAAGATAGGAGAGGTGAGCCGGACGAAGGGGCTCGAGACGAGGGCAAGGGCGAGTGACGAGTTGAGAGGTGTTCTAGGGACTTCTCACAAGAGGCGAGGACGAGGGACGAGTGCAAGGATGTGACCTTTGACGAGATTCGAGTTGCAGAAGGGAAAGAGAGAAGTGAGCTACGGAACTGGGAAACTAGACCAGAGGAGTCGGGGACGAGGTGGCGAGCTTGAGGAGGCGAGGCACGAGGATCACGTAATAGTGTTGAGGCCAAGGATCACGTAATAGAGCTTGGTTGATGTTCACGTAAGAGTCGGGGGCGAGAGGGTTGTGAGCGTATAGTTGGAGGAGAAGAAGGCAGTGCAGGTGCCGAAGCGGGGAGAGGAGGTCCGAAGCGCGGGAAGGCCGAAGTCACGCGGATGACGTGGGTGCTGAGAGGCCGAACCTGGAGTGGCGAAACTCCCATTCGTGACAGTACCCCCGGGTTAAGCGTCGAGCTCCGCGAGATGTTGGATACGGTCGGCGCCAGGCTTGCGAGGTTTCGAGCGATGGAAGTCGAGGACGAGAGCATCGTCATCATCGAAATCGGAAGCGTCAACCCACTCACGATCCTGAGGTCCATAGCCAGTCCAATCAACGAAGTATTGAAGCGAGCCATGGCGAACGCGAGAGTCGAGGATCCTTTCGACGACGAAGGCTTCCTGGCCGTCAATGAGGTCGGGCGGTGGCGGCACAGGTTGCTGACGAGAGGGCAGAGTGTTGGGGCGATAAGGTTCGAGGAGCGAGACATGGAAAACAGGATGAATGCGCATCGTCAAAGGGAGGTCCAACTCGTAGGCAACGGGATTGATGATGCGCTTGATGGCGAAAGGTCCGAGCTTGTTGGAGTCGAGCTTCGATGACGGCCGAGTGGTGCGGATGTTGCGTCGATTGAGCATAACTTGTTGACCGAGCGCAAGAGGAGGTGTGGGAGCACGACGAAGGTTGGCGTAGCGAGCATGAGACTCCTGAGAACGACGAATCTGATCTTGTGCAAGTTGTTGGGCATTGCGAAGACCGGCAAGATGTTGTCGAACGTCTGGAACAGGAGTCTCCTGGAGGGTGACTTCAAGCCTTGGGTGATAACCGCGAGAGGCGAAGAAAGGAGTCATCCCTATGCTCGAGTGAAAGGAATTGTTGTAGGAGAACTCAGCTAGGGGGAGCAAATCATGCCAATCGTCTTGATGGTAATCACAGAAGTGGCGTAGGTAGTGCTCGAGGATCTGATTGGTTCGTTCCGTTTGGCCGTCTGACTCTGGGTGGAACGCGGTAGACAGGTTGGGTCGAATGTCGAGCATCTTGAGGAATTCGGTCCACCAAGATGAAGTGAAAGTCGTTCCGCGGTCGGATACGATGTCGCCGGGTAGGCCATGGAGTCGAAAGATGTGGGTCTTGAATTGCGAGGCGAGGGTTTTCGAAGTGTCGCTTTTTCGTGCAGGAATGAAGTGAGCTTCCTTGGTGAGGCGATCAACAACGACGAGGACGGAGTCGAAGCCGGAGAACGGCGGAAGGTCGACGATGTGATCCATCGAGAGCGAGGACCAGGGTTTCGTCGGAACCGGGAGCGAGTGAAGTGGGCCATGCTTCCGATGATGGGAGGGCTTGTTGCGCTGACAACTGTCGCAGGAGCGAACATAGTCATTGACGAAGGCGCGCATCCCAGGCCACACAAAGTTCCGATCAACCAGTTCGAAGGACTTAGCTTGGCCGAAATGCCCAGATGGAGGCGAGTCATGAACTTGACGCAGGAGTTTGACCTTGAGAGGTTCGAAATCGGGGACGTAGATCTTGTGGCGTTGTAGGAGGAAGCCATCTTGAAGTGCAAAGTCGGGGTGAAGCGAGGCGTCACGATTGAGATCGTTGATGACGCGAAGAGATGCCGGATCATGAAGAAGGCGAGACTTGATCAAGTCAGCGATCTCTGAGGAGGGTGAAAAGGTGGCGGAGATAGAGGATGGACGTAAAAGCACTACACCGGGTTGTTCACAAGCTTTTCCCCCCGCGGCAAAGTCGGGACGCCGAGAAAGCGCGTCGGCCTTGTTGTTTTGAGCGCCGGGTCGGTACTTGATGATGTAGTTGAGGTCGTTGACCGTTTCGGACCAGCGAGCTTGGCGACGAGTGAGCACTTTGGTCGTCTGGAAGTATTGAAGCGCGTTGTGGTCGGTGAACTCCTTCGAGATAATGTCGCCAAAGTTTCATGCAGGCAACGATGGCGAGGAGTTCCTTGTCGTGGATCTCGTAATTCTGCTCGGCAGGGGTCATCTTGCGAGAGAAGAACGCAACAGGACGAAGCTGAGAATCGACTGACTGGGAGAGGATCGCGCTGATGGCATAATCAGACGCATCGGACTCAATGACGCAAGGAAGCGAAGGATCGTAGTGACGAAGGACGATGTCGGAAGCGAAGAGCGACTTGAGGCGATGGAAGGCGGCGAGAGCCAAGGAGTCGAAGTCGAAGACGGCACCCTTCTTGAGAAGACGGGTGAGAGGCGAGATGATGCGAGAGTAGCCTTGAATGAAACGCCGGTAGAAGTTGGCGAAGCCGAGGAACTGTTGCAACTCCTTGAGCGTGGTCGGAGCTGGCCAGGAAGTGATAGAGTCCACCTTCGAAGGAGACATCGAGACACCGTCGGGCGAAATGATGAAGCCGAGGTACTCAGTCAAGGTCTGGTGGAACTCACACTTCTTCGGGTTGCAGTAGAGCCGATTGTCGATGAGGCGACGAAGGACTTCTTGCACATGAACGACATGGTCGGAAGGCGAATCCGAAAAGATGAGGATGTCGTCGAGGTAAACGAGCACCGTGACGTCGAGGAGGTCGCGGAAGATGCTGTTCATCAAGTGTTGAAAGGCAGCAGGGGCGTTAGTGAGACCGAATGGCATGACGAGGCATTCGAAGTGACCGTAGCGTGTGCGAAACGCGGTCTTCCATTCGTCTCCCCCTTTTATGCGAACGAGGTTGTAGCCGGAGCGCAGATCGAGCTTGGTGAAGATCTTGGCCGAACGAAGTCGGTCGAGCGCCTCCGGGATCAAGGGCAAGGGGTATCGATTCTTGAGGGTGACCGCGTTGAGTCCCCGGTAATCGACACAGAGGCGGAGCGACCCATCCTTCTTGCGAACAAAGAGAATGGGAGCGCCCGCTGGCGAAGTCGACGGGCGGATGAACCCCTTCGAGAGGTTCTCGTCGATCCAAGTCGAGAGTGCCTGAAGCTCCTTTTCGGACAGAGGGTAGAGAGGGCCGAAAGGAGGTTGCTTGCCGTCTTCTATCTCGATGGCGAGATCGAAGGGTCGATGAGGCGGAAGAGTGTCGGCCTGCGCTTTGGAGAAAGCCTGAAGAAGGTGGTGGTACTCCGAAGGAAGCGCAGATCGCAAGTCATCGAGGTATTCGGCAGAATCAGGTGGACCCACAGGGAAGACTGACGGGGAGGCTTCCTCTGAGGTCGAGAACAAGTACGAGTGCGCTGGATCGCGATTGATCAGGCCAAGGGAGGGCTCATCGACCAGAATTTGATCGAAGGCGTCGGAGGAAGCGAGGGCGACGTCCAGAGCGAGGTCGGGCGCCGAGTGTACGAGTGGGAGGCCCTGAAGGCCGACATCAACTGAGGTTGGATGTCCAAGAGTGCATTGAGAGCACGAGAAAGTGAGTGTATTGTCTGCCCAATTGATAGAGGGATTGAAGAGACGTAACCATGGGGTGCCGAGCACCAGCGGGTAGGTACCCAGCTGCGTGACATCGGCCTGAATGACTTGAGAGTGTCCTCCGAGCGTGATCGTGAGGCGAACGAAGTGGGTGACGTGGCCGGACGCGATGGGGCGGCCGTCGATGACGAAGAGTGGGATCGGAGTCGAGTGGGGGCGGCGGACGAGGCCATGACGAGACACGAAAGAGTCGTCAATGAACAACGAGGTCGCACCCGAGTCGATGAGGGCCGAGCCTGAGACCGGAGGTTCCAGGCAGAAGTCGAGGGGTAGGACGAGATGATCGAAAGGTTGAGTGTCGAGTGTGGATGCCAGAGTGATGTAGACCGGTGAAGGAGGTGACCGAGTGATGCCGTGCGCGTGTGTGATGTCCTCATGCGTACACGAGGGCAGAGGACGCTCTAGTTTTTCGAATTGCTAGAGGGGGCAGCGGCATCTGTGATGGAGAAAGTGGCGTTGCCAGCACAACGTCCTGGATACTTCCTTGGAGCGGCGGGGCAAGCGCTGACCTGGTGGCCACCTTCACCGCAGTAAAGGCAGAGGTTGTTCTTGAGGCGTTGTTCGCGTTCTTGAGGGGTGAGAGGAGCCCTGCGAGTGGTCGTGGCGTCGACGTCCATGGGAGTGGGGCCCTGGGTCGTGACGTTCGTGGTGACGCGGGTCGGCGGCGAAGCCGAGTTGCCGCGTTGCTGAGTGTTGCGAATGAGGCTTGGTGGTCGCCTTCGCTTCTTGACGGCTTTGATGAAGACGGTTGTCGGCCTTGATAGCTTTGGCGGAGAGGTCGGCAACCGAGGTGGGGTCGTCTTGGAAGCTGAGCATGTTGCGAACGTCGGGCTTGAGGCCGGCGTAGTATTGGGCCTGCAAAGCGGGATCATTCCAAGCAAGGAAAGCAGAGAGCTGGAAGAAGGTACTCGCATAGGCAGCCGCGGATCCGGTTTGGGTAAGGGCGCGCAACTTGTTGGTAATGGTGTGTTCGCGATCGGGGTCGCCGAGGTAGAGCTGGGCCTGTTCGAGGAAAGCGGTGAAGTCCTTGAGAAAGTGGGGGCGCTTCTCGTCGGCGAGCTCGATGTAGGGTTCGAAGACCTTGTAGGCACTGTTGCGGAGGAGGGAAATCATGAAAGCAATCTTCGCCTGATCCGTAGTGAAGAGAGTGGGGTTGCCATAGATGTAGAACTTGCACTGAGATACGAACGTAGAGTAACCGGTCTTGTCCTTGCCATCATAGGCAGGCGGCTTCTCCAACGGCGACTTGGGCTTGGGAGTGTGCTGGAGGGTGTCGGTGAGCTTCTTGACGACGCTGAAGTTGTCCAAAACCGCTTGGTAGGTCTGCTGTAGAGCGCGGCGTTCGGCGTGGAGGCTGGCGATTTCAGCTTCGCGAGAGACTAGGGCGGCGTCGCGGGCGGCGAGGGCGGCCTGGAGTTCTTCGATGGAGAGAGGGTTGGAGGACATGGTAGAGGAAGTCGGTAGAACCTGGGAACTCGAATCTTCTATCACGAAGGACGAAGATAGGAGAGGTGAGCCGGACGAAGGGGCTCGAGACGAGGGCAAGGGCGAGTGACGAGTTGAGAGGTGTTCTAGGGACTTCTCACAAGAGGCGAGGACGAGGGACGAGTGCAAGGATGTGACCTTTGACGAGATTCGAGTTGCAGAAGGGAAAGAGAGAAGTGAGCTACGGAACTGGGAAACTAGACCAGAGGAGTCGGGGACGAGGTGGCGAGCTTGAGGAGGCGAGGCACGAGGATCACGTAATAGTGTTGAGGCCAAGGATCACGTAATAGAGCTTGGTTGATGTTCACGTAAGAGTCGGGGGCGAGAGGGTTGTGAGCGTATAGTTGGAGGAGAAGAAGGCAGTGCAGGTGCCGAAGCGGGGAGAGGAGGTCCGAAGCGCGGGAAGGCCGAAGTCACGCGGATGACGTGGGTGCTGAGAGGCCGAACTTGGAGTGGCGAAACTCCCATTCGTGACAGTCAAGCAACTTCTTGGTCTGGTCTCCCTTGGTCCGTCGATCAGAGACTTACCACTGCTTGAGCAGGTCTGTGCGTTGCTTCTACCTCTCATAGGTTATAAGCCCAAACAATCTACCAGCACGGTCGCTTTCGCGTCCGTTTCGTTTTTCTTTCTCGAACTTCGCACGCTTGCGCCGCCCCCGCTATGCCTTCCAAGTCCGCGCCCGGCGCTATTTCCAAGCCCGACGCCGCCCTTGAGGCCGCCATCGCCCCTATCGTCGCTCGTCCACCGCAGCAGCCGGCCTCGTTTGCCGCGACGGAACTCCTCCGCGACTCGGCGGGCTACCAGGATTGGCTCCTCGTCGTCCGCTCGCGTTTGCAGGCCGGTGTCCTCCGGTACCTGGAGAGCGGTGAGCCATGCGCTTCGTGGCCCCCCTCGCTCGTTCCGTTATGGGATCACTACGCCCTTTCCTCGCTCTGCTCGTCTGTCGACCCTCGCTTGGTCCTCCCCGGCTTGTCGACCTTCCTCGACAACAGCGACGGCGCGCCGAAGATCTGGCAGGCTCTCCGTTCTCGGTATGGCGCCACCTCGGCTGTTGACCTGCTTCCGGCCGTCATCACGCTCTTCAGCACCGAGGAGCTCCCCGCCACCACGGACTCGTTCCTACAGTTCCATGACAGTTTCGAGAACCAGCTTCGTCTGCACACCTCGTCGAAGGTCACTGTCGACTCTCTGGTCGCCTCGCACCTCCTCTCCCGACTGCCGCCGTCCCTCGAGTCGTGGCGCTCGACCTTTGTCAACGACCAAGGTGATTCGACGACCCTGCCGTCTGTCTCGGTGATTTTCGATCGCCTCCTACGCGACATTCGCGCTCGTCCAGTCGACGCTCCCACCGCGGCGCTTGCTCGATCGTCCGCTCGCGACGCCCGCGCTCCTCGCTCCCCGTGCCCCAACCCAAAGTGTCGCAAGATGCATTGGCTCAGGGACTGCCCCGACACCGCTTGGGCAGCCTCCTTCCGCGCGCGTCGTGCCACCGAGAACGGCAACAAGCCCGCCGGCGAACGCAAGTCTTCGCAGCCCGCTGCCTCTCCGCCTCCTCCCCGTTCGACAAGGGGGCCTGGCTCCTGGACTCCGGCGCCAATCGGCACATGGCCAACGACGTTCGTCTATTTACGCACCTGCAGCCCGTCAAGGGACCGCACGTTGCTGGTGTTGCGGGCTCCCTGCCCTCCACCGGTTCCGGCTCCGTGGAGCTCAACACGACCTCCGGTCGCGTCGCCGTCGCTGACGTTCTTCATGTGCCCTCGTTGCCTTGCAACTTGTTGTCCGTTCAACGCCTCGACCGCCTCGGCTTCATGGTCTCATTCGGCTCCAACGTCGCCACCATCCGCAACGCCGCCGGCACCGCTGTCGCCACCACTCGGGCCATCGCAAACGACCTGTACACTCTGGACCTCGCCGCTGCACCTTGTACGCCCCACGCTCTGCTTGCTTCGCCCTCCCAGGTGTCCTTGCTTACCCTCCACAACCGCCTCGCGCACCTCCCTGTCCTCCTTCTCAAGAGAATCATTCAGAAAGGGATGGTTACCGGTGTGGCGTGGGATTACTCGGACGAGGAGTGTAGAACCTTCAATTGCAATGCATGTCTCGCTTCCAAAGCGCATGCCCTCCCATTCGCTCGCTCCAAGTTGATTGCCTCGCAGCGCCTCAGCCTGATCCATGTCGACCTTGCCCAAATGCCACACGTTAGCTTCGGTGGTCATCGCTACATGCTTGTGATCGTCGACGACCACACCCGAAAGCACTGGTGCATCCTCCTTGCCCGCAAGAGCGACACCTTCCCGCGCCTTCGCGATTGGATTCTTGAGGTTGAGCGAGCAACCGGTGACAGCGTCAAGACCATTCGCTCCGACAACGGCGGTGAATTCACGCTGCGCAGTTTCGTCGATTTCTGCTGCAGCAAGGGCATTCGTCGAGAACTCATGATACCCTACACGCCACAGCAAAACGGACGGGTTGAGCGCCCCAACCGCACCATCAAGGAGGGCATCCTTGCCCTTGCCTACTCGGCCGGTGTTGACTCGCGACTCTGGGGTGAAGCGGCCATGTACTTTGTCTGATGCAAGAACATGACACCCCATGCCGGCGTCAGTGGCGAAATCCCCGATGCTCGTTGGTATGGTTACACACCGGATGTTTCCTCTCTTCGCACCTTTGGCTGCCGTGCCTGGCATTGCCTTCCTTCGGTGTCCCGCTCTGCTCTCGACCCTAAGGCCATGCCTCTCATCTTCGTTAGCCTCGACGACCATTCGAAGGCTTACCGCCTGTTCAATCCGGCGACTCGCAAGGTGCTCCTCAGCCGGAACATCCTTTTCCATGAATCCGAGTTCCCCGCCTCGACACAAATTCCCGCCTCGTTCTCTCCGGCCAATCCTCTCCCGGATGTTGTTGCGTTACACCCTGACCAGGCTGACCTCCCCCAGCCACTGCTCGCTGTCCCCCCCCCCCCCCCGCTCCCCTGCGCCTCGCGCTGAGCAGCTTACCCCCGCGCCTGATGCCTCTGACCAAGGCTCGCCGGCCCTTGCTCGTAATGTCCCTGACCAGGAATTGCCTGCACCCTTCGCCTCTGACCAAGGCAGCGCCCCTGACCAGGGCAGCCCCGACTCGGCACTTTCTATGCCTTGTCCCTCTCCTCGACTCCGGCCCAGCTCCTACGATTTCTCCGCCCTGTGCCTTGCCCCGGAGTTCTCTGATGATGTCGATGACACCCTTCACTCGCCTGCGCCTGTGTGCTACCTTGCGGACGCTGCTGCCGCCCTCCTCGATACTTCTTCCGTCGACCCCGCGGAGCTCGTTGCGCCTGCGCGCGACCCTCCCCACTGGCGTGCTGCCATGGCCTCGCCCCAGGCGGACGAGTGGCATCTTGCGGCTCGTGATGAATTTGACTCACTCTCTCGCGATTTCTCCGCTTTCACGCCCATCGACCAATCACTTGTCCCCGACGACGCCAAAATCATTGGCTCTCGCTTCGTCTTTCGCACCAAACGCGACCAGTTCGGGAAGATCAAGTCTTACAAAGGCCGCCTTGTCGCCCGCGGCGATTCCCAGCGATCTGGTATCGATTTCGACGAGACTTTTGCGCCCGTTGCCAAGTTCACTTCGATCCGTGCTCTGCTGGCCCTGTCTGCTGCCCGAGGCTATCACGTTCACCAGGCCGACATCGACAAAGTGTACCTTCATGGAAAGCTCGACAAGCCTTTGTACATGCATGTCCCCGAGGGCATTGCCCTGCCCGGTAAAGTTCTCCAATTGCACCGTTCCCTCTACGGCTTACGCCAGGCTGGTCGCATCTGGAACGACGAAATTGACTCTACCCTCCTTGGGTTGGGTTACGTCGCCACTGAGTCCGACCATTGTGTCTACATCAAAACCGTTGGGGACGTGCACCACTACATCGCGCTTTACGTTGACGACCTCCTCATGATTGGCCCCTCCCTACCCGAAATTGAGCGTACCCTCCAGGCCCTTGAACAATGTTACGGTGTCAAGCGCCTTGGTGAAGCGGAATACGTCCTTGGCATCCAGATCCGGCGTTCCTCCGACGGCTCGATCACGCTAAGCCAGGAGCAGTACCTCAAGGACATCCTCGCTCGTTTTGGCATGTCGAACGCCCACCCGGTTGCCACCCCGATGAAATCCGACCTCCACCTTGAGATTGAGATCAACCCTGCCCCGTTTGCGGACCGCACCCGCTATCTTCAGGCCATTGGCTCGCTCATGTACGCATCCACTGGCACTCGCCCCGATCTGGCCTATGCTGTCGGTTACTTGGCTCGATTCTCCCAGTCTCCATCCGAAGCTGCCTGGGGTGCTGTCAAGCACGCTTTCCGTTACCTCGCTGGAACGCTCTCGCACAGCCTGCGCTATTCCCGCGGCGACCCTGCTCCCGTGATTGGCTACTCTGATTGCAACTGGGGTGCCTGTGTGCTCTCCTCCAAGTCGACCATGGGCTACGCGTTCCTCTATGCCGGTGGCGCCATCTCGTGGTCCTCGCGCCTCCAGTCTCGCGTGGCAGACTCCACTTGCGACGCCGAATACCTGGCTCTCTCGCATGCCGGCAAGGAAGCCATTTTCCTGCGTCAACTGTTTGGTGAGCTGGGTCTCCCCTCTTCTGCTCCGACTCTAGTACTTGGCGACAATCAAGGTGCCAACGCCCTCACTAAGAACCCGGTTTTCCATGCCCGCACCCGCCACATCCGACTTCGTGAGCACTTTGTTCGCGACATGGTCGCCCTTGGTGATATCGCAGTCCAGTACATCAACACCGCCGACATCTTCACCAAGGCTCTAGCCCGCGACCTCTTTGCGCGTCACCGCGGCTGCCTTGGCATCTGTCCTCCCTGATGCTCGAAGTCGGGGGGGTGTGAGATTCTCAAAGTACTTTAATTCTCTCTTATTTCCTTCTAGCATCATGGCCCCTGTGTCTCTTCCCTTATTCTCCTTCTTGACCCGGCTTTGCCGTCTATCTTCCGCATTCTGGCCAGACTCGCGCACTTGCTCTCAGCTAGCTGGCCCCGTGCGACTCTCTCTCTCCTGCTCAAGCAACTTCTTGGTCTGGTCTCCCTTGGTCCGTCGATCAGAGACTTACCACTGCTTGAGCAGGTCTGTGCGTTGCTTCTACCTCTCATAAGATAAGGATAAGGATACGCGGTGACTCAGGACCCGGGACGCCGTGCGTGCCCCCCTCCCAGCCCTGTGTGATTCAAGGCCATTGCGAGCTCCGCCCGCACTGCCCGGCGCGTGAAAACCTTAATGGATGTAGGTGATTATCCTTATCCTTTCCTTAAAACTATATAATAAAAAATGTCGTCGAGACAAAGAACCGGAGACAAGCCACGTGGTGTGACGTCATAACAGTTTCGCTGCTGCAACAGCTCTCGGTCCAGCGCGTCCCCTGAGCCAGCTAGCGCTGTTTCAGAAAGGGTCGGCCGGCCACAGGCCGTTTCACCCACGTTCGCCGAGGTTCCATTTTCATCAAAGCAGCCTGGCACATGACCGGGGCCGACCCTCTGCTTCCCGATTCCGAAGCAGACTGAGACAACCTGTTTTGCGTGTATACCACATTGTAGCGTACTTTCTTCAATCATCCAGTTCCTGCCACTGCCGAAATGTCATCGTCTCCTGTACGACAATCTTCACGGAGAGCAGAGGGGCAGCAGAGACGTCGGCAACGTGAGCGAGCTGAGCCTCCTGCGCACAACCCGAATCCTGCTCTAATCGCACAGTCGCCGCCGCCAATCGATCAACACGACGTCGCGCAAACTGGTTCATCAAGTCAATCTGCACCGGTAGCACGTCGGGTAGTGTCGACCGGTGCGCCAATTCCGCCATTAGGGGCCCCGCCAGTGTGTCACGGCTTGCCGACACTGGGCTTCGCTCCACGTCGTTCCGCGGCCTTCCGCGACATTCTATGATCACGGTTTGAACTGAGGCCCAGCCTTCTCCATCTTTCTCCCTCCTGCTCTTCACACCTTACCCATCGCCACCTCGAGCTCGCAACATCCGAAGCGGTCGTCGTGGAAGCTCTGCAATGAATACGGGATCAAGAAATGCCTGCTGCATGCAACATAGCTACGAATTCGAGTAAGTAACTTCATAAACTGTGCTCTTTGGTGTGGGATTGTTCAGGAGCTAATGGAGAACTACCAAGCAGCAATTCCCTTCAACACATCCTCTCTGAATGTCAACCCTCGAGTTGTTTCTTCACCGTCAGCTGGTGATACGGCATGCGTGATTTATCCCTTGACATGGCTGTCAGTCTTAGATATGACGGAAAAACTGATATGAAGAACAGACATTGAATGTCAGTGACACAGCGGAAGGATTGACTTCGTACGGTTGAGAATCCGGGTCATTGGGACACTAAATGTGAATCTTCACTGCCATTGCTACAGATGGACAACAGCAAAAATACTGATAGTTGTAACAAATCACGCCAGAAAACAGCCTCTGGTCGGGTGAATTGCGGCTCACCATCCCGTGGCAGATCCTCAACGGCTCGGTTCGGTGGAGTGACCGTCGTATTGGCAGGTATGTGCCAATCTTTCAAAAGCAAAACACAGGGCAGCATGACTAACTGACCGGTTGGACTGTAACATCACAGGGGATCCGAAGCAATGCCTTCCCGTTATTCCCAAGTCATCGCCTGCACAAATCGTCGACGCTTGCATCATGAATGCTGGCTTCTGGGGGGATGTCTCTATAAGTAGTAGTCCTTGCCTGACTTTTAGACCCTATACTAACAGCGACACGGTGCAAGGGCAGACAAACATGCGTCTTCTGGCCGCTGCAGACCGCACGATCGAAACGGAACGGGCAAAGGCACAGGGCTTTGCAGATTGGCTCTTAGGAGTTGGAGATGGGTTGGCGAACAAAACAGAAGACTATCGCGCTCCTACATGAGCTTCTCCTGCCGGCGACCACGAGGAACAGATCCGGGTTGATCAGACACATCTATCCCGGCCGCGCGCTCGAACTGGACAATATGTCGATAGGCGAAAAAGTCGAATACTTCCGACATCGAGCAATTCTGGCGCCCAAAGATTCGCAGGTGGATCAGATCAACGACATGGTGCTCGACCTGCTGCCGGGTGACGCTCAAACATTCTACAGCCCGGATTCGGTCGTCGAAAACGAAGACGAATCACTGTTCTCGATCGAGTATCTTCAAAGTCTCAACATCGCCGGAATGCCGTTGCACACTGCAAGATTCAAAGTGGAAACTTGGACCCCACCGCGGAGCTGTGCAACGGCACAAGACTGTTGTCAACTCGGTTACACACCCGCGGGCTCGAGGCCATCATTCTCACAGGAGATCATGCTGGACAGCCAGTTTCGTTGCCACGGATCACGCTGAAGACAGGGCCATCAGCTGAGCTTTCGTTCCCTCTGCATCGGACACAATTTCCAATTCGGCTGGCAATGGCTATGACGTCCAGCTACTTGCAAGAGCAGTCACTTGTGCAGGTAGGAGTGTGTCTGGAGACGCCCGTCTTTTCTCGAACGTCCTGAAATGAAGGCTCTTTACATTTGATCGTCGTCCCGCGGTCCTCTCCCGATTTGAACCACTAGGGATCCGTTACTGAACAGTACCGCAGCTGTTGCAGCAAAGTACATCACATTTCAGCGGGTCAACGGTTACGGTGTGAGGTGGTGCGCGGAGCGCACCGCCGAACCTAGTCCTTCTATATAACCAAGTTGTCCCCAAGACAAAGACAAACCACGTGGTGTGACGTCATAGGCAGCTCTCGGTCCAGTGCGTCCCAGCTAGCTAGCGCTGTTTCAGAATGGGTCGGCCGGCCAGACAGGGCGCCCGAAAGCCCAGCCAGAGGCGGCCCGCAAATTTGGACATTCTTGGCTCAAAATGGGTCAAGGCTCACCTCATTTTTGGACATTTTCCTCCCTCCGGTCGAACTTTGAAGCGCAGACCAGGGTAGCGGGAGGCTGGAGGTGCAGGGCACATACAGCCGGCCCATTTTTTTATTACCCTTACCCTAACTAGTAATGTAAAAAAAGTGTCGATCCGCGACCATGTACCTAAAATCGATGTTTTTGACTGTGTTGCGGCCCGGAGGGCCGTCTGTGGTAATGTGCCAGTGCAGTATTGTGTCTGCCGCACCTGTCTGTGATATTGGTGTCCCGACCAGGTACGACCCTTTCCGCATTTTCTGCACCATAAAAGTCACCCGAGTGTAAGGCCGGTGGCCTTACAGGGGGATCGCGAGTACTGGGCCGATCGCTCGTCGTATTCGAAAGGGCATTGTTGACTGTGTTCGTTGTTTCAGGAATCGGTTCCGAAATGAATGTGTTTTCTAAAAGAGAGAGAGAGGACCGAGACTGAACTACACAAAAGGGGGAAACCGGCTAATATTGGTCCGATATTCGGTCAGCCGGGTTTCGGCCAGATTCAGTCCTTGGTCATATGCGTGTGAGGCCGCTCAGGCCTCACATCCTCCTTCCCAAATCCAAGTTTAAAGTTTAAAGCCATAAATTCCAGCTAGTCTTATTCAAAGACAGAATCTAACAAACGCTAGATCCGCTGGACCACCATAACATGTGTCATATATCATACACCCATATTGTATACGGGCCATTGAAGTTGGTTGGATTTTCGTCTAGTAAGGTCGGCTCCTGTCTCTGGACTGGGAGAGGACCTCGTCGTGTGGGAGTAGCCACCTCCTCTCCTGTTTCCTCCTGGTCCTCTGTAGGGACCGGTGTTAAAACGGAGGTGTTCCGCGATTCTGGGATCTGCAAGTCGTTTGATCCTCCGTTGAGAGAGGTCATCGTCATGCTGTTGATCGGAAAAAGCGGCTTGGGATTGAAAAGGCGGTTGGGGAATCGGTCTTCGTCGGTGGCGATCCACTTCTTCACCTGGCTGCCATGAAATCGGGGGTGAATCCGTTGTTGTGCGTACCGCGGAGTGAGTTCCAGCGTGTACGTCGAGGTGGCAGGAATGAAATCCACACATTCGAATGGGCCGTCCCAAGGGGCGGTCCACTTGCGTGATCGGTCGGGTGCGCAGGCGAAGTTCGCTGTGCGCACTAGAAAGAATTCTCCTATGGCCTTCTGAGGGTCGGCGTCGGGTTTTCGCTTGTGGTTGGCAATGACAGCTTGGTCACCACGTGCTTTCAAGATATTGTCGCGTGCGCGCAATCGTCTCTGTACCGCTTGCTCAATCAAGTCGCCAGCGGTGGTGCCGTCGGGGGCCCGTGCCCAGCCGGGCACGTTCTTCGGTGCTACAACTCAAGCCAGCTGGTAGGGCGAGTACCCTGTCGAGGAGCTTTTTGTGGAGTTGATGGCGTGTACCACGAATGGTAGTTGATCAGGCCAGTTCGTCTGTTCTTCGTTCATGATCTGCCTCATCATCGCGTTGAGGTCTCGGTGCATCCGTTCGATGCGCCCGTTCGTTTGCGGATGAAAACTCGTGCTAAGGAGTAGCGTCGTGCCGAGCCCTTCAAACATGGCTCGCCAGAGATCTGACGTCCATCGAGGGTCGCGGTCAGACACGATCTGAGTCGGTATTCCCCACTGAGGGAACACAAATTGAAAAAATAGTTCCACGCATCCCTTTGCGGTAATCGTCTGTTCGCAAGGCACGGATATGACCTCTCCAGAGAAGGTGTCAATCCAGTTGCACAGGAAATCAACTTCCTTTCCTTGCCATTTTGCTTTCACAAGTGGGCCTTGGAAGTCCACTGTGATCGTCTGTAGCGGACCTGCCGGTATCGACATCGAGTGCAATTTTCCGCTACGCATTTGTGTACCGGTCTTGGAGACTTGGCATGCTTCGCAGGTCTTGCAGTATTCTTCGATATCCGCACTCATAGTAGGCCACCAGTAGTGATGTGCTGCGTGAGCGACCATCTTTCGGCTACCAGTGTGTACTGTCATCTTGTGTACGTGTTCCAACACGAGTTCTCGGACTTTTTGTCCGTCCACGGTGCCGGCTGCGATGCACAGTTGGTCGCCGTAAATTTCGTCATTCTGCCACAGAGCGCCATCAGCGCTAAGGGTGTATCGATCGAAATCATCAACGGTGGTCACGATCTTCTTGAAGAAAGGATCGTTCATGTAGTCCGTGGCTGCTTGCCACGTCCTGTCTCGGTGTTGAGGGTCAAGATTCAGAGCTTGATCGGTGGGAATTCCACCTTCCTCCTCGAGTCGCGCAGCAATCGCTTTTTCCTTGCGCGATAGTTTCTTCGGCTTAGGCTTCGCCACCTTCGCCTTCGGTGTTGTCTCCACCGCTGGAGTCTTGTTCTGTTCGGTTGGTCTTGGCTGAGCGAGACGACTACTGCGTCGGAGTGTTTCGGTCTGCAGAGACTGCAGCCTTGGTGCTAGTGGCAAATAATCGTCACGATCATGTTCCGTGTCGAGATCGTCAAGGTTTGGGTCCTCATACGAGTCGCAGATGTTGTCATCCTCGTACTGGCGGGAGAACATGTCAGGTGTTTTGTTCCAATCACCTTTGATATGTCTGATGACAAAATTGAACTGAGATATGAAGTTGTAGACCCGTGCTTGGCGCTCGTTCATCTGTCGCGCCGTCAAAAACAATGCTAACGATTCATTGTCGGTAATCACTGTCACCTTGCGGCCCAGAAGTGTTAGGAATATATGGTTGTATCGTCCTTCATCTGATTCTTGCTCCTATTATGGTACTTGGGATTGAGCCTAGCGACACTTCATGAACTCCCTAGTGTAAGGCAGCTGTGCCTTACGCACCTAATGTGGCACCCGGTATTTGAATTACATCAATTCAAATTGCTTTACTTTTGGATCACGCGTTAGGGTGCCGCGCGCCTTTCACCTAGTCACTCATTCTCCCTGCTTTACTAGTCTCTAATCCCTCTTCCCTATTAGCATTACACTTCACTTTCTAGCCTTCCGCGAGCCTGTCCCTAGTGAAAGGCACGCTGTCTCGGACAGCGGAGCCTCACTGGTGACCGAAGATGACAGGTGCAAGTTATATGGATTACAACTAGCTTCTGGTGTCAGCTCGATGAGATACGATAGTGCTGAGATAGGGAACACCAGTACTCACCTAGCTTCTGGTGTCAGCTCGATGAAGAGAGAGCTGAAGAAGCTAGGCGCGCGCAAGCTCTATTTCTAATGCCTGTGGCCCGTCGTAAGGCCTTGCCTTACATTAGTCTCTGGCCACTCTGTTCTCGTCCCTGTTCATTGGACTGAGTCGTGGTCATCATCAGTTACCACTCGAGAACATTTCTGCAACAAGAAGGATATTGTAAGGCGCCGCTCCGCTTACGCCTCACGATGACCTCGAGCCAACCTCTGTGGCCTCACGCTTGCCCTCGCGCGCGGCGCCGCCGCGTCTCTTGACCTTAGTCCTTTTAGTAGTCTTTCTTCGCCTGCGAATTACACTGTTTGATCCTTTCTGTTTGGACTCGGAATCAGTGAGGCTCGAGAGCGATCTCGTGCCTTTCAGATATTGTGAAACTTCTGAAAACCTTCGAAGATCGCAAGGAGTTCAATCTTGTGCGTTGGATAGCTCAACTGTGTGTTTGTCAATTTTCTCGAATGATGGTAAACCGGGAGAGCGTTCCACCAGTTTTCACCGTAAGTCACACAAGCAGACGTGTCGCATTGTAAGAAAATGTATTTGCCCAGGGACGGGTTCGTCACTGGCTCCGTAGGTGGCGCAGACCAATGAATCAGGTCCGTGTCTCTCGGTGCAAGTTCTTCTTGACTAATAACCGTCAGCTGTCGGGCATCATCGATCACCTTCTTTGTTTCCTCGAAAGCGATGTCTTGCGCCGCGGACCAAGTCCACGGTGCATCTCCAACTAAGTTGGTCAGGGGCGCAACTATCTTGGCAAGATGCGGGAAGTACCGATTCGACCACTCAACACTCCCAAGGAAACGTTGAAGTTGCACTTTCGTCGTTGGTTTCGCGATTGTCAGGATCGCATCTTTGTGAGCCTGGGACATGCGAAATGTACCGAATTGGCAATCCATTCCCAAGACTTCAACTCACTCGGGGCATACTTTCAGGCTCGAGGTGCTGAAGCAAAGCTCATGCACTTGAAATCGTACAAGTACGCTGATCGTGTGGTCTCGAATCTCCTTCCATGTGTTACCGACGACAAAGATGTTATCGGTGTATGCCTCCATTTGCTTGCCCAGAAGGCCTTGGTAGACATAGGAGATCATCCGCACCAGTGTGGCAGGGGAGTTTGTGTCACCCTGTTGGGCAACAGGTGTCGTGTACATGCCGTGGATTGACGTGAATGCGGTCTTCCAAATGTCTGACGGCTTGATACGAAGCTGTTGAAAAGCTCCTTTCAAGTCGAGTTCGACGTGGTACTTGTTCGTTGCGATGCGACTACGAATGTAATCCGCATCGACCGCTGGGATAGACATTTTCACCGTGTTCGCATTGCGAGCACGAAGATCCACCACCGGTCTTGCCTTCCCATCTTTCTTGAGTATAGGCATCATCGGGTCGGCATTCTTCGTCGAAGCGGGGATCCAGAGACCGGCTTCAACATGCTGATCTTTCAAGGTCACCCACTTGTCCATCATCGCGTCGGCTACTTTGTAGTGCCGACGTGGTCGAGGTGGATCACTCTTGTCAATGTAAGGAATCTTGTGCATGACTGCTCGCATCGGTGGGAAAGGGAGTTTGTCCCCTTCGCCGATGAAGATCTTTCCAAACGTGAAGAGTAACCACATTTTGTATCGGTTCTTGTCTTCTTCGGTAGGTTCGTAGTCAGGGGAGTCTTCCTGGCCCGCCGAAGGGTACACAGGGATTGTTGCTTGATTCTCCAAATCGCGAATCTCCCTTGTTTTCATCGTCAGAGTGTCGTCCATCGTTGTCATGCTTCCAAAGTGAATGACTAATTCGTTGTCGTCATCCCACTCGTCTTGATCGAAGTCATGTGCTTCGCCGATGTTGCGTTGCAGTTTGCTCTGAGCTTCGATCGGAGCGTGGCCTTGATCTCGTCGCTTCTTCTTCTGTCGAGGGCGAGATGCTCGCTCGGCCTTTTTGACAGGTGTCTCCTGAATCGGATCTGGCTGTCTCGAGACAACTTCATCAGGATTGAATGTGACCACGCAATCGTACTTTCGTAAGAAATCATCTCCGATGATGACATCGTAGTATACGTTTGCTACCTCGAAATGTTGGGGTTTTTTCACTCCTGCGAATTCTATGTCTAGAATGCAGTAAGAGTTGACTTTGGATTGGGAACCCTTTGTTCCAAGTCTGAGGGTTTGCGCCTGATTGTACATGTGAATCCGCGCGCCAAGTTGCCTTGGAATGTACGGTGCCACAAAACACAAGTCAGCGCCTGTGTCAACACACACGTGGAAGTTCTTGCGTGTGTTCAGGGTCACCGGGTGAAGGTGTCGCTGGCTTTGCTTCGCCGTCGTTCCCGGTGTTTCTTGGATGTGCATGTGTCTGAGAACTCGGGCCCGCGCACGCTGTAAGTCGTGCTCGTCCTTTGCTTTCTGAACAACTTCTGCGACTTCACCTTCCGTTAGGAATTGGATGCTGTCGGTTTGCACTCCGGCTTCGATCACATCAGCGCCTCTGAATAAACAGAGTTTCGTGCACTGGTGATCAAAGAGCTGTTTTCGTGAGCTTTCGAAGTCTCCTCGAGGCTTCAAGTGGTGGCCAGCGAGGATGTCTTTCAGCTTTGCCGCATCGAACTTTGAGTCCGTGATGTAGCATGCTTTCATCGCATCCCGGTCTTCGGAATACAAGTGGATCCACGGTGAAGGATCGTCTGGGAATCCCTTCGGATCGAGTACTGTGGCATGCTCAGGTTTGCTCGGGTCTGTTTGCGCACCAGGTGGCGTCGCAGCTGTCAGAACCCAATCATACTGATTCTCTTCTAATTCTATTTACTTCTCATGCCACTATTCCACTCCTACTTTGGACTCCTTCTTTAGCCTATTACCCTCTACGCCGGATCCCAGCACCTGATCGAGACTCGGTTGACACGTTGGCTTGGGTTGAAGTCGTGCGCCTCGCGGGCACTCGTCTCTCTTCCTTCTTGATCCATCTTCCATCCTCGATCTTGCGCTCGTACTCAACCCCTTGAGTCGGGATTCAGTCCTCCATACTTCTCACATGCAGCCTCCTTGCGCAGTTGTTTGGTGCGTCGGGCATGGACGCCCATGATCTGCAGGGCCGGTTCGGACTGGCTTGCTGCTGAATCAGTGTCTGAATCGATCGTCATCATTCCCAGTTTGGGAGCTCCGGGGCATTTGCGAGCAATGTGACCTTGCGTTCCGCATTTGAAGCAGATGCCTTTTTTCATCTGTTCTTCCCGGAGGGCAGCTTGCGCCGCACTGTCAGGGGCTTTTTCTTCGAAGTGTTGTGCTTCGATCCTTGGTTCTGATGTTGCTTTGAGCCTTGAGATGCTCCCTGATTCGGTTTTTCTGCATTGAAATGCTTTTTCTGGTCAGAATGCTTGCTGCCTGAAGCAGCAGAAGCATTTGCTTTCCCATCTCGGGTGTCTGATTTCCTGGTCGCTTTTCGCAATCATCGGTTCATGGCTAAACCGCTCGTCGCTGCTTCGTAATTGGGGATACGTTCATGCGGCGGTAGCTTGGCTGCCATGACACTGTTCTGTTGGATGTTGAAAAGTACTTCGGCTTCTCGCACAATCGCTCGCATTCTGGTCCACGTCACTCTATCAGGATCTCCCCTGAAGTGCTGAACATGCACAATCAGACGAGGATCCAGAGCGTCGTAGAGTTTGCGGGTCATGTCTCGTTCGCTCGTAGACGAATGCTCTTGCGAGACTTGCGTGATTTCACGGATGACCTCAGCCGTCAGTCGAAGACTGCCGTCTGGCCGTTCTTGATGAATGTTTCGCCACCTGGTTTCCGCTTCTCTGTGCGCAGTCGGTGATACGAAAGTCTTTTCAAACTTCCGCGTCACCCTGCTGAGTGGGTATGGGCAGGTTTTGCGACCTTCACCACGACTTGGCCAATTTTTGTTCATCCGTTCTCGCCATTCGGCGTAGGTTTGCTTTGCTAGCCCTTCCAAGCACATTTGAATGTATGGAATGGCAGTGTACGTTTCGGGATCAATTCGCATCATGTGCAAAAATGATTCGACGTCGCGTGTCCAGTTCCTCAACGTAATTGGGCGATCATCTGAACCGCTATACTTCGTCGGAGTCTCGATTTTGGGGCGCGGGGCACGTTCTTCTCGCTCATAGCGATCAGATGACTCGTGACGGTCACGAGTGTGCCTTCGCGGTTTCGATGCTCCTTCCCGACGGGATCTTCGGGGTTCGTCGTCTGACGAATCGGGGTCGCTCGGTTCGCGATCGGCGATCATGACGGTCGTAGTCCGACTCGCTTTCTTCCGAGGACGACGATGATGAGTCGTCATCCGAGGGGGGTTCAATGAACGCACCTCTGCGTGGTGTGTAAGCAGCTTGAGAAGCGGCTTTTCGTCTGGCTTTGCGATCATTGCTCGGGGTCTTGGGGTCTTGGTGAGCCGGCTGCTTGCCGCGGCTCGGCTTCGGTTCGTTTCGGAGGGGCGCCCCCTGACTTGCCTGTTGGGCAAGGTTCTGAGTCAGGGCTGCTTCTGACGCGGCCTCTCGTTGTTCTCCCTGGTATCGATCTTCACTTGAAAGTGTGACCGATCTGGGTTTGGTCGTTTTCACGGATTGTCTCTCCAATTCTGTGCGAAATGCAGTGGTGTGATCCGGTTTGTCATAGGAATTTGAGTTCATTCCGTATGATCCTCCATAATAGGAGGGGTCATCCAACCTGACTTTTCTCTCTCTAAGATTGTGCAGGTTGATATCACCCAATGAATAGCGTCTTGGCCGGTTGGGTGTCATGTATCTCTTCAGCAAGGTGTCTGGGTTCACTTGCAAAGTCGGGTTCATACCTCGGGAGAAGGTCTGTGATGTCTCCTGAGATGTTTCTCTGGCTAGGCCAGTGGGGTCATGCGCAATAATTGTGGAATCACTTCCATCGATCGAGCACTCATCGGAGCCTGAGTCAACAGGCTCGGTCTGTGAGGCTGAGTCAACAACCTCTTTCTGAGTTTTTTCAACTCTGGAATCAACAGCATCCTTGATGTCAAGGATTTTCGTGCTGCTACTGGCTTCCATCCTGAGATGGGGGTACCCGCCAGTTCGTTCTCGGTTCGGTGTCGGCGCCGAAACACGTCGGGTTTCTCGGGCGAGGTCATCGGCCCGTGTCGACACTGGAAACCTTGGCATCGCTGCCAGGGCACCAATTGGTGATGGTGACTCATCGATTCGTGCTACGCCCTTGTCTTTCTTGGGCGCGGCGGGGTTCTCCTCTTTCGAGGTGGTTGAGTGAGAGGTAGCTAATCTCACACTCGGGTTTCGGAGCGAAGTAGTAAACAAATGTTCGCTTCTGTTGTCGGCCATGGTATCTTCAAGTATACGAGGGTTAATTACGTCCTCTACTCAAATCAGTCACTTCGTCCAGCGAAGCAACGTGGTCGATCTCAAAAAGAGAGGTCTGTGCCTTTTCACTCAGGAGTAAAAATTGACACGTCGTGCTACTCGCGACGACACGAGGTCGAGGCTTTCGCAACGAGGTTCTGTTGCTAAGCAACGTTTTTCTGTCTGTTACCAGAGCAGATACACCTTTCTTCAAGGCAGACAACTTCTTCAGAAGTCAGTCCAAGAGGTACTATGCGAAGTATCTTGAGACTGCTGGCGGTAAGGGTTGTCGATGGGTTGTCGATCGGCTTGTCCTCCAGCGATGGTTCGGTGTCGAGTTCGGGGTTGCTGAAGTCCAATAAAAAAAAGATGTAAGGCCGGTGGCCTTACAGAGAGATCGCGAGTACTGGGCTGATCGCTCGTCGTATTCGAAAGGGTATTGTTGACTGTGTTCGTTGTTTCAGGAATCAGTTCCGAAATGAATGTGTTTTCTAAAAGAGAGAGAGAGGACCGAGACTGAACTACACAAAAGGGGGAAACCGGCTAATATTGGTCCGATATTCGGTCAGCCGGGTTTCGGCCAGATTCAGTCCTTGGTCATGTGCGTGCGAGGCCGCTCGGGCCTCACAAAAAAGGGTAAGTGGAGACACCGATGCGCCTAACACTAGGTCATAAGTCAACCTGACATAACCCTTCTTCACCCCCGTCTGACTTGATCTTGATCTTTTTGGCCGATGAAGTCTGTCGGGAATTTTGAGGTGTGCCCTGGCAGCCAACAAGATCAAGTCCGACAGACTCAGCGACAATAGGCGCCGACGAACACGAAATCGGCCTCGCGGGCTTCGAAGTTCGAACAGCTGGGCGCCTGACCAATCTACTCGCTTTCTAGTACATAGTTCATTTTTACCAACTGGTACAGAATTGAGATGAATGCCCTTTCGATGTTAAACTCGACCGCGCCGCGCTTGAGAGGTTCAGGGACTCGTCGCCGCCCCGCGGCGCGTCAATACAAAGATGAGATCCTATTGAAGTCCATTTCATTTTGAAAAGGCTCGTTAGCGGTCGCGCCGGCGGCGCTCTTGGTGCGCGCGCGCGACCTTTCCGGCAGTTTCCGGCCCGCGCACGGCGGGAACGCAGTCTGCGCGTCAACAGCGTTCAACAGCGTTCAAGTGCCGCTACTTGCCGGTCAGGTCTGGTCAGGTCGTTCTCCAGTCGCCAGGCCGCTTTTCCACAGCCCTGTAGCCCCTGCCTCAAAAGCAGCATCGGACTGACCACTGTATGCTCTTGGGGAGTTGTCGTCCCCAATCGGCAGCGCGAAAGTGACCAGCGAGGACCAGCGGGTCTTGCTTGTGAACTCAGATAGACTATGCGCCAGCTCGACAGGATCGCCTCTGGCACTACATCGCACTCAGCCGCACCTTAGCGCTAATTCTCCCTTCTTAATCATGCAAGACGACGAGCCAACTGCGTACCCAACTTCAGTATGCATCTGGACCCAAGCGGACCGAGTACAACCAAGGGATCTCGATCGAGCGCAATTCACCTTGTCCCATGCCGTGGTCCATCGGGCGAGGCAAGTGCTGCCATATGCCCAGCACCAGTCCAGTGGGTTCCTCTCAATCTGACCTCGAGCCAGACATCCAGCGCCGGCTGATCTGTCTCACCCTGGCTTACCCGTACTAGTAAGCGTCGCCCTGGGTCCGACTGTGCACACTGCCCATACTATCACAGCGAACCCAGACTCGTCATCGGTCAAATCTACATCGCCGGTTGTGGCCCGGGCCCAATATAACGGCGACCTGGCCCAGCAGAGCTTGCTGCCCCGGTGCATTACGCCTGTGAGTCTAACGGTCTGTGTCGGCGCGCGTCGAGCTCCATCAAGTGGGCGATTCCACATGGCTGATTTTCGACGACTCGGTGCCATAGCCGTACTTCACCGTCGAGCGTTTGTGGCCGACCCAGGAGGAGCCGATCAGGGCGCATGCTAGCATAATTGCCCATTCTTTTGTCGACGTCGACCATATCTTCACGAAGCTCAGTGCCCTCGAATCGTTCAAGGGGCATGACGAAACTCGGCGAGGCGGCACCATGTCATCCGGCGAGGCCATGACCAGATTGGGCCTCGGTCACCGTGGTGCATGGCTTGTTCCAGTGTCGTTCTCTCTGCCTATCCCACGTTCATCGGGATCCAGATGGGCGACGTGTCATTCGGACCCTTTTCCGACGATGGTTCCATGTAATTACGTAACGCGCTCGACCACGGAGACCACCATGCGCGGGCAGCAACACAGTCTGCCCCCACCGATCGTTTGGACTGATGCGCGAGTGCGCGCACTTTGGTCGGTCGTGACGAGTCTCGGAGGCCGGACGGATCTGGGGCAACTCAACGCAAAGTGCACCTTCAGATCAAGTCCCGTTTCAGCTCCGGCGGCACAAAAGTCACTAGACTGGCCAGAACTTATACGAGTCTCATGCGATAGCCACTATGCCCTACGCGTTCGACGGTTACTTGGTTTGGTCACGGTCGCAATGGCTCGTATGGGGCCCGAAGACGACAGATTTTTGCTGGCCGCCCATCTCGTTTGGGTCGACGAGAAAGGCGACCCTATTTTTACCGCGGCGGGCTGACCGCGATAGTTATGATATAGAGATTAGGAGGATACCTCTTCTTTTTCTCCTTGTCCTGCGCTGTACTATTTCGTTACATTGTTCGAAAGGTACTGTGAAAGAGGGCTTTTGAGGAATTCTAACTGATCAGGCCTGCGTGAGCTTGAGCTCACTAGCCCTTGCTCACCTTGAAAGAAACCGGTACTGTCAGATCTTTTTAAGTCGAGGGGCTTCTAACACTTCGCTGCTCATTCCTGTTTGTTAGCAAGAGGTAGCATTGAAGCATCAGTAGCACATGGGACTTTGGGAGCGCCTCTCAACAGCCCTTGATCAGCAGCTCTATCGATCAGCCAGGATCAGCCTCTGCCGCAGTCTCCTCCAGTCGATCCAGTCTCCTCCACCCAGTGCCGTGTAGTGCCGTGAGCTGGTTTGAAGTTTAAAGTTTAAAGCCATAAATTCCAGCTAGTCTTATTCAAAGACAGAATCTAACAAACGCTAGATCCGCTGGACCACCATAACATGTGACATATATCATACACCCATATTGTATACGGGCCATTGCCTCGCTGGGATTAGGACCGATGCCCCCATTTCTCAGGGCTTACATCAGTTTTCCCTCCTCCCCCTCGGCTCCCGGCTCCTGAGGGTAGATGGGGCAAGGTTGCCACCATCGCCTCCACCAGTGAGGTATGCTACTCCATATTCTGTTGGAATGTCCACCACTTCCGCATGCGGCCGCCCCATATTCGCCCAGCCCCTTTAATCAGCTCATGATGCCATGCTCGGTCCAGCCGCGTCCGCGATCGCTCGTCTAGAGTCCAGTAGAAATCCGGTTTGGGTATCATTGGCATCGCAAACCACCACAAATGTGCCCTCACCAGTTTGGCAGCAAAGGTACATAGCTCCCTTATCTGCAGGTCCGTCCATCCTTGTTGCCGCGCCTCAAGTTCGCTTCGCGTAGCCCGATACAGGTCCTGACCAATTTTGTCGCGAAGTTCTTGTCCCGAGGGGCACTCTCCAAACGCGTGTTTCTCTGTTTCTTCCTCTGCTCCACATATCACACACTCCGGGGAGGTCCCCAGTCTCTCTGAGCATCGCGAAGCAGTGGGCAGGACATGTGCCCGCATTTGGAGCTGTGTCTGTGCGGCATACGTTGACACTGCGCGAAGATATGGGTACTGCCCTGCTGAATGTCCGACATTCAATAGGAGTCGAACACTGTCGCCTGTCTTCTTTGGTAACGACTTCAGCTGCCAGTCTTCTTGAAGGTCGTAAATCTTCTTGCTGATATCGCCTTCCAGCCATTCGAGGTTGTTGGCGGTCATTTTAGCGATCGTCCACTGCGGGAGAGCGAAGTCAGGGAAAGGCACAATGAGGTCAGGCTGTGAATGTCCCTTCTTGGCCGCTTCATCCGCTCTTTCGTTTGCACGCGATGCATCGTCCGTCCGTCCCGTATGAGCTTTCACGTGTTGTATTTCGATCGTGTGGTTCGTTGCGAGTATACGTTGGAGCCATGTGTAGTGTGCAAGCGCAGCCCTCGGTTTCTTCGGTGCGACATCGCCCTGCCTAATCTTCTCGGCAAATCTGACCGATGTCAGATGATCTGCGAGAACCGGAATCGGTGTAGGAGCCCCGAAATTGTAAGGTTGTATAGTCAGTGCTGCCATAATCAGGGCTGTCACTTCCGCTTGCATGATTGACGCGCCCGCAAACAAAGCTGCCCGGGCCTCCCAATTTGGTCCCACGACTGCTGCGGCCGCGGAGGTGAATCCCGTGGGCAGGACAATAAGTGAGCCATCTGTCGCCCAAATGCCTTCTCTGGCAGCTTGTGCCTGCGCTGCCCCCTTTCCTTCGGCTTGCGAACCGGGTCGACCGCCACCAAAGTCAGCACTGCCATCGACTCCTTGATTATCGAAGTACGGCGGGTTGACCCACCCGTATAATGCGCGTCGCTGTCGTAGGCTGTTCTCATGGCTCTCTGGACGACATCTACGCCTCGGTCGAGCGCTGCAACACTGAATCACAAGTCAAAGGCGAATCAGGGATAGAGCTTCTGCTGTGCTGTGGGGACTTCCAGGTCAGTGTCGGTTAATTGCCATCCGATGCATGTGAATGCCGTTGCGATGTTTCTCGTGTTCGCTGGAGCTGGAGCTGGTCACCTCGCGGTGGAGCCCAGCGGTCACGGCCGAGGGAGACGCAAGGCGACTTCCCACGAATTGTTGTGCACAAATGCAGAGACTGTTTCGACTGAACATCATCTTTCCGATAGGCGATGCGCTGCCCATCAGACTTGCAGGCGATGGCATGTCCTCCTAAATACCGGTCGCTTGGGGACTTCTCACACTACTACTCGGAGCAAAAGCGAGCGCGATGTTTGACGATCGTCATCGGGGGTAATCACGAGAGCTCTGGCTACATGTGGGAATGGTGAGTTGTGTGCAAGGTCAGACCTTGGCTGGCTCAGCATCAAGCAGGCGGGCTGATCGGGATCTGATCTGAGCCTGCAAAAGTTTCCATGGAGGCTGGCTCGCACCGGACATCTACTTCCTCGGATTTGCAGGTTGTATCTTGGTCGATGGCTGGCTCAGGATAGCTGGCGCGAGTGGGATCTGGAAGGCTCCCGACTTCAAGAAGGGTCAGTCGCAGAGTGCTTGCCAGAAGCCGGCCTCGTGGCGGATGGTCGCCCACTGAACCAACATCGCCCTCGCTCATCGCCGTTGTAGGGCACTTTGAGACCGTTCCGTTCGATGACAGCACGATTAGATCGGTGTACCATATTCGGGAGTACGAAGTCGCCCGATTGACGCAAGTACGTCGACCGCCAGCTCCCCTTTGGATTCGTTCCAGGATGATGGGGTGCTCATCCGGCCGCTGCCGTGCTAATAACCATCGATGTGATGTGGAACAGCTCGAAACTCAAGGTCCGCAGGTAGACATCTTTCTTTCTCATGACTGGCCTTTGGGCATCGAAAGATTCGGCAATACGGCCGCTCTCATCCGACAGAAACCGTTCTTCAAAGACGAGGTCAGTTTTACCGCTTCCACGGCGAGCTTTCCAGCACTAGCACATTCGGCTCCAATCATCCTCCGCAAAACCACACGTGCAGATTGCATCCAACTCGCTTGGCTCTCCACCCTTGAAGCATCTTCTGAGCCGGCTTCGCCCGTCATATTGGTTCTCTGCCCACTTGCACGTCAAGTTTGCCGCGTGGGTCGACCACCTGGCAGCGTTGTCTCCGCAGTCTCCGACTTTGACCTCGAACTCGACCCCTCAAACTCTGCCCCCGGCTAATCAATCTAATCCAGACGAGATCACGATGGATGATGACGACGACGATGATGATGACGATGAGGCAGGTCATTCTAGTGACGCACAGGGTGGCAGAGTTAGTGGCGTTGAGGGTGAGCTTGTCTCCTCGGCGGTGCTTTCCCCCGAACAACTCCATGGGGAAAGCCGATTAGTCGGCAATCCAGATCAAATGGTCATGGAAGACGATGAAGGTGCAAAACCGGCCGGCCACCACGATCCAATTGACGGTGAAGACGTAAATCAGCCGCTTGATTGTTCATGGGAGATTGAAGACGGCAGCAGTGCCGTACATTCAGGCAAGGATGTCAAGACCGTGTCGTCTGAAGAGGCCTCGGAGACCGCAAAGCCGGCAGAGCCGGCAGGCGCTTCAGCTCGTACGACACGGTTCCTCGCTTTGAGCAAGCCAGGAGCTCGCACGGGATTCTTGCAAGTAAGCCCTCCCAGCCTCTGCAGAGCCCACTCTGGCTCGCTCCAAGAACTGATCTGCTCTTTCTGCCAATTCCTTATGTTAGGTCGTTGATATCGCAGAGCCTCATACATCACACATGGCATCGAAAGATCGGAAAGAGTCTACGCATATGTCCTGCGCCACTTCTGCGACGGAAAACGGATCGAAAGCCGACCGCAAGCAGCCACAGCTGCAGTTTGACCCACATTGGTTGTCGATTGTGAAGGCGTTCGCGCCCTTCCTTTCTTTACATCGACGACGGACCCCTCTTCCCCCGCCCGCACGACTCGATGAGCTAGTAGCTCAGGCTCACGCCTGGATCACTGAGAATGTGCCGAATCAGGGTCGTATCGAGATCGCACAAGTGCAGCAGTTCTCCAGGACCGCTCCCGGATTTGGGGAGCCAGGGTGGGACAATCCAATCCGTGCGTCGGCTCCGTGTTCTCGCGACCATATATGCGCAAACTGATTCCTTGATTGCATCGAGATTCTGCAGCAACTTGGTACACGAATCCGCAGACAGAAGCAATATGTGCACTTTTGGGCATTGAAAATCGTATCAACCCTCCACCGCCAGCACCGCCCAGTGTACCTCTACGCACGCCGCCGAGCCATCCGTCAACATCAGTACAGTCCCAGCGGCACGGAGCGGAAGGGGCGTAGCCATTGAGCTGGCGACCACACGTGCAATATACCGTTCACGCACATATAACGAGGTCTCCTGGTGTCAACCTAGGATCTTCCTCAATTCCCTCAGTGCGACTGAACTCCCAGTAACTGGACAAGCCCCCTCTTCCTCCACCCATCCATGCACACATTTGTAACACCCAAGCCACCCAGTTGGTAATGCAGTCGGATTGACCATCGGTCCGTTGTGAACGCAACACATGCCCATCTCCGCTGCGTGATCCTTCGACAATGGCGCCGGCGGAGGGGCTCGCAAGGCTTTCCCTTCTGCCCCTGCCCCACCTTTCCTGCGCAGCCTCCCGTAGCCTCCTTCAGGAGAGTACCACCATTCCAGAAATCGGAAGAAGAAGATTGAGGTTGGTAACAAAAACTTGAGGGCCTCGAACGACAATAGTGGAATAAGGGAAAGGCTGCGCCGCATGACGGTAGCGTAGGACGGTGGCAAGCCCGTGGTGTGGTGCCGGCGGATCGGTGACGACAGAAGATTCGATGTTGTTTCATGCGCCGTTCGCTGCGTTATAGTCGTGGCATGCGTCTGGTCAGTACGGAGTGAGCGGGCCGTTTTTTTTTGGTGGGCAGGAGGGGGGCGCACTCACGTAGTCTTCGGCTGACATCCGGCGAACCTCAATCGACATCCAGGAGAACCACGGGCGCCAGAAAGGATTAATGTTGAAAAGGTATCGAACGCTGTACGAAAGAAGGTACAACTCGTACGCTGCATTCGCGTACGGGTAAATGCTTTTAAAGACTCCAGAGGCGGCGTCGAGGTAGCTCTGCAACGCACCAGCCACGCAAGCATGCACATAATCGTCAGACGGGTGGCCACGTGTACTCGTGATATTTATGTGCGACGGATTACTCGGGCTCACTCGCGACGATGTCCCCAACTGCGATCGTTGGCCGTCGGGTGTGTCGCTAAACAGGTCCGAGTCAACCCCGCCACCGAGTCGCTCGTATGATTCCTGCCCTTTGCTTCGAAGGTATGGCATAAGAATCTGGGGGGCTCCATAGGCGTAGGTTCAGGTGTATTAGCAGCATGTATACATATGTAGAGAGGGGAAGGAAAACTGATTGTCCTCTCCGACAGCCGAGTGCAACAAACTTACGAGGAAGATGAGAGAAGCGCGGATTTCGGCCTTGCCGAGCTTGTCACTCCGACCGGTCAATCCGACCGCGGCTTTAGTCTTGTCCGAGCCGGTACCAAGCACTCGTCTTCGTTTGAGGCAGTAAAAGTTCTCCGCAAACGAAGCACCTGGCATGCCGAGGGGGATCGCGGAGCGGCGAGAAGGTCACGTGAGTAACAGCGGTCGGTCCGGCTAGCTTGTCACGTACCCCAGGCCTTAAGGTAGTGGCGCTCCACGAAAAACATAACGACAGCAAAGAACTCGTCGTGCCGATTGACAATCCGCAGCAGATAACGAGGATTGCGCTGCGCAAAGACCTATTGCGAGAGCGACAACCCCCATCAGTAACCCTTGCACGATGGCGCGCATGCACGGTGCCATGCACAATTCTAAGTCACAACTGCCAAGCGTACCGAGAGTATATATCGAACGACGGGTGCAAGTAAGTCGCGCAGTTGTTCTGTGCGGCAAGAGATACGTAGCGATCGGACTTCGTGTCAGCCGGTTAGGGACGGCGGTGGGGAGCCAGAGTTCTGCCGGCCAGTCTACCTTGGGCAGCAAGCTCGAAGAAGGAGGGTCGGTGGCGGTCCTCGCCCCCCCAACGTCCGATAGAAATTCCATTTGTTGCTGCGGTGACGTCGATGAACCGCGTAGTGTGCTGGGGTGAGCGGGGGTCCAAGCCGCGTGTGTTTTCGATCGGCAAGTCGGAGGAACGCCGGTAAGCGGCCCCGGTCCGCTGGTGGCTTCACGGCCTCTTCTTATTTATTTGATGGATTTCAATGACAGTATGATTATATTAATACCTGGAAACCTTTGGAAAAGCCGGAGGGAATGCAGTCAAGGACACTGGCTAGGCCAGTAGTGTAGGACTCATTGACCCTCAGCTGAATCAGCTAATCAGGGTTCCCCATTAGATAAGATAATCTCGAAGATATTACACATGCGCGCGCGAAAATTATGGAGGGCATAAGGCAGCTTTTGCCCTATGGGGTCCGTACGGCAAGTTTCGGGATTCCATAAGGCATTTTATAATGCCTCGATAAGAATAAAATCCTTAAGGCCCCCGTAGGGCTTCCCTAGCGCCTCCCTACGGCGGGGCCATAAGGATTTCCCCCTAGCGCGCGCATACGGTCACCGTAGTGCTTTCATACGGCGGCCATCGGGAAAATCCTTCAGGCATCGGGGTAAGGGAGCCCTATGGCGGCCGGCGTGCAGCCATATGGGAGCGATAGGGATCGTTTTATGGCTCTATAACGACGAGCCATATGGCACACGCAGGGATGCCGTATGGGCTCGATGAGGTCGCACTACAGTAGAATAAATTTGCTGCCATACGGAAGCCATGGTTGTCAGCCCAAGAGTCGCGTTCGGTCGCAGATAGTACTCCGGGCTACAGGGCTGATCATGGTACAGTGGGTTTTCACCCCTGTGTCACACGACTATGTTTTCTTGCATTCTCAAGCTCAAGGTCGCATACGAGGCCGAGCAGCCTCCGAGGGGCGACTCGGAGCTTGTTTGCGGCTTGCGGGTGGCTCCGGCCATGCCGGGGGCGGTGGCTGAGACCGACCCGACCGGTTGTGAGAGAGAGAGAGAGAGAAATCATCATTTCAAGACCTTGTCGCGCTATAGCACATGTAGTCCTCAGAAAATTCTGAACCAGATAGAGAGGGAGTGTTCAAGAAGTACCAAAATTGGGAGTATGTAGTGTTGTTGGAAATGTTTATGTTGAGTTTGATATCCCAGAAAAATTTGGTTGGGTGAAAAACCCCCGCGCACCCTGAGAACGCCGAGGTTGGCCAAAGTTGCCGAGTCGAGAGCCGAGAGGTCCAAGCAACTCGCGCGCGCGCCGGTTGTGAGAGAGGAGGCGAGAGGAGCCAGCTGGAACGGCACCGGCCTTCGCGGAGCCCCACCCCCCACCCTCTCTTTCGTTTGCCCATTTGACAATCCCGGGCACGACACACCCCTCGACAGCGAACACGATGTCCGTTCAGTCGAGAGATTTGGAACAAGTCATGGAGAATGGTGGGTGCTAACGACGTCATGGTTCCCGGCCGACCTGGGTGGTAGCGACTCCTTGCGGCACTCGGACCCACGCCCTGCCGCCGGCTCGCAGTCGCGTTGACGCGCACACTTTCATCATGTTATCATCCTCATCGCCATCATCCACAGACTTCGTTTTGTAATGGTCCTCTCAGCGAACTTCTGCCGGCTATGTGTGCCGGTACTGTGGTGGCGAGCGCATGTGGTATCGTCGCGCCGTTCGGCACGCCACGACCAAGAAGCACCTCGACGCGTACAACAGTCGAGCCGATCCCGCTGTCGATTGGAACAACCGATTACTGCAACCCACGCCTCAGGCGCTCTCGAGGAGCGACGAGGCCGACTTGGTCGATTTCAACGAAAATCCGGCAGAGACCGGAACAGTAGGCCACTCTCTGCTTGCTGTCGCTGGCGAGATCATCAAGTCGTCTGAACGCGTGCCTGCTTCCAGTCCGTCCCCGCCAAGTGATCAGGAGGATTCCGCTCTCGACCACGCCCTCTTCGTTTCAGAAGGCAATTGCTCGCCCTATTCCCAGGGCACTGGCTCCAAGTCCGACAGCGAGGTCGAGATCGATGGCGAGGCGGAGGGAGAAGAGTCGGATGACCGGGTGCAGACTTGGGCCACTGCGGGCTCCACCAGTGAGTGGGGACGAGCAATGATGCAGTGCCCCTCGTGAACTTCCCACCAACGCAAGTATTGCCCAACTTGTTGTCTGTAGCTGTGTTGACAGGCACCCCCGCGATGCGGACACGGCTGAGCGTGCGCAACTACACAAGCGTGCCCGATTCGTCGCATCCCTGGTATCCCTTCCCCAGTCAGAACGTGCGCCGATCTACTCTCGTTGCTCCTGAATCAGGCGATCGGCCAGGAGCTGACCCCCTTGTGAAGATAGATGATGATCGTCGTCGTGTTTCTCAGATCCCACAAACGCCGATCGGCGTGCAAGAGCTGCAGTGGACGACATGCTTGCATTCGCCAAGGCCTTCGGCGTGCAGGGTCTTCCTGCGGCGTCTTCCGTCAAAAAGTTTCTGGCCAACTTGGAAAAAGAAATTCCGCTCTTCAAGCCCCGCCAGTATACGAAGGAGGACGGACGCTCCCTTCACGTGGTGTCGCCTCGCGATTACATCGCTGCGGGAGGTCCCTGCGATTCCGTGTCAATGGTCGAATGCCTTTGACTGAACCGTTTCCGGGAACGAACAATTCTGCACAGCATTTTGCAACGCCTTCATTGACCCCTCTCGTGCGAAGTGCGGAGGAGAATCCAAGACGCGCTCGAGTGGATGAAGAGGGTCGAAAAGAAGTGCGTAGTCGACGAATTTTACATCAGCAAGGCTAAGGAAGCACTTTTAAACCTGCCGTGGCACGAGTCACCGTGCGTGCCAGTGGGCAACTTGAACGAGCTCAGCTGGGCATAAGCGACTTGTGAACTTGCTCAGTAAGTTCACCCTTCTCACGCCCACTCTTACTCATCTGATGTTCAACGTTTGCTTGGACAATATCAGTTGGAATTGTGGCTTAGCCGACTGGGCAAGGCACGACTGCGTCGGGATCGCGAGCACCGCCCAGTTCATCAGGGCACACCCCGACTCGGTCTGGTTTTTGCCAATCTGTGACGAAAATCACTGGTTCCTGGGAAGGATTGCTGTGAAACATGGAGCCTGGTCCATACACATTCACTTCCCTCAAGGAAGCTCACGGTCGCCGCTCTAACTTACGCTCTGGACGCACAAGTTTTCAAAGTACTTAATCTCAACATCCAGGGCTCCCCATTAAATAAGATAATCTCGCAGATATTAGATATCTATCTAAAAAAATTGGGCTCTGGCCCTTATCTATCTATCTCCCTTAGTCAGATATCTTAGATAGATGCCTAGATATCTAATAGATATCTAATCAAAGCGTCGGCGCAGCGAGCTTGCCAGCGATCATTTGCGGAGCCACCTCTCAGCTGAGAGTAATTTTGCGCTTCTTTGTCCGTGGCGAATTCCGTACACACAAGGTCCTCCTCAGCAGTGGGGAGCTCATGATCCATCTTGCTTCAGCACAGACTCAGATTGATTATAGTCGTTTGACGAGGTGTGAGAATGCAAGTGAGCGAAGAAAGAAGAGAGAACGGCGCCGGGGTACATTGCGAAGTTCACAAAATGTCGCAATTGCACCTTCTTTCTTTGTGTGATTTGTGTGATTAGTAGTTGATACGTGTTTAGTAGATAGTATAGATAAGCACCCTCTGGCAGCAAAAACGTCTGAAAGCCTCAGCTCCCAAATTGGCCCGTCGGCAAGCCGTGCCGCCTCACCCGCGGTCAGCGCTTGGGCCAAACCATGCGGCACAAACATGGGGATTGAGCCGAATACGACTTGAAATTCGATGTCCTCGCTAAGGAGCAAGAACCTCCTTAGTGGAAAGTACAACTTCCAGCGCAACAGGAGTCTGTATCAGACACAAAAAAAGTTAAGATATCCTAAAGATATCTAAGGAAACCCCCGGGGCCTTATCTATCTATCTAAGATATTCGGCCCCTAGATAAGATGTCATCTATATCTTAGCGAGATATGCTAAGATAGATATCTAGACATTAGTCTTTTCGGCCTTTGCTGCAAGATTTTGACGCGGACAGCTCAAGCGCGCTGGTCTCGGCCTAACGGGGCCCGCTCGCGCTCCACTCTTCGAACACGCATTCTTTGGACCCTGTGCCAGCACGCACTCTTCTCGGCCCCCTTGGGCCTCCCGCCTTGCTCACCCGCTGGCGCGCGCGGGCCCTTCCTCTCCCTCTCCCTCGTCGTCCCGCACGCCTTAGCGTTTCGTGTTGTGGTTCCGGCACCCCCCCTGCCAGTCTCTACTCACTCAAAGTGGGTAACATCCCTCGTAAGCCCTCTGCCCTTGTTGGACAGTTGGACTGATGAGCTAGCCTGCCACTACGTTGTAAGCAGCCGCCGTACCCGCTGCTTTGCAAGGTCGTATCGCACCCACTGCTTAGAGCAAGGGCGAACTTTTCGAGACTCGCACTATCGCGGCTCGCTGTTTCTAGCTAAGGTTCGCATTCCGGATCACGACTGTCCTTGTTGGGCATGTTGCCAAATTCCTTGTCCTTGTTGGGCAAGTTGACTCATGGGGCTACCTTGTATACAGACCTCGTTTGGCCGCGTCTACCTACCGCGTCGCCTTCCTCCCCTGCCATCGCCCTGCGCTTTTCGAGCAAAGGTATGCCCTATCCCCCAAGTCAGTTGCAGTGTTTTAGTTACTAATCGGACCTGCGCTCTTTGAGCAAAGCCGATCGACCATTTTTTTGAGCTCCTCCCTCCCACCCTACTTGTTCATAACTCCTGTTTAGAAAACCCTCCGTTTGTTACGGAGTGCGGGTTTTTTCTCTTATCACTGCAACTCGACTCTTCCATCCTAAAACAAACGCCACAAACAGCGCGCACTATGGAGGAGTCGACAAATGGGGAACCCTGATCAGCTTAGAGTCCAAGCTTCCAAGGGTCGCCTTGTGTCCCTGTAAATCACCCAAGGGGGTTTTAATGATTGATTTTGTATCGACCACAGATTCAATCTTACGCCTTTTACTTAACGTTGCCGTTGTTGATGCACGCCAACACTCTGAGTCCAAATATTTCTCCTTCCCCTCCCTCCCTCTCCGACGGAGTGACTTGATTTTGAACCCACGGCTCCACTGCCAGCAGCTCCATCATCCGTTTCCCGCGGCCCAACAACCTATCCTACGCTTACTTGGCTTTCTACGAGCACCTCGTCACGACATGTTATGGTCTTTTCTACCCAGCATGCGAGCCAGGGGTTTAGCCTCTCGCGAAACTGCTTTCTCCCTCCTCACTGGGTAGCACTCTGGTCCACGAGTCTTTGAAGCTTCACCAACGTCTTAACACCAACGTCTTAAACAAGTCGTCTCACGGTTGATCCTGTCGGCTTGTAGGCGCTCGTCAGTGTGCCTCATTTCACCTTTAGTGTTCTAGAATCTAAGCTCGACCGGAGGGGCTTGCGAATTATCGGCGCGTCAGGCCCGGTTGCCCTCAGTTGCCCTCCGAATAGCCAGTGGGCCGAAACAAGTTGGTTTGGCGTATCATGGCAAGTATCGTATAAATTTTCACAACAGCTGAAGAGGTCCTACTTACTCAGATATTCGAAAAGGCGGATTACAGAAGGACAAGCGAATCCATGCCGTTGACATGGTGCTACAGCGGGACAAAGCCCTGAATGCCCAGATGCACTTGCGCGCACGGACCCAGGAGGGCTCGAATTGGACGAGCGGCTGCAAGGCCAAACCAGGCTTTGGCTCTTCACCTCAAACACGTCAGGCCAAAATGCTACCACGCCAGCCAAAACACTACGTCGTCGACATCCCTCAATTGAGATCAGAGAATCTCCTATGCGTTCAGCAAGCAAAGCAAGTATACCAGCATCTATCGGCCGTATACTAGAGCCGTCATCCAACCCGACCGCCTCGATCTTTCGACGGAACTCACGTATTCCAAAGGAGGATCGAATCGACCATGATACGCTACGCATCAAGTTCAAGCCGGCTGCTTTTCAAAGAGGTTGGTGACGACTTCGAACCCCGGCCGATTCAGATCAATGCAATTGCTGGTCTCCTCGAGCTCGACAGGAAGCGCGGATGGTCCGGCAAAAGTACGCTTTTTGAAGCAATAAATCTCGTGTTCAGTAAGCGAGCAGTTACAATCATCGTCAGTCCCTTAAAATCATTGAATAAGCATCAGGTAAGCAAATTTCCTGCTGGCCAATGTGTCGGGCGTCTACTGACGGTCACGCTCTGAGCATTCAACAGGCCGCAAAGCTATGCATGAGGGGCAAGCAGGCCGTTGTTGTGTCCAAAAAAACGTGGGAAGACGGCACATTATACGAGCCATTGAAAGGTCCACTTTGCAAAGTCGAGTACATCTTCATTGTAAGCTTCAAGACCTTGTGACCTTGCCTTTTCTGCTTCACGTTGGCTGACCATCGTCTATTGTACGGCATTGTTGATTTCGCAAGTCTTTACGACGCGGCAATCAAGATCGCCGAGTGGGGACTCACTGGACGAAAAGACCGAGTCGGCGCTATGGCGCATACAACCGAGGATTCCAACCCATTTCGCGCCGAGTATGCTCAAATTGTTCAAAAACATTTCGGAATTGGCTGTCAAGCTTTCTTCCTCACTGCGGGTGCTCCACCCGACAAAATCGTCGAAATTCCAGCAGTTGCCAAAGTCTCCAAATCGCGAGCTTTGTTTGCCAAAGCCAACCTGTTCCGCCCTAATCTACGCAACATCGTCGTCAAATTGAGACCTCAAACCAAGGTTGTAATGACAGATGTTCTCAAAATCTGCAATAGCAGGGAGGGAACATTGATCGGACTTTCTGCAGTCAAGGTCGATTCTCCGCTTGCTCGAAAGTTCACCGCGGTGCGATCGGAGTACAAGAGAAACGAGGATATCGATGACTTCGAGTCAATCTTGCAGACAAGTTGTAAGCGTTTGCTTGCCCCGTATGCCAAGGTGAAAAAAACCTTTACGATGTTGCAGGGCGTTGCTTTGACGATCGCACGTGTACACGAGTAGCCCCATTAGAGCGAGTGAAAGCTGCAAAGTGGACACTGTTCTAGTGCGAAGTCTGAAGTGTGAGCACGACAAGACAAACAACCGGTGAGAACTCACAAACAAGAAGTGCTTTTCCCTACGATATTAATTAAAATTTTGTTTAAGATCATCACCGCTATTAGAATGTGCGCGACTCAGTGCCGTGTTCTTACACACCATGGCCATCGGTATTATCCATGTCCTCATCTTGCGCGGTACGACTGGAAACGACGCCATCGATCTGCTCTCTCCGAGACAGTAGGTTTTGAATGCGGCCAAAGATTGATTGTCGTCTGCAGTTTTGTCGAGCCCTTCGTCGATGCAGTCGGATGTCAGACGGTCGGGTGTGAGCTCTTGGCTGGGAACATAAGTTGGCGTTGATCTCTTCATCTCCTGAACAATGATCGAGTCAGACTTTACCAAGATAACGCGGTGTCAGCTACGATTTCGATGTTTAATCTTTTGGGGATGTGAAATTGTGGTAGATGGCTGCATTACCTACCTGCTTGGCAATCTACGTGTTGATGCGATCTCGTCCTTTGCTGCCACTTCGTCGACCTACTTCGACGATCAGATTGAGCACGTGTTCGAAGCTAGGCCAGTGACCGTTAAAAAGATTTGGACGATGCGTCAAGACCTGAAGGGCTGTCGTGTCTGGGTTGAAGTACCACTGAAGGTATTGACATAGCGAGATGTTGAGCGAACGGAGCTTCTCGTCTACCTCGGCCTCGCGGCGTTTCTTTTGACGGGATGAAGAGTTGTATTTCCTTTCCGATATCATCGGTGGTCCGAATGTTTCATCTTGGTGCGTTGAGATAATGCTGACGATGGGAAGTGGTTGCGACGATCGAGGGAGAAGAAGCGGGAGCCACCGGCGTGAGCTCACTGTGCCAGAGTCGAGAGGGCTGCAACAGGCTGCAACAGGCTGCAACGGCGCGCTCGGACCACTTTTAGGCCTTTCCGAGCCATGAACGCAGACTTTGAGCTGCTGCAGCTTGACTTCAAGCTCATCACAAGGCGACCCACTTGGCACATGGTTGTTTTTTAAGCTAGAAGAGCCTAGTACTTCACTGGCGTCACAAGTTATATAATATTTGCCATGATACAGCAAACCACTCTTTTTTGGCCCAGAGAATTCGGTGCGCAACCGGGCCAGACGCGCCGCTAATGTGTAAAGCCCCTCCCAGAAGCACCGCCCAGAGGGAGGGCATTTGATTAGCTCAGGCTATATTATTGCCGGCTATCGCGGGCCACTCGCTCCCGCGTCTCGCAGTGAAGTAGCCTGCACGCTCGCGCTTCGTCCGACCACCGCCCAGAGCTGAACGCAACGACAACTGCCACGACTAGAAATGGATCGTCAAGCCACGTGAGTTCCTTTGGCATACTGGGATCGGGTGGGATAGCTGGCACGAACCACGGGTGGCACAACCACCATCCGTCTTCTGCAGCGCCTGTTGATGCATTTTCCCCTTTCTTCGCTACGAGATGGCGCTGACGACGCTGATGCTGACGCCTTATCCTTCGCCCGATGGACATGCACACCAACGGAAACCCTGGCTCGCAGTAACTCGCGCCGTAACGCGTACAAGAACAAGGGCATCTTTGGCGCCGAAGGTAAGTCTAATCCCTGCGAGAGCGGGGCTTTCCCAACAAACCGCCCTGCGCGTCGCGCCCGGCCTGAGCATCGCATGAACAGTGGCCACGCCCCTCGCCGTGTTGAACAGGACTTCCGGTCATGTCTCGCGCTGCATTATGCTCATCCGTGCGCTTTGAACATTTGTAGAGCTGCGAAGGCGCCGAGAAGAAGCGCAGGTTGAGATCCGCAAACAGAAGCGAGAGGAGTCGGTCGCCAAGAGGCGCAATCTCGTCGTCGCACCCAATTCGGGCTCAGCTGCAGACTCCGACGATGAGGGGGGAAACGACTCATCGGTTAGTCACTTTAAGGTCTTACTCTGCTCTGCGCTCCCAGCAAGGATGGTGTCATCCGTTGGCGAAGTCTACGCTCTGTTCGCTCCGATTGACCGTGCCTTCCTCTCCCCCGCCCCTACTGCAATCGATGTATACAGTTCAGCGACATGTCCGACATGATTCGAGGTGTATTCTCCGACCAACCCGACCAACAGCTTGACGCGACAACTCGCTTCCGCAAGCTTTTGTCCAAGGAGCGAAATCCGCCGATCGAGAAGGTTATTGAATGTGGCGTCGTGGCTCGTTTCGTCGAGTTCCTGCGCAATGAGCATTCCATGATCCAGGTCAGTTGCGCTTAAACTTACTTCGACGCCTAACGCTTCTCAAATGTGTGGAGCACTAATTGCCGTATGTATCCCATCGCTCGTCACGGCAGTTCGAAGCCGCTTGGGCCTTGACCGTGAGTACACACGCATCGGGGCCAGCTGGACGGCTGCATAGCCACTCACTCGCAATCTGACCACGGTTCTGCTTCATTCGGGGCCTCAGAATATTGCCTCGGGGACATCTGAACACACTCAAGTTGTGATCGAGTCTGGCGCCGTGCCGGTTTTCATCGAATTGCTATCGTCGAACGTTCTCGACGTGCGCGAACAAGCAGTATGGGCCCTGGGAAATATTGCGGGAGACTCGCCGAAATGCCGCGACTACGTACTTGAGCAAGGCGCATTGCGCCCGCTGTTGGCGCTGCTGAACGAGCCACACAAGATGAGCATGTTGCGCAACGCCACATGGACGCTCTCCAACTTCTGCCGCGGCAAAAACCCTCAACCGCAATGGGAGCTCATTTCTCCAGCGCTGTCGATCCTGACCAAGCTCATTTACTCGCTCGATGACGAGGTGCTTATCGATGCGTGTTGGGCTATCTCATACCTCTCAGACGGCTCGAGCGACAAAATCCAGGCGGTCATCGAATCAGGCGTCGTTCGTCGGCTCGTAGACTTGCTGATGCACCACTCCACAGCGGTGCAGACGCCCGCACTACGATCCGTGGGCAACATTGTGACGGGCGATGACTTGCAGACCCAGGTCGTGCTTGCGTCGGGCGCACTTCCAGCTTTGCTGTCTTTGCTGTCCTCGCCCAAGGAAGGGATCCGAAAAGAGGCATGTTGGACTGTGTCGAACGTAACAGCCGGATCTCCCGCCCAGATCCAAGCTGTCATTGACGCCAACATAATACCGCCTCTGATCAACATCCTCCAACATGCCGATTTCAAGACCAAGAAAGAAGCTTGCTGGGCGATGTCAAATGCGACGTCCGGTGGTCTCCAAGAACCGAGCCAGATCCGCTACCTCGTCAGCCAAGGCTGCATCAAACCCTTATGCGACCTTTTGACGAGCAATGACAACAAGATCATCCAGGTCGCCCTCGACGGCCTCGAAAATATTCTCAAAGTCGGCGAGGCTGACAAGGTGCAGCACAACGGCACCAATCAGTACGCTGTCTTTGTCGAGGAGGCTGGTGGTATGCTTGCCATCCACAACCTCCAGCACCACGAGAATCTGGAGATCTACAAGAAGTGCTTCCATCTCATGGATACGTACTATCCGGAGGACGAAGGCGACGACACTGGTATTCAAGCGGCCCAGGTCGATTCCCAAGGCGCGTTCGCGTTCCAATCGGACCTTGCTGCTCCGCAAAGCGGGTTCTCGTTCGTGAGTCCGAGGAAAAGGAGTGTTTTCACTGACCCGACCCGCCGTCCATAGGGGCTGGGAATGAATGCTAATTATCGGGCCCTCATGACTTGGCAGAGCAATATGTCGTGACCGACACGGGTGCCGTATCTGACGGTCGTCCCGACTCTGCTCGTTGTACATCAGGATCTGTCTCGCCGTTACAAGTCTTCACATTTGGGGCCTTCGGACTCAAGCCTCTATGCTTTTTTCGCCTTTGCTTTCCTCCCTTCTCTTCATTCTGGGTTACGCTTCCTGTTGGCACGCATTCGCATTGACTTGTCACTATCGTCGACTCAAGGTCGACATCTTTATTTTACAAAACGAACCATCTGCCCTGTTGTCCAGGACGAGTCGTGGCGCTTCCCCGACGCCAGACCTCTCCTGCGACCACCGATCGCGCTTCGCGAGAAACTTCTTTCAGTTTCTGGGCTCCCCCAGTGCGTTGGTGGCTGATAGTTTCCGCATGCTGTTATCCACATCGCTTGAGCACCCTGCAATGCCCCGACCCTATTCAACTCCTGGTCGTGTCCTTCTCGCACCCCTGAAGCACCACCGTTCTTTGGGGACCTCCCCCCCCGGGAGCCCCCGGGCAGCCAAGGAGCTGATAGACGAGGTACTATCTCAGGTATTAGGACTTACCCGGCCCATTGGACTTCGTACAGAACTTGACCTTTAGCGGGCTGAGGCACATCGACTTCTGTGACTTGAATGACATCGAGTCCGCCTTGCTCTCGGATCTGGCATGCTTTCATCTTGGACGGAATCGACATCGTACTTGCTAAGCGGAAACGGGGTGGGGAATGTAGCAAAGAGCCAGTAAGCAGTGTGGAACGTGTGTAACGAACGAAGGTTGTTGCTGCAACGAAGTGGGGCATATGCTGAGTTGTGCGGTGAAGTGGAGGGACACGCGGGAGTCGACTGACGAGGTGGTAGGCGCTTGGGTAGGCGAGTGGAGGCAAGTGGCAGCATGTGCCAGCACTATGCGTGGTCTATGGCTATCAATACGCCGGGCTCCGGGCTCCGGGCTCGGAGGCGCTAAGCGCCCACCCCCTACGGTATACGGGAAATCCGCGCAACCGCATTTAGACCGCGGTCGACTTTGGCGTGACGATTGAGCAACCGCGGGCATCTATCTATCTATCTATCTATCTATCTACATCTACATCTACATAAAATAATGCACGACTTAAATAAGGTTCTCGGCCCGCGCGCGCGCGCCGATCTTTCCACCCCCCCACGTTCCGGGAGGTGCGGGCGGAGCTCGCAACGACCTTCATTTACACAGGGAGGTGGGCGCGGAGCGCTCCCCGAGCCCTAGTTTCCCGTATACCGTAGGGGGTGGGCGCTCAGCGCCCCCGAGCCCGGAGCCCGGAGCCCGGCGTATTGATAGCCATAGACCACGCATAGTGCTGGCACATGCTGCCACTTGCCTCCACTCGCCTACCCAAGCGCCTACCACCTCGTCAGTCGACTCCCGCGTGTCCCTCCACTTCACCGCACAACTCAGCATATGCCCCACTTCGTTGCAGCAACAACCTTCGTTCGTTACACACGTTCCACACTGCTTACTGGCTCTTTGCTACATTCCCCACCCCGTTTCCGCTTAGCAAGTACGATGTCGATTCCGTCCAAGATGAAAGCATGCCAGATCCGAGAGCAAGGCGGACTCGATGTCATTCAAGTCACAGAAGTCGATGTGCCTCAGCCCGCTAAAGGTCAAGTTCTGTACGAAGTCCAATGGGCCGGGTAAGTCCTAATACCTGAGATAGTACCTCGTCTATCAGCTCCTTGGCTGCCCGGGGGCTCCCGGGGGGGGGGGGGCGGGAGGTCCCCAAAGGACGGTGACCGGGAGTGCGAGACCAACAAACTGAACACGTCGCGTCGCCGACTTCTCTTTTGGCCCCAGTGTTAACTTCATCGACACCTGTGAGTGGCCACAGTCAAGCAAGGCTATGCGATCAGCGAAGAAACGCTTTCGATTCCGGCCGCCATCTCGGCTTCCTAGATCGCTACGGCTCAATGCTCATGTCCAACGCCGCTTGCTTCCACAACAGATCAGCGTGGAGGGCTATACAAACTAGCGATGCCGTACATCCTTGGCAACGAATCAGCGGGTGTCATAATCGCACTCGGAGAGGGTGTCACTGAAGCGAGTCACGGCTTCAAGATTGGTGACAAAGTTGCGGTACGTCAGACCGATCATCAACACTGGTGGCATTACCTTCGTTGACCGTTCAACGAAGCTTATGGGGTGTCCTGCCTTCTTCTATATTGTTCTGTCTGTAGGCCTTTACTGCCGGTGGAGCGTTCGCCGAATACGCTGTATCGCTCGCCGACAAGACGGTCAAGATCCCAGAGTCCATGTCAACGAAGCAGGCAGCGACCGGTCTGTTGCAAGGTTTGACGGGTAAGTCAATGCAAATCTGGAACACGATATATTCTTGAGAGATATTGCCGAGTCAAATAAATCCCATTCGGGGGCTACTCAGCCTTGACTTTTATTCGCGAGGCCCATCCGGTGCGGAAAGGAGAACATATTCTTGTTCAGGCCGCCGCAGGTGGCTTGGGAGGCCTGCTGGTTCAATTGTGAGTCGCTAGCTCCGAAAAAAATGCATTATCGACTATCAGCACTAAGAGTCGTGCCGACCCTATTTCATGCCCCAAACAGGGCGAAAAGTGCTGGTGCCCACGTGTGAGCTCTCTCGGGCATCGTGATATGAGGCTTCCCCGAAGCTTTCACTAACCAGCCAACTCTACGACGCGTGCTGCTTCTGATCAGGGTTGGGTAAGTGCCTCCTTCTCCGCTTCCTGTCGTCATCCCTGTCATTCTTAACGGGATGTTCCTCCGTGATCATCTCGTGTCGCCTGCAGAACCATTTCCACGGAGGAGAAGGCCAAGATTGCGCGTGCTTCCGGCGCAGATCATGTGATCCTTTACGGTGGACAAGTTGATGTTGTCGAAGAGGTTTACAAGATTACGGGAGGCGAAGGCATTGACCGTGGCGTTCACGCTGTGTTCGATGGCGTCGGAAAAGACACATTTGAGATGGATTTCGATCTCGTTAGGAGGAAGGGCTCGATCGTAAGCCTGACGTCCAAGAAGAGAGAGCTCGGGGCTCGTTCGCCCTCCGTGCCTGACTAGCAGAGTACTGATGAATTTCATGCAACCTAGGTATCTTGCGGCAATGCCTCTGGAGCCGTTCCTCCGTTCTCTGTGCTCAAGCTTGGACCCAAGAATCTTAAACGTAAACAACAGGTTTTTCGACCTCGCGTAATTATAGCTCGCAATAAAAGCATAAGGCTGACCCCTCGAGTCATTCTCCTCCAGTCATTCGACCTATACTGAATCAATACGTGCACACCAAGCACGAATTCCAGACGTATTCAGCCGAGCTATTCGGCCTACTGGCCTCGGGGCAGCTGCGACTTTCGGTCCACTCGGAGTATCCCCTCTCGACGGAAGGGATCAAACAAGCCCAGACTGACATAAGTACGATCAGTTCTTTCTTCTCGGCGCGTCGGTGTTCGTTCCAGAATTTCCGAAGAAAGTACTGCGTATTGACGTATCCGACTGTGCATCGAACAGTGGGTCGCAAGTCCAGCGGAAAGCTCTTGATCAAGGTCGTTCAAGAGTGATAGCGCGTAATTGCGTAGAGCTGCCAGATATATAGCGAGGTGTAGCACGACAAAGACCAAAGATCAAGGAGCTGAGCTCTGTTCCTTCCCGGGCCGCATCTTGTGCGCCGAAGAAATGATGCATTTACTCCTTCCCAGTTGTTGGAATAGTCAGCGTCTGGCATGCCGTGATTGTGTTGAGTTCCAGAAATAAACAAAGTACCCAGATCTGGGAACGAAAACATCCCCTCCCATCTCACCCGGCGATGAAAGCAGCGGGTTACAATCTCAATGTGCGAGTGGCAGTGTGTATAGATCACTTCCTGCGCTGCTGCAACATCAAAACTTGGACGATTCGAACAAACAGGTTGATGGCGTCGAGGATGAGAGAAACGCTTTCCCTGACCGGGTCCCGCGGGATAGCGCCCCGCTGGGCCAATTGCGCATGCGCCAGGATCTTTTGCGTGTCGTACAGAATGAACATCGAGAACAAGCCTACGCCACCGTAGGCGGTCATATGTTCCAGTGCTGACATAGTCCTCATGCTCATCCTCGGGAGCAACATCGGAGCCAAGGACGACACGACGAGGACACCGAGACCGGCGAGGAGAGGGCCGCCGATGTACAAGAAGGTGTCTGACTTCGCCGTGGCACCAACCCAGGTAAGACCAGACACAGCTCCCAGAGTGTAAAGACCAGCCCGGGAAAGAACGGCGGGATTGAGGAAGAACATGGGCGCGAGCGTCGCACCTTGAACGGCGCTGAAGAGGGCGAAGCTGGCGTAGTGCTGCGAGCATGAAGGGGCGCATCAGACCGGGCGGCATCATCGAGGTCAAGACTGGAAGCCACCACTTACCAAAGGCGAGTCTGGCTCGGTGTAAAAGACACCCATCATTGATCCGATACCTGCTGCTACCCCGACACCCATCACCAGCCAGGGGTTGGCAGACATCATCTTGACGGCGAAGCCATTGGAGTGCAACAACTTGGCCACTGACGCCGTGATGAGGAGGCCTCCACCAGTCCACTTGAACGAATCGTTGAGGTAAGACTTCTCGAACGGCGAGAGAGAATCCCTTGTCTCGCGATTGAGGAAGTAGTTGATCGCAACAGTGCCTGCGAGCGCCAATCCTGCGGTCGTGCTAATCCTTGTCCAGTCAACCCCTGACGAGCCTTGGCCGGGGGCGACGTAGGGTCCCGTGGTGACTCCACGCGAGGGAAAGGACACGAATCGCTGGCGCAGAGCACTGAACGGTGAAGCTGTCGCATGGTGTGGCGAAGGGGGAATCTTGGCTCGACGGGAGGTGGAGGCGAAGAAGCGAGCCGAGGCTGAGGTGGACCGGACGAAAGCGTTGCGGCTCAGCTCCGGTGAAGTATGGGTGGTTAAGGTGCGCTGCAGCAGTCGAGAGACGGAGGGACGAATTATCGCAGTCATCTGGCGATGGAGGACTTGGCTGGCTCGAGGGTGAGTAAGAGTGGTTGAGTGTAGGTGAGTGCAGGTGGCGTGGAGGGTGCCGGTGATGTGTTTCTGAAGGAAAGCAGCAACCGGCGGTGCCGCCCCGCTGGCCGCGATCGGCCGCGATAATGGCCGCGATGACGCGTCGACCGGCCGGAGAACTGACGACACCAACCACCGTCCACCTGCACCGTCCACGGGGACTTTCGTGGTCTCCGAGTCGACTCTCGCAGAGGAAGCTTAAGCTTTTAGTTGGTCCATAGTGTGTGAGTTCCCACCTTCTGGCCATAGCTATATAACCAATAGTTATTTAACTAACTATGTTTGGGATAGTTAACTATGAAATTATGAAACTGGCCCCTAATGATGGCGCACGCCGAGCGTCGCTGAGGTCTGAGCGCCTGAGGGCCTACTCAGCGCAATTACCCCATACGGCTCAGCAGTATACAACAATTGTCTGGTTGTATTGAGCCTATTGATCCTCAGCGTTCTGCTACTTCATACCGACTTTTGAGAGCCGCTCACATGTGCTCTCAATGCCTCTTATGGTATGATGTATGTAAACTCGAGCGGTATACATTACTTATACAACCATTAACAACATTACTCTGTCATTTGGACGAGATTCTACATGACAGACCTACACCTCATCATCATCATCACTCGGAGGTAAATTGTAAGGTATGCGCCTCTGATGTGCATAAATTACAATCTGTCGTCTTGACCGCTAGACTAAAAGCAAGTCGTAACTAGAACTCGACAGTTCTAGCTACTCAGAGGCTACTTATGGGGCTGTTCTGTAAGGCATCCCCTTACATAAATTGTCTCTGGGCCTCGGTAGAAGTGCTAGAAGTCCGCGCCACGGGAACTCCATAGTTACCATAGTTAACTATGGCCTCCTCTGAGCCGGAACTAACTAACTATCAACTATGGCTCAATAGTTGGACTAGTTAGTTAACTATTTGCGGTGGCGTAGTTAGTTGACTAACTAAGCTTAAGCGTACAGTTCCATATCGTAACATAGGTTTGCGACATTAGGGAGCGTAAATCAGATAGAAGGTCAATCTCAGAGCTGGACTCGAGTCATAACTAGTCTCAACTCGTCTGCAACTCGTCATGTTGCAAATTACCGTCTGGCTTCAAGTCTCAGCTGATCTTCGCCACGAGGGCGCTCCCCCCGGGGACCTCCCATCCGCACAGCCAGGCACCAACTACTAGCTGTCGTACGCAGCCAAAGCAAGCATGCGCACAAAGAAAAACAGTACATAATATATCGAATCCTAAGCACGACGATTGGCACCGGCGGCGTGCACCTCAGACCTTCAGAGCTTGGCGCTTCCAAATTCAGTGTAGACTGTGACGACAGGTGGTGACGCTACCAGAGGCGCGATCCACTTGCCGAATTGTGGATAGAGAGGATTGGCTGTGCGCAGCGACGGTGTAAATGATTGGTGATGCCCATCAGTGGAGTGGATCTCAACGCGCAAGCCGAACGCCGATTAGACAATTACCTGTGTGGGTTTTGATGGCTGCAACCATGACAGTGGGAAGCGGCGGCTCAGCCAGCTTTCCTGGGCGCTGCGGGTGACGATATTCGTCAGATCTACAAAGCACAGCTGCTCACCCTTGCCATCCGTATATCGCTCTACGATGGCGAACTTGGTCTTGTCCTGTCCATAGATCTTCGAGCATGAGCTCCGACTCACGTCACCGTCTCGGACGCCTGGGTCGCACCTTGGGGTTTTGCATCACGTGCCCTGCAGTGAGCGTCAGCGAAGGCACGGTTTCTTGTTCGATCGTTAGCCCCGATCGACTCTGTGGATCCCTACAGTCGCTAGAACGTATATAACTGACAGTCCAGAGTGCCCTGGTCGCTCCGGTAAGATTGCGCGAACTCGACCTGTGACATGACGCGGGAGGAGAGGTTTATACACCTGTCCGGCCCGATGAGAGGGATGGCCGCGAGGCCTGCTGAAGCCTGCTGAGGCAGGCTGAGGCCAGCTGAGGCCTCGGCACCACCTCGGCCCGAGCGAGGCTCAGCTCGGCTTCGACTGACCAATCTGGACTTGACTTCTTCAGCCGAGGACTCTGACTTGAGAGCGATGGAGACTAGGATGCAGCTGAAGAAGTGCGGGAGGGATGAGCCATGAGGGCGACACAGGCTCGCAGCAACGGCAGCGAGCCTGGAAGAGTGGAAACTGGCAGCTTACAGAACCATGATGATGAGGTCGGTCGGGCGGGGTAAAAAGGTCGGGTGCTGCAGTCGCGCAGGTGCAGTGGCTGCGAGCAATATGGACTGTCGTGAATCGTGGGAAACGGACCTTGTCGGGGCCGATGCTCAGCAGGTTACGGTCGTAGAGTGGGTCGACTCGATTTGTTGAGGTTGGAGCGGAGCGCAAGAAGGGATGCGCTGGGATGCGGGGCGACACACAGCTTGAAGGGAAAGGCACCTGAGCGCACCTGAGCGTCAACAACCAGGGTTTTTCTCTTGAAAAAACGGTCCTCATCTCTGAATAACAGCCCAAGTATCTTCGTATTTAGAAATCCTCGGGGAAGTCGCCGCAGGAGCTGGCAGTATCCGACATCACACTCGACTTTACTCGCTCGATTTTCGAGTTCCAAGCCGAGAGCTGCCGAGGGCAGTCTGGGCTCGCCCCCACAACTCCGTCAACGTCGACCGGGCACAATAGTCAGGATAACATATCGAGCACAAGCAAGTAGGTCGCCGAGGACCATTCGTCATTCGGTTGTATTGTGCTGGTAGGTCTTAATGGGCACCACCTGCCAAGTTGCCATCATCCGTCCATCATCGGTCGAAGCAACGATAGCCAGTGCACGTTCGCATCGATCGATCCATCACTGCTTCACCAGCTTCTTCGCAACCTCTGGACTCGCTCAGTCGCGTTCGAGTGGTCAGTCGAGGGTACTGAACTGCTGAGTCACAAGAACGAGACGGTGGACTAACTCTTCCAGGCGAGGGTCGTCCTCTCCGCGATACCACTTTTACCGCTTCGGCGCCACAAAGGAGTGAGAGGCTGCTCGCACGTAGCTGAGAGCTGATCGATTACGTGCCATCCTCCATGAAACAGGTGCGCATACCTCGTCGCTCTCAACACAAGGTCGGCCCGGTCCAAGCGGTCCAAGCCCCTCGCAGCCTCGGTTCGAAGCCGAGAGCGAGTTCAAAGACCCGGTCACTCGACGTTTCGCTTTCAAGTCGAGCACTTGAACGGCGCATTCGGGGTGTTGCCGCGTCTTCAGACTCCGCCCCATGAACCATGCCGACCTGCATGCTCTGTTCGCGTCCAGAGCTATCGTCAAAGCTCGCTCTTTCTTACGGCAAGGGCTAGGTGGAAGCCCGACCGGCTCAATCATTAACGGGGCCGGATCCTTATCGAAAAGCCCCAATGGATTCGGTGGTTTCGGTGGCGGTGCGCTGGGCACGTCAGCAATCAATGCCGAGGTGAACCGAAGAGATCATCTCGGTCGAACGGTCCTTCACCTCGCCGCGAGCGAACTAGGGGATTGGGCGGTTGAATGGGTCGAGATCTTGCTTGCCGTGCCCGGGCTTCTCGTCAATGCCGTAGATGCTGAAAGCGGGTGGTCCGCCCTTCACCGAGCACTCTACGCCGGAAACATTTCTGCCGCCCGACTTATTTTCAACCGCAGTGACGTCGACCTGCGCCTCAAGGATCATGAAGGCTTGACCCCGTTTGACGTGTACAACTCGACTATGGACGGCACCAACCCTCCCCAATCGCAGACCGGTCTAGGGACGGATGCAACCAATCTGTTTCAGCGTGTCGATCTTACCTTGGGCCGCAGCGAGCTTCATACCTGGGGGAACAACCGTAACTTTGTCCTCGGCTTTAGCGGCGATGGCGATCGAACCTACCCAGAGCGAGTGCCCTTGAGTCGACACGAAGGCGGCGCCGGGCTGAGTGCATTCGATCCCGTGAAAGTTCTCGACGTTTCAATGGCACGGCTCCACACAGGTACGTGCTGTGTTGCTTTCCAGCGCAGACGCTCAGCTCCTTTGATCTGACAACGAGGGTCGATCCTACTTCTCTGCAGCCATTGTGACGGACGAGCCTAGCAACAACATCCGCCTTTGTGGTTACGGCACGGGAGGACGGCTTGGACCGACACTGCACACGCAATTCCACTTCACCCCGCTGCACGACTTCCCTCATCAGGTTGCCGTGGCGGTGGTCTCGCCTGACCATACGCTTGTCGTCACGACGTCGGGTGCGGTCTGGACTTTCGGTCTTAATCGATTTGGCCAACTAGGCTACATTTTAGACGGCCCGTCCTCCGGACCGTCGTCTGGGTCCACAGGACCCCGTGCTTCTGGCGCTGCGGATGATTTGACGCAATCGCTGCCGCGTCGCGTGCTCGGGTTGCTCAAGAAGGAGGCAGTGGTCGGGGCCGCTGTTTCACGAACGCACAGTGCTGTGATCACCTCCAACGGAGATCTCTTTACCTGGGGAACGAACAAAGGCCAGCTGGGCTACCCAGCGCGCGGGACCACCGTCCAGGTGCTGCCACGCAAAGTGACCAGTATAACCTCCCCGATTGCCATGCTCACGACAACCGAGAGTGCGACCGCTTGCCTCCTCGCTGATTCGAAGGAAGTCATTGTACTGTATGTGGAGGGTTACATACGCATCGCAATCCCGCTCACCCCCTTCCCATCAAAGATGCAACCCTACCGGCCGCCGAACGTAAGCGACAAGCCTACGATACGTAAAATCGCATCCTGCGGTACCACCTTTGCCGCTTTATCGACGTTGGGAGACGTCTTTACCTGGACCCTCGATGGTTTTTCGGCCTCGACCAGTGGCGCCGATATTTCTCCCAATTTCTCGCGGCTGGCACCGAAGCCGCAGCGAATTTGGTCGCTTCGACGCGCCTTCACCGCTGTCACCGACCTTGGTGTTGGTTTAGACGGAACGATTATTATCTGCACTGTTTCTGGACACTGCTTTGTGCGAACCAAGAAGTTTGAAGCTCAAATGGCGAAGTCCGGGAGATCAACACCGACCTCGGCGACCTCGAAAAACAGCAATGGCGGTTGGAAATTCACCAAGGTCCCATTCTTGCAGCGCTGCGTGAGCGTGGCTGCCAACTCAACGGGAGGATTTGCTGCCCTGCGATCGGATGTACCGCTGCGTCATATCGATATCGAAGGCTCCACGCTCGCGGAAGATTTGCTGGGTGTACTGCCCCACTGGTCGCGTTGCGAGGCTGACATACCCAGCACTAAACTCGAAAAGACAGCGCAGGATGAAGACGACGGAGACGCAGCAACTCAAGCGACTGTGGAATGGGATATCATAGTCGCAAAGCGATTGATGCAAATACTCGTTACTTGGAACCCTGCTTGCGAAGCTCACTTGGCGGGAACCGACATCTTCTTTGTTCCAAATCAAGGCCAAAGGATTCCTGTTCATCGCGCGATGCTGGCGGTGCGATCGCCCAGTCTGCTCACTCGAATTGCAGCCGCGTGCCCCGGTGCAGTTGAGCTCAAACTGGACTGCTCGGACTATTCGGCCCTTTTATTGATCCACTACCTTTACCACGATAAAATACCGGCGGTCTGGGATTTGCGCATTGGACTCTCGTTGCAGGCTGCTTTCGGGAGCAGTCTGACCATTGGGGTCTATCACCAAGAGTTGCAGCGCCTAGCTCTCGATCTCGAACTACCTGCATTAGTGGAGGCACTGAACTACCAGGCCCGAATGGTACCGCGGCCAACGCTCTCTCACGACATCACAAGGCTTTTGCAATCCTCGCCCGACGCGAGTCGCCTGGCCACCTCGTCTCTGGTGCCCGACATCGTGTTGGCACTCGCCGATCGTGACGTTGCTGCCCATTCATTTATTCTCCGCGCGCGCTGTCCGTTCTTCCGCGTCTTCTTCGACGAAAACGAATGGACCCTGCATCGCAGGAATCATATCGACGGCAAAATTCGCTTCAGTCTGCAGCACATTGAGTGGAGCGTGATGAGGCTCGTCCTCGATCATATTCACAGCGATGCCGGAATCGGCCTGTTCCGATCGGTCGAGCGAGCCTCAGCAGACGACTACATCGACTTCGCTACCCAAGTGCTTGCAGTCGCTAATGAATTGCTGCTCGACAAGCTCAAAGCGGTTTGTTCCGTTGTGTTGCGAAAGTTCAGTAAGCCTTCCTTGTCAACGCGTCCAGCCTCACGTGTCCCTGTCGATGACTGACGTCGGGCTACTTGAATAGTCACGCTTCGCAACGTCTGTGCGATTTTTTCGGACGCAGTTTTCTACGAGGCCAAGGATCTTACCCGCACGTGTATGCATTACCTTGCCTCTTCGATGGAGACCGCCCTCGAAAACCGACTTCTGGACGACCTCACCCCTGAGCTGTTAAAGGCCCTGACGGAGTTTGTGCAAGAGCGGCAAGGCAACAAGATGCCTGTCACTCGCTCGGGTTACCTGGTCAATGATTTGATGGCCAAACATGCCTCTTTCGTCGCCGATCTCGACATTGGGCGGCCTACCGGCGGTGCCCGACGCTGGAGACCTGTAATTGGCAACTCTAGCTCACCACGACCGTCGCCCAATTTGCTCTCCCCAGGTCCTTCCCCTTTGATGATACCTCGGTCGTCCCCGACTATGCGGTCTCCTCATCTTCCGTCTCCTACTGGTAGTCCGTCGATGCCGGCGCACAATCTCGATTTCGAGGACATGTTCGCTATGGACGAGGACTTCTCGCTTGACGGCACGGTCCCAGCAACAAAGCCTGCCAGTACATCGAATCCGGCCACGCCTATTATCCCACCCATCCGACGACAATCGGTCAATACTTGTTTGGGAAGTGCATCTCCGGGTAGCGCCAATTTCACTACTCTCGGATCCCCTCCACCTTCGCGACTTCAGCCGTGGACAAAACCCACCACGGCGCCTCAAAAGTCAGTTGCTTCGTGCTAGACTCGGGCACTGCACCGAGACTAATCCCCCCCCCCCCCCCTTTTTTTCTCGCTTGTGGCATGCAGACCTGTAGATCTGAGAAGCATCATTTCTTCCGAATCGTCCATCTCAACCACTCCACCGACCACCCTGGGTGCTCGACCGCTTTCCGCCAACGCCGTGCAACCTCTGTCCAATACGTCTCAGAAGCTGGCACTTAGCAGCCCTTCTGGATGGAGGCCTATCGCTTCTACCTCTCTTTCGTCCTTGTCAGAGATACAGTCACAACAGTCGCTTCGGGCCCCGCCCCGGATGGCAACATCTCGGCCCATTGACCATAGTCGACGACCAGTTACGCAACATCCAGTTTCCGCTGCGCCCTCGTCCTCGTCCATGTCGGCCTATCGACCGGCACCTCTCGTCCGGAGGGATCCGGCGTCTGCGATTGGGGCACCCGTATACACGCCGACGCGACTCCCCTCTGGATCGAAACCCACACCACGTGCGGGCTTTAATGGCGCGGATGGTCCTTGGACAAACTACACACTTGCCTCCGCACAAACTTATGCCCCTGCACCGCACTCGGCCTCGGCCTCCTCGGGTCCATTGGCGGCTTCCCCTGCAGCTTCGTTTGCCGCTATCCAGTCGCAACAGCGCCGCGAAATCGAGCAAGTGCGCGAGGGGCGAGCTGTACGAAGTCTAGCAGAAGTGATGGACGAAGAGCGCCAACACGCCAAACAACGTGAACTCGAAGCAAAACAAGAGCGAGACTTCGAGATTTGGTTTGAGGAGGAGTCTCGTCGGTTCCAAATACAATCCGGTGAAGCTCCTTCGGCACCGGCCTCTTCTGGACGTGGAGGTGGTGGAAGGTCGTCACGACGGTCAGGGGGGAAGAAGCCGGCCCGCGGACGCGGCGCCGCTGGCGAGGGCAGTGACGGAGTGCGAGGTTCGAGCAGGGGCGGAAAGGGCCGAGCAGCCAAACCCATAAACAGTTGATGGCGGCATGTGCTATAGATGAAATTAGATTCTGCATCGAATAGAGGTGTGGTGTACACGCCAAGTTGCAACCCATCTCACCATTGAGCGATTTTCTGACATGGCCAATTCGCCCTCCGCCACAGTACAATGGGGTAAGTCCTGAAATTGCCATACGGTGCTTGAGGGGTACAACAAGGAGACAAAGCATCACAATTCGACGGTCTGAATCCGTGTCCCCGGTGCAACCTTACCCCGAGCAACTTTTCTTTGCGAATCCAGCATCCTCTCGACGCTCTCATCAAGTTCGCCGTAGAAACCATATCCAGCGAAGTCGCTTTCTTCAAGATCGATGGATCCCGACCTCAGATGACTCGACATTGGTTTCCCGCTCCTAGCATCAACCTCGCCCACGAAATGATCGACAAAGACCGAGTTAGGCTTGCGGTTCGCTTCAGCGTGGAGCTGTCGCATCATGCGATAGACCTCGATGAAGTACTGTCGGAGGGAATCGAGGAAGCGCTGGGTCTGACGATGTTTAGATGCGGCACAGAAAGCGATAGAGTCGTCTTTTATGATGTATCCGACTGTGGAACGCGGAAGTTGGATGAAGATTTATGGATCAATACAGGAACAGCGCGCAAGAACGCAGAACGTGCCGAAAGAGCTCACTTCCAAAGCCATCAGGGGTAACTGCCCCAAAACCGAACAGGCGCAGCGCGGGGTTGCCACAGTTCGAAGTCGACAGGATTGAAGCGTTGAGTGTGGCGTACCCCGAATCCTTGAACAAAGCCGGTACAGACTTCGTGATGCTAACTCCATCCGCACCGAGCGGCTCGTCAGAATCGAAGTCCAAATCCGAGCCCGAGCCCTCGGCCCCGTTCGGTGCATGCCCATTCTTGGAGCGTTCTTCTTTGTCTTGCTGCATCCGTTGCTGATGAAGGCAATACATCGCGTAGAGAACACGATCTTGACCGAGACCTTTCGAGCAGGCTTTGGTCAATTCGGTGTGGGCTTTGCAAGCAGCACGAAGGGCGTTAATCTTGTCCCGCGGGGGGGCGTCAGAGCAGAATGTCTTGACAAAGGCAACAGACCTGAGGGTTGAAGGATAGCCAGAGTACGCGATGAGCAACATGCAGGCTCTGTATGGGAATCTCGAGCGGAGCTTGACCTACTCCGGAGTGACCGGCCTGATTGCCTCCGTGCGACCGTGCAAAAACGATTTCGTCATCGCCGGTTCGTACGTCGATTCTGTTCTTCCATAGAGCGAGAAGTATGCCGCTTGGTATGCCATTTGCACAAAAGCGTCGGGGGAAAATCCATGCTGCGTAATCGCATTCTTGCCATACACTTCAAATTCCAGCGCAACGGCCTCGTTCGAACAAATCAGATCGCTGAGGCGAGTCTCAGCAAAGCGAACAGCAACTTTGAGATCGGGAGTCATGACCCATTCGAGCTTCTTGGGTGCGGTGTCGATGTCTTCGGGTGCTTCGTCACTCTGACCCTTCGCTGGAAGCTTCTTACCTCCACCGGTTGCCCAGGGCGAAACTTTGGCTTTGAACAGCGTAGAGGAAGCCGAGTTGATCGATTTCGCAAATCGGAGAATCAGCTCCGTGTAGACGTCGGCGACGAAGCGGAGCACGGTGTGTCCGTCAACCCCCGAGTGCTCAAAGTTGATTCCAGCAGCGCCGTTCTCGGCTACAATAATTTGGAGCTATATAGCTCAGAATCAGTCCAAGTCAAATCAGCATGGTAGCATCGGACAGCGGAAAACGACTGGATTACACTGTACCAACCTTATCGTAATAGCGGTTGGTGCAGGTGCCGACTTGAACGCCTTTCTCTAACTTGTACGTTCCGCCTGCAATCGTCAATGAGCCGCATGGCGTTGGTCAGGGTCAAGCACGCGTACAGCAGGAGCTAGAGCATCCACGGTAGGAAAACGCACAAAGCATGTTTGTCGCGATCTCACTTGCGGTCCCCGGATTCGCATCATCGAGGCAGACAACGAACAGAGCCTTGTCGAGCACATCGAGGCACATCGAATTGCCTTGGTCGCTCATCAGTCGCTCACGGTGACCTGCCCAGATTGCTCGACGCTCTGTGCTCAGCACTCCCAGAGCGGATTGTGCGACTTGATTGCGAGGGGTTCGTGCCGCGTCCGAAACGATCGCGGTCAAGTTAGAGAGCAGCGCCCGCTCCGTGAGGCAAGGCCGGTTCTTCGAGTCAAGGACCTGAATGCACAGCCAGTGGGGGGTCAACACGGGTCCAGATCTGTGAAGTTCCGGTCCCAGATGGGGTTGAGCTCACATCGAACCAGTAGAATTGACCGCGGGCCATAACGACGATATGCCTAGACTCGGGATCGACTTGCATTTTGCACCCAGTCCTGAAAACGTGTCGGGTACGAACCGATTAAGGTACCAGTCGTAGTTATAGAAAGGCAGCGTTCAACTCACCTCGTTGGGACCCGCGCGGTACCAAAGAGCTTGGCGTATTGACTCATGTCCACTGAGAAGCACCGTCGTGGAGACGCATCGTGAGTCAGCACGAACCATGATACTGGAGCAAAGACAGGAGACGGGTGACGTACAAGGCGTTCCTCGGAATTCATCGGGCTCCAACTGGCCGGTCCTGAAGTCGTGGACGAACCCCAGACTGGCGAGGATGAGTGAACTTGCTCGCATCAATTGGTTGCCTCGAGCAGGAGTTGGATCGTCTCTTTGGAACACGGCCGAGCATACGGGATGAGTTCGTGAGCTCGACTTGCTTCAGTACCTCCGAGGCTGGTCTCCCTTTCGGAAACCAGCTTCGATCAACTCACTCGAGGATAAAGAAAGGGTTGAGGCTGAGCACGACCGAATCCGAATGCGACAAGTAGCTCTCAGTCCAGAACTCCTCGATGAAGCTGGCTCGGGTCGAGGCATACTCGAGCAAGTCCTTGTGCAGTGCGGGGCCCTCCTTGTGCAAGAAGTCGTGTACGACTTTCTTGGTACGTGCATGCTCGACTGGACCCTGTTCGTATGCATAGAGGGGTAAGCAAGAGCGAGGAGCGGGGAGCCAGATGGCCTCAACAACACGAATTTGTTCGGGTCAGCCCGCGAGCGAGGTGCACTTGGGCTTGAATGGGGTGTGGGGCGCCTGCGCAGACGACGTCACCCGGCCGCCACGGAGCTTGCACGGACACTGACCTGTAGTCCTTCGAGAGCGCGGAGATATCGCTTCATCGTGTCTTCCAATGGCGGGATCGGCAGATGGGGTAGTTTATTTTGATGTTGCATCGTGCGACCGCCGACCGAGACGGGGCCATCCGGTGGAGGGCCCTCGAGCACGGCGTGACTGGCGCTGGTTCCCGTCACCTTGGCTGAGTCCGACATGATGAACAAGAGTCCAGTCAGATGGGGAGTCGTGTAGGTAGGGCAGAGGTCGGGAGGGGTGAGCTCCACCGATGTACGTGTGTGCGGTGTCGAAAGGGTGTGGTAGGTAGGTACCACCGGTGCGGAGGTCCCGAGTGGATAGACACTACTCGCTCCGAGCTCGTCCCTGCTCGTCCCCACCGCGACGTACTCACGTTTTGCGCGGAGCGCGATTCCCCGATCCGACTTCATCCGGGCGATCACCCATAACCCGACCACCCCGCATCCCCGATGTGCATCGCACTTGATTAACACTCGATGCTACATACTTGAAAGGGGAATAGCCGGATTGTTCCGAGACTTTCAGTCATCCCAGAGCCCATGTCTGATTGTGTTAATAACGAGTCGAAATAAAACAAGCGGGCCCACTGCAGTGCCCACCCTCAGTCGAAGACGGCACGTCACGTGCATCGTCGGGCTCGGCCTCACCATGATCTTGGAACTGCGAGCTCTGGCTGGTTGCAGTGACCTGTGGAATGACTGGGCCAATGTGCCAACCAAGGAAGAACACCGTTCTAAGTAGCCTTTTGCTAAAATCCCGATTCTAAGTAGCATTTCTACGCTATAAGATGCCCCGTTATCGTATTGATAGGTCCATGATGCTTCGTCAAGAGCCCTTTTCACAATTCGCCGCCGCATAGTCCCCATTGGCGACGCAGCAACTTCTCAGCCCTCTCTCGAGTCCAAACTGCAGAAGTTCGGCCCGCGTGTTTGAATCCTGGACGTGCCATAAGCCAAGTATCACCAAGCCGTTGACCGAGAGGTTCACTTCTTCTGTTATGGACGAGTTTCACGTTCGGTCAGTGGCTTTCGTCCCATCGGCCAGAACGAGGTGTCCGAAAGCCGGCACCTATGAACCTACCCGTCTTGCCTTCCGAACTCTTCCGCTCAAATCTGATCAACCTTTTGGTTCGAGGGACAAGGTGCATGAACTTCTGCGTAATGAAAAGGTTGTAACTCGTCCGATCGCTCTTGCCGTGCGCTTCGAGGTGGTCCCTGTTCGTCTTGAGCAAGCGATGGTAAAGCGTGGACAGCGTTGCGGTCGTGGGTGATGGCGGAATCGGTATGATGTAGTGAATCCATGGTATGTTCAATTTGGTAGGCCTATCTTCCGACACTATCGGTCTCGTCGTCATCAAGGATATCAGTGCGTTGTCCATTTGTCGCTGGTATTCAGGCCAGTTTTGAATCATGCCTTCGAGACACTTACCTGGTCCTATTGCCCGAGCAAGTAGTTCAGGAGCCGGCGGAGTGGAAAATTGGAACGGGCAGAACTGAATGTCTGTGGAGCACAAGATCCATTCAAAGGCGGAAGTTCAACATAACATAAGGCAAGGCGGTTCGAGCGTATCAGTTGAAATCCTTCGCCGACGCGATCAGGGTTGCCATTCCACTCACGAAGATGTGGCTGCGAGGCACCAGCAAGAGGCCCCCCGCTGAGGTACAGTGCCGATCCCAAGCTGTTTGATTACCCAACCCGCCTCTACTCTCACTCCAGCACTAAAGTAACAAAAACTCACTTGAAAAAGCAGATGATCTCCCGACCGTCGTCGGCGTATTGCTGCGTCAGCGAATACGCCGCTTTGAGGTCGCTATCGATCAAGTCGCTCGTCTGAGGTCGGAACGGGGTGGCCTCTCCAAATTGTGGTACGATCATACCATGTTCTGCGGAACCGCCGCAGGATCAACGCATTTACACGGCGCGACAAGCATCAGGACCAAGCTAGAAGCGGCAAAGTCACAGTCGTCTGAAGTCGTGCAGTCGTGGATCCTCGGACTGACCTTCCATCAGCGCGTGTAGATTGTGCACAATTGAGTAAGAGACACCTCCGCATTCAAAATCTTGAACCTTCTCCCCAGGTCCGTACTCGGGGCCCTGTAAAGGATCGCGCTTGCCGACTTTGCTCAGATCAGGCGTTCTGTGTGAGGGGCCAATGGAGCAGAGGAGCAAGCGCGAGAGAGTTCAAGCGGGAGCCGTGAAAGACTATCAGCGATAGGAGGCCAAGCTCGAGCAGCCGTTAAAGGGTCAACGGACTCTAGCCTTGGCAAGGGGAGCGTACTTTGGGGGCACTGAAGGCTTGTGGGCGAGATCGGGGCAGATGTGCACGAGCTGGTTCGGGAACGTCGGTGGCGCGTCATCGATCCGGACAATCTCGCTCGACCGGAACAGATTGACCTGCTTCAACGCGACCGCAGACCGGAACGAGCTCTGAATACGCCGAGGGAGACTTGATGGGGTTTCAGACATTCGTGTGTGTGAGCACGCAGGTGTATCGCCGGCCGGAAGCACAGAAAGGCAAGACTCAACAGAGGGGTGAGTGGGTTGAAGCGCGTGGGGCGCGAGCTGGCGCGAAGACCAGCAGAGACCAGCAGCGACAGGCAGGGACCAGCTTGGACCAGCCTAGACACTGGACAGTGCCTGGAGTCCTGGACCAGCTCTGACCAGCCGGTACGCTCCGGCACGTCACTGAGCGTCACTGCACGTCAGGTCTCGTCAAGTTCGCCGAACCACAGTTCCGCTCAGTTTCGCGCAGCCTTGCGAGGTTCTCCGTCCAGGGGACGCGGGCATCTGAGCCCTTTTACTGTCAAGGCGTCCCGTGAAGCTTCAATTTGTGCAGCTTCGTAGTCCAGAGCAGGCCGGGTGGGGTCTCGGTGAATCTAGAACAAATAGCTACCACATTTAGCTCGGCGACTCCCAACTCTCCTCTCGAGTATCAATCGAAGCCGCCGGTATCGTGGGTTCCATTCGATGCGCAATGCCTGCAACCGCTTAGGCTTGCGGCTTCGCAACCTAGCCATCACTGTACCGTGTTTGAATGTCACCAGCGGTGGGCCCAGCAGCACCGCTTCCCCTCAGCTGCTCCCGCGGCGATCCCTGTCACCTGCCGAGGTCTCGGGCACGGAATGTTACATGTGTCGTGATTGCATCGTCGAGATTCCTGTCTCCAGGCGCCGACACCGACCTAAACGACCGTCACTATTTTCTTTGACGTCTTCTCCTTCTGTCTTGTAATGTCCTTCTCCTCCCCTTTGTGCCACATCTACGCCACGTTCGCTGCCCGCTGCCTGCTGTCTCAACGCCTAATGGGCGGCCTGCTTCCCCCACCGGTCCCTCGTCCTCGTCTTGCCTGCGCACGCATGATGGTCGCTCGTCCACGTGCGGCACCGATACCACGACCTTTTAGAGCGTTCGGGCCGACTCGTTTGAACATGGGCGCCTGCGAGAGCATGTCGGGCACGACGTAGAAGCGGATCGAGCTCCCTCGAATGTAGACCTGGGGATTGCGAGCGTAGAGCAAGGCGCCAATGAAACAGTGCAAGCATTCACAGACGGGGCAGAAACAAAGGTCAGATGGATTCACGGTGTAGTTCTGGGCTGCAGCGACTGACCTGATCGAGTTGTGTGACACGACCATCACGATGGGTCACGGTGACAAGGGTCAAGGAAATCGACAACGAGTCCTCGGCTGGTAATTGACGATGAAAATGGGCAAGCCATGATCAGTGCCGACCCTCGGACCTCACACGCGAGCAGTAAGTCGTCTTGGGTTCGATGTACTCCCATGATCGGAGTATGAGAGCGGTGACGGCTGGGTGCCCTCGTCGAGATCAGGACGCGAGTTACCTGTGCGACAGCGCAGGCACGAGCTAACGATCTACGTCGAGGGCTCTGGCGATTCGGAAGTCGGGCGATTCGGGTGATAAAAGGCGAGCAATGATATGGTCGAGGTGGGAAGCGCTGGGTTGATAGCCACAGACGCGGTAGGGGTGCGACCAGTGCTGGCCAACCAACGCGAGGGCAATGTTGACAGCGCCACGACGACGATACAACTCAGCAGCAAGGCCGCCTCTGTTGAAACCATCATAGCGGCCCAGAGTGTGACTCACCTTCGAACAGCTTGCCCCTGTACACCTGGCCGGTCTTAAGCTCGACGGTGATGACATGTCCCAATGCTTCGTGCAGCAGCTTGGTCGGGATTCCAATGTTCGCCATCTACCACCACAATAAACATCAGAATCAGCGTTGATATGAGCCTTGGGCCTGTGTTGGTCAATCGGACTAACCTTCGTCGTTGAGCGGGGAGGGTGGGGAGTCTGGGTAAGGACCGGTTTACGGTGAGCCCAGCAGGAACTGGCGCGCCCGGCGGTCGCAGGAAGTCGCAGGCGCGCAGCAGTCGCAGGCTGACGCAGGCGGGCCCGTTGCCAAAGGCGACCATCGAGCTCGCCGAGCGAGTGCGGTGTGAATTAATCCATCTCGCTAGGATTACATACTTTCCCTTGCAACATAGCCCTCGGCTTGCTCGGAACTTGAGATTTTTCCCTTTACCGCCCGCCTCCGAGTCCTCGGTGGGTTTGCCCCCCCAAGTTGCTTGCGCTGCCCCGCCGGTTTCTTCACGGCACGCGGCCGGCACTGCACTGCACTGCATGCAGTGCAGTGGCGTGGGGAGGGAAACCGCCCCCGGCCCAAGCCCAAACAAAAGCTATGTTAGAATTTAGAAATCACTATTCAATAGAAGTCGGCGTGAACGTCGTTCAGTCTGAGGCTGCTCGTCGAAATACTAATTACTTGGCCGACACGAGACGTTCGACAGAGCGACGATCATCATAGTGCAGCCTAGGCTGTGGACTCCTGAGCTCCTGAGTCCTGTGGCTGTGGTCACCTGCTGGCAGTGGCTGCTGGCAGCTTCCACACATAGCCAGAAACGGGTGCCAAATCCGCAGACCCCTCAGACCCCCTCAGACCAATCTCAGAACGATCTCAGACCGAGTCAGAGCGGTTCAGAGGGATTTCAGACCATTCTGGTGGGTCTCAGCGGCACTCAGCCTGTCGGAGAAGATTTTCGACAGAATTCTGAATGAGAACTTTAATGAAACTGTCTGATATCATGCTCTACTACCTCTGAGATGCTGGATCAGGTGGTGTCAGACCCCATCAGTCTGAGCTCTTCTCCAACAGACTGACGGAGGGGGTCTGAGGGGGTCTGACGATTTCACACCCGTTTCTGGCTATGCAGTGCCTTCCGCCGAGTCTGCCTTCCTTCCGCTACGAGCGCTGCCCAGCAGCGACGAGCCCTGAGGGCGCTCAAACTTGGGCCAAAGGCGCACAATGTACACTCCTAATCGGCGTGAAAGGAATTTTGAAGCAGTGCGGAGTGAACTGGTAGCAGTGACTCGGACGCAGACTCGACGGGTGTACTCAGATGATCAGCGTCTTCAACACCAAAGGTCTCCACATGACTCGACCACAAACGATCACTGAGGCTTGTGTTTTCTATCTCGACTTTCTTATGTCGACCTAAAAAACGACTTGACTGCCCATGAGTAGTCTCGTTCAATTTGCTTGATTTCTAGGTTGCTGGCAAGGTTGAACGTGCTTCCGCTCCGTGCTCGGTGCCGGCCTGAGTTGCATTCAGTGCATTCAGTCTCATTCAGTGGCGCAGCGCTGCGTGCACGCTGACCATTCAGACTGCAGTGCGCTCACTCATCGGGTACCTCTCCGCGTCCCCACTCCCATCCGTCCATCCACAGCTCGCCGACACAGTCACATTCGGTGATGCTCGGCTCCAACAACATCGCCGCCGCTGCACTGTGCGTCGTCGCGGGCCTGTGCATCGTTCCAACCACCGACGCGGCACTTCGACTCGAACGCGATCCGGCAGCGCGTCGAAGCGCGTCGCCCTCCGAGGCATTGGGGTCGAGCAGTGCGAGCCCCTACCAACGCCAACTCGGCCTCGATCGATCAGAGCTCGTCAAAGCGGGTTATGTCGAGGACGCCGCATCTGCCTATACATCTTTGCACCGACGAAAACGAAGCGGACGCCGCGCGGCCGTTCGTTCGGCCAGGGGTCCAGCACGCTCGGACGCGTTGAAAGGGAGCTTGAGTCGGCGCAAGCGAGTCGCCAGTAGGGCCACCCCGACGGAGTCCGACGCCGAGGAGACCTCGCCAACCCTGCTCAGACCCTTCGACTACGCCAACGACAAGATCAGAGGGGTCAGTCTAGGCGGTTGGCTCGTCACGGAACCCTTCATCAAGGCCTCGCTCTACCTGGAACCGAATCGCGCGGATTGGCGTAAGTCGGCTGCGCGCGCTCTAGTCGGCGTTTCCGCTAAACGCATCGATCCTCGGCCGGAGGGTACCCATGAGCGGTTTCACTGATGAGTCGGAACAACCCACTTGCAGGAATCCAAGATGAATGGACCTTCTGCCAGTATCAGGATCGTGAAGTCGCGGCCACAGGTGAGCAAGCGAATCAAACGCCTTCATTGCCAACGGCTGCGAATGGTCACACCAGCAAAAGCTGAGTATTCACGCTTGCATCTCCTATCTCAGCATTGAGGGATCACTGGGATTCATGGATGACGGAGCTTGACATCGAGGAGATTGCGGAAGCCGGTGGGTCAAGTTCTGGGACAACTTTCAGCTCTATGCTCGAATGCTATGAGAGTTTTTTCCACCGAGACTCACATGTTCCTCAAACCTTCTCCCTCTCTCCCTCTCTCCCTCCATTGCTTCATTGCCTCTTGATTTAATTCAGGTCTCAACCATATCCGTGTACCGGTTGGGTACTGGGCCGTCGATATCGACACAGCGGCAGGAGAGCCTTACATTCCCGGCTCGCTCTACTATCTCGACGCGGCCATCAAGTGGGCGAAGAAGGCGGGCCTGAGGGTACTCATCGACTTGTATGTTTCTTCTGTGTAGGTGATCATCGAGCCCGGTTTCAGACCATTCACCTGTTTTCACCGCACTCGAGCAGGCACGGCGTGCCAGGGTCTCAGAACGCTCTCGACAACTCGTAAGACTTTGGAAGGAGGGTCAAAGCAATGCCGAGTAGATGGGCAAATGTCTGAATTGACCTCGAGTCTTTTCTTTGTAGTGGTCGACGTGGAAGCATCGAGTGGAACAAGAATGCGACCAACTTAGTCAGGACCCGGAATGTGCTCAAGGTGCTCGCCGACGAATTTTCCAAACCAGAGTACCAGTAAGTTGCTAGTGATTGAACTGCTTCACGAGTAGCGTGGAAATTGACATGAACTGTCTCACTGCTTCACAGCAATGTCGTCACTGCCATCCGTGCGTTCTCTCGCATGTGTGTTCTCATTGAATGTCTGTACTGACGGTTAGCTATGCCTGTTTAGAACCCATCAACGAGCCGTGGGGTCACGAGCCTGGTGTTCTCGCCGCTGCCGAGGACTATTACTATGATGGATTCCAGCTCGCGAAGTCAGCTGATCATCTCGGCTCCGTACCCGCACGCATTACTTAAGCTGATCCTCTCTTTCGACGAACGCTGCGCAATTTGCAGACTTGATGGTACCGACCCGTCTCGCTCGTTGCTCTACGTGATCCACGACGCTTTCAGGGGAGTATCGCACTGGAAGGGTAAGTTCAGAGTTCCCGAACCTCGGCAGGGGTTGCAGTAGCTGATGTGATACCTCCGCACCGCCAAGACTTCATGCGTAACTCAACCTACGAAGGCAAAGTGATGATCGACACGCACATTTACTCTATCTTTGACGAGCAAGAGATTCGCTTCTCGGAAGCGCAGCGGATCGAACACTATTGCGAGTACGGACAGTACCTCTCGCAAATCACCGCAGGTGGGTTACGCCCTGTCGTAGGAGAGTGGTCGACGGCGCCGACGGACTGCAACCAGGCATTCCCCGGAGCAAATTACTCGAGGCCGGAGCAACAGATCGGCTGGCCGTCGCGCTATGATGGCTCGTAAGTCCTTCTCGCTATTGCGCGCTTTCTGCTTCAAACGCTCGATCGAGGCGAGAGAGAGAGGGATTGTAGCATCATCTTCTGACATGTCGATTCTTTCGATACAGATGGCCAGGGACCAGAGCGATGGGCAGATGTCGGGACATCTCGGGGAACGGTGAGAAGTTCGCGATGGATTACCGCGAGCAGTTAGGGCGGTTGTGGGAAGTGCAAGTCTCGACGTATGAGCAAGGCTCGGGCTGGATTATGTGGACTTGGAAGGTGAGGCTTATAGAATCCTAAAATCCAATGCTCTGCGCTCGTCCAACGTTCCTGCAAGTGCTAATTATGTGCATCGCCTACGACCCACAGACCGAGACGACCGCCGACTTTTCGTACCAGGCCGGTCTCGACCACGGATGGATCCCCAAGGACGTGACGCAACGCACTTGGCAGGATCTGTGCAAGGTCTCGCCTCCTCAACGTCTTCAGCTCGGCACGATCGAGGACAGCGGAGAAGCCGACGAGCTGCCGACGGACTTCTTGGCCGTCGGAGAAAAGGTGCCGTCGTCGATCGAGCTGAAAGAAGACGATACGACGGACGAGCCTGTCGCGGTTTATATAGCGAACACACACGGGCGCTTCGACGCTCTCTATGACACGGCCTCGACGGTCTTGTTGCTCTTTGCCGATGCGATCGACGTTTTATTTTTGTATATTGGGTTCTAGATCTACATCCAGGATGCTGCACCTGTTGCTTTAGTGCCATACTAAATTTACCTATCCAATCAGAGTCAGGAGATGCAGGGAGCGCGTCCCGGTTCCTCGAGAAGTTGCGACTAATAGGTGGCCTACAGTCATTGCCGGGCTATCTCGCCAACCTGCAGCCACTGACTGAAGAGGGCGCGATCTATGCAAAGTCCTTCAAGACGAAAACCTGGCAATCAATCCTCATCTCGGCAACGATCAAAGCTTCCATCAACTTGTCCAAGTCGTCCAATAATTGCTTGTCCCTCGAGTCCATGAGCTTGGGGTCCTCCCGAACGTCGGTCCTCTCCGACTTTTCGAGGACTTTGCTCGAACGTTCCATCAGCTGCGTCTTTTGGACTTGCAGGTTCGCCAAGGCCTTATACTGGTGGTCGAGGAGCGTTCGAACGACTTTAGGGTAGTCGACATACCACAAGTAGAACGTGCGAGAGGGGGCTCGGTCGGCGGATCGAGGCACCTCTTGTGATTCGATGAAGGACATGGCCCGAAGACGCGCGATCGTTTCTCGAGCTTCCTTGACGGTCAAGAAAGCCAGTCGTGCCAGCTAAGGATCGAGGCCAAGCACAACCAAAGAGACCCGGGTCAGTTCGGCAATTCAGAACTGGTTGCGAGGCACTTTGACGGGGCTCACATGCTTCTCGTCGAGTTTTCCTTTGGCATCCAGGATCCTCCAACACTTGATGGCTTTCTTGTCCAGCTTGTCCTCGACCATCGCTTCGACCAAAGCGCGCTTCATGCGATCCCCAAGATCCTTGTACCTCACGCTCCACCTAGCGTTTGGCCCGTCCCCACCCGCCTGCCTCAAGAACCCACTCGCGGCATTGACACCAAGGTCATCGACTTTGGCTAGGATGTAGAGGATTTCGACGATCAGGTCGGCATCTTCCTTTTCGTGCAGGCTCCCCCACTTTGGGTCTAGACAGGGATCATCGTTGAAGGCGTGGCGGAGGGTCACACGCTCGGATTTGGGTAGAGACGACCATGCTTTCGACAGCTCGTTGCGGTTCATCGGGCCTTTCGTCGTGAATGAGAACGACCAAGTATCGTATCAACATGTGGGTTCCATGTTCTGTCAAATGAATTGAAGGAACTGACGAGACTCTTGATCCTCCATTGAGTGAATCGAAGCATCGGCGACGTCGAGCACGAGACGAAAGACGCGCCCAATATGCGGATTGTAGATCTCTGATGCGAATCGTTCCATCATCTGACAGAAAATGAGAATCGACAAGACACGCCGGATTGAGTGAATTATCAGGATCAACGCGCAGCGCAATAAGCGTAGGCCGACAAAGTGGCTGACCTCGCTTCTCCAGACCGTGTGCAGCCTTTCCGCATTGACTCGAAAGGTGGCGCCATTCTGGGGCGATGATCGGGGAAGCGTTCAGGCGGGAGCGGTTAGAATGCAGGCCTGTGAGTACGAAAATACTTACGGGTAGTTCCTTCATCCCTTCGACCGACTCGAGATCGTCCAAATCATTCTCGTGGTACGGTTTCGTTTTCTTCCTGACGCGGTACGAATCTTGCAACTCATCGAGGGTCTGCGGTCGAGCATCAAGTTTCAGCCGACTTGTGTCATAGATACCACTTCCTGCGACTGAAGACTGACCATGTTCTTTGATCGAGCTTTTTGTTCTTCGTGATGAGTATCGTTGCGCGCTTGAATCTTCTCCTTGACCTCTTTGGTCTCCTTTGCCGACAAGATGGCTGCTCGGTAGAAGCGCTTGGTCAATCGCACAGTCTGCTTCACGCCGGTCCTGGGGATTCTGCAACTCACACTTCATGCCCTGGCGTGCCTCTGTGTCCCATTTGATCTCCAACGAGCGGGGCATCTCCTGGGATTCGGGAGTGATGAGCGCAAGATAGCCATCGTGGAATGCTCGTTTGCACAGCACTTGAGCGCGCGCTTGAGCTGGACCGAGGGATGCAAACAAGAGCGGCATGCGTGTCAGCTGCAATCATCCGGGAGGCCGGGTTCAAGCCCAAGCGGTTCACACCTCGACCTCGACTGACCCTCGGCATCGGACAAAGGCCCCAAGACCCTGGCTTTCCCCTTTCCCTTTAGAAGCTTGCTCGACGAGGACGAAGGGTCGACGGAGGATTCGGCGGCGAGTTCGTGCTGGATGACGAGCATGCGGTGCCGGAGCAGTATATCCTGCCTGGCGAAGGTCATGAGATCGTGGGTACCCATCATGCCGTTCTTCCAGATCTCGTGGATGATCTTGCTCAGGGTCGACTCGGACGAAGGGGAAGGAGGCGAACGGGACCAGGACTGCGCTTTGCGGTTGGCCAAGTCGATGTAGAGGCCACCGCGCAGACGTTGCTCGAGGTTGGCCTGGTTGATCTCGAACGCCTCGACGCGCTTTTCCGAGTCGATCTCGGAGTGGTACAGGAGCATGTGCAGCGACAGCACGAGCAAGGCCCGATGGATCAGCGCTGGCGGCAGCGACGACAGCCGGGTCAGGTGCGCGAACGTCAACGATCCCCTCGCGAGCAGAACCGACGCGATTTCCTGTGCAGGCGCAGGAGCGAGGTGAACGTGGTCAGATCCTACGGTTCTGCTCGTCTTTGCTCTTGTGGGGGGGGGGACGACGTGATGAGCTGCGTAAGCGAGAGCTGGTCGTCGCGCTCCGACGACGCTCTCGACAGCGATCGACAGCTGGTGATGACCGAGAAGAGGGGGCGAGGGGCGCATGCCGTGGAGTAGGACTCACCCCAACGACTGGACCAAAGTGCTGGTACACGATGTGGGTGAGCAGCCTGATGCGATCCTGCCCCATGGTGGGTGGGTTGTGGGGGTGGGTTGGGGGTGTGGGTGGTGGGTGGTGGGTGGTGGGTGGTGGGTGTGGTGCGGGTTCGGTCGCCTCGTCTTTCGCAACCCCTCGCGCGCGTGGGGGGGGGGACCATTAGCATCGCGCGGCTTGATTGCTAATCTCGGCGCTTTCCGACTTTCGCACGCGTGATCTTGATCTTGTAGGATCTTGTCAGGGTCGCTCGCACTTCGCAGGCGCACCCTCGGCTCGCCTTGCCTTCCTCGCACACCCCACACCACCCCGAAACCCACCATGCCTCGCAAAGGATCCAAGAGGAGAAAGACACGCACCCATGTCAGTTGTCGTGCTCAGCTCTGCGTGGTGATCCTTGGCTCTCTACTCGCGAGCGACGCAGCGCGCGGCTGCAGTGCTGCGAACTCGTTCATCCCCCCCTCCCCTCCCTCACTCGCCCACATCCCGCAGCCCGCAGCCCGCAGCCCGCAGCCCGCAGCAGTCGGATCGGATCGCAATCGCATCGATCTCACCGCCGACGAGTCGCAACGGAGACCGCGCTCGCGCACTTGCTCACCAAAGTCACTCGTCATCCTCACAGGTCAAAGCAGGTACAGCAGGTACCTCCGCCGCCGGGTCGGACGGTCATGGCCCCAAAGTCCCAAAGTCGTTCGTCGTAAAGGCGGGCGTCGTCGGCAACTCGGTCGCGGCGCTCAGCCACGACCTGCGCAAAGTGCTCGAACCCAATACCGCTTCTCGGCTGCGGGTCAGTTCAATTTCACTTGCCATACAACTGGCTGGGTTGCCGTTCTGTTTCGACCCGTACCTGCTGTTCCGGCGCTTGACGTTGGCTGCCTTGCCCTCTCAACTAAAACTAGGAACGTAAATCCAACCGATTGAGGGACTACGTCTCCATGTCCGGACCGCTCGGCGTGACCCACCTGCTCGTCTTCTCGCAATCTTCCTCCTCCGGCACCCCACTTGCTTCGACCTCCGCAGCGTCCTCGGCCAAGGAGAACGCCGCCGCAGAGAACGACCGCATCGAGCAGAGCCTCGTCCAGGGCACCACCACCCTCAACCTCAGGCTGATCCGACTGCCGCGAGGACCGACGCTCAGCTTCAAGGTGCTCAGGTACTCGCTAGCGAGCGACATTCTCAGGATGGCCAGACGACCCCGAGCGATCGGCCGAGAGTTTGCTCAAGCTCCCCTGGTCCGTGCACCTCGCCATCTCGACGACTCTCTAGCTTTGCTCTCGGTCAGGCACTGAAGCGCCCCCGTCTTTTCCCCCCGCAGCTCATCCTCAGTGGATTCGGTGGGCCGGACAAGCAGCTTCAACTCATGACGACCGTCTTCCAAAACCTGTTCCCGCCCATCCACGTCCAATCGGTGAGTACGGTCGCCCCTCCACCCACGCTTCATCGGGCTGATTCATTCCTCTCCATTCCAGATGCCCCTCTCCTCCGCCCGCCGCGTCGTCTTGCTCTCGTACAACGCCACCACGCGTACGATCGATTTCCGCCACTACGTCATCTCGGTCCGACCGATCGGCATCTCGAAACCGATTCGGCGCATCATCGCCGGGTCCTCATTGAACAAGATCACCGTCTCGTCGAACAAACGACCCCTCGGGCTCTCCGATTCGGAAGAAGAGGAACACCCATCCGATGCGGACGACGGTCAAGACAAGACGCGCTCGGGCGTAGGTAAAGGCAAAGGTGTTCTGGACCTTTCCAAAGCGCAGGACATCGCCGACTACATCCTTCGCCACGAAGGCATGGGCTTCGTCGGCACCTCGGATTCCGAAATGTCGGACCAATCCGACGTCGGATCCCAATCGGGTGGAGAGAACTCGGAAGAGGATGAAAAGAAGGGTAAAGTCAGATTACCTGGGGAATACATCGGGAGGGGGAACCGAGGGAAGGGGGTGAGGGGGGAGAAGAGGGCGGTGAGGTTGGTCGAGTTGGGCCCGAGGATGGAGTTGGGCCTCTTCAAGATTGAGGAAGGCGTGGGCGAGGGCGAGGTCATGTTCCATGAGATGGGTCAGTTCGGTCTTTCTTTATGGCCTACGCTTCTGCCGCTACTCTTGAGTTCCTTAGACCTGATCAAATCGCCTGGACGCCCTCTACACAGTACACAAATCCGTGACTGAAGCTGCGCAACTGGCCAAAGTCCATGCCGCACGTCGCAAGCTCGCCGCCGAACGCCGAGCACAACAACAAGCCAACGTTGAAGCCAAAAAGGCCGCCAAGAAGGCCGAAAAGGAGAGCAAGAACGGGGGGGTCAAATTCAGCGAAGACACCAAAGAAGGCGAAGACGGCGACGAGGACGACGACGAGGAGGATGACGACGAGGATGCGATCGATTCGGACATCGAGTTTGATTATGAGAAGGAGCACGGTCTACCTGCACCTAGTGATGAGGAATTGTTGGGCTCTGACACGGAAGATGAGGAAGATGAAGTGGAGGGGGAGGAGCAAGCCCTTGATTCGGACGCCGAGGACTCGTTCTCGGACCAAGAGGAATCGTTCGTCGATCCGAATGGACAGGACTCTGAGATGGACGAGGACGAGGACGAGGAGGATGACGAAGAAGAGGAAGAGGAAGATGACGATGACTCCGACACGGACCCGATACCTATCTCTCAAGTGGACTTTATCGACCATCCGCCACCTCTGGCCAAGTTGACGAAACGATCCAACGCCCCATCTTCGAGCGCGACCTCGTTCAAGCAAAAGGGCTTCAAGAAGATTGATCGGGGACCGGCACCGGCTGCTGTGGGCATTGCCAAGCCTCGTGGACCGACCAAGAAGGAATTGAAGCGAACTGCCGAGTTGGACAAGAAGAACGGCGGGACGGGCAAGAGGGCGAGATACGAGGATGATCACGGTGGAGAGGACGAGGGACCGAGATTTGGAGCAGGCCGAGGTCGAGGTGGGCGAGGAGGTGGTGGCGGAAGGGGGAGAGGCGAGAGTAGGGGGCGGGGTGGACGAGGTGGAGGGAGGGGTGCGTCTCGAGGATCTTCGAGGGGACGGTAGGTAGAAGCCACGTCTTCTACACGAGGCGCTTGCAATCACAGACCGACTCGAATGTACGATTCCGCAGTGGTACCGAGAGTGATATGCATCGCATGCTGCTCTACGTGCACCTGTCCGACACTTTGAATCCTGAGCTACAAGTTCGCCTTTCCAGCCTTCCTCAGCGCTGCATCGATGATCTCAGTCATCCGAAGGATAGCCTCATCTTGCCCTTTGCGTCCCATGCACTGAAGGCCAATGGGTGCATCCTCATACAAAACAGGATCATCTGCACGAGAGAAAGGTGGAGACAATCCTCAGCTTGATGACGGTGGGAAGAAAGTCCTCCACACTCCTCAAACACTCACACGTCTCTTGGATCCGTTTCTCGGTAGCTGATCGATAGCTCGCGGGAGCAGGAGCAGACGGATCCAATTTCGGGTCGACTTGGATGACGGGGAACAAACCAACCGGGTAGTCGTGCAGATTTGCCAGACCCGTATACCAGCCCCATCTATAGCCAAAGAGCGGGGCGAGTCAGCAAAGCTTCAAGATAAACCGTAAACGCCAAGCTTGCACTCACGCGGCGACACCGTGTACTTCTGGGGCGTGGCACGAGACAGGACCTATGATTGCGTCCAAAGGTCTTCCAGTACCCGTGATACTACTCGTAGCCTCCCACGCATCCAATTGTGACTTGACATACACCTTCCGGCGCGCACACAACTCCCAATACTGGGAAGCGGTCAACTCCTTCCCATCGCCGCGATTCATCCTTCCAAAGATCCTCGGTTCGCCCGACTCGGCACAGGCGATGTCAAAGCCCTTCTCGCCATCAGCGGCATATAAATCGACGAGGATCTTGAGACCTTCGAGAGCGTCGTCGAAGGACCAATCGATGACGGTATGGCCCCCGGCTTCGAGGGCTTTCTTGGTCTTGTCGAGCGCTCGAGCATAAGGTGCTGCGGGGCGACAATGCCCGTCGTCCCTCCAAAGCCCAAAGCATAGTTTGTTCCCGCCTGCATAATCCTTCAGTTGGTACAATTCATCTTGCCAGGGTCGATAAGTGACGTAAGGGTCCACGCGCCAAGGCTCGGCTTCCACCACGGCCTTGACGAAAAGTTTGAGGCCGGCGATCGAGCTCGACATGGGGCCGGCGACGGAAGGGATCGCTTCGAAACCAACCATCGAGTTGGTTGCGCCTTGGTACGGGATACGGTTGTATGACGGCTTGAACCCATAGATGCCGTTGAAGCCCGCGGGTATGCTGCGCGGATGCGGAGATTAAATGAGTCAGCGAGCGAGGCATGTCTTTGATGGCCCTCAGCGCGCTTACCGGATGGAGCCACCAATGTCCGTTCCAACCCCAAGGGGGGACCCACGCATAGCGATAAGAGCGCCTGATATTTTTTGGACATGGTGTGAGTGCTGTCCGAACCAAGGATACAAAGGCTCATCGCACTCACCTTCACCACCCGAACTGCCGCCACACGTGAGATCGCCGTTGTGGGGATTGACAGTCCGACCATACACATTGTTGACCGTTTCTCCAGCCATCAAGGTTTGCGGTATATTTGTTTTGCAGTACAGGACTGCTCCCGCTTTTAGAAGACTGATGACGGGTAACTCTGGGCGATCAGTCACCATGGACAAAGGGGCAAGAGACATTTCCGACTGCACACAACTTCAAGACGATTGCTCACATATCGACAAGAACCGCATTCTGTTTGCTGATATTGCCGATAGCTCCAACGTATCCCATGTTCAGCTCTACACCTTCGACGTCGATCTGATCTTTGAGGCTGATGCACAATCCATGCAAGGGGCCTACCGGCTTGCCGGTCTTCTTGAGGATCTGGTCCAATTCTCGAGCTCGAGCGAGTGCTCGATCAAAGAAGGTTTCCGTCAAGCAATTCGTCTGTTCGTACAAGATAATTTGAAATCCCCATCAAAGTTTCAGTCAAATTCAAATGGGGATCAATTCGTCAAGTGGATGAGGGCTCTTCTCGTCATCTCGGCGCTTCGAAGCCAAAAAGAAGTTCACCGTCGAGGTCACGTGCCACTTACAAGTTCATGCGCCACTACCGCGCGGCGACAGAAGGCGGCCTGCAATGATACAAGGGTGGTAGCCCCGCGATCAGCTACTCTTTGAGCAAGTTTCACATGCCGAGTACGATACATGAGTCGTCACATGAGTGCAACGCTCAGTAACCCGGTGGGTAGGCTCGCCGGCTCGCGATCGCGCCGAGCTCGAGGATCGTCATAACCTCGGCTACATCATGCAGCACTCACCGTCACCTCCTCCGAGGACCACTCGCCTTCCCTCAGCTTCCTCAAGAGTTCATCGAGATTGACTGTCTCCGTGATCTGCAAGTCCTTGTTCGACAAGATCCCCTCCAACGACAAGTGGGTCACATTTCGTCCCGGGTTCGAGGCGAGTCGATCATGCAGGGCGTAGAGGTCGAGGCCTTGCGCACGGGCGAAAGCGTGCATCGCTTGCGTGGAAGCATCTTTACGCCCTTCAGCGAGCGTTTGCCAAGATGCTTGAATTGGTTTCGAAGACGGCATTGGAGCGCAGTCTACCGAAGAAGCGAAAGATGGGTGCGAAAAACAAGGGCCCTATCGGATTCCGCTGCGCCGGCAGGTCCGAATAGCCGAAGCGGCAGCCTGCGGCAGCTGTTTTGCACCGATAAGACAAGTCGCGTTTCACTCACACTACCACAACATTTTCTTGATTTCAACGTCGTCACCGCACCAGGCTATGCACAGCATTCACTGTTACTCTCTCTCACGTCAGGCCATTTCGCCCACCATTGATCATGTACGCTTATTGAGACTTTCAACGTTTGATAGATTGTCAGGTCTTTCGTTCATGCGTTAAGCTTCGGCTACAGCACGAAGACCGGCTCTCCTTTTTTTAGATGCACCCTCAAAATTCCGTACACCCCTCCTCCCCCCCCTTCCCTTCCTAACCCTCCATCCATTCAGCCTTGCACACCGCTCCCTCGTTTATCCCAATCTCGACTCCCAACGACGCGCGTCCCTTTGGCCCCCTTGCCACCAAGGTACAACCTCCTCAAGGCGTCCTCACTCGCCCTGTACTCGCTCATCTTGATACTGCTCCCGAAGCCTTCGCCCAACTTGGTCGCGCCCGAGTAAACGCCGCTGACGAAAGTCGCGTGATTCGACAATCGGCCCGACTCTTTCAAGAGGCGGTGCGTAGCGCGCCCAGCCGAAGCCTTCAAGACGAGGTGCGACGAGAGCACCGAGGTCGGATTGGTGAACTTCAAAAGAGGCAGGATTTGCGAAGAGGCGATGGGGGAGGGAAGTTTAGAGTTGGTAGAGGATACAAGCGAGGCGAGGAAGTGCGCATGCGCGAATTGGCGTGCCGCGTTGAAGCCCTGCATCGGATAGAAGAAAGCGGTCAGCCAAGAAGGCTATCGACTTCGCACCAAGTTGCGGTGACTAACATGAGTCTGATAGATAGCGCCCACGACAGCCCTCGCAACGCTGGCCAACGCATCCTCGAACAAGACGGCATCCTTGACGGGCGAGACCTTCGTTCGGTTCCATCGAAGCAACCCGATACCAGCAGCCCCATCACCACCCACAGATTCCCGCTTCGCCGCCGGTCCAACACCGCCTACGAGGTGGCCATACGCTCGATCCTTCCTCGACAATTTTTGAACGTCCGGTCGGCCGACCCATCGATGGTCCAAGCGCGTCGGTGCGATACCCCACGACGTCGCAACGGCGGCAAGTGATTTGGGGCCCACAAACATCGTCAACGCGGCTTTGGTGACACGTGTTGGTAGATTTGGGAACTGCTCCATCAAGGCCTCGGCCGTGAGCGATCCGAGGAGCGCATTGCCGAGCGACGCCAGGGGTTCGTTGTGCGCGCGCAGGGCGGTGACGCTCGTCGGCGCAGAGATCGGGCTGTCGTGGAAGTGGGTATGCCGACGCTCGGCTGCATTCGCTTTGGGCAGGGTGTTGACGCCGGTCCAGAAGGATTCGTGGATGAGGCATTGCTCAAGCAGAGCCAGATCTTGAGCGAGGGAGAACTGTGCCGAATGCTTGCCCGCGCCTACTACGGAGGTAGCAAGTCGCCCCGCGAAAGCCGAAAGCGACGAGAGTGGTGGCGGGGTCGTGTAGGTGAAGAGTAGGGAAAGGGACTGGTCGGTGAGTGGATTTAGGGTGTAAGAATCGTCGGCCTCGGCGGTCTCGGATGGGGTCCGGGGCGGGGAAGGGAGGTCGGAAGCGGTGTGGGTACTGCCAGGTCCAACGTCCCGTGCAGAGGCAGAGGAGGGCGCTTTTTTGTTGCTGTTGGTGGGTCTTCGCACCTCGCGTGGTACATGGGGTCGCGGCGAGATGTAGGCCCTAGGGGATGCCTGCGAGGTCGAAGCGGTGGTCGCAGCCGCGGCGGCCGAGGTGCTCGCCGACGAGAAGGAACGGGCTGCAGGAATGAGGCAAACGTGAGTCAGTTTTAGGCTTTTGGAAACTATGTTAGAGCCCTCAGCCGCGATGGCGGTGTCAACATCTCGGCGGGGCCAGGAAGCGTTCGAGGATGTTGCCCAAGAGCATTTTCCTGTGCGAGAGGTCATCGTCGGACCACGCGAATTGGGCGAGTTGGAGGGCCTGGTCGGATAAGCACGTCCCATGGACGGGGGGTGTGGATCTTCCAGACTAGTCCGAAAGAACATGCGCCCTGAACCAGCGCGACGCAACGAGGGATGGCGATCGCCGGGAAGGCTGATCCGTGACGGCCCGGAAAGTTGGCAGACGACGATGGGCGGCGCCGTGCCAGTGGTCGGTGGTCGGTGGTCGGTGGTCATCCGTCCGTCACACAGGGCGCCATACCGGACAGCGCATCGCTCCACGAGTCGCAACAGTCTTGTGTCCCGAGCATCCAATCCGCAACGGTCTATTATCACTCACAATGAACCTGCTGCGGGCGTAGCCGGGATCGCAGTGTCGGCTCAGCGATTTTGTTGCTCGGGCGGCGGCCCAGCTCGATCGGCGACGCTGCAGAAGCTACGCCGCAGTGACGACGAGACGTGCAGGTCGTGGCTTGGGTCGCAGTCGTCGTCGCGGTGGTCGACCATGTCCGTACAGAGTGCAACGCCGATCGTGACATGGCTAGGAGATCGCCCACACTGGTGAGCAGGTACGAGCAGCCCAGCGACGAGCGACGAGCGACGAGCGCGCAAGATCGCGCGAGCTGCGAGGAGGTGCGAAGGCCCCTCGAGTCGAATGCGCGATTACGGGCCCGCGCATTACAAATGCTTTCCTAATCAGACGATCATCAGGGGCTGCGAGCACGCCCGCGGTGCCAGACGGCGGATGGTAGGCACTCGCCGAAATTGCGTGATGCATGGATGGCTGTTCTACAACACACAGAGAAATCAAACAAAACCCACGTCTATGTTGTAAATCAAGGAAGTGGAGTGTGCAATAGGCTGTTGCGTCTATGGAGGCTGACTAGGCCGAGAGCTGTGCAGACGCGGGGGCAAAACAGCCTTTCGAGCTCCTGTCGAGGTAGTAGAGCACCATGTTGATCCAGAGCTTATACGGGAGCCCGCCTATCTCAAAGTGCTGCTCGTCTGCGTACGAAACCGAGCCTTGAAGAAGCTCGGTCCCTGTGGTCGAGAGACGATCGACGCCCCGAATCAGACCCCTGAGGACGACGACCGGCGAAAGCTCGCGGCACTCACATCGCATCGTCGGAACAAGGTACAGTCGACTCATGGCCTTGATCGACTCGTTCAACTCAAAGATGGCGACGTTGCGTGCGTGCTCGTTGCCACGATACGATTGGATTGTCCTCGTCATGATCTGCGAGTTGGGGAACGTCTTTTGCAAGGCGCCGAGGACGTCTCCAAAGCGTTGGCGGTACCACCTCAGTTCGCTCCACAGCAGAGGTCTTTCACGGATCGAAACAATTCCCTCTGCGAGACGACCCGGCTCGTTCGCACCTTCGGCGAGCGCACGCATACCCCAGTAACGCAGGTCCCAGAACCCGGATTGGAAGATCACCAAGCTCGGAACCGATGGGCTGAGCCCCTGCAGCATCGGCAGCAGGACCTGGTCGACGCGTTCTTCGACCGAGTTGGGGAGTTGATCGTGCGGTGCGCGGTACGTCTCGTCTTCCCTCATTAGACCGTAATGGAACAGAAGCACAAAATGGGTGCCAAGCGAAGGGAGCGAACACGTCCAATTGTGGTGCCCGTCCGTCCCATGCTCGATCGCGCCGGGTACGCGAGAACAGAGCGATTGCAGGTTCTTGCGGTCGTGAGAGTCTCCGATCAACACAATCGTCTTGTTGCGCGCGAAGGAAAGCAGAGGCGACTTGAGATCGACTTCCAGTAGGGTCGAGTAGGCCGGAGGTGAAGCTGCCAAGTCGGCCGCGGAAGGGTTGACCGAGGTGTTGTAAATGTCGGCGACGGACTCGAACTCGCTCGTGTAGGTGTTGTCGGGCGTATAAGGGATCCATCTGACAGTAACAGGTACAGGTGAGTGGAAACATCGGGACATGTCTGATCTGCGAACGCCAAGCGATGCTGTCGCGTCGACGACGGGGATGGCTCGGGCGAGAACACCTCCTACCCACGCTGTTCTGAGAACATACCGAATGTCCGTCTCCCCGCCCTTGTTCTGCTTCCTAAAAATGTACCCATGTTGATCGTACAGGTTCGGACCGCAACGTTGCTGACCGTAGTGACCCCACTCGCTCAAGCGCAAGCCGGAAGCGAAGGTCGCTGCCGTTGTGGCTATGACAACGAGCAGCACCAGCACCAGCCGTTCGACAAATCGCCAAGACTGTTGCAAGAGATTCGGTCTCTTGTATGCGGGTCGATGCCTGTGGGAATGATGAAGTATGTCGTGCAAATCGCTCGTCTCGTCGTGCAAATCAACAAAGGCTTGCGCATCGCGGAGGAAGTGTTCCGTCTCGTCGTGGAACGAGCTTTCTGAGTAATGAGACTCGGGCGTGACGCCGCGCGGACTCGGAGGCTGCTGCTGGATATCCAACATGAGCGGAGGCATGGTGTACGTATGCTTGTGAGATGTCGATGGTAGAGTCGAGGTTGGCTGCAATGTTCGCTCAAGGTTGTGAATAGAGCTGCAAGTCTGATCGGATATCTCGCGGAGGTACGTTAGTCCCGGCCAAGAATATTCTATTGATGCAGCGCACATGGGCGAGCACTGTAGCACATGGCCGCCCGGGCCCGGGGTCCCGCTCCGGGATCCGAGCTCCAAGATCAAACTGAAACTTCGGGGTGATTGTCAAAGACTGATCCGTCAAGGTCCATTCGAACCTGACCAAAACTCGCCCCCTCGTATCTTTGTGACACCACCCCAGGGAATTTTAATGGGTGACCCTGTTGCAGGGTCGACGAGTCCCACACTATTGCAGTGGCCAGCCTTGTGCGAATGCATCTACTCCGAATCTTCCGAATCGGAGGTCTAGGCCTCTAGGCCTTAACACCGAAGATGCTGTCAATGCTGTTATTGTTCGGTGTGACTGAGAGAATCTTTGATGAAGGTTGTTTGTGGTGCAATCTCGGGTAGGTGTAGAAAGAAAAGAAGAAGAAAAAGAAGAGGGCCTTTTGCTTGACCACAAGGTACGCGTCGCGTCGCGCCTTCCGGGGCCGCCCCGGGTGAAAGTCGCAGTCTCAGCGCAAGCGAAAGTGGAGTCGACCATTTGTCTTCTTTTCTCGTTCTGACTCCGTGTGTGTTGGTACCTACTGTACATGTTCTGTCCCTAGGACCACACTCTAGCCCATCGGTGACGAACATTTTTGATTTTGCCGCACCAGCCTCCTGGCTCCGGCGGCGAGTGCGCGCCGAGCGATGCCGATCTTTAGTATCTGCTCAAGGCGACGTGGTATTAGCATGCCGGGACGACTCGGGAGCGCAGGCGCCATTACAGCTTCGGCTTTTCCGCGATCCTCGCACCGTTGAACGACTCGACCTGACTGCCGGGCTACAAGGGCCTTCCACTCCCGAGCGGGGATCTTTGAAGGACTGGATCTAGGGGACGGGGGAAGGTCTACAGTGAGGCTCGGCGACGTCACCGCCATCACCACCACCATGTCAGGGGCCGTCGCAGCGGCGTCGTCCACAGCAAAGCCGATACTCGGTCAACGGCGTGACGACCTCACAGCCCAGCAACCGATGGAAGCACAATTCCAACCGACAGCTTCAACCTCGACTGCAGCGACTGGAGCTGGTCCTGTCGACACCACTAGTGATTTGATCGCAGGATGGCTGGGTGGAGCAGGTCAGTCGGTCGCTTTGCCCGTGTTCGACTGAACCTCGTCGAATCAAATCTGGCGTGGTGCTGATCCGATGAACATCGACTTTTGCATCCACTGTTTCAGCTGGCATTCTTGTGTCGAACCCGTAAGCGCCTCCATAGCCCAGAGTGGTCAATTCGGCTCGAACCAGCAGCTCGCCAGATCTCGCAACTCGACTGCACAGCTTGATGAATTTAGCTCAAGGCCGGATAGCCCAAGGTCGACAACGGCCATTGACCGGATTGTTCTTCATTTCACAGTCTCGAAGTTCTCAAGGTGCGCCTACAGACGGCACGAGTGCCATCGAATCGAGTCGGGCGATCAAGTCCGCCTCCGACAGCGACCTCTTCTTCCGCGACCCCATCGGCAACAGCGGCTTCCACACACGCCTCGTCGACGTCGACGACAAGACCTGGACTGGCATCGTTGTGGAAGGCAGAGGGATCCCGCTTTCTCTTTGCTGGTGCAGCCGGCCCAATCTTGGGGCTCGCTTTTATCGACTCGGCATTCTTCGGCCTCTATGGCCAGTTCATGTCCGTCAACCCCCCACGGGACTGTGAGGCAATCGGTACTGACGCCTGATCGGTATCTTACTTTTGCCTTCTTGTAGGAGTCGATTTGATCAAGATCGGCAGGATCCGACGTCGCTGACAAAAGTCTTCGTCGCCGGAGCCACGGCGGGAGGGTTGTGTGCTCTGCTCGAAACGCCGGTGCGTGACCCTACCATTGACTACAGCCACAGAGCTCCAATGGCTTGAGATGCTGAGATTCTCTTCTCGCTCCTCGTGTGACAGATCGAAGTCGTCAAGTGTCGTGCCCAAGTCGAATCAGGGGCCGGCACCAAACTTGGCTCGTTCAAGATTGCTTCGATGATTGCGCGTCACGAAGGACTGCGAGGGTTCTACATCGGTGGTCTGATGACAGCCATCCATGACGGCATCAGCAGTGGCATCTTCTTCTGCGGATGTGAGTCGATCGCAGCGACAAATGAACAAGGCCTTCGAAACGGAATATTGATTGAGCCACAAAACGACCCCCACCATAGATTTCATGTTTCGCCGCATGTTGAGGGGCGAATCGCCGTACTTTACACCACCTATTCCTCCGCGGATACCAACGTCGACAGCAACTTCAGATATCCCATTCTCTATCGCATCCGCAGCCTCTTCCGCAGCAGCAGCATCAACGACAACACCCGACGGCAGCTTGAGCTACCCTGAGATAGGGAGGATATTGCTCGCTGGTGGGCTTGCAGGCGCTTTGAGTGCAGTCGTTCCGTACCCGTAAGTTGCCTTGAACCTGCTCCGAGTGAATATAGGTGCTCACCAAGCTATCGTGTTCGTGTCCCAGATTCGACATCATCAAGACACGCTTGCAAACCTCCAACTTTGAAGCCCTCTCTGGATCCTCAAGAACGATCCCTTCCTTGGCCTCCTCCGTCCAACCCACGCCGACTCAACTGGCTCCCCATCAGTCCTTGTCGATCCGCTCCGTGGCTCGAGGTATCCATGCCGATGGCGTAGCATCCTACCGCTACCGCTACACATCAACCATCCTCCACTCTTTGATAACGCACTATATCTACCCCAACCCGAGACATGCCCCTTCAACCTCCTCTACGTCATCTTTCATCTCGAATCAGTCCTCTTCCTCGACAACGAACATGATCGATGGGCGACCCGGTCCCGATCCAAGAGCCGCCAAATTGACGTTGAGGCTATTGGGACTCAAAGGCTTCTTGACAGGGATCAAGCCTACGCTCGTGAGCAGCTTCGTGGGGAGTGCGGTCACGATCACTGGCTTCGAGGTCGCGCTTCACTGGTTGACCGGTGGACACGGAGGAGGTGGAGGTGGGATAGGATAGATGTTGAATAATTCGCTTGTTTAAATCATTCCCAATATTTACATCGCAACTCTTGGTCAACCTTCGCACCATCTCAACTTGACAGAGATGGAGGTTGTCAAAGGAGATGCGTGCGGCATGACGGGGTCTGACGGGACTGCGCAAAGACAGGGGTACGCCCTCACGAGCTGTTGGGATGGATCGGACGAAATGGACAGCATCCTGAGAACGTTATGTGGTTTCGGCATCGAGTGCCTTGCTCTTGGCATCCTTTTGCAAGACCTTGGGCCGAGTGAGTGGCTCTCTTCCGAGTCCATCCACAAGGCAGGCGGAGCCCCTTGGCCGGGGTGTGGCCTTCGGGGAACGGCTGTGCTAAGGTGACCGGTGATTCATGAATGTGAGCCCGACGGGGCTCAATCATGCTGTCTCGGAAATTTCGATGTTTCTTATGTCAGGATCAACCTTACGAGTGTGCAACTTCCGGGGAGTCATTGCCGCTTACATCCCGGCTGCGGCTGTCAAGTCGACATAGAGCGATGTTTTCGCATCGTGCTTCTCGCAGAACGGTCACACACTCGCGGGTCGAAGCATTCACAGAGCCTCTGTTTTTACCTAGGTGCCCAAGTACCAGTCAATCTTTATGATATCAGTGGTCTCAAGAAGAGGCAAACGGATGTTACTGTGTGCGCCCCTACCCGGCAAGGATTGTAATCGGACCTGACTCGCAACCTCCCCTGGGCACGAGCGCCTTGCAACCCGTTGCCCTCTTTTCAATTATGGCAATTGGTGAATCCGCCTCCGTTTCGTACACGAGAGAAAGGTGCCTTCCGATCCGCGCAGCACCTCAAAGCTGAGCATAGGTTACGCTTTCGCATGTGAACCCCAGCAGATCTCACCATTATCCTTGTTTCTCTCCTGAGCCCACCACCCTCACACCCATCCCCGAAGTCTCTTCCTTCCCCCATCACACTGCAGGCGCTTCATGTGTCCCTTGCGCCGACCTGCTTGCGGTGGCCTGCAGCACCACGAGCTCCACCACATGCTCGTATGGAAAGCTGACCCTCCCCAACACCATCTGCACGGCCGTGACTTGGCCCCCTAATACCGCTAACACCGTTGAGGGTACTCCTATTTTCGGCCTTCATGGGCTCGCTCACACCTCCGCGCTTCGGGTATCTTCTTCATTTCCCAGGCAAGGGATTCTGCGAGTCGACACTGAATCTTGCATTTCGCCAAGGTTGCCCCTGACCTTGAAGCCCACGTTCGGCCTCAACATCCCTTGGGGGCATTGCGTTGCGCCGACGACGCATGCCCAGTTCACCAGTGTGTAGCCGTTCATGAAGGGAAGGGGTTCCGACGAACGTCATGTAGTGAGTACTGGGCCTCTCCTTTTCACCTTCCCGCCACTCACAGCCAATACCCTCATCGACGACATCCCCACCTTGGTCGGGCTCAAAGTCACAGGGGCGAAGTGGGGCTCGACGCTGGTCACCTCCGACAACACCTGCGCCTACTACACCAACACGTCAGGAACCGGCGTCGTCACGTTCTGGTGGGCCCACTCAACGTCGACCTGCTGGATCCAGAACTCGGGCGCAACGGCTTCACGGTCGGGTCTGGAAGCTTTTAGGCCCTCAATCGGACCAGGACGTGCGCAGCGGCAAAGGGCGTGTACCCGAGCAACTTCAACATGATTGTCATTGCCTAGCCTAGACCTGCGCCGAAACGCAATGCCACATTGGCTATGCCAAGCCCTCTTTGCGTGTATACATTGCTTCTGAATTGCATCATAGCTTACCGCCTCAGGCACGTACAATTCCATCTACGAATCTAACGCGTCCCGGTCTTTATGATCCCAGCCCTGACCAGCTTCTCGACCTTGAGCCTGACGTCCTCGTTCCTCTGCATATGCGCCTGCAAACTGGGCGGGTCGTTCTGCGCCTGCTGCAAGATCATCTGGAACGCCGGGTCGGACATGATGCTCTGGATCTCCGGGTCGCGCATCGCTCGCGCGTACGTCTGCTCGTCCGTTTCGCCCGCTCGGGATTGCGCATCGGCGATGTTGACCTTGCGGAATTGGGATGCGATCTCGGTAGTGTGCTTTCGATCGACGTCCTTTGCATCGGCCTGGTAGGCAGCACGACACGAGAGAGAGGTCGATTATCAGCTTCTCGACCGAGCATGCAGGGACCGCCATCGGGAATATGGCGTTGCTCACCTGCTCGATCGCTGCCAGGGCTTTGCTGTATTCCTTCATGGCGAACAGGACGTGAGATTTGCGAATGTAGCCCTTGACTGCGTGATCGTCGGGATAGCAACAAGAGTCAGCAAAGTTCTCTTCGACTTGAAGACCTGAAAGGTCGGTGTCGACTCACCAAAGTCAGGCTGGACCTCGATGGCCTTCTCCGCATCCTTCAAAGCTTCGGGCAAGGCTAAGAGTTTGGTCAAGGCGGCGGCGCGGTTCGTGTACCCTCGAGCATCGGACGGGTTGCGTTTGATCGATTCGGCGTAGTGAGCTACCGAGCCAGCAAAATCGCCGGACTGTGGGTTTGGGCGACCTTTATCAGCACCTCGTTGGGCAATACACAGATAAAGGGAGAGAGCGGAGCGCCCACCTTGAACGCAGTGTTGCCGAGCTCTCGCGCGGCGTCGGCTTTCTCGGGGTCGATGTACGCCAGGCGCTCTCGTTCGGCCTTGGTCTTCTCGGCCTGCAGAACCCCGAACGAGACCAAGATTAGAGTAAGTAGCCGGTCTTCCCGAATGCTTCGAGGTCGATCGTGAAAGGTGCTGAGGTGGGTACGTACATCCTTGAGCTTGGCGAGGATGTCAGGGGTTCGGTGCTCGGTCAAGGACTTGTTGAAAAATTTGATGGCGTTGTTAAAATCGTCCTTCTTGAGGTAGGCAGTTCCAATTCGACCGAAAGCTCTATGGTGGGGAAGGACAGGGGTGGATCAGACTCTCGATCACAAAAAGGTAGGCAAGTGGGGTCGGGTCGGTGACTGACTTTGCAATGAGCTTGTAGTCGGCCCTCATGTCCCGGCCTTCGTCGACGGCCTTTTCGCACGTCTGAATGCACTTGTCGTAGTCGGCCTGTTCAAAGTAGACGGCTGTGAAAGGAGTGAGGTCGTGCAAATCGTGAGCGGGCAAGTCTAGCCTGGGAGAGGAGAAAGAGACAAGAGAGCCGCTCTCGACGCCGGGATAAGGGGGGGGGGGGGGTGGCTTACCGGCAAGGTTGTTGAGGTAGGTGATGTCCTTGTGGGTGTTCCATGCCTGGTCGTACAGCTCGACGGCCTTGTCAAAGTCACGCGCCTTGTAGGCTTCGTTGCCCTTGAGCTTGAGAGCATCCGCAGCGGCTTGATCGGACATGATTGCTCGATGAGTTGGGCTCAGAGTGAGCCAGGCGTTGATGGTCGAGGGGGTTGTTCTACGTGTGTTTTCAATCGATGCAGTCAGCCCCCTGGTTCGTCGTCCGAATGGGCAAGAGCAGCGGCCATATATCGACGCGGTCGCACCGAGCTCGTGCGACGTCGAGCTTGAAGCAAACCCTTGTCGACGACGACTGCCTGCAGCGGTACAGTAGCCGGGAGATGCTAAGCACAAGCTGACCTACCAGGTAGTACTTGGGCCGAGCTTGTGGGAAGAGCTTGTGGGAAGAGCTCGTGTGCGAGGGAACGTATGGCTGTATGTGTTGGGGGGGTGAGGTCAACCACGTTCGAAAGTGGCTCGGACAGTCGACATTCGAGGTGGAGCTTCCACGGCGTTCCACTTGGCTCAGTCGGCACGGCGGGCGGATCATGACTAATGATCGAAGCCACCGACACGACAGACGAATTGTTCACATGCAGTTTTCTAATGAATCATGCTTTTCCTAGTCCAACACGTTCCAGCGGAAACTTTGGCCGAGCATGAATCTGCACTGAAGTTATTGCGCGAAACGGGCCGCATCGTCGACGTCACGCGATCACATTCACCGTGCAGTGACTCAGTGAGGTCGAGCCAGACCACAGCGGCAGGAGGCCAGACAGGGCACGGACAGGGCCAGGACAGGGCCAGCAGATCAGGGCCAGATCAGGCCAGCGCGGAGGCTGACTCGAGATCGACGGCGCTTTCCTTGGGCTCCGACTTGTACTTCCTCCGAGAAAAGCGCAACACCTAATCCGCTCTTACAAACGCTCGCTCGCCCACCCACCCCACCACCTCATCAAACACCATCAGTACGTACCTTGCTTTCCCCTCGCTTGACCTTCTGCATAGGGAGCAGACTCTTGGGCGACTGGCGTGGTGGCCTGGCGTCCATCGTCATCATCCCCGAACGGCGCCACTGATCGCTGATCCCCACCCTTCCACAGTGGCTGGTTCAATCACCGACTGGGACTCAAAGGCAGGTACCCGACTCGACTTGATTCAGTGTTGACATCCACAGTGCACTGACGCCAACGCATGCATGCTCGCTCCTCTCTCCTACCCCGCAGACCATCATCGGTTCCAAGGCGAGGGCACCGACCGTCACCAAGGATGGCGCCGCCCTCAACGCCGCTCGAAGGTCAGGTGCTGCGATCGACACGGACAAGAAGAGTGAGTCGAGTTGGCTTTGCACTGCTGCATGAGCTCCGGCTTGCAGCAGGGGGCGCATGGGGGTCCAGAGGAGCGAGACTTCTTCGACGGCACGCTGCCCCCTTCGAGCCTTTGCATCAAATTCTGATTTTCATGTCGAGCGCTCTATCGATATCCCCAATCTTGCTCGCAGCCGCGGGTAACAAGATCCCCGGTGTAGACCACGCCAAGATTGCCAAACTTGACCGGGAGGTAGGTCTCCCCGTCTTCCTCCACCTATCTCACCCGGACACCGCGCTGCAATGACGAGGTACTGACTCTCTTCCTCTCTACACCACCACCTCAGAACGAAGTTGCGCCACCACCGACGGTCTCCTTAGAACTCGGCAAAGTGCTGCAACAGGCACGACAGAACTTTAAGGACGCGGACGGGAATCCGAAACCCATGTCCCAGGGCGACCTCGCCAAGGCGATCAACCAGAAGCAGACCGTCATCCAGGAGTACGAGAACATGCGCGCCAAGCCCGACCCGGCCTTGTTGGGCAAGATGGAGAGGATCCTCAAGGTCAAGCTGAGGGGGTCCGGTATCGGTCAGCCGTTGGGAGGACCCAAGAAGAAGTAAAAAGGGGTCGACGAATAGCGTTGGAGTGACAGTCATCGTAGTCGATTTGAGGATCATGAAGCAAAATTGCAAATTGAATTCCACCCAGCATGAAGTGTAAGGAGAGACGAGAGACGAAGTCTCAAAAAGCTACCGAAAAAAAAAAGGTGCCACTATGAGCACAGAGATCAGATGGAGTAGAGTCACTCTCAGTCGCATTTCGAGGTTTCGCCAGTCATTTGACACTTCCAAAGTACCAGAGTACACGAACACGCCCATTACACATTGCCTTGTGCTGCTCAGAATACCTGCATTGTCTCCAGTCCGACCACACGAAGCTCCTGGCATTGTTTACTCGACCGAGTCGCTCAAGGCAAAAGGAAGGGGAGTGTCATAGTCAAGATTCCAGAGCGACTATCTTCAGATCGGACCTCCTCGGGCGACGGCACGATCACCGTTCGTATGCTTCGTTCGTCTCTACACGAACGAACACCGGCGTCAGCAAACGTCCTTCATGAACGACGGATGCGGACACCCCTGTCCGTTAATCTCTCTTCGTAGCTCTTATCTCTCTCCTCTTCTGGTTCTTCAGTTGCGTAGCTCTTCTCTCTCTCTTCTTCTGGTTCTTCAGTTGTAATATTCGATCAATAGTGTTCCTTCACCTTGACCCGAATCAGCCTTCAGCCTTCACGATTCGTACTCCGCACTTCGCTTTCCACTTCGAACCCCCCCTCTCGCACGCGCACCCAAAGTGCCATCGACGTTACGCCTTTCACGGTACAGCGTTGGGTAGACCTTCCATCCTCCTTCGTTCTATTCTATCATTGTTACTTCTGAACAGACGAGGATCTTGACATCTTGTTCCACAGGGAAGAACATGTTGTTTAATAGCTTGCTACCATTTGCGTTCGGGGTCGTAAGTAAATGAACTCACGTTGTTCGTTGTTGTTGATCAACTCGTGGAAGCCCTTTTCAACGATGTCATCGAGGGAAGCCGTGCCCGTCACAAAGCCTCGCGAAGGGCAAGTGTTTTCGAAACATGTCAGAACCGGACTTGCCCAGGTAGGCAGGGTGAGGTACTGACCATCTAATGAGATCTTGCCGCTGGAGAGTGATTCGATCGCAGGCTTGTGGTTCGATTCGTAGCAAATGACCGCGCGCAACGTCTTCTCGCCCAAGACCAAGGCGTTCATATCGATCTGGGGTTTGGTGCTCCAGATGGCGACGTTGACGCATGTTCCTCGAGGGCGGAGAGCGGCGATCGCAGCTGTCAAACTCGCTTCGACGCCGGCGCACTCGAAGGAGACGTCGACACCAACATCATCGCCACCCGTCAGCTCGCGGCATTTCGAGACGACATCGTCCTCTCGAGGTGAGATGACATGGTGCGCGCCGGCATGGGTTGCCATCTTGCGACGAGATCCCGACGGCTCGGAGACGATCACCTTGCTGCAGGTCCTCCATATCAGCTGGTGCGACCAGTATCCTGAGGCCTATCCTAAGCGAAGCCCACTCACGAAGCTCCCATCGCAATGAGGACCTTGGTGACGAAGCACCCAATCGGTCCGGCGCCGCAGACGAGCGCGGTACATCCCGGCGCCGCGCCACTCCTCTCGACGGCGTGCATCCCTACCGCAAGGGGCTCGACCATTGCACCATGTTGTAAAGATACATTGTCGGGAAGTTTGTGCAGGAATCCTTCACCTGCGACGGTGTATTCGGCAAGTCCGCCACCGTAGCCCGAGAGACCGACGAATCCGAGCGAGGAGCAAGCTGTAGCCGCACCATGGCATGAGCTCATGAGTGCTATCGCAGAGAGCATACGATTTTCGCACCGTTTCTGAAGTTGTGCTTGCAAGCGTAGCACTTGAAGCAAGAAATCGTCGGCTCCCTGTCGTAGCACGTGGTAAAGCAAACCGAGCGTCAGCCAGCGGAGAATCCCGTGGCACCACTCGAAGTGTGCTCATGTAGGCTATCAAGCATTCTTCATCTTGATCGGGTAAAGGAAAGATACAGAAGCAGGTGCTCACACAATTACACGATCACCCTTTTTCCACTCGCCCTTGACGCCAGGTCCGACCTGGGAGATGACGCCGGAGAACTCGTGCCCGAGACAGATCGGAAGCTTTTCGCCGGTGATTCCATGGGCGGTGTCGGCGGTCGGGCACAGGATCGGACCGTCTTTATCGAGATACATCGCAAGATTCACGATTATTAGAGGTCATTCCCACAAGCAAAGGGAGTACTTGACTTGCCAGTGTATTCGTGCAGATCGGTCCCGCAACTGGGTTGAACATCGGACGCGCCGCCGCACGACATCATCAGCGACCCGTCACGGGGTTCCGAAGGTGGGGCTCAACTCAACCGCCGAGTATGGTCGCAGCGGAGAGCTGGTGTCCCCCAGTCTCGCATCGACACCACGTTGGACTTACATTCCACACCTGTAGTAGGGAGCTCGGAAAAGTATGAATAAATATCAGCGCAGTACCTAGAAGACTGAGGGCTCTGGTCTGGCACCTACCACGCGAGCTTGATCAAGACTTGGCCTTCGCCGGGAACGGGCATGAGGATCTCCTCAACGCGAATGTCACGCTTGCCATAGTAGTTGACAACCTTGTTGGTAGCTTTGCTCGACATAATAGATTGCTAGAATTTGGTTGGTGAGAAACTTGGAGGCCTGTTGGATGGATGCAACGCAAGGACTCACAAAGACTCAGGCCGAGGGAACAGACCAGAATTCCCACACCAACACCGATCCGCACCCGGCAGGTTTTTTAGTGGGGCCTCCTGCTTACCGGTGCCCCGGACCGTCTCGGGTGCTTTTTCCGACTTAAGGACTTTGGCCGGGGTTTGATTTCCAAGCGAGGCTATAAACGCTGCCGTCGCACTTTCTTCTAGGGTTCGCGCACCTGCTCCACGCTCGCCTAACGCCCGGCGTGGCCAGCAGCTCCCCGCCATGACTGCGGGTCGGTTGATCGGGGAGCCCCACTATCCACCGAACCGATCGCAACGAGCTCGGTATCATAGTGAAAAGCGCCGCCAACACCCTCGAATGGGTGTCTCAGAACATTATGTCCAGTGTCTCAACAATCGAGTAAGTTGCTTCTCGTGTCACGGTGCCAACTCGTCCGAGATCCATCGCCGCCTCGGCGGGAGCGCGCAGCTTCCCGTCAAGCAGTAGTGTCCCCGCAATCACTGGTCTCTTCCCTAACGTCCGCACATTTTCTCATTCTTCGTTGCCCCGCGTTTTGAGCACCAGTTTGGCCAGACCGGTTCGCCCCGACTTCTTCCGCTGCGGGCAGTCTGAAGCTTGACATTCACTCGATGCTTTCATTTATGGCTCCGAGACAGAAGCTGAGAATCGATCCCCTAGGACCTACTTTGGACGATGGAGTGGTCTCTTGATATCGTGAAGTGTATGAACCGCGTATTGGCAAAAGCATAACCGCCATCTTTGCGGGGCGATGTGGGCCACGTGTTTCACCGACCGCAGCAATTGACATCAAAAGACCCTCGAAATACAACACATTATGGATTAAACGACCAAATCAGCCGTACCCTTCCCCTCGCTTCCCGGCAGCTTGTCCTGCAAGCCAAAAATGGCATTTCGGGGCGAGTCAGATCCGGCTCGGTCCCCCAGTAGGCCGAAAGGCACGAAGTCATGAGATACGTACCCTCAACATGATGCTCAACCGCTGTGATCCACCGATCAGTCGACCTTCGTACTCACCCGTTCGCAACACCTCGTGGGTGTACTGAGTCCGAAGTGGCCATCTGATCAAGCGAAGGAAGAAATGTAACTGTGCTCATTCGCTCGCCCAACCATCACAAGCAAATAACCTACGTTTGCACATATGCGTCCCCAGGCTCGAGTAACACATCAAACTCATTCTTTGACCCCTCCGGTAACATCTCCGGTTCTTGATCGGGCCCCTGCTTGGCCTTCCGGAATCTCATCATCCTTTCACCTCCCAAGCTCAATCCCACGATGCTCGTCCCGAAGGCTTCCAAGTGGTCGATATGTGGTCTGATCTCGCCCTCCGAGGACAGATGAAGTAGATGCATGATGAGGTGGTCCGGTGGGTCGACGGGGTGTTCGCCCATGCTCGAACCAGCCTGAGAATCGGGCGTTGATCCGGAAGCAACGACTTTGGCAGGAGGCAGGAGCGAATAGACCTTGGCTAGAGCGTGTACCAGTTCGTCATCAACCTTGGGTAGCATCCCCGGTCTGACCAACATCTCCCTGTACCCCGTGATGACCCCATCAAAGTGCCCCTTCTCGAACTCGTACGCCTCAGGCGGGAGAAAAGTATCCTTCGGATGATCGGGATGGGCCTTTAGGTAATTCCGTGCCAGCCGTCGTGCATGCGACGTCGTACGTGAGGGTGACGAGAGGAGTGCCAACGAATGTCGTAACACCACACGTTGCTGCGAGGTCGAGAGTATAGATGGGTACACCCATAGGCCTGGGTGGGGGGACCATGGCGACGACGAGGTGGGGTGCTGCAGCTGCCGTGACGAGTCTTGCAGCAACTTCAAAGTGCGTCGCATGACAGTCTGATTGGTCTTGTCACCGAGTCCATGTAGGTGGAGGTGCCTGTCGATCGTAAGCACGGTGGGGTAAAGATGCCCCGCCGATCGATTGTATACAAAGCAAGAAAGGCCAACTTAACGAGGCGACCGTTTAGACCGGTGCCGCACCTGGCCGGGAGGTTCGCCACGGTTCGGCGCGCGCGCGCGAAGTTTTTCACGGTGTGGGACCTCGTGGAGCGTCCATGACGGTGTGGGCACTTGAGGTGAGGTTGGTCACCACCGTGCATTCACTCGGTCCAAAGGTGGCAATTTGGTGCTCAGGTTTTCAGATTGTGCCAAGGTTCTTCAACTTCAGTACGAGGTTCTCCAACTTCGGCGTCAGGTTCTAAAACCTCGGTGGTAGGTTCGGTAACTTCGGAGTCAAGTTCTCCAAGACCTTGCCGAGGTTGCCAATGGTTCAAGACCAGGGCTCGGGTTGCGCACGGTTCGCTTCGTTTACCAAGGGTGGAAGACCGGTTGAAAGAATTCGCACTCACTGGCGGTGGACACGGTCATAGTACACTATACTGTTGGATCATTTTTATATTGGCTGTAGCATAGGATTTCTGGGTATGCAAAACTGAGTAGTAAAACAGAAGATCTACTGAAATGCAGTGTGCAGTATGGCACACGGCAGAAGCGATCGACGTTCGTTCGTCTTTGACTGATAAGCATCTGTGTACAGGCTCGAGTGGCTCTAAGCTCTCCATAGGGCCCACGGCACAGTACAGTGCTGGGGCGGCTGAGATGATATGATGTTTCTTCTGTTGGCGATGGACCATGTCTCGGATATCAGAAAATTGAGTTGTTTTGCTGCTAGTGAAGTATTGTGGCTGGAATTGCTGCGGTACACGTTTGGTTGTGTTGTCATACACTCGTAAGTTAAGGTGGAAGAATGTGTGCACATACGGTGCTTGTCTTTGCTTGGCTTCCCCTTCGACAAACCCGAGTGCGACCGTTCCGAACGGGACCCACCGCCAGGCTTGATGGCCTCGATCGACGCTTCGGAGGCGTCCGACTCGTCGTCCGACGATGTCTCATAGTGGTCAGCGTATTCAACGGTTGGGTAGCAAGCGCCTTTATAGATTGATTAGTAAGAGAGCTTGGGGGCACCCTGCAGTCAAATGAGCGCGTTCCCCTGGGAGTCAGCTGCAGTACGCAAGAGCCAAACCCAGCAGGTGTCGACTCGAAAATTGACATCGCGCCAGCGCTGCGCCCGCGACTGACTGGTTTCGGCAGCATCGATGCGTGGCAATCCTGAGGCGAAGGGAACAGATCTTCGTAAAGCATCTTCTTCGTCCACCTGGCCTCCGGCTTCCGACTCCATTCCTTGCGCCAGAGCAGCTCGACGGCGTGCGGGAGAAGTATGACTCGGTCATCGAGTCGCCCCTTGGGTCCGAACTTCGCGGCCATTCGGACGCCGATGCCGATGCTGACGGCGATGCACAACAAGTCCGCGGAATGGTGACGACCTCGATCAAACACTGGTCAGTATGCCCTATAACGATTTATTGCGCAGGAGGGCTGGAATTTTATCATTAATTGGACCGACTTCCTTTTCCTCTCCAGAAAACAGCGTAGAAAGGGTTCGTCCCATGGGTCGTCTCGACAGGAAGCAAATCCGTGCGCTCGACCTAGAAGTCACCCGAGCATCTCGAGCGAGCAAGGTGTGCCGATTCTGAGGGATTACACAGAGATAGGACTGTACATCATAGTACCCTACCAAATTCCGACAAGCTGATGGGGTCTTCATGTGATCTAGGGTCACCTGCAATGACGTCGCGTGAGAAATGCTCCAGTCTTCGAAGCTCTTTTCTTGCCGTCGGCCGTGTCGGAGGCATGGACATTTCGATGAAATCAATGCAGCAATCTTGCTCCAACCTTGCCAATGCATTTTTTTTTCTCGACTCCACCTGTTGATAAGAGACAGTCTTCGCTTGCGAGTGTGATTGTGAAGCTTTGGAGTAGTTGATCTGTCTGCGGAAATTCGACTGAGGTGAGTATAAATAGGCTCCCTGTCGTCGGTCCGCTCTTCTCCTTTGGCCAATCACTCGCCGCTCGCTCACCCGCCCGGTACCGCTTTCCCCGTCGCGATCTCGAGTTGGACCTTTCACGCAGACCTCGGTGACCTAGTGATCAACGAACGTATATCGCGCACAAGACCCACTTTGAAGAACGTCGCGTCGTCGTCATCGTCATCATCGTCATCTCGCTGACGACTACGTAGCACCACCTTGCTCTCTAGGTCGGCATCTCGGTCCACATTTTGCGGACATTCGTTCCAAGCCTACAATAAGGCCTTTGATCACCCGTTACAGACCAGTCGTCGTCTTCTTCCGATTCTCACCCGCCATTCGAACACCTGTGGACGCTCGTTCAAGCCTGCTCGCGGCCATGACTCGATTCGCTCCCACCCAGGTCTTGCGGTGCCCACGCCCACGCCCACGTCCCCATGACCACAAAGATATCTTAGCCCGAACCATCACCTCCTTGTAAGTGCTTCACCGCTCTGGCTACTCCTCGTATGGTCGTGGCGATACCACGTTGTGCGACCGAGACTCGCTGTGGTGATGGCCCTGCGGGAGCTGCACTTGCGCTGACGCTTTCGCTCGTGTCTTAGTTCCTCAACAGCGATGTTACAGGTGAAGAGCCCTCTGTTTCGAGCCCATCTATGACAATCCCGGCCTCTATTCGTGCAGGGTGGGATGGTCGAGCGATCAAGCTCCTAACCAGAAGCATGACGTCATAGCCTGGCTCAAGCTTGATCAACAATCACCTTAGATCTCATGTAGATCATAACCCTTCTCACCCACGCATCGCCAACAAAGGTGAGTACATCCCATCAAACTACTGGTGCGCTTTCACGTTCCTTCCGAACCGTGGGATGGCGTTGATTGCGTCGCACGATCACCTGCTTACCATGACGGTGTTCTCCAATCGATGACACACCCGTGTGAGTGAGCTTGTGCTGGCACACTGCACTGCTGATTTGGCTTGCTTCACAGCACTGGATTGCCTTGGGATGGTGGAACGTTCAAGTCCGATTCATAGAATCGACCTCGGCTGTCGGAGCTTCGCACCCTTTCTCGTCACGCTCGAGCTCCTTCCCAAAACACCCGAAGGACTGGCCCATCTCAATCTCTGTCCTTGCTCAAGATGATATACTGACACACTATCATGATCCACCCCATTCCTGTCCCAAACCCAGACCCGACCGACTCAAAGCTTTGGCTTAGCACAGCTGTTTCTGATGATGATTAAAGTCAGTGAGTCCACTCAAGTTCATGGCACTATCGCTTGTGGTATAGTAAGCGAGTGTGGGCTGGGTTTGCTAGTTCCTGTGCAAGGCGATCGATGCCTCTCAATTTGAAGATGACCGTACGAGTCCCACTGCTGCGGTTTGAAAACCTGAGCCGAGGTGAAAACTTTCGCCGCAAAGTTGTGAACTAGTAACTAAAGTTTAGCACTATGAGCTCAAGTTCTAGACCTTCGCTCAAAGTCCCTCGCCCAAGCCCCAAGCTCCAAACTGTATTGTTCAAGTCCTATAACCCTGCCCCAAGTGTCGAACCTCGAGGCAGAGTTCTCAATCTCAGACCCAAGTCCCCAACTTCGCCCCTAAGTTGAGAACCTCGCGCCCCAAGTTGAAAACTTCGCCTTCAAGTTCAGGCCTACGGGCACGGTTCCGCAACCTTGGGCCCAAGTTTTACCCGGTTCCCACCCCTGGCACCTGGTGCCACATGGTGTAGGGGTTGCCAACTTCCGGCGGTGGTGCGGAACCGTGCGACACCGGTCTAAACGGTCGCCTCGTTTTGGCTTTTCTTGCTATGTATTTACGAGTCCGAGTGAGAGAATGCCGGCATACTGCCGGCCAAGTCAGTGACGAAACCACTGCAATCGTAGGTCACGTTACAACCAAGCGCCAGAAGCTATGTGAAGCGAGAAAAACAAATAGGAAACCAAAACAGACAGAGTAGTGATGGGGGTTGAGTTTAATGAAACAACACATTAGTGTCGGACATGGCGCAAGCTACATTTTGTGATACGCGAAGAATGAAACAGAGGGGTGAACGAAAAAAAACAAAAACAAAAAACTCCGTGGGCCGGGGTACGGGGTACGAACGAATGGACAGCATAACGAGAGGAGTACGGGAGGGTTGTACGGTGCGGAAGGATGGAGGGGACAGCTGACACGGCGCGAGACGGATCACTGCCACTGCATAGCGTCCGAAGATGCCGAGTAGGGCGTGAAGCTCGAGCTGGCCGATGTCCCGCCCACACTAGGACCGGGGGACGCGGAGGTGAGCGAGCCGATGGCGGACCCGTCTGTTTCCTGCTTCTGTGTCTTGGCCCATCTGTAGGAGTGAGAAGAATAAGGTCTGTCAGCACGTGGACTGATATACAAGTGAGGATATTCCGCAGAGCAGGGGAAACTAACCGAAGTCCACATCGGTTGCACAAGGTCTTGGCGCCCGTCGGACCGGCGCGCCACTCAGGCGAGTCGAAGCGACCGCAGTTCGCGCAACCACGACCGCCATTCGTCTTTGTTGAAGCCCGCGATGAGCCACCATCCGACGATGCTTTCCGTCGCGACAGCGGCGTCGTCCACCCGGCTTCCGAACGAGCGCGCTGGCCAAAGACGAAGCCGCGCTTCCGCGCAGTGACGATGAGATGCTCCTTCTCGTCGCGCAGCTTCTTGTTGGTAATTTGCAGCTGGTGCAGCTCGAACTGCCAACTGGTCGGTCGTCGCGACTCGAGTTCGTCAAAGACGTTGTCGCTGATCGCACTTGGGTGCGCGAGCGTCTTGAAAGTGCTTTGAAAAGGTGGTGGGCTGCTGGGAGTGGATGACGATTCCGAGTCCGACATCGGTGAGAGCACGTTCGATGAAGACGATCCGATCACGGGTCTGTAGACGGGCGAGATGCTCGCAAACGGTCCTGCATTCTTGCGCTGCTCCGATCCGACCTCGTTCGTCTGGGCGAGGATGTTGCAGTGGAAGTTGCTCGAAGTGATGGGTTCCTCGAGCTCGTCGACGGCGCGAGGGTAGAATCGCGTCACTACATCGGTGAAGCCGGATCGCAACTGATTTTGGAACCGGTAGCGCACGGTCGAAGCGACGCCATCCGCGCATTGCTGAAGCGCCTGCTCAATGGCGGGGACGTGCTCGGGTGCGGCAAGATGCTGTAGCGACATGCCCATCATTTCGTCTCCGGTGCGGCCCAGCATCGACTCGACGGCCGAAGTGGCCGACAGGATAGTGCCACCCGGTGAGACACCCATCCAAAACTCGGTGTCTCCCACGCCGCCAGCCTGATTGAGATCGGTCCACGACATCCTCATGACCTCGCGCGGGCGGCCCACAAAAATGACGCACTTGCGCCCCTTGCCCGGCTCGATATGCAGTTTGCCCGAGGCCTCAAGCCAGATGTAACCCGAGTGCTTCCGTCGAATGCGGTACAGCAGCGACACGGTCGAGTTGTGGATCGTGCTCGTGTCCTTGAGCAGGCGCATGACGGGTACAACGTCACTCGGGTGGCACAGCGTCGGCAAGGTCTTACCGATCAGCTCGGAAGGTTGATATTCGAGCACGGATGCAATCGAGGGCGAGCAGTACAGGAACGAGCCCTTGAGCGACAAGACGTGGATGAAGTCGTCGGCCTCACTCAGCAGCAGCTTATGAAAGGATCGCCTGTCCTCTTCCGATTCGAGGCCTTGCAACCCATCACGCTCAATAACCTCGAGCGTGTCGAGCTCGCCCTTGGACGGCGCGAGAGAGGTCGTCGACGCGGCAGCAGCGGCCAGCGAGCCTCGGCGAGCACCAGTGACGACAGCCGAGGCGGCGGCTACGACGTTGGCTTTGCTGTCCTCCTCGGTCATCTCCCACTCGATATCATCACCCTGGGTCGGTACAATCGTACCTTCTTCTGCCACACCAGCCCTGTCTTCGATCGAGGCCATGGAAATGGTCGTCCTGTGACTCGGCATCGACACAGTGCCCGTGTTGTTGTACAACGAGTAATTGACGACATATGTCCCGTCCTTCATGCGATCGAGGATGGCGTTGGGCTGGTCCACGAGGTCGACCTGAAAGCCGACGAAGTAGGTGATCTCGTCCGAGTCCCACGCGATGGGGATGATAGTGACGAGATTGATGAAAGGCTTGCCGTCCTTCTTGTAGTTGATCAAGGAAGACTGCGACTCTTTGCCGCTCGCGATGTGAACACGCATGTGCCATGCCGCGTTGCTGTCGGTGTATTTGCGAGGAGCACCCTGGGCTTGCGAACCCGTCGGCGCCTGCAAAAATCGGCCTGGGGAGCGTGCAAATAACCAGATGTGAGCTTTGGCCGCAGGAGGCCACCACACCGGGGCAGTCAAAAGTAAGACTCACAATTCTTGCCAATGATCTCGTCGTTCGGGTAGCCCGTCATGCGTGTGAAAGTCTCGCTAGCGAAAACAATGGGTTGATCCCATCGCTTGGCATCGACAACGAGGAACGCGCAGCTCGTGTCCACGGCTCCGATCGAAAGTTGCGGGTTTGGCCGGGCCACAACGCGGGCTAAAACACCAAGCATGTCGAACCCGCTCGACGAGTATAGTCCAGCAAAGTTGTTGCTCTCGCCAGCTGGCGGAGGCACCGGCAACCCCAAAGATGCGGGTTCGTAGGTTGACCCTGGAGGAGGAGCCTGGGAAGGGGCCATCGCGACGGCCTGTGCCGGCATCTTGTAACCCGTCGGCGAGTTTGAGTTGATCGAGATGATGGACGATCCATATGGAGCATACACAGGCCCTCCCTCGCTCGCGTGCATAGGGAGCGCGGGAGCGGGCTGAGACACCGCCGAGTTCGGTCCTGTCGCGCTTCCGTTCGTGCTCGTCTGGTTTGCGGTGACAGGTCGGGAGACCCCTGTCTGCGAGGGCATCCCAGACCCAAGCTGCTGTTGACCGCTACCACCATGAACAGGTGAGTTGGCCGGGTTGGCCTGGAGACCGCCGAGCGAAGGGGTGGAGCCAATCCCACTGGCCGAAACTGCGGAGCCGAGTTGAGTGGCGTCCTCATAGCCGACGTCAGTGACGCAGCCTGCGCCGGAGCCGAAAGCGCCGTAAATGTCCGTGGGTGCGGAGCTGCTGTACAGGTTGGCAAACGAGTTGGACAACATCAAACCGGATGATCGCATACCGAGTGCTCCTGGGTTCTTGTAGTCATTGCTGTTGCCAGGACTATGGAGCGGTGAGATTGATGGTTGTCGTCGTTAAGTGGAGGGAGCGCGCGGGGCACCGGCGGGCAAGAAACGAGCGAGCGAAGCAAGCGCACAGCGTGGGCGACACCAATCAAAGCCGATCGGGAAGCCAGGATTGCAGACGGCGCGGAGCAAAGCAAGGAAGAGCGTGAAAGGATAGCAGAGTACATAATATCAGTCTTGATGCATCGTATCGAGTTCCACATCTTGGGTGAGGTGAGGAGCAACTGACTTTGTCGCTTCAGCCACGGCGACGCCAAAGCCGAACGCATCCCCGGGGCCGCCACTTGCAAAGCGGGGGAGAATGAACTGGCTCGAGAAACTCGACGGATCCAGGGCCGAGGGGCTGAGGCCGTAGGTTGACGACGAGTGGTGTTGCGGTTGCTGCTGGTGTTGCTGCTGGTGTTGCTGCTGCTGCTGCTGCTGTCGGTTCAGGTGCTGTTGATGCTGCTGCAAATGTTGTTGATGCTGCTGGTGGGGGTGCTGGTGCTGTTGGCTTGCGTGCTGCTGCTGCTGCTGCAATTGCACCAAGCGCGACTGCGAGTTGGTGCGTGCGACATAGGGCGGATGTGACGCGCTGGGGCCAGGGCTGTAACCCTGGTTGCCGGCGGCGTCATCCTGCATTGACCAATACGAATCGATGTTGTCCATATCGAGTCTGTTACTTCGGTCCAAGCCACCACGTGCGAGGACTGTTGCGGCGAAGCGGGGCGGTTGGAGCTCGTTGGCCGGACTGAGTCGGGCGAGAGCGCCGGACAGCAGGTGACGGTATCAGAGACGACGGCGTCTCCGAGAGTCGAAGCGAGTCGACGTGCGAGAAGTAGGTCGTGAAGTGAACTGACCGGGACCGTTGTTGTTCGTTGTCCACCTGGATAAATGTCCACTAGTGCTCAACAAAAAGTAATGAAGGGCCGGGGATTGAAGTTGGCAGAGGTGGGTGAGGACGCAAAAGCTTACGGCGCCGCGTGTGGGCGTGAGTGGCAGCAAGTGCGTGGTCGGATTTTGTCGGATTGCTCATGGGGGGTGCCTCTCCGCCCGGTGCCTGTGCACGCGAGTGGCGCCAGAGGCCTGTCCAGTGTCAGTGACTCAGCGCACGGATGCTGGGCGCTCGCTGCTGCGCAAGGCAAGCCGAGTTGTGCGAGTTGCGTCCGCTGCTGCTCACATCCTTTTACACGCGCCGTTATGCATCGTCGAAGCGGCATCCTGTAGGGCCCCACTCCCTTTTCCAAGCCCATCGTGGCTTCACTTGCTAGCCTCGGCTGAAAGCTTCGAACGCTGCAAAGGGATCACCAGCATTTCCTGGCTCGTCTTTTTTGTACCCACCCAATGCAAGTAATTTTGGCCCATCCTTTGTTTCCTTTGTATCTGCAATTTTTAGAAGGGTTTACTGGCCTGCAACCGAGTCGTTCACAAGCCGACGACGCATCTTTAATTAAGTAGTCCCAGACAGGTCGGACGACGCCATCGACCTCATCCTCGTGTCCTCTGGGGCCCTAGTACATCCCTGACTCACATGGCTCATGGAGATGGACACGCCGAAAAAATCCTCGAATTGTCTGTGGTAAAGAAGCATGCAAGTGCTTCCGAGCTAGGCCGAGTTTGACATGTGATCTTGTAAGCACCGAGAGGGGTTTGAGATTTTCGCCGGCCTCGCACAGAAAGTCCTCACAGAACTCCGCCTGCAGGTCCGCGGCTAGGTTCTGCCCTGTCGCTTTATTTATTTATTTGATAGACTTCATTAACAGCATAATTATATTAATACCTATAAATCTTCGGAAAAGTCGGAGGGAATGCTGTTACGCACACTGGCAGAAGCCAGTAGTGTAGGCGTTCAGGAAAGTGGAACCCAGGCATTAGTCCCTCCGGAAGCGTTTCTAAACGCCGCTGTCGTTGATGTCATTCCCGCATGTCGACTACCGGTGCCTGTCCGGGCACGGGCGGCTGTGCACCCACGTTAGTTAGGTACAGCTCGATATTTGGGTAGGTGCTCGCAGGTCAAGCTCGCTTCGATGTTACACTTGGGATGTCCTTTGTCGGTCCATCTAGTAGAGCCCCCGCGGTTTCGAGGAGCTCGAAGTAAAGCATTTTCGGTAGTGCACGACCAAAGGGTCTCCTCGCAGCTCGCCACCGGATCCATGTATGATCCCTTTTCAATGATACAACCCCGACTTTACCCAAACCCAAGACTCGCAACCGGTGCACGTTGGCAAGACCGCGAGCTGCTGCTCCGCGTCGCCGGCGTTGGCAAACTCCTCGTCTTCTCGCTTCGGACGCCGGCACGTAGCGAGCTCTAAGAACCTGCTCTGAATAGGTGGGTCGACACGGGACAGAAGTAGCATGATGCAGGACCTTGGTAGAAGGGCGTAGGCGTAGGTCTGGCTCCCAGTGTTTTGTAGCTAAGCAAGTCAGGCGAGGTCAGGCTTTGGCGTCCAAACGTAGTGATCGCTTCGCTTCGGGACCGACTTGGTCGGCCCTGGTCGGTCTCGAAGCGAAGATTGCGCGTGCATCTCATGGGTTTGTGGGCAGCGGCTAAGCTTGACCCCCTCCCCAGAGGGAGGCTTTAGTTGAGCTTAGGCGGCGGGCCATCTTCATGACCCTCGGCTTGAGCACGGCTAAACCCGATGCGCGCGTCGCGTCCCCCCCGAGATGGCGATCCCCGAAGGCCGTTGAACCGACTGACCCGAGCAAGGCCCACGCTTGGCTTTTCTCTGATTTTGACCCGCTCGAGATGCGGTCCCACTTGATGTACTGTTTCCTTTTTGTTTAGCGTGGCTTTGTCATCTGGTTGATGACGCAGGATGACATTATGGACTGAGCGGCGCACCCGCAGCGCGCGGCGTGAAAGTCTTGAAGAGCACGGCCTGTGAATTGATGCTTGGGTACACAGCTTCTTCACGCGTGTGAAATTGTGGCGGAACCCAGTCAAGCGCTCTACTGGTGTTTCATCCTAGAGGTCTATGATGCAGTAGGCTTCGGACCAGCGTACCAGTGCTCTGCTCTCATTCGGACCGGTAACCGACGAGGCCCCTCCGATGCCCATCCGACAATCGACCGCAGCGATGGCCTGCCTGAACGCGTCCTTACGGTAGATACCTTGCAGCGATTCTTGCTGATCTCTGCACTGGTGTGGAAGCTCCAGCGGGTTGCGGGAGCGGGGGCTCGATGTGGGGCGACACTGGCTTCGACCCTACTCGCGCAGTCTGCGGTTGAACGGATACTCGAATCCTGCGATCGAGGTGTTCCACTCCGCAAGAGCGAGGGCCACACTGTGATAGAAAGAAGCCAAAGGAGTGTTGAATGGCGTTTGTCGTGGGTCCCTCATCGAAGCGCCCGCCGAGCGCGTACCTTGCCGAACACGAAGAGCTTTCAATGCGTACGCTTCCCTCCGCGTGTAGGTTTCCAACCTCCGTCAACTCAATGCGGTAACCCATTCTCGGTACCCAGCCTCCTAAATCCAAGTAGATTCATCCTCCTCTGTTCGAGGTGCTGTTTCGCATACATCGCCGCCCCACCCAACACGATACCCCAAAACGCCAACCGAAAGACCATCCAGAAGAAGTGTGAGAGCCTATTTCCCGACGAGGCGTGTCGGGCAACGTCTACTTTCGGTGTCGACAGAAAGGGTGGGAGACGGGGGGTTTTGGCTATGGGTTGGGGTGGGGGGTGCGAGGTTTGGGAGGAGAGGTCCATGAGATGCATGAGTTGGCGTGGGGTGAGGGATGTTAGAAGAACGAGGTGGGGGTGGGGCGCGTTGGGTAATGCGGTCAAATGAGCAGCAAGTTCTTGATCTGGTGGACACGGTGAACGTGACGGAGCGTGATCAGAATGGGGTTTCTTCCGTTATGTTTCGGCAAACACCATTCCTCCTATTGACTGACCAAGTCTGGCCATCGCCTCCCCCTCCCGTGTCGGCTTGGATCCCACAGCTTGATCCCAATCGACATAAACCTTAGCGACCTTCAACTCGTTCATGTACTCCTCATTCTTAGTCCCCGCACACGTCTTGACCCAAGCATCCGCCCAATCCAAAACATGTCGTCCCGACACCGCCTGCGCGATCCCTTTCGTCGGTGCGAGCTCAAACGAATCGATCAAGCCTGACCCTAAAAGAGCTCCCGAGGTCGAGTTGATGCGTTGCGGGGGGAAGAGGCTGAGATCTTTATAGTGAACCCTAGGGATCGATATGACGAGGAGCGATCCACAAGGGTCGACTCCGGGGATGAAGACGAGGGGGGAGGGCAGCTGCGGCGATGCGAGATGAGGACCAAGTTCGAGTCGACGAGTCAACTGTGAACTTTCGCGATGATCGAGAGGAAGGAGACTTACCTTATCCGACATCAAATTGTCGAGCGCCGGGAAGCTATCGGGTAATGCGTAAGCGAGCAGAGGTGCCATGTCCGCTGCTGCCACGAAGCCCAAATTGCGGGTGCTTCCACGTGAATTTGAGCCGAGCCATGGCACCGCCACGACGAGCACGGCCAAGCGAGTCGCCGGTGCGAATCGCATGTTCGCTTCTGGATGATCCGCCTTGACTCAGTCCTGGTCGGGCAATGGAGCCGATTTCCAGTTTTATTCCGAGTGACGAGGGGGGGTAGAGACAAGCATAACAGAAGGCGGCCCGTCGCGCCCGCGCTCAATCCCTTCACTTTGGAGAAGTATGGAAATTGCCTGCGCGAGCCCAGCGCCACCGTCGCCCCACACAAACCGTAATGCCCGAGCCGCCCGCCTTGTTCAGCCTTGTTCAGCCCAGCTCGGCCTTCGCGCCGCCTCGTCCCCATCCTCCAGTTCGCCCTTTTTGCTCATCTTTCTTACCCTCGGAAACCACTTCTTGGAAAATACGCCAGACCCAGATCCAACCATGACTGCACTAGTCCTCCCACCTTCTACGGACCTCTTCCCTACGGACGACTTTTACCCCACAACGAGCACGAACCTATACGACGATTCCGAAGACTCGGCACTCGACGTGCCCTTGCACCCACGAGGCGGAGGTCAGACTGAGCTCGCGCCAGGTCGGGATGCTGAGGCCGATGATGAGGAGGACGACGAAGAGGATGGTGACGAAGGAGGAGCAGAGGAAGAAGCGTTAGGTGATAATGATACAGACGAAGACGAGGATGCCGAAGAGGACGATGAACAACAACAAGGTCAGTCAGTTCGCCGTCAGTTCGGTCGTTGTGGGGAGGGGGCGCCTTCAGCTTGCAGAATCGCGATTTCGAAAGTCGGGCAACTTGCGCGCCGCGCCCGCCGCCTTGCTCGCAACGTGGATGCATGCATGCGCAGCCGACGGAGTCCGCCAAGGCAACGTTGAGGGTTGGAAACGGCCCCGACTTTACGACTCGGGTTCTTTTGGTAATGACTCGACGGCCGGAATTACTGACGCCTTTCGATGCTCTTCGTAGATGACGCCGCAGGGGAACAAGGTGGGGACGACGATGACGAGGATGAGGACGACGACGGTGACGAGGATGACGAGCAGGGTGAAGGTGGAGGTCAGTCTATCTCGCTGACAGTACGCACAGTCTAAAGAAACACTGCTGACCCGTGTGCACTTGCCGGCCCTGCAGAAGATGACGACGACGAAGAACAAGATGACGATGAGGGGGAGGAGGTGAGTATATGCTCATCACCAGCGGGAGGTCCACGCGCTTTCGAAAACCTTGACTAACTTTGGCTCTGTCGCGTACCGCCCCCAGGACAATGACGAAGACGAGGGTGGAGAGGATGAGCCGGCTCGGAAACGACAAAGGCGGGAACCGGAGGACGAGGAAGGGGATGATGACGACGACGAGGAGGACAGCGATGAGAAGCGGCCCAACTTCCAAGGTCGGGCATTCTCTCATTCCGGCGCTTCTTAACTTCCGAGTCAAGTTTGATTCAAGATGAGTTTGTAAGCTGATGAGAGCAATTTCTTCCATGTCCTTAGGCCCGCCACAAGAGGGCTATAATGATGAGGACGAGAACGACGAAGAGGACAATCTGGAGGATGACGAGGACGAGGAATAGACACCCAGGGGGCTTACAGTTGGTGTTCGGGCAAGCTACGAGCTCGGGAAGGTGTGCAAAGCTGTGTTCTCTTCTTTGTGTTCATAGATTTTTTCGGCTGTTTTGTCACGCTATACCCCTATTGGAGATTATCAACCCTTTGTCAAACTCGAAGCGGCCGAGGATTCTCGTGGGCTATTCTCTCCAGGAACCCATGTTATACATGTATGTGCAAGTATATCTGTATTCCACTCCAAACAGGTATAATGACGATGCCGGAGACGAATCATGGGACTTCGGGAAGGAGGTGTAATTCAAAGCTCTAGACGAGCCGATGCATGCTTTCTAAATTGCGTAATCGTCACCTGCCGAGGTATCGTTCCTGACGGCACCGTCCATGGCCTGTGAAGATCAGGAAATATGAGTAGCCATTAGCGTTCGGCATTCTGACCTCGGTCGCAAGAATTCGGCTGAGCAGAAACTGACGGTTGGGTCATTCGGGTCGCTCGGTCTCAAGGCGGTGTGTTGCGTCTCGTGATGCCTTTGAGGCAAGCTCGTTTCGGGAACATGGGTCCCGCCGTACAAATCGGGATGTCCTTGATGATGGTTCGAGTGCTGCTCCGGGTGATGAGCCTGTTGAACTATTTCCTCCAACCCAAGACGACCTCCGACCACTTCAGGAGCTTGGAAAGGATGAACTCCCTCCCTTGCTTCTTGACGTTCTCGATCTTGGATCTCGCCATCGGCTTGAGCTTCGAGTCGGTCGTGTTCGGCCCTGGCCGAATGCTTCTGCGAAGCGACTTCGGAAGGCGATTTTGTCTCGGAGTGGTGGTGGTGGTGGCCCGTGATAGCGGATATAATCTTGTGGCCTAAGGATTCATGCTCGTTTGGGGATGGGGAAGTCATGGCTGCGGGTGCGAGGTTGTTGGGTCCGGTGCTTCCAATTTCGGAGAGAGGCGAGGCGCGATCGATGACGCAGTGGGATGATGAAGCTGTGAAGGAGAGGGTTTAGGGCTCCTAAAGTGATCCATGAAGTACGGGATGGTACTTGGTCATCAACAGAAGCTTACAATATGTGCTTTGGGCCTTTTCTCGATGAAGATCGAAGACGAGGACGTGGGAGGAGAGAGAAAGGAGAGGGTAGTATAGCTCTGCAGTGGGTTGATTGAGCCAAAAGGGGGTCAATGCTTCAATGCCCGAATGCGCGTGCGTCCCGTTTAAACCAGTCGCGCGTATAATCGGCAATCGCGCACTATTAATGCACACACTTCGCCCAACCCCCACTTGGCGCGCGGGGTCCGTCGCGCGTCACTTTCGTCACTCGTCATCCCGGCTGTCCGTGCGATACAGCAGCAACAATGTTGTCACGGTCAATCGGACGACCCATGTCCGCATCCTCATTGCTGATGCACCCGAGTCATCGTCGACACCTGCTGGCGATCGCATCGACCGGTGCTTGTCCGTGCCGGCCGTTCTCGTCATCGTCATCGGCATCGGCTTTGGGTGCGACATCGGCGTTGGCCTCCCTGATCCCGGAAGAGGATTCCGTCACCATCACTCCAAGTTCATCGACACCCAAACCCCTCGTCGAGACGCGTGATCCGGAACAGGACCCGCTGCGCAAGACGTCCTACCTCTATTTCAACACGGTCTTTCCCATTCGACTTGCCGCTTGGGACCTGGTCAGTGGGCATCATGCATCAAGCCTACCAGGGGTTGACCGTTTACTGAATACTGGGATCGAGTCTCCCCACAGCGAGAAGTCTATGCCCGATTGGAAGAAAACAAACTGCTGCAAGAGGTGCACTCGATCGTACCCGAGGACCCCCTTTACGATCTCGAGGTCGAACAAGTCACCCCAAGGGTCAAGGACGGTGGTGCCTTTGTTCGTTTCTCGTGGTCCGTCCCAACTCGGCCCTTTTTGGAGCATGATCCCGTCGCTTTGGACAAAGCCGCACGGGAAGCCGACAAGACGGTCGTGGATGCCTTGTACGAGATTGAATCGGAAGCAGTTGAGTCTCGCTCCTCTGAAGCATCTTCACCTCTCCGAGGACCCCACTAAAGCTCTCACCCGCTGCCGACGAATGCATAGAAAATGGTCCTGAAATCACGCGAACTGAGACCATGGTGGGAATTTTCGTCACGGTGGTTCTCGTGGGCCCAACCACAAGCCTTCTTGGTCAAGGGCAAACCCTGGATGGAGGATATGAACCGCTTCCCCAACTCGACGATCCGAATCGAGTTCGAAGGTCCCGAAATCCCACAGGAAGAACTGTACGAAGTGTTCCGACCTTATGGCAGGATCGTCGATATCATTCCCCAACCGCCCTCGAGCAAGGACACGCCACGCTACGCCAACATCACTTTCAGCTCGATCCGTTCCGCCGCCTCGGCGAGAAACTGTCTCCATTCGGCCGTCGTGCCGAGTTCATTACCGGTCCCGAACCCACCCCCACCGACGGTGTTGAGGATCTTGTACGCCGAGCGACAAAAGGCGCACTACATCAAGGACTTTACGACCACCCACCCGAGGATCGTCATACCTCTTATTGTCGCACTCTTGGGAGCCATCTCGTTGCAGGTCTTTGACCCGATCCGAGAATTCTTCGTTTCAGCGCATGTCGAAGGGACGTTCGATTCGGATAGGTGGACGATTGTGAGATGGCTCAAGAGGGAGACGTTGGGCAGATTGGGCTTGACCAAGTACCGAACCTTGGACGGGGCCGAAAAGACCGGCATCGAGAGGGAGCGAGAAGCGGCGAAGGAGCAGCTCGTCACTTGGTTGAGGGATGCACCAGGTACGGTGCTTTAGGGTCAATTTGGGCATGTTGGCGTCTCCTGCTTACGGCCGTTCTTGACTCGGGACAGAAACCTTCACCATGGTCACGGGGCCGAAAGGTTCGGGCAAGACGATGCTCATCGATGAAGTCGCTCGCCACTCAAAGTAGGCCGAGAAACGGGGTACGCAGCAACACCGAGAGGGTTTGAATTGATCCCGAGGCTTTGTCCTACAGGCACGTTCTCGTCATCGATTGCACCCAGCTATGTCGCAATGGCCGTTCGGACCAGAAACTGATTCAGGAACTCGCGTCAAGTGTCGGTTACCGCCCTTTGTTCACCTTGGGAGCGAGCGTCAACAACTTGATTGATTTGGCGTCGATGTCGCTTATCGGACAAAAAGCCGGATTTTCGGCTAGCTTGAACGAGCAGTTGAAGGCGGTGCGTTTGCCACATTGCCCTGCGGTGCTATCAAAAAAGAAATGCTCACCATGCCGTTCTCGGAATGACAGATCCTCGAAGTGACCGCCTCGGCCTTGAACAAGATCGCCACGACAGCGACGCTCAAAGCCTCAACGGCAGCCAAGAACGCCGAAGCGAAACGCCTACTTGAAACGTCGCGGGAAGCCATCGTCGCCCAACTCGAAACGGAAGGAATTCGAGATGGTCGAGTCGACGCGGTCGCCGGCAACGGAGCGATGTCCGAACTAGGGGGTGGGATTGAGAAGCCGGAGGAACAGGGTTATGTGACAATTGTGGGCCCTAATAGTGCTAATATGGTCAAGGCGCTGGCATGTGAGAAGGACTCGGTCGGAGAGGGGGACACAGTCGCGGCTTTGCCGATCGTCGTGCTCAAGGGGTGAGTCAAGATCGTCAGCATGGGCTCACCGCAGAGCTGACGAGGAACTCGGTATCTCGCAGCTTCGCGGCCAAAGGTGAATCGAAACAAGAAGTCCTATGGGATGTTCTAGCCGACTGGGCCGCCTTGTTGGTCGAGAACAAAGTGGCCCATGTCGTCTTCACCTCAGACTCGGTCACAGCCTCGAAACCACTCTCCCGAGCTCTCCCCAACAAGCCCTTCAACGTCATCGCCCTCAACGACGCCTCCCCCGAAGCCGCGATCCAATTCGTCGAAGCCAAACTGGGCGAAGTCGAAAAGACCCTTCCGCTCGACGCCCACGAACACGTCTGGAAACTAGGTGGCCGACAAACGGATCTGGAATTATTGGTCTCCAAAATCCATGCGGGTGCCGAACCCAAAGAAGCGGTACAGGACATCGTGTCGAGGAATGCGACCGAGATTAGGAAGACGTTCTTTGGGGATGATGAGAGTGAGGCGAAAGGGTTAAAATGGACAAGGGAACAGGCTTGGAAGATATTGACGGGTTTGACTAGGCAAGAAGAGGTGAGTCGGAGTGGGCCGGCTTGGGGTGGATCATCCACGCTGTCTTGCTCACCTCAAGATGAACTTTCCTCCCTCTCCCAACAGCTCAAATACGCCGACGTCCTCTTTAACGCCCCCTTCAAATCCGACGAAGCGGCGCTGCGTTCGCTCGAAAATTCGGAATTCATCATCATTTCCCACCGCGATGGACGACCTTCGACGATCCGACCGGGCAAACCCGTCTACCGCTCGGCGTTCTCCCTGCTCCTCTCCGACTCGGTTTTCCGGTCTTCGATCGAATTCCAAATCAATGCTTCGGCCATAAACACTACCACGACCGAGCTCAACGCCGCTTCCAAGAGCCTCATTGAATTGAGTCAACTGTTCGGCGACGCGACGGGGAAATTCGTCTTTGGGGGTGGGAGCCATGTGCCGAGGGAGATTGAGGTGAGGGTCGCAGGGTTGTTGGGTAAGATGAGGGAATGCGAGGACAAGTTGGAGAGGTTGGAGGAGGAGAAAAAGGATTTGTTGAGGGTGTTGAAGGAGGCTTCGTAAGGTAGGGGAAAGGGTTTCTTGCTTAGGTCAGATTTTGTTCGTTTCCATATGTGGCCTCCATTCGCGTTTTCGTTGAGGATCCTTTTCGAACGGATGTGCCTTGTAGTTCTATTCTGAGAAAATCTACGACTCCGAGCTACACAATTTCTGCCGCACTCATCACCTCGGTTCGCCCGCGAAGCCCATCGCCGTACTCTTCCTCAACTCTTTCGAAATCTCGGCATCGTCACTGAAGTAGGACAGAAACAATTCTCGACTCAAGAACCGATCGTCGAAAGCGCCTAGGCGTTCTTCTTTGTTGGATTTGGGCTCCTGCGCTCGTCGGAATCGAGAAGGGCAAACAAAGTCAGCGTTCTGAGTGAGTGACGAGTTCAGGAAAGAAAGCAACGAGAGATCGTACCTTTATCCAAAACTCGACCTCCCTCCGTTGCCTCCTATAAAACAAGCTCAATTGCGATCCCTTGTTCAACTTGCGGCTCGGGAACAAACCCTTCAACCTCGACAAACTCTCCAGCGCTTCTTCACCGTCCTTCTCGGACCAGGTCGAAGTGACGCGACGTAGTTTCATGCGGGCAATGAGGGCACGTGAGAATCCGTCGCGGAGGTGGGCGAGGGTTGTCGTGCGGAGAGGGGCTGTGGGGGAGGAGGAGGAGTCAGTTTTTTGAGGGGGTCTCCATGTGATAGAAACCATAGTGGACTCACAAATGATGACTGCGCAATCGGCCTCGTCCAATAAAGCCGCGATCAACTTCTCCCCCGACGGATTCGCCCCTTTCCCTTCTTGACCGTCACCAAAAGGTGGGAGGAGGTCCGAAGGGGAGTAATCCTGTGCAACCGGATGGAAACGCAAAAGGACTGAGTTGTTCCTTCTTTTCGAAGCATGCTGGTTTGATGCACACGTTGCAGACGCACCTTCCATCCTCCTGAGACTTGTGCGAGTCGTTGCAAGAGCTTTTCCTCGACGTAGAAAGCTGGCCATGCGAGAAGGGGTTGAGCCGGTCATCAACCTTCGGAGTTCAGTTCTTCCGCTCCGGAAAACTTTGCCCCAAGAATAAGAACTGACCGGCCGTATAAACCTGGACATTGAGGAAACTGACGGTGCGTACGCCCGTACCGACCAACCTCAAGCGAGCTCCCGAGTTGGAGTTGATGTAGCGGGGGAACGGGGTTGAGGTGGTCGGGTCTTTGTAGGTGCTTGAGGTTGAGGACGAGGTGGGGGCGACAACTTTTGGAGGGAGAGCAACAAGGGAACAGGGCGTCCACAAGGCATCAGCATGGACTAGAAAATACAGCATTTTGCACCTCAACTCGACGCTCACCCCCATCCTGTTGTTGCGCAGCATCCATCGCCAGCGGCTCACTCCCCCGAGCATGGACGACCGCATACGTCGCGACAACGAGCGCAGCCAACAACGCGGCACCTGTAGATCTTGATGTTGTTGTAGGTGCAGTCCTGGTGGTGCAGTTGCAGCGAACGCTTGCCCATTTGTTCGGTCGTGTTTCTGCTGCTGCTGCGAGGGTGGGGCGAGCTTGTAGTCTGCTGGTGGTCGATCGGAGTGCGGGACCTGCGTTGGATCGCAAGGTCGAGAGTAAGGGTTGCGAACGTGTCATGGCCATGGTCGGGGGTGGAGATGCGGGCGACGGGGGAGACGTGTGCTGAGGCGTGAGAAGGAGAGGAGGGGGGGTTGAAGACTCTGTTAGGGATTGGTAATGAGCGGAAACTAATAGCAGCCAGCAGAAGCTAATGCGCTTTTCGACCAACCGGTCCAAGGTCGAGTCGCGCCTCGCTCGGGTTTCGGGTCCGGTGCGGCCCAACCCGCCTGGTGTGTGTGTGTGTGTGTGTCGCCCATCGTCGCGTGCACAGAACACAGAACGCGATGGCGTCCATCTCGTTCTGCGGTGAATGGTCAGTACTCGTCTCGAGTTGATCGGTGCGTCCATCTTGAAAGTGCCCGACTGACCTCGCTCCCTCCCCCCTCGACGTGCCCGTCCAGCAACAACCTCTTGTACCCCAAGGTAAGCTCACATCCCATCATCCTCACAGGGTGCAGCATACTGAACCAGCTGCGATCTCTTCGTAGGAGGACAAGGTCTCGCACGTGTTGATGTACGCCTGTCGCAACTGTCACTACAAGGAGGAGACCACCAACCCTTGCGTGTACAAGCATGATCTGTTGGTCGTGTCAAAGTGAGAGACCACACCGGGCACACGCTCAAGCGAAAGGCGTGTCTCCTCGGATCTGACACCGGCTGACACCGGTGGCGATATGTAGGGAAACCGCAGGTGTGACGCAGGACTTGCAGACCGATCCGACTTTGGTCAGTCCATACACACAAGTCACGACCGAGTGGGTAGCTGCGACCCATGATCGCTCCTTTGGACTGACAGACGGCGTCACCAACCACAGCCAAGATCAAATATCGAATGTCCAAGATGGTGAATGCTCCCCCCCTACCGTCTACCGTTGGGCCGTGTCTTGAGCTCAGGGGAACACCCCACAAGACGACGATCCCGTCCGCAGTGCTGATTCTTCCCTTCTCGCCATTGACGCCATGACCATCACCTCTGATCTCTCTCGTCACCTATCCAACAGTCAACACAAAGAGTCAGTACAGAACGAGCACTGGGACCCCACTCCGGACCGTAACTGATCTCAACCTACCCGCGTGGTCAGAGCCGTCTTTTTCCAAGGTCAAGCCAAACGAACCGATACCAAGATGACGCTCTTCTTCGTCTGCACAAAGTGGGTGTCGACGTCTTCTTTCGGAATTCGGGTTTTCGGTGGCGCCCCATGCTGTGATCTTCGGAATTACTCTGGCACTGACGATCAACCGACCGCTTCCGGTCCTCCCTCTCCCCCCAACTCGCAGTTGCCACAAGACGTTCCAGGATCCCATCCTGAATCGACGATAGGAATTACACTCTTTCCAAACAAAGAACCGTATCCTCGTCGGGCGGCGTTTTCTAAGCCCTCTCTCCAGTGCCCATGCGGTCCTGGTGCTCTTTCTGTGTATTGCCCGGGTGGTTCGAGCCCTTGTTGTAATAACACTCACGCTTCCGTCCTGGAAGCCTGTCGCAATCAAGAAGAGGGTCCCTCTTCTTCGACAAGATGCAAGATGCTAATGTTTCTTCCCTCGAGTCAAATTCCTCATGAGGGATCAGTTTCATCACAAACGTCGTTGAGAGGGATTCCGTAGCTTCTTCCCTCGCGCGCTCTCTCTTTCGATGGGACATTCAATTACCTCTCTCCCGGCAATTGCCCACGTTCGAGCTCGAGGGGAGAGAAAAGAAGGAAAACGACAATTGAACAAAGGAAAGGAAAAGTAGGTAGGTCAAGAAAAGAAAAGAAAAAAGAAGGAGGGGAAATGACAAAAGAAGCAAGAAAGCAGAAACGGGTGCGAAAGCGAAAACGAACGCGAAGACGAAGAAAGTAGAAAAGTCAACGACCAAAACTCATCAGGACCTCAGGTTGGTGATCAAATAAACCCCCCCTTCCCCTTCCCTCTCCTCAGCTCATTCTAGATACTTCTTCTGCCCCCTCTCGAACCAAAGGAAACTCGTGCGACCATCGCTTTAGCAACATCCCCCAGCGGCGGGTTGGTTGACCGCGGACCCGGCCGTGACTTTGAGAGCGGCCTTACCCGGTCCCGAGTTGACGGGCGTGGTGGCCATACTGCAAAAAGGGAGAAGATAAGAACATGTGAGTATCCCCAAGTAAGATTCACCATAGTCCATCATCGCTGCGCCGAGAAACGTACCGATCCTTGATCTGCTTCGCCATGGTCAAGAACGCCTGTTCGACGTTGGTCGCGTTCTTGGCCGAGGTCTCCAACATGGACACGGCGATCGAATCCGCGAATTCCTTGGCGGTCGAATAATCGACCACCTTCTTGGTCGTCAAATCGCTCTTGTTCCCGACCAGCAACTTGTTGACGCCCTCGCATGCGTAACGGTCGATTTCTTGGAGCCACTGCTTGACGTTGGAGAAGGTGTCGTTGTCGGTGACGTCGTAGACGACGATGATGCCGTGCGCGCCGCGGTAGTACGACGACGTGATCGTGCGGAAACGTTCTTGTCCTGCTGTGTCCCACTGTGAGAGATTGAACGCGTACGGGATCAGTATCGTAAGGGGGTTTGTGGTTTCGTAACGGCGGTGTGTGTCGGTGTGGGTGCGGTCCGTGCCTGGCGTTGTCCTCCCCGAGCCAAGGTGATCCGACCCTCGACGAAGCGCCCGCTCAGCCCACCACGGTTGCAATCAACTCATTCCAAATGTGCATCACACACGGGGACGGGCGGGGGGCATCGCGTCGCCGATCCCTTCAAGGTGTGTGGCAGAGGGGAGGGGGGGGAGGGGGGGGGGCGTTCGTCACTCGATGGGCGCGTCGAGTCCCAATCTCGGCCCTTTTACTCGAGCCATGTACCCTGTCCCATTCCCGAGAACGAAACGTTCTAGAGGTCGGTTCCGATCTCCCCAGGGCTCATTCCAGTGTGCTCGACCCGTCGACCCGCGTCCGAAAGCCCTCCCCGCTGGTGAGACCGATCAAAGGCGCCTGCCTGCATTCCCCACCGAACCAACACTCACGATCTGCAACTTGACCGTCTTGCCCTCCAGTTCGATCGTGCGAATCTTGAAGTCGACGCCGATGGTCGAGATGTACGATTCGGTGTACGTGTCGTCGGCGAAACGCAACAACAGGCACGACTTGCCTACGCCCGAGTCGCCGATGAGGAGCAGTTCTAGTGCGTCGGTCAAGGTCAAGGTAGCGGTGTAGAAGAAGGTGATCGGTCCGGCGAGGCACGAGTCGAGGTTGGGTCGAGTCGAGTGTGTGTGAGAGAGAGAACCACGTCAGCACACTGCCACCCATCCCCGATTCATTCCCACACTCTGAATGCAAGCACTGACTAAAGAGATAATCATAATCAGGGTTCTGCATCGTAGTCGGTAAGGGGTAGGTAGGGTCGGTGCAGCGTCGGTAAGGGATGAGGAGGAAGGCAGGGGGAGCGTGAAAGAGGTGTGTGGTGGTGGCTGAAGCAGGCTGACGCGCTGAATAACCCTTGCGCAGCCGACAACGGTCTACAACTGTGGCGCCCGGCTGGCTTGGCCCTGCTTGGCCCACGCAGAGAGATCGCGCGCGCGCGCGTGTGTGCGCGTGGAGGCCACGCCGACCGACCGGCCAACGGGCACTTACAGGTGAAGGTGGGAATTCGGATTAGGAATGCGTACGGTAACACATAATTTGGCAACCTTACACGCGTGGGGCCACAGTTCAGCAGTTCCCTCAAGAGGGACCTCTTCATCCGACACCGAAAGCAGACACGAAAGGTCATCCACACCCAGCAAAGAGATAGCACGCTACACAAAGTTCAGGCCCGCCATGCCATGCCAAAGCGCACGGAGCACTGTGGAGCTCGGCCTATTCTCCTCAGCTCTTCAGTCTTCACATGTCCCGACACAACGGGTTATTTCCGCACACCCATTCAGTATATTGCAAGAACAGGCCTTCCTTTCTACTCGAGAGATTTTCTCTTTCTCATCCCCTAAAGAACTCCAACACTAGGAAGCCTCAAAAGATAGGAAAAAGAGAAAACACCCCCCGAGCGTGGCAAAAGAAATTTGGGGGGGGGGGGGGGGGGGTTCGTTTACCGTGCACAAAACAACGAACCAGCATCTTTACTCGTCGTCGTTGCCACGGCTCGCGAGCCAGGCGTCCTTCTTCTCCTGGATGCGCTCGCGGCGTTGCTGCAGCGTCAACTTCTTGGGGTGCGTCTTCCTCGACGCCTCCTTCCACTTGGCCAAATCGGCCTTGTCCGTGATCTGGGCCTCGGGCGATTCGCGGATCTTCTCGTGCGCGGACCTGTAAATATCCTCAATGTCGTCCGATCCAATGTCGTCTGTGGAGCAGAGAGTGGGGGATGAGGAAAAGGGTTCGTGACGTAAAAGGAGCGGAGAGACAGAACGCACGGGCAAGGTAGGACGAAAAGTGCTTTCGGAATCGCTCCTCATCTTCCTCCTCGAGCGTCTCCATGAACTCGGAGACTGCAAGGACGAGTCGGAGCAAAAGAGATCAGTGACATGCCTTGTCATCGCTCGCTCGCCCGACACGGCCAACTCACCGTGACCACCGTAGATGTAGCGTTGAAGGGTCTCGGCGTCCAACTCCTTGGCCTCAAAGTCCCATCCGGGGAATCGCTGCGCCGAGTGGGGCAAGAAGATACCACCGTCGGAGGCACCCTTGAGCGCACCAAAGACACGGGCACCGGTCGAGGTGCGCTTCAATCCGACGTCGAGGAAGCACTTGAACGGGCGCGGTCCGTCGTCGTTGGCCTCGGTCATTTGCAACTCTCCGGTGGGCTCGGTCTCACCCTCGTACTTGTCGGCCAAACCGAGCTTGGTCAAGGCTCGTCGGGCAACCAAGAGACCGGTGGCGTAAGCGGCGGCCCAGTTGGTGAGACCGTGCTCGATGCCGTAGCGGGGGAGCTCGTGGGCGTAAGCGGCGGTGAGGACGACGTCGCCCTGGAGCTTGGCCGAGACGATCTGGCAGATGATGTCCTTGTTGGTGATGCGCACGACGAGACGGTACTTGGGCGAGTTGTACTTGTTCTTGGCCTGGGCGACCAAACGCTTGCGGGCGTAGTAGTCGGTCTTGCCCTCGCGGCGACGGCGGTACTTGACCTGGTATCGCGAGAAGTAGGCGTCGTTCTTGACCGTCTTGACGAAAGGCATGTTGCTGTGAGCAAAGCGGGGTTCATGGAATGAGGTCAGTACACTGAGGTTTGGGCGAGAGTGGGGAGTGCGAGTGCGACTGGCGCGGGGGCGAGCGCTAGGCGTGGTCGACCGTGCGGGTGCGAATGGCGTGGGTGTTGGCGTGGGTGCTGCGCGTTCGAGGCCTCCTACCGCATGTACACCCTCTTGTGCAGCTCCATGACCCCACTCGCCCACTCCAAACAATGCCAATGCTCGAGCTGCCACCCTTCACAACCGTGCCAAGTGCGCTGTATCCCCCCAATCAGCCGTCGTGCCCAGCCCGTTCGCAAAGTTTTGTTGCTGGGCGGGGCAGACGGGGACGGGGACGAGGGGAAACGGCCAGCGAGGCCCAGCGGGACGCCTCGTCCACAGCCTACGTCGCCGCATATGCCCCCCCACTTTCACCCCGCGATGATGACGATGATAGCTGGTTGGTGTCGTACCCGTACAGCTGGTCGATGGTCCTGTACCTTAGTGGTATGTGGTGTTGCAACTCACAGGGTTGGCGAGGGGGGGGTGGGTGAGTAGAAGCGAGCAAGAGAGAAGAGCCCAGCTGCAGACAGGCGCGGGCGTGGGCGCGTGGGCTCCCAACTGCGAAACAGTGCGAAACAAGCTGAAACAGCACAGGCGCCTGAGGCAGTGGCGACTCGCGAGGCGCTGTCAGGCGCGTGGGAGCGAATTGCGGATTAGGAACGTAAGGTAGACTTGGGAAGCGCGGGGTAAGGAGGGGTAAGGTGCTTCTGCCCCCCGCCAGGTTCAGCCACACTCTGCTCGGCACGCATGCACCCACCCCACCTCGATCCAGCACGTCCTCGTCGTTGTTCGCGCTCACACACCGTTCGAGTCCAGGTAGGATCTTGCACGTCGTTTGCGATAAAAACCCCACAAGATCCGGCGATAGGTTCTCACATTTCTTCCGCACGTCCATCGTACCAGCTCGCGATCGGTCCCAGTCAAGCTAGTCAAGTCCGAGTGGCTCGATCCGAGTCGTCCTTGAGCTTGGATCCGGACCTCGGTCGCGTTCCACCCAAATCACCGGACAAGCGTACGAACGACGCGCAGCGACGGCGTGAAATACCGAGCTCTGGGAGGACAAGATGGGACTTGTTGACCCGGCTACCGAGTAAGTTGCATCGCGTGTATGTCGCTCTGCCGGTCCCCCACCCCACCACCACTCGTCGCCCGCGAGCACGCTCACGACCGGGCGACACTCTCAGTGACCGCGGAGCCAGAGCTGACCCTATGATGGGTGTGTAACCTCCCAGATCGGCAGTGAACAAGATCATCGAGCCGACTGATCGAATCAGGGCATGCACGACCGTCAATGAAGCCGCTCGAGACGCCAAGGGGAACGTTAACCCGGCTGGGAAGCGCTCGAGGGGGTACCTCGCCGTGATTGTCAATTCGAGGAGCGAGGTCGACCAAGCTCTGTGCGTGTGCGAAATCTTCTGAAGCGCAATCGGTCTCGAAGAGTGCGACTGATGGGTAGTGTTGCGACCCGCACAGACTCGTGCTCTTTCATAGGCCGGCGACACCTTCCATCACGGCGCTCGTGCCGCTCTACTCGGACTTTCAGCTCTCGATATCCCAAACCAACGCTTCCTCCTCCTCGATGATCGCATTGGACTCCAGTACCCCTGTCAAACCCGGCGACTCCCTCCGAGCACGGTTCATCATCACCTTGTCCTCCCCCAGTTCCGATACGCCGATCGTGCTTCTCGAAGATGAAATCTCTTACCTCTCCGAGATCATCGCCGAGATCAAACGTCTACACGCGCTCGCGATCCAGCATTCCTTCACCTACGAATCCAACACCTCCCATGAATGGGTCGACAATTACGTCCTAACCCCTGCGAATTCGACCGCACCTTCGTTGGACAGCCAGACTTTGGCCAAATTCGATTCTCTCGCTGAGGCCTATTCGGAGCGAGGCAGGCAGGCGAGTTTGCTCCCCGTAACGGGCGCGGCGACGTGGGGGAATGATGACGAGTCCGAGAGGGTGAGGGAAGAATTGGTCCGGGAACAGAGGGCGAGATGGATTGTCGAGCAGTTGAAGGAACGGGAGGACGAGTTTACGCTCAAGGAAAATATCAAGTAGGGCCACCCAGACTAGATTCGCAGTGAGCATGCCGGACTGATCCGCACTTTCTGGAGCGTAGGGTCTTTTGCTCGACCTACAACATCAACGATAAGATGCCCAAACCGGAAGACGACCTCTCACCTTGGATAGGGGATGTGGGCAACGCCGAGTTGTTGGTCATTGGGTTTCAAGAGTTTGATCTGTCGACCGAGGCCCTGTGGAGGTACACGCCGACGAGGGAGGATGCGTGGAGGACCGAGTTGATGAAGGGGTTGGGCGAACAGGCCAAGGATTATGTCAAGGTGAGCTTCAGAGCAATCTAGAGTTGAGCTGGTCCGAGCTGATGTTTTCCCTCTCGCACGTGGTAGATCTGTTCACGACAACTCGTCGGCGTGCTCTTGATCATCTTCGCTCGAAAAGACTGCTCGCAATACGTCAGCAAGATCTCGGCCAGCCACTTGGCGACAGGGATCATGGGTCTCGTAGCGAACAAAGGCGCCGTCTCGATCCGTCTCAAGTACAAAGACACTTGGTTGACAATCGTCAACTCGCACCTCGCCGCATTCGCGGGTCAAGTGCTTGCGAGGAACCAGATGGTCAAGGATACCGAAAAGTTTTTGGTCTTTACTGAGGGAACTACCGTCAAAGGGTTGCCCGTCGATCCTTGGGTACCGAATTTGAGACCCGAGGTAGAGAAGACGAGTGCGAGCGCGACGGTATTTGATTCGCATCATTTGGTGTGGATGGGGGATTTGAATGTGAGTCGCACCTAGAGTTGTAGCAGTTTCGGCTGATACTGAGCCGAGCGGCGTCTCCTTGTTTGCACAGTACCGAGTCGAGCTCCCGCGAGCGGATGTGCTCCGCATGACCGAAGCTAAAGAATGGGACATGCTTCTCCGATTCGACCAACTCAAGATCCAACAAACGCACAAGCTCGCCTTTGCCGAATTCGTCGAAGCGCCCATCACTTTCCCCCCGACGTTCAAGTTCGACATCGGGACTTCGACCTACGATACGAGTGAGAAGCAACGTACGCCTTCTTGGACGGATCGGATTATGTGGTTATCGATTAAGGATGAAGGGGTTAAATGCTTGGAATACAAGAGCTGTCCAGAGGTGAAGATGAGTGATCATAAGCCCGTGACGGCGATGTTGCAAGTCGAAGTGTCAACAGTCGTCAAGGAGAAGAGGATGAGGGTGCAGCACGAGGTCATGACCGAGCGTGAGTTCAAGTCGCAAGCTGCCAGTTCAAGACTTAAGCTCCATTGTACTGAGACACCAAACTTGATTGTCACAGTGGATCAGTACGACAACGATGCTTTGCCCGATGTCAAGCTCATCCCCGGACCGTCAATCCAATTCGATCGAGCGATCCGGTACCTCATCCCTCAAACGCAAACGGTCGAGATCGAGAACGTCGGTTCCGTCGTTGCGCAATGGTTCTTCACCCTCAAGCCTGGCGCCACGACGATTGCCCCTCCCTGGTTGTCGATCTCGCCCAGTTCGGGATTGCTGTTGCCTGGTGAACGAGCAACGGTCTCATTTACTATCCGCGTCGACAATCTGACTGCCCCGGCCCTGAACTTTGGCCCTCGAGACGAGCTCAACGACCTCTTGATCCTTTCGATCGAGAAGAAGGACCTCTTCCTCTCCGTCGCGGCAAGGGAGTACTTCCCGACCTGCTTCGCCTGCCCTTTGGAACGTCTGGCCCGTTTCAGCGAAGGGATCCGTACTTATTCGACCGCGCAACTCAAAGCGATCGCCGCCCACGACAGTGCGCCCTTTGCCGAAGACCGAGCCAAGATCCCTCGTCCCGCCGGAAGGATGTTGGACTTCCTCGCCGAATACGCCCTCCATGTCGACGAGATCTTCCTGGTCCCTGGCGATCCGGAATTGGTGAGGGAGATCAGGGAATCGTTGGATGAAGGGGATGGGTTCCCTTTGGAAAAATTGTTCCCGATGTTGGAGACGGTCGTTTCGGGGACGGCGTCGATGATGGATGCGGGGATGATTCCGGACAACATTCATTCGACTGGGGGGCAGGAGTTGGGGAATGGGTTGGCGTTGCAGGAGATTGAGGAAGGGGACGAAGAGGCTTCGGAGGAAACGTCGACGCTGAGATTCAATACGTCACCTTTTGCGAACTCGACAGCTTTGGATCCGGGGACACCGAGGACACTTGCGCTGGTGCAAGACGTTGGACCGGAGGAGGTCGTCGCTGACGATCGCTCGTCAGAGGAAGAGGAGGAGGAAGAGAAGGGGGAGGCAGACGATGAGGTCCAAGAACCGGTCGAGACCGACATGGAAGCCGACATTGGAGCGCTTTCACTCTCCCCTTCAATACCCTCCCGATTACCAGCACCCAAGAAACCGAACGCTACGGCCCCGCCGATCGTCCACGCGAAAATCAAGGACGATCCCCGCCGCGCCAGCGTCGCCCCCTTATCCCAGACCCTTCGAGCCAAGGCGTCGGATTTGGGTGTGTTAAGTATGGGGGATTGTTTCTTGAGGTGGTGCGAGGCATTGCCGGACCCTATCGTGCCTTTTGGGCTGTATGAGGATGCGGTCAAGGCGGAGAGGAGAGAGGATGCGTATGCTCTGGTCGAGAGGATGCCGATGATTGTGAGTGCTTCCGCTGGTCCGAACGATTTGTGACCCATTGTAACCGACTCTGCTCTTGTTGCGGGGGATCACTCAAACAGCACTCGAGTACGTTGTTGTACATCATCGCATTTCTGAGGGTCTTGGTACAGCAATCGACGGAGGAGTCGGAGAGGGAAGCAAGGTTGGATCGATTAGGTACGTTCTTTCGGACGTGTCATCGACGCCTCCTGAACTGAGCTCGCCAGATATTCGAATCGTTCTTCCCGAATAGCCGTGGTGTTTTCCACCGTACTGCTAAGACCTGATGCGACAGCTCCAAGCTCACCGGCATTGTCCACAATCCCCCTCGAAGCGATCCCGAGGAGGAGGAAACAGTTCGTCTTGTCGTTGTTGCAGGGGGAAGGTTTCGAGTCGTTGATGGGGACCAAGAAGGCGGGGTTCGATGACGTGAGACTTTAGGGAATGAGTTGTGGAAGGATGGAGTGGTAATCTATTGCTCGTTTCAGACATTCCAATCGGTGTGATTTGAGATTGTTGAACGCCGAAAGTCGGCTGAGCTGGAGCTGGCCGCTGTGACGCCCACGACTGCCCACGCTATTGCGTGTCGACTGATAGATTGAGCGTAGTTGAGCGTGAGGCCTCGTGAGGGAGGCCGTCTGAGGCCGTGAGGTGAGGCAGGCGCCCCACTCCTTGCTCGGCTTGGCTCACCCCTTTCGTCGGCTCGTCACGTCATCATCCGCGCGTCGGTGGGGTCTCGGCACGCGACAGAGATATACCCCAGGATAGGGACGAGATGGTGACGTCCAAGAATGGAGGGCCGGCCACAGCTGCCTCTACAGCAGCGGCCGCAGGTGCAGCACCAGCGGTGAGTTTGTGGTGCGCAGATCGGTGCGACAACGAACGCCTGCTCATCCCGAATGAGTACACCCTCTGCACAGTGGCGTCAATTCAGTTTCTTCTCCCAAACAGCCATCCGGGACCATCATGCGCCTTCGCTTGGTGCACCGGAGATGCTGCGGCAGCCCGCGCTCATCTCGACCCTCAACGCCGGACCGACGCCGTCCTCCTCCTCCTCGGCAGGACCTTCCTCTGCCCCTGGATACAACCTTGCCGCCCAGGATGAGGAAGAGGATCTGGTCCTCGTCGCTGATTTGGATGGGAACGTGCATGCCTTGTCGGCCGATTACGAGGTCGTGAGGACGTGGTCGGCTTATGGACCGGGGGGGAGGTGCAGCCTCATCCAGACCGTCAGGAATTGGAAAGGCATCGTCGTCACAATCGGAGTGAGTGAAACAACGAGAGACAGTGTGTGTCAGTAATGGGAGGCTAACGTGACGATCCCGTTTGCGTAGGAGGAATCCGCATCCCCCTTCCCCGTGCTCAAAATTTGGTACCTCTCGCGAACACGTTCCTCCTTCCCCGAGTCGATGCCGGCCCTCCTACGCTTGGCCCGCATCAACCCTTCATCGCGACCTCACCCCGTCTCTGCACTGTCTGTATCCCCAGGCATGGTCTACATCATCCTCGGTCTCGCAGACGGCACCGTCGTCGCGTTCAAGCACGTCGATCAACTCGTCGAAGCTTCGCTCGCTTCCGTCGTTGCCGCAGTCGCGTCGAGTGGCGGTAACGCCGCCAATGCCGCAGCTGTGCTGGGTCTTGGGAAATTGAGGACTTTGTATTCGGGCAAAGAGCCCATCACCGGGTTGGGGTGCACGCGCACGTATTCGAGTCCGACCCCTTCGAGTTCAGGCAAGAAATCGATCCCTTCTTCCGTGACACTGTTCATCCTCACCACGGAACAGATCCTATCCTATCCACTCTCGGCACCTTCTTCACGAACCTCTTCGACGGTAGCGACTCCATTGGATGGGATGGGGGCGAACGTTGGGTGTTCGGCTGTGATTCGTCTGCAGGCGGGGGAGAAGATCGTCCTTGCTAGGGAGGAGGCGATCTACGTCTATGGCCCGGAGGGCAGGGAGAATTGTTTTGCTTACGAAGGTGAGTCGTGAAGCACGTTGAGAACCGGTACATGGAGGAATATGATTTGATTCCGGTGTGTTTCCACCGACCCACAGGTCCCAAATCGTCAATACGCGTGCTCTCGTCCGCCATCTCGGCGGTCCCGACAGGCTCGACCCGATCAACCTACCTTGCGATCGTTTCACCTCCCCTCGTCGCCTCGAGCGCATCAGCATCCGCAACTATCCGCAACTATGCCAGAATGTCAGCCGCAAATGCCGCAGCCTCCTCTTCGTCATCACCTACGAATGGCTCGAGCTCGGCCGATGTGGCCAAAGTGACGATTTTCGATCCGGAGAACAAGTTCGTCGCTTATTCGGGCACGTTCGAAGAAGGCGTCAGGGACGTATGGGAGGCATATGGTGCTGTTTGGGTGTGGACCGAAGGAGGGAAGGTATGCCCGTGCAAGGCATGTCCGTTTTGTGAGGCATATGCTGACTGTTGAACTTCAACGATGGACAGCTGTTCCGCCTGTCCGAACAGCCCCTCCAATCGAGCCTCGCAACCATGTACGGCAAGAACCTATACACGCTCGCCATCTCGTTGGCGCAGTCCCGAAAAGTCGGCGCTTCAGAGGTCGCGGAAATCTATCGCAGGTTGGTGTGCCTTTGCTGTGCTGTTCTGTCGCCCCCTCTTGGTGCTGACTCAAGCTTCTGGGTGACAGGTACGGCGATCACCTCTACAGCAAGAGTGACTTTGAGGGCTCGATGAGCTGTTATCTCAAGACGGTTGGCTCGGTACAAGCGAGCTATGTCATCCGAAAGGTAGGCTCTCATCATTCACAACCTCCTAGGTCCGCGTTGACGACCAATACTCCGCGCACAGTTCCTCGACGCGCAGCGGCTGTCGCATCTGACGTCGTATTTGCAAGAACTGCACGCCCGCGGTCTCGCAAACTCGGATCACACAACTTTGCTCCTCAACTGCTACACCAAGCTCGCCGACGACACGGCTCTATCTTCCTTCCTCCACTCTTCCTCCGATTCGTCAAAACCCACCCCGAAGTCTTCATCGACGGACCCTTCGGTTTCCACCTCCGTCGCCGACGAACCCCCCTTTGATCTCGAAACGGCGATCCGAGTCTGTCGTCAAGCTGGCTACTTCACCCATGCCTCTTGGCTCGCATCGCGCTACCAAGCTCACCAACACTACCTCCGCATTCAGATTGAAGATGTCGAGAACATTGGCGACGCGCTCGATTACGTGCGTCGGTTGGATTCTGAGATTGCGAGGGACAGTCTAGTCAAGTACGGCAAGAGTCTGTTGGGTAAGGAACCAAGCAGGACGACGGAGGTTTTGATCGATCTGTGTTGTGGGACGTTGGCCAAGGGCGGTGGGGGAGAAGACGGAGGGAAAGATCAGAATGGTGGGGTTGGCAAGGAGGAAAAGCAGAGTGGGGGCAAGAGTTACATGAGCTATCTCGCCTATGGGACATCGGCGGAACCAGCCCCTCCTCCACCTCCCGCGGCTACGACGTCGAAAGCGAACGGATCCCGGATACGAGAGGGATCTTCACAAACTTACCCTAGTACGGCTCCGGCCGTGCGTCAGGACGATGCCGCATCCACGTCTGTGCATCCCTCCTCCCCTCTCCCAATGGAAGTCACCGCCGCCCTCCCCGCCCCTCGTCAATTCTTCGCCCACTTTGTCGATCACACGACCGAATTCATTCGATTCCTCGAGACCGTAGCCGAACGACGATACGGTCGCAAGTTGACCGGTTCCTCGCAACCTTCTTCGTCGGACCCGTTACCTGAACCCCAAAGTCTCGGGGCGAAGGAGATGATGCCCGATGACTCGAGGGACGAACAGGCGATTTGGAACACCCTCCTCGAACTGTACCTCTCTCCATCCCCAACAATATTGACGACAGGATCGGCAGAAGGGAAAGCGAAGGTCTCGCAAGAGGAATTGCGGTTGCAGGCAAAGGCGTTGCAGTTGCTCAATTCGAGGGGACGCATCCCTTACGATGAGACGCAGGCTTTGCTTGTGTGTTCGACGAGGGGATTTGAACAGGGGTTGATATTGCTGTATGAGCATTTAGGGTTGTACGAGGATATCGTACGGTGTGAGTCATTCCTGGTCTCAAGTGGACGAGAAGGAGGCAACCATGTTGACGATGCGAGACTTTGCTTCTGGATGTACAGATTGGATCGAAGCGTCGAGCACCAACACCGTGCCCAGCTCAAAAGTCATCACGGCCTTACGACGCTACGCCTCCTCGCGATCAACCCGACCCCGCGCGCCGTTGTACAAAATGGTTCTTCGACACCTCACCTCGTCCCCTTCACTCCTGCCCCGACATACCCAAGACGTGCTCGATCTCTTGGACGAGATCGATCGAGACGCCATCTTGCCCCCGATCAGTGTGGTACAGCTGTTGAGCAGGGGCGGTGAAAGTGGGGCTAGTATCGGTTTGGTCAAGTCGTATTTGAAAAAGAGGTTGGCCAAGGAACAACAAGAAGTCGATGCCGTAAGTCTCTTCGAACCCCAAACCTGCCTATTCCAACCATTGACCCCCCCCCCCCCCCCCTCTCCCATCGACGTCACAGGACCAAGCCTTGATCAAATCCTATCGCGTCGAATCGAATCGCAAGCGCAAAGAGATTCAAGAACTCTCCGACCCCCAAACGCCGCGCATCTTCCAAGTCACGCGTTGCTCAGCGTGTGGTGGACAATTGGATCTCCCCGCCGTACATTTCATGTGTCGTCATTCGTATCATCAAAGGTGCGCAATCGCGAAGCTGGGAGTTCCAAGAAGGGAGTTGCATCTGACTCCTGATCCGCTCTCTCCATCACCACACAGATGCCTAGGCGAATCCGAATCGACCTGCCCGTCGTGCGCGCAACAACACGGCATGATCCGCGAACTCCGTCGCGCGAACGAGGCCTTGGCTTCCCAACACGAAATCTTTCTCGCTGAAGTTGAGGAGGCGGAAGGCGATCAGGGGTTTAGGTTGATTGCGAATGCGTTTGGGAAGGGTTTGATGGGGTTGAGTTTGGAGGAGGGTGGGGCGGGGAAATAAGGGGGACGTAAAGGCGAAATGTGTGATTTGTGGATGTTTTGCCTTTGTAGGAGTGGATGTTATGGGGGCACTGCTGTATTGCGTTAGATCGCTCGGATCGTCCTTCTTTGCATGCGCTGCTATGACGACTTAATAACGTCCCTTTCTCGCGAGATCACCGTCGGTGAGCTACGTGCAAAGCAAGTACTACAATTTCCAAATCGAAGAAGAACTACACACTCGCGAGAGCCCCTTCCTTCCTCATCAAAGCCCCCCGTCCTTCTCCCTTTCTACAACCCCAACACCGAATCGAATGCATCCTTCTTGGGCAAAGGAGCGGCAGGGGTTGCCGGCGCAGCAGTCTTTCGTGATGTCGAGCGTTGGGCCAAGGGGAGGTATTGGTCGAGGACAGAATCAAAGTCTGCGGTTTCGGTCCGATTTCGAAAAAGGGTCAGTAAGGGGCTCAATCGCAACCGCTGATCTCCCAATTTAGGAGTACGGAGAACCGTACCAGGTGTTTTGACACGAGGTGTATCGTGAATTAAGGGTGGGGCGGCGACTTTGGAAGGGTCGAGTTGCAGACCGACGGCGATGAGCCTTCGAAGCGTCGGGGCGTCCATCTCCTTTTTGGGTGGTGCGGCGGGGGTCGGTCCCTAGCGAGGAACAAGACGGATCATCAGTCGCGTGTCCCTACGTAGCAGACAATTCAGTCCCAACTCACCGGCTTGCCCTCTTCACTCTTTTTCCCCTTGCCCTTGTCCGACCCAAGCGGATGATCAATCTTTCCCAAGAACGCCAACACATCTCCCTTGGTCAATATACCCTTGAAACCGGTCGCTTTGATAACTGACGCATCCTCGATCCCGGCCAGGGCCAATTGTCTCAGAACGCTGGGTAAGAGCGGTCGAGAGTGTTTAGGGACGACGTGGTGAGGTTCGGGAGAAGGGGAAGGGGAGGAAGGGGTTGATGTCGCTTTGACGGAGGGGGCAGACGGGGCAGCTTTTTGGGTCGGTTCGGATTGGGGCAGGGATTCTTGTGGTGTTGGTGGAGAGGGAGAGGAGGCAGAGGAGGAGGGTGCTTCGAGGTTGGAGATGTCGTCGCCTTCTTCGGCGAGGAGTGCGATCAAGGACCCGACTTGGACACCCGAGGTACCTGCTTGGACCTGGACGGGAATACCACGTAAACTGAATTAGATTTGCTTCTTCACGACCGCGTACGCTACATTGCCACCCCTTCCGCCTCGGACTGTCATCTCCGATCCGCCGGCCCGATCCGCGTTTGGGGTGCAGCATCCTCTCTTCCGGCGCTGACCGATCCCTCAAACTGACCAGAATCTTGCCCATAACCCCATCATCCTGGGCCTCACAATCGATCGTCGCCTTGTCGGTCGACAACTCCAACAAGACGTCTCCAGCACTGAAGCTATCGCCTTGCTTGACTTTCCATTCGGTGACGCCGCCTTCGGTCATGGTCGGTGACATGGCCGGCATCAGCAGTTCGGTGATGGCGCGTGCGGGGAGGGTGGTGTGGACTGTGAGAGGGTAGAGCAGGAGGGGTTAGCTTCTGGTGGTGAGCTGAGTATGATGATGCCGCCCGCCGCCCGCCGCCCGCCACCGCATCAGAGCTCAGGGGCTCACACCACCTCGATCGGTGGGGGCGGCCAACGCGACAATACGACCACGACCACGACCACGACCACGACCACGACCACGGCCACGACCACGGCCACGGCCAGGACCACGAGCGACACAAGGGCAAAACACGCACAAGATCGAGCCACCTCGGCACTCTGAACCCATTTGCGACTCGCTCCCACGCGCATCGTCATCGTCGACAACATGGTGGGCGGGAGGTGTGAGCGGAAGAGAGCGGGTCCGAGTTGGGCGGCGGAAAGAGGGGATCCGATTTCGCAGTCCAGCCCAGTCCAGCCAGCCTGGCAATCCTCAATCGACCAATCGCCGCGCGAATCGATTTTGATCGATCTCGACAGCTCACGTGGAAAGAGCTCCGCGCACCACTCCTCCTCGAGGCTTGATCATCACTATCAAGAAACGATGTCTTCTCCTCATTCCTCACAAGCCAGTCTTGAGAAGAAGCACATGCCAATCTTTGAAAGATGAAAAAAAAAAACGAGGTGCAACGAGAGACCAGACCCAAAAAAGAACGAGCGACACGGAAAACAAAAGGAAGAGGAAGCACAGACAAGTAGTAAATCACGACAAGGCTGAAAGAGAAGCGATTCGACTTGGCAAGGAGAGGAAGTCGATCTTGATCAAGCTGGAGACGGGAAGTCGACCAGACAGCGATTTTAAACCCTTATTAGGAGGAGAGGAGCGAACGGACCGAGCGAAAGAGTGGACTAGGGAAAACACAAGCCAAGGGGTGGGTATGGTCAGAGTGTATTTTATTAAGTGAAGCAAAAAAAAGGCCACAAAAGGACGCAAGAAGTAGTATGTATGCGGGAGCGAGCCAAGAAAGGAAAAAGAAACTCCGGCGCCATTGATTGCGAGAAAGAGCGAGAGACACAGAGAGAGTGTGTGTGACAAGAGAGAGAGGTAGTGAAACAATCGACAACCAGAAATCCGCGAATTTACGAGTCGAGATATGCCGTGCCCTGTGGTGAAGATCCGAGATCAAGTCAGTTTCCCAACTCCATGCACGGGAGCCCCGCCAAAACATGAACCCACCTCCCAAGAATCCTCGGTGATCGACTTCCACCCGGCAAAGATGAAGACGATGGAGATGAGTTCGAGGAGCGAGGCCACGAACGATCCGTCAACCTTGGCTTTTGTGCCCGTGCAGATCTTGTGGCTCAGCGCAAAGTAAGCGCCTTGCGAGAGGATGAAGGCCCCAGCGGCCATCGTGAACAAGACTGTTTACAAGATTTCAAAGTCAGCTTCTTGCCTGTTCGCCTCATATCCACGCCACACCGGCCAACTCACAAAGAGGCTTCTTCTCCCTGAGCACTCGAACGACGACGCCGAACTGAACCAAGAAGTAGAACCCAGCAGCGGCTGCGGGCCAGATGATGGTGAGGACAAACAACCAGATCGAGTGCAGGTCTTGCGGCGGGTCGGAGCGGAAATAGTTGGTGACGGTGAAGCCCGTGTCGAGCGCAATGTAGCCCGATCCGACCGAGAGCACGATCGTGCCGATCAACATGGGTATGATGGAGAGCAATGTGCCGTCCTCGACGATTTGCAGCGACAGGAACGCGAGCCATGCGAGGACCCAGAAAAGACCGACAAGCAAGCCCAGGTGAACGCCCGAGATCCACGTGAGCGCCGTCGAGCCGACCTTGAGCAACGCGCCCGTATCTGCCAACTGTGCGCCCTGCACGAGACAGAACATTAACAGGAACACCTGCATCTCCTTGCGTGCGACGGCGGCCGTTCTCCTGCCGGCCATGACGCAGAGCGCGACCCCGATGAGGACCGAGAGACCGCAGACAGCGATGTTGGCGACGTTCCCGAGCGAGCCGGCCTGGCCTCCGACGGCGTGCATGCGAGGGATGTAGCACGACGGTCTCACTCCGACACCGAGCGTTTGTAGTGTTGATCGGATCGCTGCGCCATCGGTCGGCAGTCCCAGGAGATCGGTCGCGGGTGCGGCGAGGCCCTTGGGGTCTGTGAAAGAAAGCCGGCAAACGGTTCGAGAAGGCGAGCGGAAGCGTGGTCAGTGCACTTGCTTCACACTAGGAAACCCGCATGGATCACGCCAGGCACGCCATCCTGGTATGTCCCAGATGTAGTCCGATCCTTTATAATTGATCTCCCTAACCCTTAGCTACCCCACGTAGGATGGAAAGGATGGAACATAGCCAGCAACTCGACAAGACGATCTAGCCTGATCGGCGCCTGCGTGTGTCGGTGTTGTCGGCGCAAGCCTTCGATCGTTTCACGCGAGTCCGCCTTCGACGCCCATCGCTGTTTCAACGCCGCCGGATGAAATGATGGGTGCAACACTTACGGACGAGCAACTGTCGGAAGAACAGGTTGCAGACGGGGAGTGAGGGTACGTGACGACATGGCTGCAATAGGACGCAATGGAGAGTATCAGCAGCTGGCAGCGCGGATAGCAGCAGCGAGCAACGACGACGACGACGTCAGGCATTCTTGAGCCCGCCGATCCACGGACCAGGCCCAAACCGGGGTGGCTTCACAGCCCTAGAACAGCCATCGACGTAGCGGGGCCACATCTCGCCTGACCAGGGTGGACCTACCCAGTCAAAGTGGCCGAATGTGAACAGGACCATGGTGTGTGGGCTGTCGGGTCGTCGTCGAAGGGATCGTACGCACACGCAGCAGCTCGAATGGTTGTTGATCGAGAGGCGGAGAGGGCGGACAACGGGGGCGTGAGCTTGGGGGCCAAGGCGGAAGGTCGCGCGGGAAGGCGCGGGATTACAACTCTGCGTCGCTCGCCCCGGTCCAGAATGCAGAGATTCGAGACTTTCTCCTTTCGAAATGGAGCTCGCAGCTCGGGACCAACGCGATCGAGGAATGCCCAGACTTGTCGATGTGAGAAGTGTGAGCGGTGTGAGCGGGATTGTAAAAAGCTCGTACTCGTATGGTTCGTTCTTGAGTTAGATGAAAACGGGTCACTTGTCCGCAGTTGTCTGCTGGCGTGATGATCCGTGATCGAAGGCCACCCGAGAGGAGATCCAGTGCCAGTTGTCGTCAGTTTCCGAACACGAACACTCTACTATCCCCGTGCATGAAGCCGATCCTCGACAAAATTATGGGGGTTCTCCCACCTCAGACCTACCACGAAACGCTACTCACCACCTGGTCAACGCCTCCAAGTCGGCACTGAGCAGTTGCTACGTATCTCGGTGATCTCCTCTCGGCTGGGCGGCACGGCCGGTCGAAGCGTGGTTGGATTTTGAAAGGCCAAATTCGGGTCCGAGCGAGAGCGAGCGTCCAAACTACGAAGTGCAGAGGCGTCGAGCTGTTCTTGATGAAATGAGGGACAACTAAATCCTTAAGGAGGATGACGACGACGTGTGCAAGTAAAACCCAGGGACGACTAGCCGCGAAACGCACAGACCAGCAGCTCAGTTCGCCCGTAGGAAATAGGAGGAACTCGTCACGGGCCACCCAGCAGCTTTGATCATCAGGTGGGCACTGGGCAGCTCCACCCCCTGATGTGGGGTGTTCGGCCTAGCCCCGTAGCTAGAAGAAGAGAGAGGCTGATGTACTACTTGGCTTGTCGTTGCTGTTTTTTGGGGCTGCTGTACCGCCTTGACATCATGGCGACAATTTTTTTAAGCTTCGCTGCAAATCGCAAAACCTCGGGCATCGCCGCCGGCGCGGCGCAGAGGCAGCCACCCAGTACGTAGAAGCTCAACTTCCGACTTGTCTGACCTGCCCGTCATTTACCTGCCTTTGCCTGACAACCATTGTACATCCCTTCGTCAAACGTTTCTATCTGTATCCTTCTTGGTTTCTTACAAAGAACCACATTGTCTTCATTTCCTCCTTTATCATCTCCAGATCTCCGTAAATAGCAATGCGCAGCTTTTCTCTCTCTCTTTTCCTCTAGTCTCATCCTTCCCTGGACCCTCACTCTGTACTCTTGACAATTGACTGGTATTGGGGCTGCCAAAAACATGGTTATGAGCAGCCAGACTACTCAGCATTAGGCGTAAGTAATGCTCGAAGTTGCTTGACAAACAGGCGGTCCAAGGAAGGATGAGACAAGAGGAAAAGAGAGAAGAGAGGTACGGATTGCTATTTGAGAAGATCTAGAGGTGATTGCACCGTGGTTCTTTGTGAGAAAACTAGGGGTATATAGACAAGTAGTGACGTTTGACGAAGTGATGTACCATGGTCGTCAGGCAAATGAAAGGCAGGTAAGGCAAAGCGGTGCGAAGTTGAGCTCGGACCTACAGGGTGGTTGCCGAACCTCACAGCCCGTTTTGACCGGCCGCCTCCTCCGCTCTGCGCACCACTGGGGAACACTTTTGCCTAAGCTCGACGCCCCTCTCTTCTCTGAGCCTCCCAGGCCTTGTCTCCGAGGTCTTTCAACGCGGCGGCTCAACCCATGTTTGGGTTGAAGACTTTGAATTTTTTTCGTCATCGACTTTTTGGGGAGGACGGGGAGGTTCGCAAGGGAACTGCCCCTGAAACCCTGCCGAAGGCTGGAAAGAGGTCCGAGCGCGCCACTCGGCTATCCCCGGGCTCTCTTCCCCTGGTAAGGGATGTAATGGCCAGATTATACTAGGCCCGTCATTTCATCAAATTATGACCCCTGTACCCAAATTTCCGCCACCACATCCCATTCCCCAACAACTCTAGCCCTCCTCTCTCGTCCAGCCACCACCGAACTCGCGCTGCCGACCCCCTCCTCCTCATTCTCAAGCAACAGAGCCCTCACCCCTCCAACCCTGAGTAGACCACCTTGACTCATCGCAATGAATTTGAACTTGGTTCGAAGGACCTCACTGCTCACGACTGGTCCTGGCTCAGTGCTTTGACTCAGGTTCGAGCAGGTTAACGTCACCTCGGGCAAGATGATCAAGGACGATCCGAGCAATTGCACGTTCGGCGAAGGCCGGTAAGGACCTTGTACGGGTCCTAAAGGAACGGGCCGAGGGAGGACAATCCCTTCGAAAGCGATCTGAGCGCGAGTGGGCGTTGTAGTCGTTTCAAATTCGCCTTGGAGGTTCTCAACCGGTGTCCGATTCGGTAAAGGGGTCGTCGTGACCGGCCCGGAACCAGAAGGCATAGAGCCAGGGATCGTCAACACCGCGTTCGCTGATGGCATAGTTGATTGAAGTGGAGGTGATGGAGGGACGAAAGGATGGCGAACGTGTTGGAATGCGAGTTTCAACCGCCGTGGTTTCGGCGGCGCACTCGTTTCACCAGCCTCGGCTGGCGGTGGGGCTGGAGGATTGAACTTGACCGTGAGATCCATTTCGACGTCAAATGGCGTTTGCAATGGGACCGATCGAAGAGCCGGAACAACCTTGGTCGTTAAATCAAAGGTGAGCGCAGTCGAGTCGGGCACGAGACCTGCCAAAGGTGGTGGAGGCGGGGGTGGTACATCCTGCATGCCCTGAGGGATGGGGTGGTCAATTGATGTTCGCGCAGGTTTGGGTGAGAGCCTCGGCGATCGAAGATATGGGGCCGGACCCTTGATTTCCTTGACGGGATTGCTTGCACCTGGCTCGTTATTTGTCAAAGGTAATGGCGGGGCACGTATTGGTGGCGGTTGTGCAAGCGCCGGTGCGAGCGCTCTGTTCGCCGGTGTCGGGTTTGCGGGCGGCGGTGCGAGTTGCGGTACCCTCCTGCCCAGCATCGACGTCTGCAACCTCCCCAGCTCCCCGTTCGGCGTTCTCCACACAATATCCAACCGCCCAAGTCCCTGACTTCCTCCCGGTTCGACGCGCTCGACGTTCTCCCCCATCTCCAGCAGGTACAAATACTGTCTCACCGCTCCGGGCCCCAACAACGTCTCGGACCCAGCGAAGACACCCTGATTCGGATCCTGAACGGTCCACCCGGGCAAAGGATCGAAACGCATTCGTTCGAACGACATGACATGTTCTCCTTGGTTCTGTACCTGCACTTCGAGGAAGAGCTTGTCGCGTTCGGTTCGGGACAGGGCAGAGGACGCGGTGTAGGGTGATGGCGAGTGGGCTTTGGTCCGAACGGAGAGTGGGTTTGAGACCTATCGCAAGGGAAACCCCCATGATCGACAATTGTCAATACCAAAATAGGCTCCGGGCTTGGCCCGTCTGGTGCTTACCTGGAACTTGTAAACCTGAATTTGTATCAAGAAAGTCATTGAGTCAGCTCAAGTTTCTTCACGCCTCTAGGGGGCCCCACTTTTCCCTCGTTTCCTCGATAAGACTCGAACCACTCACCTTCCTAAAACTCCTCGATCTGGCCTCCTCCACTCCCGCCTCATTCGTCCACCTTACGCCGTAGGAGATGGTACACACCAGTGAATGCGGGGCCAATTCCTTGATCTCGTGCGAGACGATCGCTTCCATGCTCTTGCCCGGGACAAGGCCGACATTCGCTGCCGGAGGGATCGAGGTTGAGGTCGTCGGGTCGGAGGAAGGTAGTGTGACGGTCTTGAGTAGGTGTTTAGAACCCGGTGGTGCGTTGGGTGGTGGGTTCGTGTGTATCTCCACCTTGAGTGTGGGGGAGATGGCGACTAATGAGGTGGGGTTCGAAGCCTGGGCGGCCTCGTTCGAGAGCGATAGCAGCGCCGAGAACGTTTCACTGTTTGTTCAACGATCACGTCAGCCAACATGTTCCACCGTCAAACCTCAACGACCCAATGCAAAAGAACTGACCCCAGATATATCGTCCCAAACGTACTCGGCAGCATCAGCGCCCCCGTATGTGCCCCCGCCACACTCTCCAAATCCTCCCTCGGCACACTCCCCTCGACATTCAACTCTTGGATATACTCCCCAGCGAATGTGTCCTTCTCGTAATAGAGATGAGGCATCGTAGGGACCAACGAAGGACGAGCGGTGCGCAGGACTTTGAGCGACAAGAGGTGCGCTTCACGTGGGGCCGAGGAGGACGGACCGGCGGGCGGGTGCGGAGCTTGGGAAGCGGCCCCAGGGACGTAGGGTACACTTGCTGCAGTGGCCATCTTATATGTTGGTGTGTCGCGTACGGTTCCTTAAATCTGCAGCGGAAGAAGGGGAAGCGGCCGGAGCAATACGTCAACGCGGCAAGAAGCCAAAGCCGAGTCAAGGTACGCGAGTGGCACGCGTTCGATCGACGACGACGTCGGGCATTTATTTGCCGTAAATATTCGTCACGAGCCAAGTGGTCCAGTTTCTCTCTCACGCTTTGTCGTAGCCAGGATTGTGGTGTACCACAGCACAAAAAGAAAACACTGTGGAGCGCCACTTCGCTTGAACGAAATTCCGGCGGACCACTGCCCGCACACCAGGGCACTCTCCACAATTGTCTCTCGAAGACTATCACAACCAATCCGAAAGAGGACGACATCACGCCATCCCTTCGTTTGTTGGTTTGAAATGCTCATCCAGCACGCTGCCGATCATCTTTTCCCGCTCTCTCACCCACGCTTATCGTTACAACCTTCCAGCTACTAAAAAGAGGAAGATGGGAGAGAAACAAAAAACAGCCGACCATTCGGGGAAACAGTCGATATGGAGTGAGAAAAGGAAGAGGACAAGGTACCCCTGGTCGCTGTTCTTAAAGCTTAAGCCTCGGCTTGAGCGGCGTTGGGGCAGTCGCGCGAGACTGTGGTAGATAGGGGAAAGACGTGAAGGTCAGTCACCAGCGAGAAACAGCTTTGTAGTCAGACAAGACTTACTGTGACCGGTCTGTTGTCCAGTGAAGAGAAATGACAGATCGCACGATACGAAATAGTAGTCTAGTTAGCACCTGTCCCTCCAATCTCCAGTCACCAACGACCAGATCAGTCACGTACCTGGCCGCATCCGTAGCAGCTCCTGGCTTGGCGCTGGACGGGGTTGGGGCAATCACGCGAGATGTGACCAGTCTAAGAAGGGAGCAGCCAGTCGTCAGTTCGAGCCCATCAAAACGACACGACTTATCATAGGCTCCGCTCGACTCACTCCACCGCAGCCGAAGCACTTCTGGGCCGAAGCGCAATCCCTGCTCAGATGCCCGAAGCCACCGCACGAGTAGCAAGCACGGCCCTGGGCTTGTTGCTGCATAAAAGCCAAGTCAGCCACTTGACTTTCAATTCAAAGGGATCTCATGTAACGTACGCCACCAAATCCTCCACCGAATCCACCTTGGGCCTGGCCGGCGGATTGCGGGCAGTTGCGCGAGATGTGGCCGGTTTGGTTGCACGAGTAGCAGACGGCCGACGAGTTGCCGCCGTAGCCGCCCTGGGCGCCGCCGAAAGAGGCAGCGGGCTTCTCGGGGCAGTCACGCGAAAGGTGACCCTCCTGGTTGCACTGGTAGCACGACTTGGCCTTGCGTTCATTGGGGCAGTCGCCTGGAGGAGAGGAAAGGTCAAAGAAGGCGTCAGCCAATGCTGCGAGCTCTAACCGAGGAATAGAGTACCACTCACGCGAAACGTGACCCTCTTGCGAGCACTTTTGGAGGTGAAATTCGTGTGATCAGCTATGGCTTTCTCAAAGCGTGTTTCTGCAGACAGGGAAGAGCGCGTACGTTGTAGCAAGTGGGGTTGCCGGCCTGGTCGATCAGTGAACGAAAAGGTAAGCAAACGCACAATAGCAATTATCCTAAACGCGATCGGGACATACCTTGGGGCAAGCAGAGGCCAAGTCTGATCACAGACCATCAACCGAACAACATCGACGACAACATCAACGGGCACGCGCGCGCACAACATCAGCTCGACTCCTCTTCTACCCACCACATCACACCACGCCACGCCACACCACACTCGACCTCGACCCCGAGGCCCCCACTTTTGCCCCTCTCTTCTTCTTCATGATGTTGTTGGTTTGAATAGAGGGTATCGAAGCTCCGAAGCGACTCGGGTCTTGGCGAAGAGTCTTGTTCGAAAAGAGGGGCTCGGGGATTGCTCGGAGTGCTCGGTGCACAGGTTGTTCGAAAGTTGGAGAAGCCTACTCACGGCCGGCTGTTTGATGCAGCATTCACAAGGCAGAGACGAGAAAATTGAACGCATCGTTAGCTTTCAACTCGAGGACACGACCACAGCCATTTGTTGGAGGCCATCCATCATCTTTGGGGCGGCAAGAGCGAGTCGTGACCATGTAATAGCGTCAAAAGTGAAGGCCTGTTGCTAGAGCAGCTCCCGACGGTACACGCGCCGAACGGAGGGTGGTTGAAGCATCGCGCACCGTTCCCACGGTGGACGAGGTCGTTCGAGGACCGTGCGAACGACACACTCCGCTCCGCTCGACCCCCGCGCCTACACCGGACCCACGGAGCCGCCGCCAGCCGCCGCCGCCGGCGAAATTTCGCGCGAGGGCGAGGGCGAGGGCGAGGGCCAGCGAACCCGCGCGCAAGCGAGCACACACACCCACGAAATGCGAAACCGCATCTCGCGACAGCCACCCGGGGTGAGGGTGCAGCTGCTACTGCCACTGCCAGCTTCGAGACTCCCACTGCAACAGAACCTCTGCCTCTGCTTCGCTCGAATGAACCGTCACACAAGACGCTGATCGCTTCGTAGTGGTTTCCGCGCTGGATGGCAAGCTGGGGCACAAGCCGGGCTTACGTTCTCCGCAGTTGTACTGCACCGCCAACACACGACACGATAGACAAGGTCAGCAAATGGTCACTATGCGCTACGATTCACTCGATGTATCCACTCACGCAGCCTCGGTTCATAATGATATGTGGTTTTTGGGGTGGAGTGAGGTGGGTTTAGATGGGAAAGTTGGTGGCGAGGGCGAGAGGGGGAGAGCGCGAAGGAGCGAAAGCGGAGCACAGCCTGCCAGGGCCCTGGGCACCTATGCGGGTCAAATTAAGCCTGCCGAAAAAAACTAGGTCGCGCGCAACGCGTTAAGGCAGCTTTTTTGAAATTTGGCCCAGGAAAATGTTGGTACAGGCATGGTATACCATCCCTCGCCCACCGCCCGCGCCCGGAGGCAAAATAGCGGCTAAAAGTAAGTAGTGCACTTGCTACTCGCCTACGCTAATCGGCCCTTTGCCTCAGCACACACTGGCACCCCCCACCCCCCACCTTCAAGCTTCAACCCTCCCTCACGGCCTTGCACCCACCGAAGTCGCTTCAAGCATGGACTCCCTGCGACACACTACCACAAGCAAATCCAGCGTCCCTAGTAGGGAAAGATAAGGAAAAAGAGACCAAGACCAAGCGTAAGAAGTTCACGAGGAGGAAGAAGAAGAAGAAGGCTGACACGATCATCGAGAACGGGGCGACCACGGGACCAGAGGAGGGGGCGAAGAAGAAAAAGAAAAAGAAAAAGATGAGGTCATGGCCTGTGCGAGAACGAGAAAAGGAGCAAGTCTTGTCCCCGGCGAAGAGCGAGGCGTTTGTAAAATCCTCCGGCTACGCTGCTGGCATTGCGGTATAACGATCAAAATCGATCAAGGATGGTATGATAATATTAGGGCTAAGGTATGACTAAGAGCTTTTAAGACACCCAAGGCAAGAGACACCAAAGACTGGGGGTAGAGCCGAGAAGCGAGGTGACCGTCGGAGTTCGAGAACGAAACGCTGAGATCGGAGACTGGAGACGATGCCGAACGAGACCTGAAACACGCAAAGTGAGAGACGAGTAAAACTTTGTATTGGATCCTGGAAGTCTACATGAAAACAAGAAGCGAGCTCCCCTCAAACGTCCCGGACGTTCAAACCGCTGCTCTCTCTTCATTCCCCTTCCGAGTCACCGCTTGATCCGCACATCGGGCCTGGTCTTCCTTCCAATTCCTGCCCTACTGATCCCACTATTGCTCGTCGTTTTCCGAGTCTTTGCGGCGCAAAAGTAAAGGCTCGTGAAAAACCACCTCCTCTTCCTCTCCCTCCAGTAAGCCGTCTTTAGCCTCCATCCTCTCATGGCCGCCGGAAAGGCGCCCAGGTCCAAAACTTGCTGCCGCTACGACTTCTATTAACCTTGACAAGTTGAAATGGAGGATGCGACCGGATCCCGAATACCACAGTATCCACGGCATCCCGACGAGGCGGGACCGAGCCCTCCTCCATCGCCATCGATCCCGAGCCTTGTTTACCTCTGAGGCTGTGGCAGTGCCAGTGCACCCAGGACACGGGCGAACAACAGAAGTGTGCGTGGAGCTTCGGCTTTGGTGTACCGACGTCGCTGAACTTTTTCAGCGAACGACAGCTGATGACTTGCCGAATTTGACTTCGTTTGCCGGCAGCCCTGGTGACTTGCCAATTGATGAGACGGACGACAACACGGACGAAGGAGCTGACTTTGACATGAGTGATCATTCGAGCGACGATTTGAGTCATCGCTCTATCGAAGCCACAGACAACGGTGCATGTAGGCTTGAGGAGTGGGACTTCAATGCAGATGATGATGGCAGTGATGACGAAACTTCATGAAATCTTTAATTGCTGTCTGGAATCGAGGGCTCTTGTTCCAAATGCCTCGATCCAAACAGATGATGCGACTGCGCTCGCGTGCTTTTTCCTTTCTATTAACTATTGTCTCTTCATGTCAGACAATATGACCCTTCCCGGGGAAGTGCAGAGGATTCAAAGTAGCAACCATAAGACTGAGAGGCGACCAACGCTGGCAGGAGTTGGCCACCGTTTAACTGCGCTCTAGCCCGCTTGAAATGGTTACTGCCCAGCAGGAGTGCTGACAGCGGGAAGTCTATCAGGTCAGCTAGAGATCCAGGAGGAAAGCTCTCTGCTGCTGGAGATATGATAAGCGGGCATTCTTCTTGGCTGCGCTTAGTGAGTGCGCTTTCCAATTTCCGCCATTGCGTTTGCCAGTGTTTATAGCGTGCGCAGTCAGGCCAGTCAGATGCCCGAAGTCCGTGCCGGGTCTTTGCTGATACCTCCTGAGATCTCAGCAGAGCTCACATTGCTAAGTATCAGACTCCATTAACCCCCACTTGAATTCTAATGTGTACTTGAACGTAGGCTAAACTGGGCCCATACTCAACCTGTTTTTCGGTGCTTTTCAATGGTGTTGTCTTGGCCACTTTAAGCCACGCAGCCACTAAGACAGTTGAATGTTTGCGTCGACACTGGACTCTCGACATTTCAGATACATGACGACGTACTCAATACTCCTGACCAGATGTTCGTGTATAATCGAACTCATTCTAGTTTGATAGTGAGGAACGAGTTTGACCATACACCCATAATCTCTGTCCCGTGTGCTGAGAAACAGGTGACTTTGATGCCAGTCATGTCAATATATTGCTGTTGCATCCCACTGGTATTCCCGATTATGATTGGTTACTAGTTGTTGATATTAGACGCCTCGCGCGTCTCGAGCCAGCCTCGCGCGCGCTCCCTTAGCGCTTATCTTCTTTCTCCAACTATCTTTACTATCATCATCGGCTCTCGTACTTACGTACTTCGTTCCTCGGCTTCAGCTTGTGAAAGGTTATGAGCCCACCTAGCCTATCAGCGGCGGGCGACCTCGACATCCACGGTGACATGGCACCAACGCCTCCACCACCGTCATCAACGTCGTACCATACCAACGACGTCGCCTCCGTTACCTCCGTCACGCTCACTAAAGAGCAATTCGACGAGCTGATCAGGAACCAGCGCCCCGCACGGGACGACGACGCATTCTCCATGCGTCAGCTCCTACCCCCAGCCAACCCTCCGGTCTTCCCCGACGACTCGAAACTCACGGAGGACAACTACGTTGACTGGGACCTGACCATGTCGGTCACCTTCGCCCGCGAAGTCTGCGCATACCTGCGCAAGGGCACGCACGACCCCTCGTGGCCTCTCGCCTTACGCTCGCGCTGGGAGGATTACGCGGCCCGCGCGCTAGCGGGATCGCTCACCGTCACCACGAAGGCCACCATCGGCCCAATCGTTCAGACGGGCGGCTCGGCGCACGAATGCTGGCTCGCCCTCGCCGCACGCTATGCTCCCAGCGATGCCCAAGCGTACTCGGCGCTGATCAAGGACTATTTTAGCATGCCACCATGCCCGCCCACTTGGGCTGGTTTCAACGCATGGACGAATCGAGCCATGGTTCTCGTCAACCACCTTTGAATGGCCCAGCTAGACCTTGAACAGGCCATCGCGGCCCGGGCCCTTGACGACCTGCCGCACGTCTTCGATGGCTGGCGCACGACGTTCTACGCGATGAACGTTCACGACAACAAGCTGCCGCGCGTCGAACAAATCTTCGCGTCGATGGAGACTGTCGCTCGGACGTTGCGCAACGAGTCGAACCCGGCCCTCGTAGCGAAAGCTGTCGCGCCGACCACAAGCGCTGCTCCCGGCAAAAAGGGGAAATGGGATCGGTCTGGTCCTGCCCCGAGCAACTGCCCGGCTTGCGGTCAAGGCAAACACTGGCTCGACAAGTGTCCGGACTCGCGCAAGCGGGCCAAATACATCGAGCTCAGGAACGCCATGAAGGCACTCAAAGGCGCATCACCATCGACTACGACCACGTTAGTGGCCGCCGCGGAAGCGTCCAAGGATCAAGACTTGTCTTACTTTTCTTCTGCCACGTTCGTCAACATCGGACAACCTGACGTCCTTCTGCTGGACTCGGCGTCGGCGTGCCATGTCGTCAACAACGCGTCTTTCTTTGACGGTCCCCTTTCACCTACCCAGCAAGTCCTGCAAGGTCTAGGGGGAACGGTGAGGGCTTCGGGAATCGGCTCGGTCAAGCTCGTCTCCGATACTGGTACTGAGTTCACCCTCAACGACGTGATCTACGCTCCCGAGAGCCCTGCCAACCTCATCTCGGTCCGGGCCTTCGATAGCAAAGGCGTTCGCATCACCTTCGAACACGGACACGTCGAGCTCTGCACGCCGCAAGGGTGCATCGCCACGGCATCAGCCATCGCGTCCCGCGTTTACAAACTCAACGCTTCAGTCCGCGCTGGCAGCAAAGGTGCGCTACCCTCGCTCGTCTCCACCAAGTCCACTAGGCTACCTTTACTTACCCTTCACCGCCGCTACGGCCACGCCTCTGTCCAGACACTTAAAAAACTGGCGGCCTCCGGCCAGGTGGAGGGTTTGGATTGGCCCTATAGTGACTTCGAGTGTGTAGACTTCTCATGCAACGCCTGCCTTGCCTCCAAAGCCCATCGTTTGCCTTTCCCCTCTTCGTCGTCGCATGCAGCGGAACCACTCGCATTGGTGCACTCGGACGTCTTATCTTTCCCCGAGGAATCCTTAAGCCATAAGCGATACCTCGTCACGTTCATCGACGACTTCTCGAGGAAGACTTGGGTTTACCCCATCGGGCACAAGAGCGAGGTCCTTCAGACATTCAAGGATTGGCTTCTGGAGATCGAAAACGCCACGGGTCGCAGGGTCAAAACATTTCGCTCGGACAACGGGGGCGAGTATGTCTCTACCGCTTTCAACGGCTATTGCGTGGCGCGCGGAATTCGTCGCGAATTGACCATACCGTACACACCCGAGCAAAACGGTCGGGCGGAGCGAGCCAACCGGTCGATCGTCGAGGGCACCCTGGCACTACTGTCTCACTCGGGACTCCCACGATCGTGCTGGGACGAGGCTGCCATGTGTTACATTCACGCCAAGAACCTCTCGCCTCACGCGGCCCTTGGTGGAGCCATCCCAAACGGTCGTTGGTCGGGCCACACACCAGGCGTAGGGGGTCTTCGGGCATTCGGTTGTCGCGCTTGGACCACCGTGCCGGCTCACCGACGGGACAAGCTCGACCCAAAAGGGATTCCTCTGGTCTTCGTCGGGTACGATCGACACGCGAAAGCCTACCGTCTTCTTGACCCTTCCTCCATGCGTGTGAGTCTGGGCCGCAATGTGACGTTCGTAGAAACCGAGTTCCCCTTCGCGATCGCGCCCACCCGAGTGACGCAGCCGTCCATCCCGGGTTACGCCCCCCAGCCTCCACCCGTCGAAGCTCCAACACCTGTCGAGCCTCCCCCACGGCCACCGGCCCCAACGCCTGTCGAGGCACCCGCGTCGCCCGAATCGACCAGCTCGGCCGACAACGACGACGCCTCATCGACCACGAGCACAACGACGGAGTCAGCCGTGACCCTGCCGCAACCACCTCCGGATCCAGCTCCACTCGCCAAAGTCAAGCCGACTTGGGAGTACGGCGACGTCGCCAAGGTTGGTCCCGATCCAGGGAAGTACGGTGAAGTCGACGCTCGAAACATCATTGATGGCCCCCGGACTCGCCGCCAACCCGTTCCCACCATGATCACGCGGGAACAGCCAGTCGACGGCACCGACGGACCCACCGCCTCTTTCAAGAGCCTGCTCCTTGCCTTCGCATCCACCAAGGCCGGCTTCGCAGATCATGACTTGTCGGTTGTTCGCGATCCGGCAAATTGGGGCGACGTCATCCGATCGGGACAAGAGGACGTTTGGGGCGCTCCGGCACAGGATGAATTCGATTCGCTTCTGAACGATTACGAGGTCTTCCAAATCGTCGAATCCTGTGAGCTCCCAGCGGGTGAGATCCTCCTGCGGTCGGGCTGGGTGTTCCGGACTAAACGCAACCAGCATGGCGACATCACCGATCACAAGGCCCGACTTGTCGCTCACGGATGTGCCCAACGCCCTGGCCTTGACTTCGAGAAGACCTACGCCCCTGTCGTCAAATTCACGTCCATTCGAGCCCTCATCGCACTCGCCGCGGCCAACGGCTATCACGTCCATCAGGCCGACGTCAACAAGGCGTATTTACACGGCAAACTTGACAAGCCTCTCTACATGCGCGTCCCTCAGGGCATAAACCTGCCAGGCAAGATCCTCAAGCTGTCCAAATCCATCTACGGCCTTCGCCAGGCCGGCACCATCTGGAACGCTGAGATCGACTCGACTCTGCGGTCCCTCGGATACGTCCCCACCAGGTCTGACATCTGTATCTACCGCCGCGAACACGATGGGCACTCACACTATATTGCCTTGTACGTCGACGACTTGCTTTTGGTTGGTCCCTCTACCGCCGAAATCGAGCGGGTGCTGGACGCGCTGGAACTCGCATACGGCATCAAACGTCTCGGACCTGCCGAATATATTCTAGGCATCCAAGTCAAACGTGGACAAGACGGTTCTATCACACTCTCACAAGAGCGCTACCTTCGGGACATCCTTGCCAGGTTCCAATTCACCGATGCCAAGCCGGCAAGTATTCCAATGCAGCCAGGTGTCGTCCTTGACTTCGAGGACTTGGCGGCCACTCCTCAGGATCGTACGCGCTACTTGCAGGCCATCGGTTCGTTGATGTACGCCGCAGTTGGAACTCGTCCGGACCTCGCCTTCGTGGTCAGCTACCTCGCTCGCTTCTCCAAGCAGCCTGGTCCGGAGCATTGGACAGCCATCAAGCAGGTCCTCCGTTACATCAAAGGCACGCTGGACTTGGGCCTCACCTATCGCAAGACCAGCCAACCACTTCATGGCTACTCGGATGCGAACTGGGGAGCCTGTCTAACGACCTCACGATCGACCATGGGCTACGCGTTCATCTTGTCCGGAGCCGCTATTGCTTGGTGCTCCAAACGCGAGCACAGGGTGGCCAAGTCCACTACCGACGCAGAGTACCTCTCTCTTTCGTACACAAGCGGTGATGCCATCCACCTGAGCGAACTCCTGGCTGAACTTGGCGCTCCGGTCTCCGGTCCAGTCGTACTCTACGGGGACAACCAAGGTTCGCTGGCTCTTGCGCAGCACCCGACCAACCATCAGGGGTCTCGTCATGTTCGCATCTCGGAACATTACGTCCGCGAGAGGGTAGCTGAGAAGGAGATCGAGGTCCGCTACATCGCCACCGGCGACATGTTTGCCGATATTTTCACCAAAGCCTTGGGTCCCAAGCCGTTCATCTTCCATCGGGAGAATTTGGGTTTGCGAGGTGCAGTGGTATGACAGCACGGGGGGGTGTCAATATATTGCTGTTTCATCCCACTGGTATTCCCGATTATGATTGGTTACTAGTTGTTGATATTAGACGCCTCGCGCGTCTCGAGCCAGCCTCGCGCGCGCTCCCTTAGCGCTTATCTTCTTTCTCCAACTATCTTTACTATCATCATCGGCTCTCGTACTTACGTACTTCGTTCCTCGGCTTCAGGTTAGTTAATGTGCAATACCTTTGAACTATCTTTACTATCATCATCGGCTCTCGTACTTACGTACTTCGTTCCTCGGCTTCAGCTCGTGAAAAGTCACACCTGCGCATTTCATGTGCTCTCTGCCGTGTGACCCGATCCGTTGCGTGCTCTCACCGGTACATGTACTACAACATGGTAAAGGCAGAAGGTCAGATTTAGCTATAGACAGAAGAGTGGGGTGTAAACTCCTGAACGAAGATCATTGAGTCAGGATCACGATGTTGTTCTTCGTACTCTACCATTCCTCCTCGCATCAGAGTGCACGAGTGACCGGCGAGCTATTGCAGGCCTCCGACTGTTTCTACTGTCGACCAACGCAGCCTTTGCAGATGAAAGTTCTGGTGGTATCTCAATCGGTCCTGTTTGCTTGAAATCCTCTATGTAAAAACGACGGTCATCACTCGTACTGTAGTGGCACTGAAAGTGACTGGGTTTTTGAGTCAGAGTACCTGGCGCGGGCAGAATCCACCGGTGGTCAACATTGCGATCAAAATCGTCTTGAGCACTCGGGTTTCCAACTGGCAGATATATTTGTGAAATCGAACCTGAGACTTACCAGTCGCCCTCTGTATTGTATTTCCCATCAAGTCGCCCACAGCCTTCTACTGCACTGTCCGATGCTGCGTTGGGTGCGCAGCTGAGGGTCAAGCGATAATGCATGCATTGTGAAAAGTGCAATTTGTCAAAAGTCAAGTCGCACTTCAGAGAATAGGACATAATCAGGTGAAGAGATAATGAAGAGCTATACACCCGAGTTCTGAGACGTCCTACCGAAAATGTCACCCCCCTGTGTGCTTCGTGTCAACTATCGAGATGCGGAACAATGACAAAATGATCATTGGTTAAGATGTGAGGCGCGAGAGACAGCGATGAGGTCGTGTTTGGACAATGTGTAGGATTACTCCCAATCGAGCATTGCGGAAGAACAAGAACAGGAACATGAACAAGAAGAGGGACCAATCATCAACCTGAAGTGAGGAGCATTTAGTCACCCAGTGTGCGTCGACGCGTCGATGTGCTTAGGCCAAGGTCAACGTGAGGGAGGGAACCGTGAGCCCCCTTTTTTTATCTAATAAACTTCAATAAAAGCAAGTGACCAGCCAGCTTTTTGGTCCCAATACCATTAATACCATTTAAGCCCCAGTTGGGCCCAATACGACTCGGCTAAAGGAAATTCCCATTCTTCGAGATCCGAAGCTCCGAAGCTGTCCTAGCCAGTGTGCTTAACTGCATTCCATCCGAATTTTCCAAAGGTTTTTAGGAATGTAATTCTACTATGCATATCTACATATCTACATCTACATAAAATAATGCACGACTTAAATAAGGTTCTCAGCCCCGCGCCCGCGCGCCGATCTTTCCACCCCCCCCACGTTCCGGGAGGTGCGGACGGAGCTCGCAACGACCTTCATTTACACAGGGAGGTGGGCGCTCCGCGCCCCCCGAGCCCTAGTAATTATAATATTATTGAAATCTATCAAAAAAAAGAGGGGGGGGGTTTAGTAAGTAGTGAGTGAAGAAAAGCAGAAATTAGGAGGGGGGGCGGGGGGGGGGGGGGGGGGGCAGAAGGTCAATACAGCAGCTATCTTACCTGTGCAGATTACTTGGTTGTATCCTCCATCTCGTCAGCGGGTGGTCTTGGGTACAACAGCTATATTGCATTTCGGTTCGGAATTTGACTCTTGGGAACATTGGTAGGAATATTGGTATTGTCTATAAGGATAGGTCTAACACCTTATAAGCTTTCGCTTCACGGCTGGTGGGATGCCCAGAGAGGTGCACCGTGCCAGGGTGGGCGAGGAGGGCGCACCAATGGTATACCATCCCTCTACCAAGCTTTCCCCGGGCCAAAAACCAGAAAAGCTGCCTTATCGCGTGTGCGCTCACGAGTTCATTTGGCTGGCTTACTGGACCTGCCGATCTGGCCCAGGGTGAGACATTTCGATGGGGAAAACGGGTTAATTGATTACAAAGCCGCTGCCATTTCTCATTACGATTTACCGATCCCAGATAAAGATGCTATTGCGATGGGAAAGAGTACTGACACAATACACAAGGTGTTTTACTAAAAAAATGCGTAAGAATAGAATTTGTTCCCGACTGTCACACATCTCAGCCGTATCTCTGTTCAAGCCACGCGCCGTAAGATTTTCACCGCCAAGTCAGCAATCGAAACGGAGCGATCGCCACTCATGTCCTCAATCGAGACTCACCAACCCATTCCCATTCGATCTCAGCCGTTGTTGCCCCATCCAACTTGCAGGTTGGGACTTGGTATGCCCAGCGTTGGCGACGCCTTCGCGCATCGTGCACATCCCAAGCTCGTGCCAGGCCGAGAGCATCAGCTGTTGCTCGCGTCGGTACCGGGCTTCGACTTCGGCCATATTGTTCTTGTTTCGATGACCAAACGCGGACGGTCAGTGGCTTTACATCATCAGTCAAATCTCAAAACGCGCATAGAACTCACCTTCTGCCGTTCGAGGTCCTCCTTGAGCTGAGCAATCTGGGACCGCTGAGCTTGCTCGGCTTCCTCGCCCATGCCCTGCAGGTTGGTTCGTGAACAGCTGGAATGGTCAGTCCCGTTCGCTCACATCTGACGTTCCAAAAGTTTCGGAACAACCTACATTGATCGCAGCCGCGTGCCGTTCCCTCAACAGCTTGTCCTGATTCTTGATGAACTGTGTGGATCACACCTTAGGTTTAATTCGGTGCTCGCTCAAGCTCGAAACAGCCTCGAATGCCGACTCACTGCTTTGGCCTTGAGCAACTTCTCCTTGAGATCCTTGACCTCCGCCGCAGCTTTATCGTTCTCCTCTTGGAGCGCGCCCACACGGGCTCGATCCTCCTCGGACATGTTCTTGCTCATCAGTGACGTCCGCAGGTGGCTAAAAAATCAAGTGGAGCGAAGCCGCTTCAGCGGTCACACCCTGTCGATGCCCGGGCAATTCAGACTTACCTCGACTCCTTCTCCTGTTCCAACATCTGCTTTCGTTGGCTGATGCCGTCATTTTGCATCGACACCTTGTCCATGAGCAAAGTATTGACCTGCGCGTTAGAAGCACTCGGCGTCAGTCTCCAGTTTCGCGAGCTTCCGAGCTTGGAGGTCAGTACCAACCTGGCTCATTTGCATCTGAACCTTGTCCTCAGCATCGCGCAAGGAGGTTTTCAGCCGTTCGACTTCGGCCGTCAAGGCTTCCTTTTCGGTCGCCACCGAGGCTCGCAACGATTTAAGGATGTCGAGTTGGTCCCTATTGACGAGTATCACTGCGGTATGAAACTCATGTCAGCTGATGTCAATCGAGGAAATGAAAAGAGCAACAACGTACAGTCGGACTTGGCTATTGTGTGTTCGTCTTTCAACTTCGCGTACTCGACATCAAGCTTGGCGCGATCGTGTCGTAACCGCTCGAGCTCTTCGACCGTTTCGTTCAACCGCATCCGCAGTGCGATAGCGGCTTCGGGACTGTGTGCATAACCGAAAGGTCAAATACTGGCTCCCTCGAAGCAAAGGTTTGACCCTTCCGGGTACCCACCCATCGCCAAGCCTCGATTTTCTCGAAATAATCTCCTCCAACTTGGCCTCGACGCCCAATCTCTCGCGATGGCCACGGAGATAATCCATCTCATACTTGGCCTTGGTCCGATTCGCATCCTCGAGCAAGTTCTCGAGCACGACGACGCGCGAATGTTCGGCCGAGTTCGTCATGGCCTCGTTGAGTTGGCGCTTCAACTTGCGTACTTGGAGCTTGAGGTCCGTCATCGTCGTGCCTCGGAACGCATCATCGAGCTCGCCTCTGACCTCGAATGAATCTTCATCGTCGTCCTCGGCCACGACATCCTCTCGAGGTGCCTTGCGAGGTGTCGGCCCCGCTTCCAGCTCGTGTACTCGCTCCTCGTACAACCCGAGCGCTTCACGATCCATGTTCTGTTTCTCCTGCGCGATTTTGAGTTTTTCCGTCGCGCGTTGGATCTCGAGCCGCAGCTTGTCGTTTTCCTTGGTCAGGGTCGACGATTTCCCTTCGAGGGTGTCGATCTTGTTCTTGTACGAGTCCATCAAGGGCTTGAACGCGGCGAGCTTGGCATGTTCTTCCTCGAGTGTGCCGTACCGATCTAGAAGATCAGAATTCTGCTCTTCCAGCGTCTGCATTCGGCGGGCCGAACACCGAATAGTCAGCTTCATTATCCCCTTCCCGAGGCAACCGGCGGAAAGCTACCCTACCCTGAGCGACTTCCTCAGATCCGCGGAGTCTTCCAACTTCTTCTTGTACTTCTCAATCACATTCTCCGCCTTCTTGGCCTTCTCCACCGCATGACGATATTCGTCCATCTGGTCCTTCAACTTGGTCGCCTCCGCCGCCTTGGGTTCCAAAACCTCGACCCTGGTCTGCAACTCCTCGACGATCCTCGACTGCTTTTCGACAATCTGTTCCGCTTCGCTCAGTTGATCCTCGGTTTGTTGGAGGGCCTGTCGCATGCGATCGAGTTCGGCTTTGTAGCCCGCGTCGGCGCGTTCGGCCCTGTTCGCTTCGACGACGGCGACGGCTTCGTTCGCTCTTACCTCGGCCGCCGCGACGGCCGACAAAGCCTCTTCATGATCCTCTTGCAGGGTCCGATGGGCCCTCAAGAGTTCCTCATAAACGATCTGCAAGGCGTCCTTGTCGGAAAGCAACCTCGATCGATCCTGATGCAGCGCGTAAAACTCGCTGTCCCCATCATCATGATCCTCATCGACGATGGCTTCCCTGTCATTCAGCATCTCCGAGCTCGGCAAGGGAGGTGTCTTGGTCTTGATCCGACTCATGACCTGCTCGATCGAGATCATCAGTTCACGTTGGACCCATTCGTCGAGCGATTGGATCTTCTCGACGTAGAATTGACGCTTCTCGGAACAGACGGCCAGGGCGAGTACGAGGCCGGCGAGACGACAGGTTTCGACATCACTCGTGGGATCGGATTTTGCGATGACTTGGAGGTTGGGAGTAGGAAGAGAAACCGTAGGCGAGCGCAAGACATCCCTGTACAGAGCAGAGTCGCACGCTCAGCAACTTTCGTCTCCGACGCTCGAGCCCCAGAAGTGGGGGAGGGGGAAGGGGGCGCGTGAACTGACTCGTAGTAGCGGATCAAGAGCTTGTACAGCCTCTTGAGGTTGTTGAAGCGCAAGACCCAGTTCTCGGATAGCGTTTTCTGCTTCGTCGTCGTAGCGAGGGGTCGGAAGTAGGCCGGATCACTGAAGGAAGGTGGAGAGAAGGTTAGCGCGGATCTCGTAGAAGACTCAAAGTAAGCCTATAGGAGTCTCGGAAGGTCGGGTTGTAATGGCGGGCGCTTGCAGCTTGATGCGAAGCATATCGTCCATGTCGTATTGGTCGAGGTCTTGGAGGTGATCCATGCACCATACACTCCCCCCTGACCCCACTCGCACATGGTCCGAAGTTGACCAAACAATCGCAATCCAGCTCGTGTTGTATCGTCCCCTACGCCTACTTCTCGCCCAGACCACAACCACCAACTCCAAACAGCAAAGCACCCCAGAACGAACAACTCACACCTCCCCTACAATCTCCCCCAATACGACCCCATCATTCAAATCATTCAAGCTCCTCACGACGCGTCGCCCTGCCCCACCGCGCTCGCCCCCTCCGTCGACATCATCCGCGTCAGTCCGGTTCGAGCTGGGCAATGTCGACGCGAGCGAGTTGATCCAGATGACGATGGAGGGTCCTAGTTGTGGTGAGGGGGCTTGGAGGAACGACATCGCGGCGATGAAGGGGGCCCAGCAGCGATGTCGTCAGTACAGGAGGGTCGTCGAGCTGCGAGACGGAAGGAGACGGAGGAAAGAGCGCCCGAGAGCGCCAGGCACGGGCGCAGCGGCCGTGGCCAATATTTAACGCTATGGAGAACATCGCAAAGGTGTGGTTACAAAACTGGGAGAAATCCAACGACATGTACAGAATAAGATAAAAACTCAGTGGGTGAATTAACATATGTAATAAGGAGTGCATGCCCAGCGAAGTCTTCCTCCATCTTATAACTCGGCATCCATCGTCGATGGATCCTCCGCGACGAGCTGGGCGAGTTGAGCCGAGATATCAACGAAACGATCCAATTCTTCCTCGGAGAAAACACGCGTCGCATCCTTGGTATACCCCGCCAAGACCCAGCCCATGCCCTCCCGCTCCGCGACGGGCAAAAGGATCCCCGACGCGAAACCGGGGCCCTGGAACTCTTCATTCGGACCGAGCGTCGCGATAGCTGGGTTACGATAGAGCAACCCCCCTTCGGCGGCTCGGAGTGCTTTGAGGTGTAATGCCGAGTCGAACGAAGGCGTCGTGGCCGGCGGATTGTGTGCAGAGAGGAGTGCCAGCGCGTGGGGCCCCTCCTCCGAGAGGTTCGACATCGAGACGAGGTACACGAGCGAGAGCGCAAGACGATCGCCAAGCGACTTGATCGCCGAATCAAGCAACTTTTGATGAGGCGTTCGAGGTTGCGGTCGTGTCTTAGCCGATGGAAACGTCTGGCGGATGAAGGTCGGGGAAACGTTCTGAGAACAAGCAGACGACTCTGGACTGGAAGTGGCAGGGTTGACCTCGGGCGACACCGCCGATCGGCGAACGTCACGAACCGGGATCTCGGGCTTGGTTCTCGGCTTGATCTTTTGACTGCGGCCCGTGTGGAGATGGCGTGCGGTCTCTTCTTCGGGCGTTGGAGGAAGGGCCTGGGGCACATGGCTCGACAGCGACCCGGCCGTGTATGTTGCTGGGTCGTTGGTTCGGCACTTGAGCGCAGGCTTAATCGAGGACACAGACGCCGGCGACTGCATAATCTTGCTGGGACTCGAGTTCGGGAAAGTCGAGGCAACTGGCGTCTTGAGCCCGTTCCAGTCGGTGTACCCCGATGAAGGCGAGGGTTCGTCAAACGCAACCTGCTTGACCTGATTGTGCGACAAGTCGGCCATCGAGGACGAATGTGATACCACGGACGAACGCAGCTCGGAGAACCACGCCTCGATCTCGACCGAGACATCGCTCGCGAGAGCGCGTAGCTGTGCACGCTCCGACTGCGTGAACTCTGTTCGAGGACGATCGTCGAGTAGACAAAGGGTTCCGATCGGAAGCCGTCCGCCGGCTTCTTCTTCCAGTTCGGCATTGGAAGGTGGATATATGGGCATCCCAGCATACAGACGCGCGTTGACCGAAACTGACAGGATATTGTTTCGGAACCTGGGGATGGCAGCCATGGGGGCTCGTTAGTCTCTCTCTCCAACAAAAAAAAAAAAAAAAAAAAAAAAGGCAACTCACCTCCAATCTCGCTGCGTGTCAAGGACGACAAGACCTCTCTCGCCATTTAGGACGGTGTGAGCGCAGAAAGTGACCTCGCGAGGAAGCGATTCAACGCCCTTAGGCATTCCCGTGGCGGCCAAGAATCGCTGCTTGTCTTCGAGCAAGACCGTCACGAGCACGATCCTGACGCCGAACGTGTTCTTCGCCCGCCTCAAGATCGATGCGAGTGATGGGTGATTCGCAAAAGAGAGGCAGGACGGCGGTTCTGGCACGTCGTTGGACCCCGCCGAGTTGAGGAAAGCCGGCGTCGATTCCGAGCTCGTGGCCGAAACAGATGATTGCGCAGTCGAGCCATTCGATGCGCGGCGGTCAAACAAGGACGAGTTTCGATCTGTTCCTTGAGTAAATTGCGAAGACGAGGAGCTGGCTATCGGTGTCACCATCCTGGACGCTGTTCGGGCACTTGTGATCTCGGTGGGACCGAACAGCTCCAGGCGCGCGATCATCTTTTGCCGCACCGATTCGAGCGGCTGGTTCGGGGCCGAGAGTTTGCCTTCCTCAGCAGGGTTGCGACTCGAGCGGGAACTTGCATGCAAGCTTGGGAACGTATTGCTAGCCATTGGAGGCGGGGGTCGGGGTGGATTCTCAACGTCCATACCACCCTGCTCGGAAGGGATGATCAGACCCAGGTCAGAAACCACACAGCGCAGAGAGCCCACAAGTTGTTCAAAGCGCCCCCGTGCGACAACTCACGTTCGCATATTGCTTGATCCAGTCATCCCAAACTTGAGGAACTTCAACGGGCGAGGTCGCACTGTCGAGACGGCCTGATCGATTCGGGTTCGGTCGCGACAATTGCAGTGTGATCGGCTTGGGCTCCGGTCGCGAGTTCTGCCGCCGAGGTCCACGCCAGAAGGCGCTCGACAAGCTCTTCTTTCCCCACGAGAGACCCTTGCCGGAGCTGGTAGAAGAGTATCCCGAGTATTCTGAGTTGCTGGTGCTATCCAGCTCGTAGCTGCGCTGCGACGAGATATTGCTACTGCTGCTTCCATTCTGCAGGATCGAGTAAGAGGAAGAGGGCCGACCGTTTACCGAGTAGGACGCGGGGCGTGACGAGCTCGAGGTCGAGGCAGCGCGTCGAACCGTGGGTGGAGACGTCGATAGAAGCCACTGAGCGGCAGCGGGGATCGAGGAGCTCTGGTCGATTCGAGCCGATCTCGGAAGCGAGCTGGACGGTTGGGGATGCGTCGGGAACGCGTTGGAGCTCACGAACGCCTGCAGCGACTCCTCGTGGCCGAAATCGTGTTGGCCGAGGTAGTCGTCGGCCTCGGTCTCAATCGAAAGGCCCGGCGGAGGCGAGTAGGTTGCATTGCGGTACATGCTGTTTCCAGTGGTCGACGTCGACGCTTGCGAGTGGATACTGATCGCATCCGAGACGGATCCAGCACCTGAATGGTGCGAGCTGCTGCCTGCACCACCGGCGCCGACGTGATGATGATGCGGCGCCACTTCTCGGAGAGGCGAGCCTTTGCCATTCGCCGACGACGTGGTGTGGCCGTTCCCGTGCCCGATCAGAGCTGCGACCGGGGGTAACAGCTTGCCTGGGAATATGTGTGAAGACGGGTTGTAGGTCATGGTCGCCACCGCCGTCATACGCGACCTCCCGCTCGATGCCGTCGACGATGAGGACGACGAAGTCGAGTTGGACGAGCGACTTTGGGGTGCCTGGGCCAGGGCCGACGACAGCAGCGGCGCCTGCGACTGCTGGGTGCCGCGCGTCGAAGCCGCCGATTGACTCCGCGCGAGCTGCGATGTCACGTAGGATGCTGGGGAGGAGTGGTGGTACGGCGTCGACTCATGGTGGTGGGGCATCGCAGCCTGCCGATGGCTGGATCAAAACGCAAAACGAACTGGGATTCGAGCAATAGAATGGGCTGAGGACGAGCTGTTGGTGTGTGACGGTGACGAGGGAGCAGCTGAGCGCTTCAATTGGTGTGCGGTCTTTTGGAGCATGAATGCATGAGCTGAGACGGCCGAGGACGGCGGCGCCGGTCGAGCCGAGCTCGCGGCGCGACAGACTCTCTGCATACAACTCAATCTGCCAGCGGCTTCGGAAGGACGTCTCGAGCCTCAAGGGCTCCGACTCTACACGCACGAGCCCCATGAACTCCGACTCTATACGTACGAGCCCTGATCATTTGCAATCTTCACCCTTTGACCGCAATTGTCACATGCAACCGATACCGGGTCCCAAGCTGGTCGGCGTCGGTAGTACACTGTACTGGGCTTCGCTTATATTGGTAAACAAAGGCCACCGCATATGGGATATGTAATGACTAGTGAATACAACGAGGTACTAATGGAGAAGGCAACACAGAAGACCGAGTACAGCCCCTTTCCAATGATTGATAACTAATGCCGGTGAAAGTACATCGCCTTCCAAAACTAAATCTAGCGACGCGAGCTCCTGTGATTGCTCCTCACAAGCCAACAGCGATCTGCGACCCACTCACGCGACCCAACTTGGTGACGTACGTCTCGAGCTGCTCCGAGAACCTGACAAAGTAGGTCAAGTCCTTTTGCTCAAAGTTACGCGTCGCGTCCTTGCTGTAACCCGACAAGACGTAACCAGTGCGTCGAACTTCCAGCACGGGGATGAGGAGACCTCCACTGTAGCCCGGTCCAGCGTCTTCGGGCGAGTAGCGAGGGTTTGAGTACAGCATACCACCTTCGGGGGCACGCAGGGCCTTGAGGTGCAATGCAGGGTCGAAGGTGGGTGGGGGCGAAGGCATTCCGTATGCGGACAGGACGCGCAGCGCAGAATGCGTGTTGGTGCCCGAGTTGAGCGCCGCCACGTCGAGTGAGACCAAATACACGAGGTCGAGCGCCAGGGCCTTGGCGAGCATACGAGTCGCCTGGTCAAAGACCTTCTGCAGGTCCTTGGGCACGGCAGTGACGGGATCTTCGCTCGTCACGGCAAGCGAGAGCGTGTTGAAGCCGGACGGACGGCGAGCGACGGGGCGGTCCGACGTGAACGAAGACATGCTCGAGGACGAGTCGGATCCCTTGCGAGCGTGTGCATGAGTGTATCCGTGGTTGCGCGACCCCTTGAGCGAATCGGGAGGGGTAAGCGGCAACGAGACCTGGGGTGAGGATTGGAAAACTGCAGTGGGTCGGGGTCGATGCTCGGCACGAGGAGGTCGGGCGACAAGACGCGCAGGAGCAGCAAGGTGGGCAGGTTCGGCAGGAGCAAAGTTAGGGGCAGAGTTTTCGAAACGGGCTTGCTCGACGGGTATCGACGGTTCAGCCAATGCGTCCTCGAACGCGATCTCCGACTCAGACTCGGGCGTGACTTGCGCCTCCGTTTCGACCTGTCGTGCGACTGCGGGCTCTCCTGCCTCGGGTTCCGGAGCAGTCTCGACGGGGGTCTCGCCTTCGGCCTCGACTTCGGCCGGGGCGGGCAACGTCGCAGTCGATCGCGCAAACGAGCTCTTGAGTCGGGTAAGCTTCATGCCCATTCGCTCGTTGACCCACGTCTCGATGTGCGTCGACGCCTCGACGGCGAGCTTCTGCAGCTCGGCGCGTTCATTTTCGCTGAAATCGGCGCGAGGTCGATCGTCGACAGCGCAGAGCGTGCCGATAGCGACGTTTGGTGCATCTGGGTCGCCGAAAGTGGGCGCGAGAAGAGGGACACCGGCATAGAAACGGGCTCCCAGGGCTGACGTCGGGAGCGAGTTGGCGAACCTAGACATCGGTGAATGTGTGGGGTCAGCTTCGATCGAAAATGGTATCGATCCCTCTTCGTCTTTATTCAAACTCACCTCCAGTCATTGAGTGAATCGAGAACCACCATACCGCGCTCTTCGTTGAGGATCGCATGAGAGCAGAACGTAACGGCACGTGGGAGGGCGCCACCTTGTTCGACAGCTTCAGGCAGACCGCCCGTGGCGAGGAAAAGCTGCTGCTCTTCGTCCAGGACGGTGAGCATGCCCACGCGAACGCCGAAGAGCTTTTGGCACCTTTGAACGATGTCGCGGAACGCGGGATAGTTTTGGAGCGAAGTGACAGCAGCAGCGGATTCACTCTCGATGTCTGGGGGCATGAAGCTCGTCGCAGCGGAAGTGACGGAGGTGTTGCCGTACGAGTGTCGACGGAGCAGCGAGTCCGGGCCGGCGGAAACAGGGCGAGAGTTGGTGGCCGAAGTGGAGGTCGATGCCGGCATCGAAATGGCCAGCGTCGACGTGGAGGCGTTCGCTTGCTTGTTCTTGGTTGCGAACAGATCGAGCTTGTCGACAACGGCTTGACGCTCGGACTCGTTGTAGGGCTTGGGGGCCATGTACGACTTTGCCTCGAACGGGGTTGGGTCGGCCGCATCCGTGACCTCGCGCACTGGGGGCAAGGGAGGGTCTTCGATATCGATCTCGTACTGTCAGGTCGATAAAATAATGGGATTCAGAAGCTGAGGACGTATCAGCACGAGCGCCGCCCGGCTGTAAGAAAGCTCAAGCTTACCTTGGCGTACGCCTTTGAGTATTCTTCCCACGTCTTGGGCAATTCGTTCGCGGGTGTCTTGCTCGAAAGTTTACGCCTGATAGTTTGGACGATCTTGCGAGATGCGTAGATGACCTGCTCGGCGATTGTAACTTTTTTCTTCTGTTGCAGAGAAATCGTCCCCTCCGCGTACGTCGCCGTGGCGGGGGAAGCGATGAACGAGGGCGCGGAGATGTCGCGCGTGGCGATACGCGAGTGTTTCGCAGGCGAGTTTTGCAACCCGAACGACGAGAACATGCGACGGATCGACTTGAGCTCGCCTCCGCCGTTCTTCTTCGAAGAGGAGCGCTCCTGCCTGCTGCGCATATCTTGCATGCTCCAGTGGGGTGCGGGGGTGGGGGTCGACGACAGCGACGACGGGGTGCGGAAAGCCACGGTGCTCGAGGGAGCGATAGGGACGGCCATGTTGATCGGAGCTGAGGGGGAAGCGGATGAAGAGGTGGAGGCCGGATCGAATTCAGTAGATACGTAGGGGTTCTTGAGGGATCGACGATCGGCCCTCCGAGGGTTGGGTTTGACGAAGGTGGTGCGCGTAACGGAACTGTCTGGGGTTAGGTGATGTTGCGAGCCGGCGGGCTCGGGCACTCGGAATTGATCAAACGGAAAGGTCGTGGCGTAGAAGACACTGTTGAGCAGACTCATTCAACCACACGGGTGGGAACTCGTATCTGACAGAGAGCAGTCGAGACAGATGAAGGACAAAAGACGACATCACGCGAGCCGATCAGACAGCACCGTTTTTCTTTATCGCCCTGAAACCCGAAAGTGATGAGGTGAGACGGTTCGGGGCCGAGCGAAGCATCCGCTGCCAATCGTTCAATTCAAGATCGACGCTGCGGCTTGTCGATCCGAAGGCGCAGCTTATCTTCGACCGACATCTGTTCTTGTATTCGTCACGGTCAGCCGGCGACCTCGGTCCAAGTTACAGTCAAACTGCAGTGACGCTCCGCAGCTGCTTGATCTCAACCAGAGACTCTTAACCGATTGCACATGCTACGTGACAAGAAAGCTCCATACATCGTGAGGGGAAATAGGGGTACGAAGCTCCCAGAAACGTGCTCCGAGACCGACAAGCCTCGGGTGGAGTGTCTCTACAGACAAAGACAGTGACCGGACTCCGGCCGCCAGTGACGCGAGGCCGAAAGTTTCGAGGTGAAAGCGCGTCGCGACGCGTTTCCTTTCAGACGTCAAACCTTGGCGCGCCCAACGCGTGCCAGTTAATTGATGTTTCACCCGCTTGGCGTCCTCGCCCGGGGCCCACCTCCGCGCAGCGCGACGTCGGCGGACGAGCAGGCTCCAGGATCCAGGTGCCTAAACACGCGCGCGCACTCACGACATTTGGCAATTCGGTCGGGAAAGACTCGATGGGTGCCGAATCAACCACTCTATTGGCACACAAGTCTGGATCGCAAGCAGGGTCGTCTCGTCCAAAGAGCCCTGTCTCGGCAAACAGGATCGGTGGCTGCCCAAATTCCCGTGCGTAGTGGCGAATCTTGCGCCGGCCCTGCCGACTGTGGTCATTTGAGGAAAATAGACAAGGACGTGACAGGAACGGGACTTCGCCGGGCGCGGCGACCTCCGAGTGACGGGTCCACACTTGGTGACACATCCCGCGGTGCCAGGAACAGACAGCCCCTAGGTACCCAAATCGTCCAGACGCGGTCCCCCTCCCTTGACCAAGCGCCGGCTCCCCATCGCTCGAATGCCGACGTTAGCTTTGGCAACTTTAGCGTGCCTGCACCGAAATTCTGACGGAGTGTCAACGGATTTTGTGTTGTACGCAGACTGGTCACACTTAGTAGTCCCACTCAAAAACCCCAAACGACCGTCCGAGCGCTTCAAATTCTGAAGTTTAGACTTTGTGAAATCGCTCGCGCCTTCCTCTTTGGGTTAGGCTCGATCGCGATCGCTTCAGTTTTTGAAAAGCAAACGCGTTTGAGGCGCTTTCAAAAATCCGACCTCAAACCTCGGATTTTGGGACAGATCTGTTCACTTTTCATTTTATTTCGTGATGTAGATTGTGAAGGTCACGTGAAACGCCGAGCGCCCGTGCCCCCTATTAAAAAGTTGTCGCGCTCATTTCGTGAAGTTCGCCCGTGTTGCCCCGCCGAGTACGCTCCGCCGAGTACGCCCCGCCGGATAGGGCCTTTCTTCCACCATGTCAACGTACACTACCTTACAGGTGAGCGCTCAACTCTAGCACGCGACGCGGAGATTGGCCGAAGCCAGATGTTGTTAGACGCGCTCGAGCTTCGCGCTTGGACCTCCTCTTCCAACGTTAGACTTCCCGAGGCCGCGATTAGCGCTGCAGCGCTGCTCACTTTCCTCTAATAAAGGCGAAATTGACGCTCTGCACGCCGAGTAGTACGAGCGGGGAGTGGGAAACGAAAATGCAAAAGGAGAAGACGTGCCGGAGGGATGTCGGAAAGGAACCCCTAAGCCAACGAGTCGCGGAAGGACGCGGCGACAGACGCTCCTATTCCGGTTTATCGCGTGACGCGTCTTCGTCTACATGTCAGATCACTTGCGCACGGACCGTCCGCCTCATTTTTGAAAGGCAGAAAAGGTTGCCGCACGTGAATTTGCAACGTCCGCAGAAACTCGACCATGACGAAAATCGCTTTCATTTATTTTCGAATTAGGCTTTCTCAGAAAATGGTTCGGCGCGCTTTCTCTACGGGGTTTTTGAGTGGGACTAGTAACTCTACTCGCGAGCCAGACACAGTTTGCTGTCTTTGTTATTTATTTTTTATTTGATAGATTTCAATAACAGTATTATCATATTAACCTGAAAACCTTTGGAAAAGTCGGAGGGAATGCACTGGCTAGGCCAGTAGTGTAGGACTCATTGACCCTGAATCAGAATCAATCATACCCACTAAAACCCCCTTGGGTGGTTTAAAGAGACAGAAGGAGACCCTTGGACTCCTGAATTGACGCCCGGAGCTCCTCGAGTGCCGTTTCGGTGATCGGTTCGAACAAGATAATGATCGGAAATTTTGGAGGCCTCCAAAGGCGCAGTATCGTCATGTTCTGTCCGGCCGTTTCGAGTGGTCCCACCGGAGCCACCTCTTAAATTCACCTTTCGTCGCTCATGCCATCTGGGTCAGATGGTACAGAGTTGAAGCTAGTAGTGGTTCCAATATTTATCCATAATTCTCTAGTACAGAGCAAGATGATACGATGCCAAAAGATAAGCCAAGTCGTTCAGAGAGCGAGCCTTCACCCGCACATTCAAGCTCTCCAACATGTCGTCGATTACGAACGCACCCGGACATAACCGCGCTATTAGCTCGTCACTCTGGGCTTCCCGCGTTCGGGCCATTGCCATACTCTGTTTACCACATCTTTCGTTCCGAATCGAGCAGGTGTCCAACTCGCGGCGATCTCCATACCCATTCAATCTCGCAGGCAGCGTGACCAACGCCTACCCCGGTGGTGCTGGTGGTGCTAGCGGAGCTGTTGGTGCTGGCGGTCCTGTTGGTGCTGGGGCTGGCGGCCCTGGCGGTGCTGGTGCTAGCTGTCTTGGTGCCGCTGATGCGGGTGCGAACGTGTCTGGCAGGCCCACAGGACCTAGTGGCCTCTTTCGGCCGCGAACTCTACAGGAGTCTCATGACGGGAGCATCGGACTCCCATAAGAAGTCATTCAGTTCCTACAACGTCACCACGTCCCACTCTCGTGCCAGTTTGGTTTCGGCCCACTCGGACTCGCCCGTCACCGTCTCGTCGAAGTTGTTTGACATCGCGTCCAACGCGTCCACATCAGAAGCGATCCCCATCGCCGGTGCGGCCGTCTTTCCTCTACAGACACTTCTTCATCAAACATATATCCTGCGGACCCTTCTCAACGGGACACGGCTTTTCCTGGTCATATGGTTTCAGACGCTTCTTCCTCGGTGAGACCCCGTAGGTCGGCTTTGGACAAGCTCTCCGCTTTTCCTTCCATCACAGATTTACGAGCGGCCTTGACCGGTTTCGTTACGCCCGTCAACGAGTCAACCCTGATCGATGGCACTCGGCAGTGGACCGCCACGCCAGCACTGCGCTCTCGGATTCCCACCACCCACCCAATCGCTTCCCACCCACCTGCCCAACTCGTCGGCTCGCACCCCATCGACGCCGGCGCCGGCGCGCGGGCCTATCTCGCACCCTCTCATTCGCCGGGGCCGTCATCGACAACTGAGCGGTGTATCGACCACAGAATCAATCTTACGCCTTTTACTTAAAATTGCCGTTGTTGATGCACGCCAACGCTCTTAGTCCAAATCTTTCTCCTTCCCCTCCCTCCCTCTCCGGAGTGACTTTTTTTTTTTTTTTCAAATAAAAAAAAACACATAAGGACGGCTTTTGGGCTCACGTCGGAGGCACTCTGATCCCACATCGGAGGCGACTTTGGGATCCGAACTCTTATAACTTGGCGAGTTCGGCCTCACACAACTGGTGCAGCTCATCAGCTCGAGCAGGATCGTTGGACTGGGGTGTCGGGCGTCCGACGCGGCCCCAAGGTTGGTAGTATTTGCCGTTGATTTCTTCAGGCGTGAGGATCGTTCCAGTGTTAAGCTGCGTAAGGGCACCCATTGTCAAGGGGTACGACATCCACCTCACGATGCTAGCCACGAAGTCGGGGAGATGTCGTTGCAGCTCCGAGTTGATCATGCCGGGATGCAGAGAGCAGGCGACGATGTCACCGGCGTACTCTCGCCCCAAGTAGTTGGCGTGCGCGATGTTGCCCGCTTTCGACTGACCGTAGAGTGCACTGTATAGAAACAATCTCGTTAAAGTCTGTTCATGTATTACGGCAGGATCCTGTGGGTGTGCGGTGTGCTCTCACCTCCTGGCGCCGTATTCTCCCCACTTCTTGATAAGCGCATCTCGCTTCTCGCCGCCGACAAAGGAATCGACCTCCCAAACCTTGTTGGGGGCGCTGGTAGGAGCATAAGCGTGCGCCAGAGACGACGTGTTGATGACACGACTCGGTGTACCCGAAGCCGACTTGGATGCCTTCAAGGCAGGGATCTGAGGGACCAGGGTTGAAAATTAGTACCGAATTTTCACGGTGCGCCTCGGCGTATACTCACAAGCAACTTTGTGAAGTAGTATGGCCCGAGGACATTGGTGCCCCATTCTGTACAAATCATTAGAGCGATCGTAAGTGACCAGAACAACGTCCGTAAATCCGAAAGCCACTCCAATCATGGCTTACGCAGGTCGTAGCCGCTCTCGGTGAGCTGGCCTGTCGGCGGAGTCATGACACCGCTAGATTGCCAGGTCGGCCAAGGAATCAGTCAATCAGCCATTGATCAACGCTGTTATGTTAGGGTCCTACCTCACTCACGCATTATTGAACAACACGTCGAGCTTTTTCTCCTTACTCAAGAATTCTTCGGCGCTCGGCTTGATCGACGCCAGATCGCCGAGGTTAAGCTTGAGGAAGATTGCCTCTCTACCGGTCTCTTGTTTGAGACTGGCGATTGCCTTCTCGGCCTTGTCTTGGGATCGAGCGGCGAGGTAGACCTTGGCATTCTTCTTGAGAAGCGCCTTGACGGTTTCGTAGCCGATGCCGGCGTTGCCTCCGGTGACGATTATGACCTGCCAGGCCGGCGAGCGAAATGGGCAAGAAGTGCAACGACAAGCGAGGATGCGACCGGGGGATATTAGAGGAAGAGACGATGAGTTCAGGTGATATGAGGTAGTCGAGGAGAGGATGAGGGGCTCACTTTGCCCGACAGGTCAGGCATGTCCTCGGCGGAGAAGAGGGCAGCAGGCGGGAAGAAGGTCGTCGACAGCGTCGAAGTGGGCGCGATCTTTTCTAAGAGGGAGGACAACATGGTTAAAGCTGAATGCAGGCGGGTATGAGCAGGTGCAGTGGTAGTGGTGGATAAGAAGCAGAGGAGTGTCGAGCGTTGCTACAAGGCCTACCGAGTGGCCCGAGCGCCGCGATTGTGAAATTGAAATTGCGCGGCCACTCGGCAGGCAATCTAAGTGGAGCGAGCGAGAGGAGGGTGACGCGATGACACGCGCAGTTTTCGGCCGCGCCAAAATCGCTTTCATATATTAGCCGCTTTGGGGAGGTCTCCCTCAATAATGTGGTGCAGCGCCCGATTGGCGTCGTCGCTTTTGGTAGACTAGCTGGGATTACCTCATGTTCAGCGGTCTTCCCAAAGTCATACCGCTGCAGCTGGTGGCTGAACATGATCGCGTGGTAGATTACGCGAGTCGGTGACCCAAACTTGGAACACCGGCCTAACCGCTCATTGAGCTTCGACATCTACCCCGTTACATCTTCGATCCTCTGAACCCATTTGAAGGTACCCACCCTCCCCCGTTGCTTCATTCAGCAAGCACGCCGACGCTTCATGAGCTTCATTGCATTAGTGACTCTCGCGGTCCCCACCCCAACTGCACCCGGTGCGTGTACAGCCTCTGTCGCCCCTGCATGCGTGTACGTACGCGTGCATGCATGTGCCTATCCGTGCATAACGAAAGAGCTCACAAGCTCGGAGATACATGATCCTCGTCGTCCTCATTACCTATCGCCGGGCGTGTTTAAAGGTGAATCATTAGATCATGCCATATTACGAATGCGAGAGACGGTAACGCGAACGACATCCTTTTCTACGGACGCTACGGCCTTACTCTGGAGCCCCACCCCCAAAATCATTCTTTGGCTGCCGGCAGCTGTTGCTCGCACCAAGCGGCAAGATTGTCTTGAACCTTCTCGTCGTGAAACACCGGTGGGAGCTCGACAAGCCGAGCGACAGGGACAAAGTACTGTGAAAGCAAGCGGAGGCGTCGCACAGGGTCAGTTCTGAGCGACTGCGTGCCAGAGTTGCTCGGCACTCACCTTATTCCGGACGTCCTTTGCCGCAGCAATCGTTCCAGCCCATAACCCTGTCATGGCACCCATCTCGACCGATCGCAAGATCATGTTGGCGACTGTTTTCATCACGACGTTGGCATCTCGGTGGATGTCGGATTTGATGGCCCCTGGGTGGACGGCGACGCAATCGATCTCGTTTGGGTATTGCCGGCCTAACCAGAAACAATGCACGATGTTGCCAGCTTTGGCTTGCCCGTAGAGTTTACTGTATCAAATTGAACCGAGCTCAGCTTTACACGCACAATCACGAGAAGCCATTGCGTGCGTTGTACTCACGATCGAGCAGCAAACCCACTCCCCCACTTCTTGAGCAAAGCTTCCCTGCGCTCACCCCCCTGTAGGCTATCGGCTTTCCATAGCCCGTTCTCGCCATCCCTCACCGACCACCCGGTTGCTGCCTCGGATGCAGTCCAGACTATCCGAGCCGGCTTTCCCCGTGAAGCGGCCGAAGCGCGGAGTGAGGGAATCTAAAGAAAGGCGAGCCTGAGTGAGTTGGGGCTAATGGTGAGCTCCGAGGGAGGAAGACACTCACGAGATATTTGACAAAGTGGTAGTGACCCAAAACATTGGTTCCTGTGACCGACCAAAGCGGAACAAGACTTGTCAATTCGCTCGCTCGAGATGTTGCAAAATCCTAGTCCTCGGCGACGAACCAAAAGCTGCGAGAGAGGAGGAAAAGAAGAGGGTTCAGCAAGACCATCCGATAAGGTTTGATCATCTTGATGCATGGCTCACTGAGATCGTATCCATCTTTGGTCAATTGATCGACCCGAGGCATCGCGACACCGCTGTTCGTTGAACAAAGCAGCCCATCGGATGAGCTCAAACCCCGGGTCTCGGCGATGGGTCACCTCGTCCGACCAATGGAGCTGCACTCACGCATTAACGTAGAGCAGATCAAGCCGTTCCTCCAGACTCGAGAACTGTTCCGCACTCTTCTTCAACGAGACCAAATCGCACAAATCCATCTTGATCCAGATCGCCTTCCCCTGGCCATTCGTTTGCCGCTCGAGCGCCTCGATCGCCTTCATCACTCGTTCCTCACTCCTCGCGGCGATGTACACTTTGGCGTTCTTGAGCATCAGCCGCTTGACCGTCTCGAGGCCGATACCGGCATTCCCTCCCGTCACCATCACGATCTGTGTACCGCATGCACCAGCATGTCAGTCGCCACATCCTCATAGGGCACGGAGCATAGTTCGCTCGAACGACCCGTCGCCCGCACTGTCTCCCGCGCGAATCGAGCGATGACCCGTTCTCGGAGTTGCAGCCTCGCTCACCTGGCCGGTCATATCGGGCATATCCCGCTCGGCATCGTATGCGGACGGAGGTGGGAGCCAGGATCGACTGATCCCACTGTTGGGTGCGATCTTGGCGACGATGGAACCCATACTTAATTTGAGTCGAATCGAGGTCAACGGTACGAGACAGAGAAGTCGAAGGAAGTCGAATGATCGGCGCCGCGCCGGCGGGGCAATAGTCGCGCAATAACTCTTTTATTATAGGGTCGTAGCCGCGCTTGCAACTCCCATTGGCTACTCTCTCAGATCTCAGCGCTCAGCGACCAGTCAAATCCCGGCATTGGCCCCGAGATTAATCAAAGCTCTATTGAATGACAATATTTAACGGCAGGATAGGACACCACCAAATCAGAAGCATCCGTATGAACTACACGATGGCATAAGCTGAGCCATTATTGGAACGATCGTAACAAGTACTAAAAACTGCTTGCAAGGAAAAGCAATCACGCAATTTGGATCAAACGCCAGAGGTGGCCCTGTCGTTGAGTCGCGACCGCATCTTGTCCGGCGAATGACGCTCTCAATGCGAAGCCTCTTTCTCCTCGGGCGTGTGCTCCTCGTCTTGTGCCTTCTTCTCCCTGATACCGAAGTTCTGTGTGGCGCACAGCTCTCGATTAGTTGCGAAGAAAGCACTTGAGCACAACGACGAAATCTTCACCTCATCGGTCTCCGTCTGCAATGCCAACGACTTCATGAACAGCGACGCGATCAAGCCAACTCCACCCTGTGAACAATCGTGTGTAGGATGAGGTCAGCAGGGGGTAGGAAGCACTTGTGATTATTCATACACTTCGAGCGCAAACTTACGAAACCGATCATGACCTGCCAGATGCGTTGAATTGAATGAGCGAACGCGAGTCGGACGGTGCTCCTCAGGGGTTCGGGTCTGCTCATTCACCGATCAGCGTCAGTCCAGTGGCCTCGACAAGATCTATAAGAGGAAACATCTTCCACGCACAAGCTCGCAATCGACGGGATCGAAGCGAATGCTCCACTGACACCACCCGGAATCGAAGTGAGCCATTCTTGAAGCGCCTTCTGCTTGAGCTCGTTGGTCAAGATGACGGAGCCGATTGTCACGCCGAGCAGGTTACCGAAGCTCCTGATGAAGACGAGGAAGCCCAAGGCAGGACCAGCGAGGGCGGGCGAGAGAGGTGCCAGGACGGGGAACACCGTGGCAGCATCTACAGGTGATAAAAGGTCAAGATCAGGACTGTTCTCGCGTCTTGGAGACCATAGCTCAGACGGCCATGACTCACAGAGTAGACCCATTCCAATCGAGAAAGGGATTGGCAGCGGGACCCAGGCCTTCGTCGGTGAGCCGGCAGTGGCGAGCGAGAGCACCCCAGGACCCACGGTCATCAGAACCCACGCGATAATGTTCTGCGTCTTGTAGTGTTGAAAGATACCGATCGAGGCTCCGGCAACCATAGCGAAGGGGGCGACGACGAAAGCGACCGAGAAGAAGTCGACGGCGGACTTGATCGGCCCGGCTCCCTTGATGGCTTGGAAGTAGGTGGGCCAGTAGTAGAAGAGCTGGGTTCAGAAGAGACGTCGGGTCAGCAACAATCGCAGGTGAGTTTTTTTTATAATCGTGAATTTTAGGGACTTACAGCAAGACCCGAGATTCCGTGGATAAACGTCGTGAAAAAACCAATAATTGTGGTTCGGTTGTTCATCACGCGGAAAGGCACAGTAGGATGCGTGGCATATCGAGACTCGTAGACGCCCCACACGAGTAGACCGACGACGCCAATGATGAGGGGAGCTAGGACATGCGCAGATAACCACGGGTACGGTGCACCGCCCCACACCAGCCCGATGATCAAGAGCGTGATCGAGACGATGAAGATGAAGTTGCCCAAAAAGTCGATTCGGGCCAGCTTTTCCTGACGAGTCCCAGGAGGTTTCTTGAGCTTCATGCAGAGCGTCACGACGATGGCAATGAAGAATGAAAGAGGCAAGTTGATGTAAAACAAGGCCGGCCAGTATGCTTGGGCGAGGGCACCCCCGATAATGGGTCCAGTCGCGGATGCGAGCGACCAAATTGCGCCGAACAAGCCTTGGTAGGTTCCTCGCTCCGACAATGGCACAAGATCGGCCAGCACGATCTCAGTCAACGTGAGGATCGATCCAGCACCGACACCTTGGAGCGCTCGACCGGCGAGCATCAAGTCGATGCTCTTGGCCGCACCGCACATGGCACTGCCGACGAAGAAGAAGGCGAGCGCAACGAGCAGAACTTCGCGACGACCAAAGATGGCCGAGAGACCTCCCGCCAGAGGGATGAATGCGCAACTCGTGACACTGCGAAAGTAAAGGTTTTATGAGAACTACTTCAGCACCGATTCCCAGAAAGCGAGCGAGCCACATTTGGAGGACTCACGAGTAGGCATTGGCGATCCAAGCGAATTCTCGGCTGTCGAGAGCTTCGGCGATGGTGGGTAGCGCCGTACTGATGGCTAAGGAGTTTCGATGCAAGGAATGATCATCGATGCATATCGTTGTCAATTGAAGTGCATCCAAAGTGCGTGAAATGACTGCAATGTGGCAACAAGGCGTGCCGTGGCCACCACCGTCCGCGCCTTCGAGGTGACTTTCACGTGCGCGGACGTGGACGCGTCGTGTGCCTGGTCAAAGTAGTGATCGCTGCTGGCCAACTCGCGGACAGTCTCGGCCCTCTTTTCGCAAGGCTCAGGCTCGCTCAACTCTAAACATCACTCAACTCACCAGTAACATCAAGTGCAGCCAAGAAGGTTGCCAGCATCAACGAGACGATGATGAGCCAGAACCTGATACCCTTTTCCGAGGACGTGGCCGCGTCGGTGGTCTCGATCGGCGCGCTTGAGGTCGATGACGACGTCTGCAATGGCGCATGCTGATCGTGGCCATCGCGACTCGGGTGTTGGGCCACGACTCCGGCGTCGGTGGACTTGTGGGCGACAACAGTCGTAGCTTTCCCATCAGCGATGGTGCTGCCACTCGAATTGAATGCTCGTTCTGCATTCATGTTTCGTGAAAAGAGTGTCGAGGTTTCGGAAGGGTGAGGCAGAACGGCTCCAGTTCGCGAATGGGCAAAGCCTCCTTGCTCTTCGCAATCATTTCCCGACTCCGCTTCAAAGGCTTGTTCCCGGAGCAACGCCGATGGATGCTGGAGTTTCGGATGCACGCTCTTACAAGAGGCTCTGTGTGTCTCATGACTTTTAGATCCATGTCATTACAAATCACGACCTTTGCTTTCTCTAATGACACGTGGGTTTGTCAATTCGTGAGAGTGGGATTAGGACGATCGGACCGACGCTGGGAGCGGAGGGCAAGGGTTGTTCAAGCCAAAACTATCCCTTCATTGGGCGTCTGATGTACCTTTCCCTAGACCTCAGCTTACGTGATCATACGCCATGTGTCCGTTCTACACGGAACGGCCATCTTCAGCCCGAAGCCCGCCAGGGAGCTTTCTTTACGATCCAGGACGGCTCAGGCCCAGTCATGAACCTCGACGACTTGACCTGGCTTCGTTGACGGCCTTCGGCATTCTTTTCCCGTGCCTTGATGGCGGTGACGAGTTTTCGACGCGGCTGACCGGCCGTGGGGGCTGGGTGATGATGCGATGGATTCGAGCAGGTGTGAGCTTCGTGTGGGGTACCACTTTCACGTGAGTCGCTGCGCAGATCGATCGGAACGAGCGTCGATGTCATGGCAAGACGATTCAAATGCTCGGCTTGATGCTGCAAAAAGCGACGACACAAGATCGAGTGGTGTCAACATCCAACTGAGCAGTGATGGGGAGTCTGCTGAGCAAGACGGACTTCGAGATTGTCACGATAGATCTCGGCGTCCATCCATCGCTCGGATTGTTCTTGACTTGCTTCAACGAGTCCACGAGATGCATCGAACTCCGAACTGGATTGGGTCAACACCAAAGTACACGACGGTCAGCCGTTGCAAGACGAGGGATGTAGGGGTGGGAGGCAGGCACGGACGAACCGAGCTCGAAAGACGACGAGGTTGGTGCGGTGATGGTCTGGCATTCTAAGGGCGATACGTAATATCGAGCGGTACAGAGCAAGTGTGGTCGCTCGAGGTGATATGCTGGACATTGCGACGAGGCTCCGTCTCGCTTCGAGGCGCTGCGAGGGCTCAATTGAGCGGTCCGCGCTTAGTTCAGTAGAGAGCGCGCGTGATGGGTAGCTGGTGGAGGACGTACTCACATTTCTTTTGACCGGAAAGGTTCACTCCGAGGTCGCCAGCGGGCCTGCATCCCATCAGCGCCGTGGTTGTCCCAGATCGGCAGGGAACGAGTGCGAAGGTGCGCGCCTGTGGAGAAATCGGAAGCGGGTGCACGAATACGACTCGAATACTCCCCCGGCCCCTGACAGGCCTGCGAGAAAGTATGGAAATGGATGCTTGAGAAGCAGGTCGTTTTTGTTCATTAATCATCCCGTAGCATCGCTGTCTCGGTGATCTGAACACAGTTTTTCCCGTCGTTTCGAGCCAAGGACGGCTGTCGGTGCAGTGGGCGATCATCCGGACGGGCGACCAATCCTTGCGCTTGCAATTTAACTTTAAGTTAGCACCCCAGCGCCTCGAGGCCGGCGCCCGGAACTTCATCCAGCTCAAGGATCTGCACCGTCAGTTGCAGTAGTGCGTCAGTTGCAGAGCGTCAGTAGCAGAGCGTCGAGAGCCTTGCAAGGTGCCCTCCTGGGACCGTGGCGCGCTAGTCGTTTCATTAATTTCTTTCCCTTGCAATCCATCATTCATTCACATCCTCACAGCCATGTCGTTCGAGAGGAAAAGCAACGCCGAGGCCCAGCAGAGCAATGACTATTCTGCCGTGATGCGCCATTGCGGCCACAAGGGTCCGTCCTGCCTTTCCTCAGTCGTCATTCTCCCTTCTCCGCATCGGATCAACGTCGTCTGGGCTCGCGATCGCGCTCCATTCATGTTCACACCCAACTCGTCGACAATGTTGCTTTCGTGAACAGGCTACCAGATGTTCGCCGTCATCGCACCACCTCTCTTCCTCCTCACCTCCTTGCGGAAACGATCCTTCTCCCCGCGGATATACCTACGCAATGTCGGATTGACGACCTTCGTCGGTGGTACGGCGCTTGGTGTGGCCGCTGGTGCAGGTCGGATGAGTGGTCTTGACGCCGAACAAATCAATGATCGGGCGGTCAGGATCCTCAGCAACGGCTCGCAGACCCGCGTCGACGACTACGGCATCATTGGTGGGGTCCTGGGAGCGGTGAGTATTGGCTTTTGGTGGGCTCTGATCTTTATGTGCTGCACTCGTCGTGTGAACTGATAAAATGCATCGTCTCTCTCCTCATTGTGATCCTACCTTCTCGTACCGCCTCGACCTCGCCGGCCATTGGATTCACAGCTCGGCACCACCACCATCTTCTTGAAGCGAGCCCCTATGATCTGGACCGTCACAGGTGGTGCCGCCCTCGGTGTTGCAGGAGGCATCATCTTCCATCTCGCCAAGTCAATGCAAGAAGGGGAGCATGTCAAACCCGAAGCCATGCTTGAAGAGGCCAAGGAGGCCGTCAACAAGGGCGTGGTCGATAAGAACTGAGCCGAGTGCTGTCTTAGTTCTAGGAGATATCATGTACCGTGTGAAACAATTATCAAACGCAACTACACACAAGCGCACCCTTCGCCGTTGCAGTTGAAAGGTTCTCTCTCTCCGAAGTGAATGATGTGGGCTAAAATGAAAGCCGAACGAGGACGTATTAAGATTGCGAAGAATTAAGATGCAAGGTAAGGATGTTATGGGCATAATGAAGTGAACCTATGTATCGTCCAGCACCCTCTCTCGATCCCCCCACGGAGAGAGAGGTACAAGCCTCAAACTTCGGACTGGACTTCACGGATCGGCGAAGCTGCCCTCGAGGCTGATCGGGAACCTGCCCTCGAGGCGTTCCTCGACTTGCGTTCCAAACCGGCCGTATCGGCAAAGTTGAGGTCATGCCCGTGGCCACCGAGGATCTTGGAGATGGGGTTGCGCGACCTCGAGCCCTCTCGCGATGCCGAAGGCGACTTGGATGCGGCGCGGGCGGTCTCACGACCTTTCCTCTCGAGTCCTTCCTCGTTGGCGAAGTTGAGATCGTGGCCGTGCGAACCGAGGACCTTGGACACGCGCGACGGGGAAGCCGTACGCGAGGCCGAACGCGATCCGGAACGAGAGGCGGATCTGGAAGCGTCACGGGACTTGCGCTCGAGGCCGTGTTGGTCCGCAAAGTTGAGGTCGTGGCCGTGGGAGCCGAAGACGGACTTGACAGCATCGGTCAGACGCTGGCGAGAACCGGAGCGGGACTTGGCGTTGGACCCAAGGTCGGTCACCTTGCGCGAGTCATGGGCAGGGTTGATAGGGGCAGCCGACGAGGTCTCAATCGGGGCCGACGAGTCTACACCGTTGGTGAGGCCAGGGACTGTGAACGAGTCACGCAAGAGGCGTTTCGAATGGGTTGGAAGTCAGCAAACAAATTTGGGCATAGCTCTGGCCGAGATTCGCAACGGATAGAGAGGAAGGGGGGTTCGAAGCTTACCTTGAGTCTGAGGGACTTCGGGGTTGGAGGTAACGGCAGACATAGTAGATATAGTCGTTTGATGTAGTTGTTGGTGTCGTAAAGTTATTTTTAAGAGGTAGATTCGTGAGACGGGATAAGTCTGAACGGGCGATGTAAAGAGGAGAAGGGGAAGAGGTCTGGCAATCAACTTGCAAACTTGTGCGAACTGCCTGGCCGCAACTCGGGCGAGCTTTCCGCTTCATTCGAAGGCGACTTCGGCACAGCCCGGCCCGCGGGATGCCGATGGATGGCGATCGATTCTCTTGGGTTTTCGAATGGCCACATCGGTCATCCGACGGAGCAGACGGAAAGAGCACATGTTTTGCTTCGCTTCGGCTGCGATGAAACGACGTCATCATTCTGGGCTGATGACTCATCCAATGACTTCAAAGCGTGCACTTACTGCTTTTATCATCAGGGTCGACTTGGTCAGAATTTGCTCCACTGCCCTTCCCCCCCTGGCTCGGAGTTTCTCGAAGCGGTGCATTCATGAGGCAGCACAATTGTAACACAAAACATGGATTTGAACTTCAGGCATCCGAATTAGGCAATAATAATAAGCAAGAAAGGACAGTAAGAACCGGGTCGCACAAGGATATGGAAGGACTTATTGTGCGGTGCTAATTGCTCGCTTCGGTGCCTTTGGTCTCATGGTCGGGCTTCTGGAGGAGACCGTGCACGGCCTCACGAACGCGACTCCTGCTGCGACTGGCGTGGCGCTTCTCGCGAACGACCTGGCCGGCGGCGGTGCTCGCCTTGGCGGCTTGGATCTCGCCGAGGATGACCTGGTGCAACTCGGCGGCACGTTCCTCCTCGGTTTGGTGCGCCGAAGCTCGGTGGAAGAAAGGATCATGGGCGATCGCCTTGACCATCTGACGAATGTGTGACACCGAGCGGGACTTTGATCCGTGCTCACCCGCCTCGGTCGAGGCTTGCGCGGCGTGGATTTGACCGAACGTCGCCGAGGTTTGTTGCGAATTTTTATACTCCGGTTCACGCGATTGCGAGCGAGAGGTGCGCTTCCAGAAGGGGTCACGCGACTTGGATCGCGAGCGTTCATCCGAGGGGGTGTGGGCTGGGGAAGCGTCGTTGTACGTGGCAGGGACGACGGCTTCGCCGGTGGGGTACCTAGTTTATACATACAATTGTAGAGAGAAGAATTTCAGCTGAAGTGAAAAAAAAAAAACACTTGATTGAACAAGCGATGCCATGGGTCTCCGTCTCTCATCGAAGATTGCCAATCAAGACGAAAACCCAACAAATCTGATGCAGTGATGTGCAACTTACGCGGTATGGTGATCCACGGTAGCTGTGATTAACGAGATGTATGGATGTCATCAGCTCTCACGCGCAGCTGACGTTGCGGAAACCGGATAGGCAAAGCAACTATCGACTCCATCCGTAGTCGCCGTCGACGCGTGATGATAGGTAAGGTACTCACTTCCTACAGGATGGACAGCAGCGGTCTCGACAAAGGTGGGGGGGATCGTGTGAGGCATCTTGATGAGAGTGATTTGCCGGGTTCGGGGCTACTGCGGGTTGAAAAGGCACCGCCGTCTGAGATAAGGGAATCTGTGCCACTCTCACGCGGGAGAGTCAAGCGGGGTCCTCATGCTGGGCTAAGGGAGGGGGAGGGGCAGAGGACTCATGAGCCAGTTGGACGTACAAGTTGTGCTTTATAGAAGAAGCTGAGGCTGAGGGGTGTGGTCGGCGGGAGAGTAACGAATGGATGATGCCGTCAGTTCCCGCCCTTCCCCTGGGGCCGTCGGAACGAGAATGGGCGGCCTAAAAATAGGCGCATCGCCTGCAGGGGAGGCGCAAGTCCCTTTGGCCGCCGGATAAGCTTGGGTTGGGACTCGGAGTGGGACTCTACTGAACCTTGGCACTGAAAGTGAGAGAAATCACAGGATCTTGCACGGCGATGAAGGGGCCGAGCTGACGTGGACGAAAATTGTACTGGTTTAAAGAAACATCATAGTTTTCTCGCTTTCCTTTACCAGCATCGCATGTAACAAGGTAGGCTTAGTACTAACTCTTAAGCCCAGGACTAAATCACGTGACCCTCGTTTTTGGCGGCGCAGTTGGTCGACTCGGGCACTTCAAAAAAGTGGTTACTCCTGGGCATCGTCCTAGGCTGCGTCAGAGAGGCTCCGATTGGGTCTTAGGACGCGCGGACGCTCCTTGACCTCCTTGGAGGCTGCACCGGCTGCACTCATACTGCCTGCCAAGCCTTCACGGTGGGCGATCGACCTAACCCGCGGCGCGGGGCCGATCTCCCTGGACCTCCCTGAAGTTTGAACGCTTTGTGAACCCGTGGACGGAGCGCAGCCGGCCGCCCCCGCATCGCGAAGCGCGGCGGTTCGCTGGGCGCTTGCAGAGTTGGGTCGTGCTGAACGAACGGCGCCGGACCCCATCCGCTACCTCCTTGGCTGCCTCCCTACAGGCTACGCCCACCTACGGAACAGCGTTACAGCCGATCGACAGCAGCATGATGATGGGGACGAGAGCCGAGCAGGAGATGATGGAGGCGTCCTTGGTCGCTGAGGATCCGTCCGAGTACGGACCAGAGTCGTCGCTCGATGGCGGATCGTCGTCATCCCGCAGCCGGCGCCAGCAGCTGCAGCACTACGCAGAGCTGCTCGACCAGGCGCGGGCACAGGCGATCGACATGTGGAAGGAGCTCTCCAGAACCACACAGGTCAGCTCGTGGTGGTCTTGGGTCCCTCGTTTATGGCCGTGGCGTGATGGCATGGCTGACCGACTGCACCCCATCTCCCCATCTCCCCGTCTGCGACGATCCGGATCCGATCTTGGTTCCACAGATCGCACTGGCCTCCACCTCAGCCTTGCTGCTGTTCACACTCTTCTACCAAGCACTGTTTCATCATCGTCCAGGGCCGTGTGCACCGCGGCTTCACTATGCCGCAAATGACAAATGTCATGTATGCAGCCCGACCGACGACCTCTGCCAGAAGTGGGGCAGCCGTGTCCTGACCAGGGCCAGGGGCTACCAAGGCTCGGGCGAACAGATGGCTCCCTTTCTTGAAAAGGTCCGTCGAAGCCAGGACGTACGCATCGGCATCATCGGCGGCAGCATATCCGCCTGCATCGACGCAGAACCCGGGAAGTGCTACCACGAGGTTTTAGGCAAGCAACTGCAGAAGGACTGGGGGGTCGATGTAGAGGTACGTTCTTGCGAGTCTGCGTGACCTGGACCGCCCCCAGGCGTAGTGGCTCGGCGGACAATGGGAAGTATATTGGTACTGACCTGGCATGACCTTGCAGATCGTCAACGGCGGTGTATCAGCGGTCGGCAGCGACTTCTTCGCCTCGTGTTGGCATATGAGCTTCTCCCTGCCCATCGATCTCTTCATCCTCGAGCTGGCCGTCAACGACGAGGCCCGAGGCAAGGAAAACAACGACTTTGATGTGCTCGTGCGCACACTCTTGAGCCACAAATGGAAACCCTCCCTCTTGGTCCTGAGCATGTACTCCCCACTGCATGCCTACACGAACGGCGCACCGAGCATCGAGAATGTTGCAGAATACTACGATCTTCCGGTCATCTCGTAAGTGGCCATCAGCGCAATCCTCGTATTTGCGTCTGGATGGCTGATATATTCCCCACTTTTATATATGCTCAGTCACCGGAATGTCGTAGTTCAGCAACGACACCTTCACCCTCGGATCGAGGAGGTCCGCCCATGGTTCTCACCGGGCGGCGATTTCGATCACCCGTCTTGGCCAGGAGGGCATCACCCAGGCCCCCTGGGCCACGAACTCACCAGTGACCTGATCGTGTCTTATTTACGCGAGCAAGCGTGCCTGCCTCCCGTCTTTGTCCCTGGCACCTCAAAGCTCACCCTCCCAGCTTCCGTGCCGGGACAGATCTCACCCGTGAGTCGCCTAAACCCGGACCGCCATAGAGCTAAAAACGGTACTCATTCTGAACCTCGCGACTGACGAGTCAACTCTTAATCTTTCGTAGTGGTCGACATACCAAGGGGCGGACGACCGACCTATCGAACCGACGACCCAGCTCACATGCTACAGCGCCGCGCCAGGGCCGATGCATTTCCCCATCGCCGAGAATCACGGTTTCGAACTGAGCCATTGGAAGTCCAAGGAGTACCTCGTCGGATACAACGCCGGCGATTGGATAGTGTTCAACATCAAAGTAACGCAAGGGGTCGCGAGTATCATGTATTGGCGCAGTTACGCGCTCAAATTTGGCCGGGCACGGTTTTGGCTTGACGGGGAGAAGGATCGGGCTGGCATCATTTGGGGTGATTGGGGACTTCCGATCAATTCGCCTGTGTAAGCGGACTAATTAGATCACGGTGTTCCATTGTGTGGTCCTGTACTGATGACAGGACCCGGGTTGTGCAGTCGACACGACGTGCGTACCGAACGAAACGGCAATCGGCAAATGTTCGTGGAGATCGATGAAGAGAGCGGAACGGGGTCACATGAATTCCGGATCTCCGCTGTCATTGGCTAGGTGATATCCCATTATGCCCTCGCCTAACAGCCCGGCGATACTTCACGACCGTCACCACAAAATCGAACGAGCCACGAGCAACCATTTCATCTCTTGGATTTAGCACTGTTGCCTTCTTAACCCCGTTCCGCAAGTCACGCATGAACGCATCACGACGTCCTCTTGGATTCAAGTTTTATAGCAGTTGTATTTTGTCATCATTTTGCACCCCCTGCACCACCCCATCTTTTCGAAGCGAGTCATCGTTTCGCTTCGTGTGTAATGAGTGAACCTGCTCCCATGCTCTCTGTCTACAGGAGCCCACCAACAACAAACGAGTAAATGTCATGAATCGCGAATGCATACATGGTCCGTGGGTACGTCGTAGCGCGCACATGAAAAGTCAACAGAGCGGTCATAAAATAGGGAGCGCCTAATGCGTCAAAATAGCGAGAATTGAAAGCAGGAAGGGATACAGAAGGAGCCTTTCTGCGCCCCCCCCCGTAAACAGAAGCATGCCTGCGAGGCATCACTATGTCGAAGCTACATTTTGCCAGCAAGAACACCATCGATCATGGCGTTGATCGCATCCTTGCGGGGACCGAGTTGGGTTTGTGGGTAAAACGCTTGCAGTCCTTCTCGTGCGGTGCGTTTGGTCACCTTCATCAGATCTTGCGAGGCGAGGTAGGCTCTGTGAGAGATCGGACGTCAAAGTTCAGTCTCTTGTGATGCTGAGCGGTTCATGTGATGAAGGAACTTACTTGAGAGTTGATACGAGCTCCTCGTCGGACGGACTCGTCGACTGACTGACTTGCGGTCCAGTCAGCGGGCCGGCCACGCCGTAAACGCCCGTCGAGGCAGGAAAGGTGCTGGAAGTCAGCGCCGACATGTCCGACTGTCGTCGCGGCAGACTCGACAGGGGCTGCTGGGGCTTCGAGTCGTACACCATGCCCTGAGGAGGGTTCATCGTCATCTGGGAAGGCATTGCAGGAAGCGCTGGGAATGTCGATCCAAAGGATGGTACCGACATGTGAGGACCTTGGTAGAACGGCATCTGCGAGGGACTACCCATGAACGGGCCGGAAGGAGCCCCCATCCCGAGTGTGCTGCCAGCGGCCGTGAAGAACTGCGATGACGGTCTCGAGGGCATGCCACCGAGGACAGAACCCGTTTCACCAGGTCGTCCACCACCAAACTGGCTGAAAGCCGCCTTGGACCCGCGGCGAGAATGCACGGTATCGCGATAGTAGTCGGTCCCTCCTGCGTACGAGCCAGCTCGAGTTGCGGGTGGACCGAGTTTGGTCGCCATGGAGAAGCCGGCGATGGACTGCGTGTAGTGCGACTTGGTGTCTTCGTCGTAGTGTTGCTCTTCTTCCATTCGAGCTTCGTACTCCGAGAAGCGCGCCATGGGAATGCTTGATTCATCGAACGCTTCCTCCTCGGCTTGCACGACCTTCTTGGACTTGCCTTCACCGACGACCACACGCGTATTACCCCAGGTAAAGCTGCGGTGTGTTGAGGATATTGATTTTCAGCATGGGGATGGATGGGGCCTATATCGGGCGGGTTGACTCACTCGTCGAATCTCCAGAAACTGTAGATCGGCAAGATGAACGAGTAGATTGGGTAGGCGAGCTGCGCGTTTATATAGGAGGCACCGTCAGCCTCAGGTGCCGGACCCTGCCGACACCGTAAGCACTCACGATGTAGATCACGAGCCAGCCAATGAACTGCCACTGGCGCTTGAAAAGGAAGATAACCGCCTGGAGACCGTAAGTCTGTGCGTGCAGAACAGCTCGTCAGTAAGACCGACAAGGTATCGAGTGTCCGGATTCGCCCACTTACTGCACCGACCATCGCCAACGCGATGACGGGAACTTGGGTGTCTCCAAGTGATACTTCGACGATGAGGTACACCAAGTAGACGAACGTCGCGGGAAGAATGAGCGTTCCAATAAGATCGATCATGACGAAGAAGCGCATTCCGAAGCAGCAGAACCCGCACATGTTGGGGAGGTAGATGAGTTCGACGAGGTTGTGCACGGTCGAGTTGATCCAACGACGACGTTGAGACAAGAGGATGGTCCAAGAATGGGGAGCGACTGTCATGGCTTGCGCTTCGCCCAAGAACTTGGTCTTGAACATGGGAAAGTGCTTTAGGATGAGCGTGGTGAGGTAACGATCTTCACCGAGCGCGAGCAAGTTCTTCTTGTGCAGCGTGTCGAGCGTGCCTTCGGAGTATTCATCGATGATGAGCGAGCTGACCAGCAAGGGTTTGCCCTTGTCGGCCGAGCGAAGACGGTACATGGTGAAACAACCGGGCAAGCATGTAACAGAACCAAACATGCTTTCGAAGGCCTTCGCCAAGTGATGGGAGATGTAGTATTCGTAGACTGTGCCCAGACGAGATGACCGGAGTCAGTGGTGAGACCCCTCCGAGTCACGAAGTGCCCTCGTCTGTACCTCACCTTGAATCATGGTCCACCACGAGTCTTGCTCGTTCTCAAGTTTGGTCTCACCGCAGATACCGATGATCTTCGAGTCGTCTGCAGCGGCCGAAACGAGTCGATTGAGCGAGTCAGCAGCGACGTTGGTGTCGGCATCAATTACGAGCAAGTACTGAGGACGAGACCAAAGGTAAGCGCTCTATGTCACAACAGAATGAAAGGCCGAAGCTCTTACTTCGTATAGCTGAGGAACCACACCAATAACGTTCTTAATCTGGTGGTACATCTCGAGTTCGAGAGGGTACATTTCGCTGTCAAAGTGCACGCGGTTGAGGAACCTCATCGACAGGATCTGCGAATCTCGCTTTCCCCGGTTACCAGGACGTGATCGTTCTGCAGGTCGACCGACTTTGGCGATGACGATGTAAGGAACGACATGGCCGTCGATCTCGTACAGTCCGGACCACACCTTGCCGTAGTTGAGCTGCTTTGATCCTTCGGCGATCGACTTGAACATGAGAGGCTCGGGATCGACATCTTGGTCGACCCCTAGGATGTCGAGAACGATGCGGGGGGTCGCTCGGTCGTTGCCAGAACCGATGATCATACCATCGCAGATTATCATGAGGAGCTTGCGTTTGTCATCGTAGGTGAGCGTCGCGAGCGAGTCGATCGTTTTTCGCAGCGATTCTTCGCCCTCGGTATAGCAGGGAACCTGGCAAATGACGAACTTGTCACGCAGCTCGGGCATGCGCTTTGAGCCAAACTGGAGCGCAGCAATGAACTTGGCGACGATGGTGGCCATGAGGAGGACCGAGAAGGCGAGCAGCATGTTGGGCTGTACTTGACACCGCGGTGTGAGGCGAAAGTCGGTTTCTCCCGTGTAGAAGAGCGAGCGCATGCATTCCATGTTGATTGCGAGCGTGGTCGCATCCAAGTTCAATTCCTTAATCGCACTCGTGATGTCGCTTCCCGCTTGGGCTTGCCATAGAGCCGTCAAGTCCGTGTTGAGGAATTTGTACGTATCGTCGTTGAGTGTCGTGATGGTGTAAAAGTAGTCGGTCAAATCGTACACGCTCGAATTGACAATGGCTACATATCGTGTTTCAGAGTTCACCTGCTGGTTGATCTGTTTCTTAGACCAGACGAGCGGACCCTTCTTGTACTTGTTCATCTTGGGAATGAAGGTCTCGCTGTACCAGTCGACGCTGTAGAGCGCTGAGGAGCTGACCGACTGTTGCGTACCCGTGGAGTGGATCGCAGTCGGGAGATCCGCGGTGAAGTTGGCGTATTGGAGGACGAGGGAGGTCGAACTCACGAGCGAAGGGCAAGCGAGCGTCAGGGGGATGGGGAAGTAGTTGGTCAAGTCCTGGCCACCCAGTTCGAGCATGTCCGACGATGTGACGGGCGACGACGAGATATCCGAGTGTCTGATTGGGGATCAAAACTCAGATGAGAGCTAAGTCGAAAATCAAGCGTCGCTTTCGGTTTTTGCTCACTGTGTCCGATAAAATGCAGTCAAATCATAGACCACGCCGCGCACGCCAACCCAGTAATCGGTCGTACCGGCGTGATACCCCAACTCCTTCTCGTTCCAAGCCTTGTTCATATTTGGGCACAGGAGGTTGCCGAAAATGACGATGTAAAAGATGACGATGCCGCAGAAGAAGCCGATGAGTAAACACAAAGCTACCTGTAGAACGGTTATCGTTAGCTTGCATCCCATCAGGCAGCTTCGGAGAGCGACTAGTAGGACCTACCTTCTCTCGCCATGCCATCCTGACGTCCGGTCGTTTCATCCGACCCAGGTATTTCAAACTGAAATCGGGAATCCACCAAGTCAAGAGCGTGACGATAAAGACCCATCCTCGTCGAGCCTTACTCGACGGCACCTCTTCCACCGTCGCGCCTTGCTGCTCGTCGCCATTCTGATCGAGCGCACCCTCCTTGTGCGGCTGCCCCTGCCCGACTCCTACACCGAAACCCTTGCTATGGCCCCCGAAACCCGCACGAGGTGATCCTTCCTTCTCTCCCCAGACGTCAGACTGCATCGATGTCGGATGGACATAAGGCATCGGCGACATTGAGTCGTCGTAACCGAACGCATGCCTTCGCGGTAGCGTCCCTGGCATCGGGTCCGGCGAGCCAGGGGTCGAGTTAGGGCCCGCACCGGCGTTAAGGCGGTGTTGCTGTTGCTGCACGAGATCTTCGACGCTATCGCGCGCGGCATTATCGTAAGTAGAAGCGAAAGGCTGCTTCGGAGGAGCTGGCTCCCAGTCATCGTCCTCAACCACCGGCGGAATGTGAGACGTCGACCGATTCAGCACCGGCAACTTGCTGCCGCGGCGCCGTTCCGGCGAAGTGACAACGGGTTGACCCGCAGCGATCGTAGCGCGGTGATCCAATGGTTCGCGACTCCGCAGATGATTCTCGACGGCACGGAAGGCCTTGTATGACAGCCATACCCGCGCATGTCCCAGGGCGTAGTCGACGCCTTCAAACAGCTCAAAGTTGTTCAAGTAGACGCGAATGGCCTCCTTGGCGCTGGCTACACGATGACGATCGGAAAACGCGTCGTAGTCAATGTCTTGAACGAAATCAATTTGCTTGCGAGCGATGAGCTCGGGCAAGAGTAATTGCGTGACTTGGGACCGCAGCTGTTGAGGGTCGAAGCGATTCGGCAAGCAGGAGTCGTTCGGTCGGAGGCAGGTGACAGACCAGACGTGGGTGCGCTCGATCAAAGCCAGCAACTGCGACAAGGTGGCATTGATCTGAGAGCTTATGGGTCGGATCTCGAGAGGGTCGAGCAGCGGTGCCAGCAGGTCGCTCGTCTCGGACGCGAAGGCCGGCGAGGGTCGGATAGGAGACGGTTGCCGCATTGGAGCCGACGAGACCTGAGCCGCGACAATGATATTCTCGTCCAGGGGGTGGAACTCCGCAGCCAGAGTGGGGCCAGAGAAGAGTTTGCCGATGAATCCATCACTGCTCATGCGCAAGATCGACACGAACTCGGGGTCCAGAAGGTCGAGATCTCGCTCCGCAAAGCCCGTCGCGCTGTAGGTTACGATACCTCCGAAGTGCACAATCCCAAAGGCCGACTTGGCGCTAGGTCCACTTGGGCTCGCGACGAACGCCGTGTGGGTACCAAAATGCGACTTCATCCCCTTGAGCAACTCCTCATCGGCTTCCTCGGCCAAAGCGCCTTTTCGAATGCTGCCGCAGACCTTGGCGAGTCCGCCCAACAATCCTCCCGGTTTCTTGTCGGCCTTGCCTCCGACTCGCCCACCTCGTAGGAGCTCGATCCGTGCCGAAGCGTCCGGTGGCACGACGTCTGCGACACGTACTCCGTCCTCCTGCGCTCGGGCGGCAATCCCAGCGTCGCCATCGAACTCGTACTCGCACAGCCAGAACCGCATCAACTCCGCGGCATAGTTGTTAATGAACTCCTCGTAGCCATTCATCGCGCGGATCAAGATCCCCGACCCCGGTCGGCTCTGCGACTTAGATGCATGTCCCGGTTGATCGAGTTGGACGATCGAAGAACCACCCTGCGCTTGCAACGCGACAATCGCCTCGTCGCCAGGGAACAATTTGTGGTTCACCGTCTCGACAATGAAGGCAAACAAAATCGAATACAACGCCGACATGAGCGAGTCGCGTTGCTCGCCCGCCCCTTCGGCACGGAGGATGACCGCGACCATCTCCTTCCTCACCCATCGGACTCGATTTGTCAAGGCTCGCTCCAAATCCTCCGAGGTGATGCCCAGGAGCTCCGCAGCATGATCGAGCACGTCCCGATTGGTGACCCATGCCGACTCTGACGAACCCCTAGACTGCCCCTCGACGGGATCGGCGAATTCGAGATTGCTCAGTGTGAGCATGGCGGCAACGAGGCGGAAGATGGCCGAGATGTGTCGAGGCTTGAACCCGAGCGCCTTGAATGCCAGCCGCAAGTCCTCGCAAGCGATCGAGTCGTCCGAGTTTGGTGTGGTTGGAGGTAGCCGTGATGTTCCCGAAGAAGCGAGCAGCTTGTAGTCCATCGGGTTTGTCAAGAGAGCCAGCTCCTGTCTTTCCTCCGGGGTCGCTCCGGCGAGCAACTGGTAGAAAACGTTGAAGGTGCGCTCGTCTCGATCAAGGCGTCTGACCCGGCCTTTGTCCAGACCCCACGTTACGAGCTTGGCACCTGAAATCCGACCCAGACGATTAAAGTGCATCTCAAAGAACGTAGCATGACGGGAAGAAGAAGGGTTGAGCGAGGTCTTGGCCGAGCCGAACGAGTTGAGCAAACACGACACGGCCTCGATCTGATCGACAATCCGGGTTTCCTTCTTGTTTCCGGACGATGCTAGTCGAAGGATTTGCGACGTGAATAGCTTCGATTGCGATGTAGCTCCTGACCCAGTCAAGCCACTGTGTACTTCCAAAAGGGTTAGCTACGTGTCTGATCCAGAGAGAAGAGTAGAAACTTCGCCCGAGGGCGCCCCCGACGTACCTAAAGACAACGCTCTGAGTAATCCCGGTTCGTCTCATCATCAGATACGTTCGACAAGCTAGTTCGTAGACATGAGGCTGGACGTCCCCACCCCCCTTCCCCTCCCGAACGAGATAGCACCTCGCCTCGTACTCGGCTTTGCTCGCCTCACTGACATCCCCGAGCACGCGAAGAGGGTTGATGACGACGAGGTTCGTATCACCGACAAAAGTCGAGGTCAATTCAGACTTGTAGCGTTGGATCAATTTGGACGAGACGGTGTCGGAGGAAAGAATTGTCATTGCGCCGACCGAGCTTTGGGTCGCCCCCGCCGCTCCCGAGGAGTTGTTGGAGCCATTGAGGAGCGAGACCAGGTTGCGAGTCGCATCGCCCGATCCGGTGGAGGATGGTTCCATGAGCAAGAAGTGCCGACGAAGGAGAGTTGAAAACCTATTTCTGCGTCGTCTGGCGGATTCCGATGCGATGGTTGGGAGCTATCGTCCGACCCAACTTCGAGAAGCGTTCGGCGTTCTTTCGGGTTGGCCTCGGCGCAGGTGGATCGCTGAGCTATGAGACTCGAACCTTCGGTCAATGTTCCGACGGTGTGGTGGTTGAGCGGTGTCGCAGAAAACAGGGATTGCGCCTAGAAAGCTGTGGACAATCACAAACCAGTTCAGAAGAAGCTCAAGGTTGGAGGGTCAGCGTTGCAGTAGTGGTGCTTACGACTCCTTTCCTTCGAAACCGGACTCCGAAAGCCGATCTCGTGTCCGAGCGTTCGACAGTGGACGTGACGATGCGAAAGGAAAGGCGGGCCCGGGCGGCGGCGAAGGCTGTGCGATGGCGATGCCGGGCGCTCAGTCAACCCAAGCTTAAAGCGAGCTGCGCACGATCAATCCAAAGCCTTGAATGAAGGGGGAAAGGATGGGGGAGGGGAGACACCTGACCGATAAAAGGCTAGGTAGATGTAGGACCAGAAGGTGGCTTTCGTCCCGACGATGAGTGGTCGAGTTGGCCTCGAAGGAGGACCGAGTGCGATCGTGTTCGTTGGACCCGCCGGACGTCGTCAATCAAGGCTTGGGCGCGCTCGGGCCACTGCCGTTCCTCGAGCGACCATCAGCGGACGCGCGAAGACGCGCTCGTTGTCAAGAACACGGGCTTCTTCGGGAATATGTAGATCGGTCACAAATACACGAGTACTGCATTGACTTTGTATTCGTTCCATCGAAACCACTGAAGAAACTTTCCCCTCCTCTTCCTAGCGGATCAAAACTTCACTTTGGAGCCCGGACTTTTTCCTTCCCTTTTTCACTCGCTAATAGATCCGAGTGAGACACCCCGCCCGGCCCGCCAATACTGCTGCGCACTGACCTTCATTTGGAGCAAGCAAAACTCTACCAAGCAAAACTTCGGCCTTTAATGAATGAACACATTTTAGTCCCAAGTGGGAGTCTTTGTGTTGAAAGTAGCATCTGATGCGCCTGCGGAACCAGCGAAAACTACGGCATTGATCGGTCTCTTGCAGGAAAGGGCACCCTGTCTACAAAAAAGCAAAGCGGGCACAAACTTTGTCTATGATAATGCACATATTTCAACATAAGCGACCTGGTCCATACTTGCTGTCTTCTAGGGAGTCCCACAACGCCTGGAAGGGAGTTCCACTAATCAATACGGGTGTCCGACCCCCACCCCCAACTCAACGGACACGTCCGACCGTAGGCTACCTCCGCATTCCCCATCTTACTCCCTGCCCAAGATAGCCAACGAATACCTCGGTGGACCCACCATACTCTCCCTACTCTTGAACTTCGGCGGAGCCTCCACAACAGCCTTATAATCCCTACTCGACCTCGGCACCTCCGGCAGCGGATAGGGTAAATCCTTCAAAGCCGGTGGGTACGCCGTGGGACCCGTCAAAGCTTCGGGCGGAGGGGAGCAGACAGGGTTGTATTCGAGGAGTAGGACTTGTTGGAGGATCTTTTGGGCTTGACACCATTTGAGGGCTTGGTGGAGTTGGAGAAAAATGAATTCGGCTTCGATGAGGGAGCGGCGTACGAGGGTAATGTCGGAGGTTCTGTGGGGAGGCGAACAGCTAGGCTCAATAAAACAGCAGGATTCAGTATGGTACTCCTCCTTAAAGAAGCACTCACTTCCCAGCCCACGAGTAGTTCATCCCCAGAGACCGAGCGAATTCCAGCTCGCGCTCCCTGAGCATCAACTTGTGCAAGCGGCGCTTCCACTCGTTGCAGAGCTCTATTCCATCGGAACAAGCCAAGCTTGATCAGCATCATCTGAAGTTGATCCTACTCGGGTACAGACAAGTCCACGCTCACTCTTAAGCTGTTTTTGCGAGAACCGGCGATGAGCGCACACCCCCTTCTGGGCACCACAGTCCAAGCATCGTGGATCTGATCGATCCGAAGATCGCCAGGGCAGCTTCGACAAGAGGTCCGTGATGAGTCGAGATGTGGTGTTGAACCGGGTCATGTCAGGTATGATTTCGGAAAGAGTGAGGGAGTTAAGTATGATGTTGGGAGGAAGAAGGACGGCAGGAGACCGTCGACACGGACGGGGTGGCGGTGAAGGGGATTTGACTCAGGGGGCTAGTATATCTCAACGGGCGATCTTTTGTCATCTGGATCAGTCGCAGGGACGTAGCCGTTGCGCCGTCTCGAAAGGATCCCCGAGTTGCCACCCTTTGATTCGAATGTTTCGAGGGATTGCACAATGATGCAAGACATTGACGTACTCAAACACACAGACCGGGCGTAGTCCAGCCCCACCCCCTCGGCCTAGGACAGATGATTGAGGGGAAACATGGCATACATAGCATGAATGAGAGCGACTACAGCAATCTCAAACGGTGCTCCATCGCGCGCTGTACAACACGAAAGATAACGAATTAGCTCACAAGAGACACGAGAAGATTCGTTCTCGATCGACGCACTGCGGGCCTCTCTCCGACCTCCCCTTTAGAACGGGTTGAGCTTCTTCGCCAATGCTCGTGCGTAGGGGATGTATGACTGTGACAGGGATAGAGAGGTCAGTTGATGTTGTTTGTTGGAACTCGGACAACTAAATTGGACGGATCGTATGCTCACCAAAGTATACCCTGTGGGAAGCGAATCGATGAGAGAGCGTCAGTATACTTACCCGAAGCCAGGATAGACCATACAAGGAGACTCACAGATATAAGCCAAAAATGTACAGATCGCAAAGACGATGACGAGAATGCTGTTTGGGTGGAGGTCGAATGTCAGAGGTCAGCTCTTTGCTCACGACTCGATCGCGAAGGGGCGTGAACGTACGGGATCCGGATGGCAAACGCAAAGACGAGCTGAGGACGAGAGAGCGAGGATGAGCTGGCTTGATGTAGACAACATTTAGTGCCTTCATAGAAAAGCGTACCGTCAAGGCGATGAAGAGTAGGAAGAGACCTAGAAGAAGAAGCCCAGCAACCCAAGTTAGCTTACCACACGAGCGAGAAATTGATATCTACAATATGCGCTCTCACCGGCTGCCCATATCCTGACGGGGTCCATCATCATCTTGAACTGTTTTTGGAACTACATGAAAGACAGGGTATGACGGAATCAGACTTGAAGTCGACACGGCCTAAAATAGACATGTCGAACTCACGCCGACCAAGAAGCCGGTGCCGACCAGCGAGATGATGACACCGAGTACATAGAAAGCTGTCAAAAGCTCGTTCATAGATCAGTCTCACACTTCTCGATCATCTGGTTAACGTAGGACTCACTCGCGAAGAGAGTGACTTGGCCCTGTTCGTGTGTGCGTGTGCGACGGTCGGAGAGTCAAGCCAAGGCGATGAGTACTGGCCTGCCACGCATCACAAGACTCGAATGACGTACAAGTGCGAAGAGGATGGCACCGACAACGGCCAGAGCACATCCAGCGACCAAACAAAAGCCTGCGATGCATATTGCCGTGTATCAGCGATCTGCTGTCGGGTTCGGCCTGCCTTGGCTGGTGCGAGTGACGTGTTCGACAGACGCGCCGCGACGCGACGGGCCGCGCAACTACGGGAGAGCACCAGTCCTTGGCGGGAGCGGACGACTGACCAAAGCCATAGAGTCGCTGTGTCCGGGTCAAATCGAGGAACTTGAAAGCTGAATCATCAGTCTGTACGAGCTGCGAGGTTGCTTGGCCTGCTTCGGATCCCGAGAGCTGTACGCGCCATCATTCCCAGACGGCCGCGATCATGTCCGAGCCAAGGCGCAGCGGCAGTCGGGAGGGCAGGTCAGTCGGAGCGAAGCGAGATGACTCGCAAGGGCGTGAGGCAGTAGCAGTGCAGCAGAGTGCGAGAGACGAGTGTCAGCCTGCCACTAAGAACGAGATCCTGAAGAGCGAGAACGAGCGCATGCGACTGACCGTGTTCCATGCACCTTGAACACTTGCCAATGCCATCTTGCCCGGTAGTGAACCGCAGGCACGATCCGGGCGAGACGTGGACTCGAATTTCAAATCCGTGGTGCATGCGCGTCTCGATGCGTGCACTCGAAACTACAAACCACAAAAGGAAACACTAGGGATACGAGAAAAGGGTTCACGAGGGAGGCTCAATGAGGAGTCGGATCTGACTAGGCTAATCAAGGACGAGTCGCCTGCCACTTAGCACCGCCAACATAGAGTTCCGAGGTGTAACCAATTCGAAATTAACAGAAAACAAAAGGGGACCTTGTCGACCGAGGTGGGACTCATGGCTTGGAGACCGTGTGCAGCTGAAAACGTACACTAGAAATAAGTTACCTCGTACCACATGATTAGAGTACATGCTACTCACTGATGTTTAGGATACCGTGGACCTCCTTCGATCCGAATGTGAGATCGACCTTGAGCGTCGATCCGAGGTGACGGAAGACTACGGAAGAGTGGAGGCTAGTGTGGAGAGTGAAGGCGAGGATCGAGTCGTCAGCCGCTTGCTGGAACTGCCTCGCCCGCCGTGAAGGGTCGGCGAGCACGATCGATCCATCGATCGATCAAGGGTCAAAGCAAAGACTCACGGGGTACGACCAAATGCAAGCGGTCTTGTGGACCAGGAACAACCTCAGTGACATGCCGTAGGCGCCATTCAACACTCGTCGACGAGTGGATAGGCTGATGGCCAGCCGTGACGCAGTGACAGACGGTAGGGTCGGAGTGGCGAGGTGGGAAGCGAGAGATCACAGTGAGAGGGAAGAGGGGAGAGGTGGTGTGGGGTAAGATGATAGAGGTGGGGTGGTGAAAGATGGACGCGAGACGGGTGAACACGAGACGAGTCAGTCCGACCATACGCCACACGAACCCGATCGCTAGCTAGGTAGTTACTCACACTTTTGACGGTGGGAGGGATCGAACGACAGACTCTACCACATCACAAAGGCCACCGTTTTGTATCCTCCTGAAAAGGGGGGCGATGTCGGCAAGATTAAGTGGTGCGAGAAGTGCAGAGCGCGTCGACGAGGAGAAGGAAGGGAGAAAGAGAGAGAGGCGACGAGCTCGAGGTGGTCGCTGACTTGGGTGCGGGGTGTGCGCTTGGCAGAATGAGTCATCTCATCGATATGACGCCACGCTGTGACTTCAAGCTTTCGATCTTCTCCACCTCTGCCGAGCGCGGCCGAGAGCGGCCGAGAGCGCCGAAGACCTGAACGGACAGGGGACCGTGCACCCCACATCGAGGCCAACGATCCACTCTCCGGAAAGACCAAGACCGAATACCTTGTCGATCAAGCTCGGTCAAGTCTCAGCAAGTTGGTTGAGCTCCAGGGATCACCCCAGAGTTGAGATCGCCGCGATCGATACAGCGGTTGTCGCTCCAGCAGCTTGGTCCGAGTTGGGACGACCCCGAACTCCGAGTCCGCCGCGGAGCTGGGTTGCGGGACCGGCTTCACGCGAGAGCTCCGACGCAGCGAGTCGAGGCTGTCATGCAAGTAGGGTGGCACCCAAATACAAAATCATATTGAAAGAAGAAAATATGTTTTTTTACATGTACGTCGGACCATTGTTCATCAGAAAATTGGCGGATTCTCGCTGCCTAGATCGTTGACGCTCAAGCTCCCCACTGCGATCTTCCGAAAGGAAGCCGCCGCCTTGACCAGACTAAGATTGAGAGCAAAAATAACGAATGTGGGGTACAGGCTATTTTACGGTACAATTTAAAATATTATGATGCATCTTCTCGCACTACTCTGAGCTCGAACGACCTTTTGTTGGACCTGCCCTCGATTGCTTTTCGGCTCGGAGCGATGGGCAGCGCGGCCTTCTCAACCACCCTTGATTCTTCCTGCACCCTGTACCTTGTGCCTTGCGCCTTGCACCCACACACCTCATACCTCCTCCGATGACGGTCAAACACGGCCACGACTGCCTCGGTGACGCTTTAGAGGTCGTTCCAGACGCCCTTCTCTCTCGGGAGACGAACCTGAGCAGCGCGTTGGTTTCCCTCGTCGGCAAGATCGATGGCGAGTCCTTCCTCAGAGCCCCTTCGCAGCCCATAACTGCTCCGGGACGATTTGCCGAGCAAACTCTAGCTGACCCTCTACGCTGTCCATCACTGTTCTCCACTCAGTCGCCATCATCGACGGCTCTACCACATTCCAACATCAATGCAAAGCCGCGATGGACCGCGCGAAACACAACGAGCCGAAGCGAGGCCGGCTGTTCCTCAATGCGATCATTCGACACCTCGAGGAGATCATTGCAGCGACGGCAAGGCGGATCCAAGTGGTCGTGGTATTTGGTCATCCCATCCTTCGTCCCGAGCTCAAGCGGAACACCGTGCTCGATCGCCAAGATCGCCAGCAGCCGCAACAGCCTTCCGATAAGTCGACCCCTGTCACCCACCCCGTCCCCTTCATCACGAACGACACCCTCGCCGCGTGCGTTCACGGACGATCGAGCAAAGAATGGGAGGTCGCTTTTTTCCACGGTGACGAGCCAACCCGAGTTGCCACCTTTGTTCGCTGGTCCGAGCAAGGCTTGCTCGTCGTCGCGGCCCACGAGGCCGATCCCCTCGTCTCGGCGTCGACCAAGTTTGGCCAGATCTGCGACGTTGCGCTCGAACCCAACCGCGTCGTCCTCGTGAGCGCCGACAGCGACTTTTTCATGCTTCTCGGCGCCGACCAAGCCCGTTAACGCGCCGTGCTATCGGGCAAGGACCAAAACATTAGCTTGGTGGACCTTGCCGTGCTCGACGCTCACCCCGCGGTGTGGAATTCTTGTCAGCGATTCGTCGCGAGCCTCATCCTCGGGTGCGACTATTTCAGGGGCATCAAAAGGATCGGTCCTGCAGGACTTCGAAATTTGCCTTTGGCAAGTTCGGCCTCACACAACTGGTGCACCTCATCAGCTCGAGCAGGATCGTTGGACTGGGGTGTCGGGCGTCCGACGCGGCCCCAAGGTTGGTAGTATTTGCCGTTGATTTCTTCAGGCGTGAGGATCGTTCCAGTGTTAAGCTGCGTAAGGGCACACATTGTCAAGGGGTACGACATCCACCTCACGATGCTAGCCACGAAGCCGGGGAGATGTCGTTGCAGCTCCGAGTTGATCATGCCGGGATGCAGAGAGCAGGCGACGATGTCACCGGCGTACTCTCGCCCCAAGTAGTTGGCGTGCGCGATGTTGCCCGCTTTCGACTGACCGTAGAGTGCACTTTATAAAAAAACAAGCGGGTCCTTTTCGTCAAAGTCTGTTCGTGTGTCACGGTAGGCTCCTGTAGGTGTGCTCTCACCTCCTGGCGCCGTATTCTCCCCACTTCTTGATAAGCGCATCTCGCTTCGCGCTGCCGACAAAGGAATCGACCTCCCAAACCTTGTTGGGGGCGCTGGTAGGAGCATAAGCGTGCGCCAGAGACGACGTGTTGATGACACGACTCGGTGTACCCGAAGCCGACTTGGATGCCTTCAAAGCAGGGATCTGAGGGACCAGGGTTGAAAATTAGTACCGAATTGAATTTTCACGGTGCGCCTCGGCGGATACTCACAAGCATGTTTGTGAAGTAGTATGGCCCGAGGACATTGGTGCCCCATTCTGTACAAATCATAAGAGCGATCGTAAGTGACCAGAACAACGTCCGTAAATCCAAAAGCCACTTCAATCATGGCTTACGCAGGTCGTAGCCGCTCTCGGTGAGCTGGCCTGTCGGCGGAGTCATGACACCGCTAGATTGCCAGGTCGGCCAAGGAGTCAGTCAATCAGCCACTGATCAACGCTGTTATGTTAGGGTCCTACCTCACTCACGCATTATTGAACAACACGTCGAGCTTTTTCTCCTTACTCAAGAATTCTTCGGCGCTCGGCTTGATCGACGCCAGATCGCCGAGGTTAAGCTTGAGGAAGATTGCCTCTCTACCGGTCTCTTGTTTGAGACTGGCGATTGCCTTCTCGGCCTTGTCTTGGGATTGAGCGGCGAGGTAGACCTTGGCATTCTTCTTGAGAAGCGCCTTGACGGTTTCGTAGCCGATGCCGGCGTTGCCTCCGGTGACGATTATGACCTGCCAGGCCGGCGAGCGAAATGGGCAAGAAGTGCAACGACAAGCGAGGATGCGACCGGGGGATATTAGAGGAAGAGACGATGAGTTCAGGTGATATGAGGTAGTCGAGGAGAGGATGAGGAGCTCACTTTGCCCGACAGGTCAGGCATGTCCTCGGCGGAGAAGAGGGCAGCAGGCGGGAAGAAGGTCGTCGACAGCGTCGAAGTGGGCGCGATCTTTTCTAAGAGGGAGGACAACATGGTCAAAGCTGAATGCAGGCGGAGAAGATGAAGTTGCCCAAAAAGTCGATTCGGTCCAGCTTTTCCTGACGGGTCCCAGGAGGTTTCTTGAGCTTCATGCAGCGCGTCACGACGATGGCAATGAAGAATGAAAGAGGCAAGTTGATGCAGAAAGCGCTGCTGAGAATTCGAGAACGGACGACCTCTTGCAAGAGCTTCCGAACGAGCACGCGGCCGCGACGCGGTCTCTCGACGCGCTCCGCATTTCACTCTCGTAGTGGGCTCTCGAGTCTCGACTGCTCTCTCGAGTTTCCGGCGCTCCGGGACTCTTTTTAAGGCGGCGGACTCTCAGATCTGCCTTGTGACTGGCTCGTAACTGGCTCGCACTGTTTGGTCGAGACTCGAGACGAGAGATCGTCCACCGCTCGCACCACTCTGCACCACCCTCATATCTCACCGGACAGCTTGACTACGATCTCGAGGTAGATTACTGGTGCCAAGTAGTCGTGGTGAGCGGCGCTGTGCTTGCCGAAACAGGACAACGAGTCGACGGAGGCTCACTGCAGGCTTCAGGGTCCGAGTCGAGCTCGGAAATCGCCTCGAACGGAGCGCGAGCAAAGCACCACACTGGCAGAGCACCACGCGCCGACGGGACGCAGCGACCGCCAGCACTGACACGGATCAGCAGCCATGACCACACCACCACACACTCCGACCTGGCCCAGCTCGTTCCTACGTGAGGTCAGAATCACACCCCATTCTACACCATCCTACCCACCGAGTCAGGCCTCGACAACCGCGTCGCCGCACCAGAATCACATGGTCGTGCAACTCGACCCCGCTCGCTCCTCGTCGGGGCCCGGCACGGGTGTGGGTATGGGTGTAGGCACGTCCTCGTCGGCGACATCGACTCCGCAATCCCGCTACGGGGAGTTCGAAGCCTATGCCTCCCACGACGAAAGCACTTCGCCGATGCTCAGACCGACCTCCCCTTCCTGGGTCGGGACACGCTCCCCTTCGCCGCCGAATACACTGCCGATCACCTCGGGGCCCTCGTCGCGCCCACCCTCGGCCTCGCACACCACCACGCGACGGTCGTCCATCTCGGACCCCAAATGGGACGCACCCAACCCAGCTTCGACTCTCTCCCCGTGGATACTAAAACGCAAGAGCTGGATTGTACTGCTCCCGCTCGCCCTCGTCTCGCTCACCTATGCCATCTCGAGCCGACGCGGTGGGTCGTACTCCGCCTCGAGCCATGGCGCCGGGAGAAGGATCTCGACATGGCGCCCCTCGTTTGATCGGTGGAGGCTCAATGGTGAACAGGGAGCAGCGGCCCAAAGTGGGACTTCCAATGCGGACGGGGATCTAGGCGTCGAGCCGCAACGGCTGCGGCATCACTGGTGGAAGCCACAGGAGATTCTCGACGACGAGGGCAACCTCTGGCCGAAGCAGGGCAAGAATGGGTCCAAGATACGGACAGAAAAGGGCAACGTGCTCATGTATCGAAACGATTTGTGAGTGTGTCGAACGTCAACTTGCCCACGCATCGAGACGCTTGCTGACCTCGCAAGGCGAAAAACCCTTCGCTCAGTGGCGGGACGTGGGACGCGAGAACCGACAGTCTCCGAGCACGGTGTCAAGCCGACACACCGCCACTATCGACAAAATGGGACTATTCTAAGCAAACAATATCAGGCGTCAACTTTGGAGGGTGAGTCGGGCATTCAAGTTGTGCTCCCTCCGCTGCAGACTTGACGCGACAACGTTACTGATTTCCACGCCCGACAGATGGTTGACACCGGAACCTTTCATCACACCTCACCTCTACGAGCCGTATCTCGCCTTTGAGCAAGAGGCCGTCGACGAATACACTTTATCCGTTCATCTCGGCAACAAGCTCGAAGCGACCCTGACACACCACTACGAGACCTTCATCACCGAAAAGGACTTCGCCGAAGTCGCAGGCGCAGGATTGAATTGGGTCCGCATCCCATTGAGTTATTGGGCGATTGAGACGCAGGAGGGGGAACCGTTCTTGGCGCATGTCTCTTGGACTTGTGAGTGCACGCCTATTCGGGGTGAACACGGTTACGTTGTAGGCGAAGTCACTAAACAAGAAGCGCCTCATAGATTTCCTGAAAGCGGTCGAATGGGCTCGCAAGTATGGCCTCAGGATCAATCTCGACCTGCACACCGTCCCAGGCTCCTCAAAGTTGGTCTCGTCTACATGCAAGCATGGTTTATGGATCTATTTTGCTGATTACGTACTGCTCTTCAAATCTCTCAGCGGCTGGAATCATTCTGGCAAATCGGGGACCGTCAATTTGATGAATGGCGTCATGGGTATCGCCAACGCCGAACGCACGCTCAATATCGTGCGATCGCTGGCCAGATTCATCAGTTTGCCGGTCAACCGAAACGTGCGTTCGCATCCATCTGGCCTGCCGTCAGGACCACGAGAGCTGAATCTATCCGATTCTTTTCACAGATCATCCCGATGTTCAGTGTGCTCAACGAGCCTTATCTCAACGTCATCGGCCATGCCGCGCTGCGACCTCTGTCAGTCGTGCTCCACTGACGATGGCTGAACCCTCAAACTAATGAGACATCGTCTGTGCCTGCAGTTACGTGAAGCTGTACGATACCGTTCGCGCCGAGTCCGGCTTTGGTGATGGAAATGGACCAGTCATCGTGTATCATGACGGCTTCAAGGGGACTGCGGTTTGGCACGGCTTCATGAAGGGCTCGGATCGCGTCGCCCTCGACTCTCACCGCTACCTCTGCTTCCGAACACCCAATACCGATCCTCTGCCAGTGCAGTCGATCAAGCCCTGCGTGAACTGGATGCGCCACTTCAACCGCACGATGCGGTCTTTTGGCATCTCGATGGTCGCCGAATGGTCAATCGCAACCAACGACTGCGGTCGATTCGTCAACGGCGTCCACGTCGGTACCCGTTTCGAAGGGACCTACGGCGATCCCAAGATCGTTGCCGCTGCGGAACCCGGCGCGTGCGAGTTTTGGGAGGATTCGACGCAATGGAGCAAGCAGATGAAGCTCGACTTGCAGGATATTGCGTTGGCGCATATGGATGCGTTCCAGAATTGGTTCTATTGGACGTGAGTCGTGATTACGCTGAATTCGGGTCAAAACCCTGAAGATGGGACTGACAATTGTGCATGCTGATCAGATGGAAGACGGGGCCCTCGTTATTGCACCCTGATCGACCAGCCAATCCGATGTGGTCCTACCGCCACGGCCTCCTAAACGGCTATATTCCCAAAAACCCTCGTGTCTTCCCCGGTTTCTGTCGCCGCCAATTCGAGCGCTTTAACCGCACTCAAGAGAAGACGTACCACTTCTCGGGCCAACTCTTGAATTGGCAAGCCGGGTTGGGCAAGAACCCCGGCAGCGAGATGGATCGAGGAGGGTACGAATGGCCACCCGAGAAGATTGGCCTGGGGACATTTGAAGGACAACAGTTGTTCGTCAAGGACCTACCTCGGTGGTCCAAGACGGGCAAGAGCAGTCCTTTACCTTGGCCCAAGGGGTTGTATCGCCCTCGACCCAAGGGCACGGGCGAGGTCGATAGGGCCGAGGAACCTTGGTACGAACCAATCGAAGGGTGCGTTTACCCCGATGCGTACTCTGGTGTAGGCGAACACGTCGCCATCCCTGATGGGACCAAATGCGGTGCTTCGGCTTTCTGAGTATCAACCCTCGCATCGTCGCGCCACTCCGAATCAAACTAGTCAAAGCGAGCAAAATTCGCAACAACATGCACAAGCAAAAGCGATGTCAAACAACCGTAGTAGCGACATCTACATATTCCCCCACCCCACGAACGCATTCAATGATGACCTGGGGACATATTCTTTGAGTAGCTTGTATCATGTATCAACCTCTGTGTAACATCAGCTTGCCGCCTCTTGTCCTTTCCTCACAAACCTAGACTTTTTTTCACGGATTCTTGCTCTCTTCGCTCTTCGCATTGTGCAATAACTTATCTCCGTATGACTGGAGTCTTGGAAGGCTACATGTTGATGAAGATTACAGCTGTTCAAATGTGGGAAATCCGTGACCTAACGCTACAGGGGAGATAATACAACTTCGATGCTCGGATATTCGCGCCACTCTGGCTCATCACTGCGAAGCTAAATAGGCCCTGTACGCCGCCTCGAGCAGCAAAATAAACGACTGCGCCTCTGGACTCGTATTCGACGTCTGTTGCCACGACAAAGGGTTGACGCAACCTTGCAACCATCCCGAAGACGTATTGATCTTGGAGATCAACTTGTCACGTAAAGCTGTAGCGCTGGCGAGTTGGGCTGAGGTTCCATGGCCTAGTTGGGCAAGTCGGAAGGGGACGCTGGCTAGGAGGGCCGAGGAAGCGGAATCAGAAAAGGTGTTGGAGTCACCGAAGTAGTTGGGGATCATGCCGTTGCTCTGAGATTGAAACGGTGAGCAGCGCAGCTCGTCAGGTTCCTTGAATCTGGCTCGCTCTAGAATAGACGAGACTAACATCAAGCCGAGCAAAAGTCGCATTGATGATCTCCGAGATCCAAGTAACAAGATCGGAAATTTCGGAGGTATATGCACTCGGTGCGGGGGAATGCATCATCGAAGCGAGTACGCGCGTCATGCCTGCGGCTGCCCAGCCGTTGCCTGCGTTCGTCGAAGAAGTTGGAACAGGGGTCAGATCCGCGTGCGTGGCTATCTATCCTCCGAACCGGAACTCCTCAGTAGTAATGCTCCCAATCTCACCTGTCGCCCAAAGACCACTGTCTTGCCAATTTCCCAAATCAACATGCTTCCACAAACCCGTGCGACGGTCTTGCAAGTAGCGCCGGTAGATCTTGATCTGCGCGTAGGCCTGGAGCAAGAGCGTCGCGTTGTTCGTTTCCAGACCTCGACCGGCCAAGAAGGGTGGGACCATGTCTGACACGTACAACTATCTTCATCAGTCAAGGCTGTCCCCGCCGCAACAACGTCTTTAGCCGAGCACCGAACACTCACAGATGAAATCCGACCAGAGTTGTACGGGCTCGCTGCTCGGACGGTGACTCACCGCGCCATCACTCGTCCTAGGCACCGTCTCAAGGTACCCAATCTCCTGCTGAACGATACTCTCATAATTCGCCTTGGTGGCGCTACTCGCAACCGTTTTTGAAGCGACGATCCAAGCCCACCCGAGCGAAGCCGGATCTCCCGCGGCCCCTCCTGAAACGTAGGCGAACTGATTTGTGGAAGATGGTCTTTGGCTGGCCCAGGAAGCGGTGATGTCGTTCGATGCGCTCGGCGTAGAGCTGGATGAGAAACTGGTCGCAGCTAGTTGCGATGAGATACTTGGGTTGAACACGGTGAGTTGAGGGTAGTAGAGCTCGAGCAAAGCTTCGGTGAACGTCCCCGACACCCAGCTGTACAATGCAGACGAATATCAGATTCGAGAGTCAAAGATTTACGAATCAGATTTGCATTCTTCCATCAAGAATCGACTCGACGACGAGTAGTTGCCGAGGGCGAACTCACGTATCCGTCGAAGCTTGCGCCGCCTGTCCCTTGACCTTGTTGACCAGATAAGTCGACATGACCGGCTCTGCGCGCTTGGGCAAAACTGCAGCATTGACCAAAGTCGTGCAACAACCGATGGCTAGGCATAGGATCCCCACCGCGCCCGCGATGGCTTGAGAGGGTATCAGGTGTGATCGCCGACTCCTCGGCGCCCGAGGCGACCGGCAAACCCTGCGCGAGGTCGTCCCGGATCCGCGCGCTCCGACAGTCATAATTTTCCACGAGTGACCCGAGCTTGAACGGCCTTCCAATGGCGAAGGGAGAACAGTCGCAATACACGTTCGAAATAGGATGGATGCAGGACGAAGAAGGAGGTGAGAAGGGCTCGTCCAGTGCGCGGCTAACTATATCACAACCCACTGACCTGGTTTCACCCCGGCGACTCGGGACTTGTGAGTTGTAATGCGAAGCCGTTGTGACGAATCTGGATGACGTGAGGTAACGCTCCCTTCACACGCGCAGCGAGTTGGAAGTGCTCGGAGATGGAAAAGGAAAGACATGGCATGTCTCACAATCACAAATACATGACTAGACTGCGTGAAACAGGTTCGTGCTGTTCTAGAAGTAAATTTAGCTCTACTCACGCGCACGGCAGAGCGCGGTCAGTCGAATGAAGTTAGCAGGAACGCAAGTTTCGAACGGATCGGCACATCTTCCCTCGCGCGAGCGAATCAACGGCCGGGGGTAAACTTACAAACCCGTGCGGAAGGCTGCTCGGGGGCCCACCGGTACTGTCTACGACAAAAAAGAACTATGGACAAAAAGAAACGCGCGCCTATTGCTTCCGCCAGGTCTGGACAAAACAAAAACCACACATGTCCCAGACGCGTGAACCGGGGGATGGGATGCCCAGTCAGCGCCCGGCCGAGCCTCACAAAGACCTTTGAGCGATCATCGAGCTCAAGGAGTCAGAGTACTCACTGTAAAAGATTCCCTGCACGATCCACCCAGTGTTCAAAGAAGGTCGAGAGATGACCTGATGAAAAACAACAGAGTAATGCAAAGAGTCAGCACGATGAATCATGGTGATGCATGATGATGGAGATGATGGAGCGAGCCTGGTCGAGTCCGAGTCCGAGTCCGAGTCCGAGGCCGAGGCCGAGAGAGTGAACCCCCCTGTGCACGCACTACAAATCAATTTCCCAGAAAGTATCGACCCGGCTTGCATGAGTTTCATTTAATTAGGCCAGGCGAACATGAGCCCGAATTACTTCAGATAGATGCTACTGACAGGCTGTCAATCCTGGCACAGCGCAGTACTGTTTCGACCAGGACTCAGGTCCTGCACAGCTGAGCTAGCGCGTGCTCGGAAAGGGCTCCTTCTAGTGGGGGGAATCTTTATCGTGTGCCTTGGCAATTTCTCGGGGACCTGTAGCACGGTGCGCTACGCAACGGAACGAATCGGCACACATGGAGAAGCACCTCCTCCAGAAACTAGCTTTGTGGAGGAGTGCTAAACGCGCGCCGCTGTTGCAGATGTAGTTTTAGGAATTCAAGGACTGATGATCGACGTCGATTCGAGTTCCTAGAACCGCCAAAACGTGAGAGCTACCTGGCCACCTGCTACAGAACACCACTCCCTTTCAAAATTAGAAATCGAAGGGCCTGCTCCTGGTCGCTCTCATCACTCTTAAGTTGCATTGCGCACGCGATAAGCTAACTTCGAGCGGGCCGCCGGCAGCGCAGAGGGGGCGGGTTGGGCGCTCACAGGGGGGCGGGGGGGGTGGCTTGCGGTGAGCATACTCTGCGGCGCTGTGAGGCCCAAGCTTGCGCGATCCGCCCCCCATTCCTACACTACAGTCATCGAAGGACGTTTCCAACACGATGTAACAAAGGCACGCTACTCTATCTTATTTTCTCTCAGTAAGACTCGAGGGCCGAGTATTTTCCCCACGCTCCCTCTCGCCTGTTCCACCTCGTTCCGAAAAGCAATTCAAGTGAAGATTTCCAGAGAATAACTTCTTTCCATTTTCACCATCACCTTTGTAAAAAAAATCGTGCTCATATGGTGAAACTTTGGTTCACTGTTACTTTCAGCTCAGAGCATGCAATTCAAATATCGTAGAGAACAAAAGAGTCACAAAAAAGGGAGCAGTCTCAAAGTGCGGGAGAGAGAAAAAGAACGTTAAACACGAACACAGGGAGGGACTCGAAGGAGGAGAAAGCAGAATCTAGGAGAACAAGCGCCTCTCGGAGAAGTGTTGTTATGCATTCTCGAAAAGCGTGCGAAAGCAGAGGTAAAAGCTGTATACTAATGTGTCATCGAAATACGAAGTCTGTCGCTTCCACGATATTGGGTCAACGGAAGAGAAATCTTGTGCGCACTCTTGGACATCTAATGCTCCTTCTGATCGGCCTTAATCCGTGGTCATCCCATGCTGCACACCTTTGACCTCTTCGCCAACATTCGATGCCAGGGTATACTCGAGTTTGGGGCTCCCACTGACGGTCGTCGTCGCCTTGTTGACCGGTGAAAGCGGTACTTCGAGCGGAGGACTCGGAGGCTTAATGATCCCCTCATCGACCTGCTCGTTGTCGTCGATCGTCACCGCCTCCTCCCCAAGTGTCGGCAGAAGTCCGCCATTGGGATCCGACTTGGTGATCGAGTCATTCAGCGATGTCGTCGAAGGCGCGGAAGTGACCATCGGGCTGGAAGCCGTCGGTGTCGTGTCGCGAATATTCCGCATGTTGATCTGGTTATCCGACTCCATGCTCGCGGAGACGGGGGGCATCCCACCCGGTTGAGAGATGGTGCGTTTGAGCGGTACGAACGCGCTCGGTGGGTCTGAAGGGAACTGTGTGATTGGATGTGGTGCCAACGACGCGACATGGGGCGGCTGAAGTTGTGATGTGGCTTCGATTGTAGGCGCGTTCGAGTTGGCGGCAACGCTGGAGGAAGGGGTTCCCGCGGCACTTGAAGCCGAGGGGGGTAACGAGATGCTGTATACGCCGGGTCCACTTGGAAGAACTTGTTCCGGTAATGTTTTGCGCGGTCGAGGGACCGAAGGGGCGGCAAAGGACGTCGACGACAGCGGGTTCATCGTCGTCGCGGAGGTGAGGTAGTGGATCTCTTGCAAACATCTGGTTGACATCAAAGCGTGGGTAGTGCGGCTCAGTATCGGAGCTTGGGAGGCTCGCTTCCCGCCTCTTCCGCATCGTACTTACTGCTTCAGATAGTCTCGACTCCGTGCCTTTCCACGGGGATCTCTGGCTGCGGCTCCCAGCCCCGTCGTCCCCCAGTTGCCTGTACCTGCCCCGCCGGCTGGTGCTATGCCATTTGCTCCCACGTTCGCTGCTCGTGAAGCAGCTGCAGTGCTCGTCGCACCCGTTGCCACTGCTGCAACAGCATTTGTAGGGCCTGCAGAAGATGTTGAAGAGGTCATTGGGACCGATTCGGGCGCCAGGCCCTCCTTCGCGCCGGCGGAAGTCTCCTTGTCCTTCGGAGCGGACGCGGGATTGAGGCTAGACAATTGGTGGGCGGCTTTCGCTGCCGATACTGGTACAGATGGACCTCCTCCGGGGATAGGGGATGCGGTTCCCGATGCGTTTGATGGGGTCGACGCTCCAGGAGCGGCGTTCGTCGAAGTGAGGAACTTGGATCTGCATAACGAAGAATCGATGTTCATGAATTAGTCATTGCTCGTCGCCAAGTCAAGGTATGTTCTATACCAGCTCAAGCCAGACAGACAGACCTTTCCCCTCGGAGTGCATTCTCCAACATCTTGCACCTCCGCGCTAAATCACGCAGCGCACCCTCGTTGCCTCGCTTCTCGCCCTCGAGCAAGGCGATGCGCGCTCTCATCTCGGCGCGTTCAATTTCCCATTCGTTGCGGTCCTTGGCGTAGCGACGATGCTCGCTCTGGAGGAAGTGGAGCGTCGAGGCGAGCGTCATGTGAGGGGGCTGCATCGGCGCGGGCGGGGGTGGTGGTTGCTGCTGCTGCGGCTGCTGAGGCTGAAGCTGAGGCGGGTCATCCTGTTGTTGCTGCTGTTGCTGTTGCTGTTGCTGTTGCTGTTGCTGTTGCTGTTGCTGTTGCTGTTGCTGTTGCTGTTGCTGCTGTTGCTGCTGCTGTAGATGTTGCTGCTGTTGGGTACCATAACTGCCCCGAAATGTATGTGTCTGGTCGCTTTGGGACGTGAAGGACGAAGGCGGGTTCCACGGCAGCATCTTGATGACGCCCTTTCAGGTGTGACTGCACGCCGTTCACGACGAGGGCGATGCGGAGCGGCGCTCGTTCAATGTCGGAGACTGTTGGTGGGATCAGAGCCGTACATAGTCAGCCATCTTAGCTTGAACGGCCTGGTGATCTTGATTGTAGGCGTGGATGCGACGTGGTGGGCCCGCGCTCAACGCTCCTCACGCTCCCAGTTTCACCACGATGCGAGTGACCAGCATAGGTTGTTCTCTCCCCAGGATCCACACGCAACGAACGACAACATCGATCTCTGTTTCCGATCATCTGGTGAGCTTGAGCCTAGCCGGAGGGCGAAGCGTGTGCGACGTGGGTGGTGAGGCGGGAGCTGGTCCGCCTTCACGTGAAGGGGCTGAGCTCGTACGATCGGCAGCAGCAGCAGCTTACACCGTACAGGAGCACAGCAAGTATTCTGCAACCCGAAATTTTTTGGTGCAACCTTCACAACTGCTGATAGCACTCACCAGTTGCTGAAAGCCAAACAGGATCCACACTTGCTCACGCGAGCGGACAGATGCGATCGAGCGCCGGTGCGGCCTCTTGATCCGAAGGCTGACTGGGGCCGATGAGGTCGTGTAGAGTCACGATATGAACGACCAAGGTCGCGTGCTCGTATGCTCAGTGAAGATGCGGGCGGTGGGTTGAGCTGGCAGCTGCTCAAAAGGCGACCCACGATAGGCTCGACTTGGTCTGACTTGGTGACGCGCTTTGTGTGCGCCCCGCTCAGCGCTCAGCGCTCAGCCCCGCTCTGCCCCGCTTGGACCCGCTTGTGCCCTCTTGTCCCAGTGTTTGATCGCAAGCTTTTGCATAAGGCGCGGGCTGACCAGCAGCAACCTGAGTCGAGCCCAGTAACCATTCAAACTCTCCGGGAGCGCTCTGCGGTCCTCACGCTGCGTGTTTCTTGCTAGATCTTCGCGTTCTCTGCTAGGTTTCAGCCACTGCTACTACGAACCTGTCCAGGATCTTCGAGCAATCCAGCTTGGTTTGGGCTCATGCCCCGCGCCGGCGCGGACAGCACCACCGGTTCAGGCCAGTACGGCCGGGTAGTACCACAGACGAGCTGGGATGACACATGGATTAGATTGCCCGAGAGAAAGACAGATGGTGTAGCCTCATGGGATAATAAAAGTCCCGAGAAAACGGAAAGATAAAAGACCCAAGGGAGCGCGAAGAGACGAAAGAGACAGAGAGAGAACGAGCGCGAGAGGAGCCGAAGGACAAACCCGAAGTCCCTATAACACCAGCCCATAATCACTGCCTGAGCACACCGGCGGGGAGCTGGGCTATGCGGACCCTCTCCTCCTCGACGATCTCGAGGTGCTGCTGCGTCTGCGAGCACGGCGAGCAGAAGCACGACATCATGCAATCACCGCAACCACTGCCTTCGATCCCGGCGCGTTCACGCATGTCGCTGCGGAGCATCAGATCGAGGATGCAGCCGAGCCCAATGCACTGCATCAGGTAGAAGGCGCAGCAGTTGCCTCCGACGTAGCCTGGGTGGGAGGGAAGTAAACGAGATCAAAAGTTTTGGTCGGTCAGCAAGTCGTCCTCAACATACTTCCAAGCGGTTGATGCGCGCGTCTGGCTTGATCGGGCAACAAATCACGCCCCCCCCCCCCCCCCCCCCCCCACCCCCGCGCGCGCGAGCCGAGAGGCAGGAGAGGCCCAAGGCCGGCGGGCTGCCCGGCGGGTGCCACCGCCCACAAGTCCACAGGAAAGAAGAACCTTGACTGACCATCGTCGGTCGAGACTTGGTTCGCCTTGAGGGCCGAGTATTTGGTCTTGTTGGTACCAAAAGTCAGGCAAGGTCTGTGTTGCGGTGGGGCGATTGGGCGATGCGTAGGTTGATTTACGGGTCGTCGCGCGCCGAGGGAAGGTTCAGGGTCCGGGAACAGCCAGCAGGTCAGTCTCGGAAGCGCCCCCACACCAGTCACGACGATCCACTGCCAGGATGCTCCCCACGGAAGGGGAGAAACCACACCATGAGAGGTTGAGCAGAACACAGGGTAGGACTTACGCGCACGCCGCGGCAATGCAGAAGCCAGGGGACTTGCTCATCGTGCCACAGCAAGTCGTGTTGAAGCTTCGCTTACCCTCCGGGTTGCGCGCGAGGCCAAGAGGGTTCAAGGTGTCAACCGACATGCCCGACATGCCCATCGGCTGGTTCGTGATATACGGCTGGCCCTGGGGTTGGCCTTGGTATTGCTCTTGGGGTTGCTTCTCGGAGTTCATGTTGAGCGGGGCGGGTGGTGGTGGAGGTCGGGCGAAAGGCGTGCGCTAAGCGAGGGTGGGGCTATTCAAGAGCTTTCAACGGAGGGGGGCTGTGTCACGCGAAGAGGCGTTCACTCGAGTCAGCGACGTGCGACTCCTGCAATGCTGCCGCCCAGCTTGAAGCAGGTGGGTGTACACTACTCACCTGACAATAATTTCGTCCGAAGGTGATGGAAGCAGAACAAGCAAGACGAGAGGGAAAATTCCACGCAAAGGCTTCAACAAAACTGCTGCTTTTTTCTGACCTTTAGGGCAACTTGTTTGCTCCCCGCGGTTTTTGACTTTGCGCGAGCGGCGGCGCCGAGATCGGATCGGGCAGGTAAAGAATGCCTGAGCTGGACATGGGCTCGTAATTTCTCGCCGAGACTCGATTGGTTGGCGGGCTATGTGCATTGAAATACGTTTTCTCCACCGCGTCTGGTCAGCTCTGTGTACGCGTTCGGAAGCCACAGGATCAAAGCAAGTGGGCTTCAAGCCGGGCGATGAAGCAGTGCAAGCTTATCGGTGCCGCGACGAGTCGTTCGGAGTCGTGAGTCGTGTCTCTCGAGGCAGGGACGATCGCCGATGTTGGCTTCGCCAGGCTGTTCATTTTGGGCAGGCACCGCGCTCACAGTATTTTCATGTTTTTGAGTGACACGCCGCTGACTTGAACTTGCGTAGGCAGATGCCGAGTTTTCTTATCAAGAGTTGTGAAGGTCAAACCTGCTTGGGAAAGGCACTTTTGTTGCAGAAATGTTCTCGAGTGGTAACTGATGATGACCACGACTCAGTCCAATGAACAGGGACGAGAACAGAGTGGCCAGAGACTAAGGGACAGACTCGCGGAAGGCTAGAAAGTGAAGCGTAATGCTAATAGGGAAGAGGGATTAGAGACTAGTAAAGCAGGGAGAATGAGTGACTAGGGAGTTCATGAAGCGTCGCTAGGCTCAATCCCAAGTACCATAATAGGAGCAAGAATCAGATGAAGGACTTTAAACCATATGTTCCTAACAACTTTCAGTGCCACATGCCACAGGCGTCCAGCGCCCAGCGCCTACCTGGCACCGGTGACCGGTGGCGACCGGTAAAGACGGCAGCGCGCCGCGGGAACGCAACGGCGGAGCACGGGCGCGATGCTCGTATGGGCCGAAAGGATCTACAACAACCAAAAAAACAAACAAAAACAAATCCCAAAATACTGCATCCTCTCGAGGCGAATCACCTCCGCATCTTCTAAGCTCTGCATTCCGAGACACTAGATTCAAGATGGCGCAAACACCAGCTTCGCTGATCGTAACATTTCGCACGTGACGAAATGACGGCCACGTGCGCTTGGACCGCCTGTTGATCGTGATCGGAATCCCCGCGACAAGCATCTAGAGCTGGTAATGATTGATCGCGAGTTACCTAGCTCGGTAGGAGGTAGGTAGGTTTTGAATCCGTGTGTTACAACTTGAGCCCCTGTTTTGACCTGCAATGAGTTTCCGCCCTAGATAGCCACGATTACGATACGCGCCGACGTGTCAAAATCTGCTCTGCCACCTTGAAAATGTGTTGGCATGGCTATGCCAGCTATATATCCATCTGCGATCGAACCTCGAATCATGGTGCCAGAACCTCGGTAACGTTTGACTAAGAGGGTTCAACGACCGCAGATAAGTCAGCATAACTTAGGCAAGGCGTCCCGAGCCCCAACTCCACCCTTTCACTCACCGACTCGGTCTCAGCATCCTCTCTCATCTTCTCGACCGAAGCCGCAAATGCCTTCTGTTCCTCCGTCTGCGCCCCCCTCATCGTCATCTGTCGTTGTCTCCTCCCCCCATCCTGCAAAGCCGCCGCGGCCCTGACGGTGAAGATGGCCTTTCGGAACGTCTTGGCTGGGTCGAACTGGCGACGCAGCGTCGGTAACAAATCGTGGTTCTGTTGCTGGTCCGAAGCAGGGGCGGGGGCGGCGTCTGAGATTTGTAACCACGGGTGTGCCAAAGCGTCGGCAGCGGTGATACGTTTGGCTTGATCGATCGTCAAGCACTTGCCGATGAATTCGCGCGCTGTGAGTGGTCCGCGTCCGCAAAATCACAGTTTCAGCGTCCGACGGCTACTGACTTTCGCTCAGGAGTGGTCTGTGCCCGTATTAGTCACTGACCTGTTTGACTGATGCCTTCCCAGTACTCGGCGGGCTCGAAAGCGTAGTCGGCGGCGCAGATGGCCTGGATCTCGTCGACTTGGCTATCCCGATCGAAAGGGGTGTAGCCGCCTGCGTGACACAAGAAACACGTTTCAGCCGATGCTGCCAACGAGAGGCCTTTCGTAGTGTCACTGACACAGCAAGAAATACGTAATGACCTGTAGAAATTCCGATGTGCCAATCGGTGGGTTAGTTGGGTTATTGGCACTGGAGAGGCTCGGGAAGGTGCTGCTTACACCGACGGCCCACAAATCGACTGGCTTGCCGTGGCCTTGCTTCTTGAAGATCTCGGGTGCCATGTAGCCTAAAGCAACACGCAAGATGTCAGATCACCACTTCAATTGTCTTGGTTAGAGACTGTACTCACCCGGTGTACCGCACGTCGTCGTCAGAGCGCTGAAGGTGCCCTCGTCGACAATCTTGGACAATCCAAAATCGGCGATGAGTAGATCCGAATCGTCATCCTTGGTTCGGAACAGCAAGTTCTCAGGTTTGAGATCTGTAGCATAAGTGGAATTTTAGAGATCGTCAGCGCGACGTCTCAAAGGCTAAATTCTGAGCATAACTCACCTCGATGCACAATACCGTGACCGTGCAGGTAGGCGACGGCCGAGACGACGGTCTGGACGAGTTTGGCCGCGTCATGCTCGTGGAAGTATTGTTTGGCGCAGATACGGTCAAAGAGCTCGCCACCTTGGCAAAGATCCGTTACGAGGTAGACTGGCACAGGAAAGGAAGACATTTGATGAGCTTGAGCTGTGCAAAAGGTGGAGCGGCGACGGAGGGAACTGACGATTGTTTTGCGTTTCGAAGTAGTCTGTATAAGAGTTATCACTCCCAAGTAAGTTTGACGCACATATTCACCTGAACTGAGCAAGAGCAATCGTACCCCACAGTGTGACGATGTTCTTGTGACCCTGCGAGATGGTTTTGAGCACGGCGATTTCATTCCGGATCTATAATTCAGGAGGGGAGTCGGTTAGTGATAGGAAGTTGTGCCGGATGCGAGGATCGAAAACTTCTACTTACCATGTGTTCTCTCCCCTCCATCAACCTTTTGTTGATGACCTGAGCGCCAGTGGGTGTTAAAAGTCAGCTCCGAGATTCGCTCCTTCCGAGTCAGCGCCGCCTGCACAAGCGGGTTTGGGTTCGGCAGCCTGGTCTGCAGGATACGGCGTACTTTGCATGCATAGTACTGCCCAGTCTTGATGTGCACTGCCTCCTTGACGACGGCGTAGGTGCCTTGGCCCAGAGTCTAAGCAGGCGGTGGAGTCGATGCGGGGGCCGGGGAACGGGGAACGGGGAACGGGGAACGGATATATCCCAGAAGCGGAGAGGAGAGAGAGATGGCCAACGGGGAACAGAGACACGGGCTTTGGTCAGCAGTGTCGAGCACAGACGCAGGAAAGCCCCAGTTGTGGAGGAGGTGCTTACACGACCCGTCTTGTACTGGGGCCCGGGGGTATAAGCGGCGACGGGTCAGCACACCGTGTCATATGGAGCAGGAGCAGGCGGCGGGTGAGACTGCCTTCCCCAGTCCAGCCGGCGCCGAGGGGTGACTAACCTGACAAGGAACGGTTGCCATGGTTAGAGAGACTTGTAGATGTTGTGCGGGAAGCTGCAGTGACGCTGTCAGGTGACGCTTTGCTCCGCGAGGTAAGACGAGGTGAGGTGGCTGAAGATCTCTCCGCCGTGGCCGTTAATAAGAAGGTTGAGTCGTGTTCAGGCGTGCAAGCCCTTGCCAGCCAAACACCCGGCCGCTATTAGTATTAGCAGCCGCTGGCCGAAAGCACTCTAAAAGCACTCGGGCGATGACGACAGCGCGTAATAATCACGCGCGCGGCTGTATTATTAGAAATGAGGTAACGCGCCGACGTGCCCAGACGTAATGCGAAATTCGGCCGGTTTAAAATGCTCAATTCGGCGGAGCACGTGCTTCTGGACTCCACCCTCTTTTCTCGCGAACTCGACCTTGTCCTCGACCTTCGCGGCCTTAAGACACCGCGGGATTCTGCTCGTTAAGCTCGTGCACCCGCCTATCTTCACACTCCCGACCAGGTCAAAGAGTACACGCCCACCTGTTCTTTCGATGCGAGGCGTGATTGTGCTGGTCCTGCTCGGGTGGGCTTTGCTCAGTCGGGCGTTGGCGACCGATCCTTCGTCCCCCGTTGGCGCCGCGGTCGTCGACAAGGAGCCCCTGCACGCGACTCGCCACCGGCCTTCAATCCCCAACAAGATCCTCTTGATCAGACATGGCGAGAAACCGGGCCACAATAGGGAAGGGCTCAGTGAGAAGGGGCGTCGTCGCGCTCAGTGCCTGCGAAAGGTATGTTCTCCATTCCTTCGTCGTCCGCTACGGGAGCCCAGTTCGGGATCAGCACCGGCTGCGGAGGCGTGCGTGCATCAGAACATCACACGACCTACAGCCTGCAACGCGTCTTTCGGCGCGCCTCGAGCGACCATCACTCCCGTCACCGACTTCCATGACTTCATGATCACTCTAGCCTAAGCAGAGTAATCGTACTGAGCACATCCACTGCTCCTCTTTGCCGTGTGTCTTGGCGCGCCGTTGACGAACGTGCCATGCCCGAATCCGACCTCGCCGCTCGGTCAACGTGCCGTCGTGATCGCCCCACTCGCTCACCTTGCATCCCGGCTTGGCATTGGGCAAACGCGCAACTCCCTCCTCCGAACCGAAACCAGGTCTTCGGCAGGCGTTCACCTCACAGCATTGGCCTCATCATTGCCCAGTCGTACAACCCATCCACGGGCACTCGCAAGCGTCCGTACGACACCGTCCTCCCCTTGGCCAAGGATCTTCGATTACCTGTCATCACGGACTGGTACGTTCGGCCAACCTCGATGGCTTTAAGTTAGATTCGGTGTCCCCCTGGGCCAGGTGTGGTGCTGATCGACCAAACAATAATTTGTGAACTTCAGCGAACGAGATGATCCGGATTGCGTCGTCAACCTTGTTCGACAGTTTGCCAAGCTTAGCAGACGGGATGTTCTCATTTGCTGGGTAGGTCACGCTTTTCTTTCCCCGAGCTTCTGCAGGGCGAGTGGGCTGTCCGGCCGACATGCAATCGGTACAAGCTTACTGGGTCCCGTGCATCGATCCCACAGAAACACTCGTTTTTGCTTGATCTCGCTGGGGCCTTTGGATCCCGGGCCCGCCTCGAATACCCCGACAAACGGTGAGTCTCCTCTCGCACGACTTATGCCCCGACGTCAGTCAGGCGAATGCTGAACCTTCTTCCATGCCGCGAATGCTCAGATTCGACATCGTGTGGATCGTACAACACCGCAAGATCATCTCAAAGAAATCGGAACAGTGCTGTGGCCTCGACGTGACCCAACGCCATGACCCCGATCTCGCCATCGAGGACGAGCATCTGAGGAACGACACCGTGAGGGATATGGAAGACGGGGCCGATGACGACGAGGAAGATGACTTGGAATCCGCGAAATCGTCCTGGCTCTCAATGGTGGATCGAGACGAAACCCAAGAACTTTCATTCGACGACATTGACGAATCGACCATCTCTGCCTTCGAAGCATAGCTGTAGCTCGCGCTGTCATCCACCGATTCAGGACCTTTCCGACTCATTTCTTTATCCGCAATCCGCACCCCGCAACCCAGCAGTACAAAGTTCAGCATTGTTCTTCGATCTCGCATCCTTTCTTCGCACACCGCTTGTTCCCAACCCGCAACTTTACACTTCTTTGTGCCCATGTTCAGCGCTCGCCACGCCCGGAGTGGCAGCCTTCGCATCTCATGTTCAGTAGCAGCAGAAGATCTTCGGAAGTTTTATCTTAGTACATGCATTGCAAGATATGTGGCTTTCTTTTTCTACTTTGACTGATTGGGTGGTCGCGGCTCAAGCGGACCAAGCCCATCTGATCACGTGAGGCGTGTCACGGGGCGGGCCGAAGCTTCGCGCGCTCGCTTGGGACGCCTGGGACTGAGGTGCAACCGGCGCGATGACGTCGGTCGAAGGGGTCGCTGCCCTTCTCCTTCCTTCGCTCCTTCCTCCCCTTCTCTTTCCATTATCAGTCCAACTGCCCACCCTATTACAAGCCACATAGCCTAAATCAAACTACACAGTCTAGCCTCCCCCGCACAAAACACCATGCCTTCCCTCACCCACGCCGTCGGCGACTTCGTCAACTCCATCTTCTCCTTCTTCAAAGGCATCATCACCTCCATCCTCGCGTTGGTGCAACACTTCTTGCATTTGATCGTCTCCATTGTAGAACAAATCGCGGGGTTGGCTAAGGATGTGGTGTCGTTCTTGATGCGTGAGTGCCTGCTGCCAGTGGGACAAAAGGTACCCCTTGAGAGGAAAGGGGTGGCGAGTGGGGGAAGGAGGAGCGGGGAGCGAGCGATGACGTAGATCTAGGCTCTTCGCTTTGACTTGTCCGATGTATACGGTACTAACGACCGCTCTAATTCTAAACCTTCCCCTCCTTTAGACAACGCCGTCATCATCGGCGTCCTCTTTGGTGAGTCCGCTCCTCGGCCCTTCATGCGGATCACGTGAGTCAGTCAACTCACCGCACTCCCGTCTTTTGATCACACACAGCCGCTTTCGTCGCCTACTCGCTCTTCGCCGGTAACAAGGCTGGCACGGCCGCGCCCAACAAAAAGCGTGCTTGATCACCGTGGCAGCTTCGGAAGGAAACTGCAAGATTGGATGTTGGACTTGGCGTGACTCTCTCTCTGGACGAAATCGACCTGGACAACCTTGCCACCCCTACAAGACAACCTTGCTTGTACATTGGAAAGACTCCCCACCAATTGTCGTGAAATAAGATGCGATGTAATTCCTTTGTTTGTGAACGTGTGGGGTATGAATGATTATTCCAAATCCGCTACACAAGTCCCGAGCGACTATTCGTTATCCTCCCTCTTCTTAGCGTTCCTCCCTCCAACACCCATGTACCCTGTGCTCGTTCTCGGAATTTTAGCAGGACCCGCCGATCCGAATGTCTGGGTAGCTCGGACGCTACTTTGCTCGTGCAAGGTAAGGGGATCTTTCTCAATCGTCCCAACGATCGGAGCGAGAGCACCCGCGTTCGTCCCCACATCGACGTGCAACTTGCCCAAACCAATGACGCCCGAATAAGCACCCAGCGTCTCGTTCCATGAAAACACGGGCTTCGTATCCCCGGCCCTTTCTGCGGTCTTGGTTGAGGAGAGGAGTTGAGTTAGGACGTCGTAGGCGTATTTGTTGGCGTACGGGGTCATGGTGCGTGGATCACGGTATTTGGCTGATAGGCCAGTGATGGGGCAAATCTTGGGACGACGATCTGAGGGAGATGAAGGGGGATGAACAGATCAGCATGAGCGATGAAAGGGGATGTCATGGGTGAAGTAGGCTATGCAGACTGACTAGATTCAAGCGTCACCGATTTGGCTGTATCCCAATCGCAATGATCGCCAAACAGCGCTTCCATCTCGTCTCCGACCGTGGCGCCAACGAACTCGTCAAAGATTAGGTAGTTCCGAGCGTAGTAGGGAGTCGCGACGGCGGGGTCCGGAGCTGGTGTGATCATTGGTCCTGCGTCGGGGGCCGCCGGCATGATCGGGACGACTCCGTTCGCTTCCGTCACGATCGGCACGATCGGTGGATCGAGCGCTTCCATCTTTGTCTCCGCTGATGGTTGAGGCTCGACCTTGTCATCTGGTACAGACGGTGTATCTTTATCTGTTCCGCGCATGTCTGCGGACTTGACCCCTTTGTCCGGCGAGAGGATTTGCCGGGTCTTGTCCATCGTTGTCCCTTCCTTCTCCGCCGCCTCTTGCGCGGCCTTCAACCCTTCCGCCTCCCCAGGCTTCCAGCCCGCTTTCCCAGCCTCACCCAACACCTCAATCAATCTCCGCCTCCCACTCTCTCCAGACCGCACCGTCGTAGCCCCACCATCGATCGCTCGCCCCTTCCCCTTTCGTTTCCCCGGTGAATCCGGCGCCTCGAGTCCTCCTTCGCGTCGACTCAATTCGATCAGCTTGGGTCCAATGATCTCGTAACGTTGTCCAATTACACGTTCGGCCGCACGACGGTCTTCTTCGGCGGCGTAGAAGGCGAGGAGGGAGGCTCGGTTGATCTCTTCGGTTTCGAGCGCTTCGGCGATCAGGTCGGCTTGGGTGAAGTTTTGCTGGGTCTTTTTGGACGGCTTGGGCAGAGTGGCCTGGTAAGTAGCGCAGGTAATCATGGATGAGTGAAGAGATCAAACAAGGATCGAGGGTCTTCAAACCCTAGTACTGACCCTCCGCTCTTCAGATTCCTTCAGCCTCTCCTCGACGCTCTCCTTGAAAGCGACAGCCGATCGCCTCGAGCTTTCGCGCTGAGGGATCAAGAACGCCCGATCGATCCCATCAGGCCAGCCTCTTCGGCGCTTGTTCCTATTCGAGAGTTCAGGCGTCAAAGCTCCCCCTCCTGGAGTTGAAGTCCCATTGCCATCGAGGGTCGAAGCCGAGGTCGAAGCGACGGCGGAGGCCTTTTGTTGGTATTTGGTCTGTCGAGCGAACGCGGGTGCGAACGACGTGTAGGCCTTTTTGGCCTTCCTCTTGTTGTTGCTGCCCTTTGCTGCGGCCTGAGTGATGGTATGAAAATGGTTAACTGTGTCCCATCCGAGGCATCAGGACTGTGTAGTCGTACCTCTGCCTCGCGTTGCAGTTGCCGTTCGCCGGCTTCTTCGTCGTCTTCCTGGTCCGCATCCGAGTCGGTCGATCCAAAATCCGAATCGAATACATCCTCTTCAACTGTCATCATACACGTCGCCCAGTCAGCTCTCTTTGGAAATCGTCTTTCGCATCGGCAGCCGATCTCGAGCTCATCCCGGACTGACACTTTGCCTCAAACTCGATATCGTTCTCCTCCTCCTTGAACATCTCTTCCATCTCCGCCTGGGCCTCATCCTCCAACAGTGCTGCCATTCGATTGCCCGCATTCGCACGTCGTTCTCGCCCGGCCAGTAGTGGTACGACAGCTTCGCCATCGCTCGAATCGGAGTCATCGTCGTCTTGATCCTCATCGTCGTCGTTCTCATCCGATCCATCATCTCCTGCAGCAGCTTCATCGACCTGCATTCTGTCATCCTCTTGGTCCTCTACCTCCGGTACTAGTGGTGGGGACGGAGAGACGGCCTTCTTGCCCTCAGAGACGCGACGACGAGGTGCCATGGTCGGCCAGCCGCTGGGTGTGGTGTGTGGTGAACTGAGCTGAGTTGAGCTCTGCCAGCCTGCGGTCGAGCACAGAGACGACGATGGGGGAGCGAATCGTTAATCTTCGTTAATCGCCTCCGAGTCGCGTCGCGTCCACAATCGGGTCTGACTTGGCCCAGTTCACGGATGGAAAAGGATCATTGACCGGAAATTTTCAAACATATATATCAGCTACGTCTTTTTCCTTTTTATGCTCTCGCCTTCTCTGGATTTCCAAGAATGATCCTGACCCTGCTGGAATGATCGAGTCGATCCAATTGCAAATCGTGAGACAGATCGATACCCACCATGAAAATCAGAGACTACAATTTTACGATTAGATGCTTTGGTAATATTTTTCTTGGACGGTGCATTTCAACATCCTGGTGGTCTGTGGATTAGCTTGTACCGTTGTGAATTGCTGAGCCTGAACTGACGGACCAGTGACGGTCCCTTCAAGGCGCGAAGGCGCCCACCGCCCACAAACTCGTGCTGAGCCCAGCTGCCAGGGGGGCGGCTGCGGTCCGCCGGGACCAGTTGCTGCCGAGCCGGGGGTGCTTCTCGATCTGAGATGCGCGTACCCCAGACCGCTTGACTTCTAGCCCTCCTCTGCTCCACACCCCCGTCCACCTCCTCTTCCTAACAGTACTCTGTGAACGACCATGTCCGCCCCCATCGAGAACCCATTCCCGATCCCTCCTCCGGAGAACTTCAATGTTGCGCGTCAAGCTCATGGTATTGTGCGTTCCCGTGATCAGAAACTGGCTCGGCCTGGGGACGTCCAGCAGCCGGTGCCTCGGCGTGCAATTCCAGCCAGACGCCTCCACGTCGCGGTCGCTCCGGGTCCCAGTCGAGATCGCCACTTCTCTCGGCCCCTCATCACCTCTGCACCACACGCGTGACTGACTTTATGTACTTCTTGATGCATAGGCCGTCCCCGGATCAGCCAAGCCAGGCGCCACGCCGATCTACGTCAATGCGCAGTTCCCCCATCTGCCCACCCCGGCTAGCGACCCGAGGTTCCCGCGCACGGCCAAGGAGTGCTTCGACATTGGCCTCGCGAGCAAACCAAACGAACCGTGCCTTGGTCGACGCCCCTGGGAGAACGGGGACTGGGCCAAGTACTACGTCTGGGAGACCTACGCCCGCGTCGACCAGCGCCGTACCGAGGTCGGTAGTGGCTTGGTCGCGCTCCAGCGCCAAGGCAAATTCGGCGACGGCATTCCCGCCAAAGGCTACTCGGTCGGCATTTGGTCGCCCAACCGTCCCGGTATGTACTAGATCTTACTTTGGAGTCTCTTCGAATTTTGCTAGGCCGGCACCGAGAGCGAGCCGCGCGACACACCTACAGACGAGCTGACTCGAATGACCGCTCTCCTTTAATCCGGTGCTACATATGGGACACCCGAAAATGCTCACCGGCCGCTCGATTCAATTCGGTGTCCGCGCTTGGCTCAGAATGGCAATGGGCGTCCCAGGCGTGCTCGGCCTACTCGCTCGTGACGGTCAGTCTGTACGAGACGCTCGGTCCTTCCGTAGTCGAGTACTGCATCAACCATGCCGAAGTGCGCGTCGTCATCGCCGCATCGGACCATATCCCGGCTTTGCTTCAACTCGGCACCCAGGCGTGCCCCGGACTCAAGGCCATCATCAGCATGGACACTTGGTCCGAGATCACCCCTTCGCGCCCCGGTGCATCGAGCAAGGTCGCTCTCAAGGCGTGGGGTGAACAGCTCGGCATCACCGTGCTCGACATTGAGGAGTTGCAGGCCCTCGGACGGGCCAACATCCTTCCCTTCAACCCTCCCGCTCCCGAGGACATGGCTTCGATTTGCTACACTTCCGGTCAGTGCGCACGCTGATATTCAAGCGTGATTAGGCTACTCATCATCTTGCTGAACTTTCTAATCTCTTTTGCTCTATTGCAGGCACGACCGGCAACCCCAAGGGTGCGATCTTGTTGCACTCGTCGCTCGCTTCGGCCGCGGTCGTCAACTTGCACGGATCGAGATTCCGCGCCGGCGGTATCTTCATCTCCTACTTGCCCCTATCCCATATTTACGAACGATTTTGCGAGGACGTGGCGCTCGCCGCCGGCTCGTCGATCGGTTACCACTGTGGCGACAACCTCCGTCTCCTCGAAGATCTCGCCGTCCTCAAGCCTACCTTCCTCGTGTCCGTTCCTCGAGTGCTCAACAGGGTCTACCAGGCGATCAAGGCCTCGACTGTGGATGCGCCTGGGTTCAAGGGGAAGATGTGCCGCAAAGCCTTCGCCGACAAACTTTACAATCTCGAGCACCACGGTACCTACGAGCATGGTGAGTTGGACTGGCTTTTCTCCGTTAGCTTTTATACGAACACCCTTCTGACCCCATGTCTTCCTCCTTGCACTCTCTTTTAGCTTTCTGGGATCGTATCATCTTCAAAAAGGTCAAGATGGCACTCGGTGGTTCGGTCGAGGTGATCGGTACCGGTTCGGCCCCCATCAACCCGTCTGTGCTCTCGTTCCTCAAGGTAGCGCTCTGTTGCGAGGTTTCGGAAGGGTACGGTCAGACCGAGAACTGCGGAACGGCGGTCAAGTGTCTAGATGGTGATCACGCGCCGAACGGTACCGTCGGTCCTCCTCAACCGGGAGTCGAGGTCAAGTTGATCGACGTGCCTGACATGGCCTACTACAGCACCGACCGACCTTTCCCCCGCGGCGAGATCCTCACCCGCGGTCAAATGGTTATCCCTGGTTACCTCAAGGACGAAGCCAAATCCAAGGAGACCGTCGATTCCGAAGGCTGGCTCCACAGCGGTGATATCGGCTTGATCGACGAACTCGGTCGGATCAAGATCATCGACCGCATCAAGAACTTGGTCAAGTTATCCCAAGGCGAATACGTCGCCGTTGAAAAGGTCGAGAACGTGTACATGCTGTGCCCGCTCGTGATGCAGATCTACGTCCATGCTGATTCGCTCCAGGATCACGTGGTCGGTCTCGTCATCCCCGATCCGGAACCTTTCGCTGCTCTCGCGACCAAGGTCACGGGGGAGAAGGTGTTGTCGAGTGATGGTGCGGCGATGGAGAAGGCTTCCAAGGACCCTCGAGTGCTTAAGGCCGTCGCGGCGCTGTTGGAACCTTATGCCAAGCAAGCTCGTTTGCTCAAGTACGAGGCCGTCGGCGATGATATTGCCATTTCTCTGAACCCCTTCAGTCAGTTCTTGCCCGTTTGCTTGCTTACCATCGCCCTCTGAAAAAAGCAATACTGACCGTACCCTCATCTGCTCTCACAGGTATGGAATCCGAGACCATGACTCCGACCTTCAAGACCAAGCGTCCTCAAGTGTACAAGCTACACAAGGACGTTTTGGACTCTCTCTACGGCCGACGATCGACCAACGCCGTCGCCAAGCTCTAACTGAGCGAATCATTGGGCGTGTTTATGGTGTGGGGTGATCTTTCCGAATGGGTTCCAACTTTGTAGCGGCGTTCCTGGGGCCTCTGAGACGGAAATGGGCAATTCAAATAACTACAATCATACCGTCCGTCATCGTATCGTGAACTTCATTGTTAATAGATTGGAATGCGTATTTGTATCTCTTCGTAACGGAGCGTTACACACTCCCTTCGACCTAGCTGCGCCTCGCATCTTCCTTACCCACGGATCGAGGAGAATCTAAGCGCTCGTAGCAGGCTCTTCCTCGACCGTTTCCTCCGCCACAACCAACAACGAGCTCTTCTCATCCTCGTCCTCGATCAAAGCGACCGCGTACACCGTCTCGATCCTCTCCCTTCTCGCTCGAAGTTCCTCGATCGTCCATGCCGAAACAGCGGACGAGATGGCGGCTTTGATGCCTTCGAATGCACCGACGTAGAATGCAGCTTCACCGTGCAGAGGAAAGACGTCCCAGAGCAACGTCGCAGTTTGAGGGGCAACGAGGAGGAAGGCGATGAGCGCGAGTCGGACCGAACCGGTCGTAGGGAAGATCGAAACGAACGGAATCGTCAGGACGGAGAGGAACAAGGAGTGAATGATGTGTCGCGGCATCGATAAAGGTTCGAGGAATTGGCGGAGCGAAGGGATCGGGACCGTCGGGGTTTCGAGCATCTGCAAGGGCGTCAACGTGTCCGCCAAAAGGGCGGAAGGGACGCTCCTTTCAAAAGTTCGAACCTTGATGAACTGCTGCGCGCCGAGTCGCTCGACCGCATAGCCGAGGAAGGCACACACAAAAGTCGAGATACCGATGGAGAGCGCAATGTTGATGATGAGCTCGGGGTGACGCTCGAGGCGCATCAAGGCGGACGAGGTGGCACGTGATTCGACCGAGTGGGGGAGCAGGATCGGAAGAAGCGAAAAGGCGGCGATGAGCGAGACGAGGTCGATCAAAAAGAGGGCTGAGACCGTCTCAGTTCTGGCGTGGATGCAGTTGAAATTTTTCATTAGTTTCGAGAACTTTTTTGCACGAGTCCGATGCCTGTGGCACTGACGACAGGAGGAAGTAGGCTCGCTCAAAAACGAGAAGACCAATCCTCGAGACGGAGGCCATGATCGCTCCAAAGAGAGCTGTGCCGGGAAGACGACAGAATATCAGGACTTTTCAAGGCCGAATACTCAAATTCCGAACTCACCTCCATCCCTCTTGGCCAGCCCATCGACCCTGGGCCAGAGATAACCGCCGAGCGCGAGGTCGTAAGCGCGAACGAGCAAGATGTAGCCCCATCGGACATCATCCCTCTCGACAGGAGCCAGGTTCTTGGCGAGGTAATCCCCAAAGATGCTGTGCGTGCGATACCTCCGTATACCGGGGATACTCAGCTTCAGTTCGGGTCGCTTTCTTTTCAACCTGGGGCGTTCCTGGCCGCGATCAAGGCTTTCGACACTCACACAGGGTGGAACGACGCCATCCTGACCGCTGTAGCCAAAGTGAAAGCAGCAAAATACCAGGCCATGAACCTCCTTCGCGAACCTTGGACACCGGCCACGACTTCAAGCATGGTCGGTGGGCCGGTCGGCGTTGCTGGCGATGACGACGCCGACGACGGCGCGACGTCATCGGAAGCGGCCGTCGTGGCTCCCGCAGTCGAACTGCTCGAGGGGAAAGCAGGGGCCACTACTTTGGTGGGCGAGGACATGGTCGGGGTCGAGGAGGAAGAGTCAGGGTAGACGTCCGAGAGGGATGACATGTTATCAGGTTGGGCAAAGTGCGGTGAAGCGTTGACTGAGAGAGGGTGAGCGAGACAAGACAGCCTAGACCGATGAGCTCAGGCCTCTTCCTCGTTTGCATCGGCGGTGCCTGTGAATGAAGCGAGTCGGACGAACGAGGCAGCAGAGTAAAGATTGGCACACACGTTGAGAAAGATTCATGTCTTCGGATTATGGTATTGTGTATGCTATGCGAAACTGTGATATTGAGGGACGGGGCACAAGCGAAATTGGTACGACGTGAAACAACGAGGGGGGGACAAAAAACAAGCGAAAGGAGAGCCGCTCGTCCGAATTGACGACAACCTAAAGTGAGAACTTAACCCGCTGTAGGGACAGATCAAAAAGAAGCAAGCAAGGATGTGGACGCTTTGGCCAAAATCGAAAGACTCGAACAAAATTGTCGAAAGGACGCAAAGAAAAAAGAGACGAGGGTGTGTCAAGAGCGCTGCCACGGCCAACCTTTGTTCGGCCCCTTTGGACTAGCGGGGGGCGATGGTGGCGGAGCGACGTCGAACGCACTTTCAAACGAGGTGTAAGTATGCAGAGGGGGTCGTTTGAGCAGCACCTTGGACCCATCGGGTGAAGTCGTCTGAGCCGAGCCAGCGTCGGATTCGTGGTGCAAACGCCTCTCCTCCCCTGACCTAAAGTGGGCGTTCCTGCTCGATCGGGAGGTCGAAGATGACCTACTAATTTGACCAGACGCAATCACTCGGCCTCCGTCGCTGGAAGTCTTGTCGAGGCTTGACAAGGTGCCCTGGTGGGGAGGTGACGTCGATATCGGGCTCGCTGAAGCACAACGGCGCAATTCGTCGATCGCTCGCATACCGTCCAAATCACTGACAGGTAGCGGAGCGGTATGGTTGCGTATCGTCGAGGATCGTCCGGAAGGATGCAGAGGGACGAGACCGCCATAGGTCGGTGAGCGCGGTGAAGGGAGTGAGGCACCCGCCTTGGCGGCGAAATCCGGATCGGTCGGCGGCACGTCTGGGATCGAACGAGGAGCCGTGCAGTCGTAAACGAAAAAGTCGCTGCCAAAGTCGTGATCATGTTCTCGATCCCGGTCACCGCATTCACTGCTCGTCACGCTGCGTCCACACTGCAAATCCGCGAGCACCTCGACCGCGACCAGATTTGTCGACAATTCGACTTGACCCTCGGCCAGAATCGAGCTCGTGAGGGGTACGGGGGTTGAAGGCCCTAGCGACAGTGTGGCACCCCTGGGGGCGGGACAAGACGAAGCTAAAATCGATCGTTGAGGGACGTGCACGTCCGAGTGAATTTGCTGCGGGGATCCGGAGCGAGAGAGGACGGGTGACCCATACAGCGACGGTGACGGCGAGGGCGAGGGCGAGGGCGAGGGCGAGGGCGAGGATGGTGGCGACGGCGGTGCAATCGAAGACGAATCGGAACCACATTTCATCGCCCTCGGACTTCTCGGGCGCGAACGAGGGCGTTGGAAGGAACCGAACGACCGCGATGCAGGTTGGCGCTTGGGTCCTTTGGCGCCTGTGCGTTCCGACGCGGACCCATCGGGAGCTGGCGCCGCTCGGGGGAACATGGACGCCTTGATGGTCGAAGCCGAGCTCGGAGAACAGAGTAAGAGGGCGGGGGATCCGTTCGCGTCGGGACTCTTGCCGCCGTAGCCGAGGTCACGACTGCTGCCGACATTGGATTTGGGTGGGGGTATCGCGATGGATTTTCGATTCAGCTGGGGTTGTCTCGCGAGGGCGCTGTCGCTACTCTGATGCTCGAGGGCTGGGGCACCTCCTCGTCGTTTCCTTCGTTGAACAAATTCGTCCGATGTGAGGGCTTGTTGAACGCAGATATCGGTGCTCGCGTTCGGGGTGCCCCCACTGAAACTGGACCGACGTCGCCGAGTCATGGGGCTCGTCGGTTCGACTAGCCGCGTTGTGCTGGATGTAGTATCGAAGGTAGGTAACATCGATTGAGAGTGCGGTGGTGTCGAAATGGGTGGAGTCGTTCCCATCGCCTGCCTGATCACTGCGTCCAAGAGCGACTCCGCCGCCACTGCCGAGGGGTCAAGGCGTGGTGCGATCTCCCCAATGCGAATCGTTCGGCCGATCGACGAGCAAGATCTAGCAGCGGGTGGTGGGTTAAACCAGACGGGGTGAGACCTAACTGACCCATAGGATCAACATGATCAGTTGAGATTGCACAAGGCCGGACACCTTCCGCGTGGGGCTCAGAGGATCATCGACTGACGTTGCGAGTCGCGACACGGTCGCAAGCTTGCCACGAGTTGCCAAGCTGACCGAACGACTCGTGCGGGGTGTGCACGGCGATCGAGTCACTCCAACGCGCAAAGTAGGCGGTCTCAGGATCTAGGAGCACCTCCTGTCGATTGTACGAGCACGAACAGGCGTCTTGGGATTGAAGGGAGCAGCGTTCGATGGTCGCGGATCGAACAGATAAACGGTATGGAGAGTTCGAGGACAGTCCATCCAGAATCACAGCCACGCTTCACGATCACGCTCGACGTGGCGCGCTCAGCCAGAGGCGCCCGAATTGCTCGCCCTGAGTGAGGGCCCCGGCTGATCGGGCAGGGCTCCAAAACTCCCCTTGTACCTCGTAAACAAACTGCTCTCCGACTTTCAAGACCATCTAAAATAACCCCGACCACCCCTTGATGTGTATCTTTAGTCACTGCCTAGAGCTGAGTGCACATGCATGTTTTTTTCTAAATACTTTTTACTCTAACTAGTAAAAAAAAAGTGTGAGTTAAGGAATGTACCTAAAATCACTATTTTTGAGTAGGTGGCGGCCCGGAGGACCCCCTGTGGTAGATCTACCAGCATACTGTTTTGTCTGCCGCACCTACCTGTGGTGCCCATGCTCCGATCAGAAGTCATGTACAAGCTCGGTGGTGACTTTTGTATTTTTCGCGCCGTTCCAACGAAGCACAGCGCTCCCAGTATTTTCCTTCACTTTTTCGTTGATGTTCTTCAGTCTGGTCGTGGATAGCTAGAGAAAGGTATAAAAAAAAAGCATGCCCCCCCCCCACAGACAATGGGCGATGGTGCAGGCTCGTTCAGGAACGAACATCCTTAATTTTGTTTTTAAGGGGTTAGGCCGCCTGGCCAATGCCCGAGCACGTGATACCGAATTTCTATCGGTCTACCCACCTAGACAGAAACGTATGCAGCGCTATACAAGTAAATCTACACAGTTATAAAGCACTCTCATCGTGAAGAGACGATCCGAAGGGCAATGGGCACTAGGTGAGTCGTACAGTTGAGTTTGAAACATCGATATTCCAATACTAGGGACGCGGCGTGCTGATGCTAGATATATATAGAAGTACACAGAAGCACAAGCAGATAATACCTCAGGCGACCCCAAAAAGACGAATATGTGAATTTAGACGGTGTTCTTCTCCGAAGAGGACTCGAAGCGCTCGTCCGAGCCTTGGTTCTTGTCTTGGTGGATGTAAGCCGGTCCTTCCTGGCCGGAGACGTCGTGCTCGCGGCGCAATTCGGACATGACTTTTTGGTTCGCGGTCCAGGGGGAGAGTTGCCACAGGCGGTCCATCTCCTCGAGGGGAACGTGCTTGGTCTCGGGCAAAAGGAAGATGATGTAGGGGACCGAGATGATCTGGCAGATGCAGAAGAAGAGGTAGACGCCCCATCCGGAGTGACCCATCTTGAGGAACATGGTGGGGGTCGCGCGAGCAATGGCGAAGTTGTAGAGCCAGTTGGCGGCGGCGGCGAACATGGTCGTGACCATGCGAACGGCACCGGGGAAGACCTCGGAGCAGACGACCCAGGGAGTTCCGTTCCACGAGACGGCGTAAAATGCGGTCCAGACGTAGAAGAAGACCATCGCGGCGAGATCACCGGCGGGCAGGTCACCCGAGGCGCGAGGGTGGTTGGCGGGGTCACCGATGTGGTTGTAGCCAGCGATGACGGCCATGGCAGCGGCACCACCGATCGCTCCGACGAGCAAGATACCGCGTCGGCCGAAGTGGTCAATGATGAGGAAAGTCCACGCGAAGCCACCGATGGTCTTGATGACACCGAAAATACCAGTGGTGAGGAGACCGGTCTGTGAGCCCTGGATACCGATCGACTTGAAGATGGTGGGCGAGTAGTAGTTGATGGCGTTGATACCGGTACCGTTTTGGAAAGCGAACAAGGTTGTGACGATGAGCAGGCGCTTGGTGAGGTCCCAGCGGGTGAAGACTTGGCGGAAGGGAGCCCAAAAGCCCTCACCGACGGCGGCGATGTCGTGCTGGATCTGGATGTCGATCATGTTGACCTCTTCGATGATGTAAGGATCCTCAGGCGACAGCTGGCGGAGGTAGCACAAGTTCTTGATCGCCTCATCGCGACGACCGATCGAGAGGAGCCAACGTGGGGACTCCTTGATGAACAAGGGGATACCGATCGCGAAAAGACCACCGGGGAGGAGCTGGATGGCGAAGGGGATGATCCATTGCTTGTTCGAGACAGGGATGTGCTTGGAGATGCCGTAGTTGATCCAGAAGCCGACTAGGCCACCGATCTGCCATCCGCACTCGTACATGCCGACAAGCTGACCACGGATCGCGGGGGGAGCGATTTCGGAGATGTATAGGGGCGTCAAGTTGGAAGCGGCACCGATACCGAGACCAGCGACGATACGACCAGCGTAGATGGGACCGAGACCGCGAGCGCCATCGTCGGCGGCAAGCATAACACCTGCACCCAAGCAGAAGACGAGAGCCGAGAGGAGCAATCCCCACTTGCGGCCGAGGAGGACACCAGCAGGGTAGCCCAACAAAGCACCGAAGAAGCAACCACCTTGATATGTCGACACAACTGGATGGCAGGGTAGGGGGGGGGGGGGTTCCATAGTTCCATAGTCAGCATCCACAACCTCGATGTCAATTTGAAAAGAAAAGACCACCGCCGACCGAAAACTCACTGTTGGCCGAGATGGTGGCGAAGCGGGCCGCCGAGGTCTTCGGAGCCAAAAGCCCGAATTCCTTCTTGAAAGCCGTGGTGGCGATCGAGGTACCGATGAAGGCCGAATCATAACCGATCATCTATGTAGGTGCAGGGGCCATTGCATGTCAGCAGACTGAAAGGTTCGCCACTGCGCCGTGGCTATAAAGACCGCGATCTGGCCAGTCAGGTCGGACTCGGTCGCCGAGAAAAAACCGAGGCGAGCCGGCGGCGGCGCGAGGCGGCGTTAAAATGCGGCCAGTCGTCCCGCGAAGTGCCCTATCAGAACACAAGACTTACGATGGCAGCAGTGGCGGCCACGATGGCGCAGAGGTAGACGCGCCAGTTGTAGACGGCGGACGGCGTAGGCCTGTCCTCGACCTTGCGAAGACCAACCATGGTTCTTATTTGCGAAGGGGGTTGCGTGAGGGGTCGAGAGCCGGGGAGGAAAGGCGAAGATCGTCGCGCGCGCGAAGGGTGGGGTAAAAAGGGTTGTCAAAGCTCGAAGAAGGCGAAGACAATGACCGACGGTTGAAGGCAGAGGAGACCCGGTGTAGACCCGGTGTAGGTAGTCTGAGCACGGACTGGTGAAGAGGAGAGAGAGAAAGTGTGGAGAGAAGTGAGGAGAGGGAGTCCCCAGGGCCCAGATTTGTGATCGAAACGCAGCTGCGGGCTCGCGATGGTGGGGCGAGGGTGAAGCCGGTGAAGGAAGAACATTCAACGCGCGCCTGCTCGCCACTTTCATCCGGGGCGTCTGGGCCCCCAGGTTATTCTGGCCCACAAAATTGGGTGGCAGGCTTGGACCAAAATGCGGGAACGAATCAAAGCGCGTCTGTAGGAAGAACATCGTAGAGCTCGGTTGCTCGTGAATTCCGTTCCAGTCGACTCGCCCGTCCTGGTTATAACTTGAGGTAGTTTCGCGATGTACCCTACCACCCCTGGGGGCTGTCACGCAACCGTTGTCTTTTTTTGTTCTAGTAGGCTGGAAAATGAGTCGTCGACCTTCTAAGCTACGGAAGGATTTTTTGGCACCGCACTTCAGTTTTGGGGTTGGCCCGCCCCGGACATGCAAGTTCAAACGATCTGCGGTGGGATCAAGCTGTTTCATAGTGCGAGTAAGGTACCCGTACCTGCCTATGAGAGCGCCTTGAATAGGTGTAGACCTTTTGTTTCCACCAGGCTTTGAGGTCTTCCGCTACATGTTGATAAACTTGCACCCGACGCTTCCTCTGAGGTCGAGAGGTTGCCGCGAACTTTTGAATAGGCACATGAAACAAGGCCAATTTTGCACATCAAATTGCAGTTCAGGAGGGCTACACGAGGAGCCGCGTCATTTTTATGACATTGGTCAGAAGATCCGAAGCCCTTTAGGGATTGCCAGGTGTCAAGAGTTTTCCTTCGAGATTTCGCCGTATGAATTTATAATGAAGCTATTGGCAGGCCGTTTACGGGATTGGGCAATAAATTAGGCACCATTCATTTTGCTGCTGAACGACGGTTCTGGACCACGAAAGTTGCCGAGAGATCGTGAGCGCGTTGGCCTCGGCGCCTAGCAATGACGTCTTCAAGCTCAATAGAGCTGTCTTTCCAAGTTCGAGAATACGACATGTTCAACGAACTGTCCTCTGACGTTGTGCTATCTTCAACGTACTGGTGAACTCCACCAACTCCCGACGGCCGAGCGTCACTTCTCGGGCAGTGGGAATTGAAGCTCCTTTTAGGAAACCGCAAGTCGAGTTTAAAAATCCCGACTCTCAGCCGACTCGCGCCCGACTGGCCGTTCCCTAGAGCAATATTGAAGACAGCTGCCGCAGTAAAGTCTACGCGGCTGGATACTCCTAATTGAACACTCGAATCGAACCTAGTAGCCGCGGTGCGTAGCGCAGCTATCGTGCCGTAGCTGAGTGCGCGGTGGCGGCGCGCTCGGCAAAAAGTTGAGAGCAGCAGACGCGCTCCTCGCCCCGTCGGCTTGCGCGCGTTCAGCGCTGGGCGCCTCTCGGCGCCCTTCCTCGCTTCTCCGCATCACACACAACCCCCTAGACAGCGAGTGAGACTCACGACAAGCAGAAAGCTCTGCATCATCGTACCTTGCACGATCCAAAACACCCACATCTTCTCTCTGCCACGCCCGAACCCGACGCAAGTTCTTCGCCGTTGACGATGAGTCCCACACTGGGCATTGCCTCGCTTTCTTTAGGTTCGTTCGAGCACCACACGTTGCCGAGCAAGATCGCCGCCGCCGCCCAAGCGGGGTTCCAACACATCGAATTGTTCGACAATGACTGGGCCGCGTTCTGTGACTCGTGGTCCGAGGCCCAAGGTCTGCCCAAGTCGACGCGCGACGGCGATTCGACGAGTCGATTTGCGGCCGCGGCGTTGGCCGATCTCGTGCGATCATATGGCCTTCGGATCAGCTGCTGGCAACCGTTGCGCACCTTTGAGGGCTACGTCGACGCCGAGGATCGACGCAAGTCGAGGGAGTTTGCTCGAGGTATCTTGGACATCTTGCCCATCCTCGGTACACGGTTACTCCTCCGCTGCACGACCACGACCCCTGCTCCTGCGACGACCGGCGACCTCGATCGCTGCGCCGAAGATCTTGCCTGGCTTGCCGACGAAGCCGCCAAGTGCGATCCGCCCGTCCGAGTCATGTATGAAGGTCTTTCATTCGCGGCACATCGAAGGAGTTGGCAAAGCGCATGGGAAGTCGTCGAAAAGGCGAATCGACCCAACCTCGGCCTTTGCCTAGACTCGTTCAACACCCTCGCGCTCGAATGGGCCGATCCTTACTCGTCAACCGGGCGCCTTTCCCCTGACGTGGATGAGAAGCTGCAAGCCAACATGCGCGAATTAGTTCAATGGGTATCCGGTCACAATATCTTCTTCTACCAAGTCGCCGATGGTCGCTTCATGTCCCCGCCAATGACACCCCCGACGGACCCTTCGATCCCACCTATCCGGCCTTGGTCTCGAGGGAACCGTCTCTTCCCCCTCGAGAACAAGCTCGGCGCCTACCTTCCCGTTTCAACCTTCTCCGATGCCGTCGTTCAAACCGGTTACGATGGACCTTGGTCACTCGAGGTATTTAACGAATCCCTCTCGAGTGACGACCCCAATGTCCCTATCGAGCATGCAAGGAGGGCGATGAAGGGCTTGTCCAAGGCAATTGCGGCGGCTTATGCTCGCGACTCGACTTCAGATCGTGAGTTACCTGGTGATCTCGACTTTTGGTCCAGACACATGAGCCTAACAGGGTCCGTCCTTTCTATTCCCCTCCAGGTGCCACCCACAAGCTTTGAACTTTATGAAACCAATCACCATCGACCCTTTCCCAGTCTCCGCAGTACCTTTTGCTTGCCGGATTTTGTGTTTATAGTACGCACAGGCAGTCATTTGACAGCAAAGAATACATCTTAGCATTAGAACATAATTTTATGGATGTAATCAGCAGACACTCTCGATTCATACTTGGTTGTCAAAGAGGCTGGGTTTGGGATGCGCAGCAGATACCTCCCTCCCAACCGTGCGCAAAAACACTCGTTGAATGTTGAACAGCTCGTCGGTATTACAGGCCCATTCCGAAAGCTAAAACAAAAGGGGTGTACCGAAAGAAAGCACGTCGCCCCTACACCGCTTATCTCTTCCCCTTGAACTTCTTACCCCCTCCCCCGCCCATCCTCGGCATCCCCGCCTCCCTCTCATCATCATCCCTATCCCTCTCATCCCCCTTGCCCCCTCTATCCCTCTTCTTCCCCCTCTTCCTCCCATCCCCACTCGCTCCATTCTCCTTCAACTCCCTCGCCGCTTCTCGGGAAGCCTCACCTACTCGTTCGGCGAGGAGCATGACTTGTTCTTTCCCACCCCCACCGAGAGGGTATTCGTCCATTTTCTTACCAATCACGCCTTTTCGTTGAAGACAACGAGAAATTATCATCAGATCCAACCGAATGAATACATCGTTCGCCAGAAAAGAAAAATGCTCACCTTCGATCCTCTGAAACAACTCGACGTCATATTGCGTCACTAACGAGATCGACTTGCCCGACCTCCCCGCTCGGGCCGTCCTACCGACGCGATGAATGTAATCCTTCGAATGGGTCGGTAGGTCGAAGTTGATCACGCAGTCGACGGCGGGGATGTCCAGACCACGCGAGGCGACGTCCGTGGCGACGAGGATCGATCGTGAACCGGATTTGAACTTGTTCAAGGCGCCCAATCGAGCGGATTGAGACAGTTGACCGTGCAAGGGTACGGCGGGGAAGGAGAGGAGACGGAGGATGATGGAGAGGCGTTGGGCGTCGAGCACGGTGCGTACGAAGATGATGATGGTGTTGCCCGAGAGGGTGTGCGCGAGATGGACGAGGTGCAGGTCCTTGTGCTTCATCGGGACGAGGAGGTAGTACTGCAGGAGTGTCGAGACGGTTTGGTATCTACACACAACAAGTGACTCTGCGTCAGTTCTACCGGAACGACAACGTCACAGAGACCGAACCCAACTCACTTTGACGAAACCTCCAACTTGACCGGATCGCGCAACGAGGCGCGCTGCAACTTGGCGACTTTGGTCGTCATCGTCGCCGAGAAGAGGTACGTATGGCGTTCTTCCCTCGGGATCAATTTGAGGATCTTGTCAATAACAGGACCGAAATCCAAATCCAACAACCGATCGGCTTCATCCATGACCTGTGCGACGGAGTCCGAGCTAGATAAGTTCCCGCTGCCACCAATCTGTCAAACTTTACCCGCCGCACCCCCTAGCGCACCAGGTATTTCAATGTCCTCAACGAAAAGCCTTTGGTGTTCTCGAGATGGTCCTGCAGCCTTCCCGGTGTGGCGACGATGATGTGGGGTTTCTTGGCCAGAGCGACTTGCTGGGACATGGTGTCGATGCCACCGACGATGGTCGCGACCCTGACGCCGATGCCGGACCCGAGCGCGAGGAATTGTTCGGCGATCTGGTACGCCAGTTCCCTGGGGTTAGACGTGTCAAGCTTGGGTCAGCATGTGGGAACACACACTATGGAATTCTGCCTCTGTGCCCACTCACCTGGTCGGGGCCAACACACAAGCGAACAAGCCCTGAGGCTGATCCCACAGCGCCTGCAAGATGGGCAACGCGAACGCCGCGGTCTTTCCCGAACCGGTCTGCGCGAGCCCAATGATATCCTTGCCTTGAAGACCGTAGGGGATGCATTCGCGTTGAATCTCGGTTGGGGAGGTGAAGTTGAGGGACGCGCAGGCCGCACAGAGCGGTTCGATGATGCCCAGGTCCGCAAAGGACGGCGTCGGCGTCGAGGGTTGGGTCGTCGTCGGCTCCGGACTGGTTGTCACGGCATCTTGCGCGATGGGTTTCGTGGAGGAGGTCGAGGTGGCCCGAGTGACTTGAGGGGATGACGCACGCGATGAGGACGAGGATGAACCCGAAGCGGACCCAGGGCCTGAGCCCGAAACGGATTCAGAATCGGAATCGGACATGGTCGGCGCGAGAGCGGCAGAGGCGGGCTTCGCAGCGACGGTGCTCGACGACGGCGATGACGATGGCCTCGGTGGCGAACTGCGGGGGCGAGGCGGGTGGCTGATCACACGCGAGTGGTCTCTGTTGAGCTACTCGAGGTGATAGGCTGTCCGGTGAGATGCTGCTAGACGAGGGGGGCGAGGGGAGAGGTCAGAGTCCGGTCAGACGGGAGTCGACCACGGCGAGCGGAGCCCAGACGGGAGGAAGCAAACGAGCAAGAGGTCCGAGCTCAAAAACCTCGCCTCGACTTGACCGACTCACGCCAGCGCACGCCCGTCCTCATTCCTCGCTCTTCCTCCGGCCCGTTCAGTGTAAGACCCTCACCAGCTGGACTGAGGAGCAGGACACCGCTCGAGTATAACCATGTCCTCATCCATCTCATTCAAAATCCAAGCACCCCCGCGACCCTCCTCCTCCAACACCCGGCCAAGTCAGCCAGCACCTCAGCAACGACTGCAACAGCGGCCACACCATGTCGACGACGATGATGATGACGACGACGCCGACGCCGACGCCGACGATGCCTTGGCCCAACGCGCATTCACTCGCAAAGCCAAGGACGAACTCGTCACCGCATTCGACCGTAACGGAGCCACACAGTCCGTATTGATCCCCATCCCCCCAAAGTCCCCTCCCTCCCCATCTAACGCACCCACACCCCTCTTCTTCTCCAGAAAGAACCCCCGCCAAAGCACTTCCTCGCCCCTCGTCATCGCCGCGTTGCCCAACAAGGACTGGCGCGAGGCCGCGGAACTGATCAAGAAGAAGAAGAACAAGGCGCGCTACATCCCCGATGCTGTAGGGGGGATGAGGCTCAATTCGGATGCGATCGCCCCTTCTACCTCGAGGGGTGAAGCGATGGATGTGGATGCCGATCAGATCAATTCGAAGCCCGTCGTCGCGGGCTTGTCCAAACTTACACCGCGGGCCACAACGACGACGACGGCAACGACGACTTTGGTCGAGAGAGAACCTTCCCCCGAGGCATCATCGACCACCGTCACCGCAGCACCTCAAACGGAAGAGCAACGAGCGTTGAACGAACTCATTTCGTCCGCTTCAGGACTAGGGAATGGGGAAACCCAACCCTCCTTCGAAGTCATTTACTCTGCCGCGGATGCGAGGAACGCGCCCATTGACGAATCCGACGCGTTCAAGAGGGACCTCGAGACACGACCTGACCAGGTCCGTATACTCCCCTTGGATCCTATTGTGCCTTCTCCTCCTCCACTGACAGATCCTACTCCCCTACTTCAGTCAACACTAGAAGACTACGCCCGCGTACCCGTCGGCGAGTTCGGTGCCGCGATGCTCCGAGGAATGGGTTGGAAACCCGGTCAAGCGGCCAGTCGATCCGGTCGTTCCGGACCCGTCGAAGCGTTCGTACCTAAATCCCGTCCGGCGATGTTGGGCATTGGGGCCAAACCGATTGCGGACGTTTTGGGCTCGACGGAGGCGAGTAAAGGGAAGGGGGTGGTGAAGAGTAGTAAGAGGGAGGATATGAAGTTCGTACCGCTGGCGAAGAAGGTTAGGGCTGAGCAGGAGGGGCCCAGTACGAGTACGAGCGCGGGGAGAAGTGGGGGGAATGGGAATGGGCAAACGAATGGGAGTCGGACTGGAGGTGCGTCATCGAGGGAGGTGGGAAGCAGGGAGGCGCTCACGAGGGATGAGGACAGGGACACGCGGGACAAGGGGAGCGATCGGTACGAAGAATTTTCTTCGTCTTCGAGGAGGGATCGATATAGGGACGATGGTCGAGACAGGGAAAGCGGTCCAACGCGGGAGAAGGAAAGGGAGAGGGAGAGAGGTTTCTCATCGCGCTACAACGATGAACGAGGTTCTCCATCGATGTACCCATCTTCAAGAAGTGATAGGGACAGGGACAGGGACAGGGGGTACACGGAAAGCAACGGGAGACAAAGGGATCGGAGTTCCAGTCCGAGGAGGGACTCGGAGAGGGATAGGGATGGGCGGAGGGATAGGAATAGGGATAGGAATAGGGACAAGGAGAGTGGTAGGGATGAAGGGAGGGTTCGGTATAGGGATCGTAGATGAAGTGTCGGAAACCGATATCCGAGGCCTCCAAAGGAAGAGCAAGATGGGACAGAGCGTGAGGATCCAAAGTGTTACAAATGGTACAGAAAACCGAACACCTCCCCAGAAAAAACTACAGACACCCAAAATCCGACCCACAATCCTTGGTACGACGAATACAAACCCCTGGATCCCATTTCTCCCTGCTACTGCGCCGCTGCGAGCCTCGGCGTCCATCCCGGCAACTCCTCCTCTTCCCAACCGGGTGCACGATGCGTCGGCATCATGTGCCTATTCCTTTCGATGTAGTCCGCTAGAACGGAGGCGTCGTACATGGGTGGGGCACTGCGAAGTGAGAAAGAGAGGGAGAGTCAGCCTCTCGCGAGAAAGGAAAGAGTTTTGGCCCCCGAGCGAAAGAAGCGACCGCGTTGACGTACCTCAACAACCCCCTCCCCAAGCCTTGTGAAGTTCCCCTGCCAGCTCTCAGCCTCAAACTTTCCCTCATCTGTTCCAAGCTGTCCTCGTTCGAACCCTCGTCCGCACCTGCGAACCCAACTTCTCGTCCCATCCCTTGCTCACCATCTTGTGCTGTCTCCCCAAGAGCAATCAAGCCCGACATGGATCCTTCACTAATACTTCTCCCGAACCCAGATCTTTGTACACCATTCATCACCGATTCACCCTGAGCTTCACTCGCACCCCCACTGATCTGTCCATCACTACTCCCACCACCACTGCCACTGCGACTACGACTGCCATTCCCCGTGACGGTCAACAGATATCCGCCCCCGCCGCCACCCCCACCCAACGGCACCGAATACATTCTCCTAAAAATCGATTTCGGTCTCTTCAACGCCAAACTCCACGCCTCCTGACTCGGGCTCGAACTCGAGTTCATTTGATTAAGCTCTGAAGAAGACAGATCGGATCGGGACGAGGCGCACGTGCGCGTGAGAGAATAATCGAGCAGGGAGGACGGGTGGTGCTTGAGGGTGAAGGCGATGATGGTGAAGGCTTCGTAGTGCTTTTGTAAGAGGTGACTCGAATCCCTGCGGAAAAGAGGTGATGTTATTTAATTAGTTGGTTGTAAAGGGTCGGATAACGGCAGAGGGGGGCCCGGGAGGGGGGGGGGGGCGGACTTACACCGCTCGAAGGTAGAGAGTCAGGAGGTGCAGCTTGCGTGAGGCCGTTGATGGGTTGCCACCGCAGTTGATCCATTTACTGCAGTTGCGTTCAAGACGGGTGACGACAAGACGGTCAGTAGCTCGTACCTCACAATTCCACAAGGACAGTCCGAGTTTGATTCCCCAGATATTATCAAACGCCGAAAATACCAGGGCCGGTATCGCGCCACCATCGGCTCACCGTCTCCGAGGCACCGGCTGGCGGGATCGTCCTCACTCACGCATAACAATAAGCTGCCAACACCGCCTCCACCTGACTCGACGAGACCAACGCAGCTTGACTCAAGAGCTTGCCACAAACGGGTTGGGAGAGACCGCCCATTCTCTGATTCGTCGTTGGGGGAAGTTGGGGTAGAGCCGGGATGATGGGGGGCCGCGGCGCGACGCGAGCGGAGGGACCGGTTTTGAGGGTGGCCAGAGGCGACGACGAGGCGAGCTGAGACAGAACTTGGTAGGCGATCGAAAAGAACGAGCTTGAGGTCGTACCGGGGAGGGGGAACGCCTGGGGCTGGTTGATGCGTTCGAAAGAGAGGGAAACAAAGGACGGATACGCCCAAGACGAAGAGGAGCAGTGCGGAGTTCCGGACGAGCCCGACCGGGGGCGCGGGGGATAAGGCCGACGGTTCCAGCCAGACCCGACTCGCAGCGGAGACCCTGGCTGGGCTCCGAAGATCTCGCGGGGGCGCGAGGTACACGTAGCCGGTGCCTTGGGGTGAGTCTTTTCGGGCATTACAAGGGAGTTGCCTCTGCTGTTTAGCTAATTTCTACGAAAAGAAAAAGAACGGTCATCTCTAGGTACTTTGAAGCCGGGTAAGTGGGTCCAGGTTCGATGCAGTACCGGTCCTGGCGGAAAACTTCGGTCGGCGAGGGCTCGGACAGGCCAGCCGAACGAGGCACCGAATATCCCCCCGGCGATTCTGTGGGCGTCGTGCTTTGGTGTTTGAAGTGCATTCCGGGTAAAGATCCAGGATGTTTTTGTGTCGTCTAGCTTCGCTGACGGGTGAGGTGTCTTTTCTGATGAATGGCGGCAACCGGTTCGCTCGTCGAGGCCGATTCGGACGAGGAGCTGGAGGCGATCTCTTGTGGGGTTGGCCTGGGCGTGTCGTTCGGGTGGGCTTGCTGCTAAGCCTAGCGACGAACGGGCTTCTGTCAGCGATTCTCTCCGATTGAAAATCAGTCGAGCAAGGAAACGGAGCTATTCACTGGATCTAGTCTACACGAAGGGCAGTTTCGCAGCGCTTGCGACGATGAGATCCCCTTCAGCGACGCCCTCGGGCCCTGTGGGCGGTGAACCAGTTCTTGTCCAATCGCTTGGGAGCGGGGGATGGATTCCAAGGGGTGTTCTGACCGATTGCATACAGTACGTCAGCATGATTAGAGGTATCTGCGGTTTCTCGACTAAACACATACCTGATCGAACGTGCCATGTGACGCCGTGGAGGAGGCTGACGAAGCTAGAGTCGGTGAAGCTTTAGGAACAGCGTTGACAGCCTCTTTCGGGGTTGAACCATCGACCGAGTTTGGTTTATTGGGTCGTCCAGCAGGCAGAGGTGGTGACTTGTGCAGCACGTCTTGTATTCTCGGGTGGTACGAGGGGAGGAAGAAGCCGCCGCGTAGCTTGGGTGGGGGCATCACCGGTCAAGGGTCGGATTTGACGGGAATGGTCGGGAATGGTCGGGTCGGGGGGATTAGAGATACTACGGAATGATCTTTGGGTGCTCAGAGTGCATGCATCGATGAGCGCGTGCAAGAGCACGGGCGTGACGGCCCACGGGGCAGATGCTAGTCTTAGCCGTAGCCTTTATTCGCAAAGTTGACCGATTCAATTCTGGCGTGTCAGCCTGGGCCGCGAAAGCTCAACAAACTCGACCGAGTGCCAGCTTCAGACTGAGCGACTAGTACTGAGCTAGACTGAGCTGAGCTATACTGAACGCTACTGAGCGCTTGAGTGGCGCTTGGCCCAGCACTGGCCCAGCAGGGCAGCTTCTGGCAGCTTGGCCCGCGTTTTTCTCCCGGCCTGACTCCGTCCTCGTCCTCCTCTCCTTCGCTCCACTCACGCTCACCTCGCCTCGACCTCGCCTCCGACTCCGACTCCGACCCCGACCCCGACCCCGACCACGCTCCACCCCCTCCGTTCCCCGACTGCGGACTATGAGCTGCTCGAGGGTCGAGTACCCACGCGACGACCACGGCACACCCGCAGCCTCCCAGTCGCATGTAGGCGCGGTCAGGACCACCACCACCACCGCCTCGCGACGACCACGAGCAACCGCTGCTGCTGCTGCTGCTGCTGCTGCTGCTGCTGCTGCTGGCTCGACCTCGAACTCGGCAACACTGACCGTCGCACCTTCCCCCATCACGACTCGCTCGGGTCGTGCTCTTGGTTCGGTCGGGGGCAAGTCCGGCCCAGGTTACTCTCCGTATGCCTACCCAGCGCGCAAGACGACGGCGACCCACGACGGCGACCATGACGACGAGGCCAGTTTCGATGCCTCGTTCGACTCGCCGATCCAACGCAGGCGACACCCACCACCATCAGCATCCACTACCGTAGCCCCCACCCAAGCCCAAGCCCAGACACAGAAACGAGGCGGCCTCTTTTCGGGCATCAAGAGCATTCCCGGCCGCGCGCTCGGCTACATCTTCCATCGCAGCAACTCGACCGCGACCCTCTCCAGCTCGGCCTCGCTGCAGGATGTCCGACGCGCTGTCGAAAAGGAACAGCGGTCGTCGCAATCACCCAAAAACGCGATCGCTTCCAGGACACGATCCGGTGCTCAGCGGTCGACCGCCCCTGGGGCTGCAGCGGGAGGAGGAGGAGGAGGAGGAAGAGGCATGTCGAGGAGCAAGACGGGCGTCCATCTCTCCGAACTTGGCCGACCTTTACCGTCGTCGTCCTCGCTCTCGGCCTTGTCGACCCTTGCATCTGCGTCTACGAGTGCACCCGTGGCGTCATCCTCGACCTATGCCTCGAACGGTCTGCCGAGATCGTCGCATTCGACCCTGACGATGCCGCCCTCGAACCTCAACGGCGGCGCGCCTTCGTTCCTCGCGCCGACGTCCTACTCGCGTCAAGGCTCACCCGCACCGTCCTCCAACGCCGGTGCAGGCTACTCCCGTCGGAGCCCTTCTCCGACGCGCAACCAACTCGCGGGGACCATGTCGGCCTTCAACTTCAACTCGCACGACGCCGCGTCCGACATGCGCGCCGGATCTCGCGCCGGCAGTTCAAGCGCTGTCGTCAAAGCTCCCACCTCGAATGCTTTCGGGTTGCAATCGAGGTCCCCTTTCGTGGCCACACGACGTGCCCCTTCACTCGCTCGCAGTGCATCGGTCTCCTCGATCGCCGGCGCGAGCACGAACGGCGCCGGTGTCAGTGCCGCCGGCCATTCGCTCTTCCCTTACGCCTCCCCCAAACCCCGTGGAGCATCCCCTAGCGCCCTGTCGACGAGTCGATCCGTGTCGTCGTCGTTGAACCACAAAAAGTCCTACGTCGCTCTTTCTGGTGCGCTCAATTCATCTCGAGCGAGGGTCGGGTCACCGCTCAACCCTCATTTCCCGACGGCTTCGGTCGGAGAGTCAGCTTCCGTGTTTGGGGGGGCTAGTGTCGATCCGGGTTTCGAGAGGGCTAGGAAGAAGCAGATGGTTTGGGATCCGGAGAAGGGTTTGGTTTCGAGGGAGGCGATGGAGAGGGAGCGAGAGGCGTGAGTTGTCAAAGACGGCTCTAGGCGAGGTATTGGTTGACTGATGCTTTGTTTTTTCGATGTATCTGCTCGCCCGCAGTGCCCAAGCACCGCCGCCGAAGAATGAAGCTGAGAGGATTTTGGAAGTACTAGAGGGGATGGGTCGTACACCTTTGGGCGAAGCGCAGCGCGCGACCTTCAAGGTGAGCCATGCCAACAGTCCATCGGCTTTCGCGCAATCTGCGCTGACGCTGTGTTCGTCCTTACAGCCGATCAATGTACCGGTACCGCAAGCCTCGACGTCGAGCTTACTCAGCCGAAGCGCCTCGACTCCACTCCTGGCGACGGCCTCACCGTACGGTCGTCGTGCCCCCGTCGCCCCGGCCGCGCGCGAGTCCACCCGTGGGGTCGGATTGGAAGCGCAACTCCGAGCACGAGAAGATCGACGACGCGCTCAAATCGAACGAGAGCGGGAGGAACGCGAGCAGGAACGATTGGAGGACGAGGAGAGGGAACGACAACGCGTCGAGAGGCGTCGGAGGCGTCGCGATGAGGAGGAGAGATTGAAGCGCGAGGAAGAGGATGAGATGCTGATGGAATCGATTGAGGATGAGGAGGCTGCGCCTGTAGCGAGACGCAAGACGCGCTCGATGGCGGCGGCGGCGGCGGCGAAGGACCCGAAACCGATGACGTCGACACCTGCGAAAGCGAGGGCCGGGACGGGCAAAGGCAAGGCAGCTGCTGCGTCGACGACACCGGCTCGAGTGACGAGACGGTCGGCGAGGAAGGCTGCGTCCGAGGAATCGATGCAGGCCGATGATGTGCCCATGTCACCACCACCCGCGGCATCGCGACGACGCGCCGTCAAATCACCTTCCCCCGTCAAGGAAGCGAGTCCCTCTCCTCCGCCTCCGGAACCGACACCCGTGGAATCTGCTCCAGCTTCGTCGTACAAGCCCATCACCGAAGCTGAGCGAGCCGCCAACGCCTCTTCCTCCCTTCGTCCCGGTCGTTCGCACACGTCTCGGACGCATACCTCGTCGTCCAAGATCTTTTCGGCGAGGGAAGAGGATCTGCCTCCGGTCGATGAGAACGAGTTGGGCAAGATCAAGTTGCCCGAAATGAAGTTCCCCGCCAACTTCTCGTTTGGGCCAATTGGAGGGGCCGCTTCCTCCACCGCATCGACGAGTACGACGAAGGCGACTCCGGCACCTACGCCAGTTTCTGCACCGGCTACTTCGACCAACAGCCTCTTTGGTCGTCTTGGTCCTGCGTCATCGGAACTTGCCTCGAGCAAACCTACCGCTGCACCAACACCGTTCTTATTCGCTCCACCTCCGGCACCTAAGAACGATACCACAACCGCTCCTCCCGCACCCAAGACCTCGATGGCTTCCAATTTCTTCTCGAAACCCCCTACCCTCCCCACTTCCTCCAGCGACGCCTCGAAGACCTCCTCGACCAAACCTCCCGACTTCTTTGCTACCGTTTCCGCCGCGCCCTCAACGAAGAGGAACGAAGTCGATACACCCCCCTTGTCGACCCTCCCTTCGGCGTCGGATTTCTTCGGCGTCAACAAACCCGTGGAGGCGAAGCAGGCCCCTGCCCCCGCTCCCTCGACTTCGAATGTGGCGAACCCTTTTGCGGCGCTAGGGAAACCCGTTGCTGAGATTATTGGAGAAAGCAGTGCGGAAAATGCTAGGGCTGCTCCGCCGATATTCGGGAATGCTTCGTCGATAGCAAGTCCGTTTGGCGCGTCGAGTGGTTTGTTCGGTGCTGCACCCAAGCAGGATGGAGAGGTGAGCGGGCTGTTCAGGCCAATCGTTGGAGAATTCCGATCTGACGTGACTTGCCTCCCTTTGAACAGAAGAAGGATACGCCTTCGGCTAAGCCTGTTGTCTCGTTCGGGGCTCCCGCATCCTCGGCGATAAGCTCGACCTCGGCCCCCACAGCACCTGCCCCGCTACCTTCGTTCTCGTTCGGTGCCCCTGCCCCTGCGGCTGCAACTGCTTCTTCATCTACGAGCGACAAGGAGGCCGAAGACAAGCCCCAAGCTGCCCCTGCGCCGTTTACCTTTGGTGCACCAGCTGCTTCCTCCGCCGCCGACGCCCCTGCCTCGACTGCACCCGCTCCCTCCTTCAGCTTCGGGCAACCGCCCGCTGCGGCCGAGAAGAAATCCGAATCGGGCTCGACGGAAAAGCCTGCCGCTCCAACGGCTCCGACACCATTCGCTGGCTTTGGAGCTGCTCCATCGATGCCTCCTGTCGTCGTCATGCCCAGCATTGATGATGGTGACGAAGACAGTGGAATGGAGGACGAGACGGGAGCAACCGACTGGAACACCGCCGCCAAGCCGTCGCCGTTCACGTTCGGACAACCCGCAGCTGGGGCATCGTCGCCGTCACCTTTCGGCAATTCCCCCGCCTTTGGCGCCAGTGCCCCGACTTCGGCCGCTCCCTTCTCCTTCGGCGCTCCGGCTGCGACAACGAGCCAAAAGCCGACGAGCATCTCTTTCGGCAGTGCGGCCAACCCGACGGGCAGCTCGTCGCTGTTTGGCGGTGTGGGTGCGGCCACATCGACTCCCTTTGGCGGTTTGTCACCCTCGCCTTCGCCTGGACCTCCTTCCGCCGGTCTCGTGAACACGGCCTTCTCATTCGGAACGACGTCTTCCACAACTCCGTCTGCTCCCACCCCTTCTGCTGCGCCGGCGACGTTCACGTTCGGGGCTCCCTCAGGGCCGACAACTCCCTCTGGTGGTCTGTTCGGCAACTCGGGCACCTCGACAACGAACGGCAACATGTTCGGCTCCGCGGGTGGAGCAGCGATGTCGCAAACGCTCTCCGCGCCAGGGTTCGGTGCCCCGACTGCACCAGCCGTGAGGGCGCCTTTTGGAGCTCCTTCCGCCATACCTACGTTCACGTTCGGTGCGTCGTCCAACCCCGGTACACCTACAACGAGTACGGCGTTCAACTTTAGTGCGCCGCCTTCTTCGACGCCGATGAATAGCAATGGTGGATTCGCGGGGTTCGGTGTGGCACCGACTACATCCTCGAACGGCTTCGGAAGTGGACTTTCGAATCCTGCAGGTGGTGGAGGGACCTCCTTTGGTGCTCCTTCAGTCCCTGTAGGTGTTTCTTCGAATGCGCCCTTAAGTCCTGCGGGTGGTGCGGGGGCAGGCGCGGGGGCTTTGTTCAGTATTGGGAGTGGCGGGGACGAGAGTCCGAATAAGAGGAAGATCGCTCCGCTCAGGAGGAGAAGGGGGTGAGCTGGGACTGGACGATCTTTGGGGGGGGGGGGGGGTTCCTTTCTTTTTTGAAGGAAGAAATTAGTTTGCGAGACGACCTACAAATGTTAATGATTCTATACGATGACGACCAATTTGCGAATCTGCGTCTGGTCAAGTAGTAGCTTGCGCCGCGTGAGAGGCAGGCAGGCAGGGCGGAAATTGGTTTGACGCGTCGTGAAAAGGGCCTAAAAGGGCGTTGCTATTAGGCGGTGCTTGGGACGGCTTGGGACGCGCCTTGATGAGAGTGAGAGCTACTGAGAGCGCTACTGAGATCCTGAGAGCTGAGAGCGCGGGCGGCGGCTTCTTTCCTTGCTTCTGGCCTGCTTCCCTTTGTCGCCCTCTTTCGGACTTGGACCATCGTCCTAGAGACTGCGCAGAGGGGACAACGCAACTCGTCGAGTAAGTGGACCGCATCATGGCAATGTCGGGGGGATGCTTTCGGGAAAGGAGGCAGGGGAACGGTTCCAGGACGCGCCGCCAGCCGTGAGCAAGGCACTGTTGCATTGCTCGGCGCACCACCACGGCTCGACGCGTCGACGTGTTTTCTGGACCCGATGTGCTCTTGGAGTGATCTGTTCACCTCCTTTTCATCCTTCACGCGGCCGGACTGGTCGAGCACAGCAGAGGGAACGCGACTTGCTGACTCGAGTCGCACAGGTCAAACCCGCGCGCAGGACACGGACCAGTGACCACACGCACGCACGCACGCACGCACGCACGCACGCACTAGGGCTCACACTCGTCGTGCGATACCGGAATAATTGGGATATCAACAGGCGGAACTACAGCCACACCTGATCTACCTTCATCAGTCAGTCAGCGCAGCCGGGGGAATACTCGGGGGGCATACTCGGGGGGAATACTCGTCTCCCTCGCACCCTGACCTCGATCCTGATCCTGGAATCACCCCTCGTCTTCTGCAGTGTCGGACGTCGTCATCTCCTCCTCGACGTTCCACCGTCGAGCACTTCGTATCTTTAGCCTATGGGAGGTACGTTTACTTGTGCCTACGGACGGATATCCCTCTCGGTGCGCCGCCTTGTCGGAGCTCGCGCGCTGATCGTGCCTTGTCCTCCCTTGACTAGAAAAAGGAAGATGACTCGGCCCCTTTGCCCGAGGTCGAACATCTCCTCGTCGTCGCCGGTAACTCGGACGAAGAGAACCCGTACCGTAAAGGCTCGGCACTGCAGGTCAGTCCAGCTAGACGCTGCTCTGGACCCGATTCGAGCGTTTGTTCTGACGCGTCAGATTGTGGACATGACGCAGACCTATTTGCTCGGTTACGAGTTCCCTTCGACGTTGATGATGCTCTCCAACAAGGGTCGCGCCAAGACGGTCGTCTTTGTCGTGTCGACTTCAAAGGGTACGTTTTCAGCTTCATGCGCACGGATCCGATCGCGTTCGTTTGTGTACTGACCCCTGCGTCGATGATCCGACTTTCTTCAATCACAGCCAAGTTGCTTCAGCCGCTTTTGACCGCCCCATCGGATGAGAAGGTCGAGGTCGAGATCCTGACTCGGTCCAAGGACGAGGCCGAGAACAAGAAGTTGTTCGAGCAGGTCATTGATGCGATTGGCGATGGCGTGAGTTGGAAGCGTCCCGTCTGGCCGCACGCGGGGCAAGAAAGCTGACGAGTGACGCGCGATGCATTGCAGAACACGGTCGGTACGCTCCCGAAGGACAAGATGGCCGGCAAATTCGTCAATGAATGGCAGGGCGTCTTCACGAGCTCGGGCAAGGACATCAAGGAGATAGATGTTGGACCGGGGGTCTCGACTTTGTTGGCCGTCAAGGACGAAGAGGAGCTGGTGGGTCACAAGCTCGGTTCATCATCATAGTGCGCACTTGGCTGACATGCTTGCTTCCCTTTCTGATTTGCAGCGCAACGAGATGCACGCTGCCAAGATGACGAACCACCTCATGTCGCACTTCAGCGATGCGATGTCGTCTGCGATCGATCAGGGCAAGCGCATCACCCACGAGCAATTGGGCGAGCAGATCGAGCAAAAGCTCGAGGACACCAAGTTCTGGCGTTCGCTCAAACTCGGCGATGGGTTCGAGACCGGGTTCGGCGATTGGTGCTACTCGCCCATCATCCAATCCGGAGGCAACTACGACCTCAAGAGTTCGGCGCAGACGGACGACCAAAAGCTCAAGCCGGGCGTGATCCTGTGCTCGCTCGGTATTCGCTACAAGTCGTACTGCAGCAACGTCGGTCGCACGTTCATGATCGACCCCGACTCGGCGCAAGAGAAGAACTACCTCTTCCTCGTCGAACTGCAAAAGTTCGTCATTGGGGAACTCAAGGAGGGCGCAGTAGCCAAGGATGTGTACGCTGCGACCGTTGAGAAGGTTCGTGCCGACCGAGAGGACTTGTTGCCTCACTTCGTCAAGACGTGCGGTTTCGGGATGGGGTTGGAGTTCCGCGATGCGGCGTACGCGCTCGGTCCCAAGGGGACTCGCACGCTCAAGCAGGATATGATCTTTTCGCTCTCGCTCGGGTTCCACAACATCCCGCAGGCCAAGGGGGACAAGACATACGCGATCTCGCTCGTCGATACCGTGCAGGTTGGCAAATCCGGTGCCAAGATCCTTTCGGAAGGGATGAAGGGCAAGGACGACGTCATGTTCTTCATGGACGATGACGAGGAGGACAAGAAGAAGGCCGCGCAGGGGCGACGCGGAGCGGCGCGCAAAGCCGCACCGACGGTCATGGTCAAGTCCAAATTGAGGAACGAGAACCGGGACGTCGATGCGGATGCGCTCAAGCGAAGGGAAGAGCATCAGCGCGAATTGGCAGTCCGCCGACAGGAAGCTGGGTTGGAGCGCTTCTCTGAGGGCGACGGTGGGCGTGGACGCGGCGAGAAGCAATGGAAGAGTTTCACGAGTTACCAAAAGGAGTCGCAGCTTCCCGAGGCGGTGACGTCGCAGAAAATTTCGGTCGACGTGCGCCGCTCGACCGTCATCCTGCCCATCAATGGGTACGCTGTGCCGTTCCACATCAACACGCTCAAGAGCATCGTCAAGCAGGAAGAAGGCGACTACACCGTCTTGCGCTTCATGTTCGTCACCCCCGGTGCGATCACGGGCAAGAAGGAGGATACGCCCTTCGAGGACCCTTCGGCGACGTTCATCCGTGGCATCACGTACCGCTCGCTCGACGGCTTCCGCTACGCTGAGGTGCACAAGGACATCACAGAGCTGAAGAAGGCCGCCACGAAGCGCGAGGCCGAACGCAAGGAACTCGCCGATGTCGTCGAGCAGGACCGCTTGATCGAGCTCAAGGGCAAGCGACCAATCAGGATGACGGACGTGCAGGTTCGACCTGTTTTCGATGGCAAGCGGCAGATGGGCGATGTCGAGATCCACTCGAACGGTATCCGCTACCAGTCGTCACTCAAGTCGGAACAAAAGATTGGTGAGTATTGTGCCTAGGTGTGGGCTTTCGAGATTGTCCGACTCACCTTGCATCATTGTTTATCTACGCGCCAAGACATCCTTTTCAGCAACATGAAGCACTTGCTGTTCCAGCCGTGCGACCACGAGCTGATCGTCATTTTGCACATTCACCTCAAGACGCCGATCCTGATTGGCAAGAAGAAGGCCACCGACGTGCAGTTCTTCCGAGAGGTGTCGGACCAGTCGTTCGACGAGACGGGCAACAAGAAGCGACGGAAGAATTACCACGACGAGGACGAACTCGAGGCCGAGCAGGAGGAGCGAAGGCGTCGGTCCGACCTCAACAAGTACTTCAAAGCCTTTTCGGACAAGATCGCAGAGGCCTCGGACGGGCGCGTCGAGGTCGATATCCCCTTCCGCGAGCTCGGTTTCCAGGGTGTGCCGTTCCGGTCCAACGTGCTTATGCAACCGACGACCGAGACGCTCGTCTTCTTGACCGAGCCTCCGTTCCTCGTCTTGACGCTGAGCGAGATCGAGGTCGCCCATCTCGAGCGCGTGCAATACGGTCTCAAGAACTTTGACATGGTCTTCGTCTTTGCCGATTTCAAGCGAACGCCGATCCACATCAATACGGTGCCGTCGGCGCAATTGGACAATGTCAAGGAATGGCTCGACTCGGTCGACATCCCCTTCACCGAAGGACCGGTGAACCTCAATTGGGGCGCGATCATGAAGACCGTCAACGAGGACCCGTACGAGTTCTTCAAGGAAGGCGGCTGGGGCTTCCTGTCGGCCAAGGGTGACGACGAGGAGGACTCGGACGAGAGCGAGGAAGAGTCCGAGTTCTCGGCTGGGTCGGATGCGTTCGAGAGTGAGAGCTCTGAATCCGGGTCCGACTTTGACGACGACGACGCTTCGGACGATGACGATGAGAGCGCCGAGGACGTCAGCGCCGATGATTGGAGTGATGCGGAGGAAAAATTGGAACGCAAGGAACAGGAACGAAAACAGAACGGTAAGGGACGAGCAGCTTCGGATAGTGGATCAGACCGACCTAAAAAGTCGAAGAGCAAGAGTGGCAAGCGCTAATAAGGGATAGCGCCTGGGCATTATTGAGGAAATGAAAAGGCGGTGGTGGAAGTGCTCTGCCCCAAGTCGCCGATCCAAAGTAGGACAAGGTTTTCACGGTCCTTGATAGGTGCTGGTGCTGTTATGTATGCCATGAGACTACTTTTTCGAGGGAGACCGAATACAGACCCTTGGGGCGAGCGAGTGCCGCTCAGAGTGCCGCTCGGACCGCTTCGGACGTGTGTGTAACCGCAGCATAGCCGAACCGTCGCGCGTCGACGGTCGTCGTTTGGCTGCTGTCCACATCATTCCTGATCCAGTGAACTTGTGTTCCGATCGTTGTAGTCGGCGGACCCACACTCTGCTGAGCCAGTTTTCTCGGGGCGGGCTGTTTGGGTGCCGGTTAGGGTATCATGTACGTCGTCGTCCATGTCCTTGCTCGCTTTCCTTTTCGGAACACAGGGCGGCCGATCCGACGAACAGGCGTACCTCGAGCTAGTGGGCTGACCAGGCCATGGCACTTGGACCCCATCGCAGGGCATCAGCCAGGGATTTATTGGGACGCCTGTCGGCCCTGTTTGATTCTGCCGCAGCTCAAGCTTCTGGCTCCAACTCCACCGCCGCAACATCAGTGACGGTGAGCGCCTCGAGCAGCTCCACCTCTTACTCGAGCACGACTTTTCCGACCTCGTCGCCCTTCCCGACTCTCCGCACCCCCGCGTCCCTCGAGGCGAGTCTCCAGGAACACATCAACACCTTTGCCTCGACCTTCCCCGACTCTGCACACGAGGCCAAGGAGCGAGAAAGGACGAGATGGCGCGACGGACTGCTCGAACTGTGGGCGAGCGCGGAACCTCGAGCCGGGACCGAGACCGAACCTCAGGCCGTTGCTCGCGTCTCGGCGTTCCTCGTGCTGCTGTGTCAACTCAGTGCGGATGGCAACGAATATGACGACTCGGCCGCGATCGTCACCCGCCACGACATCGCCAAGGTGTGGTGGGGCGCCGTGCTGAGGAGGGTCATCCTCGGTTCAGGCAAGGACCTGCAACGCAATGACGACAGGACAACGGCCGCACCGGAACGTTCGAGGGGTCGCAAGTCGGGCAAATCCGAAAAGGGGAAGGACACGGCTACTCCATCGAGCACACTTGCACCCGCGGAGCGAACAATCACGAGTAGAGGCGCCTCCGGCCCACTGCTCAAGCCTCTGACAGTATCGAGAGAAGCGCTCGAGGCCTCGACGACGATGGTCGTGTGGGGCATGTCGCCGACGCAGGAGGAATCTGACCAGGAGTGGAGGTATGTGCCTCCGTTCTTTTTGACCGTGAGAGACGAGTACGAGCAGAGAGCTCTTACCGGTCTCAAGGGCTTCGATGAAGGGTATGGCGTGCGCAATCTTCAGGAATGCCTCATCAATTGGGGCGAAAAGTTTTACGTCGTGAGTGGACCACTTCCATCGCGTTGTCGGATTACCGCTGAAGACCGATCTCGGTGAGCTGTTGTACAGAGGCTATTTGAGCAAATGGCCCCCTTCGTTACCGTCTCGCGATCGCCGCAACTACCCACCCTTTCCTTGCTCGTCGCTTTCCTTTCACGTCACCCGGACAAGGCCAAAGGGATTCACGAGACGCCGTTGTTAGGAGCCCTCATCACCCTGTGTTTGACCTCGCGTGACTCGGCCTCCGTCATCCTTGGCGTCAAATGCCTTGTCATCTCCTTGGTCCAGCTCACCGTCTTGATCGGCGACCACCTCCCGGGCCTGTTTGCCATCTACGCCCGCCTCGTCTGCTGGGAACGACCAGACGACTTGCTCGAGGATGCGCCTCTGGAAGATACGGACGGGTCGCCCATCATCTCCGTCGAGACACCGGATTCGATGCTGCTGTTCAGTTGCTTGTACGGCATCTTTCCTTGCAACTTTACGGCATTTTTGCGCGATGCGACGGGGTATCTGCGGAGCAAGAACTGGAGCGGACCGCTAGAAGCGTACAGTCTCTTTGATACCGCGAGTGTTCGAGCGTTCAGCAAGGTGAGCTCAAAATTGATCTCTTGAACCATATCTACGTGATTCGTGACTCTAATGTTCTCCTCTCTGCTCATGCTCAGCCTCTCATTGCTCGACACACGCTTCATCCGGCTTTACTCTCCTCGGACCCAGCGTCAGAGCTCACGGATGTCACTCGGTTTGGCGATGCCGATGCTGCCGGTGTGATGGCCTTGTGCGACCAAATGGTCGTTCACGAAGGGCCGGGATTTGTTTCGGAAGTCCCGACGACTCCTCGACCGTCCCGCGGGCGACGAGCCGCCTCGGGTCTCGCTGTGACCGAATCACGCCCCGGCAGCCTGCGACCCTCTCAGATCCGCAAAGCCTCTACTTCGGGCTCTCGCTCCCGTTCACCGATACCTCACTTGCCCTTAGCAACGCACTTCACCAACTTCCAAGCACGTCAGAACTCCGGCTCGACCTTGTTGAAGTCCGTTCCGACGAGTCGCTCGGGATCCCGGCCGCGCACGCCCATCACCGATCTGGCGGACCATTCTCACCCAGCTTGGTCCGGCTTGATCCCGTCGTCGACCGATTCATCAACCCAGGCCTCGAGCTCATCTTCACGCGCATCATCGATCAATGGCTCTCCTTCGACGATCCACGGTACGCTCAACGCCCCCGCCCCGGTGGAACACCTCGAGTCTCGTCCTCGTTCTCGCTTCCGCGGGGTCCACGTCCCCGGCGGTGTGCAAGCCAGCAAACTTGAACGTGACATCGCGCTCCTGCAAGGCGAAGTCGATTTCCAACGGTACCTCAAGCAGATTCATCTCCAATACATGGGGACGTTGCATCGCCAGAAAGTTCTCGGAAGTGGGGCCGAGGCCGAACGCCAAGCATTGAACCGCACGATCCGGACGCTGAAAGCGCAACTGAAGCAGATCAAGTCGTCTTTGGATCAATTGAGGAACGAGTCGAGCACGATCAAGGTCAATTGGGTGTCGCATATCGATGATTTGAGGGAGAAGCTCAAGACCGTGAGGGAGAGTAAGGGCAAGGCCGATCAAGAGGGGAAGACGTTGAGAGCTCAGCTGGAGGTGGTCAAAGAGCGGGAGGCCAAGTTACAAAAGGAGTTGGACACGACAGGGGCAGAGTCAGTACCCGAGGCTTACTTTATGGATTGGAAGGGCGGGATGGAGCTGACATACTTTGCTTGGTCCACAGGTTCCTTGACCTTCGCAATCAGGTCGCGCTGGACTCGGAAAAGCTCAGCCGTCTCGAGGAATACGAAAAACGTATTGGTGCTTTGACCAAAGCTGTTGCCATTAGGTCAGTTTGACAAGGTAACGATTACACCAAAATTTTCGGTGCTAATTCACAAATACACGCACACTTGCAGTGACGCCGATCTGATCAAGTTCAAGGAGCAGAAACGACAGATGGATTTACTCGCCGCCAAGGCTCAAAAGTCCGAGATGCTGCGCGAGTCGATCGAAGCGGAAGCTGCAACGCTGCGCCAACAACTCCGGTGAGTGTTCCCCTACACCAATCTCGGTTTACTAAATTAGTTCTAAGCATTCACCGCCCATTTCATCATTCAGTGTCAAGGACGATGAGCTCGCCAAACTACGCCAGGCGAACCCTATCGCTTTAAGCTCGGCCATCGCAGCGACGACGCTCACGAAAGACGACCACTCCAAGTTGCTGGAAGAATTGGAACGCTTACGTACCAAGAACCAAGAACTGGTCGTTCAGGTCATGGAGTTGCAGCAGGAGCCTGCGAGTCGTCATGGCTCGGTTCATGAAGGGCACTCTGACGAGTCGTGAACACGCTGCAGAGTAGCTGGTGTTGTGGATCGGACGAGAGTCTTTGGTACGAATCGACTATCTGTGCTGTCTTTGCAATCAAATACGCCTTTTTAGTTCAATATCCGACGGGCCGGTCCTTCGAGCTCGGGTAGGCTGCGGCACCCCGGGCTTGATCAAGTCTAGGATGACGTAAGCGAGGGAAGGACTATTTTTGCCACACGCGTTTGTGTCAGCGGAAGTGAGTGTTCCAAGTGCCTGCACACCCAACTCTTGAAGGCCCCAGATCAGCAGACAAACCTTGCTGCGAACCGCCTTGACAAATTCATCTGAGATTGACCATCGCGCTTGTCGCTCGGACTGGCAAGGCGAGTGGCCGCGAACCCGCGCCTCGGGTCGGCCGATGTGAAAGCCGGTGCCTGGCTTGTGGCCGTCTTGTGGCAGCTTGTGGCCGGGCCCGGGTCGCTTCTCAGCCGCTTCTGGCTGTCCGACGTCTTTCTCTTCCGTTCCTTACCCATCCCCTCTGCTTTCTGCGCTACTTTGACTGTCTTGTCCAGCCAGCCACTCGCCTAGCACAACTCTCAGCCCTTTTCCAACTCCACTACCCTCCATCACAAGAAACATGTCCTCCGCTCTCGAACGCGTTGCCGCTCTGGCGTCACACTTGGTGCCCTCTTCACGTGGCAAGAAGGCCGTGCTCGCCAAGAAGGACGACGACGTTGTGATCGTGTCGGCGGTGCGCACCCCTCTGATCCGAGCCAAGAAGGGCCCTTTCAAGGTCAGTAAGGCTGCGATCGAGTTTGACTCTCTACGGTGGTGATGACACGATTGGCTGACCAAGAAAACCTGCATGGCTCTCTCCCTCGCTCTCACCGCTCTCACCGGCGACCTCGCCCCCGCTCCCGCCTGCCCGCTCCCTCGCCGCTCAACAGGACACGACCCCCGAGGACCTCTTGGCCGCCGCACTCAAGGCCGCCGTTGACCGTGCTGGCATCGACATCAACCTCGTCGAAGATATCCAGGTTGGCAACGTCCTCCCCCCGGTGGTGGTGCGACCGTCGCCCGTATGGCCCAACTCGCAGGTCCGTTCGTAGTCGCAATCCTTTATTCGGGCGCATCAGAGCTCGTTTCAGTTGCAGCCCCACGCGCACGTCGGATTCTCCTCGATTGAATGATGGGGCCAACGGTCGCAATGCACCGGGCTGGCAAACTCTTCCTGGATGCTCCTATTTTTCTTAGACATCCGCCCTTTCTCGTACTGACGACCCGCATCTTGCTCTTGGCACTCCCGCGCCTCCATTCCGCCGTCTACAGTCGGCTTCCCGGTGACGTCGTCCATCTGCACCCTGAACCGACAGTGCTCGTCTGGCCTCCAGGCCATCAACAACATCGCACTCCAAATCGCCGCCGGCCAAATCGATGTCGGCATCGGTGCCGGTGTCGAGTCCATGACCATGGGCTACGGTGAGTGATCCTTTCGTGCCCCTCTTTGCAATGCGGATGAGCTGACATTTGCCCCGACTACCCAACAGGCGCTGGTGTCATGCCCGAGAAGTTCTCGGACAAGATCTTGGAGCACGAGCCCTCCGCCGACTGCCTCGTCCCCATGGGTATCACCTCGGAGAACGTTGCCGCAAAGTACAACGTCACCCGTCAAGCCCAGGACGAGTTCGCCGCCAAGTCGTTCCAGAAAGCTGCCGCCGCGCAAAAGGCCGGCAAGTTCGATTCCGAGATCGTGCCCGTCACCGTCCAGGTCACGGACCCCAAGACCGGCGAGGAGACCACCGTCACCGTCACCAAGGACGACGGTATCCGAGATGGCGTCACCGCCGAGTCGCTCGGCAAGCTCAAGCCCGTCTTCTCCAAGACCGGCTCGACACACGCCGGTAATGCCTCGCAGGTTTCGGACGGTGCCGCCGCCGTCTTGCTCACGCGCCGCTCGTTCGCCAAGAAGCACAACTTGCCCGTCCTCGGCAAATTTGTCTGCGCCGCTGTGGTCGGTGTCGAGCCCAAGCTCATGGTGAGTCTCTTGCGGCGTTGAACGATGGATTTACTGCTGACTCGTGCTGCCTTTCCTTGCGTTCTCAGGGTATCGGTCCCGCTTTCGCGATCCCCAAGGCGCTTGAGAAGGCCGGCTTGACGATCGAGGAGGTCGACTTATGGGAAATCAACGAAGCCTTCGCCTCGCAAGCCGTGATGTCGATCGAGCACCTCAAGATCCCGTACGAGAAGGTCAACCCGGTCGGTGGTGCGATCGCGTTCGGGCACCCTCTCGGCGCGACCGGTGCTCGTCAATACGCCACCGCTCTCGCCGAGGCCAAGCGATCCGGCGCCAAGGTCATCGTTTCGAGTATGTGCATTGGCAGTGGTATGGGTATGGCCAGTGTGTTCGTCAACGAGCAATAGTCTCGCGAACGACAGCGCAGAAGCGAAAGAATAACAAAAGAAGGAGGCCATCAGATATCGTTTGTTCAGAAGGCTCTTGACCTATGTGTGTGATTTCATATCTGTAACAGCATGCCAGCCATTTTTCTCGTGTTGGATCCTTGGTCATTGCCTCGAGAGCGAATTCACAAGAAACACTCGTGATTGGGAGCACCGAAGAAGCCACCAAAGTAGTTTGCATCGAGGTCAGCAAGCGCCCGCACGTGACGGAAAGGCAAGGCTGACTCCGAAGCAGGGACTCGGTGAACGTATTGCGCTCCGAGTATTTCGTGGCCGACGCCGAGCGGCCGCGATGATCGAGATGGCGCGGAGGAAGAACGTTCAGCGCTCCGGCCAGATCTGAACGGGTCCCCGCGAAGTCCTTTCTGCCTTCTCCTCAATCTCCACTCTACCAACCTATCCCCTCCAATAGTGAGCAGATGGCATTAAGCACTCTCCTCCTTGCATTCCAGCTGACCTGAACCCTACTCTACAGTGCCTATCGATCAACACCACCTCTCCGCGCCGGCCAAGACATACCTCTTCGGCACTCCGCTCAAACGAACCTATGCGCCGTTCCTGCACAACACCATCACCAAGCTCGCAGGAGCCCCTTCAAGATCGTACACGAAGTACGAGTCGAGCGACATGGAGGCATTCATGAAGTTGACGCAGGAGAAGGATTTTGGTGGCAGCGCCGTCACGAGTTGAGTCGCGCCGCCGCCCCCACACGTCGTAATTTGTGCCGCGGCTTTCCGGAACTGATGCCTCCTGTCATCTTGGCGTGTGGTTGGACAGTGCCCCACAAGGTCGCCATCTGCGAACAACTCGATGAACTGACAGAGGATGGAAAAGCCATGCAAGTCATTTCAAGCAGCGCGATACCTGACTCAGCACACGCCGACTGACCTTTGCACTTTTGTCTCGATTCGGAAAACCCAACAGCGGAGCGTGCAACACCATCATCGTCCGAGAAAAAAACGGGAAACGCACCCTCATTGGTCACAATACCGAGTGCGTGCATCAGGTCGTCAGATTCGTTCCTGGACCCCGAAGCTCATTCATACCACTTCCCTTTGCGAATTGCAGCTTCACAGGCGTGCAGCAATCCCTCCTTCGAGCCGACCCGGCGCACGTCTCGTCGGGCAAGACTCGACCTGGCTTGATCTTTGGTGCTGGTGGGGCTAGTCGAGCATCGATCTACGCCCTCGTTAAAAAGCTCAATTGCTCACCGATCTACATCGCGAATCGCATTGACAGCGAGGTCGAGGCGCTGATCGAGGACTACCGGACAGGAGACTTTAGGCCCGAATTGATCCACGTCAAGACCGTCGAACAGGCCCGTGAAGTTTTGCCGGTAGTGTACATCGTCAGCGCTGTGCCCGCTTTCCCGCCAAAGTCCGAAGGTGAGCTCAACGCTCGGGCCATTATCAGGACATTCTTGTGAGTTCGGAAGTCGAGGACCTGAGACGGTGGAGACCTATGTCTCAGGGACGGTTCTTCTCCCACGCGGGGGCGTTTGGTGGGGTCACATCTAGTGCCTTGTGTCTGACCCAGCTGTTCCCATGCTTTGCTTGAATTTGATCTTGGGTGTTCGACAGCGATAAGCCGACGAAGGGAACGATCCTCGAGGCATGCTACTTCCCTCACCCGTGGACCGAGTTGTGCCAAATTGCGACCGATGCGGGATGGAAGGTCGTCACGGGTGAACAAATGATGGCATGGCAAGCGATCGAGCAACAAAAGTTCTGGATGGAGTGCAGCGAGGATGATCTGAACGTCGATGAGGTGATTGAGCGACTAGGAAAGCAATTGAAGGAGGATGGCGAGACGGGGAACGAGCCGCCGGAAGCCTGAGCGGATCGAGGGCAGGAAAATAGGCGATGACCTCGGAAACCCCCCTGAAACCTAAACTGTCTAACTGTCTTAACTGTCTTGGGCTGGGTGGGGGGACCACCCGCCATGCTTAGCGGGGCGGTTTCATACGATAGGCGACTTTTATTTGTCTGGTCTTGGCATATGAGATGGGTGACATTACCTCGCACCAGGTATACCGGCCGCCATGTGGTCCTTCGGGGATCGAGAGCCAGCATTCACTGATTCGTATCTATCCGATCCGTTCCGCCAAGTCACCGCGAGGTCACACGGTTTCATGAGACTTCGGGCCTCGAGGTCATTACGAGCGGTTGGTATGCAGTTCGCAGGGCATCGTCTCGGTAACCTCAGCGGGGCGGTGAATTGTGGCGAGCCGGTCGGACCGGATCTTCTCGGGTTCGGCGTCGGTTAGTCGAGGTCAACGCGTGTGTCCATGTCCGCGACGGGCGCCTCGTCGGTTCAGATCGATGCGATGCGAGGGCACGGCGCGGTGAGTGCAACAGTGCCTCCTCTCCGCCTCGTCGACCAATCAGCCTCTTCCCGGCCGACTCCGGTCTCACGGCTTGTCTTCCTGGCGTTTCTTGCGTGGCATCACAAGATTTACGATCCAGGATGTTCAGCAAGCTTCGAGCGCGACTTCAGCGTAATCTCGCCCCGACAAAGCCGCCGATTGACCTTGATGAGGACTTGACCGAGAAAGATAGCAGCGGCGAAGGCAACGTGGACGAGAAAACGGCGACGCTCGAGCCGTCGCCGGCGAAACCCATTGCCGTCAACGTCAAAGGTGGGAACGCGGATGTCAGTGAGCTCGAGCCGGAGAACTTGCTGCCCAATGGTAAAGAGGTAAGTGGTCTGTCTGAAAGGGCCCTGCTCTATGTGCCGGGTTTTGTTAACACCGCAGCGGCCGCGGCCGGAACTGGCCGGAACTGATCCCCTCTTTCACAACCCGTGGTGGGTCCTCCCCCTAACTTTTCACCTGTTAGCGCCCTCTCGAAACGACCGAAGACATTGCGTACAGGTCAGTTCGTGGTCTATGTATCTACTCGATGTGACCCAAATCTTTATGTTTTCAATGCCTTGATTGCTCCATCACAGGTGCATCTCGCTGGAGGACGACCCGACCATGCTGGTCATGACGTTGCGGATGTGGGTCATCGGCCTCGGCTTGACGTGCTTCGCTGCGACGCTGGCGCAGATCTTCTACTTCCGTCCTCAGGTGAGCTCTGGTCAACAGAACAGTCTTTCAGCTAGTCCGATGTTCAGCTGATTTACTGTAAACTCGCTACAGACTGTCTACGTCAGCCAGCTTTTCGGTAAGACACTAGGAAAATGTACCACACCTTCACTTTCGGCCGCTCGCTCACGCTGCACCTATTATGATCGCAGTCCAGATTATCTCCTACCTCTTGGGCAAGCTGTGGTATCGCGTGCTCCCCAAGGCCGACAAAGGCAGATTTTGGGCCTTTGTCAACCCTTGTGACTTCAACATCAAGGAACATGTGGCAATTGGTACGTCGAAGTTCTTTAGCTGATCGCAGGTACTGACCGCCCCCAATCACCTTTTGCGCACAGGTATTATGAGCTCAACCTCCCTTCACAGCGCCGGATCTGTGGGTGTATTCGCCGTCGAAGTGCTCTACTACGGTCTCAATCTCAACAACGGGATCGCCATCTTTAGTCTCATCGCCTCGCAATGCTTCGGCTACTCGCTTGCGGGCCTCTCTCGAAGTCTCTGCGTCTACCCGTGTTACGCGTTGTACCCGACGATCCTCCCCGCAATCTCCCTCTACGATGCACTCGGCCGTGATCCTGATAGTGCTGTCGCCAAGAAAAGATGGCGCTTCTTCTGGTGCATCGCGATTGGCATCTTTATCTGGGAATGGATCCCCGAATACGTTGCGCCGAGCTTGATCGGGATCTCTGTCTTTTGGTGCGCACCTTGCCGAATGGCGCCTTGGCACGTGCCCCGAGCTCCCCTGAGTACTGATTTGTTCCTTCTATTTGCATACCACAGCTTAGCACACCAGCACTCGCCCTGGGTCACTAGGATCTTTGGTGGTGCTTCGCCCAACGAAGGAATGGGCATGTTCTCGGTTTCGCTCGACTGGAAGTGGGTGTCGAGACACCGTTCGAATCTCTCATTGGATCTAGCTGATAATGTGTTTCTTTGCTCTACTTGATGTCCCCTAGCTTTGTGGGATCCGGAGGTGGATCCTTGGGAGCTCTGTTCTCGCCCCTTTCGACACTCATGAGCTTGTATATTGGGTTCCTGACGTGCATCGTTGTTTCGCTCGCATGCTACGCCAAGAACGTCTGGCATGCTCAAAATTTCCCCTTCCTCGCCCAAGACCTGTTCTACCTCAACGGTACTCAGTACGACCAATCTTTGATCTTGGACGACAAGTTCCAGCTCAACAAGACAGCCCTCGCCATCCAAGGATTGCCGTGGTACTCGACGACGACGGCGATTTACTATCTCGGCTGCAACCTCGCGATCGGATGCTCGATTACCCACATCGTCCTTTGGTTTAGACCTCAGATCCGAAAGGCTTGGGCCCAGTGTGAGTACATGTCCGAAGCGTTCTACACACTTTTCTCTGACGTCCTTCATCTTCCTCACGCGAATCGGCGCTGCAGATAAAACCCGCACAGAATGCGACCCTCACCACGAAAAGATGTGCGCACGCCGATTGCTGTATTACGTCCACGTCCTTCATATTGAGGGGAGGAATCTGACTGACGTGTGGATCCCTTCGCTCCAGGCTCGTTTACCCTGAAGTTCCTGTGAGTTCTTGTTTGCGCACGTCCGGTAGGAGTTGCGAAATCTCACCCCTGTGACGTACCACACTGCAGTTGTCGTGGTACCTCGCAATCATGGCCGGCTCTCTTTCTATGGCGCTTGCCACAACTTATGTGAGTGATTCAGTCCTCAGCGCCGGCTAATCCGTCGACGCTCTCGACGGTTCAAAGGGCTCAATGACCTAGACTCTCGGTCATGTTCCTTGCAGTCGGCACATTCTCAATTGCCCTGGTGGGCTCTTCTAGTGACACTTTTGACGTCAATGATCATGTACCCCATCAAAGCGTTGATGTATGGTATTGTGGGCTTCAAAATTGGTGAGCGTTGATGTGGGGACGTGTATGTATCTGCAGCGTCATGCTGATTGCACTTGTCAAAAACTTACCAGACACCGCCCAACTGAGTCAAATGCTTGGAGGTAAGCCGCCTCCGAAGCCACAAAGACGTGTGCCTCGCCTCAGCTGACTTTATTTTGAGCCCTCCGACAGCTGCATTGGTGCCTGGCAATAGTCGAGCCAATCTTTACTTCACGTGCGTCTGGAAACGTCGTTAACGCGCGCTGGAGGAGTTCTGAAGGAAGAGTCGACTTGACAGTTTGTACGGCGACAACACGACGTCACAGGCGATTGGTCTTTCACAAGATCTAAAGGTGGGTATTGTGTACGAAGGTCCGCTCCCCCGAATCAATCACTTAATCGCTACTATGTCAATAGATGGGACAGTACACAAAGATCCCTCCTCGACACACGCTCATCTGTCAACTCGCGGGCACAATCCTCGGAGGTATTCTTCAAATTGTCGTCATGAGCACGATCGTTAGCAATCAGCGCGACATACTTCTCTCCGTTCAGGGTACCTCGGCATGGTCCGGTCAACAAGTGCAGGGTGTCAATAGTGCTGCAGTGACCTGTGAGCCATTCGCGTCCCCGTTGGGGAAAAGGAGTCCAAGCTGATTCGCAAGAATTCATCTCTCCATCACAGGGGGCGCTTTGAGTGAGGGCCCTAGACAAAACTGCATCCTGCTGTGGCGAGTTTATCTGACATGTGGCGCATGCATCATTGTCTCAACACCACAGGCAAGCAGATGTACTCAAGCGATCGACCCTACTTCTTGATTCCCATGTCGTGAGTCCGGACTCGCATGCGGTGCGTAGCATAACCGGTGTTTGAACGACTTGGGGCTTTTCTATATCACCAGAATCATCATCGGACTTTTCGTTCCGATCCCATTTTACTTCCTCCACAAGTTCTTCCCTCGTTTGCACTTTGACAAGTTTGTCACCCCCGTCGTCAGTACCGAGTGACCCAGTGGACCGCTATGGCTCCTGAGAGTGCTGACGCTCTCCGACGGAATGGCAACTTTGCAGTGGGCCTGGTGCATCGGCAACCTCTCTGTCGGAATCAACAGTTCAATTTTCACCACCTTCTCTCTCGCCATGTTCTCTCAATACTACCTGTAAGTCCCGCCTCCGAGTTACACACCACAAATCAATCTAAGCTCCTAATTACGCTGCTCACTAAATTCCGGAATTCGTCCGACAGCCGCAGGTACAAGCCCACTTGGTTCCGCAAGTACAACTACCTCTTGAGCGCGGCACTCGACGGTACGTCACAGGTGATATTGCAGCTCGCACCTTTCAGTTCGCCACGACTGACAATCCGTTCGCTTGCCTCGAAAATCAGGTGGAACTCGTGAGTTGTCGTGATGAGCAGCCGACGGTCACTCCTATCCACGTACTCACCCAACACCCCGCGCATTGGCCAACAGAGTTGATGGTCTTCATGGGTGAGTGTTCTGCCTCTGAACAGAACGAGTCATCGTTGCTCCGAGGTCGCACAAGGTCGCAATCTCACATCCATCCTTTCTTTTCCCACAGCCACCTTTGCGGTCCAGGGAGGTGCCGGCGCAGCCGTCAACATGCCATTCTGGGCTCTGAACCCGGATCAATCCAAAATCAACGCCGACTGTAAGCATTTGCAAGCTTTGCTCGAACGTTCCCTTTCAACCGATTTGCTGCCGTTCACAGCTCACTTGGATACTATCGTACTTGTTGCAGATTGCGTCAAGCTCAATTGATCCCACCCCAACTTAAGTCCCTCCTATTTTGTGAGACCGTGCTGTACCCCCTTTCCTGCCTGCAGCGGCAAACTCCCACCTCGAATTCTGTCACTGCTTCGTCCTACATGCCCGTCCTCCCCGAAAGATCCAGATTCAGATCTTCGCGTTTGTCACCCAGTGATCGCGTGTAGGGTATGCCGTCAGCCCCACCCACCCAATCTTCTCTCCTTACACGTTATTCCTAATCAAGCAGCTATGTTTAATATCTGTTGGTAATGCTGCGATCAAATCAGGCCCCTTACTCGGATCCGCTTGCAGTGGAAGCTGCAGTGGAAGTTTGTGCGCGCTGCAGAGGTCGCGTTTGGCGGAGTTGCCCTCCAATATTTCAGGGCCTGGGAAAGCGACCTTTTTGCTATAGCATGGCAACCAGAGATGGTTTTCTTGCGATCTGGCTCAATCACGATGAAGCTTGCAATATTGTATGATCATGAACTGAGAGATGAACCGTCAGATTCCTTCATGCCTGTGCTACACCAGCGCGAAAGTTCCAAATCCCACGTTTTGGCCCAAGCGTCGCCGATCGTTGCCTCGCGAATCAAGTAGAATCTCCGAGACGACAGTGGCCGCCCCGTCGTTTGACTTTGAGAGGGAATACGCACCCGCTCGGACCACTTTTAGCCAAAAGCGGACACTTTGGATCGGTGTTGCTTTTGGCCGTTTAGTGGGAGAGAAAAGCGCGCCGCAACGGAGTAGTAGTTGGAGCCTCGACCGGCCAGTGATTCACGGAGCTCACCGCCGGCCGGATGAACGTTCTGCGCTGCGGACCTCGGCGCCGCGACCACTCGGCCACGGCCTGGCACGGCCTGCCGCGGCTCAGCTCGCGCGGCCGGCCGTCTCTGTCCTGCCCGTGGCCCGCAGCCTCTCCACTGTCTCCAAACTCCGCACTCAGCACCAGCAAGCAATCTCTACCCGTCGGCCAGGACAAACAGAACAAGCCATGTCGAGTCCCTCGCAGCGAACCGAGTTCTACCTCTTCGGGCACCAGATCTCGCACAGCGCGTCGCCCGCGTTCCACAACGAGATCTTCTCGGCATTAGGACTGTCGCAGCACCGCTACCAATTGCACGACACCAAGCACCCTCAGAACGACCCCAACTCGCGGATGATCGAGTTGATTCGAAGGGATGATTTCGGAGGGGCTTCGGTCACTATGTACGTGCAATACGGGGAGGTCCTCTCCCTCAATGCCACTTCGCCCAAGTGGGGGTGCCGCCGCTTCGATCGTGGACCGCGGAAGCTAATTCACTTTCTCTCGGTCCTCGGTTCCAAACAGGCCTATCAAGGTCGAAGCAATGAAACACGTCGATAAGATTGCAGGCGAGGCCAAGGAGATCGGTTCCATCAACACGATCGTGGTCGAGTCGATCGACAAGGATGGCCGACCTGTTCTGCTCGGTGAGTGAGCCGTGCACAAAGTTCAGGATTGAATGTCGAGCTTAAATTATTCATTTTCATGCTCACCTCATCAGGTTGCAACACAGAGTGAGCGAGGATCCTTCTCGATAACGCGCCACAGGCTCTGACACTGCCGAGTTCCGCGCTTCTCACTCACAGCTGGATCGGGATGTGCAAGAGTCTCCTCCTGGCCCTACCCACCTCTCAACAGGCCCTCAAGGCCCCCTTCTCCCCTTCCTCTTCCCCCTCACCCAAATCGGGTTTCATCATCGGAGGCGGAGGAACGACCCGAGCCGCCGTCATCGCCTTGTCCCGCTTGCAGATTTCTCCCATCTTCCTCATTAACCGAGATCCCACCGAGACGGCGGTGATGATTAAATCATTCCCTCAGTACGACTTGCGAGCGTTGGACCATGTCGATCAATGGTCAGAGGAATGGGTCGAGAGGGGAGTGGTTGGTGTAGGTGCGATCCCGAGTTTGGAGCCGGTGACGGAAGGGGAGAAGAACGTGTACACCGTCGCCAGGAAAGTTTTTGGTTCCAAGCCCACGGGCCAAGTCGGCCAGAGGACGTTCTTGGAGATGTGCTACAAAGTAAAGACTGCTCTTTGGATGTACCAGCGTTGGATCGTAGCTCTGCACCTGAGGCTGACCCGACGTCTTTCTCAATATTAGCCCCGGAAGACGATCATGTACAATATCGCGGTCGATGCCGGGTGGCACGGCGTGCAAGGTGTTGAGTCGATGATTCAGCAAGGGTGAGCACCTAGAATTCAGAGCGAGATTTCACTCGATCGGCCTTCCAGCTCACGCGGTGCGACATTTCATTCTCTTTCAGCTACGAGCAAAGTCGAGCCTGGCTACTCTCGAGCGCGGCTTCTCCTTTCCAAGGCCAGCGCAAAGAACTTGGCGAAGTGATAGAACATCGAGCTGCCGCTTTTGTTCGAGGGATGGAGGATATCGAGCCCGTCGGACAGGACTCGAAGGCCACCTCGCCGAGCTCGGTCAAGCTCGCGCCACAGACAGGGGCCCGGTTCGGTCAGGCTCGGTTGTAATTAGGCGATGATTTTTGGTTGACGACCTTATCTTGAATGCCACCGTGTTTTGTAGATTCATGTATGCATGTATTATGACCTTGCGCAAGCAAAGTCAAAGTGAGATCATTCCGTCTCGGCATGCCGTTTGTGCCGGGGCATGGGTTTGAAAGATGATCCGCACGGTCTTAGCCGCTGGCGGTCTCCGTCATCCTCTACGCTGTCAAGTGTTGCACCGTCGACTCGGCCGCGCTCAACGGAAAGAAACGAGCGACTGCACCAGAGGTAAACATCACGCGATTGCCATACATTACCGCTCTTCTTGTCAGTGTTGACTCATCACTGTTCCGTGGCTCGTGACGTCAATTGGCTTTGCGAGGGCCTCATCGATCTCATCTCTGACACTCCCTCTCCAGCGATCAGCTCACCTCTTGGCCAGACCACGCCTCTCCACCATGGCGAGCTCGCACAAGATCGATTTGGACGAGATGCATCGCTTCGCGTCGCACCTGGCGATCCTCGCTGGGGTGTACCTCCGTGATCAGGCGTTACAACGCGCGTCGAGGCAGAGTGGTGCCTATTACGACCTCGAGTTGACCATCAAGGAGAACGCCGCGGATTTGGTCACCAAGGCCGATAAACATGCCGAGGATATGATCAGTACGGCGATTTTGCAAAAGTACCCGAACCACAAGTCAGTCAGCAGTATTTCTGCTCTGATGGCACCGCTCCCGGCCGTCCCTAGGCTGGTGCTGGGGGAGATCGGGCCAGGGATATCACGACTGACGAAAACTCATTTCTTCGAACAGGATCATTGGTGAAGAATCCTACTCGGCCGGTCAAGACAAGCGATTCTTGTTGACAGAGGTGGGTTCGCTAAACGATCCAAGGTACTAACCCGAAGGAATCTCACGTTCTTCCTACCGACCACCAGGAACCGACATGGATCATCGACCCATTGGACGGAACGGTCAACTACGTGCACCTCTTCCCAACATGCTGCGTTTCGGTCGGGTTTTGTCTCAACAAGGTTCCCGTCGCAGGTGCCATCTTTGCGCCGATCCTTGGAGGCCTGCACCCGACGAACGCGAGTGGATCTCTGTACTCGGCCGCGCAAGGCCTAGGCTCTTGGTCCACCCCCATCTCCTTTCCCTACGAAGATGCGACACTTCTTACGATTCCAAAGGATTCGTCGACGGAGAAGCCAGCCCCTTGGTTGCACGCGACGCCCTTACCCTACCTCGCCCCTCAACCCATCCCACCGGAAGCACCGAAAGGATTTCTCTTCCTCGCCGAGTGGGGAAAAGCGCGAGCCGATCACCCCGGTTCCAACTTGAGCAAGAAGGTAGCTACCTTGCACAACTTTGCGGCCGAGATTGGAGGACGTGGTGGTAAAGGTGGGATGGTGCATGGGATGCGATCGCTCGGCTCGGCCGCCTTGGACATGGTTTACGTCGCTACCGGCGCCGTGGACATATTTTGGGAAGGAGGTCGGTAGGCTGCTAGTCATGTGTATTTGGGGGTCAGATCTCTTCTCCAATGCTGACTGCTTTCATGAACAGGCTGCTGGGAGTGGGACGTCTGCGCCGGCATCATCATCGTCAACGAGACAGGCGGCCGCGTCGTCCCTAGTCAATGTCCTGCAGGGCTCGAAGAGCAAGACGACATACCCGAAGCCGATCTAGGATCCAGGCTCTACCTCGCGATCCGACCGTGTGCCTCGACGCAAGGGGAGACTGCGACACAGGCGCAGGATCGCTTGATTCGCGAGGTGTGGCGGCGATGCGAGAAGCTCGACTATGTTAGGCCTCAGTGACGCAGATCAGATTTTGAGTACTCGATAGATCTCTTGACTACGAAACATTTGCAACCAATCTACATCATCGCACGTTTATCTGCCTCGTGGCGCCGAGCCAGCCCCCAGGTTTGAGCGGCCGCAGTGAGGCATTGCTATATGATGATGCAGGGTGAGACTCAGACGCACTGGAAGCACGAGATCCCGAAAGAGCCAAAGGTCGAGGGAGGGAGGATTAGTCTCGGCAGTTGGTGTTTTGACGATTGTTAGACGCCTAAATTTCAGTTTCTGGCAAGTCTTGTAGTTTGCATGCAGAAAACACCTTGTAAGGTATGGCACAGCGCCAGCTGCGGATCGGGACATCACCAAGCGGGCTTCCACTGCCTCTCAGATCTGAGGCGTACCAGCCCCGTTGAATCATCGTCTCGGAATACGTAAGCAGTTCGTCTGCGCTAACTCTACGTGTTGGTGTGGTCTTTCGAGATGTTGTGCGCCGATCTAGCGTTGGATGTATTAGTGAAAGCGTTTTGCACGCCTCCGCCGAGGATGGTTGCCCCTCTTGGGGATTGGGGGCTTCGGCTAATTTGGACACATGACACCGCGCGGACAGGGGCAAGCGACCGAGTGAAGAACATCTTCCCCTCCCTCTGCCTCGTCCTTTCGCTCTCGCTCTTGGTCTTCCTCCTCCCTCAATCGTCCTCACACTACACCGTACGATCTGAACCTCAGTGTCTTACTTATGCCACCCCATCATGGTCTTTCGGAGAGTGCCCCATGACCAGCCGGTGACCCCTTTCCGCCTCGCTCCTCCCACTCTACCGCCCAACCTGATCGATGTCCCTCTCTCATCCCCAAGTTCGGTTCATTCAATCATCGTCACATGCACTCTCCCCCACGCGATCTTCAACAGGGCCCATCGCAGTTGAGTTGCTTCCCTTGATGTCCACACATTTCTAGCACGGGAGCCCTAACCGCGTTCGCCGGACGAACAAAGCCTTTTGTTCGAGGCTGATCTCCCCCTATTTTCGCAACGCCGCAACGGCCCAACCGTCAGCTGCCCCTCACAAGCCAGGTACCGCATCGCCACATGTTCGAACATCTCATACCTCAGCACCGCTTCTGTTGTGAGTCCTACTTCGTCTGTATGGCCTGTGACCCTGCCTCCGTCTTCGTCCGTCTTCCCCGAGCCCAGCGAGCTGACACGGTGATGTCCCTCGCTTGGCCGTGCTGGCAGACGAATCGCAGGCCAACGCAGAGGTTTCCCCTGCATCCACAAACTCAGCGATTTTGGTCTTCAACTCCTTCGTCGATCCGGCTCCACGGCAATGGTCTGACGCCCTCGATGCAGCGTCTTCGAGAGGGATCCGTCGCCATGGTGAGCTAGCCATCCGGGTGATGGGCCTCGACGGTCCATCGCACAGGGGTGACTCGGTGAGTTCTGCCGGTCGATCACGTACGGTGAGCGTAGTCTGCGTTACGGGTTCACCAATCTTGGCACCTTGCGTTCTCGATGACGACTTGGATCGAGATTGGTGAGGCAGCAGACGATTTGAGTTCAAGGCCAAAGAATCCACGAACACCTTGAGGGCCGTCGCCGATGCCTTTGAACTCCGTCGCAGGCTCGAGGCCGTTCGACCCAGCCCCCCCGCTTGGGCCTACCATACACGGCTACTCGCCCCGACCGGTCGCCCACCAGTCGAGTGGGCGATCTTGATCACTCTCCGGAGCTCTTGCCTCCCCGAGCGATTGTCGGCCCTCGACGTCTCGGACCTCGACCTGGAGCGTTGCCCAATGAGTGTTTGGCCGACGAGCTGGCGGTTCGCTGCCTCCAGGTCGAGGGCCGACGATCGCTCGGGGAGGCAAGAGCTCCGGAGAGTGATCAAGATCGCCCACTCGACTGGTGGGCGACCGGTCGGGGCGAGTAGCCGTGCATCGTAGGCGAAAGCGGGGGGCTGGGTCGAATGGCCTCGAGCCTGCAACGGAGTTCGTCGACACTCGCATCTTCTTGCGAGTCTCGGAGGCGTTGATAATAGCCCTCGAGCAGTTCATGTGTTTTGGATTTTGAATTCATAGTCCTCCGCCGCCCCTCCACTCTCAATCCACGACGTCATCGAGAACACGAGGTGCCCAGATTGGCGAACCTCTGCTCGATCCGTCCGACCGTAGACGATGGACCAGAACTCGCCCGAGGTTTTACAAATGTCCGCACATGTGCGGACACTTGATTATAGGTCAATACATGACAAAATGGTATCGTTTCAATGTCGTAGGACAAATATATGAGTATTCCTAGGTTGAACCTGCAAGAAGAACATGATACGATATGTGCTGCAAGACTTATGATGATTTGAAATACTCATGTGCGGACCCATCCGGCCACAATCAGCCGCCGAGTCGCACTTATGCAGATTTTGATCGATTAGCCTGTTACTCCCCTGAAGATGGTATCAATAGCGAGGATTGTGGACGCTCCTGCGGCTACAAAGTCACGTGCTATAAAACACGACACAGCACATCATTCTTCTCTTGGGCTATATGCTCAAGATAGGCAGGCGCCGGTAGCCGATCGGCACGGTTGGAGGAGCTCCGCCTCTCGGTAAATGAACGCGTCAAGTCGCGTCGTGACCACTTGATTGTTCGACGCGTATCAGTCAGGACCGCGCCGCCGCACGTTTCAGACCCGACTTACGGTAGCAGTTGTTTGGCGTGGCAGTCGTCCCGCTATCTTCCACGAGGAGTCGGACTTCGGAAGCTTCAGCGCGGCCAAGTCGGATCAAATTTTCAGGTCAATGGAGTTGCGAAGTCGCCGAATTGCAGTTGACGGCCGGCCCCAGACACGTTCAGCAACTCGCAACACGCCGAAGACACCGTACGCCAAGCCAGCACGCAAGCAACCGAGCTTCGAGCATCACCCGATCTTGACACCCATATCAGAAGCGTCCATCGAACTTGACGAGCCGCTCGCGGGTCGGCTAGCTGCGAATCATGACAACACCTCTGCTGCTGAGGCTGGCGACCACCTCGCGGCCATGTCGACAGGCGCGGTACGGGCCACACCTTCATCCTCTACCTTCGCAATGCAGGGACAACACCACCTGCCACTCAGTATCAACTTTGATCTAAGCCGTAGTGTGAGCAAGAGCGAAGTCGGCCAAGACGGTGGCCACGATCATTACGACGATGCGGTTACTATTTCCAGTCCGATTCTCAACAACGCGTTCCCGTTTTGCACCTCTACATCTCCTGTTTGTCTTCAATAATGAACATGCTCGACCAGACGAGATTCAAAGGTATCACTTCCAACACCGATCAGGGTCCACCGCTGCCGCAGAGGATGATGTCGTTATTGCCTTTAACACCGAACCTCTCGCTCCTGAACACTCAATCGGGGGCTCTTCCGCAAGAAGGCGCGTCTCGGACTTTGGCATCCCTCAGTACCACTCGTGACTTTCCTGAAACGATTGCTCTGAGAATTGATGGTACGTCTTCAAATGTCCAACCCAACATCTGTACATTACTCTGAACATCGCTGATATCACGGTGTGGCGGGCTCCACTTGCTCAGTTTCGACCGTCGATGCACGATCTCCCTCCGGCCACTTAGTTGCTGGCGCGGCGGTGCGAATGACGCCCTCTGTCCCCATCAACTTCACAGCAGGAGCCTGTCGTTTTGTTTATCTTCAGCATGTGCTCGACGAGGTTGCTGACGAGCTCGGAATTGCTCTGCAAGGTATGCAGGACAATCATAGAGTGATTCACCTAATGAATTGCCTGCACATCGCTGACGAGCTCCTGCCAATGCAAATCTTCAGACGACTCCTGCTTTGATTACTCCATCGCCGATCAGACCGATGTCTCGTTTGCTCCGAGCCCGATCTTCATCTCCTCTCGATACGTCAAGCTCGCGTCGTTCGCTGCCAGGGCCGATTTCTCGGACCAAGTTCTTGAGTCGACCAGCTCCGCTCTCGACCTCGAAACGCTGCCAGCAGAAGCATCACTGGTCTTTTCTGCTTTTGCTGCAAGAGTTTGACGCCGAGGACTCAAGCGCGCGCGACCTCTACCCTCCTTGCAGTAAGCCGTGCCCGCACGCCTGCCCCTCTTGCAATAAGCCGTGCCCCGCACGCCTGCCCTTCCTGCAGTAAGCCGCGCCCCGCACGCCTGCCTCGAGCCTTGGTCTGTAAGCCGCACTTGCGCAAGAGTTTACCAAGCCCGCTCCTGCCGCACCTTTCAGTTCCCACTGCTTGCCGTTGCCGTACCAGTATCGCTGTGTACCTCTGCCACCTCCTGCCAAGGTCAGTGGCCTTCCTTGAACTCTTCCTGCCGCCATTTGGCTGACAGGTTCAGAGCTTCTCACAGGACCCCCCCAGCGATACCGTACAGCTTCCGCCTTCCAGTCTTCTGCCTTACCAGTTGACGACGAACAGCTGCCACTGTGTACGCCTCTCTTTTTTTTTTCAACACTCCTTGTTGGATGGTTGACTGACGCTCCATACTTTGTATGCAGCCGTCCGCCTGCACCTGCCAGTGCTGCGCCTCTTTCGTGTTCGACTGCGTCTCGCTCAAAGAGCCGAGGTACATCACCCCCCTTCAGGCTCTACCTTAGGGTACTCCTGCTTTCGACTGTCCTTGTTGGACACGTTGACTGACTTGGCTACCTTGCTACACAGACCCACCCTCGACGTGCCAGCGTCCGAGGTCTGTTTTCCCTTTGCCTGCACCTGCCAGTGCTGCGCCTCTCTCCCGTTCGCCTGCGTCTCGCTCAAAGAGCCGAGGTACATCACCCCCCTTCAGGCTCTACCTTAGGGTACTCCTGCTTTCGACTGTCCTTGTTGGACACGTTGACTGACTTGGCTACCTTGCTACACAGACCCACCCTCGACGTGCCAGCGTCTGAGGTCTGTTTCCTTTGCTGTCTTCTTGTCTCCAAGCGACACGCTTTACAAGCATAGGTATGCCATAGTCCTCAGAGTCTTTGCAGTATTCCGAGTACTAATAGAATCGCGCTTTACAAGCATAGTCGTTCTATCTTCGTCTCCTCCCACCCACCCTACAAAATAAATAAATACAAAAACAGCCTTGTGTTCTTTCCTTTACTTTCTTATCTATGGTCTCTCGTGGGTAGATTTTCAACCCATCCCGTTTGTTACGGGATGCCTGGTTCTTATGCTGCAAATCCGACTCCATCCCAGCTTTACGATGGAGTCGATGTCAATGAGGGTATGCCTTTGTTTCCCTTCCGCATCAAACAACGCTTGCAGAATCAACTCGCCTACTGAAAATGCTACCGCCTAATCGCCACCTCAGATCTACCAGCACCCTAAAGATCGTCATCAATTTCTGCATTGCACTTCCATCCCCGCTCGCTCGCAAGCGGCACCTCTACAAGATGAGGGCAGGACTGGAACACCCCCGCCTACAACCACTCTGGTCAGGACTCCTGAAACACACTGCATCTTGGCGAGGCGGCATCGGCATCGAGCTTCTTTGCCATAGCGCTACTACCGGTCATCGCACACCCATCCGCACGACCGACAACATCCGAATGACCCGGAAGATGGAGACTACCCGGAATTACCGAAGGACAACGAAGGACGAATGAAGATGACCGACCTCATGCTCGATGAGGGTTAGCAACCATTCCTGCTGGCTTGATTCAGCCCTCGTTAGCTTGCTCTCGGTGAGAGGGCTTATGAACGTGAGTTCGGTCACGTTCCCGCGTCGACGAGGGCAGTGGTCCTAAGCAAACCGTTCCGTTCCTGACGCAATACAGATATCGTCAAATCACTCACCGCCCAAAACGTAAGTCGAGAATGCGTAGTACGAAGATTGCTCTACTCACTTACGGGCCTGCCGTTTTTGCATCTCATTCAGATCGGAAGTGCTCGGCTCGGTCGTCGCGCGGTTCGACGAGGGCAATCGTGCCGAAATCGCCTTTTTGCTCGAACGCTGGAACGAAATCAAGGCGTCGCATGGGTAGCGCAAGGTGTTTGCCTTCATTCGTGGGAATCGATTCCGGGGTCAGTATTACTCTGGTTGCTGCCGGACGCCTAAAGCCGCGTAGGAAAACCCCCGGGCCTTATTCGGCTCTGAGCTGACTGATGTCTGGTTTGCGCTCCAAACACAGGTTTCGAGGAGGTGTGGCTGCGCGTCATCGACCACTTGATAGTGATGATGACCCCTGGGATCGAAGAGGACGACATGAGGATCTGAAGGAGGGGCATGGCTGCGTCGGGGGGAGGGCTTTCTATGATCCTGGAGTCTGACCAATCCACGCTTCGCTGTAGCTCATCCTTCTGTGTAGTGTTTGGTGCTTTGTGCTGTAGTTCCTTCGTCTACGTGTAAATGATGCCAATTTGTTGACGTGTCTCAACCCTCTTGCGACCTCTGAACCCTGAACGCGGCGCTTTCATCGTCGAGACCTAACCACAGCGACGCTAGGTGTCTCGTTCAACCATCGCATGTTGAACCTGTACGAGAATGGTACGTCCTGACTGGCCCCTCATTGACAAGGTGCCGAAGGTGGCCGTAACCACCACGACATCACTAACAGACTTTTGATTGATCCGTAGGCAAAGTCTACATCGGGTAATGCCGCAAGGAAAACAGAGTCATCGCCTCCGTCTCATTGGGAGCAGAACGAACCTTCATCATGACCCACGCTCCTCCGGCACATTCTTCTCGACGGGACGAGGCCGTGTCAAAGTCGGCGACAATATCGCACAACCCGGACCAAGAAGGGAAGGAAGACAGGTCTGTGCTGCTGAGGTCCCACAAATGGAGGTTTCACCATGGATCCTTGGTCGTATCTGGTGCGAGGTGCTCTCTTCTCGGTCTTCTCGGTTCGGTTCACGTTCTCCTCTATCATGGTATTTCACGTCTTCCGCGACGACGACGACTACGGTGCTCTCCCTTCTTCGCACTCCCTACGAGTTGCGACCGCCCCTATTCGATGTTGACTTTTCACCTTTTGACGAACGGAATACCCAACCCACTCAACAATGCCGTTGCCTGCTCCTGCGCCCCCCGACCTCTTGCGGATGTGATGAGCGAGATGTTCATTCCGTACGTCCTCGGGTATTGATCGAGGTTAAGTTCGACCTGCGGCCATAGGGACATGGTCTCCGGGGACAAACCAAAGCTGACGACCCCACTCGTCGCGGCGGGGCTTTGTCGAGGTGCCGAACGCGGGGGTAATGCTACGCCATTGAACGTCTTCCATCTCGGCAGCACAAATTCGACCAAGGTGTCGAGGAGGTCGTACATGGGTTGTCCCTTGAGTTGGACCTTGACGCCGGTCGGCATCCCGGCGCGGATCTTGAAGCTCGCCGATTTCTTGGTCGACTTGGTCACGACCAGACCTTGGCCCGAACCAGGACCATAAGGACCGGGATGGATCGACTGGGGGACCTCACCCGTGATAGCGGAGAGGAATTGTTGCAAAGCGAGGAGCGTCGATTTGTTGGTCAACGCCTCGCGCGCCATGGAAGAAAGCACGATCGCCTCGAGCTTGGGCAAGGTTGTTGCGCTCGTGTAGGATTGGTTCGGGACCAAGTAACGGTTCCCTTTGGGTCGTGGAGGTGCTCGGTTCTTGGCGTAAGGGTTCTCGGGGGACCAGACGGGCGAGCGAGAGGTCGGGTTCGGCTGCGTCGCCGCTTGGGCGTGCGTCTGGTGGTGGTAGAGCATGTACAGCAAGTCGTGCGAGAGCGTGTTGGAGTAGTGGTCCTGGAGGCGAGATCGGGATGTCGGTCCAGGCTGGACGGCGAGTAGATGCGACAGATCCTTTGCTTCTTCGACGGGCGCACTCGCCGCTGCCGCTTTCCCGGCTTTGGACGACGCCGATCTGCACGGCCGCTGGTGTTGCGAGTGCAGGGGTTGGGGTGAGATCGAGGTATAGGTGGAGCATGATGCACGCTTGACCAAGGCTGGCCGTGTACTGGCGCGCAGTAGCGGTGTCAGAGCGCGTTGCATCGTGGGTTGCTGCGTCGTTTCGCGGTGGGCGTGGCGATGCGAAAGCCAACCTGCAGCTGAGTGTGCTCCAGCCGGCCCAGCACGTCCAGGCTGGCAAGAGGCCTCGGTTCGACCGAATCCCTGAAGCTCTCTAGAGCTGAAGGTTTGTTCAACGAAAATTGGGGGGGCGCGAGCTGGGGAAATTGATGACAATCTCAACATTAGTAATTCTCGTTGGCGGGGGGCGGCTCTGGTGGGGCGGGGTGGGGGGGGGCGCGCGCTTGGAAATTGGCGACGGTCTCAACATTAGTAATCCTCGTTGGCGGGGGGCGGCTCCCGCACAGGCCCGCGCGCACGGCCATTAGCCGGCAGCCAGAAACGGCGCGGCGCGGAAGCTGAGCATGCCTTCAGGCTTCGGCTCCGTCTGATAGCTGTGTACGAACATCAACATCTCAGTAGCTCATGGTACAACCTCCCTCGGGGATGAGTTAATCAGTCACGAACGGTGCTCAGTCGGTCCGACAAATCAGTCATTGGTAACAAGTGGCATTTGTGTTCCCCACCCCTGCGGCGATGTCGATCTCTCCCAGTTCACGTGTCTTAGTCGTGCCTCCCGACGCCGAGTCATTGCGACTCATTGGACAGCATCTGGGAGCTTGGCTTGACAAGAGGCAGTCGCTCTTGCCAACATGGCGAACGAGTTCAGTACACTTATCATGCACTGAACAGATCTGGTTCCTCGCAGTCGCTTGACGAGGATCTAGTAGACTCTAGTGATCAGGTGCTCGTTGCGACAGCTCGTCTGGTCCAACGTCAACCTTCGTGCACTGCCAGTGTGGAACAACTGCAGATTCTGTGTCAGGCTCACAACTTGCAGGGCTACTCTCTTCGGCGATCAAAGGTTACATAATTGATTTTGCGGGTTCTATTGTCTTCATGCGCTGGGCGTTGTCCAGCATGCGAGAGTGGCTACATCTTCAAGCGAAGCACAGCCAATGACATTCTGGTCCCCAGCCTGCAGGCCTACAACGTTTGATTTCGAGGAATGGCGTGCTGCCATCACTGATTCGCGTGGTCCATCGGCGGAGCGACCTAGAGGGCCAGCCCACCTACTACTAGATTTTATTATAGAGGCTGACTCGGGGTACACTTTGTGTCCTCAGTCTCGAGCACAAGCTTGCCTCCGGAAAGGCAGCGGCAGGAGCACTTGCTCGTGGCGTCCGAGTCCGAGGCAAAGTTGCGACTCAGGGCATGTCCAAGTTGCGATCCTTCCTTTTCTGAACATGGGGCAACGGCATGGAAATTGGGAACTACTTAATGTAAGTTGAATCCGTTGCAAAGAAAGACAGAGACCTGACTCCTTCCTATTTCTCACCCTCACCGGCCCGGCCAGCGATCGAATTCAACACGCCAAACCTACTAACGGCGAAGCGGCAGGTGGTTTTCATCCACCACCAGTAGATCACACCCAGGTTGTAAGTAGTGATGTATATGTTTGCCTTTGTGTGCTCCAGCGTCTGATGATTGGGCGGACAGACACGGGTGTGTGCAGTCATTGGAAAGATGGAGTCACAGGGGGCGACCCGGTGCTGGACGCCGGCGTGATTCATATGAGAAGTATGGAGGACTGGATCCCGACTCAAGGGGTTGAGTACGAGCGCAAGATCGAGGATGGAAGATGGATGAAGAAGGAAGAGAGACGAGTGCCCGCGAGGCGCGCGACTTCAACCCAAGCCAACGTGTCAACCGAGTCTCGATCAGGCGCTGGGATCCGGCGTAGAGGGTAATAGGCTAAAGAAGGAGTGCAAAGTAGGAGTGGAATAGTGGCATGAGAAGTAAATAGAATTAGAAGAGAATCAGTATGATTGGGTTCTGACACCCCCCCGTGCTTCCATGCAACTCAAGCCCTCTTCTCATCACATCGTAGGCATCGGTGGCCAGACGGCCGTCAAAGGCACTGGCTCAGTCGAACTCCGCACTGATCGGGGAGTTTTGGTCAAACTCAACAACGTCCACTTCGCGCCCAATGCTCCCGCCAACATCGTTTCCGTCTTCCAAATGGGTTCCAAAGGCGTCCGCACGTCTTTCACCAGAGGTCGAGCCGAACTCAGCACCGTCCAATCAGGTATCTTCGCAACAGCTACAGCCACGACGTCTAACCACTATCGTCTCAATGTCATAGGTTATGAGCCCACAATCTACCAGCAAAGCCACTAAAGCTACTACAGCTTCCGACAAATCCACTACTGTCCCACCACCAATGGCTGAGCCGACACCACCACCAGACACAACATCATCATCCGACGCCGCGGCCTTGGCCAACCTTCAGGCTGACTACGCCGCGCTTGTCGCCAAAATCACGCGACTGGAGGCTTCGCAATCGGCTGCCAGCGCGCCCGCCAAACAAGAAAAACCGACCGACGGCATGCCGTCCACCATCGTCGTCCCGGAAGCCTACATGCTCAAAGGCCGAGAGAACTTCGTCGAATGGGATGGCTTTCTCAACATGTTCCTTCCCGACGACGTCTACAACTACCTCACCGGGGGCAGAGATAACGTGAAATGGACCGACGCCTACTACGCACGCGGACAAGAGTACGCATCGCGGGTCCTCATCGCTTCCATCGATCCGATCTGCTCCTCGGACATCATTCCGATTCGCCAGATGAAAGGCACGGCACACGAGTGCTGGCTCGAACTAGCCAGTCGCTACCGCCCCAGCGACGCTCAAGCCGCCGCGACCCTCGTTGGCGAGTTCTGGAACCTTCCGCCGATCCCCACGACCGAATCGGGCTTCAATCAGTGGGCTGGTCATGTCCGCATCATTGTCAACTCAATGCGAAACCTGAACATCGATTTCGAACAAATCCTTACCGCACGCCTACTCCTCAACATGCCGCAACTTTACAACAATTGGAAATCTACCTTCAACCAGCGTCAGGCCGCGGCCACCACGCTCCCAAAAATCGAAGACCTCATCTTCTCCCTTCGCCGTGAAGTGAGATCGATGGGCGAACACCCCATTAACGGCGCCACACCAGCATACATCGTGTCTCCTCAGCACTCTCAAAACCGATCCAATGCGAGGTCTCAGCGACCGAACGAAGCCTCTAGCCCCTGCCCCGTATGCGACGAAGGCAAACACTGGGCTGATCAATGCCCTGACACCGACCGTCGCCGCAAGTACTTCGAGCTTAAGTCGGCACTTCGAGACTTAAAACTTCAGAAGTCGACCACCTCCCCCTCAAACCACGAAAATGTCTCATCCTTCGTAGCCATCCCCGCCCCGGCACCTTACGTGACGGCGCCGCCTTCGTCCCACGAACTCGACGACTTCTTCATGTCGTTACACACCACAACTCCAAATGCCACTCAACAGACAGACTTCCTCCTTGATTCAGCGTCTTCGAGCAGCTGGTAGCTCGTTGGGCTCATAACCTATGAGAAGTATGGAGGACTGGATCCCGACTCAAGGGGTTGAGTACGAGCGCAAGATCGAGGATGGAAGATGGATGAAGAAGGAAGAGACGAGTGCCCGCGAGGCGCGCGACTTCAACCCAAGCCAACGTGTCAACCGAGTCTCGATCAGGCGCTGGGATCCGGCGTAGAGGGTAATAGGCTAAAGAAGGAGTGCAAAGTAGGAGTGGAATAGTGGCATGAGAAGTAAATAGAATTAGAAGAGAATCAGTATGATTGGATTCTGACAGATTCCGCCTGTTCCCAATTGGACCCGGAGAAGATTCTCGACCTGCCCGATTACAGTCGATTTTATGCGGAGGTCCGGGAGGGGCTTTTTACCGGTCGCAAGTACGCCAAAGGATATCCCACGCAACTCCCCGTGACTGTCGATGAGCACCCTGGGCAACTTGCACAAGAATATCCCACGCTTATAGGGAGTGGGCACCCTGGGTGAAGGTGATCTGTGTGCGGTTGTCTGCACCGTCGATGCTCGCGCTTGGAGGGACAGGTCCTCCGGCAAACCTTTTGTGCATATTGTATGGGCCTGATGTATTTTCCTTGTCTGATGTGCGGCAGATGACACGCCAGACCACGCCCCCGCCGACAGTCCGACTCAGTCCTAGGCGGGTCATTGCCTCTCCTGTCAAGCGTTCGGCAATGGACGCCGAGCTGAATATTGACTTGTCGAGCACCGATGGTGAGGATGAGTTCACGCCCGCAATTCCCACTGAACTTTTTATACCGGCTGATGGGTTTGGTTACTTGGTGTTCAACAGTCACTGACAACAACAAGAATTCGGCTCACGCGCAGGCGAAAGAGGCCGCCGACAAGGATCACTCTTCGGAACGCGCGGCTGGCTCCTACCGCAGGACCGGGAAGGCTCATGCTTGATTGGTCTCAAGCGAATGGTGAGGGAAGAAAGGGTTCCTGGACCTTGTTTAGACAACGGAAACGAAAATAGATATGTCTGAATGAGGATAGGCAGAGAAGAAAATGTAAAATGAAATGGAGTCGAAATTGAATGAACTGTGGATGTCGTTAGAGTCGCTAGCCTTGTCTTGCGGTGGTTATTCGCTTGCGGCTAAGTAGGAGGTAGTGCCTGTCCTCGGGCCATTGTTGTGTGAGTGTGACTTTATGGAGGGCACTGGAGGTTCAGGGACTCGTCGCCGCGCCGCGGTGCGTTAATAAACGGAGACACCTTTGACACTCACGCAACTATGGCCCGAGGATAGGCACTACCTCCTACTTAGCCGCAAGCGAATAACCACCGCAAGACAAGGCTAGAGACTCTAAATCCACATTTCATTCAATTTCGACTGCATTTCATTTTAAATTGACGCGCCGCGGGGCGGCGACGAGTCCCTGAACCTCTCAAGCGCGGCGCGGTCGAGTTTAACATCGCATCCATACATAATGCCGCGAGTAAAATGGTGCATTTACCAATTACGCGCGCGCGTTTACCACCGAAGCTTGACCCATCTACCCAGGTAGTAAGGTCACTTACAAATGGTGCATTCTTCGCGCAGGTTTGGTGCGTTTGCCCCGGAAGAAAGGTGCGTTTTCCAAATAAGGATGGTGCATTTACCACGTAGCGGGGCAATCCGCTGTATCTCGTGTAGTATGCCATGTATTACCCTGAAACTTGACGAGCCCTTTTACATGACCACCAAGTACGTCCACCCTTGGTAAGACGCACTCTCACCCGGATCTCATGTAGTTGAAAATCGTGCCCGTACTCCCCCCCCCCCCCCCCCCCCTGGCAGCCAACAAGATCAAGTCAGACAGTGACAAGAGTATGAAGTTGTGACGCCTGCTCAAGCGGTGGTAAGGCTCTGATCGACGGATCAAGGAGACCAGACCAAGAAGTTGCTTGAGCAGGAGAGAGAGAAGCGCGGACCCAGTAGGCTCGGGCAAGCACGCGGCTGGGCCAGTTGCCTGTGTCAGGCGCACGGACCCAGCCCAGAAAAGGTAGAGAGCTAAGGTGTGAAAGGCAGGCCAAAATGGAGGAAGACGAGACAGAGAAAAGGAGTCATGATGCGAGAAGGAAACATAGGAGGTTGTCAATCTCACAAAGAGCAGCGCCGACGAACACGAATTCGGCCTCGCGGGCTTCGAACAGTTGGGCGCCTGACCAATCTACTCGCTTTCTAGTACATAGCTCATTTTTACCAACTGGTATAGAATGAATGCCCTTTCGATGTTAAACTCGACCGCGCCGCGCTTGAGAGGTTCAGGGACTCGTCTGTAAGGGGATGCCTTACAGAACAGCCCCATAAGTAGCCTCTGAGTAGCTAGAACTGTCGAGTTCTAGTTACGACTTGCTTTTAGCCTAGCGGTCATGGCGACAGATTGTAATTTATGCACATCAGAGGCGCATACCTTACATCGTCGCCGCCCCGCGGCGCGTCAATTCCCTCTGAACCGCTCTGATTCGGTCTGAGATCGTTCTGAGATCGTTCTGAGATTGGTCTGAGTTTAAAGTTTAAAGCCATAAATTCCAGCTAGTCTTATTCAAAGACAGAATCTAACAAACGCTAGATCCGCTGGACCACCATAACATGTGACATATATCATACACCCATATTGTATACGGGCCATTGCCTCGCTGGGATTAGGACTGATGCCCCCATTTCTCAGGGCTTACATCAGTTTTCCCTCCTCCCCCTCGGCTCCCGGCTCCTGAGGGTAGATGGGGCAAGGTTGCCACCATCGCCTCCACCAGTGCGGTATGCTACTCCCTATTCTGTTGGAATGTCCACCACTTCCGCATGCGGCCGCCCCATATTCGCCCAGCCCCTTTAATCAGCTCATGATGCCATGCTCGGTCCAGCCGCGTCCGCGATCGCTCGTCTAGAGTCCAGTAGATATCCGGTTTGGGTATCATTGGCATCGCAAACCACCACAAATGTGCCCTCACCAGTTTGGCAGCAAAGGTACATAGCTCCCTCATCTGCAGGTCCGTCCATCCTTGTTGCCGCGCCTCAAATTCGCTTCGCGTAGCCCGATACAGGTCCTGACCAATTTTGTCGCGAAGTTCTTGTCCCGAGGGGCACTCTCCAAACGCGTGTTTCTCTGTTTCTTCCTCTGCTCCACAAATCACACACTCCGGGGAGGTCCCCAGTCTCTCTGAGCATCGCGAAGCAGTGGGCAGAACATGTGCCCGCATTTGGAGCTGTGTCTGTGCGGCATACGTTGACACTGCGCGAAGATATGGGTACTGCCCTGCTGAATGTCCAACATCCAATAGGAGTCGAACACTGTCGCCTGTCTTCTTTGGTAACGACTTCAGCTGCCAGTCTTCTTGAAGGTCGTAAATCTTCTTGCTGATATCGCCTTCCAGCCATTCGAGGTTGTTGGCGGTCATTTTAGCGATCGTCCACTGCGGGAGAGCGAAATCAGGGAAAGGCACAATGAGGTCAGGCTGTGAATGTCCCTTCTTGGCCGCTTCATCCGCTCTCTTGTTTGCACGCGATGCATCGTCCGTCCGTCCCGTATGAGCTTTCACGTGTTGTATTTCGATCGTGTGGTTCGTTGCGAGTATACGTTGGAGCCATGTGTAGTGTGCAAGCGCAGCCCTCGGTTTCTTCGGTGCGACATCGCCCTGCCTAATCTTCTCGGCAAATCTGACCGATGTTAGATGATCTGCGAGAACCGGAATCGGTGTAGGAGCCCCGAAATTGTAAGGTTGTATAGTCAGTGCTGCCATAATCAGGGCTGTCACTTCCGCTTGCATGATTGACGCGCCCGCAAACAAAGCTGCCCGGGCCTCCCAATTTGGTCCCACGACTGCTGCGGCCGCGGAGGTGAATCCCGTGGGCAGGACAATAAGTGAGCCATCTGTCGCCCAAATGCCTTGAGCCTGCGTTTGTCTCATTGTAAGTATGGGAAGAACTACACCCCGAATCTGATCTTCGACTTCGGTTTGCCGCTCGGCTCTGTTTCGCAGGAGTTGGACTGGTCCCTCGGCTAAAGTCAATTCATCAAAGCGATCCGACCACTGCCGCACCAATCTGGTATTGGGATCTAGCCAATCGGAGAAAAGGTCCGGTCGATCTCTCCGCGGTCCTTTCTTGAGCCCCCGTATATCCGTAAGCCGAGCTGGAAGCGCCGCCACTGCCCGCCGTAACTGTGGTTCGTTCCGCCGAGCCCCCCCCTGTCTGAAGATATGCATGCTCCGCGCTGACCATCGAGGTGAGACGGCTTGATTGGTCGGTCTCCAGCACTTGCAGCTTCCCGCATTGTTGTAAAGCACTAAGAGCCGTGTTCCACGTCTGGGGGACCTTTCGCTGCGAGTGCGGAAAAGACAGGGGCTTGGGGTCAATGAAGGGAGAAATGCAGCCGTGGTGTCGGCATTGAAGATCGGCCAGCGTGATCTTGGCCATCGTTGCAAACGCCGGAATGTGATGATTGAGGTCCCGTAATAATCCGTCAACCGCCAGTGCCCCGTTTAGGCGCCATAGGCTGGTAATCTCGAATCCAAACCTGACGACCGGCAAGGTAACCAACTTTGCCGTTGGTGTGAAGACCCATCCGTAATATTCCTTTATTCGCTGCGCGACTATTTGATCAAGTCTGAGCGCATCCTCCGGTCGAATTGGGCACAATGCTAGCCTTGGCCTCAACCTGCTAATCACTTGTTGCTCGATAAACCGCCGCAGTGCTGAGAGCGGAAGCCTCCTAGTCGATGTGCTGGGAAACCCAATCGTTCGCACAATACTCTCCAGCTGGGTATATTGTCGATCTGGTGCTGCAAACGGCGTTTTGAGGAAGGCATGTACCGGGTCGACAGCAACCTGTCGTTCTCCATGGGGAGTGTCAACGGTCACCCTTTCTGGTGGCGCCACCAGTGAGTCAGTGTCTCCCAAGATAATAGCTCGAGTTTTCGTACCCCAGTCCGTTTGAGCTCCATAAGCCTCTTGGAATAGCTCCATGTAGAGCGTCATGGTAGCTAGCGTAGTTTCACTCTTCGCTAGCAGAATTGTGTCGTCCATTGCGGCTACCTGTGTGACTCTGAGGGTGAGCTCGTCGGCCTTTGTGTGCGCGCGCCGCCGTGCCCCATTTTGCGTTGTGATGAGAAGGGGGTCATCGAAGACTTGCTCGTCCAACCAGTAGGAGCCCATAGCCATCGCAAGTGAAAACCTGAACGGATTTGGTGGATCGCCTTGTTTCATTTGTCCGTCCACTTCGAAGGGGTCTGTCAGGCCATATGCTGTCTTTATCATGAACGAGCCGTGTGCTAACCGCGCTCGGTCAAAAGCCTCCGCGTTCGGTCCGAAGCCGAAGAATTCGTAAGCGTCGTATCCGGCTTCTGCCCGCAGCAGATCAAAGCCCTTCTTTTGATCTCGAATAAGGCCGTAAATAGGAGTCTTTGCGCGAACAGCCCATGCTTCGAGTTGCGCAAGGAAGCTCGTGAGATCCCGCTGCTGTACGCCGCTTTGTACTGCGACCTGTGTCTCTGGTATCATGTGGTGTTTCATTGCATAAGCCTGCGCTTGACGCGTGAACCATGCAGCCGCCGTAACCGCAAGGAAATTTCCAAAACAAACCGCCCGGTAGTTACTCAATTGGGTGGAGAGTCCCCGATTTTTGAACATCGGAAGGAGATAGTGGTCACGCAGCTTATCAAAGTAGTTATTCACCAACACATAGTTCAAAAGGGCCAGGACCACGGACAACGCTCGGTCTCCGAGAATTGCTACGGTCCATTTCTCCCATCGATCCGGCCCGGGGGATGGCTCCCGATTTCCTCTACTGAGCAGCGTTCGGAGGTCGCCGAGTGTCAGGGGCTTAGGCCACTCGAATTGGTCCTGCTGTGTTGTATTACGGAAGTGTCGGGAGCTTTCTGAGTTCATCCACGGCTTAGCAGTCACTGGTTGTTCGTCGGTCTTTTTGAATAAAGTACTGAAATATTGCCTGAAGGTGGTACGTACTTCTGTTGGATCCGCAGTGGTATTTCCCCCCGCAGTTGTAGGGTCGCCATAGATCTGAAATCCATACTGCAGTGGTGGCAGCCTTTAGGCGGCAGTGCGGTGAATTTTGTCTTGTTGCACATACAGCCGTAAGGGTTTGCGTGGCCACACTATTGATAAGGAAGACACGATCGGCGGCGGCATCCGCGTCAAGTTTTGTATTATAACAACACCGAGCAGGGCTGTCAAGGCAAAATCAAGACTGTGCGGCGTGCCGCCTACAATCAGGGAAAGCTCAGCAACTGACGCAAATCGTCGGTAACTCCGAGTCCTAAGTTCCGGCTGTGCAGTCCCGGCCCATCTAACCGCTGTACGAGTGCCCGTGCTATTGCTTCGTATTGCAGTCGCTAGTCGTTGCTATTTACTCGTCGTGACATCTGACGTCGAGACTGTAGAATCGACTTGGGTCCAGCAACATCGGGTGACGGTCTTAGCCGCGCTCATCCTACCGTCTTCCTATCAGCGGGCCGCCGGTAACGCCGCGAGGCGATGGCCGAAGTCTTCGAGTCGTCGGCGGGTCCTTTGATGGCCGAATGAGTGCATTCTGTCTCCGAATCAGCCGACATCGAGAGAGGAGTAGCCTCGAGGACACAACTTGCACTTGGCGCGCTTCATGCCAAATGATGACCAACCGTCATGCCGAAGGGAAACCACCATTGCGCCAAGTTACTCATCCCAAACAGGATCGCAGCCAATCCCGCCATCTCGCAAAAGTAAACAGCTAGAACTTCGACCAGGGTTGGGCGAATGAAATACCTTCATCTTGCATGGTCCGTGCACGGTATCCACAAGCCCCAATGCTCCTACCTACAACCCAGTTTTGCACAGCGGAGGAGTAGTCTCTAATTATTTAGTTGATCTTCTTGACATCAAAGCCCAACCTCGGCGCATGAACCGTGCACGTGCCCTTGCCTCCCTCGGCTTGGACCTCCAAGCTGACCTTGACCTTGTCCAGGCCGACGAGCTTGCCCTTCTGGGGTACTTTGCCGACATCATTGGGCGTGATTTCGACGAGGTCGCCGATCGCGAACCACTTGGCGACGAGGAGCGGATCCCACTCGTCGACCGTGATTGTTTTCGAAGCCGGGGAAGATGTGATCGAGGTGACGGCGTCCTCGGGGCTGAGATGTTTCTTTCCTGGTGCGGTCGAGGTGGCATCTTCGACGGCGGACTTGATTAGGGTCATCCAAGCGAACGTCAATGGGAAATCGGGGGACGTGCCCGAAGCCGGCTTGAAGATGGAATCCGCCGTGCCAAAGCCTGTAATTCGAGCCGCGTTCAGTACGCCAAACAATTTCCAACATTCTAACAAGATGCATGACATACCTGAGACCCAGTTGAGGGAAAAGTAAAGCGAAATGTCGAGGTAGGTCGGTTTGTCGGTACCGAGCAAAAAAGTCTTTTCCGACGATCGACTCGCGAGTTGCTTCTCGACCAGGTCCTGCAAAGGACAAGACGAGACGAGTTGAATTCGCTGGTCGAACCATCACGTTATTTCTGGAGCAAAAAAGAACGGATGGACATACAATGTGGCTTCTCAAGGCGGACAAGACTTTGGGCCTAGCGGCGACCATCGTTTGGGGGTCGATCTGGCCCCCTCGGTAGGCCGAACGATCCTTGACGAAACCTTCTGGTAGTTCGGTCCAAGGAAGTGCGCCTGCGGCAAGTTGGAAGATCGCTCGGTCGGACCAGTGGAACGCGGTGGCGGTTTGAAGCCCCCAGTGGGACTGGGACAGCGAGGGCGAGTCGGGGAAACGTTCTTCGAGCGCCTGCACGGCGAGTGAGGTATCAAGGTAGAGATCCGAGTCGATGGCAAGGACGGGGATGCGGCGGTAGGTGATATTGAGGAGGTGGAGGGCCGGACGCGGGGGCATGCGCTCGACCTCGACGTAGTGATAGGGGACCTGCTTGAGCGTGAGCACGAGCTCGAGCTTGGCGGCAAAGGGCGATTGAGGGTAAGCATACAGGATAACTTTAGAAGACGACATTATGTAAGTGGAGCTGGTGCGAGAGAATCAATCCGGGAAGTCGTGTCCTGAGGGCTGAGGTGGGGTCGTGCCATTTCGATAGATTTCGGGTATCTCGAGATGCCGAGACACCCGCTCAATGCATTGCGCGGCTACCGTGGCCGACCCTGGCCGACCCCCATTGCACATCGCTGCTTGTAAGTCACGGTCCGGGCCTATCGATTCCCGTGATGGTTACCCGTCGGCCAAAGGGAGCTTTCTATAAGTATAGTAGCTGCGCCGAATAGCTATGGGTAGCTATAGAACTACAAGGCTGGAGACAGCAGCACTTGATGATTCATTTCACATCTGTGGCGAACTGGCATATCCGGTGTGCATCAAAATACCCCGTACAGCCACTGCTTGCTACCATTACCAATGCCCGGACCGCCGCAGTGGCCGACGGCACGCACCTGCGCACCATAGAGTATGACAGCAAATTTATGCTTGCGGTAGTGCAGCCTCACCTAGCCCATGTAAACTTCCCGTTTCGTAGGGAAATGTCTGTACAGGTTCCCCAAGATTCTCCTCATACTTCGGTAGGGTCTCCTGCTGTAAGGCGCCGCTCCGCTTACGCCTCACGACGACCTCGAGCCAACCTCTGCGGCCTCACGCTTGCCCTCGCGCGCGGCGCCGCCGCGTCTCTTGACCTTAGTCCTTTTAGTAGTCTTTCTTCGCCTGCGAATTACACCGTTTGATCCTTTCTGTTTGGACTCGGAATCAGTGAGGCTCGAGAGCGATCTCGTGCCTTTCACCTGCCAGTCGCCATGATTGAATGACTCCCATACCCGGAGCCTACAATATACAAGGACTCCCTGCCTAATCTTAAAAACTAGTAAGTGAAATACCAGTGGGATCCCGTCAAACTAACGGGAATATGGTTCCAAATAGCAGGAGAATTGAACGGTATAATGACGAAAGACAGCAGAGAAACTATTTTTCACTCATCGCGGCCAAGACTTGGGGAGGTTGCGATGGCCCTCCTTGGCGACCTTAGGACCGGGACATAGTGGCGAGGGTTTCTCCTTGAATGAGTGTCACAAAATTCGATGAGAGTGGAAGAGAAAAAGAAAAGGTTAGAGGGAGTGGCGTGGGTTTGTTCACTGGGTGTGATTTGTTGTTCAGCACCTAATGCCGCTGGTCGGCTGCCGGAATGACACTGACACCGCTGGCACGCCGCATCACGTGACAGACGCCAGCCCTCGCCCCGCCCGTCAGGCGGAGCTCTGCTGTAGAAGTCATACAAAGTCACGCGCTTGCCGTCCATTAAATACAATATATGTGTCCTCACTGTTTTGCGTCAACGAAAAAGTGAAAGAAAATACTGGGAACGCTGTAGCTTCGTTCGACTGGCGCGAAAAATACAAAAGGTGCCACAGAGCTTGTACATGACTTCTGATCGGAACATGACACCACAGGCAGGTGCGGCAGACACAACAGTATGCTGGTACATCCACCACAGGCGGCCCTCCGGGCCGCCACCTAGTTAAAACCAGTGATTTTAGGCACATTCCTTAACTCACCTTTTTTTATATAGAGTTAGTAAGTAAAGGTACGGGTGCCGTGCGCAAGCACTCCGATCCTTGACCAGCCCGCCAGCTTGCCAGTATTCCCGGCATAGTATAGAGCAGCCTCAGGGCAAGGGAGAGATCCACTGTGCAGCAGCATTGTACTGGTTTCCGTAGCTCACCCCATCGACGATCCGGCTCGGCCCAGATATTGATGGTGATGTGGACTGCCAGGGTGCGGTGTCCCCAGCACCGCGGCAGACGTGAAGGCCGCACGCAACCGCTGTAAAAGTCCTTCCCGTCTTTCCGTGATAGCGCGACCAGTGCTGTCCTGTTGTTATCGGAGATGTACTTGTGTTGATTCATTCGACTTAGTCTGCTTTCGGGATGTGCGTCTTTGAGATGTATGCGGACCTGAAATTCCCCACTCGATCCGCAAATTGCCGAACGCGGCCTTGGGCGTCGCTGATCTCGACCTGCTCCCGGGGACTGAGGAGGTTCTGCATTTTGACGCTACTGGCGGAGTTTTGCAGCTGTGGAGTGTTCAAGTACTGAACGGGTCGTCTGTACATAAGATGAACCTATATTTGTATGGACTATAGCCGTGTATGCGTGCGTGAAGTATACAGAGAAAGAAGGAGTGAATCCGCCTCGGCTGGACAATTCGACAAGGAGTTACACCAACCTCACGCCTTGATCACGTTTGTACCAACCCGCGACGGCCTCATAACGCCTCGTGACCAGTTTTTTGGCCCAATCGAAACACCCTCGAGATTTACGCTTGTCATACTTGTTCCTCAGTGCGGCCAGTTCGAGGATCTTGAGTTCGAAATCACCGGCTTGTTCCCCAAAGTTGGAACGGCACATGAAGCTCAGTCTGAAGCAAGGGGCAGGAAGAGTCAGCCGTGACAAACATGGAAGTTAGGACCGTAAAAGTGATAGAACTTACTCGTACAACTTGTTCGGATCCAATTTGGCGAAGTTCTTGTCCGCTCTACCTCGATACGTCGCGATGAACCCATCCCACTCCATTTGAATCTGCTTCTCCTTGCCGTCGAAATCATCCGTCTTGAACGCATACTCGTACGAGATACCCGCTTCCATCCTTCCATCAGGTCGAGTGACCGGTGGTGAGGATTTCAAGGTCAGAACAAACGAGGTCGGTTTAGATGGCTTCTTGGTCGTGATGGGGGTGGTCGTCACCGAGACCTCGTTGGAGGGTCTCAGAATCGTCAGGAGTAGACCGGAGTAGGATGAACGGGGGAGCGAGAGGGGCTTCGTTTTGCGAAAGACGGCTGACTGGGATGCGAAACCCGCACCTCCTAAGGTCTTGATATCTGCCGGGTGACAGTTCGGGGGTCCGGGAAGAGAGGGGGGGAATGCACCCAATCGCACGATCGCCGTCAGCAACGGCAGCGGCGAGGATCGGATTGGGAGTAGCTCACCAAGGTGACCACTGAAGACGCCGATCGTGTGAGTATGGGGTGGCTTCTCAATGGTAAAGCTGGATGTCGATACTCCACCGCGGACTTGGTCATCGACCCCGACGAACCCTGGCCAGGGATGATGGGGTGCGCGGAACAGTGTCTATGGGGTGCTGTTATGACGTCAGTAAGATGTGGAATGGTCAAGCGTCGAAGCTCGAGTTGCCCGAACAGTTACGTAAGTGAAGAGCACCGAAGCGACGAACCTGATGGCCTAAGCTGGCCAAATTGACAGGAGGCATCGCAAGGTGAGTTGGACGGTCACGTGAGTTGGTGAAGCGGAGCGAGGTGGGGTACAGGGAGAAGACGTGGCGCAGATGTTTTCCAAGAGATGTTGGTGGAGGGGGGGAAAGAGCAAAAGAGGCGCCTGGTGCGCACGAGTTCGGGGTGGAACAACTGCGGTGTAAGCTATTATAAAGGAGGCAAAGCGAGCCCGGTGGCCGTCAGTCAGCAGACCGAGTGCACTCTTCGGAAGTTCAGATTCCGCGGACCGCGGTAACGGCCGTCGTCGGCCGGTTGCAGCCGCAACGGACACGGGGTCTCTTACGGATTAGCAGCGTATGATCACATGGTGTAACAATCAAGGCCTCGTGATCGACAGCAGCAGGAAGTGTCACTCGTAGTCGCTGTTCGCCTCGGCCCGGCGGTCCGAGCGTTGATTGGGCGGTCGGGGCCGGCGCGCGCGTGTATGCACAGGGTGTGCACAGCCTGAGGTCTGCACAGCAGGTAGGTCAGGACCCGGGAAAGCTCAGCCCAATGTGCGTCCCCGAAAATGTACAAATCGGACCCTCCGAACCCCAAACTGCGACTCAAAAGTGGTACACATCGAAAACATTGGCACTCCAGATCTTGGAGGTACGTCTTGGATGTGGTACAAATCGATGTACCTCGACCTCGCACCTCCCTGCATCAGCAACTTTGCCACTCGCGCTTTAGTGCAATTTAGTGCCATTTAGCGCACTTTAGTGCCAAAAGCGCACTTTTAGTGCAATTTAGCTCGTTTTCTATAATCTCCGGTGGGTCGCTAAATGGCACTTAAAAGGCAGTTAACTTAAGTGCACTTATAGTGCTTTTGCAACAGCAACCTGATTTCAATGCTTTTATGTGTATAACCGCGCTTGAGCGATCAATGCCTGGTAGTACTGGTATATGCTTGCATTCCACTCATATTACGCAGTGCTAAGTACTAGGCTACTGCCAGCCAAACAATCTATTCTGAGTCCTCTTCTTACGTATCATTCGGCGCCTAGTGTTCCTATAAAGTGCCAGGCCCCCGGGCTTGCCTCGAGCGAGTCTTTGGCCACTGTTTCGCCGCCTGAAAACGGAAGCATAACCCCCACCCCCCCCCCCCCCCTTTGCCCGCTGCGGAAACAACCCGTGTATGTCGCAACATCTGATGATTGAGACTCACCGGAGAACCCCGCAATCGGGGGCATCACCTTTTCGAGAGACACGCGCGCCTATTGATGAGACCGGTAAACGAACGCTAGGTCGAATGTCAGAGGAATAAAACCGATATCCGCGGATGATCTCTCGACTCACCGCAGCTTAAGCGTAAGAGCGTAAGATACTAGACCAAAAGCCAGGGCTTGGTGGGCCGGCTGCGCCGCATTGAGGGAGGCCAGCTTTTGGCTCTTGGCGCAAGCTGCGAACACGGCGGCGAGATCGTTCAACAGTGAGTTTGACAGGTCGTCTGGCTTCCGGCCGAACTGGAAATCTCTCTGCAGTAATGCAAATACTTACCAGCGAATTCCTGCTCTGGACAACAGTATAACTTCCTCAAGCTCACCTTAACAGTGGGGCCACAGCGAAGTTCCAAGAACCCCTCCGAAGATGGTTAGCGTTGCCAAGATGTGACGTGCGCCTCTCTGCTTCGTGTTTGTTTTGACCGCGCATTGGTCCCGCCGGACGCTGGCGGTGTCTTTGCCGGCGGCTTGTAACGCTTCAGCCATACCTTTCAATGGCTGTGCCATACGGTCGACTCACTCGGAAATGGCCGGGGGCAGATTGAAAGATGATGGTGGAGGCAAGAGGGAAGAAGGGGTGGGCATCGCGAGCGGTGGCAGTGAGTGGGAAAGGAAGAGGAGGTTCGCGACGGCGCGTGGACTTGGTAAACAACAACGCGGCCGTGGCCTGCAGGACCCCAGAAAGCCCAGCCGGAGGCGCATGTTGAAAAACGCCGTTTTTTGGCCTTTTTGTCAAAGTTTTTTTACCCTATTTTGGCCCCAAAATGTCAAAATTTCACATGCGCCTCAAAATATTATCAAAATGTGTTCTACATGCTCCAAAAATCGCTCAAAAGTCCTCGAAAACGCGTTCCGAGCGTTTGCGGACGCGCGGCGGCCGATCGAAAGTGGCTTGCGGCCCGCGTCGCTTCGGCTGGTGTCGCGCGTGGCTCCAGGCATCAAACAAGCCTTCCTTGCTTTGCTGGTGGGCTCGCTACTTCGTTGTCAGACCTCCGTTTTGCTGAACTTGAGCTCCTTGTATCCGCGGAGGCATTTGTGCGGCTTGTAGAGGTTCTACCGGCGGCATCTCGCAGGCCGGGGACGCTCCGAAGGGCGGCAAATCTTTGCTCGGCATGTGCGCACGTGCTGATTATGAGAGAGAGAAATCATCATTTCAAGACCTTGTCGCGCTATAGCACATGTGATTATGCGCTCGTCGGGGTAACATGAGGTAAGGTCCGTGGTTGAACGATATGTAGTCGCTGGCGGGCCTAATGACTCGATGACCTGTCGACCATCAATCATGCGAAACGGCATAGTGCCATCAATGAGGTGAGTGGAATAGCATGCTTTCTTGATGAGGCGAAGCTCCTGTACGACGACATTTGAAAGTAGAACCAACGACGGGAGCGTGTCTCGGTTGCAGTGGTTTGTTGTCACTTTGCTGTAGATGTCTCGCACTGTAGCAGACAAGACCTTTGCCAAATGAGAACGTCACAGCTGCGATCAAACTGCTTATGGAGAAGAAACGCTGTCCATCGGAATTGGCACGTTGTTTTGAGTGCAGTGGCAGTTGAGCTGAGTGAATGCATGCCACGCTTGAGGCCAAAGCAGATCAGAGATCCGATCTCCAATGGTGTGGCAGTGGTTACAGCTCCGTCAAGCGATCCAAAATGAGGATAGCGTTGTGCTAGCGCTCCGTACTGCTTGGTTCTTTCAGGGAGCTTTTCCTAAGAGTACAGGAATAACAAAACATTAGATCCAGTTGCATTATTTCCTAATTTCGGCGACAACTCACTTGAATGCGGCCATCCTCAATATAGGCATTCTTCTGAATGTCGTTTGTTGTGAGCGCTCGGGCCACCTGGCCACCTCCAGTCCAGCGAAAGCTCCTGGCCGTGCCCGCCATGTCTTCAAAGCGAGATGGTCCCATGGACTGGACCAACCCTTTCAAGACGCGTGAATGTACTGCACTGCGTCCTTGCTCTGTATTGCTAATCCCTACGCCTGCCTCTCCGCGACTTGTGTGGCTCGATTCCATCGGCCTCCCTTTGAGTAGAACAGCTCTGAGGTGGCTACACTCATGAGCAGCTCGATGGGCAATCAAGTTGGCCCAGTTCAGCGAGAAATTGGTATCGCGAGCATCGACAAGAGACGGAAGTTTCAAGTGTGTGGGCTGTGTAGTAACGAGCACGCATGAGCTTGCTCTTGCCATTGCAGTCCGTTCAGTATGCGACGTGCGACAGCGATACGGTTGCGGTCAGTTCCGTTGATAACGACGATTTTGACCATCCATCGTTGAGCTCGCAGCGCCCAGCTTTGAACATCTTCTGCTCGGTCGTACTGCGACCATAGCCGATCGGCGCCGAGCGGCAAACGCGTCGACGCGACGGCCAAAGATCGAAATCCATTATTGGGTGCGTTGATCAGAGCATCGGTGGCGAGAAACGCGTCTCTGGTCTGGAGAGTCGGGTAGGGTAAGGTCGAATACTGGTTGGGCTCGTCTTTGGACAACTCGATGTGAAGAGACGCGTCGGCGGGAGCGACATCGAAGGCGAGGAGCTCAGCGATCGTCATGTTGGTCAGCGGCGATAATCGATCGAAGTCATCGTCGTTCAAATAGTAGTCCTGGTCTTCGTCGAGAAACAAGCATGGGATCATGTTGTCGTGCTATGCTTCAATGTCAGAACGAAGTGAAGCGGAACGGAACCTGCGCCCCTTCAATCTCAGCAGTGGGAACTATTGGTACCTAATCCCTAACAGCCTCTGCACTAAAGTGATTACAAAAAATGACTAGTGACCGGTACAAGCGCGAGCACGAAGCGCGTCTCGAAGGCGAATGCGGGCCCAGGGTCATGCCGAAGGCTGCTCAGGGTCGGCCAAAATTGCCTCGACCCCTGGGAAAAATGTCAAAATCTGCAAAGGCGCTTCGGGGGCAAAACGTGTGTTTCGTCCCAAAATGTCAATTTCTTGCAATGCGCCTCGACGATTTTCAGGAATTTGGGTCCTCAAAATGTCAAAAAAAAAATGCGCCTCCGGCGGGGCTTTCTGGGGTCCTTGGCCTGCCGTGGCCTAATGCGAGTCACTTGGCCGCGACGGCGCTTGCACTGACTGGCGAAGGCCCGGTTCACGCCAGTTGGCGCGCTGCGCGCGGCGACTGGCGCCTTACTCCCAAAATTTGTCCAAGTCCCACTCCGTTCGTAGGCGCAGCAGGCGCATTTCCTTCTTCCGTCGCCGCATAGCGACTTCAATCTACGACACTCGGTTGAGGATGTTTTGTTTTACGATCGGATCTTAGGCAGGTGCTACTTTGACAAATGGAGATCACGCCGGCATGGAATATCCAGAATGTTGTGGACGTCTGGAAAGACCAGTTGACTGTAAATCTGTGAACTTGTATGTTATCGCTTTGCGAGATTATTTAGCATCAAAATTATACGTGATCAGAGAACGCCTCAGAGTCGCGGGAAGGGGAAAGGGAGGGCGGCGCGAATGGATCTATCAGAATAGCCCCTGTCATGATTTTGGTCAATTGAATCAACAGTATAGCTTCAGTCCTTCGAGATTATAATACTGCAAAACAGGTGTTGAGAGCAAATCATGTCTTTATGTATCTATTGCAGGTCGAGTACTTGGTATACTGATACCTAGAGTTTGTAATAGGAAGAATAGCAACCAAGGTCCTGACATTATTACACCTCACCACAGCACTCCTCCAAATTTTAAGTGTCAACTTCATCAAACTTTGCTAAGTTCATCAAACAGCGCCATTTTTAGCGCCATTTTGTGCCATTTTGTGCACTTTAGCGGTTTAGCGGCTCGAGATTTATTTAGTGGCGTTTAGCAAAGCGGCAAAGTTGCTGATGTGGTCGTCCCCTGCACGGCCGATGGCCGAGCACGTATCAGCGGCGGCGGTCTGGGATCAGTATATCAGTAGGCGCGCGCCGCGGGCCAACTGGCGGTCAATTAGTTTGAATGAGTTTGTGAACGAAATTGGACGCGCGAGCCGATTGTAATGCAAAAAAATGCGCTTCACGCTCACAGAGCTCACAGACACTCACCAAATCAAGGGCGCTGGAAGTGAAACAAATGCCAATAGACGCCCCTGACAGCCTCTGACCACCCTCACCTTGTGCCACGTCGCGAGCATCCTACGTTCTGCGCACTTCCCTGCATGCCCTTGCTGAGGGTTAAGAAGATAGCATGTCATCTACTGCAGCCCCTCCAGATACACGAATTCAACTGCTCTTAGACGACGTGCTCGAGATTCCAGATGAGCAATTCGCCGCTACTAATGTCTCCTGTTGCCGAGCTCATTGTCGGCGAGCTTCTCGCGTTCAAATTTACCCGGCCTGACCTGACCGCAACGCTCACCGTATCCGAATTCGAGCCAACATTCCATCAGCATCAGATTCGCCCCAATAGCACCACCCGTGCATTATTCAACAAAACTCACGATCTTCGAGAATTGTACGCCTCCGGCTATCATCCATCGAGGTTCGATCCCCTTGCACGTCGATAGTGGAACACATGCCAATCGGTTCCGAGGCATTCTGGCAACATCTGGACTCTGTCGAGCAGCTGAAGTCAACCATCTCGGATAAAGTTGATTGGCTAAGCAATGTTGAGGTCAATGACAAACGCGACGCCGCGTACATCAAGCTGGCACTAAGCGACTTGCTTGTTGCATTTCGAACCCCTTCACTGCAATTGAGAAAAGTTGCTCATCACGTCGGCGTCTGTATGCACCACAGTGCGCTATATTCACACAAAGCCGTCACCAGCAATGCCTCACTGCAGTGTTGAGAGCACCGAATCCCTCGGACTCGTCTCCAACATCGTGATTCAGGAGCTCTTCCCTACGCAAGCCAGTTCCGGAGTCTTCACCAATCGCAACAGCCGCGGCCAAGCTCGAATCTTCTTCTTGAATGGTCACCGGGTCGTCAGCTGCCTTGACACCTACAACTCGAGCATGCAGACCGTTGAGCCCCCAGCTGCCAGTTTTGGCTTCGACGGCCACACTTGGCGAGTCCTGGACCCACAGGCGCAAGCGCGATATTACCAGCTGCAAAGCTTCAAAGGGGTCCTTGCAGCGTCCTTGGCCCCGATTCGGAAGGGACTTGCGCATGCTGGCGAGGAGAGGGGCAATGCAGACGGAGGGAGCGGAGCCGATAAGCGGTCGGGCCCTTCGCAGGGTCCAAGCGGCCGGCTGTCAAAGCGGACGCGACGTTAGTACCGGGTCGTCGGAGCGATTTTTCGTATTTCTGGCAGTTGGAGAGCGATTTTTGGGCAATTTCACGACATTGAATTTTTCATGTTTCGGAACTCTTCCAATGTACGACCGAAAATAGGTACAAATCGACCCCTCAGACACCTCATCCCGATGTACAAATCGGCCAAAAATCGCCGTTTTTCGAGACGCACATTGGGCTGAGCTTTCCCGGGTCCTGGTAGGTCTGCACTGGTCTGCATGCTGCACGGCCGAACCGAGCGACCGACCGCCTCTGCTCCACACGCCCGCTTCTACTCGCTTCTCCTCGCATCCCCCGCCGCACCACCGCAACAGCAAGCTACCCTGGCCGCAGCAATGAACGGCGCTCTAGCTGCTAATGAGACTCCCAAGCCGACATTGTCCACCTCCAAGGCGACCAAGACGCAGTTCAAGCGGCTGAAGAGGAAGGCCAAGGCCAAGGCCAAGGCCGCCGCGGCTGCAGGGCCTACGCCAGACACCACAGGTGCTGTCGATGAGCAGGTGCGTGCGATACAAAGAGAAGGGTCATGTGAAGAGCGTCTTGATCGTTAATCTGACGCGCAATCATCGCGCCACAGATCAAGGAAGAGTCGGTCGCACCGGAATCGACGACGATGACGCTCAGTGACCACGACAACAACAACGACGACGACAGCAAGCACTCTAATATGGCCGTAGAGCCATTACCCGAACTCCTGGCTCCTGAATTCGCCCACATTTTTGCCCACTTCAACCCCGTCGATCCCGAACAGGTCAGTGACTTGGCTGCCCGAGGCGTGTCGTCGCGTGTGCCTTCTGTCGTACAGTCACTGACCATACTCGAGCGTCATCACTATGGCAGGACGAGGACTCGAAAACAACCGGCCTGCCAGGCCAAGACGGCACCAAGGGTGAAATCATCTATTCGGACGACGAGATGCCCTCGGACGACGAAGTCGACGCTAACGGCGACCCGATCGTTGCCAAACCGCTCTCCAAGCGCAAGCAGCGCAAAATGAACCGACTGTCCGTGGCTGAGCTCAAGCGGATCGTCAAGAAGCCCGAGGTCGTCGATTGGGTCGATGTCTCAGCGACCGACCCCAAGCTGCTGGTCCAGATCAAGAGTCATCGCAACACGATCCCCGTGCCAGGACATTGGGCACAGAAGAGGGACTATCTGCAGGGCAAGAGGGGAATTGAGAAACCTGCGTTTCAATTGCCGAGTGAGTTTTCAGAAGTGCTCGTGTGATGTCCAGTCTCCTTGCGATTCGGCGCTGACGTCCGGTCGTTCCTTCCTAGCTTTCATCGCCGACACCGGTATCGCGACCCAGCGAGATGCGATCAAGGAAAAGGAGGAAGGGCAATCGCTCAAACAAAAGACGCGAGAACGCGTGCAACCCAAGATGGGCAAGATAGACATCGACTACCAGAAACTCCACGACGCCTTCTTCAAATTCCAGACCAAACCGCCCATGACCGCGTTCGGTGAAACGTGAGTCTGGGGCAAGTCTGGGGCAATCCTGATATGAGGGCGAGATACGAGAGAAGCTGATCCAGCCTTGTGCTCTTCGTCACGACAGATATTACGAAGGCAAAGAGTACGAAACAAAGCTGAAGGAGAAGAAGCCAGGAGATCTTTCGGATGCGCTGAAGGAAGCGCTGTCGATCCCGCCGCTCGCACCACCCCCTTGGCTCATCTCGATGCAGAGGTACGGCCCACCACCGTCGTACCCGAACTTGCGTATCCCGGGATTGAACGCACCGATACCCGAGGGAGCGGCATGGGGTTTCCATCCTGGAGGATGGGGCAAACCACCTTTGGACGAGTTTGGTCGACCGCTCTACGGCGACATCTATGGCGTTTTGGACCAGAACCAGCAGGATCAAGGCGTGCCCGTCGAGAAGGATATTTGGGGCGAGTTGGAACCGGATGAGGAGGATTCGGAGGAAGAGGAAGACGAGAACGAAGACGAGGACGAGGCCGAGGGAGAACGAGAAGGGGCTCAGGCCGCACCTGCGGATGGGCTACAGACGCCGTCAGGGTTGGAGACACCTTCTGGATTCGCGTCCGTCACGTCGACCGTACCGGGCGGATTGGACACACCGGCCTTCCTCGACTTACGGAAGCAGAGGGAACAGACCGAGGACGACGATGGGCGTCCCAAGTCGCTATACCAGGTCATTCCCGAACGAGAAGCGAGGATGCGAGGCGTCATGGGCTCCGACCGCGTGTACGACGTTTCTGGACTTGGTGCGGGTGGGCCTCCCGTATTGGGGCAGGAGGACCGGGGGACTAAGAGGAAGGCCGGTGGGGTCGATATTGCTCTCGATGCGGCCGAATTGGAAGGTCTGTCCGAGTCCGATCTGCGACAACGGTACGAGGAGAGCAATAGAAGATCGACGACGGGGCAGCATGAGGACTTTTCGGACTTCGTCGGCAAGGAAGTGGCCAAAAGGAGGAAGACGGCCGATGCCAAGAAGAGAGGTGGGGGAGGCAACGAGGGCAAGGACAAGGACAAGTTCAAGTTCTAGTCGAGCGTAGTGAAGGCGGGTATATCAACTGCAGTGTATACTTGTTCTCTTCCTCCTTTGGCCCCGAGCCGCTGCTGGATTTTGAATTTCGAGGCCTCCTCTTCTTACCCACCAATGGAAGCCGGCCCTTTCCGTTAATAAGTATTTCCTGCTCAGGCGCTATCCTGCGGCTAACCCCGAGTCTAGCGCCGCAGCTGCTCGTGCGCCTCATTTTGCAGCTAAGCATGCGCCTAACCCCGACTCCCTCAACCAGAAGAGTTGGCGCGCACGTGACGAATGCACTGTCGATCGACCTTGCACGCCTTTTGGAACCTAGGATTCGATCATGAGACTCTTTATCTGTAACAAATCGTTTCAAAGATGATGACTCTGACCCCAAGAGGCTTTCAGAGATTTAGAATGATATACACGAGATTAATGCAAGTGACTGCCAGTTCCAAAAGTTATGACGGGTCTGAAAGGCAAAATCCGAACGTTGTCAGGGGCTATTGCCGCAGCTTGGGCGATGAAAGGTAATTGACGACTCACAAAGCTCATTCAAGAACCATAACCCAACAATGATGGCGAGGAACCGAAGCTTGAGATCGGTCTTGACGTAGTTCCCGAATTTGGTTACGACCGTTTCCGGAGCAGGTGGAGGTGTCAAGATCGGAGGATCCTTCTCGTCCACCTCGAACGATTCCCCGACGGTTGCTAGAGCGACGTATTCCGAAGGTGCTCCTGCCGGTGCTCGAGCGGTTGCAGGCACACTCGCGCTGAGATTGGCGATGGGGAGTCGACCTGCGTTCGGGTTCGCGGCAGGGGCGCAGATCCAAGAGGTCAGGGAGCCCGTTGCGGTGGCGACTTGGTTCGAGATGTAGACAAAGATGATCGAAGTGACGGTGAAGTTGATGGGTCGCAAGAGAGGACCTCCAGGGATCATCATGATGATGCCTCGAGTGCTGGAGGGGAAAATAGGTAGAATTTCGTCAGTTTCTGTACATCGCGACCACGACTTGAAGTCGCAGAAGAATGGACTCACTCTCCAGCGATGAAAAAGTGGAACTGGATGATGAACGTCTCGAGCGAGCACTGCCCAAAGAAGATGAAGAACTTGCTCGACGTCGACCTGAGAGACGGCGTCGCGTTGCGCAAGACGACGAAAGCCAAGACGGGCAGCGCAGAGACGTAAGGGTGGGATGCGTTGTACACGAACTTGTTCGCTCGAGACATCTCATAGACGAAGTACCCCACCATGGATATCGCACTGCCGATGATGGCTGATCGTTGCCATTTGGCCCACGACGGATGTTCCATGAGGCGATTGTCTTTGATGAGGATGAAGGCGTACGCGGTGAACATGCCAATCCAGACAATCCACATATCGAGCGTGACGCGGAAGCGCCATTCCTTGGCGTTCCATGCCGTCGCAAAGATCGTGTTGATGATAGTAAACGTCGCTTCCAGAGGTCCTTCGATCTCGAAGTAGGCAGCGGTCAAGCCGGCGGCGACGACTAGCTTAGAGACCAAGAACGCCGGCTTGTCATTGTGCTGGTGTCCGATCCACATGGTGACCCAGATGATGCCGAACCCTAATATCAGAGAAATGCGTCAGTGAGTCAGAGGGCCCCGCAACGTGACGAAGTGATGCATGCACTCACAGATGGTGACAAGGGGTGAGAAGTAGTATGAAAGGTAGTCCGTGTCCATCAGATACGACAAGACGACGGTCAACAAGTTCAAACGAATCAAGATGTTGGCCACACGAGCAAATGCATAGTCGGCCTTTTTGAGGAAGAAGCTGAGATGGCCGTAGCCGCTCATGAAGAGGTAAGCGGCGACGAGCACCCGTATCGGGTTGTAGATGCCACTGATCTTGGAGGCGCCAAGGTAGTGGTAGATCAGGATGGCGATTTGCATCCACCCTTTCCACTCATCCGTCTGGTCGCGATTGAGGAACCCGAGATCCTTCTCGGCGGGTTTCATCGTCAGGACACCAGCGACGACAGAGGCAGCGCACAGCAATCCAAACGTTAAAGAATCGTACTGTTTATTCTCCTTGAGGAACAGGCCCGTTCGATCGGCGAGGAAGAGCAAGCCAATCGAAAGGCCGAAAATCGAGAGGGGCACCAAAAACTTGGCCTCGGGGAAGAAACGCAAGGCCGATGGGTGAATGTCGGCTGAAAGTGCAAGGGAGTAGTCTCTTCAGTCTTTTAGATTGCAGCTAGCCTTTGCTTCAAAGTCGACTCACATTTCCATTGCATGTAGAGTCCGATCGGTCCCCAGCCCATGCAGATCGCGAGGACCAGGATCTGAACCCAGTTCGGCGTAGGGTACGAGTTGCAGCACGTCTTGTCGAAGGGAAACTTTTTCGGTAGAACATCATTGCATCGCATGTTGAGCAAGATCGTCGCTTGAACTTTGACGACGGCGTCGGAAAAGTGCAAGCCGTCGTCGGTCTCTTCGTCGAGGCCGGCGATGACTTTGTTGAAGACACGAGGAATGGCCAACGTAGGGCGCATGGAGTACGTCTTTTGAACCGCCGCGCGCTCGTGCAGCTTCTTGTCGAGCACCGAGTTCATCTGGTTGATGTCGTCGAGATGCACTGTCGCGGCGCGTTCAGGCGAGAGTTTCGATTCGAGCGCATTCTCAACGGGCATGAGAATGACTGCATCGGCGATCTTGGCCGCACGTTCGGGGTCGAGCCCTAGGAAGAGGGCGTCCATGCGCTGACTCCACTTGTCGAATCCACCCGAGTCGGGATGTCGCAGGTACCAGATGCCACTGCCGATGACGGCGAGCGTCGGGGTCACTCCTCCGACGTTTGACGCCAACGTACCGCCGACGAGCTGCGTGAATCGGGTGCTGTTGAGGAACGGATCCCAGTAGAACGAATACGTCACGCCGTTGACGGTAAGCACGCGATCGGAATGCTTTTCGGCCGTGGTGTCGATCGATTTGTCGGCCTGCTTGACCATCGCGTCTGTTCAGTGGATACGAACCATCCACACATCAGAAAAGATCACCTCCGGGGGAAAGGTTTTGCATAAAATCAACCCACAGTATACTTGACGAACGGTGCTGTCGCCAATAAAGACGACATGTCGGTCGGCGAAGCACTGGGTCACCTCCTTGGGCTTGTAAGGATGCAGCATACACCCGTCCGGTTGCCAGACTTGGTGGGCCGATTCGAGCCATCTCCCTTCGTTGAGTAGTGCACGGCAGTGATGACGATCCCCCGCATCTGTGATGGAAAGTGCATATGGGAGGTTAGTTGTCCATCGGGCAAATTCACAAGACTGAAGATTTGTCAAGATGTGTACGGCGTTGGGAAGGTGGTCGGAATGCATCATCGCAGATGCGAATAGACTGGAACTGATCTATCTTGGGCGTAAATGCTCCACATATGTGTGTGACCAGGGTTGCGCAATCGCGGGTGACGGAGATCCGACTTGGCAGGCGATCGACGAGGCTGCTCCCCGTCACAGGCCTGCGCTTGGCCGACTGTATGTAGCTCCCTCCGCGGCCTCATCTACACGCTGGCTATTTCCCGAAGCTTGTGATGCGACCACGAGGGTTGATGAGTAGGAACGAGACTCACCACCGAGGACGTGACGATGGAGAGCGAGCGCAAGCACGAGCGCTAGCAGGCCGAGATGGAGCATGTTGTAGGGGAACCGCGGTGAGCTCGAGCCAGAGCCAGAACCCGCGCCAGCGCCCGACGACGACTTGTCCGTCTTGGGGGCCATCTTCACCTGTCCGTCAAAGGAATCTCTTGGGGTACCGGTCGATGGAGGAGAGAGAGGATCGTCCTGAGCAGCGAGTCAAGCCCATACGCGCGCACACACAACAGGCGAGAGTCGAAAGCAGCCGCCGCCGAGTCGGGGAGCCACGAGGCTGGCCGGCTGGCGTTCGCGACTCCCGACCTTGTTTTAGTGCCGCGCCCAGGGCCGCGCCAGTGTTCGCCCAACCCGGCGTCATGGGGGCAAGCGCGTCGACCTCGGACGGGGGAGCGCCTGAACGGCCTGAACGGCCTGAACGGTCTCGGCCTCAAGACAGGCGTGTGCACGGACCTTTTCAGCCACTTTGTGAGGGAAAAACAAAAAAGAGGGTAGATCATTCTTGTCAAAACTTTAGAATCATTCAAATGTACAGATCAGGAACCTGTACACACGAACGCAAAAATGCACACCCTGGCGGATCGACTGAGGTCTCTCCTCGATTCCTCTTACAGTGCCAGGATCCGGACCTCGGGCGATCCCTCCTCAAGCGCTTGCCAGCCGCCACGAGACGTAGATCCTTGACCCGCTCGCCGTGACATCAATCCCGTATGTTCTGGTCGGCCGCAGTCTTTGCTTCACTTCATCTCTGGGTCCGGTTCCCAATATACTCTCTCATTAAGACCGAAGCAGGGGACGAATTTTGGGGGAGCAATGCGTGGGTAAAATGTGCAGATCCTGATCAACCAAAAAAGGAGACACAGAGAGAGAACACAAACAAACAAAAAAGAACGCTAGACCAAAAGAGAAAGAGAAATCGAGAAACAAGCAAGGGAATGTAGAGGAAAGAGGGGGAGGAAGAGGAAGAAACACACAGAGAGAGAGAGAGAGAGGCAGAGAGGGGGGGAGGGGGGCAAAATAAAAACACGGCACCGGGGTGGTCGGTGTTGAGCACGAGTCTAATATGTCGCTTGAGAGGGTTGGGGTCGTCAAACGGTTTTCCGATGAGCAGTACGGCGTTGGTACATGGACAAACATAAAATGTGAAAAAAGGAAAGAGACAGCATAAACATTTCCTTAATCGTTCGTGAGTCGACAAGAGGAGACGCGCCGATCGGGTTCAGGCCGACGCCGTCGTGGGGGCGGGCGCAAGCGAAGGCGTAGGCGAAGGCAACGCCGCCGAAGCAGTACCACCAGGCCCAACGGGAGGAAGAGCACGTTGTGCGACGGCCTTGAACAACTGAGCTACCTCGGGCGACTTGTTGACGAAGCTGACGAACACAGGCACGGTGAAAAAGTCAGCATCACCGGAAACGCAACTGCACGAGGAAGAACCTAATGCAACTTACCCTTGATCCATCAACTTCGCATCCTCATCCGTAATCAACTGGCTGAACGTGTACAAGACACCCCAGCTGTGGGGGCGACTGCACAGGATGCGTTCGAGCAGGACGCGCACGATGATCTCGCGCAGGTTCGCATCGGTCGTCTCGTTGAACGTCGCGAGCAAGAAGGACGAGAACCAGTACGTGTGCGAGTTGGGGTAACGCAACTGGTTCACGGCCGAGCACACGAGCGTGTAACGGCCCTCGGGGTCCATCTCGTTCATCAGCTGCTGCAAGACGACGGTCGATGCGCACTGAGGGTCGAACTTGACGGCACCGGTCGAGGCCTTGGTCTGGTTCAGCGCGACGACACCAAGGTACATGACAAGCGAGTTGGCCAACGAGATGTTGTACTTGCAGTCGGTCGCGTCAGTGCGCGACGAAGGCGTCGCGACGAGGCGCTCGCGAAGCGTGGCGGGCATCGTGGCCGGTGAACGAGTTTGCAAGAACTTGTCGAGCGGCGCACGTAGATCGGCCGTCGACAAGGCAATCGTAAAGTCGGTCAGGACCTGCGGCGCCTTTTGCACCTCGGGCAACAGCTCGATCTTAAGACCTGGTTGGAGCGGGTCGGGCAGTCGAAGCGAGCTCGTCACGGGGAACGCGCTGAGGATGAGATTCTGCAGCTGGATGCATTGGGGCGGGATCGCATCGCACAGCGCAAAAAAGGCTTGCGACAAAAAGTCGGGGAAGTCGTGCAAGAGGACGAGGATGATGCGTTGCGTGCCCAGGTAGAGCGCGCGCGTCGTCTCGCCGAGCTCGCCACGACGAAGGAAGGGCGCGAGGAAGCGCAACAACGAGATGAGTTGGCGGTGGAAGGACGACCAGCCCTGCAAGATCCGAACACAAACAGAGCATGGTCAGTCATGTGCACCCACCAACCAACGACTATTACGCAAAGCAACTCGCCTCCTTGTCCTTCATTTGCAACAACTTGGGCATGAACAAACGGTGCGAGATGAGTCCAACCCAGCTGAACGTGAAGCCGGGGAAGAACAACGGCTGCAGCGTGTTGATCGAGTGGCTGAGCGCGACCAAGATCTGGTAGTAGGCCGAGCCCAAGTGACCCTCAATCAAGTGGAGGTTGCTGAGCAGGCTCGAGAAGAAGCGGAAGAAAGGCTTCTGTTGGAAGTGAGGGCCGAGTTCCTCGTGCGAGTTCGCGAGCACGAGCACGATGATAGAGAGGACCTTGGTCATGTAGTGTACCTTGGCCTTGTCGTTGTTGGCGCCAGTCGGATCGGCGTGGTATTTGATCATGAAGACGATCAACTTGGCGAAGGCGTCGATAGGCTGGAAAATGCCCGTCGCCGCCGATCCACCAGCGGCCTTGTGCTTGATGTAGCTGTCAACGCTGACTTCGGCGCACACGCGGAAGAACAATGACGATATCTCCTCGCCCTTGAGAATGCCTTGATTCTGCAACTGGACGACAAAATCGACGAACGACTTCTCGACCGAGAACGACTGTTGGTACAGGCGCACCCACTCGGCGAAGCAGTACGTTAACTGCTGGCGCACCTCGGCATCGTCGGCCTTGACGCCAGGAGCGATCGCGCCAGCTCGGGCAGCGACAGGTCCAGCACCGGCGGCGGCGGTCGAGGGGGCAACGACAGCCGTGCTCGCAGGAGCAGCAGCGATGGGTGAAGCGGGGCGAGAGACGGCAACGGCACCTCGAAGTTCCTGCAAGAGCTGCTTGGCCGTCTCGGTCCCTTTGCCCAAGCGCGTCGCTTGCGCCAAAGCGTCCAGCGAGTGCACGAGTTGCTCCTTGGCGCAAACGGGAGGGGCCTCCATGAGGCACTCGGCAACGAAGCGTGCCGCAAAGTCGAGGACCGAGGGACGGTACTCGCGCACGATGAACTTGGCGAGTTGAACGTCGAGCTCGGCGGCGTTGATGAGCCGAGCTTGGACGAGCGCGGTCGTGACGGGGACATTGAACTTGCGCTCGTCTTCGGCATAGACGAGCCATGCGGTGACTTCCTTGGCGACCTTGAGTGAGAGGCTGCACAGGCGTTCGAGCAGATTGACGTACACCTCTCGCGCCAAAGCCGTCTCGCTGCGGTAGAGCAACTGCACGACCTTTTGCGAGCACCCAAGAGTCGTTTCGTCGCGACTGGCCGAACTGGCTGCAATCATGGGGATCTGCTGTAGGACGTGACGGATCTCGCTGTCGGGCGCGAGGCGCTCGAGTGTCGATGCCGATTGCTCCGTCATGATGTACTTTTCGAGCTCGCCTATCAGGCTCGCAAACTTTTCCATCGCTTGGACGGGCGAGAGTTGCGAGGGCAGACCTCCGGCCAAAGCGTCCGTGGTTTGCGAAGCGATCGCGGGGGAGTCGGGGCCATAAGCACCGGCGTTGCGTTGCTCTGAATTGTATTATCAAAACGTCTGTCAGTCAATCCGCCTTACTTCATTCTTCGCGACCCTTTCCCAAACACTCACCGGCTTGCATCTGCAACGAACGAACGCGGGAAAAGTCCTCGTAGACGTGCAATTGCTGCGGCTGCAGGCCACCTAACTTAAGCCTCAGAGGGTCCGGGAGCATGCCAGAGTAATGCGACGCGGCCATCGCGGCGGTATCCCAGAACGCCTCTCGCGACCTTTCGCGATGAGCTCGACGGGAGAGATACGAGCCCGAGAGTCCCTCATCGACTTCGGCGACGGCCTTCTCCATCGCAACTTTTTCGACGACGCCGCACGCCAATTCGAGGTTGTCCGCCGCGACGAGCAGGATCGCCTGTTCGGGCAAGGAGTGCTCCGAGAAGCCGTTCTGCAAGAGCAAGTTGCGAATGTGGGTGACCATCGAGATGCGCAGAGGTTCCTTGCAGGTGACCAAGGCGAGTGAGCCTGCGAGGTTTTGCACCATCAGGTGCGCGGCCGAGGCCATCTTTTCCTCGTCACCCTCCATCGCGAAATCCTTCATCGTCAATTCACGAGTCGAGATGCCCGCGATCGTGACCGAGCGTTCGACAACGGGGGCGATGATTTCGCGCACGGCTCGGTCGATGGCGATGAACACAAGGCGCTTGAGCGCTTGGTTCGATGCAAAGATGGGGACTTGCGGGTTGAACGTGATCTGGCTCGGCAACGATTGCAAAGCCGCCGAGATCGTGTCTTGGAGTGAGAGCGAATAGCCGGCTTGGTTGCCACTGAGCATGAGCGAGGGCGCCAAAGAGCGTTGGCCATCGGCGCCGTGAACTCCACCGGCGGCGGTTGCGAATCCACGACTGAGCGTGTGGTCGTCCGTCTCGCGAGGACCAGAGCCGAGCTGCTGCTGACCACCCATCATGCCGGACAGATCACCGCCTGGAACCTGTTGGGCCTGCGCTTGGGCCTGCGCTTGAGCGACGGCGAGATCGGCCGGTCGGTTGCGCAACAGCTCGGTGGGTTCGACCTCCTTGAGGTCGATGTTGAGGCTCTTGCACAGGACCTCGATCTCGAACTTGAGGTTGAGCTTGAGCTCGGCGAATTGGTACAGCTCGACGAGCAGGCGCACGATCGCCATCAACCAAGGGTTGGGCGGCTTGAACACGCGCGACTTGGCGCACTGCTCGAGCACCTTGCACACGAACGGGATCGCGACGATCAACCGGTTTGAGTCGTAGCCTTGGATCAGCAACTCCTTGAACGCGATATTCTGTTGCTTGATCGGCTTGTCCTTGGCGAGCGTCAGACCGCCCAACCACGACCCCAAGTTCTTCAAAAGCGTGCGTTCGGTACTCGATTGCACTGTCTTTTCCGAGTTGAGCAACGTAGCCAGCTTGACGAACGTCTCGTGCAAGACGCGCTTGATCAAGACGGGCATGTCCAACGCGTCCAAGAAGCGCGTGTACAACCCGTGGTTGTTGGGTTCAATCGACACCCGTTGCGCGACGAGGTAGTGCGCGAACCAGGCGAAATGGCTCGCTTCGATGCGCGTCGCCATCTCGCTCACCTTGGCATCAAAATTGGACGGCGCCAGGTTGTTCACGATGAAGAGGATTTTGTCCGACGTGTCCTCGTGAGGCGCCTCGGGCTCACCCGTTCGAGCGCGGTCGACTCGAATGGCCGTAAAGACGGGTCGTTCTTCCTCGGCAGCGACGACGAGTTCGCCGCCGTTCGCTCCGTTCGCTTCTCCTTCACCAGCCGCACCGCCGGCCTCTCGTTGTTGAAGAGCCAAGCGAGCTGTTTTGGCGACGTCGGGATGCAACTGCTGTACGTGCGGGATCGCAAGAATTGAGTGCGCGAGTTGGGGCCACTCCGACAACCGACCCTTGAAGCGCGCCAAAGCCTGAATGCCGAATCTGAACCAGTTCGACTCGGGAGGGTTGCGCAACGCATCCAAAACGTAGCGCACAGCAATGCCGAGCGGAATGAAATCAATCAGTTGAAACTGGATGAGATCACCAAACAGGTTCGCGGTGAGCGCGAGTTCGTTCGCGGGGTAGGTATTGAAGAAGCGGTGTTCGTCAAAGAGGCCGTGAATGAAGCACGCGAGGAACTCGTGGTCGTGCTTATTGTCCGACTCCTTGGCGCGTTGCAACGCGCTGACGACGTTGTCCACCGAGATCTCCTGATCGTACATGCGCTTGTACAAGGCGTCGCACTCGGCCTCGATCGTCGGCGAGAACGACACGACCGACATTCCCGGCTCGCTGTCGGCGTTGCCCGGCGCAAAGTTCATCAAGCGAGGGTACAGCTGCAAGCACTGCGTGCGAACCTCCTTGTACAGCTCGACGTCGTTGCCCGTGAATAACTCGTGGCTGCAAGTCGTTGTCGTTGAGATCAGCTCGATTCTGTAGGACTTGGTTCAGACCGAACGCGACTCACTGTTGTCGAAGCGCCCGCATGAACAAAGCGACCGTGGCCGCACCGAGCGAAAGCGTCGTCGGCTCCGGTGCCGGGTCCAATTCTTGTCGATGCAGATCGTGGCCAACCTTGTGCCCGATGAACTCGAGCGTCGCACGGACAAAGACCCCACCTTGGGCCGTCATCTGCCCGCCCAACCACTTCTCCAAGTTGAGGTACTCGCGACGACTGGCCAGGGCGGCCAAATCGAGAGCGAGGAAGAAGGGACGCAGCTCGAAGACGAGGTCGAGCGCCTTGAGGTCCTGGGCGATGTCGAGGATCCGCGAGACGTTCATCTCGCTCTCGCCGTAGAAATCGCGCAGAGCGGCGGTGAGGAACTGTCGATCGGTTTGGTAGATGCGCAGAAAGACGAGTTGGTGCGCCGGGTGGCCGGTCAAGAAGGTCGACAGCAAGCGAGCGATCAACTCGGTGTGCAGGACGGTCCAAGGTTTCTGTGAATCACGGCGTCTCTCAGTTTCGGGGCCATCATCGACTGCAGACTACCCAATAACTCACCTCGATCTGCGTCAAAGCAATCAACACCAACTCGGGATTGGTCTTGCAACCCCGATCCAACAAATCATGGACCCTCGGCGTCAGATCCTCGTTTGTCGCGCCGGGCACGTGCTCGCTCAACCGGATCAAGGTCGCGACCAACTCTTTGCAGTTCCAGGGCGAGGTCTGTACGCCCAAGGCCAAGGTCTTGATCGTCGGCGACGACGAAGCCGCGTCCTCGATCGAGATAACTTTGGTCACCGACGGCAAGGCGCTCAGGCTGAAGGATTCGGTAGGGAGGTACAACAAGCGTTCGAGCAAACCGAGCTGGAGAGCCGGGTTGGCCCAAGGGGACCAAAGGCCCGAGATGGCGGAAGTGCCACCGGGGGCGGAGAGAAGGGCGTATTGCGAGGTCGGTGGGGGCGAGTTGGGTTCGGCAGGGTAAGGGGAGAGTTGGAGCAAGGCCGCAAAGAGACGAAGACCCCACGAGTCGGGTAGGCTACGGTTCGGCGAGTCGTAGGCGCGCACGACGCCACCCCACCGCAGGGAAGGTTGGGCTTCGTGTACTGCTCGGACCCAGCTCGACAAGTCAAGGCCACTGCCCGCATCGGCGTCGCGCATCGCTTGGTCGACGAGGTCAAAGAGCATCGCCGAGACCCGCAATTCGGATCCTCCACTGCCGGCCGTTGCATCACTCTCGAGTTGCGAGAGCCCACCGAACCGAGCCAAGACGGCGCGAACTAGGTCGGGCGAACACAACGCCGGGGCGGGGGACAGTCGAGTGAGGATGACGATCGGCGAGGGTGTGCCGGCGAAGCTCATCTCGCCCAGAGCGTGGGTCAGGGCTTGTGCGCCGACTTCGGCCCCTAGACGACCCCGTACGGCGGCCAAGACGATGAGCCGTCGTTGCTCGTCGTCGAAGACGGCCTCGCCTTCGCCTTCGTACTCGCCGAGGGTCATGTCGGACAGCAGCAACGAGAACAGCTTCGAGATGGGCAAGGGCGACAGCGACTCGCCGAGATCCCCTGGAGCATGGGCCGGTAGCCCGAGCTGATCCAAGGCACCGTGCAGGACCTGCCGAGCGATGTTGGCCGCATCGAGTCCGAGTTGTCGCTTGAGGCCGACGTTGGGCGGGGCCGCGGCGGAGGGGAACAAGAGCGCGAGGAAGGGTGCGACGAAGACGAGGCGTTCGAGCGAAGACAGGTCCTTGAGCGAGGCGTGGGTGAGCAAGTTGGAGAGGGAGAAGGAGCGCAGGACCGAGTCGGCGCCCGAGGCCCCCTCGGAACCTTCGACGACGGCGTCACGGAAGCGCTCCGAGAGGGTTGGATCGCGGGCCATGCGTGTCACCTCGGACGCGAGCAGCTTCATCACGAGCGCCGGTTGCGAGCTGGCGGCCGAGTTAGGCGAGGCTGGTTGCGCGGTCGGGACGAGCAGGGTCGAGGCGGCAAGAATAAGTCTACGGATGAGGTGCTGTTGCGGCGCGGGGCCGTGCTGGTCGACGAGCTGTGGGCCAACAGGCCACGGTCGTCAGCGAGTCGTGCTCGCGGCCGATCAAGTTCGTCCCGAGCTGACCCCACTCGGCACCAAACAACGTATAGTCGCTCGCAGAGATGGGGACGACACATCGGGAATAGGGAGCAACCTGACCGGAAGTGCTGAGGACGGCTGGGGAGGGGAGGGAGGAAGGACGCACCGAACGGATCTCGTCCCGATTCTTCTGGTAGTTCTCCTCGCTGAGTGTGCTCAGATGGAACACGATTTGCGCCTAAACACACGCCACAACCCAAAGATGAAACAATGCTCCGTGAGCAAGGTCACTCTCGCCCCTTGGGAGCGGGCTTGCCAGCCAACTGACCTTGACGATGGTCAACAAGCTCGAATTGGTCGAGGAGCCGGCACTGTTCGTCGTTGAGGCGCCTGCGGCCGCACTAGCCGTACCTACGACACCCCCTGCACCTGCTGCACCACCTCCGCCTCCATTGGGCGCGTTCACGAGTGAGGACGTCACGATGGTCGGTCTTGAGGGGGGGAAGGGCGTTGACCAAGGGACGAGGAGGTGGGGTGGGGAGGGGAGAGGGAGAAGGGGGAGCAGGAAGCACCGGGACGTTGGACCACGAGTAGACCTCTGGAGATGAATGAACTGCGTAGGCCTTGAGTACGACGAGTCGATGCGAGCACACACACACCCTTGTAGTATCGCAGGGATCGAGTGCGTGTGCGGGCGTGCGGTCGTACCGTCGGGGTGGTGCTGCAACCAGCGAGCGTGAGCGTCGACAAGAAAGAGAGGAAGAGGATCGTAGTACGCTACAAGGAGTACGGGGATCGGTAGGGGTTGGACGACCTCGAGCGGGGCGGTGGAAGAGGAAGGAGGGGAGGGGAGGGGGGGCGTGTGAGCTGGGGAAGGGAGCGGGAACGAGAGCAAGCAAGCGCGGGGGAAGGGCAAGTAAATGGACAATCCGTTCCTAGTCACCCTAGTCGACGTTCTAATCGGAATTGGCACGGCCAGTCCCGGGTTTTCACTCCCTCCGTCAAGTCCGAGGCGATTTTCAAGCGCTTCAGTGGTCTCTGGCTCCGAGGCGAAAGTAGTGACATCAAATCGTCCTGGATTTCTTCATGCGGATTTGCGAGACTGTGTGGAAGTGGCCATAGCGCAGAGCGACGAGGAGCTATCATGCGAGACACGCGACCGAGGCGACCGAAACATAGAGGGGGGGGGGGAAGCAAGCAAAAGCTAGATCATAGAACAAAGGTAGAAAGTGGTAATACAATAGAGAACAGTCTCCTGGGTCCTCGGCGCGCCTTGAATAGCGGGTGTTCTCCGAAGATCAAGCAAAGTAGAACTGTCATCAAGGCCCCGCCCAAGTCAGCCACGAAAGCGAACCACAAACGAAAGCACGCCGCCACGCCGGACATACCTGATCGTTCTTCTTCTTGCTCTGCACTTCCATCACACCACTGAGGTAATGCTCGTGTCCAATGATGCGACTCCCTTCCCGCAACGCGATCATGCCCGCCTCGACGCACACCGCCTTGAGTTGCGCGCCGTTGAACTCGTCCGTCGAGCGCGCCAGCTCTTCAAAGTTGACTTTGGGCGAGACTTGCATCTTGCGAGAGTGGATTCTGGAAAGGAGGAGAGGGAGATCGTCAGAGACCATACTTCACTCTGAGAGCGTACTAGAGGCTCACTCCATGATCCGAGCTCGAGCTTCTTCGGTCGGCAGGGGGAACTCGATCTTGCGATCCAATCGACCGGATCGGAGTAATGCCGGATCCAGGATGTCGATTCGATTCGTCGCCGCAATAACCTGATAAACCAAGCGTCATTAGTCGGTCCCCCACTTTCCCTCATTGGTGCATCACCTGCACGCACCTTAATCCTCTCATCGGACCCAAACCCATCCAACTGGTTCAACAGCTCCAACATGGTCCTCTGCACCTCACGATCACCGTTCTTGTCACTGTCGAATCGTTTGGTTCCGATCGCGTCTATTTCGTCGATGAAGATGATTGCGGGCGCCTTTTCCTTTGCTAGTGCGAACGCGTCCCGGACGAGTTTGGCGCCGTCTCCGATGAACATCTGCGGGGAAGCGGAGTAGAGTTAATCTTCGTGGGCTGGGCGGGCGAAGGGAGGACCATACAACTTGCCTGGACGAGAGAAGGTCCAGCCAGTTTGAGGTAGCAGGCGTTCGTCTGTGCCGCGCAAGCACGAGCCAGCAGAGTCTTTCCCGTGCCTGCCGAGGAGATGGGCAATCGCTTGTCAGCATACCGCAGATATTGCCGGGGCCCATTCAAAACACTCGCCTGGTGGCCCATACATGAGCGTCCCCTTAGGTGCCTTGATGCCCAACGCCTTGAACTTTTCGGCCTGCTGCATCGGCAACACGATCGCCTCGACGAGTTCCTCGATCTGCTTATCGAGCCCACCAATGTCGGTATAGGAATCGGTCGGCTTCTCGTCGACCTCCATCGCCTTGACGCGCGAGTCGTACTCGGCGGGCAAGGTGTCGAGCACGAGGTACGAGTCCTTGTTGACGCCGATCAGGTCCGCCGGTTTGAGTTGCTCGGCCGAGACAAGGCCGACGAGGGGGAGGAAGATGGTTTGACGTGTGGAGGTCTTGATGACGGCGCACTTGCCCTTGCGCTGCGCGTCGAGGTCGACACCGGCTCCTTCGCCTGCTTCGTCTTGATCCGGGTCCATGTCGAGGATCTGGCAGGGGGGGTGAGCTCAGTTTCGAAATGAAGGTCGCGGTGCTCTGTAGGCGCCCACGAGGACTGACCTCGACGACGTTGGCGACGAGGTAGGGGAGATGCTTGTTGTTCTTGATCTTTTCGTTGTTGTCCTTGATAGACTCTACCATTTTCGACCGTTCGTGGTTCAACCTCATGCTTTCGGATCGCATGACCTGAGCGATGGTTGCACACGCAAAGTCAGTCGGGGCGGTCACAGGGGGTTGGGAGGGACGCTTCGTCATCGCCGACCCAGCAGCCGCCACGCTCAACAAGCTGACCTTGAGATCATTGTCAATCAACCGCACACGGGCCATGATGTCCTCTGGTGTACCGTTGAGAATCTCATCGGGTAGAGGTTCCTCCTCGGGTTCCTGGGGTGGTGGAGGTGCAGCGATCGAGGCGTGGTCCGAGGTGTCCATCGCGTCGTGGTCGGCGGTGGATGAGCTCGCCGGTTTGGCGTCCCCGTTCGTCGGGTTGCTGTTCTGGTTCGGGTCGGTCGGTGGGAGGGAGGAGGACGAGGACGAGGACGAGGACGAGGACGACATGGTGGGGTGGCGTACGGTGCGGTGAGACGGGGTACACGACGGAAGCGCGACAGCTCGGGCGAGGTGTGGAGCGCGCAGTTGATCAGGGTCTGAGCGTAATTTCCTCATTACCCCGTGTTTGTAATGCTCAAATGCAGACCGAGCGCACGTCCGCTGCCCGGCCGCGACCCGCCCGGCCGCCCGCTCCCTCTCTCCGCCAAGTCATCCGCACCTCAACCCCACCAGGCATGTCCTCCGCATGCTGCCTGACAACGCATCGCATCAAGCTAACACGCACCCTTACAACAGACCCCTCCACCCCACCTACCCTTCCCCCTTCCCCCTTCCCCCTTCCCCATTAGTAAGTACTCGAGGTCAATTGCGGAGGGATGCCGCGTTTCCGCCTTGTCCCGAACGAGACACACCACCGCGTATCGCCCAACACTGCGCACCACGAGCCCGTCATCGACTCGACGCACCAGAAGTACGTCCTGCTTGAAGCGGGACTGTCCTGACGAAACTCTGTTGTGCTGGTGCAGTGTTTGGACTTCGCGCGTGGCCCGTTCCCTTCGCTCGCCCGATGTGAGCCTCCTCTCGTGTACTCCTCCACCCCTCCATCAAGTCGAGACTGACGTTGGAAAATTCGTTGCAAAGGTGGCCCTTCATGATCGGTGGTGCCATGACCTTCTACATGGTCGCCTCGGCCCAAAACGCCATGCTCAAGGGTGCGTCCCGCCCTCTTTCTATTCGGACCAGCGCATGTGTCTGCGCCGGAGAACATGACGTGCAAAGCATTCCTCGAATACTCATCGCCGTATTGCATTGTCCCAACACAGCCCCCGTCTACCGTGACGACCCCAAGAACCCCTTCAAGGCCGACCGAACGGCACACTAGAGGACGGACCTTGACGAGGAGACTCCACATCGTCACTACGGCATGATTCGGCTTTTGATTCGTTTGGGAAGGGAATGTGATTGAAATTACAATCGTAACATCGACTGCCGTTGAATCAGGCTGGATGAGGGTGGACACGTGCTTGCACCACGTCGAGAGGAGAGAGACCCGGCCGAGCAAAGTCGGCACGTTCTGAGAGCGAGCTGAGCAGAGAGTTTAAATCCCATAGCTTGAATGCATCGAATCGAGTGCGAGATCGGGCGAGACCACTAGAACGAGGTCAAGCAGGGTGTTCTGCTGCTGCCGCACCCCTCTCAGTTCGTCTTGGGCCAAAACCTTGCAGAAGGACTCGGTCATTAGCACTCGTCTCTAACCCCCAATTGGTTGGCCGACACGCCCGGCCGCGCCCGGCCTCGCCCCGGCTTTTCCGCTCGCGGCCGGCCTCGCGCAATCGTTTCACACTCGTACTCAGCTCCGTCCCCCATTCCCTCTTTCTTCCCACCGTCCCCCTCCCCTCTAGCATCAGTCATGTCGCCCATCGCAGCAGGGGGTAAAGACAGTCATGCGGCTCGTATCGTCGGTTCCGGAACAGCAGGTCAGTGGACCGTAACGCTCACGTTGAGCTCCTTTCGAGGGTCGAGTGGGGAGGGGCCGCGAAAGCTGATCATCATCAGTTGGGAACTTGCGCCGTTCGCCGCGACATAGGTATCGCCGAGTTGATGTTGGTCAGTACGGCGAAGAGGGGGCCAAGGAAATCGTCTTCGCGTGTACTGAACATCCTGTACCTCGTCCCAGTTCCACCCGGTCGATACGATCGCCAAGCGATTGATGTCCAACAAGACCGTCGGAGTCAGTTCTCCGTCCTCCGTCCTCGCTTCGCACCCACACCATGATCCCTCATAACCCAACCCCAAAACCAAAACACCCCGGATCTCTACCTCTTCCCGAAAGCCACTTGTTGACACGCGACTTCTCGATCCACCCCTCAGCTTCCCTTGAACGAGATCGTCTTCAAGCAACACGCTACAGCACCCGCAGGTTAGCTCAGCTACCTTTCCCAAGCTCCCCCGCGACCAAGGCTGAGGCCCGAACCTGATCGATCATTTCGGCTCTCCCAAACTCCGCGCTTCCTTCCCCCTCCATCGCGATCGCTCCCTCCCTCTACACAGGCGCAAAGTTCTTGTCGCTCTTCCCCGGTCTCGGATACGCTGCTGGGTACAAGGTCCTTCAGCGCGTGTACAAGTCCGTTTCTACTAGCGCTCACGCGATCGGTCCGCACCCGACGCCAAGAGTTCCAGGCTGATCCCTCTCCGTTCTCGATCAGGTTCGGTGGTCAACCTTACTTTAACGACTACCTCAACACCAATCACCGTTCCTTTTTCACCAATGCGTTCGGAGAGAAGAACGGCAAGGCTATCATGTCGGCTACCGCTGGATCGTCAGTCTCTTCTTCTCGGCGATCTTTCAAGACGGGCTATGAGGTTGACCGGACGCTGATGGTATCGAGGGATCGTCTACAGTCTGACCGGTATCGGAGAGATTGTTCTTTTGCCCTTGGACGTACTCAAGATCAAGCGACAGTAACTCGTTCGGATGACGTCGCTGCGAGCCGAGTCGAAGATCTGATCGCCTTCTCCCTATACGCAGAACTAACCCCGAAGCGTTCCGATCACGCGGTTTCTTGCGCATCGTCAAGGACGAAGGTTTTGCTCTTTACCGAGGGGCTTCATGGACCGCCGCTCGTAACGCACCCGGATCATTTGCCGTAAGCCGTCCGAAAAGCCTGTTCAAGTTCGCGAACGAGCCGCTGATATTACTTTTCCTTCCTTGCCCAAAGCTGTTCGGAGGATCGGCGTTCACGAAGGAATACGTTTTCGGTCTGCAGGACTACCGTACCGCGACCTGGTATCAGAACTTTGTCGCCTCCATCGCCGGTTCGGTTTCATCGATCGCGATTTCGCAACCTCTTGATGTCATCAAGGTCAGTCGAGTCTCGTCTTATGCTTTTGAATGAAGACTGGGGAACTGATGCGGCGACTGAATGTTTTGTTCTTTCGTCTTTGCAACAGACCCGCATCCAGAACCAGAACTTTGAGAACAAAGTCGGCGGGATGACGATCGTGCGCGAGTTGATCAAGAACGAGGGCTTCTCGGCCTTCTTCAAGGGTTTGACACCTAAAGTGCTGTAAGTTGGAACAATTTGCCCGGAAAGGTTTTGGCCTGGGATGCTGATGCCTGCATTTTACTTTTTCCTGCTGAACGCTAGTGTCGTCGGCCCCAAGTTGGTCTTCTCCTACACGTTGGCGCAGACGCTCATCCCCATCTTCTCCAAGTACATGTAAAACGAATCTGAAGACGAGAGAGTTCCAAGTTCGCCTGCTCCGCATACACCTTCACACCACCACACTCTCGAAGGGGACGTCAAACCTTGCCCGACCCTCCAAAATCCAACCACCACATCCATCAGACTCGAGCTGCACAGACAGACGTACGACCCATCACTTCTCCTACACACCCTCACCTCTCCCCTTGTTTCATTCTGTGACATTTTTTCTCTCCCTATATAATGCGGTCAGCCCCTCTCAGTCTCTTCCTGGCCTAGATGTCGTTCTGGGTTTCTCAGCTGTACCATTATGTGTGAGTGTGTGTGTGTCGGGGGTATGTGAATTGAAGATGAAAGTAGACAAAGATATCACCCCTTTCCGTTGAACGATACAATCGCTTGTGTAGGCTACGCACATGCACGTCGGATAGAGAGGAAGAGGACACACCCGGCCAGCTCTTGACCGGGGGCGCACCGGGTCTATTCGGCATATTTAACGACCTTCGCTATTAGCAACGCCACCCTTTCCGTCTCGTTTCGCGCGTCGATCTGTTTCGCGGCGCTTCCCTCTTTTTCCTCCCACACCCACCTCCTCGTCGTCGTGATCTTTCGGACGCGAAGCGATGAGCAGCCTTCACATCGCTCATCCATACGACCTTTGTCCATCCTTGGGACTTTGGTCCATCACCTCTTCCTCGGCACACCTCATGCGCCCTTGGTCCACGTCCAGTGCAGTGGACTTTTTTCTCCTCCCTCCTCCCCTCGAGCCTCCCCTCCTCTCCGCTCTACACAAGGGCCTACGTCCGTCCCGAGCCGATCCGTCGTTTTCGGAATGTCCTTCCCTCCTAGTTTCTACCTGATGTTCTCTCTAGACCAACACGCGTGTACGCTAAAAGGGGGATTCTGTTCAAAGTCGACGGATCGGCGTTACCCCTACCTCTCGCTGCTACCCCACCTGCTCCATTCTAATTCACATGATGAGATTGCGTCACAACTTTTAACTAGAGTCAAGCGCCGCTTCAGGGCTCTCTTTGGTCCTTCTTTCGATCCCGGAATCACACCGAGCTCCTGCGTGAGAAGGTGGGGAAGGAACTTTTGGGTTCCTTCTTTTTGTGTTTCGGGGTTCGGGAAGGTACGAGAGGGGTTCTATTACGGATAGCTAACGCAGACCTGAAACACCTTTTTTTTTTTTCTTACTTTTCTTTGGGGTTGTGGGGTTTCGTTCCTGGGTGGTTTTGGCTTTACGCAATGAAGAACGAGCTTTGCCTTTGTGTTTTGACAAGAGTCGTTCGCTAATGACATTGCGCACGAAACAACGGTAAGGTGGGGATGATGCTACAACACGTGAAAAGAATGCTACTCCGTCGTCGAAGGTACGTGACCTCATCCTGCAATTCGACGTCGTGATCACCCGAATCTGTGAGAGGAAACGGGTCTTGTTCGGTCAGCCACTTGGCACCTCGCGCCAATGATCGCCGAAAAGATGCCCCCGAATGAACAACACGTACATTCTCGCCATGGAACTATAAGCGACTTGATCCCCTGACCTCAACAAATTCGCTGCGCGGACCCCAACACCCACCCCCACCCACACCCCCACCCACACAGACCCAAAAATCAAAGGATCAGTCTCATTTCCCCCCCCCCCCCCCCCGAACCTTCATCCGAGCCGAGGACCGACCCGCATCAACGTTGAGAGGAGAACTCGGTTCAGGCACGGCGAGGAGGGCCTGGACGGCGAGGCATGCGGAGGTGAGGGTCCATACGGGGGACCATTCGGTTTTCAGGACGTCGAGGCAGATCTCGCCTGTCTGAGAGTTGGGGGAGGGCGTGAGGGCGTGAGGGGGAGAAGGGCAGGTAGGGGCAGCGGTAAGCTCGATGGAGGGCGGGTCAAGGCGGAATTGGTCAAGATAGGATGCTCACTTTGAGGTGGACATTGGGGTGGAATACGGGTTCTGGGAACGAGATCGTCGGGGGGTGGGCAGGGTACGTTTCGGGGATCTTGATCGCCAGTACGAACGTGCGGTCTGAAAACGCCTACAACATGAGAGTTTGGACTGAAGCTAGCGATTGATATCCGGTGTCGGTGGTGTGCACACCTTGGTAAGCCGAATCGGGTGGCCCTTGGATCGTCGCCGTCCAATCGAGAAGAGACGAGTCGGAGCGTGGTCCAAGACTGATCAGCCCGGACGAGGCGGACTGTTGCGAGTTGGCAAAGTCGTTCAGTTCAGAGAGCAGTCGTTTGGTCGTGCGCGAGGTCATGGCTGGTGAGGCGGGGGTTGGCGGCTGAGCAAGTGACTGTAGTCGAGGCTAGTCGAGGCTCACCGGTCACCGCCGCGCTCACCGGCTCAAAGCGGGCTCAATGCTCAGAGAGGGTCCGAGCGCGAACGAGCACAACAGGCGCGACTTTATAAGACGCGCGACTGTGGCCTACTGCTGCCCACTGCTGCCTACTAGTGCCTACTGTGGCTCGCGAGTTGACGTCGTCTTCGTCGGTGGGTCGGGTCGGGGCCTGGCTTGGCTTGGTTCCTATTGTTGCTCATCCACTGCACCCGTGTCCCATCGTCGCCCGCATCTCCTGCCCGTCTGTCTCGAATCTACTCTCGGATACTACTGACTCGCGGCAAGACCCTCGCTCCCATCTTCACCCCGTCCTCAACCGTGCTCGAGCGCGTCGTCATTGCCTCCCTCTCCACCTGATCCTCCTGATCCTCCTGATCCTCCTCCGCCCTCGTCCCCACCACCATGGCCACAACCGACGCGCTCCTCTCCCTCTCCTCCCGCTCCGTCGTCGTCCACCCTCTCGTGCTCCTGTCCATCCAAGACCACCTCGCCCGCGTCGCCAAGGGCACGCACAAACGAGTCGTCGGCATCCTCCTCGGTCAGGACAAACCCGGTGCAGGCCGTATCAACGTCGCCAATTCGTTCGCCGTCCCCTTCGAAGAGGATGACAAGGATCCTAGGACCTGGTTCCTCGATCACAATTACATCGAGGCCATGAATGACATGTTCAAAAAAGTCAATGGTCAGTGCTCGGCTCGACTAGCGAGAACACCCCACGCACGCTTCCCACCTCCTGCATGATCACGGCACCGAAGACTGACCCTCCCAGTCGTGCCGACCTATACAGCAAGCGAAAAGCTGATCGGGTGGTACCACACCGGCCCCAAGTTGCGCTCGTCCGACCTCGAGATCAACCAGGTGATCAAACGCTACACCCCGAAACCGGTCATGGTCATCGTCGACGTACGACCCGACTCGGAACGAGCAGGCGGAGTCGGCATCCCGACGGATGCTTATTTTGCTGTGGAGGAGATCAAGGATGTGCGTTCGATAGTTTGGGGGTACGGGGTACCGTGTTCGGTAGTGCGTCGACTGCAGAAAGCTGATCCCGAGCAAGGCACTCCCCGCCGGCTTTCGTGCCCCTGCAGGACGGAACGGCGACGCAACAAACCTTCCTGCACGTCCCTTCCTCGATCGAAGCCGAAGAAGCCGAAGAGATAGGTGTCGAGCATCTGCTGCGAGACATCAAGAACCTCTCCGTAGGCACATTGTCCTCGCGCGTATCGGACCAACTCTCCTCTTTGAGGGGTCTCCAATCCCGTCTGAACGAAATCAAGGATTACCTCCAAGCCGTCGTGGACGGGGTCTTGCCCGTCAATCATCAGATCATCTACAACTTGCAGGATATGTTCAACTTGTTGCCGAATGTGGATGCGGCCGAGACGGCCGGACAAGGGGAAGCGGGAACGAGGAGACCTTTCACGGTCGCGACGAACGATCAATTATTGGTCATGTATCTGTCGTCGTTGATTAGGGCGGTGATTGCGTTGCATGATTTGGTGGGTCCTTTTCTTCGTTTGGGCGAGAAAGGGGACTGCAGTTGACACTGCGATGTCCATGTGTTGCTTTGCAGGTCTTGAACAAACAGGCCGCCGCGTCCGAACAAAAAGGCGATGCCAACGACGACGACACGCCCGAATTGACCGAGGAAGAGAAGAAGAAGGCTGAAGAGAAGGCCAAGCAGGATGCCAAGAGTGATTCACAAAAGGCGAGGGAATGGTTCGGTGGCGGAAAAGAGGACAAGGGGGAGGGGGATATGGAGAATCAAAAGGGGGGGAAGGGGGAGAAGGATGGGAAGGGGCTGTGAGAAAGAGTCGAGTTGAAGAAGATGTAATGAACGCATGATCTAGACTTGAAAAATGCGGATCGAGCGTGACCGACAATGGTCAAGACGACGTAATTGCTGAGGTCTTGGTACTCCGCCACTGGGTCAAGCCAGAGTACTTCCATGACGAAGGCGATGGGGCTTTCGCTTTATATCCCAGAAGACTGTGAAACCTTGGTTTATCTCGGGGTGATCGTCGATCTCAATCAGCCTCGAAAGTCCGAATCGCGAGAAGTCGGAGCGATTCGAATCGCTTCCCCTCGGCCAAGCGCGGCCCGTCCCCTTGCGCTTCCGACACTCACATCCCGACCTACCAGCACATCGCCGGACGACGATGGCCCACCTCGCTTCAACCTCACGCAATAGTCTGCTCTGCCACCGATGGGGTGTGCTCTGCTCGAACGTACCACGACGTCTGGTCATTCGATCGGTAGCTCCCGTACGCGCTTGGTCATCAGCCTCGACTTCATCCTCGCCATCGCCACTCCCTCGCTTCTCTCTTCCCAAAGCCCAAGCCCCCTCGACGCGTACTCTGACAACACTTCGTTGTCGATGCAACCCCCATTCATCTCTGCGACGTGCTCCACCCAGGGGCCGAAGGACGTTGATCATCCAAGCCCAAGCACCGACTTTGCCGCCCGAGGACTTTGAACCTGTTGAGGAGGGGGACGATACGATCAATCTGACGGATCAGGCTATACAGGTGGGTTTCTGATGCTTGATTTGGGTGTGGTTTGGGTCGGGTAGGGGCGAGAGTAGGGGTTCTGTTTGAGGAGCGATGAGCGAGGGAGGGAGGGGCACGTGATCTTGCCAGTTCGAGCAAGCGTGACCCTTACCGACGACGGAACCCATCGCAACCACCTAGGGCGACACCACGTACTGACGCTTGTCTACTTACGCATCGCACAGCAAATCACGCGAGCGCAAACGCAAGCGTCGAACCCACAACTCGCCTTGCGCGTCGCCGTCGAATCGGGCGGGTGTCATGGGTATCAGTACAAGATGCAGGTCACTGACCAGGTGCAGGAGGATGATTAGTCCGTTTTTCAGCTGGCCATGTGTCATCGGATCCCGCACAGGAGAAGACTGAGCTGAATCCTCCCTCCTTTGCCCCCACCTCGCAGCCTGTTCCAACCCCCCTCCTCCGCGGCCCGCCTCGTCATCGACTCGGCGTCGCTCCCCCTCATCTCGGGTTCCACGATCGATTACGCGACCGAGTTGATTGGAAGCTCGTTCAGGGTCCAAGGGAATCCCCATGCGAGTGATAAGGGCGGGTGTGGGTGTGGGGTCAGTTGGGAATTGAAGGAGTAGTAGTAGAGGGAGTGGAGACGAAGGGGGGGGGGGGGGTTGGATGTTGTAATCGCATGGATGATTTTGGTTTTTCTTGACCTTGATATGCGAGCAGCCTGTCCTGTTGGAAGTGATGTGAAACGTTTTTCCGGCTCAAGAACGACCTCCGCCGATGAGCCCCACCCTGGATATATGCACTTTTCTTTGGGGGTCCCTGACTGGTCCCTGTCGCGCTGCTTCGCAACCGGACGACCCGCTCGACGCTCGAAGCGTGACCTCCGCTTCCCCTTGCGCTCTCTCCACACCTGCACCATGGCGAACCCCCGCCAGCGCCGTAAAGCGCGTTCGGGGACCAACAAAGTCAGCAACAGTAAGAAGAGCGTCAAGAACAAGCACAAGGTGATCGTGAAAGGGCCGCAGGTGTTGGTCGAGAATTGGGACAAGACGTGAGTTGTGATTCGATTCAAGGCCAGGGGGTGGAGGTTTGGGGTTGGGGTCAGGGGTGATTGAGATTGCTGATACTTTTTTGGTGTGTTTTGGTGTACGGTCCGGGGTTGGGCTTTGGAGGTACATAGAAAGACGGTGCGACAAAAGTGAGTCATCTCAAACTTCGTTCTCCCTCCATCTCGGTCGAGGAGCAGAGGCAGAACGATCCAACATCCTTTTCCTATTCCGCAATCCTCTTCCAAAGAGTTATTAAACAAGTCACTGATCCCAACGTGCTCACATCGACAACTGCCCCCTTAAGCTACCGAGCCCTCGGCCTCCTACCCGCCCTGAACCCTCGTCAAGCCGGTGGATTGGAACCGCTCGAATCTACCCCCTTCGCCTTGGATCGCATGACCGAAGCGACGATGCAAGATTTGGAAACCTACGACCCCGAACAGGATGGTGAATCCGATGAGGGGGAGGAGGGGGAAGAGGGAGAGGGGCAGGGGATCGTAGAGAAGAAGGAGAAGGCTTTGGTACCTGGGTTGGGGAGGATCGAAAGGGATCCTGTGACGGGCAAGGCGCTGAGGATCGTTTTACCGGGTGTGAAAGGGGGCCCCGAGATCGTACAAGAGGTCAAAGCTGTGGACCGGTCAATGCACGATCAAGAGGATGAAGACGAGGACGAGGACGAGGACGAGGACGATGTGGAGGATGGGAAGAAGACGCCTTGGGGCGAACCGATGAAGAATTGGGACGAGGATGAGTGGATGGGCATCGAGGAGGAACAAGAGGCCGAGATGATGAACGAGGGTAAACAGGGGATACCGATTGGCAAAGGCGCAAAGAGAAAAGGACCCGTCGAGCCAAAGACCGAAGTCGTAAAAAGTCAGTTCCGATCGCCAAAGTGGTGGGGAGTTACCCCAGAGTGAGTGGACACTGACACATCTGGTTCAATTCATTCGCGATGCAGCCCTGGAAGCTTTGGCAGCTACCGAAACCAAGGTCGTTCGACATACGTCCGAGTTCGAATACGATTGGCTCGTCGCGTTGGTCAAAAAGTACGACGACGATGTCGACCGCATGACCCGCGATCGCAAGGCGAACGTGTGGCAGAACACGAAGGGGGAGATCATGAGGGCGTGAGTTGAACTTTTTCTTCTTGGTTTTTTATGGCTGGTTCTCGAGATACTGATTGTGAGGGTCGGCCGCTTCTGCATTTGATCCTGATTCTTGCAGGGTCAGGAAGGCCGGTGGATTCGAGACACTGAGACGGTTGGCTCAGGACGAGGAGTAGATTATCACGATGCTCGGCGTCTTTCTATGGGAGACCGGGTGGGTCATATTTTCTTGTAATATCACTCGCATTCATGCATGGAATTTCCTACGCCAGAGACAGCTCGGACTAGGTCCTCGTCATCACGATGCGCGGTCCGAGGAACGAGGAACGACGGGGACGGGGGATCAGTCTTTTCGGAATCCAGCGAAAATGCTACAAAAAATAACCTTGAATCAAAGGCTGTTCAAGCGGACTTTTCTGTCTCGTGGAAGAGACGAAATCACCGCCGTCATCTGGCCCGATATTCGCGCTGCCGGGCGGATCGCTTTAGCCGGAGATGGGCAACACGTTCCTGGAGTGTGCACGGGCAGTGCCCTCCGTCCACTTGTGCTCCGCTCTGATCCTCAACGCGGAGGTCGAGGTCGTTGTCGGTCGAGGTCGAGAGCGTCTGAGCAACCCCCCATCAGCTGCAAACCCAACAACCACAACAAACGAAGGAACGAGGCTCGGACGTCGATCATCGTACGAGAATGTAAGTCGTCTCTTTCACACATGGCGACGGGAACTCGGTCGTGGTCGGTCGAGGTCCTCCCTCGCACGCTGGACCAGAGCATATTGTCGATCTGAGAGATGAGAGTTGGTGTAGAGGGGCTGGGTATGAGCTGGGCGGCAGGTTGGGGAGCTGGAAGGTGCTCTCATGCGCATGTATTGTCCCTCGACGGGCGGGCGGGCCAGGCCTCGAGGACGGGCGGCCTGCGGCCTGCACGCTGGGTTCGTCGGTGGGCGATCGTCGCACCCGAGCTTCGACGAGCGGCGGTCTGGGCACGGAATGGTCGGGGGACGGGCGAGCGTGGGAGTCGCTACGGGCAAGGATTGCAACACTCGGTCCCATATCATTCATGGGACTGGATTGTCAATCCGATCGGGGGCTTTGCTTGACACGCACAGTACCTCATCTGGTGTATTGGACGTGGAAACCGGCGCGGTGCAGGGGCGTCACTTGGGCCCTCGTCGCGAAGTGGACCGCGCGGCGCGCTGCCTCGTGGGGCCGCTCCACCTCAGCTCCTCGCACAGGGCTCGCTCGCCCTTCCTTATAGCGTTGTGCGCAGCAGCAGCAGCAGCAGCAGCAGCAGCAGCAGCAGCAGCACTCGCAGTCCGTCTTCCTCCCTTTCCCCTTCTCATGCGCCGGCTTTCTCAGTCGCTGAAGCGCTGTGCCTCTGAACCTACCTACCCACCTCCTTCGTCATGGACAGTCGTCGGCGCGAGCTCGAGACTCGATCCCACTTTGGCGCGGCGGCAGCACACCACAGCCTTCACTTGATGTCGACGCCTTTGTTCGCCCCCGCACCCAACTCGACGTTCCTACCCCACTACGCGACGACCCAACTCGACCGTCACGACCCCGACTCGCAACCGCATACCCTCGAGCCGATTTCCCCTTCCCCCTCACCGTCGTCGGCCTCGTCGAGCTCCCCACCTTCCTCCGCTTTCACCTCCTCGTCGTCGCCCTTGTTCGGTACCTCGAGTTCGGAAGGCCACACGGGTACGCACTCCTCGGGTTCGGGTCGACAGCTCAGCAAAGGTCGTGAATTTGTCCCCCAAGAGCGACATCCTCGCGACGTCTCGTTCGACCGGGTCAGCGCCAGCAGCAGCCACAGCAGCAGCAGCTTCATCAGCAGCAGCCACGACAGGGCCACCGCAGATCCCAGCTCGCGAGGCACCCCTGTCGACGGCGGCGGCGAAAGCCCCGCGACCTACGCCCCGCCTCGTGCTTCCTCCATGAGCGTCGACGTACCGACGACATCACGATCGTCGTCGTCGTCGCTTCACGCCCCGTCGCAGAACCACCACCAGCCCCCGCATCATGACGACTCGGCACCTTTGGCTCTAGCCGGCTTGTCCGTACAAGAGACGGAACCGCGCACGTCATCCTCCTCGACCGCAACGGCGAAACAACTTGCGCCCATCCCTGGTGCCGCGGGTTCGAGTGCGAGCTGGACCTCTTCTGCCGCACCCTCGACCTCTGCCGCGCCGCCGCCCAAGACGAGAAGAGCATCGACGCTGTCCTCGGGGAGTTCGTCCGCCCACTTGACCTGGAACGACGATGCCGTTCCGAGTGCGACATCCTCCTCGTCATCCAAGGCGTCACGGGATCCGACTCGGCCTGCGAGGCGGAAAGCGGCGAGGATGGGCAGCTTCGAGACCGGTGTTTCTGCTTCAGGTGGGGGGCAAGGATATCAGAGTGGAGGACACGCGGAGAACGATGACGAGTCCGCGATCGATGACGACGGAGACGCCGCCGACACCGAAGCGGATCCGGTCGGTGATGATCAACGGATGCACATCGAGGACTCGGATCAGCGCAACTCCTTCTCTGCCCCGACCGCACCACCGATATCCAACGTCGATGGCGATCAGACCATGGCATCCGATGTTCCGCCCGCAGTCGAGCCCCATCGGCATGTCGACATCGTCAACTACCCTTCGGCGGATCTGCTTCGACTGCTCGCATCGCTGCTTGACCAGATCGCCCGGGCCAACGACGCGCTGCATCAGCGCAATGCATCGGCTTCGGCGGCGTCTTCGCAGTCGAGTTCGGGGCGGAATACACCAGGTGGTGCACGCAGGAATGGGAACGAGGACGATGCCGAAACGTTGCAAGCTTTCCAAGCGGGTCGGTTCGATGCGGCCCCGCTCAACTCGCCTGTCACGCCGAGGTATCGACGTGGTGTACCTGAGGACGAGGATGACGACGACGACTCCTCTGCTGGCCCGTCGGGTGCTGCGACACCGGCAGAAGAGATGCCCGTCACCCCTGGCGTCGATCTCTTGCGAGAAGTTGGGGCAGGTGGGGGCGTCGAGGGTTTTATGCCTAGCCTGGGAGGCACGCATGCGCCCATTCCTCTGTCGCGGAGGAGAGGGAGCAGTTTCCTCAAGAAGCAATACGAGGACCCAAGGGCCAACATTCGGTCCAGCTCGAACGCCGGCGCGCCGTCGTCGACAGCACCGAGTCAGGGGACGAGCCGAACCGCTTCGGCCTCATCGTCTTCAGTACCAGTGAAGCCACCGAGTCCAAAACCCGCCGAGCCGCCGAGTACGTCGCTCCTCACGGCTTCGTCGAACGCACTCTCGTCACCTTCCGCGACGCTCTGCTTCCACGCACGGAACATTCCCGCCATTTCGATCGAGGCGTACCTGTTGCGCATCCTCAAGTACTGTCCGACGACGAACGAGGTCTTCTTATCCTTGCTCGTCTACTTTGATCGTATGGCAAGAGTCGGGTTGGAAGCCCAACGCTTAGGCTTACAGCCTGGTCCAGCGGGACCGGGGGCGTCGATCGGCGGTCGAGGGGGACCTGCACCACCCGAGTCGAGACCTTTCGCAATCGACAGCTTCAACGTGCATCGGTTGGTCATTGCCGGTGTGACGGTCGCGTCCAAGTTTTTCAGCGATGTGTTTTATACGAATTCGCGATATGCAAAGGTGCGTCGGACGGAAATAACCGAGTCAGACGTCTGAACTATCCACTGATCTGTGTTTGCCCGCTCCAATGCACAGGTTGGCGGACTACCCCTGCAAGAACTGAATCAACTCGAGCTACAATTCTTGCTCCTCAACGACTTTCGCCTCGTCATTCCTGTCGACGAACTGCAACGTTACGCCGATCAGCTCGTCCTCTTTTGGGTCGGGAGGAACGGCAGTGCACCATCTGCTGCGACACCGGCCTTGGTGCCTTCGCCTGCTCCTCCTTTGGCTACGCCATCGCGACCCGAGGTTCAGCAAGCCGGACCGGCGCCTTCCCCGACAGCGAGTCGGGCGCCTGCGTCCACTGAAGGTAACGCAGCGTTCGTACCACCTGGTCGACCCACGCCGACGCATCGCAGCTACTCTGGGATGCACCAGCAATTGACCTCGCACGCCGTCGCTTCCGTCAACAGCGGTAGTGCCGGCGGAGCGATTGGAACGACGAGCGAGTCGACACCACGGTCAATGCCGATCCATCATTGGTCCCAACAGACACATCCACCGCAAGCGACACGAACCTCGAGTTACTCAAGTTCGACGCCGAACCCTCGACCCGGTTCAATTCGGAGTCAACCGAGTAGTTCGGGTACGAGCGTCGCTTCGACCATCACGCCCGGGACTCCCTCGACCGAACGCCAGAGCTCCGAAGGTGGTGATTTCGATTCGAACGATCAAGTGGGCGGGGTCGAGTCGTCGAGTAGTGATGACGAGGTATCGAGACGGCATCGCGAACAGATGTATGAGCATCATTATCGGCATTCGGATGAGGAGGGGGACGAGGACGATGAGGGAAATCACGAGGACGATGAGGGAAATCACGAGGACGATGAAGGAGGGGATCAAGCGACCGATGCGGAGGGGGAGAAAGCGGTGGCTGGGGGTGGGAGTGGTCTGAGGAAGAAGAAGAAAGGGTCCAAGAAGGTGCGAGGACCTTGGAGGACGTTCGTACCGGGGTTCTCGAACAGGGGCCTGGGTGTCGACAGTGATGACGATGATAAGAGTGTCGTAGGCGCTTCGGATAAGGGGGAAGGCGATGATGATAGGATGCAAGAATGATCCCGGATTAGCTCGTTCACTCATACCTCCTACAAGGGCGACGCGCTGGCCTTTTTTGTATCTGTGCTGCAGTGCTGCTACGGACGCCCCCGTTTTATATGCGCATGTGCAGGTTTTGCGTCTGGATGTGTAACCTCTTTTTTTCCGTAGATAGAGATCAAAGTGCAAAGGAACTCGGTGCGATCAATGATGGCAAGAGAGGAGATTGCAGCATTTCGATCGGTGTGAAGATCGCCGAGACGGCTGGGACGCTCGGACCTTCTTCGCAGACTGAGAGACTTTGAGACAGAATCCTTCGCAGGCGCGGATGGGGCGATCCCATCCTCCCTCCTCGCTTCATCCACCGTATGCCCACCTCACTCAGCCCAATCCTCACCATCATGTCAGTACAGGGTACTCGGGCACCGCGTTACTCATAACTTTGTACTTACTCCGACATTTGTCCTCCAACAGGGCGCCCCTGGCGACAAGCTCGTCCACGACGACCTCGACTCCCCTCGTCGCCTCGAGCCGTGTACTGCACTTCAAGACCCATTCCCACTTCCGCCACCGCCTGATCCTCTCCCTCCTCTCCCGTCGACCGATCCGCATCGACTCGGTCCGTTCCTCCCTCTCCTCGCCAGGTCTCCGTCCATACGAAGTCTCCTTCCTTCGCCTGATCGAGAAAATCACCCAAGGTTCTCGCGTCGAAATCTCCTACACCGGTACATCGATCCTCTTCCACCCGGGGACACTATCCGGAGGATCCTTCACGCACCAATGTGCTATGGAACGTTCGATCGGATGGTATTTGGAACCGTTATTGGCGATTGCTCCTTTTGGGAAGAGCGAGTTGAGGTTGGATTTGAAGGGCACGACGACGGATGGGAGGGATGCGAGTGTTGATACGGTCAGGGTTAGTGGGTTGCCACATTTGACTATGTTTATGGAGGATCAAGAGGTCGAATTGAGGGTAGGTCCATCGCAGTATCTATTAATCAGCCCGAGCCCGGAGGACCGCGAAGATTTGCTTTCTTGGGCTCGGAGAGAGCAGGGCAAGCGAATACTAACCCGAGCTCGTCCTTGCTTCCGATTTCTGTTAACAAGATTCTGAAACGAGGTCATCCGCCCCTTGGAGGTGGTCAAGTCATCTTCGCTTGCCCTATCGTCCGGTCCATTAAGAGCGGATTCGACTTCACGAGCGTCGGGAGGATCAACAAGATTCGAGGCATCGCGTGAGTTGTGTTGACTACATATTACAATGACTTGGCATCGACATTTATTGACGGGAACGAAGTCACTCATACCAGGCACTCTGTCCGAGTCTCGCCTCAACTCGCGAATCGACTTGTAGCTTCGGCTCGATCCGTACTTAATCGGTACATCCCCGACGTCTACATTCATACCGATGTCTACCGTGGAGAGGATAGCGGAAAGTGAGTGGATATTTAAATTCATCTTTCGAGGAGAAAAGGCGCCCGAACTCACTCTTCTCGTATCCTTCCTCGTTCACCTCAGGTCCCCCGGTTACGCCCTCACGCTCGTCGCCTCCTCGACATCCCAAGTGATCCACTCGACTGAAGCGAGCTCGTGCCCACCCCTTCGAAAGCCTGAGAATTGGGCGCCTCCCTCCCCTGAGGAACTTGGCGTTCAGGCCGCGCAAGAACTGCTTGAGGAGATCCGAAGAGGGGGCTGCGTCGATCGAGGATGGGAATGGCTGGTCACGTTGATGTTGGTCCTGGGGGGTGAAGATGTTGGGAAGTGTACGATCGCTGGACCATTTGATGCGTTCTTGTAAGTGGGGGATCTTCGATTGGGTGTTACGCTCGTGGTTCAGATCACGTATCTGATCCCCTTCGCTCTTCGGACTTTCCGATTCTCAGCATCGAGCACCTCCGGGACCTCAAAGCCTTCTTCGGCACGACGTTCAAGATCAAGCCCGTTGCGACTAACATACCAGAAGACGAGGGTGCTATTGAGGATGAGGATGAAGATGGCTCGATGGACGTCGATAGGGTCGCCAAGACGAATAGGAGAGCAGCACCGGCGGACCAGTACACGCTCAGTTGCGTCGGAACGGGGTACACCAACACCGCCAGGAAGACGTAAGTTTCTTGTTGTGGGTGTGATGACGTCATCTTTGAATGCTTTGCTGATGTTTTCACGTCGATCTGCGTCGCCGACAGTGGCTGAAACTTTTGCAGCCCGGTGCGTGCGACCAACGACTTCATGTGCCTCTCCATCTCGGCAGCTCTCGACTTGAATTGCTGCTCTATAGGTTGTGGCACCCATGTTGTAATTAGCATCCTTTTGTTTCACCGTCTGCGCTCCACCTAGTTCACGCAGATGCTGAATGGTGCTAACGTGATACTGACTCGGGGGGGATCGTGCACGGTTCGCTCCTTGCCCCGCCCCCCGCGCTCGAAGCGCATCTCTCACCTCTCTCTCTCATCCTCATCCTTACCACTCCATGCATTGTGTGGCGACCTAGTCACCACACCTACAAATCCAATTGTTTCTTCCTCTCTGCTTCTTACTTCACGACCTCATATCACGTCTGCATAGCATCGGCACCTCTATTCACTGCTTAGTTTCACCCGCTTCCCTTCTTTATCTCGACCACTTGCCGACTTACAAAGAGCCGTCGAGTCACCCCACCTTACCAACGGCTTCCAATCGCCTCGCAAACCATCGCACTGTTTCGACTCGGATTCGTGAACGCGCAAGTAGAGGAGGGGACGATCATGTCGTCGAGTAGTACCAAAGGTGAAGACGGCGATGGTCGTAAAGCGAGCAATGCGGGGGTTAGACTTTCGGCGCTTGACAACGAGGAGCCAACTCCTCACACGCCCCAGCCCCAAGCTCAGCCTCAGTCGCGCCGTCCGCGCAACGTCGCACCGCCGGCCCATAGGACGAGCGCATCCACTTCAACGACGAGCACTACCACGACCACGACCACGACCACTGCTTCTTCTCAATCTCGCCAAACGCATTATCGCTCTCTGTCCTTACCTGAACGTTACTGCTCGCCGACCAGCTCCAACTCCCTCGCATCGGATTCACCCCTGGCAACTCTCATCGCAAAGTCACCTTCGCCGCTTCAGCTCGACGTGGCTTCGTACGACCGACCTTCGAATACGACGACGCCCCACTTGCGCTCGTCGAATCCCGGTCGCACACCTTTCCAGTTCCAGCAATCCCACGACGACACGTACGAATCGGCTCAGAGCCCCGTAGATGCACTGGCTGGTAGGATGACGCCGTTCCATTTCTTCCGAGAGACCGGTAGCGACGACGATCGCCCCTCCACCTCGCGCGCATCGATGCCCGCCTCTCTCTCTCGCGCCTGGACCTCGCAGGCCGACCTCAATAGCCAGGCGGTTGCCACTGGTCGCTCAAATGGTACCACCTTCGGAGAAGCGTCTTCGTCAGGGTCAACGTCCATCTTAGGTCACAACATCTGGACCGACCCACCTCCTACCCGAGCGCCGAGTCGTCAAGACTCGATTATGAGCCTGCGTGTCCACTCGGATTCCCAGCTCGAGTATCTTCGTCAATGGCAGGACCCTCCCCAGCCACCCTCTCAAGATGATGTCGCCGATATTGGGAGCCAGGGCATAGGTCTCGAATGGGCTCCGACGTCGACCATGTCAATGCTCGAATTGACGAATCGGGTCGGGATGCTCTCGGATATGTCCATGTCGCTGCGCGATCGGGTTCTCGCACTCGAGCGCGACAGGATGAGGAAGTCGCAAGAGCTCGATCAGCTTCGGGGGTTCGTACAGAATGCTTTGATGAACCAGCACCAGCATCAACGACCTCAGTACCCGTCCCATGCTGTGATCGACGCACCCCACCAACGTCCGGTCCTGACCCCTCTTCGTCCACCTTCGGCCTCGGGCTGGAACGGTGGAGGTCGTACCTACGGCAGCGGTGGCCAAGTCGAATCAAGCCTGCAAGCATATGCTTCTTTCCATACTCCCCACCATAGCCGTCACCACACCCCGTCTTCTTCGATTGGTAGCTTTCTTGATTCGATCGGAAGTCACACTACCGAAGACGCCGCCACCTGCAGCACCGCTGGATCCTTGTCGTACTATGGATCGGCATCGTCGTCTGTTGCTCATTCGCCTGTCGTCTCGCAAGGTCCTTCGATCGCAAAACTTGCCGAGTACCGCTTCGCGTCCAGTCCTGGCGATGGTGGAGGCTTCAATGGTGCGACCGGCGGCGAGGGTGGTCGAGGACCGTTCCGATTCGGCGCAGGTGCTTTGCCCGCGCCAGGTGAGACTCTCCGAGGTGGACCGACGAGCCAAGACCTCTCGACCTCCTCTTCCAACTCGGTCGTACCACCTCTGTGGACCGAGAAGCCGAGTGGACATCGGCGGTCGCGCGGGAGTGAGCCGGGACCGATCTACCATACTGGTGGGCAAGGTCATCAAGGTCGCGACAGGGATCGTGATCGTGGTGGCTCCATGTCGGCGATCTCTCCGCTATCGGCTCAACCTCAGTGGATCACCAGGCAGACGGTGAGTGGTGAAATGCAGAGTTCAAACTGGGGAACGAGCCCTGGACTGATCTCGTTAGTAGGACTCTTCAGTCGTTCGAGCACATTAACTACCGAGCGCTCCTCGAGAATGAGACCGACATTGATGATGAGGTTGGTACAACAATTGTGTTGTAGGAAAAGGCCTAGAATCTGACGCATGGGCTGATATGAGGCTGAATCTATCTCTTCAGGCTTTCGTTCGACGCGTCATGAACCAGAACGATCAGCAGTGCTCCCTGTTCCTTCAGCAACGCGTGCGCAGCACCTCGTCCGACCTGAGGCGTCGATCGTTGTTCAATGCCGTCTTGAAGCACTTGCTACCCCTAGCGGTGTCCAAGTTCGGTAGGTTTCAAATTATTTCAAATATCAGCTTCAAATCCAACAATTGACATCGTCAACTATGGCACTGAATCCCATCCGTGATAGGCAATTTCCTCGTCTCGCGATGCCTCGAGTACGGTGGCAACGAACTCGCTTCAATGTTCACGCAGAGGCTCACGGGAAGGTTCCTCGAGCTTACACTCGATCATGCGGGTTGTCATGTCGTCCAAAGGCTGCTGGATTATGGCGGTCAAGTGACCAAGGTATGCTCCTCATGTGCTGCCACAGTGCCTAGCCAGCCCTCATTGAACCTCTCTCTGTGCTTGTGCCCAGACCCTCGTGGTAAAAGAGTGAGTACATCGGTTGGTATACGAATTCGAACACCGATATTTGTTGGTTGCTGTTTATTTCTCGCAGAATGATGGACCAGCCCTTGACCCTGACGTCGAAGAATGCATGTCACTGCTGGAACCGGCTACTCTCAACCGTGAACCCGCCCGAATTTTACGAAGGACTCGCGCGCACGGGTCGCGGTCTTTGGGCCGAGGTGCGTAAATGACCTATGTACAGAAACCAAAAAGAAAAAGAACCAGCAATCACTGACGTGGGTAACCACGCTACTCAGATTACGAAAGAGGAAGGAGGCTCGCTCGTTTGCCAGCACACTCTCGAGGATTGGCCTGCGGCTCACACATCGGTCATCGCGAGGGAACTGTACGACAGCATGGAGCAGGTCGCGAAGTCGTCGTGCGGCAGTTTCGTTCTTTCCACCTTGCTCGATCGCAACGCGCTTCCCTTCCGTGCCAAGTTGATGGACATCGCCCCTCGTCTCGCACTCGATTCGTTTGGAGCCAAGGCTCTCGAAAAGGCGATCCGCACGGGCAAAATCCAGGCTCACGCAGTGGCAACCTTTGTTGAGGTGATCTGCCGATCACAAGATGGGTAATTTCACTCTTTCGTCCAGGTATCGGCGATGAATCCATAGACTGAGAAGGGGCATGATTTCACAGCCACCCTCCTGCCCTCGTCGACGTCGCTTCTCATGCGAACGGCGCCCAACTCATCAATGTTCTCTTGACTGGCGGCAACTCGGCTTCTTATGACAGTCGCATGATAATTGCACGCACCGTGTCGCAGCATGCGGTAAGTAAGTCTCAAACGTGGATGGGGCTGAAATGTCAGCTAACCTCTCGGTCCTCATCGTGCAGTCGGTCCTGAAGCATGCACCTCACGGCCAACGCGTGTGGAACATCTGCCAGGCCATGACCGTTCGAACTTGATTCATTCCCATTTATTTCATCACCCACTACCCCATTACCTACTGCCCGCCAGCCAATTTTCTAGACTCGTCTTGCCAATTCGTCCCTAGGGGTTCTCGTCCAGAAGTTATTTTCGCTTGCTTTCAATATTCGGGTTCACTCCCTGGTTCCTTCCCACGCTTGTTCCTCGTTATCGTGCTGTCTTCATCTTAAGATGGTTCTACCGTGTGGTTCAGTATCCCTAACCTCGTTGTATTGTATGCCCTGACAGCGACATTCGCTAGGACATGGGTGACTGTTCGATGTCGTGGGGCCGACTCCTTTTCAAACGTCGACATTTCCGGGCTTCCAGAGCCGGAGTGATGCCGTGGCGCGCATATTTCATTTGTTACCCATGTGCAACATCTGCTAACGCTTGTCAGAGGCCTCCAGCTACGATGCATGGCGAAATCCAGTGCTCGGGAGTTAGAGCGTTAGCTTCTCGCCGAAAGGCCAGACTGAATGCAGAGCGAGCAAACACCCGACAGACTGGTCACGTGCCGAGAATCCACAGTTTGGCGTGGCTGTGAATGACGTAATGTGGACGGCCAGCGCGGCTAACAGCGCTGACAATAGCCCACGAGGCGGCGGGGTCACAGCGTCTGCACTATTAAGTGGAAACTTACCAACTCTTATCAAGACATGCGGTACTTTTCATGTCTGCCTGAGGTGTCAGTTTTGGAAGCGCCGACGGTGCCCAGCAGCCCAAGAGCCGGCCGGGGCCTGCCGGGGCTCCGGACTCCAAGAGAGGGATCAAAAAGCTCCTCGGAGACGCGGCGGTTAGTCGTCACGACGTCACCTGCCACCTGCCTTTGCGTCGATCAACCCTGTGTTCCCACGTCGATTTGGACCTTAGTTCACGTCCACCCACTTGTGTGTGTGCTTCACCCACGACCCCCGACCTCGTCCTCGTCCCACCACGCTTTGCGCCCGCGGCCCGAGGTTCAATCAGCGCCTCAAAGCCTGGACCTTTCGTTCTCGCGTCGAATCGTTATCCGTCAATTTACGAGTCGCGATTCCTTTTCTTCACGCGTCAATCGAACGAAGATGGACAACAACAACGACAACACCAACAACGCCAGCCCTGCTGCTATACCACCATTTCGCCCTGACCCTCCCGATCCTCCTGGCCAAGCCCCCGCCACCACCACCAAATCATACTCCGCCGCGGTCGGCGCCCGCTCCGCTGCGAAGCACGGCAACGCCACCGCCAACACCTCGACTGCCGTCGCCGCCCATCCCCTGATGCACAACATCGAGATGTGTCATCATCAACACCCCACCCTCAACCTGGGTCGAGCAAGTCCTCCTCGCGCTCGACAAACACTACCCTGCCCTTACCGGCGCAATGCCATGCGTCATCAAGGGTCAGCGCGGCCTCCGCTTTCCCAAGGCCGCCGATCTCGACACCCTGGTTGCCAACGGCCTTACTGTTGGCAAGACTCTGTGCAAAGTCGAGAAGCTGTACAGCTCTACTAAAGGAGGTGTTGTACAATGCACCCTTACGGGCTTTTTCTCCGACCCCGAGGGCCTCCGCCTATTCGATCAGCAGATCGCTGCCTATGGCACGGTCCTCCGCCGTCGCATCCAATACATTGGAAAGACGAAACACATCTCTGGGATGTACGACTTTATCCTTGCCCTTAAGGATGTAGATGTGTTGCCCCCTGCCTCACTTTCTATTGCTCGTGACGGTGTCACTGAGCGAATCCCACTGAGGATCACCGGTGGCATGCGCCACTGCGTCTTCTGCCGTTCCGCGGCTCACGTCCGTAAGGATTGCCCCGTCGCCCCGGCGTGCAAGTCCTGCGCGAGCACCTCGCACGCCACCCAGCACTGCCCGGGCCGTCACGCGTCGCGTTGAGCCCCCAGGGTCGCCCCACGTCACGTGCCCCGCAAACCGCCACCGTTACCACCGCCGCCCCGGCCGCCGGGTCCAAGTCGATCCCCGCGGCCTCCGCCCCCGACCGCACGACCAAGAAACGTCGAGTGGAACAGGATCTGGCTGCCCAGACTGAAGATCTGTCCAACAGGGCTCAGCCCGAATCTCTGTCGAAGACTGCCCGCCCCGAGTTCTCCTTCAATTTCCCTTCCAATACTGCCCCCCAGCCTGCCTCCAACCAGGGAACTGCCTCTTCCCTCGTTGAAAAATCCTCCGAGTCCCCCAGCTCAAAGACCACCTCTCCATCCCCAAGCCCTCCTCCGGCCACGCCAAAGTCGATCATAACTCGATCCAAGTCGATTGCCGCCCTCTCCACGCCCGCCACTCGTGAAGCCCCTCCCACTGCGCCTGCCCTCGAAGCCTCCGAGCCGACTCCCGAGCCCTCTTCGCCCACGCCGTTGCCCTCAGCCGCGCCCAAAGCCCGACTCGATGACGCCGACGCCGACGACGAGGCCGACGACGAAGCCGAAGACCAAGAAGCACCTCCCAAGGACGTGGAATACGCTATGGACCAAGATGATGAGCACAACTAAGATCCCAAACGTGTCTTTTGTTGCTGCCAACATGCAGTCAATCAATGAAGACCGTAAGCGTGCCTCTCTTTTCTCCAATCTCCGCTCCCATAACGCCGACGTCTTTCTCCTGAGCGAAACTGGCCGACCTTCCCCCGAAAGGGTGGCCCAGTGGACTCAGGAGTGCCAAGACTTAAAGCTCTCCGCTCTCTTCACTCCCTTCAACAACACTGCCGTACTCTGGAAGAACGACTCCGTGGTCATTACTATTGATCCCGAGTCGCCTCCCAACACTCTTCGTGCCTCTTTTTCTTTCCCGGACCGAGTCACCGACGCCACCTTTCGTGTGGGTGATTCAAAGGTCCGGGTTGTAGTAGTATACGCGCCTTCCTCCGACAAGCCAGACAAAAAGCGCTTCCTCTCACATCTCAGCACCGCCCTCCGACAAGTCGTACGTGACGAACCCTCGCCGCCTGCGCTCCTAGTCGGGGGCGACTGAAATTGTGTTGAGTCCCAACCCCTCGATTCGGAGAACCAAAACGGAACGAATTATGGGGGTCAGGAGATGCGCGACCTTGCCACGGCCAACAATCTTTTCGACGCCTATCGGCTCCACCATCCCAAAGGACGAGCCACGACGAATCGCTCAGCGCCCGGCATGTGCCGTCGCCTTGACCGCATCTATGTCTCGCCTGATTGGGTCGACCTCTTCCATGATCACAATATTTGGGCTCCTGTCCTCAAATCGACGCACTCAATGGTTGTGGCACGGTTCCAAGTGCCGGGCGCAATCGACATCGGTCCGGGCAAATTCAAGCTGGGTTTGCACGTGATCGAGGGCGACGCGACCTGCGAGTACCTCACGTCCATTGTCCGCACCCTTTACAACGAAGCCCTCCTCCAGACGCCCAACGATCCACCAGCAGCTTGGACGTCCACCAAACACCGCCTGCTGCCCGAGCTGCAGGCTCTGGCCCGGACGTTCGCTCGGTTCCGACGTGGAGGGTCGGAGCAAGAGAGGGCGGATCACTCGCGCTACGGCGCGGCCCTGCGGTCCCGCCTCGACCCATCTCTACCCATCTCTGGCGGGTCCCTCTTCCGTCTTCATCCGCCTGCGCAAAGTGCGAGCATCCGACCTGATCCCTTCGCTCACGGTCAACGATGTTGTTCATTCCGACCCTGATTCGATGCTTGGAGCGGCCAGCGACTACTTCGAGCGGGTCTATGAGGACCGCCCCATCGATGACGCGGCCCTGAAGGCGATCATCGACGGCCTCGCTTCAACTCGCCTCTCCCCCGCGGACTCACTCAAGCTCGAGGAAGCGTACCCGTTGGAGGAGATGACAAAGGCTCAAGAGGCGTGTAAGTCGAACTCTTCGCCAGGGCCTGACGGCCTCCCGGTTGAGTTCTATCGCGCTACGTGGCCGGCCACTGGCCCGATTCTTCGAGACGTCATCAACTCGATCCCCACCGAGGCCCGTCAGCCTGGACCTCTTCCCCGCAACACCGCCCACATCCATCTCATCCACAAACGCGGCGAGAGGGATCAGCTCTCGAACAAACGCCCCATATCGCTCATCAATGCGGACGAGCGCATCATCTCCCAAGCCCACAACCAGCGCCTCGCTCCCTTGCTCGAGTCCCTGATCGGCCCAACCCAACGTGGCTTTGTTCCGAACCGTTGGATCGGCACGAACATCGCTGAGGTCCAGTGTCTCATGGACCCTGGACTTCCGGGCTCACCACCCGTGTCCGGCATGCTAGCGGTGATGGACTTTGAAAAGGCTTACGATCGTCTTTCCCACACGTACCTTGATGCAGTCCTCTCCGCCGTTGGCCTCGGCCCCAAAGCCCGCCAATGGTACCGAGCGACCTACACCAACCAATTCGCCTCGATCTTCCTCAACGGTTGGCTCTCTGCCGCTTTCGACATCCTGGCGGGCGTTCGGCAAGGTGATCGATCCTCTGGCTCCGTCTCTCTTCGTTCTGGCGATCGAAGGTTTTGCCTGTCAGATTCGATTGAGAGTCAAGGGCATCGAGATTGCGGGCCTCCAAAATATTCGAGAACTCCTCTTTGCCGACGACGCTTGCTGCGCACTCCACAACCTCTCGGACCTCGACCACCTCACTCGGGCAATCGAGCTTTACGAACGGGCAAGTGCCAGCAAGCTCAGCAACGCCAAATCTTTCCTCTACCCCCTTGGAGCTTTTCGGGATCGCCCGGTCGCCCCAGATCTCGGGACCTGGCTCTCAGCGATTCGCAGTTTCGCTACCTTGGTACTCAGGTCGGGGTGGAGATCGCCGAGGATGCGGGCTGGGAAGATGTCAAGGCCTCGACCATCGCTCGGATACGCTCAATTCCGATGTACGATCTCCCATATGCAGCCAAGTGTTCGATCATCAACATCTACTGCTACACAAAGATCCTGTACTACAGCCGATTCCTCCCCGCCCCCAAGAGCGTTGTCAAGGAGATCGAGGATGCGGCCATGCTCGCCATTCACGGTCGAGCTTCGGATGGTACTCAGCGACGTCCGAAGGTCTCCCGGTCGCGCCTCTGCACCCCTCTCGATCACGGCGGCTTTGGCTTGATTGATCTGCCTCGGCGTCTAGCGATCGATCACGCGAAGTGGGTCTTCCAGCTCCGGGCCCCGGACGGCTGCTTCACACGCCATCTCTTCGACATCCGCATTCGCCTCCAGGCACCGAACGAACCAACCCCTTTCACCTTGTCCAGACCGGCCCCCAACCAGCATCGTCGCCCTTGGATCTGGATCTGGTGGGCATACTTTTGCCATCCTCCCCCGAAGTGGGACCATGCGGTGAGAAAGACGAGAAAACTTCTTCCTGCACGTTGGGTCCGATACTTCGAAGCCTGGGCGTCGGTGACCACGCTCAATCCCCCGGAAATCTCCAAGAGCCAGAACCTCGAGCAATGGGCGACGCACGTACTCTACTTCCCAGCGGGCCACGGAATACAACTCTCGGTAAACCCGACGCTTTTTCGAGGGCCCGATGGCGAGGTGATGACCCCGTCTTCGTTTGTGAACGCGTCCAAACGCCACCAAGTCTTCATCTTCCCTCCTATCTTCCCCAAGGGACACCAGAAGGTAGTCGATCTGCCTGAGCAACGTTGGAACGCTTGGTGGAAGGCTTTGCGCAAGGTTCGCCGGGTTCACTCGGACGCCGAGGATACCGGCCACCTTCTCTCCCTGGGGTCCCTCCATCCGGGCAGCCAAGTCGCCTCCCCAACCAGCCCTCACCCCAACAATAGATCGCCCTCCTGTGTGATGTGCCTCTCGGAAGCACCCGAGTGCCTGGCCCACCTCGCGGTCGGCTGCCCATTTGCCCGGCGTCTCTGGTCTGCTCTGTCCCCGACCCCCCACCCAGTCTTTGTGGACTTTGTATGTCCGGTCGTGTCTCGCTCGGAACGTCGCCTTGTCGAACTACGAATCCTCTTCTTTCGCTCGATCTGGAAGCTCTGTCGCCGTCGCCGATTCTCGTCGGATCTTTTGGAACCGATCACCGAAACGGACTTCGAGGGGCTTCGAGCCTCTATTCAGGAGTCCAAGGGTCGCCTAGTGTCTCTGTAAGCCACCAAAGGGGGTTTTAGTGGGTATGGTTGATCCTGGTTCAGGGTCAATGAGTCCTACACTACTGGCTTCTGCCAGTGTGCGTAACAGCATCATTCCCTCCGACTTTTCCGAAGATTTCTAGGTATTATTATAATTATGCTGTTAATGAAGTCTATCAAATAAATAAAAAAGAGATCCACACCCGCCGTGGGAGAAGGTGGGCCCCCCAGCCGCGCGCGCAAGGGCCAGCGGATCCGACGGCTGGGGCAGGGCCACGGCTACGGCGCTCCCAAAGGCATCACTCAGACTCTCGATCGGGCCCGACGACGACTCTACGAGGCTGACCGGAGCCACGTCGACGTGCCACCTCTAGGTATAGAATACGACCCTTTTCACTCGGGTAAGAATCGTTTATCCCCATCCGTCCGACGTGCTGAAGGTTCTTGCCTCAAGTCTCCAGAGTTGCACTGCCCCTGACCTGACCCCTCGGCGAGATCGACAAATCGACGACAGTTCGAACTGACTTGCGGCGAGCCGTTGCCATTTGCCAATTCCCAGAGTGCGACAAGTGCGAAAAGTGCGACAAGACTCCGAGCGGGCCAGCGCCAGCGCTAAAAGGCGGGCGATTATCACGGAACTCGTGACGAGCGTACTCCCGCCGGCGTGGCACCCCCACTTGACCTTACCTGCCCGGTCCACACCCGTCGCTGGCATTGTTTCACGCATCACCGACGACTGAGCTCGGCTCGTCGCTTGCACCTCTCGAGTCGCAGTCGAACCATTCGTCTTACAGCTTAAAGAATGGCCTCCACCAACTTCAAGACCAACGGACATCAGGCCAGCGCTCCACCATTGTCTTCGGCGCAAGCAGCGGCAGCGACAGTGTCGGCTAGGCAGCACGAAGCCAAGAGAAGGAGATGGCAAGAGCAGTGTCGAGTCGTCCGTCTGCGCGGTCATGCCACACGGGATCCATCAGGAGCAGAAGACGGCCAAGAATCGATACCGGCCTTCGAGATGCTCGTCGTCGTAAGTGCTTGCGATTCCGCTCCAGAATCTCGACCCTCCCCTGTCCGGCTGCAGTGAGCGGTCTCGGCCACCCCGAAAGCTTCTCGGGTCGCGAGCAACGAGCTCAGTCACAGGACCTCAGCGGTTGTGGGCGGACAGAAAGCGAACACTGACTTGTCATCCATCGAACCCAGGGCTGCGGGGGTGGACCATTGGAGACCAACTTATCATCGTATCTCGTCAAGCCTTATGCAACGAAGTGGGCCGATGGGTGCACCTCGCTCGAAGGTCAGTTCGCCCTTCGTCTTCGCACTTTGCCAAGATTCTCTTCAATGTCTCCCGTATGTGTGAGCTCCACGTGCTGATTCGAGATTTCTCGGCACCACTCGAACATACAGCTGGATCCACGATCGGCGCCTTGGCCAGCTTGATCGAAACCCAGCCTTACGCCTTTGCCGACTTTGGGCTCAAGATCGGCGTGGACTTGCACGAGCAAGCATCCGATACTAATTACAACTTGGACAGTACAACGACACCACCCAGCAAGCGTAGTCGGAAGGAGGCCAAGGGCAAACGAGCGGTCGGCGTTGGCCGCGAAGGAGGAGGCAAGGCAGCCGGCAAGATTTGGGATATGGTCAGGTGTTTCGCCATTTCCCATGCACATCTCGATCATATTCAGGGTCTCATAATCTCCTCGGGCGCATCGTTGAGCCCACGGCCGGTCTATGGTACTTCGCGGACACTGGCGAACCTCGACAACGTCTTCGATGGCGGCGTGTGGCCGAGACTGGTCGGATGGGAGAGCGATGGGAAGACCGCCGGTCGCGCTTACCTGTATCGAGAGTGAGTTGCAGCGAATTTAAGAGCAGATTGGGCCGCACCCTGAGCTGGTGCTTTCGTACCGCCCACAGGATCCCGAGACCGAACGGGGAGTGGTCGCCCTTGTCCCCTTCGCTTTCATTCGAGGCCATGCCGATCTCCCACGGGATGGACCCGTCCTTCTTCCATCCACCAAAAAACCAACCTACAACAGTGTCTTCCGGTACAGATGCGGCCAGTACATCCAAGGCACCGGCAGAGACTGAATGCTACGACTCGACCGCCTTCTTCGTTCGCGAGTCCGTCACCGGCCAGAACTACGAATTTCTCTTCTATGGCGACGTCGAACCCGACTCGATCTCGAAACGACCGCTCAATTTGGCCGTCTGCAAAGTTGCCGCGCCGCGGGTTGTGGCGGGCAAGCTGTCGACCATCTTTTTGGAATGCTCTTATCCGACCTCGCAACCCACGGACAAGCTGTGGGGGCATCTGTCCCCGCCTTTCATGATGGAGGAGCTTCTAGTGCTAAGGGATCAGGTCGTTCAATATCGCATTGAGCACGAGGGCTGGTCGAAGGAGAAAGCTCAGATGCAGCCCTTGAAAGGCGTGACGATCGTCATCATCCACATCAAGGACGACATCCTGTCCTTCCCCTCGCCCGACTCTTCGCGGTCGCCTTCGCCGCACCTGGACCAGTCCACTGGCCACTCCAACTTTTCCGGCAACTCTTTATCACCCTTCGTCCCTTCGGCGATGTCACACCATGCGCCGCTTTCTTTGTCCCCTCCTATACCCGCATTACCTTTCCATCGTCATTCGATCGTCGGATCGATGATGCCTTATTCACTTACCAAACCTATCTCTGCTTTATCCCTCGCCGGCGATGGCGAAGGTGAGACCTCAGGCACGTTTTCACCTCCACCCAAGGACGATGGACTCGGATCTCGACGCTCGAGTCTACCCGCGAACTTATCAGGTCTGACCATGTCGAGGAAAGCGACGATTCGAGCCATGGTCGGAGAAACGACCGCACCGCCCGACCCTGCGTATCCCATCGTCACGTACGGAGGCCAGAACGCCGAATCCACCAGCGCTTACGATGACGGAACAAGTGAAATGGATTCGCTGTGCGAGTGCGATTTTATTGAGGAGGAGACAGTGCATGAGAGGATCGAGAGGGAGTTGAACGAGCTGGAGAGAGAGGCGCAGACCGGGGTCAGCTTTTTGAGGGCGACGCAGGGGATGAGGCTGGGTGAATGGGGGGACTCTTGTGCACCGGTTGCTCCCCGAATCCTTGTACTGATGGACCTTTATTCCCTAATGTTTTACAGTTTTCTAACCAGCCAACCTGCGGGAGTCTCGCTCAAACCCGATTCTGAAGAAACCAGAAAAGTAGTTCCGTCTCGTCAAGGCTTGGCGCATGTGTTGTTTTTCCCTCGATCTAGAAGCTTTTGATCATCGGTGCCTTCTGATGCTTTCCCTTAACCCTTTTCTTGCGTTTATGATTGTGCTCTCTTGATTGTTGCATCTGTTCTCAGCTATTGTTTTACGTTTTTTCCCATAGCCTAGTCATCTTCCTCGTCTACGCGCGCGAATCTCTTCAACCCGGGGCTCTTCATGATCGAATCCAATGTTCCTCCCAAAGTTGTGCTTATTGTTCTTGTAACGGTCGAAAATCCTATGACTCGGCATTTTGATGGGGCGTGTTTCATCCGGTGGGGAAAGGTCTCGTTTGGCATCACATTGCGTAAAAAGGAGAAGGAGGAAATTGTTAACAAGAAAGGGGGTGCAACCCTCTAAAAAGAGATGGGTAAGTAGGTTCGACATCGAGCGAACTTGTAGAGGAGAACGAGAACAAACAAGGAAAGATGAAAAAGATGAATTAGACGACAGAAGAAAAATTAGCAATGGGAATGCGAGGGCGTGCAAAAGTAAACAGTTGGGGGGGGGGGGGGGGGGGGGATGGGGAGATAATGTTTGCTAAAAAGCAAGGAGTCGAAAAGCGAACGAGAAGGGTTAGAGGCGGATCTAATTCGTTCCTCGATGGACTTCGACGAAACTATCGTCGACCATATCGCGCGTCCACAGCGCGTCCGGACCGTTCGAAGCGCCGTCCTCGTCGAAATCCATGATCTCATCGTCGTCGCCTTCACCGGACATGACAGAGTCGTCGCTTCCTAGATCACGTTCAAAATGCACACCGTGGGAAGAGGGGTTGGATCGCGTAGCCGTGGGGAGAGGTCGATCGTCTTCTTCCATGTCGGAGGAAGAGTCATCGACTTCCCCGTGGTGGTTCCGCAGACGACTTTGGACCCCGACGGATCGATCGACCATCATTGAGTCGGGCGTGGAGGAGCGCGAGTCGCCGTCAGGAACGTAGAATCGAACGATCGGATCCCGTACGTCGCGATCGGTGCAGTGGAAGAGCGCCCTTAGGAGGCCGGAGAGCGGGGTGCGCGACGAGAGCTCGGCGTAGAATCGTTCTATAGAGTGCCACACATGGTTCGTTAGTGATCACTGCCGAAACTTAAAGGGTCAATCATGTACGCACTATTCTGACACAATTCACTCGCAACTCGACCCACAGCAATCCGCACATTGATGACCCGATCCTGAGCGAGCTGCACCAACGCCGGCAAGAAATGTTCCTCAAAGACCTCCCTCGGAACGCCAACTCGTATCGAAGCCAACACACACGACGTGTAAACGACCCGATTGCGATAACTCGCATCTTCATAAAAGACGCTGAGGAAGGCCCACATCTTGGCACTGGCTTCTTCGTCGACCATGATCGCTTGTATGAGATAAGGTACTGCGTAGACGGCTTGTTCCCGCACGACCGCAACTTCATCCCCGAACGCCTTGGCGAGCAAGAGCAAAACTTCATCCGGCGACCCAACGAGCATGTAGTGTGCTCCTAGACTGCCGAGGTACTTGGCGATCGTTTCCCTCCTTCTCCAAACAGTGATTTTGTCCCAAGCTTCGACGAGAGCAGCCAATGCCGACCTGCCCGCATCGGGTCCGAAAGCGAACAGTAGACTCGTGAGATTGTCCAATAAGGCATTTTGGATCTGGTCGTGGTCGGTGAGGTACCAAGTGAACGGTTCGAGCAACGCGACGTCGGCTTGGGCGGGTCCGATGATCTTGGCTACTTCATGCAGGGAGGAAGCGAGCGATTGCCTCACTTTGGCCGTCTTGTGTTGGCACAGCTCGAAGTGGTAAGGTCGTAACGAGGGCCACTTATCACGACCCAACGTAAGGACAATGGCGGGGAAGTTGAAGGCACACATCACAGGTCGATCTGGATCGCGAGCGGAGGCGGCGGAATCCCATGTCGGGGGCAAGTCGGCCACTGCGGCGGGAGGCGAATCAAGAGGGTTGGCCAATGGAGTGAACTCATCCTCATCCTCGGAAGTCTGCGGAGCCAGAGCAGCGTCGGTAGCGCTCGTCCTAGCGTCACATGTCGAGATGGTCTGGCCCAAAAAGACCGAAAGGATCTCATCCGGCACGCCCGACGGGTCCTCGTAAAAGAGGTACGTCATCTCGCCGCAGACTTCGAGCGCGCCACTGCGTACGATGCGAGACGAATCGCAACTGAACTGCTTCATGTGGTCGACAGCGAGCCGTCGGCGGAGGTCGCTGGGAAGACGCTTGCAGATCGCGGGTAGGACGAGGCATGCCGCTCGACGGACGTCAAAGTTGTCGTCGTGGGCGAAGACGGAGTACATGGGTAACTGTGATGGAATCGCAACAGGCCGAACGTCAGTACGACAGAGCAAACGCCACGCTAAGCCAAGCCGAGTCAACTCACCACCCTCGACTCCACAACTTCCAACGGCAAAGTCCTCGCCAAGCTCCCCAGCGCCTGCGCCGCCTCCCTCCGAACATAATAAACCCCATCCCTGTTCAATTTCTCAACCTCCGGTAAGATCTGCACAGTCAACGTGTGCGGATCCAAACAATCCGTCGAAGCGATGGCGGCGACTAGGCTCATGGAAACGACTTTGCCGATCGTCGTTTCGTCATCGTCTACGCAGAAGTTGGGGTCGGGGGAAAAGGTTGAATGTTTTGGTTCACTAGGAGTCGATGCGGCACCGTTCGTGGTCGAAGTGGGGAGACCCCATCCGAGATCAGGGGCGGGGGCATCCAATGGCGAGTCGGCAAAAGGTCCCGAATCGGACGTGAGCCAGCCATCATCGTATGCATCTTCCTCGGGGCTCGAGAAGAGCTGAGGCGACGAGTTCGTCTGACGAATTTGACTCGATGCTGAGGCGGGCGTCGAAGATCGGTCTTGTTCTTCTTCCTGGGCTTGTCTTTGAGCTTGTTGCACAAGTTGTTCGTCTTCGTCGAGCCGAGCAAGGCCCAAGACAATACCTGTAACGATCTCGTCCTCCAATAACCGCCTCGCGTCAGGTGTGAGTTGATAACCCGGTGTATTCCCATCCGCAGGCGTCGGAGTCGGCGTCGAATCCTCCTCCACGGAAGGTAAGGGCACATTCGACAAGAAAGGCGAAGACACCGGTGACTCGAACGGGATCTGCTTGCCTTTGAGTCGACACAAGAATCGCACGAGCGCACTCTCAGCCCCTTTCGCAACACCACTGGATTGATCCGTCAATAAGGCGCCTAGTAGGGAGGTGAACGTCGCCGATGAGATGCGAGGCGAGTCCGCTACTTCGGTGTTGGAAGGCGATGTCTTTGATGTTGGCGGTGGGGTCGAACTCGCTGCCGAGTCGTCCGAGAGCCCAAAGTGCGTCGAAGTGGGGGATCGCTCCCCATTCGGCATCGTCGATTCCGAATGCTGATGTTGATGATGCTGATGATGCTGATGATGCTGATGCACAGACGGGTAACGCGAAGGGACGGGCGAACCATCCGCGACGATCTCCGTCCCATTCGCTTGTACCGGCGCATGACTCCGATGTAACCCTCCCTCATATGAAGGGTCGAGTTCAATCAACGGGCACTGGCTGAAGAAATGCCACATAACGCGATCGAGTTGCATCGCGAATGCCTCCTTGACGTAATCGGCCGGATCGGTCGCGAGACCGATGAGCAGGGGAAGCACATATTCGGCCGCTTCGCAAATGTCGACGCCCAAGAGCCATTCTGGGAGGTGGTTCGACACTCGAATCCTGCGAGCCAAACAAAGACCGGGTCAGTCTCCCATAAGCCAAATCCAGTTCCACACCCGTACCAAACTCACCTCTCCTCCGTCGCATCACTCTTCGCACACACGAAGATCCTCTCCAGCGCCGACAAAGTCTCCTCATCGATCGCGCAGACCTCCTGCGAATCATGTCCTCCCTCCAAGGCCGAAATCCCATGCCCCGCCGCAACGCCCAATTCGTACTGTATTCTCTGTTGCTGCTGTTGGAATTGATCGACGTCCATGAAGCCTAGGGCACCGAAACCGTTGCTCAAAGGGATGTTCATCTCCGGTCCGGCAAGGGCACGTTCTTGTCGTCCCATACGCGCGAGGGCTAGATCACCCGCATTGTCAATCCCTCCCCCAAGCTCGAGACCAGGCGCAACACCTTCCCGAGGGGGCGAGCTGGACGCAAAGCCTTCGTCAAATCCGTCTTCCTCGGGTTCGTCGACGTCCCAACAACTCTTGGGAGGTGAAGGTGTTCGAGCGAGGTGTTGTTCGACGGTTTGGTACGCCGTTTCCGAGGACGCGTCTTCCAGATGTTGAGGCTGACCTAGGGGCGAGAAGGACCGCGAGGCGTCGTCTGACAGGGCAATCGTCGGCGTGCCTTCCGGTACAACGTGATTTGTCTCTGCAACATCACGTCTCTCGCTGGTCTGAACAACCGATGAAGCAGGTTTGACCTCCGCCTCCTCTTGCTTGTCCTTCTCCCCATCGTCCTCACCCAAGTGTCCAATCGCCTCAGCTGTAGGAGGCGTTCCCTCCCTATTCGACGCAACAGCATCAACGACCAAAGGCGAATGTCGTTTCGGGATATGATCCGCGCTCGCAACCAAACCCAGTTTCGATCCTCGGACTTTTCTCCGGGGTGCATGCTGGCCTTGCAACAGGGGTCCACCGAGATGGGATGGAAGGGGGGCAGGGGCGACTTGTGGAGGTGGTAGGGCGATCGTCTGGTGATGGGGAGATGGAGGTGGGGGAAGATCGTCCGAAACCAGGGTTGAATCGAGGGATGTCGAGGCTGAAATCGAGGGTAGAGGAGGTGGTGAGAGAGCTGCGGTTCCAGCAGGCGAAGTGACGTCGAATCCTACGGTCTTCGTGGTCGTCAGTCTCGTCGGCGGCTCGGAGTCAAACACCGACCCTACTGCAGCCGCCGAGTGCGGAGGTAATCCATGCAGAGCGGACGTCAAGCTCGAAGCCGAAATGGGAATGATGGGCGGCGAACGCGACAAGAACAACGGTGGTTCAGGCGGTGGACTCCGTCGATGTTGTTCCTCCGGCGTCACACGCTCATCACAATGCCCAACCGATGCCGACGGTCTCGTCTCGAGGAAGCGCGACGCCGGACTAGCGGGGCTCACTGCCAGATCACGACTGAACGATCCAGCCCTTGGCCGAGCCACCGGCATCGGCTCGCCTGGAATCGCAGGTAGTGGCAGTAAAGGTGGTGAGATGGCTCCCAAGCGACTCGGTGGGTTCAGAACGACCGGTCGTGTCGGCTCCGCCGTGTCGTCGTCCACCATCCCGAGCCCCATCGTATTGCCTCCACCGTTCCGTAAAACATGCTCGAGATCCAGTTCGGCCGCTCGGGGCGGAAGGTCGGAAATCGAAGGTACGGGCTGATACGGATTCGGTGATGTCGGTCCGAATGGTGGTGATGATAAGCCAGTGGCCAAAGTGAATGGTGTCTCGCGAATGTCGGCCGAAAAGGCGGGAGGATCGACGTGAGAGATCGCATGTGATCGCACCCCCGAGAGTAGCGCCGCATGAGAGAACGCATGGTGATTCCCAGAAGGTAAGCCCGCCGTGCCGGACAAGAGCGCGGAAGCCTGCATCGAAGCGAACAAGCTCGACCCGTTCGGCGAGGTCGAAACGAGGTCGTCGTGCGCGAACGAGCCGTGATTGTGCCGTATCGGACTGATCTCGGCGCGGGGCATCGTCAAGCGTGCTACGGCGGCGTTCGAAAAGGTCGCAATGGCGCGTGGTGATGCCTTTGTCGAAGATCCTCTGGACGGCGATTCTCTCCGGCCGAATCCCCTTGATGGGCTTTCCCTCCGCTGTGAAGGCATCAATGGCGAGCCAGGATGCGGTGGCACCGCAGGATGTGAAGGTGGGGATGAGAAATTCGAGGCCGGGGATGAGAAATTCGAGGCCGGGGATGAGAAATTCGAGGCCGGGGATGTAGAGATCGACCGAGTCTGAAAGGGCGAGTTCGCCGTCGGCGAGGTACTCGGAGCGAACCCAGTCACTTCGTAAGCGCTGAGGACGGGGAAACCGGGAGGAGAAACGCTCTGTGTTCTCCGATGTCGACCTCCTCGAGCGACCCCTCCAGCCGGAACAGGGAGCGGGGAGACGATCCCGGGTACGGATAATGACGGTCGATGCCCCCACCCTGATCCACTGGAGCTCCCGCTGCTGCTGTTGCTGTTGCTGTTGCTGTGGCCGAACTGGAGTGGCGACAACCCATTGCTGGTGATGGGAGTGCTCGGTGCACTGAACGAGGATGCGGTCCGTCGTGCTGTAGGGGAAGGTCCAATCACGCTGATGCTCGTCGTCGCGGCTGCTTTGAAAGTCCAGGGGGATGCGGTCGGTGAGGCGGGATCGTTGAACAGCGAAGGGAGCGGTATGGTTGAACCGAGGCTGGGACTGGGTGAGCCGTTAGAGATGGACGACGAGCGAGGTCGACCCCTGACGACCGAAGCCGGGATCGTCGATGTCGGTGTGGGGAGCGAGGTCGAAAGCCGAGGCTCGTGATTCTGCTGTGCGTGAGCGGGCAAGGAGCTAATTTGGTCCAAGCTCTCGTTCGCATACAGGCTCGAGGTAGAGGTGGAAATGGAGGCGACGGGCGCGGGTGAGACCATGGCTGCTGAGTCACGGGCTTTGGACGCGATGGAAGCAGGTCCGATGACGATGACTCCGTAGCTGATTGATGATAACACAAGGATATCAGCATCGTTCCCCGAGCATTCAAGTGGATTTGGATCATCCGGAGACGGGGGCCGCTAGTTGCGTTTGCCCGAGGCGCCGCGCCAAGGACGGGAGGCGAATCGGCGATTGCCCCCCCCCCCCCCCCCCGAGCTTGTCACAAGAAATACGGCCGTGCGCCATGGCAACAGTACTTGGCGTGACGTGCAGCCTGACCCAATTCGATCGTGACATCGCCTCCGATGATACTGCATTCGCCACAGCGTGCGCTCGAGCTCAGCCCAGCTTAGCCTCAAGCCCGGCCTGAGCCTCGTCGCCGACGGCCTGCCTGGCAGGGAGCGCCGCTTGACAGACGGAGACGACAAACTCGAGACACACGGACAGAACCGACGAGCCAAAGACGAGTGTGGCCGTTCAGGGCAATCCATGACCTTTCGTCTGTGGTGAGCCGAATAGCTGACGCATCAAGCTCTGTTCCAACTCACGTTATAGCCCAAAGGATGCACCTGATCGAACGTAGCGACGAGCCGGACCGGTCAATCGACCTGAGCCGAGGAGGTCGGCCCGTAAACAGCGGCGCGGGTGAGCCGAGTGGTCTCGTTCGCGATCGGGAGGGTAAAGAGCCAAATGATATGGCCTAGTCGAAGGATAGGTCCTACTCAGGCCTCCATGGTGTACGATGGAGGCGCGATGTAGGGTGAATCCGGGTCCGACTCGGGAGCAGGTCGTCGTCGCCGCGAGCTCGCAAGGGTGGAGCTGAGCAGCCGAGTGGAGCTCGTCGAGCGAGTCCGAGGCCGAGTCGGGTGCTGGGCTGAGGCCGTCGTCAGGCAAGTAGAGCTCGGAACGAGATAGGTAGGTCCTACCCTCACAAACGACGCCCCAAGTCCACGTCCAGTCGAGTGTGGGTCGAGGTTGAACGCTGAGCGTAGACGACGGTCGAGTCGATTGGATGTCAAACTTCAAAAGCGGGCTCGGCTCGGCGTCCCTTCAACCTTGGCTCTCTCTGGTCGTCGCGCGGCGCGGCGCAGGCGGGCTCGAGGTGGCAAATTACGCATGGCTCAATCGAGGGCGATCTCAATCCTCGGCTTCCATTTCTCAGCCAGTCCAGCTCGGTCTGAGAGCACAGGTGTAGTTCCAGAATTCTCATTTGATCGTATATTGTTCCATCATCACATCGCATCACCTTCACCACCACTCAAAACTCATGGCCCAAGCCTGCGAATATCGGCCGAGCTCGCCTTGCCCTCTAGGATCAGTTCCGCCAGACACAAACCCGTGGCAGGACCTAAAAATATGTAATTCCGCGTCCATCAGCTCAATATCCTGGATATTTCAATATGTCCAATCAACTGACCATTCAAAATTCCCCAACAACTGTGTCCCGCGCCAACCCAAACGTTCTCCTCAACCTTACCAATCACCGGATCCCCACTCCCCACGGGGAGATAACAAGCCTGTTCAACCTCGATCGTAGCAGAATGAGGTCCATCGTTCACGCTGAGATATTCGGGCGCTAGATCGGCGACTTGTTGGATGATCAAGGCCGTGGCGGAGGGGTCGATCTCGACTTCGGAAGCGAGGGTGGGGAGTGACGAATCGTCGGTTGGGCCGCAGGCGTAGGCTGTGCCATCCGGTCGGTTCTGTCAGAGACAAGCCAGCGTACGTAAGATATGAGCGAGAGTGTCTACATCACCCTAGAAGGTAGGAACTCTGGTGTACTGACATAGATCTCGGGCTCGCAAAACGACCCAGCCTTCTCCTTGATGCTCGTGAACAAGGCTTGAGCAGGCAAAGCCCTACTCTCCGCCGTCTTGAACACCACGGAATGCGCTCGACTCCCTTCGATCCTACGCGTTCGGCCTCCTCCCTGGATCCCCAGTTGTTTGAGAAGGGATCCCGTCCATGGGCCGGCCGTGATGACAAGACGGTCGGCTGGACCGAGACTCATCTCAGCAGTTCTGATGGACTTTTGTTCGCTCGCCTTGGAAGATCGTTCCTCTTGCCTCGGCGAATACTTGACGGTAAATGAACCGTCCTCATTCTTATTCAACGCCGTCGCAGACCCATAAACCACCTTGACGTCCCCTTCCTGCAACATGATCTCGGCGAGCCCTTGCGTGAACAACCTCGGATGAACCTGAGCCGTCGATTCTCGGGTGCCCAACACACTCGTCTCCCCCAACGCATCCTGATTGAGCCAATCAAAGAAACCGTTTTTCTCCTTGAGTTTCTTGGAAGAGACGACATCCTCACGTTTCTTGGTGGCGCGGGTCATGTCGGCCGAGACGGAGAGGGTGTCGAGGGTGCGGTAACCCCATCTCCGTCCGCCATCATGCTCGTTAGCCAGGTCGCAGTGGAGTTTGTACGAGAGAGAAGAGAGGGAAGAGGTAGATGGTCCTGTAGCCCCAGGGTCGAGGCGATGCGTCAGTCAGATTTGGACTCTGATTCGTATGGGGCTCCCCCTTCGAGACTCTCCGCGAACTTATCAGCTACTGACCATGCCTGAAATCACCCAGCGTGACACCAGCCATACTCATCAATGTCAGAGCTCTAATCACACACACGCTTTCTCGAACTGCTCACCAATCCAACGCCAACAACCCCCCGGCCTTTCCACTCGCCCCCGCAGCGATCCCACTCCCTTCAAGGATGGTCACGCTGATGCTTCGTCCATGTTTCTTGGCGAGTTGGGTCAGGTAATAGGCTGTACAGACGCCTTGGATCCCGCCTCCTATGATGAAAATTGAGGATGGGGTCATCATTGAGTTGGAGGGTATCGCGGCGATAGGGGAGGAGATGGGAGAGGGGGAATGACGTAGGCCTGGAGGCGAGGAGCTGGAGAGTTCGCTTCGCTTTCGCCGAGGACTTTGGGACCCAAGCGAGCTAAAATTCTCGATGGGTGATGGCCAGGCTGAACATTTGCGCAGATTCACTTGTGCCCACCTCACAGTGTACGGGTATGGCAGGAGCCTACTCGATGAAAAGGGGTCCTCACCCGTCACCAGTCACGTGACAACCCCTTGACCGACCCTTCAGCCCGGGCTCACCGATGTATGGGGCCGGGCGATGCAGTGCGACTCTAACAATAGTCCTGCGGGCTGCGGCGGCCTTATAAAAAAAAGGACAGATTATCGGCCTACCCTCGGACCCTCGAGGAAAAGAGAGGCTCTTTCGGGGTCTTGTCTGCCTTTTGCACCCTGAAAACCGAAGTGTCAAGCTTGTCATTCGCTTCGTAGCTTCCCACCTCAACTCCGACAAGCTTCGCGCCGGCTTTGCCTTGACAGTCAGCTTGCGGAGGCGACGATTGCGGTTGTGCGTGAAGCCACTTGGCACTGAAGCGGGCCAGTGCAACAGGCTTGAAAGACGCCTTTGGCTCGATGGGTTGTGGGGTGGAAACAGGGTCGCATGTGACCTACAGAGGTATGAGAGGTAGAAGCAACGCACAGACCTGCTCAAGCAGTGGTAAGTCTCTGATCGACGGACCAAGGGAGACCAGACCAAGAAGTTGCTTGACACACCTATTCAACAACTACAGGTAAGCTATCACGACTAGTAGTATTGGAGTTGGTAGTGATGTGTAGTACTCACCTGCTCAAGCAGTGGTAAGTCTCTGATCGACGGACCAAGGGAGACCAGACCAAGAAGTTGCTTGAGCAGGAGAGAGAGAGTCGCGCGGGGCCAGCTAGCTGAGAGCAAGTGCGCGAGTCTGGCCAGAATGCGGAAGATAGACGGCAAAGCCGGGTCAAGAAGGAGAATAAGGGAAGAGACACAGGGGCCATGATGCTAGAAGGAAATAAGAGAGAATTAAAGTACTTTGAGAATCTCACAAGAGGATCCAAAGTCGGGAGGGTGGTGACGGTCACGGAGTCCCGAATCGACGACTCCGAGGGGCCTGAACTTCAAATCGGTGTGCTGTCGCGGCGATCTGCGCGTGCACGCAGCGGTGCCGCGGGGGCGGGGGTGGATCGCTTTTGGCAGGCGACCGCTGCATCGCATTCGGCAAAAACGGATTGAAAGGATTCATCTCGCAGCGTCACTGCTGACCCTCTTTTTCACCCTGTCCACCAGACACGTTCTGTTCCCTTCTTTAACACTTCCAAACCAGTCGATATACGAGGATTCACCGCATGCGGACCTTCCCCTCTTCATGGAAAGCGAGCACGAGCTTGGGTCTCGGAGCCATTTCGGCGCTCGCAGTCCTCGCCCCTTTTGCTGCGGCCGCGGCGGGCAAAGCCAATACGTTTGCTGTCGTCGGTGAAACAGGGTGAGTCAGGATTAGAAAGCGCCTTGTCTTCATGAGCATGGGTCTGATGTAATTGGCATTCATAGAGCGAGTGCTCAGCAAATGTTCTTGGGTGTGAGTTGAACCCGTGTTACAAGATGCCTGCGAATCTTTGCGCTCGGACTGATTCGAGCACACGCCCCTTCCTTGCAGACCGAGAACAAGGTAAATGTTTGCTGCTGTCTATGGGCGATTTCTGCTTGTCCTATACTAATATAAGCACTCATGTATTCTTGATGTCTGTTGTTACAGGTTTACATCATAGACAAGACCGAGAACAACAGTGAGTGGTCTTCGTGCTGCGGTTGAGCGACATCTCCTGGCGTCTGAGCTGACCTTCCCGCACCATTCGGCAAAGCCATTAGCTGCGCGTGTCAACGGACATGCTGCTGTAAGTGATGGTTGTTCCCGCGAAGCACTTTCTTCGCCCCTGATCAGTTGACTGATCTTCCATCAATGACCTCCCTAAAGTGGGCAACAGAGTATGATCTCTCCAACAACTCGTACCGATCCATGGATATCATCACCAACACCTTCTGCGCCGGTGGTAATTCGCTCGGCAACGGATCTTGGATCAATATCGGTGGGAACCAAGCCATCACGACAGGAGGGACCAACACCTCTGACGGAACGGGTGCTTATTCGGATTATTCGGGCGGAAGGACCGTCAGGGTGCTTACGCCTTCGGATGATGGGACGCACGAATGGTACGAGGATAAGTATGGGATGCCGATCAATCGATGGTATCCTTATATTGAGACGCTCGAAACGGGTGATGTCTTGATTCTTGGTGGTGAGTTGTTGCTCGAGATAGATGGGCTTCTTAGTCGAAATAAAACTGAAAGGGATCCATTCGACGAGCAGGTGAACTGTATGGCGGCTTCGTCAACTCGGTCAACCAGAACCAGAATGTGCCAAGCTAGTCAGTTCATGACGTTCATGACTGAGCGATAAACCCGATCAGTGATGTTGACGGATGCTTCTTTCGATCTCGATCAGTGAATTCTGGCCGACCCGCGGTGACCCCGTCAACTCGACCTTCTTGGCCAAAACCCAACCGGCGAACCTGTACCCTCTCAGTTGGCTGCTCCCCAATGGACTGGTCTTCATGCAAGCCGATTGGCAAACCCAACTGCTCAACTACACCTCGGGTGACGAGACGGCCCTCCCCAACATCACAATCGCACAAAAGACGTACCCTTCGTCCGGAGCGACGGCGATGCTGCCTCTGACTCTCGCGAACAATTATACCGTCACGCTGCTCTTCTGCGGTGGTATGACCCCCGAGCGTGACGATTGGGATACGACCAAGTGGAACATCGCCGCGACCAACACTTCTTCGTCATGCGTCTACATTAACCCCGAGGATGGCACGTCGGCGACATGGAAAAACGACGATGACCTGCCTGAGAACCGTGGTATGGGCAACTTTATCATCCTCCCCGACGAGCGACTCCTTTTGCTGAACGGTGTCGCCAAGGGTTCGGCAGGATACGGATGGACCGACTGGGCTGTCAACCAATCCTACGGTCAGGATCCCGTCCTCCGACCTGCTTACTACAACGCCTCGGCTCCTTCCGGCACGCGCTTTTCCACCAAGGGGTTGCCGTCCTCTTCCGTGGGGCGTCTATACCACTCGTCTGCAACGCTCCTCGTTGATGGCTCCGTCTTCATCGCGGGTAGCAACCCCAACGCTGACGTCATCACCGACGTCAACAACGTGAGCTACGTTTACAAGACCGAGTATCGTTCCGAGATCTTCTACCCGTCTTACTACGACTCTGGACGACCTGTTCCGAGCTCCCTCCCTTCCAACATCACCTACGGGGGTGAGTACTTCCAGTTCGATCTACCTAAGTCATCCTTGAATGGTTCTTCCTCCGCCAACCTCAAAGTATCACTCATCCGTACGGGTTTCTCAACCTATGCGATGAACATGGGCATGAAATACATCCAACTCCGACACTCGTACACATCGCACTCGAACGGCTCAGCAACGATCTACGTCGGCCAAGTCACACCCAACCCACGCATGTTCCAACCGGGTCCGGCATTGCTCTTCGTCACCGTCAATGGGATCCCGAGTACAGGCAAGATGGTCATGGTCGGTAACGGTGTGATTGGTGAACAACCCGTTTCGGAAGCTTCGACCCTTCCTGGTACGGCGGCCAGCGTCACTGTGACTTCAACGTCCCCTTCGACTGCGACTGCGACGGCTACGGCTACGGCTACGGCTACGGCGGGCCCGAATCCGAGTTCGACCTCCTCTTCCAAGGCCTCGGGCGCGATCGGTGCTTCGGCGCTCCTCCAGGGCTTGATCGCTCTCGTCGGAGGGTGGGCACTCGTATGAGCTTTTTGAATAAAATAAAACCGACTATGTATCTTCTCCTTTTTTGGCTTAGCTCCTCGCACTTTGCTCATTGCACCCTCGCAACACCTCGTTATTGCTCACTGCTAGTATTAAGCAGTTGGATAACTTTGCTCAGTTTAGTTTTCGCTCCATACGGATGGAGTTGACCGAATCCAATAGACAAGCATGATATTTGTTAACACTTACCTGATGCACTTGATGAGTAAATGGACCGAAGAAAATTGAGCAGCGCTTCACGCGATGCCCAGTGCATGTTTCCTTCAACAATTGTGAGCAGGCGCGATTTATCGGAGTAGTCTCTACACAGGCCGGCCAACCTCGGAAGAGTCTTCTGTACGATTTCGTGGATCGAACGTTGCCAGTGGCCACACGAGCCTTCAAGACGTGTTTCTTTACAAGTGCTTTGAAGCTACATACTACTGAAGCGGCTCACTCGCGATCGCGCGGGCTGTGTCCGGCACGGCCGTAGAGCCACCGCGTGGGCTCCGTCGCGTCAAATTCAGTCTTCGTGTAGGCCACGCCAGTTTGCGTCGTTTCATTCGTTCTCGTAAAACAAGACACTCGACGATTTTGAGCAACATGCAGGTATGTATCTAGGCAAATAAAACAATAGCTACCTCCACGCACCAACCAGACCATATACTAACCGAGCTGCGCAAGCTCGACTGGCAGAAGCACAGTTGGTCCCATCTGAGTGTTGTTGGCGACCGACCAAACGACAGGAAATGATCCGGGCTGTGATGTTCAGTGTTACATCCAAGTCTACGCGCTTGTTGGAAAATAGTTTGCTGCAACCGAGCGAGCCGCGACGTGGTGCATCGATCGACCGGCTATTCCACGGCCTACCTAGCTCGGGGTCGGCCTCGGCGAGCTAGCTCTAACTTTAAGAATCACCCCTAATTTTAAATCGGCGTCTCCGCCCGATCCTTATCTTAGGTATCGCTTTCGGCCTCGCTTCGATTGCATGTGACATTCCCGAGAAATCCGGGACTACGGGCCCCCGCGGCGCTTAATTGGACACTGCAATCCGTGGCAATCCGAGCATGCTCCCGTGGAATGACCGCTAGCGCGCGTCGCGCCCCTCGACGCGCCTCGGAGCGCAGATCGCCAGGTCGAACTTGCCAACTATTGGCGCTACGATCCCCCGCATATGCGTCGATCTACGGCCGTTCGAGACGATAAATTGGGCACTCCCGCCGTAGATGATTGTTTCCACATTCTAGCCTAGGCGTCCGACTTTGATCGCGAGGTTAGTGAAGTCAAAAGTTGGAAATATGTCCTCAGTGTCCGGCGTGTTTCCCGCCGGTGACCGCATGTGCGCTTGCGCTGCTCCGAGAACCACACGGTCCACACCGCTAATGCCCCGAGAGCCACTTTAGACATTGTTTGGCCAATTATCTAAGAATCGTCCCATCTACTCCAACTCGACCCTTTCTCTTCTCTCCTTTCTGTATCTCACTTCCATCAGCCCCATTCGAGACTGTCCTTGATTGGATAAGTCGACGCGACACCCCGCTTCATCATGTTTGTCGACACAAAACTCCTCGCCTTGTTCGCGACGGCGTGCTCGGCACTCGCCTCGGGCGCATCAGCCAAGTCGGGCGACTCCAACTCGCCAAGGATTATTCCTGGTCGCTACATCATTGCCGTCAGTAGCTCAAGTGGTAGTCTGAGCAAGCGTGCTTCTGGTGTGGTGAGTCTTCGGCATCTCCTAACCCCGAGGGGTTAAAGCTCCTGTGCGCGAGCCCCTGACCTCCACCTCCGGTCGCCTCCGCGCTTCGCGACTTGAGGCGGCTCTCGGGGCGCTTTTATTTTCGAAAGCTGACATGGCCCTCTCCTCCTCAGGCCATCTCGAGTGTCATCAGCAAGATCGGCAGCACTGGTATTGATGTCGAGACCAAGAAACTCTACCAATCCCCCGGCGTGCTCACCGGAGCGAGCATCGTCGTGCCCGAGAACACCACCACCGCCGACCTTCTCGCAATCCCGGGTGTCACGGTGAGTTCAATTCCATATTTTGTCGGCTAAGAAGACAGCGTGTTGCATATACTACTAGACCAGTGCTGATTCGCCTCGATCGCCCCGGTCTTGATCATGTGCAGCACGCCTGGCCCGTGCGAGTCGTTCCGAACCCGAGCCGCCTCCAGACCTCGCCGAATCACGCCGATTCGTATTCGAGTCAGCTCGTCCGACGCGATCTCCTTCAACGACGTGCCGATGACCTTAAGGATGATCAATTCCCGCCTCACCAAATGACCGGTGTCGACAAGATGCATGCTGAGGGCCTCTACGGTGCCGGCATCAGGGTCGCCATCATCGACACCGGCGTTGACTACAAGAACCCCATCCTTGGTGGTTGCTTCGGCAAAGGCTGCAAGGTCGGGTTCGGACACTCGTTCATCGGCGACACTGGAAAGCCCTTCGACGGCCCCGACCCGTACACGAACTGCTCCGAACACGGCACGCACGGTATGTGAATCTCCTCGCTCTAATGATGACTGCGCAGCGGCTCCTAAGCTGACGAGCGTCACTAATATCCCTCTCGTCACAGTCGCTGGTATCATCGGCGCGAACCCGAACCAATACGGTTTTACCGGTGTCTCTCCCAAGGCGACGCTCGGCATGTACCGTGTCTTCCCCTGTACCGGCTCGACCTCAGACGACATCATCGCAGAAGCCATGCTCCGTGCTCCCGATGACAACGCCAACATTGTCAGCATGAGTCTCGGTGGCTCCGGTAGTTGGGTCGACGGCTCTGCGACGCAGTACATCGCCGACAGGCTCGCTGCCAAAGGCATCCACGTTGTTGTCGCTGCGGGCAACGACCAAGACGAGGGTCTCTTCTTTGCCTCTTCTCCCGCCTCGAGTCGCACCGGCATGAGCATCGCCTCGGTCGACGTGACCGTTGTCCCAGCGTACAACATGATCTTCAAGACTGGCGGATACCCTGCCATGAGCGCCTTCAGTGCCAAGCCGCTCGGACTCGACACTGCTTTGCCGATCTACTTTACGACGACGGACATGAGCGTCACCAACGATGCCTGCCTCCCTTTGCCCAAGTCTACGCCCAATCTTCGCAACTTTGTCGTCGCCATGCAACGAGGAAGCTGCTCCCCTAATACGAAGCTTTTGAACGCAGCGGCCGCCGGAGCCCGATACGTCATCATTTACGGCGCCAACGGTCTCGAGGGTCGACCTTACTTCACCACGGAGGGGACCGGTCTCCTCGGCGCTGCTGGTCTCAGCCATGCCGATGGTGTCAAGTTGCTCAAGTACTACCTCGCACAAAAGAAGGACGGTCTCAAGGTCACCTTCCCCAGCAAGAGCAAGCAGCTCCGCGTCGAGCAGACCCTTTCTGGTGGCCAGGTCAGCGACTTCTCTCAGTTCGGCCCCACGAATGACATGTACGGCCAACCCAGCTTCGGAGCTCCCGGTGGCAACGTGCTCTCGACCTTCCCCTTGACGTGGGGTGGTGTCGGCGTCATTAGTGGTACCTCGATGGCCACGCCGTTCGCCGCTGGTTCCGTCGCCCTCATCCTCTCAGCCCGCAAGTCGGACAAGTTCACACCCATCGAGATGCGCCAACTGCTTTCCTCGACGGCCGACGCGATCCCAGTTACGCGCAAGACCAAAGGCCCGTTGACGTCGACGGTTCTCCAAGGTGGTGGCTTGGTCCAGATCGACCGAGCTGTGGCAGCGAAATCCTTCTTTGGTCCCAATGAGCTCTACCTCAACGACACTGCCCACTTCGCGTCCATGCAGACGGTGACTATCACGAACAAGAACTCGAAGGCGGTCACGTACCGCTACTCGGACACCGGTGCCCAGCCGCGATTGACCTACGACAAGAGCGGTGCGTTCAATCCTTCGCTCACCCCTGGCGCCTTGTCGAGGGGTGCATCAGTGACGTTCAGACCCGGTCGAGTCACGATCCAAGCCGGCAAGTCATCGACGTTCCAGATCAAGTTCCAACCGCCGCAGTTCTCTGCTGGTCAACGCGCGCTCTTCCCCGTCTACAGCGGATACATCATGATCACGGCCGACAACAAGGAGTCGTTCCAGATCCCCTACTTTGGTCTCGCTGGCAACATGCGCGATCAGAAGATCCTTGACCAGACGGACATGTATGCGAGCCAATACCAGTCCGGCCTCAAGTACCCGTTCGTTGGCACCCCTGACCTCAAGGTCCAGACGAGCGCGAGTGCTGTCAAGACCTACTCAACCAGAGCTGGCCCCACCATCGTATTCCGTCTTTCGCGTGAGTTCTCTGGTCTGACACCTACAGGGCCTATACTGTACAGCTACTGACGCCGATGACTTTGCTCTCTGCACTACAGAGGCGACTCGAGCCTACAACATCGACCTTGTGTTCGCCAACACGACGTTTAAGCCAACCATCTCCCCTGGCAACAACGCCAACCTCAAGCAGCGTCGCTCTGTTGATGAGTTCGATCTCGGATCCCTCGAGACGGATGCGCTCACCGGGTCTGCGCTTGAGAGTCGCAAGGACAGCCAGTCGTATGCCTCGGTCTCGACCATCGGCTTCATCGCTGGCTCGACCAACGTCCCTCGCGATCTTGCCGTCAGCAACACCGGTGCCTTGTCCTTCACCGACAACCAGATCACTTTCAACAGTCGATACCAGACCACGGCTACTAGCGGACGCACCGCGACGGCTAAGAGCAAGACCCCTTACCGCTTCCTTCTTCGGTCAGTGCTTAAGCCCCGGATGCAATCTTCCTGTCATCTTATCGTCTCGCTAAATCGTTTCAACTCTATTCTGCGAATCTTGCAGTGCGGTGAGGACGACTGCCGACCCTGCCGACGAGGCCAGTTGGGAAAGTTGGTTGAGCCCTCCGTTCCAGTTCGAATAAGCGGGTTTTTTCTGGGAATGTGTCCTGTGGATACGGACACTTTCGTCTTTCGATTTTCTACTCTCACCCCACTGTTTCTGATACCCCGGTCGCGCCTTACGCCGTCACTAGTGCAATTCCACCCAATCAAGCTCACACGAATGATCAATAAAGTCATAGCTGAAATGATCCGCACTCAGGGGCCACGACGTCGACGTTGATCCCCGTGGGCAACTGGTAGTCGGGTGGATAAATATCATCTACCATGGCAATTTGTGCAAGTGTTAGATTACCGTCATTTAGATTACCGTTGGCTTTCGCTCTATTCGCTCGCTCGAGTCGTATAGCCCCTAACCTCCCCGCGGCCGCGGTAGTCTGGAGCAGGGAGGACTGAGGGCGGCTCTTGCCAGTCTTCGGCCACCCTAACATGCCCGTAATGTAGTGCGCATGATGAGATCACGACTTGACTGCTTACACACTTATAAAAAATCACGCCACGGGCCCCGCGGCTCGAGCTAATCTCGGCTCCCCGGAATCGAGCTCGGCGAGTGCTCGGCGCGGCGCAGGCCATGTCAGGAATGTGGGTCATCTCCGACTGCCTTTTCGGCTTCGAGCTTCGTCATGTGTCTCGCGAGTCGCGAGTCGACTCAGTCGAGGGACGACGTGACGTGGTCTTCCGAATGGGACAGGTGACGCACTAATTAGTAGGTAGGCAAGTACCTATACTTACCGAGGCATCGCATTGAATCAGGCTCGGCGACTCGGCTTCAGAGGGGAGATAATCCCGAGCTCGCTTCCACGCTCGGCTGAGGTTTTCAATAGACGCTCATAGCAACAAGTATGTGTGGACTGACTCATTCCACAGCTTGTACTCCTACCCCCTCTTACCTCACACTACGCTTGTATCTTGCGAGAAGGAAGCGTCGCTCCTCTCGCCTGCGCCTCGTCTTGCCATGTTCTTGGGCCCGATGAAATCGTTTCAACTCACGCTGCTCGCCACCGCCTGCTTCGCCCTCGCTCCGATCACGTTCGGCGCCAACTCCGCAAGTTATTCGATTTCGCCCCAGATCATCCCCGGTCGCTACATCATTGCTGTCGGTGGTTCAAGTAGTCCTCTGAGCAAGCGCGCCTCGGAAGTGGTAAGTTCATCTCGTGTAGCTGGTTGGACACAGCTGAGCCTACTGGATTCCGTCCGACAATGTTTGCGGTGTTGACGCGGCTCGACGCGTCAGGACGCGTCAGGACGAGTTGAAGGAAGCCGACGATCTCGGCGCAGGGGACTTCGACCTTAGTCATGTGAGGCTGACGTCTGCTGTTTTTCCCATGTTCATCTCAGGTAATCTCCGGTGTCATCAGCAAGATCAACAGCAAAGGCATCAATGTCGAGACTAAGAAGGTTTTCCAATCGCCCGGGGTACTCACTGGGGCGAGTATTTCGGTGCCCGAGAGCACCACTGCCGCCGACCTACTTGCGATCCCAGGTGTCACGGTGAGCCACCCAGCTACTTTGACTATCGTTTGCTATAGTTTGGGGATGTATGGCTATTGACGCAGTCGCATACACCGCCCTATAGCACGTTTGGCCGGTCCGAAACATTCCCCACCCACTGCACCCAGACAGCTTCACATCAGCTCCGAGAGGTATTGTTGGAGTCGAAAATGAGAAAGTCGTCCGACGAAACCTACTCCAGCGTCGAGCCAGCAATGATTTCGAGAACGACCAGTTCCCACCTCATCAAACGACCGGTGTTGACAAGCTCCACGCCAAGGCCTACCTCGGCGCTGGCATCCGAGTCCTCGTCATCGACATCCGAGTCCTCGTCATCGACACGGGTGTGGATTACAAGAACCCGATCCTCGGCGGATGCTTCGGGAAAGGCTGCAACGTCGGCTTTGGTCATTCCTTCGTGACCGATAACGGAACACCCACGAGTGAACCCGACCCTTACACCAATTGCAGCTCCCATGGTACTCACGGTTAGTCCACGGAGCCTTGGGATCCCCTGCGCAGCACTTGCATTGACGAAACCTGCCATGCGCAAGTCTTCCCACGGTGCAGCAGCGTTTGCTCACGTCTAATTTGGTTGCTTCAACAGTCTCTGGAACCATCGGTGCCAACCCAAACAAATACGGCTTCACCGGTGTCGCTCCCAAGGCAACGCTTGGCATGTACCGCATCTTCCCGTGCTCCGGCCCCACCCCCGACGACGTCACCGTGGAAGCATTACTGCGCGCCATGGAGGACGACGTCGATGTAATCAACATGAGTCTGGGCTCTCCCAGTGGTTGGATGGGCGTTTCCTCCGTCGAACACGTCGTCCAAAAGCCCATCGCTAAAGGGATCCACGTCGTCACCTCGGCGGGCAACGATCAGTCCGAAGGCATGTTTTACGCCAACAGTCCGGCCGCGTCCCGGGATGGTATCAGCACGGCCTCGGTCGACGTTACCGTCGTCCCTGCGTATAACATGGTTTTCAACACGGGAGGCTATCCATCGATGAGCGTGTTCAGTGCCAAGCCACTCGGAGTTGATCATCCCATGCCGCTATACATCACCTCGACCGACCTCCACGTCGACAACGACGCATGCGAGCCCTTGCCCAAGTCGACCCCGAATTTGCGCAATCACGTCGTTGCAGTCCGTCGAGGGACTTGCTACAGTAGCACTAAGCTCAAAAATTTGGCAGCCAAGGGTGCTCGATACGTCATTGTCTACGGAGCGGAAGGTGCGGAGAACGATCCCTTCTTCACAGCGGACGGCACCGGGGTGAAAGCCGTCGGGGGAATGACACGTGCCGATGGGGTCAAGTTAATCAAGTACTACCTCACACAAGATAAGAAGGGCGGTCTCCAGGTCACCTTGCCGAGCAACAGCAAACAACTTCGCGTCGAGCAGACTCTCTCTGGTGGGGAGATCAGCGATTTCAGTCAATTTGGACCTACGAATGACCTCTACGGCCAGCCGAGCCTCGCTGCCCCTGGAGGTGGCGTCCTGTCCACCTTCCCTCTCTCTTTTGGTGGAGTAGGAGTCATTAGTGGTACTTCGATGGCCTCTCCGTTCGTTGCGGGCTCTGTCGCGTTGATTTTGGCCGCTCGCAAGAAGGACAACTTCACACCGATCGAGATGCGCCAGCTCCTATCGTCGACATCCAAGTCGATCCCGGTTAAGAGGGGGACCAAGAATCCCCTGACGACCGTTGTTCTCCAAGGTGGCGGCCTGATCCAGGTCGATAAGGCTTTCGAGGCCAAGTCGTACTTTAGCCCCAACGAGTTGTATCTCAACGACACGGCTCACTTCGCCGCCACGCAGACGGTGACGATCACGAACAAGAACTCGAAAGCGGTCACGTACCGCTACTCGGACACGGGTGCCCAACCTCGTCTTGTGTACGATAAGAAGGGACAGTACAACCCTTCGCTCAGCCCTGGTGCCCTGTCGAGGGGCGCCTCGGTCACCTTCCGCCCCGGACGAGTCACGATCCAGCCCGGCAAGACATCGACGTTCCAGATCAAGTTCCAACCGCCGCAGTTCTCTGCCGGTCAACGCGCGCTCTTCCCCGTCTACAGCGGTTTTATCATGGTCACGGCCGACAACAAGGAGTCGTTCCAGATCCCCTACTTTGGTCTCGCCGGTAACATGCGCGATATGCAGATTATCGATCAGACGGACAAGTTTGCCGGTCAGACTGAGAAGGGCCTGCGGTACCCGTTCATCATGGGCGACGATAAGAAACCGCAGCTCAGCCCTACAACTGTCAAGACGTACAAGATGGAATCGGGCGTCGCCATTAATTTCCGTCTGGCGCGTGAGTTGCTGTACCTGCTTGACTCCGTACACTTCCTTTCTCGTGGCTAGCCTGGGGGTTTCATACTGATGGCTCTTGCTTTGCTCGCTTCTCACAGAGGCCTGCCGAGCGTTCAACCTCGATCTCGTCTTCGCCAACACGACCTTCAAGCCCACCATCTCACCGGGAAACAACGCCGACTTGAGTCGTCGCTCGCTCGAGGACGGTGACCTCGACCTCAGCCAGGGCTTCCTCGAGACGACCGACAACCCTCTCGAGGACTCGCATCTCGCACCTCGTCGCGAAAGCCAGTCCTACGCTTCGGTCCCGACAGTCGGCCACATCTACGGCGACCTGAACGTCGCTCGTGATGCGGCTGTCACCAATCGTGGTCCATTCCCTTTTGCCTGGAAGCGACTCAATTTTACGGGGAGCTATAACCCCCGCGACGCGCCGAAGGAGGATGCGAAGGCGGACACGTTCACGCCTTACCGATTCCTTCTCCGGTGAGTTCTATGGCATGGGTAAAAATGAATATTGTAGCTTTGGTGAACGACACTGACGTTCCCTATCATACTCTCATAGTGCGGTGAGGACGACCGCGGACCCTACCGATGAAGCCAGTTGGGAAAGTTGGCTCAGCCCTCCCTTCCAATTCTCGTGAATGCGACTCTCGGCATTTACATACGCTGCTGCTCTCTTTGATTTGATTCCGCTTTTCTTGCACTCTTTAGCTCCAGACGTGCCTACTATTCACTTCGTCTTTTGCTTCGATACCCTCTTCGTGGCTTTTGTGCCCTCGTTCCTTTCTTTCCTGGAATGCCAGACTAGCAGTGCCACTTCGACCGAACAGACTCAAAGAGTTGGTCGGACTCGTGTACATCGCATGGAAAAGCCAAACATCATATGGTAGCTCAATTCCATCGTCTACTGAACATGGCAAAAGTAGCGACGGCCGTGCCAATACCCAACAAGAAGCCCGAACTGCCAGCGAGGAACGGACACCGACTCGGTCTCCCATCAGGAATATCCCTCATCGGACATCGATCCAACTTGAGCTTGCTCGCGACCTTGCCGACGACTCCACCATTGACGTCGTAAAATCCTTTGGCGATCCCTTCCTCCCACCCATCGAGAATATCTTCCCTCATCCGATCGTCCATGGCCGACAATTGAGCCAAAGTCCACTTGTCGCACACCCGGATCATCCAGTCCATCCTCCTCGCGATCGTTTTCGTATCCTTCCCATTCGCGACTTTTCTCAGATCGGCTCGTAGTCTGCCGACGTTCTCGATCGCTTCGCCGACTTGATCGGGTAAAGTCTCTTCGATCGACCTCCTTATCCGATTCGCGATCCGGGGGCCTTTCCCACCCGTCGAAACCATGATTTGTAGAGGACCCCTTCGAACGATGGACCCAAAGTAGAAATCGCATTCGGGAGGTACATCAGCCACGTTGACGGGGATTCTTCTCTGGCGACACATCTCGCAAATGGAAGAGCTGAGGCCGACCTCGTCGATCGCGGTGAGGACCATTTCGAAGCCTTGTAGATCGTCCTCGCCTTGGAACTTGCGATCGAGGTAGGTCAACGAAGTAGAGAGGGAAGGGTCGTTGATCCTGGCTTGGACTTCGGGGGAGAGATGCGACGAGGGGGCGATGAGGGTCACGATCGCGTTGGCGTTGAGGAGAGCGTAGAGACGACCTGCTGCGACGACACCGCCTCCGACGAGGAGCACGCGTTTGTTCCTGATTTGCCAGGCGAGGATCAACGAGGCTCCGGGTTCGATCGGTGGAAAGGTCTCTGTCTCCTGTGCGACCGAGGACGATGAAGGGGAGCCTGATGAAGCTGAAGCTGGCGGAGCAGACGACGATGACGACGAGGCCTGGGTAGGTGCTGTAGAAACGACATCTGGTGGGGTAGATGCCATGGTTGTGTAGAACGGGGCTTCCGGCTAGTCGAACAGCAACTGACGAATGTGCGAGCGGGTGTCAAGTGATCGGGAGTGATCGGGAGTGATCGAACTGATAGGAGAAGGACCAGCTCGCGCGCCAGCGCCAAGCAGTGCCGCGGCAAAGGCACGGCACAGACCTGCACGCACACTCCTGCACAGACCGATCGACTCCGATCGATCGCCTTTCGGCTGCGATCGCCATGAGATGGCCAAACGCTGCCCTGTGCTTCATCACAACCGACGAGTCTCCTCGAGTAGAGGAAGACACGGTTAGAACTTTAGGAAGGTGAGTCGCCTCCTAATCGCCGACTCGGACCGTATTTCAAAGCTCCTGGTTGGAGCGATCGCCATCTTCAACAGTAGCTCCACCAAACACTATGATTCCATGAAAATCATCTGCAAATAAAATTATCAAACCAAGAAAGACACGAAAGGTGCAAGACCCCAGAGCGCGTCGTATATCGCGCTCAACCCGAAAACTCGAAGGGCGGACTGAGCCAACTCTCCCAGCTTCCTTCGTCGGCCGGGTCGGCGGTCGTCCTCACCGCGCTGTAATATCCCAATAACAAAGAACTTCAGTGGTGTGATCCAGTAAGCCTGCAGTACTCCGTGCTTCATACTCACCGTAATAAGAACCGATAAGCCGTCCCCAACTTTGCCGTCTCAAACCTCCGACTCGTCGGCGTCGTCTGGTACCGTCCATTGAATACGAACTTCTTGTCCGTGAAAGAAAACCTATTCTGACCATCTACAGCCAGATCTCGGGGTACGTTGAGGGCGCCTTTGATGCGGCCGACGATGGGGACCGAGGCGTACGATTGGCTTTCCCGACGAGGGTCGAGGGACAAGCTCTCACCGAGGTTGCGAGCGAGCTCGAGGCCTTCAAGAAGTTCGACTTTCGCAGGTTTGGTAGATCCAGGGAGCAGACCGGCGTTGTTTGCGGGAGAGATTGTTGATCTAAAGGTCGTTTTGGCAAATACAAGGTCGATGTTATAAGCTCGAGTTGCCTCTGCAACAAAAGGGCGGGCGGGTCAGTGGCTGGTGCATCCCAAATGGAAGTGGACGCTCAGACTCACGCTCAAGGCGGAACGTAATGATCGGCCCGTTCGCCATTTCGTAACTCCTGACGAAGTTCGGATTGAATTGGGGACCCAGCTTCGAGTCGGCCACATAAGGATATCTGAGTCCCGCCATGTATTGACCCGCATACACATCCGTCTGATCGATAATCTGCATATCGCGCATGTTACCGGCGAGACCAAAGTAGGGGATCTGGAACGACTCCTTGTTGTCGGCCGTGATCATGATAAAACCGCTGTAGACGGGGAAGAGCACGCGTTGACCGGCAGAGAACTGCGGCGGTTGGAACTTGATCTGGAACGTCGATGTCTTGCCGGGCTGGATCGTGACTCGTCCGGGGCGGAAGGTGACCGAAGCGCCCCTCGACAGGGCACCAGGGCTGAGCGAAGGGTTGTACTGTCCCTTCTTATCGTACACAAGACGAGGTTGGGCACCCGTGTCCGAGTAGCGGTACGTGACCGCTTTTGAGTTCTTGTTCGTGATCGTCACCGTCTGCGTGGCGGCGAAGTGAGCCGTGTCGTTGAGATACAACTCGTTGGGGCTAAAGTACGACTTGGCCTCGAAAGCCTTATCGACCTGGATCAGGCCGCCACCTTGGAGAACAACGGTCGTCAGGGGATTCTTGGTCCCCCTCTTAACCGGGATCGACTTGGATGTCGACGATAGGAGTTGACGCATCTGTACAGGCGTGAGCCTCTCCGACTTGCGAGCAGATAGGATGAGCGCCACCGCACCCGCCACGAAAGGGGTGGCCATTGAGGTTCCACTGATGACCCCAACGCCACCCCAAGACAAGGGAAAGGTCGAGAGGATGTCTCCACCCGGCGCACCAAAGCTAGGCTGGCCAAACATGTCATTCGTGGGGCCGAATTCACTGAAGTCGCTGACTTGACCGCCGCTGAGGACTTGCTCAAGGCGAAGCTGCTTGCTTGGAAACGCGACCTTGGGACCCCTGTTCCTTTGCGCGCGATAGTACTCGAGCAACTCGAGTGCATTTACGTTGCTGATTCCTCCTGCGGCTGTCAGGTTCGTACCCTGAGTATCATAGTACGGCTGATTTTCGCTACCAACTGAGCCATACACGAGAGCGAAGCGGGCCCCTTTGGCTGCGAGGTTGGTGAACATATCGTCTGTAGCGCATTGATCTCGTTTGACCACGACCAGTCGATCCTTCAGGTTCGGCGTCGAGTCGGGCAGGGTCTCGCACGCCACCTCTTTAGCCGATTCGGGCGAGGTAAAGTATAGCGAGAGCACATCTTCAGTCTCGAACGGCATGGCAGAGAAGTAAGGCATCGGCGGATAACGACCCGTCTTGAAGACGAGACTGTAACCTGGGACGACATCGGCATCGACGGATGCGACGCTGATCCCACTTCGAGTAGCTGCGGGCGTCGAAGCAGCGAACAGACCCTCGTCTTGCGAATTACCAGATGCGACAATGACATGCATACCTTGAGCGAGAAGTTTGTCGGCTACGTGTTGCGGCGCTGTCGAGTCCAACCAACTACCTGGATCTCCGAGACTCATACTGAGGATGTCGGCTTTGTCCTCGGCGGCGCGGAGCATGGCTGCAACGATGGTGTCGTCTGTGGCCGAGCCAGAGCATGCAAAGATGCGATACATGCCGAGAGTCGCTTTGGGTGCCACTCCCGTGAATCCGTACTTGTTGGGGTTGGCCCCGATGGTACCAGCAACTAAGGGAACGAGTCATGGGGGTTAGCTCTGGTATCCGCTGCTGCGCAGAATATGTTGGGCTCACCATGCGTGCCGTGCTCCAGACAGGTGCTCTACGGATCAGGGCCATTGATGAAGTTTCCCTCATCGTCAACAAAGGAATGGCCGAAAGCGACTTTGCACCCCTTGCCAAAGCAACCGCCGAGGATCGGGTTCTTGTAGTCGATGCCGGTGTCGAGAATTGCGATCTTGATACCGGCTCCAAGGTAGCCCTTGGCGTGCATTTTATCGACCCCGGTCATCTGATGGGGCGGAAACTGGTCGTTCTTGAAATCTTTGTCGCTTCGGGGCTCGAGAAGGGCCCGTCGCACAAGCTCGCTAGAGTGGGTGCCAGAGGGGTGAGAGGTAGAGCGAGAACCCGACGATGAAACGGTTCTGGGTCTCGGAATGCTTCGAACCGGCCAGACATGCTACGAGGAGAGCGGGAAACATTATCAGCACGTCATGGAGTTGATTATTTCAATCTGGTATCAACTGACTGTGACACCTGGAATATCTAGTAGATGAGCCTCGGTGGTGTTTGCTGGCACGGCGATGCTCGCCCCGGTGAGTAGACCAGGAGATTGATATAATTTGTGGGTTTTGACATCGATGCCGGTGTTTCTGATTTTGCTGAGGGCACTCGAGATAGCCTTTGACGCCAGCGGTCGCAGCAGGAAGCAGGAACGATTGTACACAAGGGTCAGTGCTACAGCTGCCGAGAATCGGGCCTAAAGTTCTCGTTCAACCAAATGAGAGACTCGGCCCCCGCGTATGCACCACCTAATCCCACACATGCAGGCCAGGCACTCACCACTTGAGAATCCCTCTTACTCAAAGCACTAGTTGATCCACCAACCGCAATGATATACCGCCCGGGGACAATCCGACTCGTCCCTTCGCCCGTGTCGGCGATCGCTTTCGAGAACTTGGCAGATTTGGATCCGGCTGCTGCAGAGGTCCCTGACGCGAAGAATGTGGAAACCGCGGCGAGAAGCGCAAGAGCGAACGATAGGTTCACGTTCACGAACATGCTCAGCTGGACAAGGATTGTTGAGTTGCCTGGACTTGCGTGGGGCCCTAGTCCGGTCTGAGCGTGGATTCTTGCTGGTCGTAGTTGAGCCAAACTTGTCAAACAGATGGCGTTATCAAGACGTTAACAAGACGCCGACTGATCCTCGGACGCGAAGTCAAAGTCAACCTCGGGCAGATATACGGCGAGTGATGTCTGATGCAGTGAGTACAACTGCTGGCAGACAGATGACGAGGAGACCTCGTGTGTGTCAGGTATCCACAAGACGAGGAGCTAGTCCATCGATGCTGGTTTGGCGGAGTTGAGGGCTGAGGCGGCTTGAGGCGGACGATGACTCGGAGAATGAGCATGCCTCGAGAGGCATGCATCGAGGTCCCGAGGAGCCTCCGTCACACCAAAGCCGTCTAAAGCCGAAGCCTCGGCCACGCGCGGCTCCGCGCCAGATCGGCTCGGCGATGTTGACCGATTGAGTTGAAGGTTCTCACGAGAGCGGCAAGAGATCCGTCTGCTCGAAACATTACCAATGCTGTCGTTGAAATCTATCCAAAAATTCAGAACGGACAGCGTGTTGCTGGCAAATCGGATTTTTTTTTGCGAAAGCCGATAAACCGTGAGAACACGACTCGAATGGGGGATTACAGAAGTTCATTAGCCCCAAGTTGAAACCCTTCTTCGCGCGTGCCGCCGCGCCTGTTTGCGCTGCTCGCTCATCCTCGCCACCTCCTCCACACCCCGCGCTCATCGCACATCATGGCCCCCTTAACATCCAACCACCACCTCACCTCGAATCTAGCCCGATCCCCCAGTCCCGCGCCCCTGGACCGCCTGCTCTCGCGCGAGGACATACCCCCGTTGGCATACGACACGGAAGCCGAGTTGTTGGCCGTCCTGTCGCGTCTCGAGAGCGAGCTCAAGAAAAGTATCGATATCAGTTTCAGGGATGGGGCCAATGGGGCCAATAGGGGGGAAGTCGAAAAGGTTGTTTTGGAGGTGAGTTGCTGGGGAGAAGAGATATGGGAAGCGATCGCAGGGTCGAGGGTTGAGTGAGCGAGCAGCGTAGCGGAGGTGCGCAGAGAGGTGCACCCGGATCCAGCGGCGGCATACATGTGTTGGGGGGCGTTTATTTGCTGGGAGGTGTACAGTACACCGCGGCATGCATGAGACCACAAACCTGCGCACGCCGATCAGACGACGAGCACGTGACCGGCCCTCCTGGGTGCGTGAACTGACCACCTCCACCCCACAGGAATTCTTCAGAGGCTTGGCCCCACTCGTATGGTCCAATTGCACCATCGCGGGCCTTCCTTACGCGCAATACCAAGCTCTGAAGAGCAAAGCCAGTACGTCTCACTGGAAACGGGTCTCTCCTATCCCGGCTAAAAGAGACTTTCCAATATCGTCCCACTTTGCTGGCTCATCAGAATTCTCGAAGACAAAGGCCTTTGATGAGGTGCTGCATCAACGCGTCATGAACTACCAAAACTCGCTGTTTGACGCGCGGGAACAGAACGCTCGGGAGAGGGTCGACGTGCCCAATAATTATGCGCTGGTTAGTACGACTGCCGATCGATGAGAGCAAGCACTATGCTTAATCGAGCCTCCAATGATCTACCGTGTTTCAGGGAGTTCAAGACGTCATCTCTAGGGATATGGAATGGCTGAGCCAACTCGAAGCCGTGCAACCGAACTTTTCGGAGGATCGACCCCAGCCCGTCTTGTTCGCTCCGACGGCAGCACCGCAGGCCAAAGGGAGGAAGAGCGTCGGCGCCAACAAGGGTTTGTTATTTGACTCCTCAGAGTAATCATTGGGATGCTAACTCCTACGTGGCAATCATGTCAGGTATCATCGAGGAACGACCAACGGCTCAACAAGCGCAGGACGATTATGCCAAAGCGAGCGACGAGATCAACCGATTGCTCAGAGTGCGTGCAGACTTGGGCCGGAAGAGTGTTTCTCGAAGCATGTCCAATATACTCACTCTATTCTGCTCGATCCATTCAGCATCTCCCGAGCCTCAGAACAGCGGCCGAACAAGCGACCCGAGTCGCGCTCGATACGGCCGCACTACACTGATTTCCAAGCCGCTGGCGATGTGTACTTGTATTCCCCGGCTCGGTCTGACCTTGTTGTTTTCCTTCTCTATGAGAGTTTGTGCCATGTAAGCGTTCTTTCCTCATCCGAGGTCTCGTGTCTGCATGTCGTCGTCCACCCCTCCCCACACCTCCAACAAACCACCGACGCAAATGACGAGACGTCCCAACCAAACGAACGCGTCCCTTCCTCTTACTCTCTCCCCAATCCCTCCCGGGACGAAGGACTCGTGTAAAGGAAAGGACGTACATCGAGGGACGTCCTACGCTTTCTAACCCAAAGTTCAAGATTGGAGAAGTCATCACTTTCGATCAGTTTCGTTTCGGAATTTGGATCATCGACGCTGTTCCACTAAATGTGCAGGGGTTCTGATGCGTGGTACTCGTGTTTTGGGGGTGGTTCGGGGGCTTTGATTCTGGGGCTTTGCACCCATATACGCATGACCGAGAGGTGGGAAGCTGGGACTGATCCACTTTTTTGCGCTTCTGGGCTCGTCACCCCCATCGCTCCAGGTCTGGGCCGTTCCAAGATGTGGTGATGATGTTGAGGTGGAATTAATTACTGCAATAGTACAACTGATACAAAACAAACCGAACCGAAAGACGCCAGACGCGCGAGCCCCAGCAAAGACGACTCCGAAGCCCGCTCCCTACCCCTCCACCGCCTCTCTCCCTTTCTCCCTCCCATCCTCTCCCTTGACGTACCCGGGCCCAGCTCCATAATCAATATAATCGGCCTTCTCGCACGCCTGGTACTCCTCGATCAGATCTTGCACCGTTGCACGCGCCTCGTCGAATTCATCCAGGTTCTTTTCGAACATGGCTTCTTTTTGGTACTGCGGCATAAAGGCGTTGCGTTTACGCAATTGGTCGTATTGCGCGACCGTGCGTTTGAAGATCTGTGCGAAGGCAAGAACACGTATTCTTTAGAGAGCAAGATGAAGATGTTTTACATGTAGAGCGTGGACTTACGGAAGCGATATTGGTATGATTGGCCAACATCAATCCGGAAACCTTATGCGTCGTCTGGACGTAAGGACTCTGTTTGGTCAAAGCGACCTGAATACTCGCCGGACCCCAAGGGATGAACGTCGCCGAATTACGTTCTCGAATCCGGAGGAGGGATTTATGAACGTCCGTAGGGTCTACTTCGCCTTGGATGATGTTGAGGATTGAGATGTAGCAGGCGTGGCGTGAGGGGGTGGTCGGCATCGAGACGAGACGGTTCTTCGGTTGGAGCAGACGGCGCATCACGTCGAGGACGGTCGTTTTACGGACTGCTTTGGCCTGCGATGTGAGGAAGACGAGGATGCGGTCAGCATTAGAGATGATCTGAATGGTGAGTGGACTGGACGTACTTGTTCAATCTTGTCCGAGGTAAAGGGGGTGTAAGAAGTCGTGAGGAAGTGACACCGAGGGGTCGGGATGAGGGAAGCGATCATGCCCACGAGGTCGTTGTTCATGTAGCCCGGGTAACGCAGCGTCTGCGTCGAAGCTGACATGACCGTAGAGACCTAAAAGAGGGAGAGGATACGTATCGACATGCTTTAGCTTTCTTTCTTCATCTCCTCGTCACATCGGCCTTCTCAAAGTACCGCTGACTGACCAACTGATTCGTCTGCGCGAACGACGCGACCTGGACGTGCAACCGATCTTGACAAATCTTACTCAATGCCGCATTGTCCAATACGATCACCGAATCGGCATGGTTCGTCAACCTCTTCATCGATAACAACGAATTGTACGGTTGGACGACGACGTCTCCTGAATCGGCGTCGGGGAATACGGAGTAGGTTTGGATCAATTTTTTGGGGTAGCGGTCGTTCATCCTTTCCAAGAGGTAGGAACCGAGTCCGGAACCTGTTCCTCCTGCGATGGAATGGAGGAGCATGAAACCCTGTGTGGGATGAAGAAAGCAGACGAAGGGTTTGCCGCTGGGCTTGGTTCATCTCTGCAAGATCGCTTCAGCGTTTAGAGATGCTCTCGCTCACCTCGAGACTATCACTCCCTTCGGCCTCGCGATCGATCATCTCCATCACTTCTTCGTACACCCTCTCCCCAGCGGCGTAACCTTTCGCCCACTGTGCCGAACAGCCCCACGCGTAGAGGAGTCAGTTCTCGTTATCGATCGAACCCTCTTGGGGGGCAGCCCCACTCGACGCACGTTATTCCCAGCTCCACCACCTTGAGGATCGTAGAAAAAGTTCTCGGGGTTGTACAAATTCTTATAAGGGCCCGACTTGATCGTATCCAGCACCTGAAATGAACCATAAACGAAAGAGAGAGAACAGAAACGGACATAGGTATCTCGACGGGTATGAACCGCAACCTTCCTTGGCCCATCTCCCCTGATAAAAACCCCAACTTACCCTCGGTTCCAAATCGATCATCACGGCCCTGGGGATGTAATGTTCATCGTCGGCTTGGTAGAAGAAGACGTCCTTTCGATCGGTCATGTCCGTGGCCCAGTCTTCCAGAACGCCTTCTTTCGAGATGCCGTGTTCGGCACAGAGTTGGGACCAGAATTCGGAACCGACTGATGAGGAGCGGACGGGGAGTTGGATTGGTATCGGTGGGGAGGTGTTAGTAGGTGGTTGTGGTGCTGGGTGAGAAGAGTTTGGGTTCGGGAACGTACTTTGATTTCCGGCTTGACCAGCCGAGACCGTCACTGTGTGGACACAATCACGAGCAGGAGCAGGGGCCATACAGCAGCAGATCAGCGCTTCCGCTGGCACCAGTACGACGTCCTGGTCTATCGAACGTACAGATCTCGCGAGGCATGGTTACGTGGATGCGTTTGCGCAAGTGGGGGTCGAGGTGAGGGAGGCAAACAGGGGGGGAAGGGGTGGAGGAGTCGCTCACCGTCGAGAACAGAACACGCGCCTCGTCGCGTCGTCTCGCGTCGTCGGTTCAGCGCGCAGGCGGTCAATCTGGCGCGGCGGCCTTCAAGGTGACTTAGCTACGGTAGCACCAGGCAAATGCTGCAGCCTAACGACCACGCCTTGTTTCATTGCTGTCCATCGAACGTAAGCTCAAGATTTATATGCTCAGTCCGCAGTCTTGAAATTCTCTCGTTTATCTTCAACCTCGGTGTACTGGCTACGATCATCGGACGAGAAGACAGGTCACGTGATCACAACTAGGAAACTGCGGCCCCTCTTCAGCTCCTCCTCCTCCGAGCCGCTCCGTGAGCTACATCTGACCCTCCCCCATAAGAACGGTAACAAGACCACACAAGCCGTCCAAAACACCTTCGCACTCTTGACCGTCAAAGCGGGGTAATCCGTCCATTCTACGGGACGTCCTTTAGGATCCGAAGAGGTAATGATTGGGGTTTGGAATAGGGTGTAGATGGAGTAGAAGGCGACGCGGAAAAAGTGGTAGAAGAGGAGGAGGGGGGAGGGGGTGAGGCTTTAGGATCAGGAAGGGATGGATTAAGTAAGTGATTTGTGGGGAGTGTGAGGAGAGGATGTGGTAGACTTACGCGGACAAGAGCGATACCGGGCCGGCGATACAGTCGCCGCCAAGTTCAAAGTACTTGAAGCAACCCGTCTTGAGCACCTCGAGGTTCTCATCTGTCCAACCCAAACCCTTGAAAAGACATCAGCAACCATCCGTGCCCACACAACCCTCCTAGCCTGGAACGAACCTTCCGCCCCGAAAAGGGAATACAACGCCATCGCAAGCACATTGATACAGCTCGCCAACTTTTTCCTCTCCCAATGCCAATCCTCCAATTTCTCGTGCACGTCCCACCAACTATGCAGATCGACCACTTGATCCTCCTCCTTGCTTTGAATTTCACCAACTTGCTTCCCTCCCCCCAACAATTGGGTGAGCAAGACGGTATCGTTCATGGCGACGGTCATTCCACCGCCTGTTAAAGGGTGTCGCATATTCAACGAATCACCAGCGAGGAAAGCGCCTTCGATCTCCCTTCCCTGTGGATAAGGAGGCAAGAAGGAATTCGGCATCGAACGTAATCGATGTTCCTTGTCCCCCGATTCGGCGCGTTGGAGTGCCTTCTCGAAGGAAGGGACGATCGAGGGGGGTAGTACGGGCGTGACGTGTTGACGAAGGAAAGAAGGGAGTTTGGTGGTGGAGGGTGCTTTGGTGCCTCGGATATCGATGAGCATGCGCGTGTCGTGCGTCGAGAGTTGGTAGACGAGAACAGGACCCAGGCTGTTACTCCCTTCCGCTGAAGAAGAGGAGGAACGATCGGCCTTGCCTAGGATGACATGACCATGATGAGGAGCGGGTAGATCGGCATCCTCCAAAACGATTCCGACGAAATGCGACCTGACGATGGGCGTAATATGACTCGGTAAGATCTGTCTTCTAAACTTGGACATGCAACCATCAACGACGATGGTCAACGTCGCTCGAAAATCGAGCTGCTCGTCCCCGCCTTTGGGCGTCGCACAAACACCGACGATCCGCTTGCCCTGTCGTTGCAAGTTGTTGACCGTCGCTTCGACGATGGTGACGCCTTTCGAACTCGCGGCCTTGCGCCTGAGATTCATCACGAATCGACCATGGTGGAAGGACCTTCCTTCTTGCTTGACGATCGTCGAGCTCTTGTCGTTCCTCCCATCCTTCCAACCCATCTCCCTCTCCTCGGGAGGATAAGGGATCGCGACCTGTTCGTCCCCCCAAAACACCTTGTATCCCTCACAAGGTACGGCATCGATATCGGCGAGCGTATCGGAGATGCCGAGTTGTTGCAAGGCTAGACATCCCCCGGGTTGGAGAAGTTCACCGACGATGCGGTCGGGTTCTACGAGGTCCCGTTCGAGGAGGAGGATCGAACGACCTGATTCGGAGAGCGAGTAGGCTAGAGCAGAACCGATGATACCGGCTCCGATGATGGCTATGTCGTATGGGCTTTGGGAGGCGACCTGAGACGGCGCGACGGCGTGTGGTTCGACGCGATGGTCAGGGTGGCAAAGGACGATCGAGGGGGAGGGGGGGATACAGATACTTGATGTCAGCCCACATACTCCCACCATCGATTTCAGACCCATAGAGAACCCACCTTGGCATCGACCGACCAAACCTTTCCCTGTGACAGCGTAGCAGCAGCAGCAGCAGCAGCAGCGACCATCGTGAATCAGCTGGGAGGGAGCTTGGACCCTTTGTGGGCGGGCGTGCGAGGATCGAGCAGGCTGTCTAGCGCACGGTGGAGATCGGAGACGTGTGACGCGTACTGCGAGGTGAATGTGCTGTTCAACACGTTGGATATGTGAGCCAGCTATTGTTGCGACCTGTTGAAGGTGTGTCTGGAGTAGAATGAGGTGTGCAGGATGAGGGGAGGAGGTAAGTAGCGTTTGGCTCAGGGAATGCGCGTGGTCTGTGGCTCGGCGATCGCCGGCTTGACTCGCACGGACCTCTCCAGCGGGAGATCGCCGAAGCCGTCGGGCGGGAAAAGGGGGGGACGCCCATCTCAGCACATCTCCCGATTAGCGCAGTCAATTCAATCACTTTTGACTTTCACATTCAAATGACAACACCCTACTCCAACACCGACCTAATAAATACCGGACCCCGCACCTCCCATCCCACCCCCTCCCCCACCCCAACCCAAACCCAAACCCAAACCCATCGCCTCCCCTCCACTCCACCTCGTCCGTTCCTTCGCACACCTCATCTCAACCTGACAATCCTCCATGATCCACCTCTCCCTCCGATACCTTTCCTCCGTACTTTCAACCGAACCCAAATCGTTCCGCGCGGAACGCAGTTTGAGTATCTCGGCTTCGATCTCGAGAGAACCGGGAACGGAGGCGAGAGTTTTTAGTTTGGCGACGAGGTTCGAGGAAGGGTGTACGATGTAGCGTGAGATGGAGGGGTCAAAGGCGGGAGGTGGAGGAGCGGGTTTGGCGAGGTCGCTACTACTGCCACTGGGAGGCGCGGGGGTCGATGGATCGGTCCCTGCGGCTACAGCGGAGGAGGAACTCCCCAATGCCGACGAAGAGGAGGAAGAAGGCGCAGGCGCAGGCGGAGCGGGTGCCGACCTCCACCCTCTAGGGCCCGTAGGGATCGTCGCCGGCCGAGGACCCGTAGGCGTCGCTGTCGCCGTCGCCTTCGCTCCACTCGTCGCACCACCGGCAGCAGCGGCAGCAGCAGCCGCAGGCGTGAGTTGCGGTGTCGAATGGAACGTGCTGCGAACGGAGCCTGAAAGAGCTCGGGGTCCCGTCGGGGGACCTGCAGGGGTCGTAGGTGTCGCGTTTGACGTCGAAGAGATGTTGAAGCTCAACGCGACCTTGGCACGAGGTCCAGTAGGGATCGCTCCTCCAGCCAAAGCTCGAGGTCCCGTCGGGGGTGCAGGGGTCTTCGTCGTCGACGAAGAGAGTGGGCTAGCACCTCGCGCACTCGGTCGTTCCGGTGAGCCCGGTCTTCTTGAACGAGGTGGTGGCGGTGTAGGACTACGGCGCGACGATCCCGGTCCTGATTCGGGTCTTCGCTGAGGTGGCGAAGGCGAATCACGTGATCTCCTTCGGGACCCCGCTGCTGCTGAGGGACGTGGTGATAATGAGTCTCGACGGTACAAGCGCGGACCTCTCGGTGGCGATCTCGAACTGCGTCGTGAGACCGGCGCTGGTGGGTGACCCCGAGCGAAGGCAGGGGAAGGCGATCGAGCTCGACTTCGGCCACCTCCGCTGTAAGGTAGAGGAGGCGAAGGCGAACCCCTCCGACGAAGTGCGGACGACGAGGCAGGGGGAGGCGGGGATGATTCGTGTCGACGAGGAGGGGGTCTTTCCCAACGAGAGTTCGAAGAAGGTGGCGGACTACGACTCGGCGACCGACCTCGCCCTGATGGTGCAGGTGGGTAGGCACGAGGTGGAGGTCCTCTGCGGTACTCGGGGGAACGAGGTGCGCTTCGTGACGCAGGTGGGGGTGACCTTCCTCCATAGTCGGGGGAACGAGACCTTCTGCGGTAGCCTGTGGGGCGGTTCCAATTTGACTTGAGCATCCGGTGAAACTGACCTGCAACTGGCCACTCGACTCACCGAGTGGCGGCGGACTCCTCGATCTCGGTCGACGGTTCCTGTAGTCTGCTCCCATGGAAGGAGGTGGTCCTCCCCTATCGAACCGATCTCGTAGATCGTCATCGTGATACGCAGCACCGCGGGACGAAGAAGGAGGAGCTCTCCTAAGCGACGGAGGTGGACTCCTACTGCGACTCCTCATCCTGAGCCGATCCGGACTCGGACTTCTTGTACGAGATGGGGCAGGTGGTGGTAGTCCCCTATGAGCTCCCCAGCGATCTCGAGGGTGGTCGTCCATGATCGATGGGGGAGGTCTTGATCTACGGAAATCATCGAATCGGTCTCGGTCCCGTTCCCGTTCCCTGTCTGAATCTCGGTCCACGAAACGACTGGCGGGGGTACCTGCTGGGCTGGGTGCGAAGCGCGACGAGGACGAGGTCGAGGTCGACGGGGCGGAGGGGGAGGGACGCGATGAGCTCCTGGCCAGTTGCTCCTTGTACCTTGACGAGACGAAAGCTTTGATGGGTAGTTCTGGCTTGGTTGAGGGCGCCGTTGAAGTAGTAGCGGCGGCGGCGGCGGCGGCGGCGGCGGCGGCGGTGGTGGTCGTGGTCGGAGGAGGTGTTGTTGGTGGTGCAGGTCTCGCAGGAGTGCAGTCTTGATCGACGACCATCTTGTCACTGGTATCCTCCCCGTCTTCGGCTTCTTCACCTTCCTCGGGAGGTGACTCGACGGCCTCGTGTGGTGGTGGTGCTGGTGGTGCTGCTGTGGGTGCTGCTGTTGGTGCTGGTGGTGCTGTTGTTGGTGCTGATGAGGCTGCTGACGGTGCCACGGTCGACGACGATGGAGAACCCGAACGAGAACGAGCGACAGGATGGTTCGTCTGTGGCGGAGACTGTAGCACCACGGGTGTTTCATCACCTGATGGTGTGGCCATCGCGGATCAGAGCCGAGTTGGACGTGAGAGGGAGAGTGAGAGCAGCGAGACTTGGGCTCGTGTCGCGGAGTGCTGAAGAGATCAAGCTTGCCGGAGCTTGGCGCTTGTCGTCTTGCCTCTCTCTCTCTCTCATCGCTCGACACTCCACCTGCCCACCCACCCGGTTCGTTCCCCCCACTCTCTTGTACTTGCACCCTCTCCTCACCGGCGACCCTCCCTCTGCCTCCCACCCCAGAGCGCTCATCTTCGCAATCCGCCATGCTCGGTTTAAAGGCCACCATGGTCAGTGCAGCGCCCCCACACACCGCAGTTGCACTCTGGTGCTCAACAGCCTGTGTACATTCCACAGGCCATCATCGACAACTCGGGTGCGTTGGTCGCCGAATGCGTCAACGTGCTCAAGACCAAGACCGGTCACGGCATGGCTCGGATAGGTGCGCCCTACTCGCTCTTGTGCCCTGTTCCCCACTGCCTCGCTGACCCACTCTACTCCCCCACCCACCAGGTGACGAAATCGTCGTCGTCGTCAAACGAGCACGGCCGATTTCCGCCGCTCTCTCAGCCTCCTCCTCCTCGGCCGCCCAAAAAGTCCGACGTGGAGACGTCCGTCGAGCAGTGGTCGTCAGGACCAAATACCCTACCCGCAGACCGGACGGGAGGTACGTTCGCTTCGACGACAATGCCGCCGTGTTGGTCAATGCCAAGAAGGAGATGATTGGGAACAGGATCGGTGGCGTGGTCGCGGCCGAGTTGAGGAAGGCGGGGTGGGGAAAAATTGTTTCTCTAGGTCAGTTTGGATCGGCACTTTGTGGTCGTGTCGGGGCTGAGCGCTGACTTGATGGTTCGCTCGTATTGGAACAGCACCCAAGGTTGTTTGAAAACAAGGCATCTTGTTGTACACTTCTATTCCCATCTCTGCCCTGCAAAAATCAACATCCAGGCGTCGCACCAATGCATCACGTGTTCAAGCGACGGCTTCTCAAAGGGGGAGCAACCGCCGGCTTCCTAAAATAAAGCATCCTGGACCCGACATGGAGCGCACATGCAACGGTCACCCCGACCGTGACCACCAGAGTCCATGCTGAGCGCTTTGAATGGTTGACCCACCCCGCGTCTCGTGGACTCATGCGCCAGTCACATGTCACACCCGCTCGGTGACGCTCAGGAGGCAGTTCTAGAACACTCAGGAGACGCCGAGAGGGGCCATGTCTCACCTTCGCCTTCGCCGTCGCACTTGAAGCTACTTGAAGGGGCCGGCGTCCTCTTTGTCTGCGGACTGGTGCCACATCTCTTTGATCTTGGTGCCACCTCCATCTTGATCTTCACCCGGTAGCGAGCGATCGTCAAAGTTTGCAGCGGTTGTATCTCAGTCCCACTTCTGCCTACGCTCACTCGCTCCCCCAGCCGCTCCTCCGCACCATCAAACCAGACCCACTCCTCTCCACTCCTTCCCTCTCCCATCTCATTCACTTTACCAGAGCATCATGAAAGCCCACGCCAGCTCATGGCGGACCACGCTCAGCCTTACCCTGACCATATCAATGCTGGCCCCTTTCCCGTCCTCCTCGAGGTTCGCTCGGGCCGGACGAGCGGGCAAGGCGAACACGTTCGAGATCGTTGGCGAGACGGGGTAAGTCCTCAAGGTGGAGGAGCGGATGAGTATCGTATATGTTCTGGCTGATGAGTTCTTCTGAGCGGTGGAACGTAGAGCAAGCGCTCAACAACTCTTTTTGGGGGTGAGTCACGGGGGGGGGACCGAGCTCGCTGCCCGATGTTTCCGGTCACGAAGGTGGAAAGGGGGAGTGATGTTCAGTCAACTGATCTGGAAGGCCTCCTCGTAATGGTGTACTACAGACTCCGAACAAGGTGAATTAGATTGATCGGGATAAGTGTGGTACTCTTTTGTGCTGATTCATCTTTCTGTTCGCGTACGTTCTCGCTGCAGGTCTATATCGTCGACAAAACGGAAAACAATAGTAAGTCGCAGCCTGCATTTGTTCGTGATCAGTGACCTTGGACCTGGCTCATTTTCGTTCATCCCTTTTCAGCCGCACAGGTCGCAGGACATGCTGCTGTGAGTAGGGATGATCGACCATCTTCTGGCCTGCGGTGGGCTGCTGATGCCCGACCCCTAGCTCTCCTCAGTGGGCCGTCGAATACGACATCCTCAAGAACACCTACCGTCCCCTTGACGTGATCACCAACTCCTTTTGCGCGGGCGGTAACTCTCTCGGCAACGGTTCCTGGATCAACCTCGGTGGGAACCAAGCCATCACCACCGGGGGGACGAACACGTCCGATGGAACGGGGGCTTATAAAGATTATGCGGGGGGTAGGACGGTAAGGATCTTGACGCCTTCGGATGATGGGGGGGCGGAATGGTACGAGGACAAGTATGGGATGCCGGTCAATCGGTGGTATCCTTATATTGAAACCCTCGAGACGGGAGATGTTGTGATTTTTGGAGGTGAGTTGGAGAACGGTCTGCTGGTTCTTGGTCGTGGCCCCTGACAGCCATGGGCTAAGTTCTTTCCAGGTGAACTTTACGGCGGCTTCGTAAATGACGTTGGCGGGCATCAGAACGTTCCCACCTAGTCAGTACTCCCTCCTCCTTGACCCTCAGAGTATGGCAGGACATGCACTCACAGCTCCCTCCTCAACAGTGAGTATTGGCCGTCGCGAGGCGCGCCCGTCAACTCGACCTTCTTGGCCACAACCCAGCCGGCCAACCTGTACCCTCTCAGCTTCCTCCTTTCGAATGGTCTCATCTTCATGCAAGCGAGTTGGAAAGCCCAGCTTCTCAACCACAGCTCGGGTGCAGAAACCCCTCTCTCCGACATCCTCTTTGCGCAAAAGACCTACCCCGCTTCAGGAGCAACGGCGATGTTGCCCTTGACCGTGGCGAACGATTATAAGATCACGCTCTTGTTCTGCGGTGGGATGAAACCCGAGCGTGATGATTGGAACAAGGATTTGTGGCCCATCATCGACACCGACACTTCGTCTTCGTGCGTGTTCATCAACCCCGAAGATGGGCCTGGAGCGACTTGGCAAATCGACGACGACCTGCCTCAAAACCGAGGTATGGGCAACTTTATCATCTTGCCCGACGAGCGACTCTTGCTCTTGAACGGCGTCGGCAAAGGTTCGGCTGGATACGCCACCGATGTCAAATGGACGATCGGGCAATCGTTTGCTCAAGATCCAGTCTACCAACCCGCTTACTACAACGCGAGCGCACCCCCCGGAACTCGCTTCATGACCGCCGGTCTACCCCGTTCGACCATCGCTCGCATGTACCATTCCTCCGCGACCCTCTTAGCCGATGGGTCCGTTTTCCTCGCCGGAAGTAACCCCAACGCCGACGTCATTACCGAATTCAACAACGCTTCTTACCCATACAAGACCGAGTACCGCGCTGAGATCTTCTACCCTTCTTACTACGACCAACCTCGTCCCGTCCCTTCCAAAGTCCCCACAACGATCTCGTACGGTGGAACGCCATTCGAATTCGATCTCCCCGCTTCTTCGCTCAACGGCGTCTCACCAGCCAAGATCAAGATCTCCGTCATCCGAACGGGTTTCTCGACTCATTCCATGAACATGGGGATGAAATCCATTCAACTCCGTCACTCCTACACCACCCATCCAAACGGTTCAGCAACGATCTACGTCGCTCAGATGAAACCCAACCCGAGGTTATTCCAACCCGGTCCGGCGCTCTTCTTCGTCACTGTTGATGGGGTTCCGAGCGTGGGCACACCGGTGATGGTGGGGAATGGCAAGTTGGGCGTGCAACCGCTCTTGCCGGAGTCGGTTTTGCCCGCCGGGAGTATTCTTGGGAGTGGATCGCCCGGATCGTCGCCGCATACACCGGGCAAGTCGATCATGTTCAATGTCCCTATTGCTCCTCCGCGTTCGTCGGTCAGCTCGGCCTCGACGGTCGGTAGCAAAGGGTTCACGGGTGCGGCGTTCGCCACCACCCTAGTGTTCGGTATTGCAGGCATGCTTCTGGTTTGAAAATTTGGACACTAATTCGATATAGGACATTCATTCTCCCCTCCCCGCTCTTCTTCCTTCTCGTGCTTATTTCCTTTCTGCCCTATTTCACAAAGGCCTTTACTCCTGGATATTGATGCGTTGCAGTTTCGTCACTTTGTCCCGCTTTACTCAGTATCTGAGAACGCAGGGGGTGAACCCGTTCCACTGACCTGGACTTGCCGAGTACACTTAGTAAAGTACTAGACGCATCCAACAGCACTAAGAAGAAAGACGGAAGACGTCGGCTCCCCGAAAATCTCCGATCGAACTGTCAGGAGAGCTTAAGTGCATTACGAAACGCGCGGCGAGTGCAAGTTGACCTCCTGAGGGGCGCAGCGAGAGGGACGTGCTCTCAACGGATTATGCCCTTAGCGACTTGTCTCGCCCACACCTGTCTACGCGTCCCCTCGCCTTGTACCTTCTTGTCGTACCCGCTTACACTGCAAACAAGTCAAACCCTAGTTGAGGTCGTTTCGTGGACCTCGACTCTTACATTCACCACTCATAAAGGAGCCAGACCCGGTCTCTCCAACGTCGTTCGTTTCAGGCATCCACCCTTCATCAGCCTTTCCCTGCCAGTCGGTCACCCAGCGCGCCGCACCTTCCGGGCCCTGCTCAATCAGCGAAAGCAGCCGTCAACGGCTCGAACAACCTCCGATACCACCACTCTCCCCAACGCCTCCGCAGGACGATGCTACAACTCTTCGTCGCATGGAAGGCCTCGATCGGCCTAGGAGCGGTCGTGACGCTCGTGGGCGTGCTCACCCCTTTCCAGGCCACTTCGTCGTCGATGCGTGTCGTTGCCGCCGCATCGTCCGGCAGTGGAACGGGGAAGGCGAATACGTTCGAGATTGTTGGTTTAACGGGGTCAGTTCGAAAAGGGGGTTCAGTGAGACCGTTTCGATAACGTTGCTAATGAGTTGTGTTCCATTCGTCCTACAGAGTCAGCGCTCAGCAACTGTTTTTGGGGGTGAGTTAGCGATCGCGATCCGTGCGGAGACGGGTGTGCCCGTCCAGACTGTAGAGCTGACTTGCTTGGTGTATATCTACAGACCGAAAAACGAGTCAGTTGGAGATGTCACATGTCACCGCGCTCGCAGTACACTCAGATGTAATCCTGACCTTGGCAGGTTTACGTTGTCGACAAAACCGAGAATAATAGTCGGTCCTTCGCAAGCTATTTGGGAGTCCCATCTTGAACAAGTCAACGCTGACGGGGTACCTCCGCTCCTTTATTTCGTACTTCGGGTGTAGCGGCCCAGATTCAAGGGCGTCCAGTCGTAAGTATCTTCCTCCGGACGGCGCTGCCACTGGGCTTCGAATTGCTGAATCGAGGATGGAATTCACCAGTGGGCGACCGAATACAGGCTCGAGAACAACACCTACCGATCCATGAAAGTCGTAACCAACTCCTTCTGCGCCGGCGGCAATGTTCTCGGTAACGGGCTCTGGCTCAACGTCGGTGGTAACCAAGCCGTTGACAAGAAGGGTAAATCGACGGGCACAAAAGAGGGCTCGTACCATGAAGAAGCGGGAGGGAGGACGGTCAGGCTCCTCAAGCCCACTGATGATGGAACGGCTGAGTGGATCGAGGATGATTATGGTATGCCTATCAATCGTTGGTATCCCTATGTTGAAACCCTGGGAAATGGAACGGCGATGATCATTGGTGGTGAGTTGCCTCTGGCTATAATTATTGTTATTTTAGCCTCTGCCTGACTTGATGAATTTGATATTCTTACAGGCGAGTTGTGGGGTGGCTTTGTTGACGCGAAAAAGGAGAAGCAGAACGTTTCGTCAATGTCAGTATTTACACGCCGAGATCGCATAATCTCGGATGTAAAGCTGACCCCCAAGACCTCTTCATGGCTACGCTGGGACCGCAGCGAATTCTGGCCCTCTGTTGGCGCACCGAAGTTTTCGCCTTTCCTCGCCGGCAGCGGACCCGCCAACCTGTACCCACTGGTATATCTCCTCCCGGATGGCCAAGTGTTCATGCAAGCGGATTGGAAGGCCCAGATTCTCGACCTTGTAACGTGGCAAGAATCGCCTTTGGACAACGTTCCGCACGCACAGAGGACGTATCCTGCTTCGGCAGCGACGACGGTGTTGCCCCTGACGCCGGCGAACAACTACACCGTGACGCTCCTGATGTGCGGCGGCATGAACCCCAAGCGAGACGATTGGGACGTCACAAAATGGAAGATCGCCGACACGCCCACATCCAAGTCTTGCGTGTCCATTACTCCCAAGGATGGTGCAAAGTGGGTTGAGGAGGACGACCTCCCCGACAACCGCGGCATGGGCAACTTCATCATCTTACCCACCGGCAAGCTGCTGCTGCTCAACGGCGTCGGTCGAGGCTCGGCTGGATACGGAAGCTTGCCCTGGGCGATCGGGCAATCCTTTGCCCAGGATCCTGTTCTTCGACCGGTAATCTACGACCCTTCGGCCCCCAAGGGTTCCCGCTTCACGGTCGAAGGCCTGCCGACGTCCACCATCCCTCGTATGTACCACTCGTCCGCAACGCTTCTTTCAGAAGGTTCGGTCCTCGTCGCGGGTAGTAATCCCAATGGTGATGTCACGACGGAGGAGAACAACCCGACCGTCCCATTCAAGACCGAGTACCGAGCCGAGAAGTTCTACCCGTCGTGGTACGACATGGTCCGACCCGAACCGAGTGCGATACCCTCCAGTCTTTCGTATGGAGGTGAACTCTTCCAGTTCAACCTCCCCGCTTCGACCTTCACCGATGCTGCGGGCCCGGATAGCATTCGAGTTGCGCTCATTCGTACGGGATTCTCGACGCACGCGATGAATATGGGGATGAAGTACATCGAGTTGCGCAGCACCTACACCGTCCATGACGATAACTCAGTCACCGTAAACTTAGCTCAACTGCCTGCCAACCCCAACTTGTTCCAACCTGGTCCCGCATTGTTCTTTGTCGTCGTCAAGGAAGTGCCGAGTATCGGCCGTCTCGTGATGGTCGGCAATGGAAAGCTGGGCCAGCAGCCCGTCGCGAAGGACACGGTCCTCCCCGCGAGCAGTGGGAAAATCACACTCACTAACTCTGGTGCAGGTTCGGGACCCAGTCCCAATGTCAGCGCGCGCCCAGGATCCAACACAAGCTCACACGCCCTCATAGGAGTGGTCGGACAAGTCGGGAGCAGTCTTTCGCTTGTCGAATCCGTCGGTTCCGCGAATGATTCGTCTTCTATGCCCGGAATGGACATGTCGAACAACAACGGCAGCATGAGCAGCATGAACACGCCCAGTTCGTCGGCTTCCAAGAACACGCTTGCGACGCTCTCGGTGCAAGGTTTGATCATCGGTTTGGCCGCTTGGCTCCTGGCTTGAGATTCTGCGCTCGTCGCGGGCCTTCAACTATCGTATCACCATCTTCTCATCACCTCTCTGATCTTGTGTGCCTCCAACATTTCTCTTTTTTTCAGTCAGCTCGCTCACTCCGCTTGGGTTTTTGTCGGTCACCCCTTTCTCACCTCTGGTGCACTCCCATTTCTTGATATACCCCATCATGGAGTTTATTTTTCGTTCCTGCAACATAGACCGACCTTGATATTTAGTTTAGTCGCTTGCAAGGACATTCCCTCTTCTTTGGGACTACAGACGTTTGTTGCACTGGCGCTTTCGACGTGGTTCATTAGGCCCCAGATCCACCACGCGGAAAGGAGCAGCCCCTGCTTCGTATTGGCTATCGCACACTGGCACAATCAGCCTAAGTTGGTGTTTATAGTAAGCCAATTTCAAGACTTGTTTCTATTGATCATGCCCGCGGTTGTGCAGGTGGCGAAATTTGATCACTAGTGATCTTGGTGGCGGTGCTGGCATTCTGGCCTTCGCTGGAGTTGATTGAGTGGAGCGTGAAACCTGGCAGTCCCTTCCGCGCTCCCTTTCTCTCCTCGCTACACCTCTTTCCTTGGTCACAACTAAGACTCGATCATGTCCAACGTCAAACCTCACGAGACGACAACTGCCGCACTCAAGGACTCGAAAGTCGATGGCTCTGGAGTGACGTCGACTGGGACCTTCAGCGCACTGGCAGGCACTGGTGCAACCACCTCATCGACGTCATCGGCGACCCCGGCTACTGCTGGCACGGACGCCTCCACGAGCCCCGCAAGTGGTACCACGACACCCCAACCGGCGTGGATGAAGCACTATGAAACATTCGTTCAATCCGCGGTACCCAATGCCATCTCATCCCGCTTGCCGAGCTCGGGAACGGTCGCTCAATCGCTCGATCAGACCCAGGCCAAGTTGCAGGAGATCACGACCACGTCCAAAGCTTTGTTGGACAAGACGTGGTCGGTCGGCAAGACGCGTTATTCGGAATGGAAGTTGGCGACCGATAGGAAGATGAACAAGGAGCAGTTGTGAGTGGTGCACAGCAAGTGAGGGGTCATAGGCCCGGGAGGATGCTGAGCTGACTACAGTTCGGTCGGTGCTCAGTTTCAAGAATGCTTGGAGTGTTACGAACGAGACTCAGGTCGTGTTGAACGTATCGCTCAACCAGGTCGGACCGTTAATGTACCAAGTCCTCTTGCCCGGCGAAACTTTTGAGCGTCGAGTCCGTGAGTCGGAGAACAGCCAGTGAAGTTTCGTAGGTCGTATCCCTCATGACCTAACCTCGCCTACTCTATCTCAGCGAACGTCTGGTACGCCCTCTCGATCCGACCTTGGACCTCACCCGAAACGGAATACTCGTCGTGGTCCGTCGCATGGCCGATCATCGCCATCGCCGGTCCCGTATCCGCCGCGGCGTCCCTGATTGCGATCCCCTTCGTCGCTCTCGCGGCCGGTGGAACTGCCCTGGCCTCCTTGACGGGATTCGGTTCGAGCGTCGCGACGGGTGTGACTTCGGTTGGTACGGCCGTCACATCGACCGCGGCCAGTGCGGCGGGCCTCGCTGCCCGTGCTGCCAGTCTACCCGGTGGATCCAAAGTCAAAGGCAAGCTCGTCGATGCGGCCAAGGCGACCGTAGGTACTCGAGGCGAAGTTGTCATCCCCAAAGTCGTCAAGTACCTCACAACGAGTGCAGCCGCGGGTGGAGTCTTCAAAGGTGCCGAAGCCGAGCACTGGAAGGTCGAAGGCGCCAAGTCCAAGAAGAAGGTCGCCGAAGTCGACGTGACGGGCTTGGATCTGCAAAAGGTGTTGAGGTGCGATACGGGCAAGTCCAAGGTTGACAAGGTGAGTTATTCTTGCCTTGCGGGGTACGCCTCATGAGGTTTCTTTCCGGAATCGCCTTGCTGATCGGTCATGTTCTGCTCTCTTTAGCAACTGGTCGCGGCCTTTGAGCACCTCCACTTCAAGAAGCATTACAAGACGGCAACGAACCCCGTTCTTCGCATTACGGGTGGTCCTGAACTTGAAGAACGGGGCGAAAAGCAAGTACTCGTCTTCTACCACTTTGTGCTCGAGCAAGCGATCGACATCGTCGTCGAGCCCGTATCCGTCGAAGAAGTACCCCCCACAAAATCCGAAGAGGCGCTCGTCAAGGATGCCCGAGTCGTTCCTACGCTTGAAGAGGCTGAACAGGTCAGCAAGGACGTCCCCGTTCATGGCAAGGGTGAGCACCCGGAGAAGGTCGATGAGGTCGTGGAGAAGGTGATGAGTGAACATGGGGATAAGGTCGAAAAGTCCAAGAGTGAGGCCGAGAAGACGGAGGAGAGAAAGGGGTGGCTCTCGTGGAGGAAGTGAGGGAGTGGCTTGGATGGGTGGGCTTGTATTCCCTCGTTTGTTCCGAGTATGATATGTTTTCGGTTTATACAAGCTGTCAAGTATAATTTGTTTGTGTTTCGCGGAGCGGAAGACAGCTTGCTGCGGGTTTACACCAAGTTGGATTTAGCTGAAGCGTACGGAGATAGATTTCATAGCGTCCAACAGCGTCCAAGGTTAAGAGATGTAGTGATGATGCCGATGCACGCTAGGCGCTCCTCAAAGACTAGGATGTCAAAAATATCATCATCGACAGCTTGGTCTGGGATGAAGTTCCCAGAGGGGTTGAAAAACTAGGCGATTAAAGTACAGGGAAGCGAAGAAGACGAACGAGGCACGGAGACTAAAGAGGAAAAGTGGTAAGAAGGTATAACAAGATGGTACAATGCGCAGTCCAAGTCTTTACTCGTCTTCAACGATGGGCTTGTAATGCTTGGCCAACTCTTTCTTGAACTGTGGGCGCGCGACGAAAGACCAGAGTCAGCCTGGCTTTCTACGTGACACACAAATATTCTCATCTTTCACCTCTGCAGTATTCTCCCACAGGTCCGCCGCCTCGACGTTCAACGGCGACTTGTTGTTCGGTTCACCCAACAACGATTGAAGCGAGATCAAAATCGTCGAGACCGAAAGCATCGGCGACCACTTCTCCTTGAGGATGTCTAAGCAAATGTTGCCGTGCAAATCGACGTTCGGATGGAAGCAGGTCGATTCAAAACGGACAGTTGGAGCGGCGTAAGGATACGTAGGAGGGAATCGGAGCGAGATGGCGTAGACGTGGTTCTCGTAGTAGGTCCCTTCGGCGCCTTCGATTCGACCCTTCCAGTGCGTGAGGTCCGCGTCCGACACGGGGAAGGCGGAGATGCCAGCGGGGCAGGCCATCATCAAGGACATGAGCTCGGAGCTCAATCTGTTTGGCGAAAGAAAGAGACGATCGTCAGTGAGGATCTTAGGTAGAACATCTCGTTTGGGGAAAACTTTGGACGAGCGAGGAGGCGGTCTGGGGAAGCTCAGGAGCTCATCCTCCCCCACTCGCGGGGCTCGACCCATGTCGAACAGCTATCTGGATAATCGTACATACCTTTTTGTGACATTTGCTGTCGAGTTGACCTCGGGACCTGCGCCAGCGACCTTGGAGCCTGCGGCAGAAGGCGCAGGAGCCGGGAAACCTTGCGAAGCCGTCGGGGAGGCAGTGGAGGCGGACATGCTCGGTGGTATGATACACTTTGCACAAGATCCTGGTCGTATGTTCAGGCTGATTGGAGGAACTCGACGGTAGGATCGTGTAGGTTCAGGCGAAGATGAGGCGAGGTGAGAGCGAGAGCCTCGTCATTCACTGCTCGGACGACACGCCGCGCGCGCGGGAGAATCTCAATGAACAAAGGTCCGGGCGTCATATGATGTGGAGCGTCATCGAGACCAAACGGAAAACTTGTAGTCATTTATCACATTATTGCCAAGTGATTAGGGATCCTCATAAACACGCGATCTCCAAGATACTTCATCTTCAGCGTCTTGATAGCCCCAATTCTTGTTGTGGAGTATCGGGACCACCCGCCCTGCGAGGAGCTCCACCCCTGTCTTTCCACTTCATGTAAGGCGGCCGTCTCACTGGATCCGCGCGCAAGATGGCCTTACGCTTTTCCCCTCCGATGTCTCGATTGGATGCCAATGGGGTTCTCGAGCGCGGGAAGGGAATTGCGACCTTCCTAATGTATCTTTCGGTTTGTTTGGTTGTGTTGGGATGAGGAAGATGATTAGTCTTCCTGGACGAGACCATGGGATGATGCGTACACCCCAATTCCCGACTCCCCCCGTTTCGGACAGGCGCCCTGGCGCCGGACGCGTACCACAGATCACGCCCCCACATTCACAACCAAAGAAACACAGCGAAAGATGCATTCAGGCCCTAACCAAATCGAGTGCAAGCTTGCCAGCCTTGCTCAGCACTTGGATCGCAATCTTCAACTTGTGTTGCCCCCAATACCTGTCGAAGGCATTCGATGACCAACGGCCAAGGTTCGGATGTGATCCGTGTGTACACCTTCACGAAGGTAAAACGTGGCCCCACCGGACCTAAAGGAGTGGTTGTTCAAGGGCGCCCTTCCGCTCGCCTCGAGAATGTCTTTGATTCGTCGCGAGAACGCCGACTCGGAGGAGGTCAGCTGTCGATGACCTCCCTCGCGCGCCCGATATGGGAACAACCGCGCTGGTGGAGGGTCGTTTAGTCGGAAATGGTTATCGATGCCTCCGACCGGGCAGAAGGGCTCGCCGTCTCGCGCCGAGACTACCAGCGTGCGGCCGACACGCCGACGCACCTTGTCGAACGGGAGGTCCAACTCGTATCGGAGAGGAGCTTCGCTCGTCGCATCGATCCGACGTGAATTGGCCACCGCTAGATGCCGCTCGGCTATGAACTCTTCGTCCGCCGAACCCGCCGTAAACTCGCCCAATCTCGCCATCGCGAAGAACGCCCGGCGGCGGACCCTCCGAGCATCACCAATTGCCCATCCACGGGGTGGACAGGGCTCCACTCGAACCTGTCGCGGCCGGCAGCAAGGGTGTGTGTTTGAGTCCCTGACTCGCGAGTCAGTGACACGTGCTCACCGTAAGAGCTTCCCTTTGATGAAGGAGAGGTCCCGTTCGTGCCTTCAATGCCCGCGCCGGGCTCGTCGCCAGCGCCCGAAACTTCCGCTCGCATGCGAATCATAGCTCGCGAAGTCGACTCGTTCCATGATGCGATGTACAAGATTGTTACGACGTTTCCGCGTGCCAGTTCTTCAACCAAACCTTGTTCGCTCTCCAAGGTGGTGGGCTCGTCGACAAGTTTGACGCTACCAAGCAACTCTGCACCAACTATAACGTCAGGGGTTGCGTCCAATCCTGCGTTCGTGAACACGCGTGTTCTTTCTGTAAAGGCCAGCACGAGGCTTATACCCACGTCGGGTCCGCATGACCGAGTTGGCGCGTCTGTATCACCAGAAGAGGGAGAGGGAAGAAAGGATGGTGATACAGACGCGCCAACTCGGTCATGCGGACCCGACGTGGGTATAAGCCTCGTGCTGGCCTTTACAGAAAGAACACGCGTGTTCACGAACGCAGGATTGGACGCAACCCCTGACGTTATAGTTGGTGCAGAGTTGCTTGGTAGCGTCAAACTTGTCGACGAGCCCACCACCTTGGAGAGCAACAAGGTTTGGTTGAAAAACCGGCACGCGGAAACGTTGTGCTCGTCGCTTCCGCAACCTGCGCACATCTGGTAACCGGGGGAGCCCGTGCCGTCGACGGCCCTGAAGTCCCTTGAAACCCTGCGAAGTGAGGTGTTCGCACTGGCACGAAACGGGGATCCCGGACGGGCTGGCGGGCCTCGAAAGCCGGCCGTCTCGAACGCGGAGACGCGGCAGTGGCAGGCGCGGCAGCCGCAGCGCTGAGCGGAACCACCGAAGTTACGACTACCGCTGCAGGTGCTGAGCCATGATCGACTGGTCGAAGGGTCCGAATTCCTCTATCTTTGAGACCTTAATCCCGACCACCACAAAGAACGAACCGTCAAGTCGTATTTCCGCATGATGTACCAGTTCGAGTTACAGGTCCGGATCGCAACGGACTCGAAGTGGCGGTCAAACATCTCCGAAGGCGACTGTGCGCATCCGACGATATTGATCGAGGCCGTCATTGGGTCGACCGCCTCCTTGATAAGGAGCACATAGGAATAGTGCGCGTCCTGCCATTGCGTGCGCGGCAGGCAACCGTCGAAGACCAGACCAGACCAGGGCAGACCAGACCAGACCAGGGCAGACCAGACCAGACCCGCCTCCATCCGCGCCTTGAAACCCAGACCATAATCCAGGCTCATCTTGACTTGTTGGTGTCTGACAGACACGACATCGGAGGATCCTTGCGATCCTTCGCCCACTTGATCATTTCGGCAGAGATGCCGAAAAAGGCGCCATCGTAAGTGGTACACGTTGTCGTGTCTAGGGCGCCGGAGAGTTGCATCGGGGCAATTGCGGGGCCACGCCCGCGGCGCCACCGATCGTTGCCGCCGGCGACTCTGTAGATGAGAGCGCGGCGTGGTCGTTGGAGAGATCGAAGCAGTCGTCATTGCCGGTACCAATAGGGTCGAAAAGTTTCGCGAGTGGAGTGTAGAGGCAATGAGCACTGCCGTTCGAATAAGGTGCAGAAGCGAACAGCCATTTCTCTCGCCTACTCCACTCTTATAACTTTTAAGCGCATGCGCGCCACCCCAGGCCACCCAGCCCATAACCCAGGGCCACCCCAGGGGCTCCCGGGGGGCGGCCCACCCGTCGCCCGGATAGCTCTAGTTTTCTCCTTTAGTCTCTTGGATCACCGTTAACTAGACTCAACCCCTCGCCGAGTTACCGATCCCTCTCGTTAGACATCTTATCTATCGACTGTAGTTGCATTGTCCCCTGCAACTAAACTCAAGCGTTTCACCGTCTTTCTCCGTCGTTCGTCGACTTCGCCCTGCGATCGCCGCTTCGCAATTGCGTCTGGCCCTCACTGCCAGGCCCTCCAAGTCACGATGATCTTTACTTGACGTTTTCAACGATTGTTGTTGCACGGACCACTGTCGATTTGCTTTTGTGCTTATCTCGCCTTGGCATCTGCATCGTACTCAGTGTCCTGATTTGGATATCTACTTAGGTACCGGGAGTACTTGCAAGGGATTAGCTAGTACCCCTTCGCAGGCTTTCGGATTGCGTCAAGTTCAAGATGATAGGACCAAACCCTCGTCGAACCCTCGTTCAAAACCTCGCCACCTCAGGTACTTACCCCTCGTTGTCCCAGGTCTGATCAATCTCGGATTTTTTTGTCCCAGCCGCCCACACATCAATAGTGTCTGCGCCGCTCTCGAGACTCGAAGGACCACTGCGGGCGTGACGCGTAACGCGTCGCGGCGCGCGTCTCCGTCATTGACAACTCTCCGAGGTTCAGGAGGAGGCATGTCAGAGGGCTCGGGGTGCTGAGGCGCGCTGGCCAATTGAAACATGTTGCTTCCAGACTTTCTTTGAACGAGCGACTTTGCTCCCCAAATTATGCTTTTAAAGCCAGGTAGTGTTCCTTTTATGAGACTGCATCTTAGGCCTAGGCAGGCGACTCACCTTTGTAAATGGTGTACATTCCACCGGAGTGTTATTGTTGCAGGATTTTGACACCTCCGACTCACGACTGGCTCGGTCTACTTCTTTCTCTTCGCCTTGTCACACCATAAGCATTACCGGCAGCTTTCCTTGACTGGACAAGCCGACTCGACTTCACTTCACACCATGCTCGTCAACACGAACCTTCTTGTTTTGCTCGCCTCGGTCGGCTCCGCCATGGCCCACGGCGCCTCGACCGCCCAGACCCTCAAGTTCACTAATTCGCGCTCGCCGACTGTCATCCCGGGTCGCTACATCATCGCCGTCGGGGGATCGAATACTTTGAACAAACGTGATTCTGAGGCTGTGAGTGTTCAGCTGCTATTGTGACCTCTCCACTCCAGCTGGCGAAAACCGAACCCGGCCTTCACTTTCCAACTTGTTGGGACGCCGCTCGACGCGCTCCGACCGAGCCGTCAAGTTGGACGACGATCTCGCCAAGGCTGAAAGAGCGTGCAGCACTGACTTGGTGGTGCTTCATTTATTCCATTAAAAAAAAGGCAATCTCCGGTGTTCTTAGCAAAATTGGTGGCAATGGTATCAATGTCAAGACCAAGAAAGTTTACCACTCCCCTGGCCTGCTCACCGGAGCGAGCATTGTCGTGCCCGACAACACAACGACCGAAGACCTGCTGGCGATCCCGGGTGTTACAGTGAGTCGAAGACAGCTTGTTCGAAGGTAGAGGCTTCAACTTCTGTGGGCTGATAGCAAAGAGTCTTGGCGGTTACTAGCATGCCTGGCCGGTTCAGAGCATCCCGAACCCGCACAGCCTCGGTCATACCTCATTGCGCAACGTCGAAACCTCGTCAAGTCAGCTTGTTCGACGGGATATCCTCGAGCCACGCGCCGCGAATGACTTCAAGAACGACAAGTTCCCACCGCATCAGATGACCGGCGTCGACAAGCTCCATGCCAAGGGCTACCTCGGCGCCGGCGCCAGGGTCCTCGTCCTTGACACGGGGGTGGACTACAAGAACCCGATTCTCGGCGGTTGCTTCGGCAAAGGCTGCAAAGTCGGCTTTGGCTACTCTTTTATCGACGATAGCGGTACACCGGTCAACGAGCCCGACCCATACACCAATTGCACCGAACACGGCACGCATGGTAAGTCGGCCGCTTGTTTCGGTGGGGTTACGAGTTCCTGAGCCACACTCCTGGGCCCCTATCGCATGCGCTAATACTTACAATCGATCTACGCACCAACAGTCATGGGCACTATCGGGGCCAACCCCAACAAGTATGGCTTCACGGGCGTTGCACCAAAGGCCACGTTGGGTATGTACCGTGTCTTTGGCTGCGCGAGCGCCACCACCGACGATATCATCGTCGAGGCTCTGCTGCGTGCTCCCCAAGACAAGCCCGATATCATCAGCATGAGTCTCGGCGGGCCCAACAGCTGGTCCAACTCGGGGGCCCAAGAGTACGTGGTCAACAAGCTCATCGCCAAAGGGATCCATGTCGTAGCCGCAGCGGGTAACGAACAGATCGAGGGGATGTTTTTTGCTTCTCAACCTGCGGGCACGCGGACGGCCATGATAATCGCCTCGGTCGATGTGACCTACTTTCCGGCGTACAGCATGGTCTTCAAGACGGGCGGGCACGCGTCGTTGACCGCTTACAGCGCTAAGCCGCTTGGACTCGACAAGGGCCTCGCGGTCTACTTTACCTCTACCGATCTCCAGGTCACCGATGACGCTTGCAACAAGTTGCCTAAATCAACACCCGACCTCAAGAATCGCGTCGTATTCATCAGGCGAGGAACCTGCCAACTCGCTCTCAAGGTTTCCAACGCCGGCGCCAAGGGCGCGCGCTACATCGTGCTCTACGGAGCGCCAGGCCAAGAACGACGACCCTACTTCTCCGTCAGCGATCTCGCCAAAGGCACGAATGTGGTCGGTATCGCCGGCATGAGTGCTGCCGATGCCGCCAAAGTGCGCAAGTACTACCTCGCTCAGAAGGAGGGACCCAAGGTCGCGTTCCCGAGCAACAGCAAGCAGCTGCGCATCCAGCAGACACTTTCCGGCGGTCAGGTCAGCGACTTCAGTCAGTTTGGTCCCACAAACGATATGTACGGTCAGCCTAGCTTTGGGGCTCCCGGTGACAACGTGCTCTCGACCTTCCCTCTTGCTATGGGCGGTGTCGGTGTCATCAGTGGTACCTCAATGGCCACGCCCTACACTGCGGGCTCTATTGCGTTGATCTTGGCCGCTCGCAGGAAGGACAAGTTCACCCCTGTCGAGATGCGCCAGCTCCTTTCCTCGACGGCCAAGTCGATCCCCGTCAGTCGCAACACCAAGGCTCCCCTGACCTCGACGGTCCTCCAAGGTGCTGGTTTGATCCAGGTCAACAAGGCCATGACGGCCAAGTCGTACTTTAGCCCCAATGAGTTGTATCTCAACGACACGGCTCACTTCGCCGCCACGCAGACGGTGACGATTACGAACAAGAACTCGAAAGCGATGACGTACCGCTACTCCGATACGGGTGCTCAACCTCGTCTGGTGTACGACAAGAAGGGACAGTACAACCCCTCGCTCAGCCCTAGTACCTTGTCGAGGGGTGCGTCGGTGACCTTCCGCCCCGGACGAGTCACGATCCAGCCCGGCAAGACATCGACGTTCCAGATCAAGTTCCAACCGCCGCAGTTCTCTGCCGGTCAACGCGCGCTCTTCCCCGTCTACAGCGGTTTTATCATGGTCACGGCCGACAACAAGGAGTCGTTCCAAATCCCTTACTTTGGTTTGGCGGGTAACATGCGCGACATGCAGATCCTCGACCAGACGGAAAAGTTCGCGGGGCAGTACCAACCGGGGCTCAAGTACCCCTTCCTCATCAACTCCGAGGCCGTGGTCCAGACAAGCCCGAGCAGTGTCGCGACCTACTTTATGAAGGATGGTGTCACTCTTGTTTTCCGTCTATCGCGTAAGTGTCTTGCTCCGTTCAGCCCTCCCTCCAAGGGGCATACCTAACAATTTCTCTGTCCCCATTTGCATCCGACAGAGGCGACTCGAGCGTATACCATCGACCTCATGGCCGCCAACACGACCTTCAAGGGGACGATCTCTACCGCCAACAATGCTGGCGTACTCACGCGTCGGTCCGATGAAGAATTTGGCCTCGATTCCCTCGATGCCGAAGCTTTGGCCGGCGCGCACCTCTTCTCGCGAAAAGAGAACACGAAGTATGCCTCAATCTCGACACTCGGCTTCGTCAAGGGTGGTATCAACATCCCTAGGGATCCCGCTGTCACCAGTGGTGGCAATTTCCCCTTCGGTGATCAACAGATCACTTTCACGGGGCGCTACCAGACCTCGGCCACCTCCGGCCGCTACGTCACCGCCGCGACGCAGACTGCTTACCGCCTGCTTCTTCGGTCAGTCCTCCTTAACAATGACGACTCAGTTTCCACCTTAACCTCACTAAAGCTAAATCGTGTATTTCCCTTCTTTACAGTGTCGTGAGGACCACAGCCGACCCGGCCGACGAGTCGAGTTGGGAAAGTTGGTTGAGCCCTCCGTTCCAATTCGCATGAGGCGCGATAGATCTTTGAACGCCAGTTTCTTCAATCCCGGGAAGTTTGGGGCCGCATATCTCGTCTTTTCTCAACTCTTTCTTTATACCAGTAATCGTGGTTGGCATATTTAGGGCGTGTACTCCCCTAGTCACCTAGGTATCAGTGGGGTGTGCGTAGGCAATCACTGGAAATTATATCCGCCCGTCGATTTCAAAGCAAATCAAGTGTTACTTGATGTCTGTACATCCGAATCCAAGCATTTTGCTCTACAGCAATCGCAACTTCGCAAGGCGTAAGGGATCGATGATCGATTTGAATTTCTTCTCGTGACTACGAGCTCCGGCGGCCGGCGGGCCGTTCAGCGCCGTCGGAGGCTCGGGTGAATTATGTCATTACGGCGTGGTCGCGTCAGGGATAGTTTTAGCAGGTTTTAGCGCGCCCTGGTCGTCGCACTCGGAGTCATCGATCGCCGTTTCCGCCTCCGCTTCTTGGCTTCCACCTCTTACAAAGCAGAAAGCAACCAGTCGTCATGCCCGTCAAGAGTCTCAAGATCGCCAATGGCTCCATGCCCACCGTCGGCTTTGGCTTGTGGAAGGTCGGTGCTTCCCATCCTCGCTCGTCCCTTCTGGCTTTTCCCCCCTCGAGCCGAGCCCGGCGCTGGCTTGCCCTCTTCGAAACGGAGAATGACATCCGTCAAAGGGAAGTGCTCTGCTCTATACTGATGCAGCTTGTATTTTTGAACAGGTTCCCAAGCCGCAATGCGCTGACGTCGTCTACAACGCTCTCAAGCTTGGCTACCGTCTTCTCGATGGGTGCGCAGCGCTGGCTTTTGCACCTTTCTTGCTTTCCTCGAGTATTGTCCGCTGAACATTGTTTCTGTGTGCAGTGCTGCTGACTACGGCAATTCCAGGGAGGCCGGAGAGGGATTAGCCCGTGCGATCAAGGACGGCGTCGTCACCCGCGAGGAGGTCTTTGTTACCTCCAAGCTGTGGAACACCAACCACGCTTACGAGCACGTCGTGCCGGCTGCCAAACATGTTCGTGATTCTCCTCAATACCGACCCTTTCAGGTCTGAACACCGCACTGATGGGGAATTGCTTCGGCCTGGCCTACAACAGGAGCTCAGCTTGTGGGGCCTCGACTACTTTGACCTTTACTTGATCCACTTCCCCGTCTCACTCGAATACGTAGACCCCAACACCCGCTTCCCACCCGAGTGGTGGGACGGAACGCCGGGAGGCAAGGTCACGCCTTCAAACGACCCCATCTCGGACACGTGGCGAGGCATGGAGGACGTGCACAACCAGGGTCTGGCCAAGAACATCGGTGTCAGCAACTTCTGCGGTGGCTTGTTGATCGACTTGTTCCGCTCGGCCAAGGTCAAGGTTAGTCACCCAACAATAAATGCACTGAACGAAATCAAGTATCGCGCTGAAGACCTAACACATATGCTTCGACTTTTCGCTCAGCCCTCGGTCTTGCAAATCGAGCACCACCCTTACCTGCAACAGCCGGCCATGCTCAAGCTCGCGCAAGAGACGTTGGGCATGGCCGTGACGGCGTACTCGTCCCTCGGACCCCAATCCTTCTTGGAGCTCGATCACCCGGGCGCCGTCAAGACCCCTTCGCTGCTCGAACACGACGTGATCAAGAAGATCGCCTCCAAGCACGGCAAGGGCGAGGGTCAGGTCTTGTTCCGATGGGCAACGCAAAGGAACGTGGCCATCATCCCTAAGTCCAACAACGATAATCGCGCCGAGGCCAACTTGGCCAGCGTCGAGTTCGACTTGGACGATGAGGACTTGAAGGCTATTGAGAAGCTCGATATCGGCCTGCGCTTCAACAACCCTGGAGACATCGACCCTCGTTTGGCCATCTTTGCTTAGACACCCGTCGGACGGAAAACTTGCACACACACAAGATCTTGCCCATAGCTAGCGATTGGTATTACATAAAATCTTGAACTTATTATACAGCTGCGCGAAGCGAATTAAACCCTCCAAGTCTTCCCTCCTTTTGTGATGCATCCACCCTCTCAAGGAGCCAACTTGAGCCCACTTGCGGATCCCTTGGGAGTTCCCTTTGGGCTAGCCGCGGCACTACCCGTATCGTGGATACCTTCCATCTCACTCATCATCCGCAACGACATCAACTTTTTCGCCATCTCACCCGCCGTTTCCCCCTCCCATAAGCACCGATAAACATGTTCCAAGATCGGCGCATCGATACCCTTCTCCTTGACCATCGCATATGCCGATTTGGCGGTATCGACACCTTCGGCGACCGAACCCAACGTCTCGATGATATGATCAAGATCTTCGCCCTTACCCAACCTCTCCCCAACGGTGAAATTACGCGATTTGGTCGACGAACAAGTGAGGAAAAGGTCGCCAACTCCGGCGAGGGAGAGGAACGTCAAAGGGTCCGCACCGTACGCTACTCCGATCCGGGTCATTTCGGCCAAACCTCGAGTGACGAGTCCGGCGCGGGTATTGGATTCGTAGCCTAGGCCAGAGGCGACGCCCGACGCGATGGCGTAGACGTTCTTTAAGGCTCCGGCGAGTTCGATCCCGATTGGGTCTGGGTTGACGCTGCGAAAAGGGAGACAATGAATAATCGTGATCAGTAGGAGGATGCTCCAAGGAAAGAAGGGGATGGAATCGAGAGTCTCGACGACGTACTAGCATCGGAACCAGGGTTGGTGGAAGAGCTCAGCGGTCCGGGTCGCATGCTCCTCCGAAAGCGCGGCAACCGAGACTTGGGTCGGTTGTCGCTTGACAATCTCTTTTGCGAACGAGGGGCCACTCTGAACGACAACGGATCAGTCGTCAGCACGAGCTATCTGCGTATGATCAAGACCGCTCGACAGTATACGCATGACTGACCAGGAATGTCGACACGCGAGCGACTTCGGGCCCGCACGTTTCCTCGATCACTTCAAGAGGCAACTTGTTGGTCCCGATCTCGATACCTTTGTTGACGAACACGAGGAGAGGCAGATTTTTGATAGATTCGAGCTTGAGGGGTTTGAGTACGGATCTGCATCACAGGCAACGACGGGAGATCATTATGAGCAAAATTCTGCTTGCTTGACTCGTTTTCGGCACTGTAGGGGTACGAACCTCATGGACTGTGTAGGGATCGCAAACACGATTACGTCACATCCCTGCAAGAACTCGGTCGTGGGTGGCTCGGGCCCGATCGCGGTCAGGTTCGCGGAGAACTCGTGGTCGGTGAGGTACTTTGGGTTCCTGCGATGGGTGTTGAGCGAGTCGATCGTCGCTTGGGAGCGACAGTGGATGAAGACCTTGTGCTCGATGTCACCGAGGTGGTCGGCGAGACAACTGCGAGGGGAGCGTGAAAATCAGAAACGAGAAAACAAGCCGCTATCACCGGAGTGGGATGCGCAAGTCGAGACCAAGACTGGGAAGTGGGAGTGGTGCGGTATCCCGACTCGGAGTCTATGACGACGACCGAGGATGGTCCTCGAACGGTGATGGGAGCGAACCTGTGGGACCCAGTAGAGACAGGGAAGCCACGTACGATCCAAAGTTACCCGAACCTGGAGAGAGTTGTTCCAGAACGGTTGGCGGGTGAGAACGAGTGGGATCGAGTCGCAGCGTACACCAACGTGCGAACCCGAGCGCCCGAGTGGAACGGCCGCGGTCAGGTGACAGTTACGGGAGGAGAGAGTAGGACGGTGTGAGCGGAGCTGGTCTTCCTACAGCACCTGAGGACTTGTGTAACCGACCTAGGACAAGTACTTTCTTGTTTGAGCCAGTCATCCCGGCTGTGTGAAAGTGCAGGAGGGGGGATGGAAACGACCAAGAGTTGTCCTGGCGAGTGAGGGTCCTGCGTGGGCTCCGTCGGCGAAAGTGGGGGAATCCATCTCGACAGGGGGGCGGCTTGCGATCGTTGGCTGCAGCCTGGCAGCTCACAGCTCGCCGGCACAGCAGCTCGCAGCAGCTCGCAGCAGCTCGCAGCCAACTTGATCACGGGTATGGCCCGTACGGGTCTGGCCGTGGATCTTTTTCGTCTCCGTCCTCAACTGCAAAAACTGGCGCCTTTCCCGCCACCAGCTGCAAGCAAACCGACAACACTAAGCAGTATGCCGCTGATCGTCGTTGCCAAGCATGTCGTAACATGCTGAGGTAGCTTCTACACCGCCAACGCGTTGTGAGACGCCTGGTTCGACCTCGCACCGCATCTCTCAGCGATGTACCATCCCACACAAAACAACCTGACCACATAAGGTGAGCCTCCTGATTCAACACTCCGATCTCGCTGCATCCGCACTACGAATTACGCTATCGCACACACCGCCACCTCCCAGCGAGTGCTCAAAGCTGCGGAAGGATCGTCGAGCCATCCACTCAGCCACCGCTTCCAGATGATGAACACATATCATGGACTTAAATACAATTTCTACTCGAGATTTCGGACCTTCGCGGCGCTTCTGTCATGAATAATGGCGCATGTCGCGAGATGAAGACAAGTCTTTAATATTCTGAACACACCCCCATCCAACCTCTTGAGATTGCTGCGGCTACTTCCTGGATTCGTCAACTGTCTCAACATCGTCGTGTTTCTACCCGGGAAGCTGACTTATCTTCCTTCTCTGTGTGTAACATGATCTTTGATGCTGTTCTGTGGTGCTCGCGCGGGTCAAGGCCTGGACACCTGATAAAGCGATGCACATTCGCAATCGTATGCTCAGGTAAGCCCCGGGAAGGCGATTGGTACTGAAAGATTTGTGAAGAAACGGCTAAACAGCCACCTACTAGCAGTTACCTGTCCCGTTGAAGAGTTACTTGCCTAGCGACGGCGCATCAATGCGTGCGCGGTGAAATGCAAGCCACTTCCCCTCGATTCGATCAAGCTCGCCAGGTGTGCGGGTGCATGCAGTAGTGCATGGCATGATCTTGCAGTGGTCTTGCACCGATCTTCGCAGATGGACACTACACCGGCCGCATCGCGCGCGGCGTCGTGCACGAACACGACAAGAACTTTTTCCTCAGCACCATTGATCACCTATCGTACGACACCGTCGACCTCTTAGCGCCTATACCAATCCTAGCACAAGAAGCCGACGAGTTCATCAACGACAACCAAAACTACAATGGCCAAGATGGATCGAGGCCAGCGCCTGGAAGGCGTCGACCGGCAACGAAGGAGCACAACTGCGGCGCGAAAGGGCAAAGCGAGGGTGCGTATCAATGTCAATTGGGCCAAGCCTACATATCACACCAGCTGATGGACACGTACCGCGCTTTTCTGTATTGCAGACGATCTTGCCCGCGGTTCCCGAGGACGAATCGCTGGGCAGCGTTCCCGTCCGTTCAGATCGCGAACGAGTCGTCGACGGGTTTTCCTCTGGCGCTGACGACACTGGCTGCCATGTCGTTGAACAGCGACCCGAACCATCCGAGTTCTTTGGTATCGGCGACCAGGACACTATGACTCAATCCACCTTCTTCTTCGTGAGTACCCACCCCTTCCTTCTCTGGTCTGCTCTTCGCAGTCTCTCGATCGACCACGCGGAAACGCTCACCATCGCCCTCTCGCACACGTGCAGTAGCAATCCAGCGAGCGCGCGTTTCAGTTGGCGGGTCTAGTCAGCGACGGTGAGGATCATGACGACGACGATGATGATGAAGCGTCCTGGGCCAACCCGAGAACCAATGGCCCCGAGTTCGAATCAGTCTCGGTCTCGGAAGGAGAGGAGGTGGTGATTATTAGCCGTTCGGCCTTACCCGCTTTAACTTGTTGAGAGGCCCTGTTGTGGTCGAGATTTGTTGCTTGTAGTGCCCCCCTCCCCTTCCCCTATGTTCCCATGTACCAGTATTAGGTCAAGCCACAGCTTGTCTTGAACACTTTCCGCTATCGGAGTCTCGCGGCCCGAGATCTTCCGCGATGGAAGTTGTCGTGTGCCAACATGATACCGAGTCACACCAGAAGCAACAACATACTTTTCACCATTAGTCCAGACTTTCATGGAATATTCTAAGACAAACTGATTTCAAAGAATTAGTTGCATTGCCCCACATCTGTTTTAGCATCTCCTTTCCCAAATTTTCGTGCACGCGTGCGCGTGGCGTCCTTTCAGCTTCGGACCCCCATCTCGTCGCTCACACCACAACCAGCTCAGAGAGTAACAACATCGCCACAGTACTGAAATCTATGGTCAGCCAATTCTACGCTTGCTACGAGTGTCTTCCTCGATCGCTCCCGCCACCACCACCGCTCTGCCTGCATCGCCAACCCGCCTTTCCATCAGATTCCACGCGACCGCACCCTGGCCGGCTCTGCCTCGCGACGGTGTCAGCTGACCTGATCGACTATCCACTGGGGCCCAGGAAGAAGGGTTCCGCTCCGGCTCAGCTACGAGTAGTGGTCGTGCCAAAGCGACTCCGTCGACCTCTGCGTCTGTCTCGACCAGACGCCGAGTCGCAACAATCTCAACCCGCCCAGATCAGCTCGTCGCACCGTGCTAAGGGGATCTTTCGTCTGCTTCAAGGTGCCGGGATGAAGGTTTTCTTGGAGGCGATCGTGGCTGCGCAACGTCGGACAGAGCACGCTTAAGAGCAACAGCAACCTCAACAACACCAACAAGAACACGAAGAGGAGGAAGAAGGCATGCAGGCGCAACAGCCCCAGTCCACCCCAACCGGCGCCGTTGGCATGTCTCGTGGACAAAAGCGCCCCAGGGTCCGGTCTCGTGGCCGGATCGGTCGCTCAATCGCGTGCGTGATACTAGGACGCCTCGCGTCTTCATCCCTTCCGCCGCCTCTTACAGACGCGTTCCGACGTTACCGCCATTGGTAGTCAGTCTCCCGCGGGCGACCGCGATGAGCGCTCTGAGCGTTCGCTTTCACCTCCTTCCGACTCGCAACGTTCTTCGCGCTCAAACAGCCCGGACCGGGATGACGAGTTCGTGGGTGACGTAGCTTTGCAACTGGCCTCGCGCAACACCGTGGTGACCACGACGCGGGGCTGACCTTGTCTGGGCGGTTCAACAGGAGTCACCTTTATCTCAAGCGCCCAAGCGCCCGCGTGTCCGCTGTAAACGCGACGACGACGAAGGAGAAGAAGACGTTCGAGGCGGCCTTGCGGTCCGTGGCCTGCCGACGACCAATAAGTTTGTGTTAATCTCGACGGTGAGTCCTGTCCCCCTCCCCCCGCCTCGTTTCTTTTCTCCTCTGCCATCCACCGTCCAATGCCCCGCCTCAAACCCGCTCACACGTGCACTCCATTGCGGCCCTTTAGCGCTGACATTGACATTTCCCCGCGGCAGGACTTGCGCCACTCAGCCATGATCGACGACCCATTGCGCATCGTCCTCGGAGCCTTCATGGCCGGCATGTTCGCAAGGTCGGCTGGAGAAGATGCCGGCTCGGGTAGTATGTCGAGCGAAGAAAAAGCCAAGCTAGGGGGGAGGCGCAGTCAAGCAGATCGTTCTGGGCTGGGTCCGGTCCGGTCGGAGCTGAGCAGGTGCGATGCGAGGTGGCACACAGACGGACATGCGCCCCATGTTTACTCCGCGATAGACCACGACTCACGGTAAAGTCTTCTACGATACGCTCAAAGTGAGTCGAGTCGGATGGGACAACGCAGATGCGACCATTCGGGCCCTTGACATTGCAACGGTACTGACCTTTGGATTGCTTCTCTCGCAGTGGGCGCTGGAGCAAATGAAAGTAATCCGCGCCAACGTCCGCGACATCAACTACAACAAGGACGTCAAAGAGTGTCTGGTCACGGGGCTAGCTGAGGTTCGCAACGAATTTACCAAACTCGTGCGTCCTTTTGTCCCGTTTTTTGATCGCGCTCCACGCGTCCTGATCGCTCGTCTCCCGCGCCGCGGCAATCTCGCTTGCCTCGCCACCCTTCCCCAATGTCTCGACGTGTTTCGCACCGCACGTCAAGAACGAATTCGACAAGAATCCCCTCACCGCAGTCAAAAAATGGTTTACCGGAACCGAGAAGACCATTTGGCGCGACCACCTCGGCTGTTGGACTTTTCTAGTGAGATCTATGCCCACGAGCCGATGTTGCAGACCTCATCATCGCTGATCCCGGGGGTTGAATCTCGCCTAGTGTACAGGCCGGCTTCCATGATGAACAATTTACGCCCGCCAAGTCAAACATTTCATCGCCTTACCACGCCAAGACTTTCCTCGAGGGCTTCGAGATCTTCCTCGAGAAAGAGGTGATCGAAAAGCTTGCGGAAGCGCAGCTCGACAGTCACCGGGGGCTTCGACTTGTTGAAGTAGGAGCGACCTCGATGCCGAGCGCGCGTGGCCATGGGCTGCGACTGCAGCTGATCCAGCCCCTATCCCTTCCCTTCCCCCTTGCGTCGTACAGCTACTCGTGGGCGGACAAGTTCGGTGCATTCAAAAAACATCTACACGATCTCGATGAACACCTCCAATCGACCCAGCCGCTCGAACCGGACATCACCGGCATGGCCTGGTTCCGCTCGCTCGTTCGGCGGCTGAGGCCAGCATTCAAACCATGCTTTACGTCAAGATCCGCTCCGAGCGTGAAATCGACCTCAAGCATGCGATCGATCGTTGCGTCGAGAAGGTAAATCTCCGCTGATGGCGACCCGTGCCTGCTCCAACCGTGTTCTCGCCTGAGGAGACTTACCTTCTCGATGCGACGATCGATCGCATGCTTGAGATCAATCTCACGCTGGGAACGGATCTTAACGTAGAGCATGGTTTGAATGCTGGCCTCAGCCGCCGCCGCCGAGAGCGGAACCAGGCCATGCCGGTGATGTCTGGTTCGAGCGGATCGGTCGACTGCAGTTGTTCGTCAAGTTCGTGTAGACGATCTCTGAAAGCACTGAACTTGCCCATCCACAAGTAGCTGTACGACGCAAAGGGAGAGGAAAGGGACAGGGAAACGATAGGGGTTGGATCAGCTGCAGTCGCATCCCATCGGCACGCGCGCTCGGCATTAATACCGCCCTTACTTCATTCAGTCGAAGTGACACTGAGTAAGACTGCACCGACGCTGTCGCTTATCCCTCAAGCTAGTGGACAGGGGCAAAATTTGACGAGTGCGAGCGAGGCAGGTGTGACCTCCCCGATGGTCTTTGCTTTGGTCTCCGCATTGGCTGCGTTGTTCATGAGTTCGTTCTTGTAGTTGATGACGCATCGTCCCGGTTGTATCCTCTCTGTTCCGTCCCGACTGTATCCTCTCTGATTTTCTGTAGCCTTACTGTCCTGTATTTTAGCGACTTCGACACGTGCCATTCCGAATGGCTGTAGCCCCAAGAATTATTCTCGAAGAGCGGAATAGAAAGCGATTGCATCCAGGTCAAGAAATGACAGTGGAAGAATCGATCCACATAACTGAACGAGGCCGGGAACACGAATAAGAAAACGAAAGAAATCAATTCCTAGAAACCGCGTCGACGAAGTTCGCCCAACCTTCACAACGTCCCTCCTATCTCCTCTCCTTGAGTTTCTCATCCGACTTGGAAGTTTGAACCCCACTTGCTTTCTTCGTCTCGGGGACGATGTCGTCACCGTCCAATTCGTTTTCCGTCTCCCCTTCTTCTCGGACGTCGGAAGCGGGTTTGCCCTTGAGCATGCGGAAGAGGACACGGAGGATGAGGTAGGACCAGAAGATCATTAACACTGCATAAGAACCCAAGAAACCAAGTCAGCTCGACTCTCCTGGTGACTTGACGCAACGAAAATTCTCCCTCGGTCGACGTACACTGGAGCAACGCGAGCGGCCACAGGATTTGCCATCGACCCCACAATGGAAGCCAGCACCCTTCCAAGGGGGCCCATCGTTTCGTATAAGCAGGGGCGAGGTCGAATTCGGTCAGGACCGAATACAGGATGCGAAACTCTTGGTAATGGCGGAAGTAACCCCATGTGACCATGAAGATAACCTGAAGAGGAGGTGGGAGTGATCACGGTAAGTCTTGGCGCACGGATGGTCTATGAGGTTCAGAGGCAACTGACGAAGGAGATGTTGCTCGTCTTTTCGAGTCCGACGTAGTTGATACACTTGGAGAGCGCAAAGACCGCATCGGGGATGTCCATCGAGACAAAGACGGCGGTACCGATGTGAGTCAAGTTAGCGATGTAGGACGCGAAGACGAGCCAGAAGGTGATGCAGTGGTGGAGGATGAGCTCGACGTAGTCATCACGGGGCTTCTCGAGACCTGGATTATGGCGAGACGATCGTAATATCAGCAAGGGGAGGTACGAAGAGATTATGAGATGAACGCGTACCAGCGATCATGACGAGTGCTTGCTGGCACCAGTATGCGAGCTGGATCAGGTAGTAGGCCTACAAAGCAGAGATCACGGGAGGAGGCTCAGATAAGCGCCAAATTTCCGCATACGGTCCTTGGATCAGCGCACCTTGAGAGGGCCGGTCATGTCCCAATGCGGATACTTGAGCCAGAAATGCTTTGTCTGGTAGAACCACGAATCCTGCTGACTCATGACCGCCTGTGAGACCCACACCGCGAGACTAGTCTCAGCTTCGTTCCACGCCTTGCTCCGCGATCCTGGTGACTCACTAGGCCGCACAGACTGCTGGCTGTAAAGTAAATGAATGCATATCCCTGGACAGAAAGACCGTCGAGGTCGTTAGCCCTTTTCCCGAACCTTGGCGCGCAAGCCCCTGAGGAAGGTCTCGTCGGGTAACTCGGCCTTTTAATGGCGTATCTGCAGTGTCCTGACTGACCTGTTCCATGAAGCGTTCCAGCTTTCTCATTCTCTTGAGTCCAAGCTTCCTCCCCAAAGCGAAAAGGGGTTTCCTCAGACTCTGCCTGATGCATGAGAAGATGACGATCCACCCAAAGAGGTAGAGCACGTCCCTCGGGCCCTTCTTGAACCTGGGTGTGTGGTCCTCGCCCGCGTGCGTGGGTGCGATCGGGTGCGAGATGTACCAGAACCACGTGAATGGGTTGTCGGTGATGGGTGTATCGGGGAACGCGAGTGAAAACGCGAGTGATCCGGTCAACGCGACGACGATCAGGATGAACGACTGCCGCGGGTTCTGGACCCACTGCAGCCATCTGGGGCCGAACGTCTGCAGCGGAGTCGTGGTCTTGGTCGCGACCGAACGCGGTCTCAGAGGGGCGGAAGGTGCGGAGAGTGCGGAGGGGGGTACAGGATCAGGCATCGTGTCGGGGTCACCTCGCGCTGGTCCCAAGTGAGCCACGTGATGTTCCGGATCCGTGCTGGCTCGAGCGAGATATTGGACCACCGAAGACGACCGGCGAGAACGCGTTTGAGGACGAGCGGTTGGCATGGCGGTGTTGGGTCAGGTTGGGTCAGGTTGGGTCTGCGTTGGCTTGGCCCTTGCGAGGAGACTCGCCCGTGCGCACACGAAAGGAGGTCGATAGTGACGTCGCGCTGGCCCACCGCGGGCGCGAGGCCGGCACAGGCCTGCACAGGCCGGCACCGCCCCGCCCCGCCGCGCACACACGCAACGCTTGGCAAGTTTGATCATCTGCAAATTTGAAGGCTCGATGTTTTCCTGCTGCCAGAATCCCTATGGGACGCGAAGACATTATACCAACAATCTGTCAGCAGTCACCAGGGATGGAAGGGTTATATAATACCTTAGAACAATGTACCGGCTCTCTGTAGTGTTTCTTATGCCCCCCGAATATGGCGTTTGGGATTAAGAACTATATATCGAAATCGGGCTTGTAATAAGTCCGGGACTCGCGAGTGCGCTTCGGCTCTTCGCGCATTCAATTCGATACATTTATCTATCCGATTTTATGGTCGGCTGTTCTGCCCGACTACGTTGTTGTGTAATTGAGGCATTCTGGGGTTGCGATGTTGGCACTTGGAAAGCTGGAGATGATGTGGCAGGTGACGTGGTAGGCGACGTGACACGGAGACCCACAAGGAGACGCAGACTTTCATGACCTTACGAGTCCAGTGGAGAGATACTCAGAGAGCTGCCACATCACCATGATCACCTCCAGCTTTCCAAGTGCCAACATCGCAACCCCAGAATGCCTCATTTACACAACAACATAAGTGTAAACTGTACACACTACAATTTGATACTCTTGGCGACGTTGATGCCAATGTCACCGCTGCTGACTATCGCTGGCCGTCGTTTCTGTCCACGTTAGCAGCCACTTCCTCGCGTCAAGCAAGCGCCCGCGTCATCCCCTACATGTTGTCAACGTAGCAGGAAAGATGGCGTGCGTAAGACTTTGGCATCCTTGGGGAGTTGCCTTGTGGATCACCCTGCAGCTGCGTGATGTAACTGAGATTTGCGGACCTCGTTGTGTAAAGGCTGGCAGAAGCTTCCAGCCAGAAAAAGTCTCACCTAAGTAGCCCGAGCATTATTACCGATGTGAACGATCAGACGGCTGTGGCCGAATCACAACTGGACGGTTTCCATCGGTCTGAAACCTCGATCTGAGTAGGCGTTGGGCCGTGTGGAACCTTCCGAAAGTCCGACCCCTGACGGAGTGGGACGAAAAGACCGCCGCTCTGAGTCGCGTTGCGTGTCTGGGCCCGGCCTGTCTTTTGTTAAGCAGCGTGAGGCTGCGAATTTTTAACAACAGCTCAGCAACAGACCAATTATTGGCGTGCTGTTCACTTCGAAGCTCGGGATTTCTGTCTTGAAGAGGCGGTCGGGCTTTTCTCTCGTTCTCTGATTTCTGTCTTGAAGAGGCGGTCGGGCTTTTCTCTCGTTCTCTCCTCCGCCCGGAGGCTGGCATTCCTAGATCCGCGATAATGGACAATTCACAAGAGCCACAAAGCATCGAATTTACTTTTTGACGCCAGAACGTGCGGCAGTGCGTTCGTTGATGGGTTCCGGAAATTGAACGTCCACCTGCTCTCGTCGAAGATCGTTGAGCCATTCCATATCCCCCGAGCGCTGCAGTCGACGAACGGTCATTCGAGTGTGTTCGAACAAGTCGAGCTTCCGCAACTGGGACAGCTGAGGCAAGGTTCCTTTTAAGCGGAGAACGGTCTTGGGGGCTTGGCCGGGGTCGAGATCCTTTTGGGTGTCGCGATTGTGTTGACCGACAGCGAGTCTTCGTAGTCGTGCATCGGATGAAAGGGCGCAAAGCGTGGGCTCAATCGAGGCAGTACCGTCCAGCTCCAATTCGACCAACTTCGAGCAGTTGGCCAGGAACCGTTTGCACGGTTTCGTAAGTGCATCGCTCAAGCCTTGGAAGGACACACTCAACAAGCACGGTGCAACAAGGTCCAACTCGGCCCACAGCGACGGCGTGCCAGGGCCGGGGTAAATCGGCGATAATTCTTCTGCTTGTAAGCCGCAATCCACTCTGATGTGTCTGAGTGTTTTTTGGCACGCAGAGATGATCGTCTCCATGACTCCGGGTTGATCGCGCGGGATACTCGTGCCGAAGCCGAGCGAGTGCAGATGCGGCAGATTGAGGAGGTCCCTCGGCAAGCGACCCATGAGGCTTCTGCCATGACCATTAATCTGCAAGCTCTTGAGGTCTACAGTGAGAAAGGAAGAAGTTTAACATAGTTGTATAAGTACGACGTCAATTTCTACCTCAAGACGGATTGCGCCTCAGCCCCTTGTCCTGCCAGTTCAATGATCGTGTGGATGAGGATCAAGTGATCGGGTCACTTGCACGCCACAACGACCATTTACCCCAAAAATACATGGTGCGAGCTCACCTCGCAGTGCAGGATGGCATAGACTCCAAGTATGAAACTCCGACACCTCAATCAATTTGAGTCCGTGCAAAGCTACGCGATTCGTGTCACGGACGACAAGCTGGTCGAGTACGAGATTGATCCACGTCGGCGAGACGTGGGTGAGCTGCAAGTAGCGAGTTGGGTATCGGCCCGCGATCGGACATGCGAGGAAGCAGTTCACCTCTGCGTCATTTTGCAAGAACACTCGGCGATGTAGCGCCATTTGCGAGGGAGCCCTCCATGCCCTCGAGACACGGCTGAACCTGAGCAACGTCGCCTTGCGACCGTCCGAGATAGGGAATGTCTCGTTGTCGACGAAGGACGCCTCGACGAGATCGATGATGTGCACCACCAATTCGGATGGTAGGTCGCTGAAATCGATCATCGGAACGAAGGTGATAGGCGTGGGTGACATGGGAGGACGGGGGGTTAATGGGGAGAAACAGACGTAGAGGTGAAGGCAAAGGATGAAGGTGGAGGTGATTCGAGGTGGAAGCGAATGTGATGGTGATGGGGAAGGGTGAAGGGTGAAGGTGAAGACGAGAATCGATGTAGAGGTGAAGATGGTGTGATGTGAAGGTAGATGAAGATGAACGGGCATGCAAAGGTGAAGGTCAGAGCAAGGTCAGCCCAAGTCTGTCGTACGAGGTCGTGTCCGGCCGATGATGGCAGCTGCGGTGGCGGTGGGGGTGCATGCTCGGAGGCGGCCACAAGCGGGACTGACCCGATACAATGATAATCAACAACTTCTCCCAAACTTTTTATCTCGCAAGACGACCAGGACTGCCGTGGGCCCCTCTTCGATCGAGAGCGAGATCGGAGGCTGATGACGATCCGAGTCAAGATGAGGAGGGCAGTGCCCAAGTCAGCGACGGTGGTACATACTTGCAACGAGTGGGGGGGGGGGGGGGGGGGGGAGGGAACTCACGGTGGCTGATGGTACACTACTGCCGACTTCCACCACCTACCGCCTCGGTGCTGCGTCGATGCGCTAGTCGGTTTCGGCCCAGTGGTGGAGGAGCCATGTGAGAGGTACTCATCAACGAAGAAGAAGGAAGGAGAGAGAGAGAGGTGAGAGGGGGGTGGCGCTTTTATACTCGCCCTGAGGCCAGGCTTGGCGCTTATCAAGCGACTCGAGGTCAAGTTCTTGCTTCATCCGTGCCAATGACGCTAGCCCGCGCCGCCGCCGCTCGGCATCGCAGCTCCCTCGGCGCTGCGATGCTCCGAAAAAGGAGACCCCTCGGTCACCCGAGGTCACCAAGTCGACCTGATTTGTAGCAGCACCAATGAGAAAAGCAGTGTTCTTGATGGTTGTAACATGAGGCTCGTATTTTCATGCATCTGCTCGTACTACTCTGAGTCCGAACGACCCATTACTCGTGTTGCCCTTCCATGGTTCGGAGTCATTTTGAGGGATCAGAAGATCGAGCTCATGAGCCAGGAGCGCGCCGGTCCCCGTCAAGCGCCTTCGCCTCGCACCACGTCGCACCATCATCAATTTCACCCGCGAAGATGGCGACCCCAGTGCCACGAACGGAGCACGCCGCCATGGTAGACGCTCCGTTTGCCGGCTCCGATCGAAAGCCGAGCCTGCACACGCTGCAGCCGCTCGTGCGCCTCCTTGTGATCTCGCACAGGGAGATCGAGTCCATTCTCGGCGAGGCCCTAGGGCATACCCTGGCCAAGCTCACCGATGATCAGTGGAGATTCCTAGGCGACAACAAGAACGCGTGGCGGACCTTGCTCTTTGCCCTCCTCTACCTCTTGCGAGAAGACGGCGGCAAGGCCACGTCCGGCAAGACCTTGACGAAATTCGAGGATCGGCTCACCTCGGATGCGCCCGAGGGGTCGCAACGACGTGCTCAAGAATACGAGCATTTTCGTCGCGTATCGGGGGGGCAAGACTCGATCGGATTTTCCGGTGTAAGTGACGTATGGTTCGAGACACCAGCGACGAAACGAGCACGGGGCTGACGGCTCGTTGGTGGCACGCTGGTACGGGTTCCCTGAATCGGTCCTCGCACAGGCGTGGGTTACCTTGATCTACGCCGTTGAGGCAACCAAACGCAAACGCAATCGCCCTCCGATCCCCCTGATCCCCTACACCCCCAACTGGTGGGACGACCGTGCGATGAGGATCGTCGAGGCGCTTTTTGGATGGAAAGACCGAGTCTACCAAATCGTCGCGGCCTTTGTCGACAGTCGCTTCGTCTTCACCTCGAATACACCCCCCCAGGACGACGATGCGGACGACGCAAAGTACTCGCCACCCGCGAAAAAGGGCAAGGATATGGGCTCGTCACTCAAGTCCAGCGTCAAGAAGGCCGTTGTTGAGGCTGTCTACGAAGCCAGACTCGCCGACTCGCCCGACGACCAGGACGTTCGACTCCTTTCCGACCTGACCACAAAGATCGCGAGTCTACACGACAAGGCCTCAAATCAGGTACAAAAGGCGGTAAACCTGTATGATCTAGCGTCGGTGGCAACGTCTACGTTCCAAGATGCCGTGCACATCATCCGCCACAACTCGCCGCGGATGCTCACACCCGACGAGCGCTCCCGTCTTGCCGAGCAGACGATCTGCGACTGGATCCGAGGGGTATCACACCGCCCTCATTGTCTCTTCCCGGCCCTCCACGCGCTCAAGGTTGCGAGCGGGCACACCCGAGGCCTTGGATTGGTGAGTGGTGGCACCGCCGGCTCTCACCGCGTTTCAACGAGTCGACCCGGCCGTCAGCGGGCCGACGCGCTCCATTGCGAGTGCAGTTGCACTGATCCGATTGTTCAACCATCCGACCTCTTTGCACAGAATTTGGGGGGCGAGTTCATTACCATGACCCCACGACGCACGTCTATCCTCATCTACAAAGGTGAAGACGTGGCCAAGACCTTGCTCGAATGGCTTCGATGCGTGTGGGTGCCTTGGCGATCGCACGTCTCGAGCAACCCCGTGGACCACGTCGCAACCGTGCTACTCGCGCAGATCGAGCCCCCTCTCTCCTCCGCTTACTCCTTTGTCGAGACCTCAACGAACTCGTGGGCGTCAAAGCGAGAATGGATCGAGCGCTGGGAGGTGCTGCGCCGTCACCTCAATCAGCAGCTCGGGGAAGCGACCCCTCGTGCCACCACCGCCCCGGCCAACGTGGCACCGGCTCTCGCTACCGCCTCATCATCCACGGCCAATCTCGAAGAGCCCTCACCCGAAACGACGCTCGATCCTCCCCCTTCCAAGCGCGCCAAGAAGGCGCCCCCCCCCAGCCGTCGGCCTGACTCGGGTCGGATCGACACCCGATTCGATCATCTCGGACCCCTCGTGGCGAAGGTTCTTTTCAACATTGAGAGCTTTGGAGCGAATGGCTTTGTGCCCCACGGAGAATGGCGATCGGATGGACAAACGGTCCGGCTTCTAGGCTACAACGTCGCCAAGGCGATCCCCAACAAGTTGTCCCTGCTCCTCCGAGTCCCACTTTGCGCCGACAGCGTGACCCGCAGTCGATCGCGGAGACGTTCAAGCACGTGACCAGTAGCGGAACCGTGGCGTTCGACCCGACCTACGATTGTATCGCACGGTCGTCGCTCCTCGCCACTCCCAACGAGCTCGTCAAGTGGGTTTCCGCCTCGACTCTGGTCCCATTACCGACAGTACGAGGCGGTATGCCGCGCCTCGAGAGGGTCGAGAATGCCGGCGAGAAGGTCCTCAAACTTCTTTACAGCCACGGCAAGGGTGAGGTGCGTATTCGCTGCGCGGGCGCGGGGGCCGCCCGTCTCCGGGCCGGGGGGAATGGATCCAGTATCATCCAGCTGACGAACCGTGTTCGCCTTCACTTCCATCGCCGGAGCAGGACTGGGCTGGTCCAGATCGCATCGGAACCCGCGACACGACCGATGAGGCACTCCGACAAATCGTCCAGGACGGTGCCAACGACTCCATCATTATTGGCATCGACCTGGGCACGAAATGTCCTATGGCCGTTTCGGCTACCCTCTTTGACCGAAATGAGGTTCAGATTCAAGACGACGTCGTCGTCTACGCGGATGCGCTGGACAAGCCGTTGAGGAAGGTGCAGAGCCACGTTCGAAAGCTCTCGGCTGAACTGGCCGGCAGCCTCCGATTCGGTCACGCCAAACCTCCCGGCCACGCAGCAACCCCTCTTGAGGGACAACGCCCTGCCACCTCGGCCGCCACCCTCGACGGTCCTGCTTCAGCCCCCTCTGACTCGAATACGACCGAGCGCGACGACGCCGACGCACGCACTCGCGCCGAGCTCGCTCGTGGATCCTCCTCTCGTCTCCTTCTCGGCGAGCCGGATCGACAGGCCTGGGCGGCCAAGACCAATCTCTTATCCAAGGCTTCGAGAAGGCGCTTCGTCGAGCAGGTGATGGAGGTTTCAGGTTTGAGAACGATAGGTTCGTCCTCCGTTTCACGCCGCAGGGAGTCTTCTCGAACAAGTTCAAGCCGGATACTGATTGTCGTATGGAACCTCGTGCTTCAACCTTGTTGTAGAGAGGGCCCGCGATGACACGTTAAAGCAAGCGGACTTGAGCAAGATCAAGACCGCAGAGGTCCTCCAACGAAAGGACATCCTGTCGCCGCGCCAACGTCCGGTGCTGGTCTTCGTTGGCGAGGGAGGCTCGAGTCGTGGAACACAGAAGGCGACGTATAGGACGAATGTCCTTTGCCGAGACCTCGTTCAAGAGTTCAACAGATTGAAAGAGCGAGGATTCGTCGTGGAGATCGTCTCGGTCGACGAATACAATACCTCCTCGGTCTGCAGCGACCCCACCTGCCGCAACGAGGTGACAGGGGAGCGATCCCGGTAGGTTCCTTCAGGACATTCTAGCAGTCGTGAACGAGTTCCAAGGCGTTGCCGGATTATGCTAACGACGGGACTATGTCCTGCTGGTGTCACATCGCACCGGTCACGGCGCGCCGGTCGCACAGACTTCTCAAGAATGGCCGAGCCCACGGGGCCGAGCATAATAATCTGCGGGTCATGCTGTGCGAGAAAGAATGCCGTCCGCCCATCCACCGCGACATTGTCGCGGCACGCAACATGCCGACTGTGGGCTTACAAGTCGCCGCGTTCCAACAACACCCCTTCAGGTACCCCAAGGCCGGGAAGGACGAGGACAAGCAGGACGAGAAGGGGCAGCAAGGCAGCAAGGCCACGGCCAAGGCCAAAGGGAGCAAGCCCGGAGGAAAGGGCAGGGACAAGGAGCGCGAAGAGGAAGCGAGGGAAGGGGGAGTTGGAGAAGCCTGAAAGCCGAGTCTCCTGGGCAGTGACAGGGTGCTTGCCATCGTGCCAGTCGAAAAGCAGAGGATCGGGTCGGTGCTAAGAACGATGGGTGATGTGGTCAATATGTACAGCCTGCTATCCAATTCGTTCAGTCAGCTTCAGAAACAACGGTCGGAGCAGGTCGACGCTATCCCCGAAAACCATTTCGAGCGTCGACTGGGCAGAGTAGATTGGGTTGCATCACCTTGTTTTCGTCTGCAGTGCCAATCCTGCTCAAATCGATCAATCTTTCTTTCTCACCGAGCGCGATGCATTCAACTCCTCCCGCCGAGCCGATCCCAGTTTGCGCCCTTTCGCACTCTCGACTGAGCGACTCGTCACACCAAACCATTCACATTAAACGCACGGTTACCGCCTTGTCGTCCCGCCCTTTCAGGACGAACCGTTTTGGCGAATCCGACCTCGTCTCCCCAAAATCATACTGCCTGTGACTGGACATGGCGAGGTCACCGAGATGATCGAGTCATCGACCCAAGGGATCATCAAATGACAGCATCTTGTGTAACTACCAGGCACATTTTCAATCCTATGAACCCATTCGATGGTTCCCCACCCTCCCCCGCTGCATTCAGCAAGCACTGCACGCCAACGCTTCACTCTTGATGCGGTGAGGGACATGTGCCATGGGGAGGAGCGACCGCCGAACGCAGGAAGCACGCTCGAGTCCGAGCAACCTGAGAACACCGTGGCTTGACCCGAGTCGGCTGGGCCAGGACAAAAAAAGCCCATGTC